TCTGCGAATAATTATAGCAATGGAGTCAATATGGTACCAGACATACTCCGTACGGAGTACGGAGTACTGGGCGAAAGCAAAGAGAAAAGGGGCCAGGAGTCCCAATTGGTCACTAATTTCCTAATCAAATTGCGTACGGACATTCGGCGGCTCTCCGGTAAGGTGTAGGGCAGGACTCCATATTCCGTACCATGACAATACCTTTCAGCCTCTCGACGCTGATAGGAGTAACACGGAAAGGCGAGCTGCAAGATTCGGAAAAACATGTTGGTTTCAGTCCCGTGATTGGTCCCGCCCATTCTCACCCCGCAGGCGGAACTTGTTCCTCCACTGCCGGTGAGCAACATTCGAATTCAATTTATCCTTTGCAGCGAGATGCAGATGCGTCAATTCCGTGCCCTCCTGGATCATTCAAAGATTGGACAACACACACACAAATCCTGTACTATACTAGTTACACTGCCAGGGTTGCGGCTTTTCCGAGGGATCGGGATATCAAAAGGATGGCGCGCCAGTCATTGGACGCCGCAGCCGCTTGGGATCCATGCACAATTTCAATACACCTGGACTAGGAAAATCGGACGATCCGCCCGGAAGGCCTACGGTCCCCAGTTTTCATGTCCTGGTTGCATTTCCACACTCCGCCAGAGCTGCATGCTTTTCGGGCGAATCAGAGCAGACCCGTGTTGGAGTAAAGCTTGGCACTGCTCTGCGCGCTACGCGGATTCCGTGATTCGGTTGTTATTGTGCTACGTAAAGCGCTTACTCCGGATACAGCAGGGAATGCCTGTGAGAACGGAGTAATAGAAAGAAAAAGACAGTACTGTGGTACTGTTCAGGAGAGTATAGAATATCAGAATCTTCACGCAGAAGGCAACCTGCAGGCGTTCACCTCTTCCGTGTCACTTGATACACGTGGGCCCATTGCTGTTTTAATCTGAGGATATCCGTTCATGAGCGATATTGACTAATAGTTGTGTAAGAAAAAGGGCGGAAAATGTTCCCACTCTCAACCCCACGGCTATTCTCCGGTTATACTGGTCCATGCTGCTATATTTTATCCGCTCAGGGGTATCCAGCTCACCTGGGCAGGTCTGGTTTTAGTATTTGGAATCTGGTGACTCACATGCTCGAGGTGCGATTAAACTTGCAATCCTTCACGTCAAGATATACTGTCACGCTAGGGCAATAAAATACCACGAGGTGTACTCCGTACTATACAGTACGGAGTTGTATAGTACTCCGTACACAATCGCGGCTGGGAAATAACGGTTGACTATGTGCATACAGTAGCTCAAAGTTAGCGACCCATGAACCTGCCTCGTCCGTGCTTGATCAGAAGATACGCAATTTCGCCTAACTCCACATGGCCTGTGCGGTTATAAGACTACGCCGGACACAGTAAGTCATACCCGCTAATGCTTCGGCAGATCGCGTTAGATATACACTTGATCAGCCCCCCGGATGATGATCACCAGGCTTTTCCGCGGTTCAGCAAATTTTGGCCGCTGTGTCGTTTCTTGTTATCGGTATCGACGCTGGATCCGAGGTCGAAATCTGGGAAACCTGAATCAGCCAATCACCGAGCCCTGGAGACAAACGACTTGCAGGGATTGAAATCCCGAGACAGGGGTCTAATGTGGCCGCGGTCTGCAGGCAGATTAACCTTTGAGGGGAAAGTGACGTTCAGAATCTGGTTTGCGCAGGGGAAGGTGAAATCCTGTTCCTACTCACGGGCATGTCTGGCACTCTGTTCCAGTTACTCTCATCCATTCTCTGTACTCTTATCCTTATTCTGTGCCACTGGGCATGGTGAAAAAATTCGGATTAGCCGAAGCGAGTCACTTCATATATTTTCCATGCATATTCTACGTCGGCTCTAAACATCCCCAAAAAGGCAAGAAGGCAACCCCCCTTGCGCGTTTGCTCTCAAGGTTCTGGGGCTTTATTTTCATGACCTGACAGGGGGCGAACGGTGAACGTTGACGTTCTCCGTACAAAGGAGTAAGCGCATGCTCCGGCAATCTCCCCCTGTAGCCCGCAGAACACCAGTCAGATCACGGCTGGGGAAATTATTGCATGTTCGGTTGGAATCTGGACCAGAGTTGTGCCCGTTTTTGGGTCTCCGACGTGCATCGTCGGCTGGAGTCTTTACCCTTCTAGGTTAGAGGGCTTGGAAGGTGTCGGAGGCGCTTATGCATCTGACAAGGTGTCTCTTAATACGGTGATCCTGCTATTCGGGCAGGCTACTGCATGTCGCTGTCTTGGGCTTTGTTTGCATCATGCACCACGTTCCGGCGTGTTCTCTTGGGGTTACTTCAAGATTCAGTCTGCAGGGCTTGGCGGGGACGTGAACCATCCCTGTTCCATGCAGTATCAGGGCTCGGACTCTTGTCAATGTCCTATTCGGGCAAGACTCTGCGGGTAGCCAGGATGGTGGGTTTTTTTTGGTCTTCCTGGCCGCTTGTTCTTCGGCCGGGATATGTTTCTTTTTCTGTCTGAGAATTTTCACAAGACACATCATATCATCTGATGCCCAGGTGGTCCGCGGAGCTTATGATAAAATTTGGACGGGAATCACCCTCGATAGGGGTTTCCGGGCTTCCCAATATATAGACGTACCTAGGTAGTCACGGATTATTGACTGCATAGTTTCACTGCAGCCTATCTAAGCTTAAAGCTTGAGTTTTGAACTTTGAGCTACTCGAATCGATGCTTACCCCTGGCATAATACTATGCCACATTAAGGGTTGACTTTTGCCGTGAGCATAACACTTGTGCTAAGCGGTGCAAGGTGATGGGTAGGGCTGATGCTTGGGCGCTGGTACCGGTCTAGTAATCCAGCCTAACGGGGCGTGCTTCTTTACACTTTGATGCTTGATATAGCCTGCCTGTCTACATCTAGGCCACGTGGGTAGGAGACTAGTCCCACTATGACATCTACCTAGTGAAGGATTTTTCTTCAAGCGCCCAAGTGGAATACGATCGCTTGGTTCTGGTGTCCACTTCTGTCAAATGAGCGATGGTACTACTAGCGTAACTTGTAAGAACTCGCGTATTGGAGGTAATGGACAGCACAGACGTCGTTTTTTCTTGTGTCAGTGATTCGTTATCAAATAACCATATCGTCACTACTCAAAACATCAGTTATGGAGAGTGCTTACAAGCTTCAAGTAGGGCTGTTGTTTCCAAGGTTTTACTCCAGATAGTTCATCCAGCTTTCCTCTTCTTTTATGTAGCTAACTTTCTCTATCCCTTGCTTTATTCAGCCATGCAGCGTGCCCAGGTGCAAGACTAGGGTGATCATTTGGGTATAAAAAGAGGTCTTCTCGTTTCCTCTTCAATTCACATCAGTTTTCGATATTATTTTTTCAAGTCTATATTCAGAGCCAATTTACAAAGACAGCCCGAGTGAACATGAAGTTTTTGAGTATTTTCGCAATGACCCTGTTTGTCGTTTTTGCGGTAGCGGGAGCTTCGCAAGCCAATACTCCAGGAGATGAACAGATTGCGAAAAGACAGGTAGGTGCTTGACCCCTCTGTGGCTGAGATGACTTGGGAATACATAACTAACGGAAATGGGATTTTGATAGGATGTAAGTAAGTACTTGACTTCTCCCGAGGTCTGTGGCCGAGATGATTCATATAGCTAACGGAAATGGAATGTGGATAGCCAGTAAGTACTTGACTTCTCTGCAGGAGTGATGATTTATATAGCTAACGGAGATGGGACTTTGATAGGATGTAAGTGCTTGACCCCTCTGCAGGGGAGATGACTTGGGAATATACAGCTAACGGAAATGGGATTTTGATAGGGTGTAAGTGCTTGACCCCTCTGTGGCCGAGATGACTTGACAACTTTGACTAACATCAACTTGGAAGGATGATGAATAAATGCTTCCTTGTGTGGTGCCCATGTGATACCGGAGTATTGGAGGAACCCTACCGAAAAACCGCCTTACGGTTGTTGTTAAGCTGACATGTTCCTTTACTAGCATGTCCACATCACACCAACCTCTCTCGGTGGACTCTGTCGTGGGAATCTGGATTCAATCGGATTCTCCATATGTCCTTGGCAAAGGTTGTCCCTCCTTTGCCGTGATGCGAATGCAAAGGCTTTTTCCATACCAAAGTATGGAAATATAATCAATATCTCCAAGTTTGATTTACAAAACCTGAATACATGTGATGTAGGCCCAGACATCAATTAAACCTTCCCAGGTTGGATATTTCGTGGTTCGATCCATACTGGGAGGAAACAGTAGTCCATAGCCCGAGGAATGCGTATTTGAGGCAGTTCTACGGCGATCAAGCAGTTACACACGTCCCGAGTCATGAATCAGCTTCTGCTCACCATGATGGCTTAGATAAAAAACGTGGTTCACTGCCCTCAGGGTCATAGCATCCCATCCGAGGTCGTCCTGTCTGCTTGGTCAGACCGGCTCTTCCTACTTCAGTAGTAGCCGGAGAAATGAGGCCCCGCTTAATATCTCTAGGCCAATCTACAGTGGGGCATCGACTTTGGAGGTCTTCACATCGGCACTTCGAGGCATTGATTCCAAGATTATGGCGGCCATGTAGGGGATTTGTCCAAACCGTGGACTTTCAGGGCTTGAGTTGATCTTGCCCCAACATGAGCTTTGAGCTTCCCCTTCATACTTTTTGTATCGATATATTAAAGCCTTCGTACCTCGTTGCATACCCCGGGAAAATAGATTCCGTAAGAGCCTAAAGGAGCCCTTGGGTCCGGGGCATAGACTTATTTGCGGGGTCGGTAGAGATATAATATCCAGGCACATTGTGACCAAGGACTTCAAATGTTCTAGGCTTATTAGATAGGTAGTCCCAGAACAGCATTGAAAATGCTTATTCCAGCAGCTGCCTTACTTGCTGCCGTCCCATCGGTCATAGCAAGTCCTTTCTCAAGACCACCGGCGGGATTCGATTGGTCCTCAACAAAAGCACTGTGAGCAAGACCAAGCGGACCCTAGACATTGGACATGTTCTCTGACAGTTTCAGACTTGCATTCGGTGACTCCTACACCTATGTCCAGGGAACTCAAGGACACCAGAACTTCAGTTTCATCGGCGATCAATTCAACCTGGCCTTTACCCGCGAAACTCTGCTCGCCAACAAGATAGTACAGAACCAGGTGAGTCTACAGTCCGACTCCACAGGCACCAATAAGCCGACAATAGCCATTAGACCGCAACTGCAGAAGGCGGCCCAAACTGGGTCGAATACCTCACAGGATGCGGCATCAAAGAGGGCCTGACCTCACCTCGAAGCTGTGGAAAGCAACTCTGGGATTTCGCCTTTGCCGGAGCCGACATTTCAACTGAATTGTAAGTGAACCCTGTTTCTCTACATTGACCGACCTCTAACCGCAACCAAGCACACCACTCCATCACAATTTCACGGTCTCCCTCGTCGACCAAATCAACCAGTTCAAGCAACACGGCCATCCGGCCTTGAAACACACGATCAAAACTCGAGAGACGCTCGTGGCGATCTGGATTGGAATCAATGATATCAATGACAGCGCTCAATATGCCGTCGACTTCCCAACATTCTACAAGAACATTACAGATGCGCTCTTCGCTTCCGTCGAGGATCTTTACGATCTAGGCTACAAACAATATCTCTTCATGAATCTCCCTCCCTTGGATCGCACACCAGGAAACCAAGCAAAGATGTCGCCGAGTCCGAACGCCACGCAAGTCGGATGGTATAACAGGGCGTTGGCCGAGCATGCAAGTGCATTTGGCAAAGAGCGCAAGGATGCCAAGGTGATGGTTTTTGATGCGCATACCAGACTTGAGGCTATGCTGGATGAGCCTGGCAAGTATGGCATTGCGAATACGACGAACTTCTGCGCCGGGTACGATCAGCCTGATATTGCGGTGAACTATGAGAACTATGGGTGTCCTACGCCGCTGGAGGAATACTTCTGGTTTAATTCAGGACATATGACAAGCCATGTGCACAAGATTCTGGCGGGACAGGTGGAAGAATGGCTGCAGGAATAGAACTCGAGTCTACAGACTAGGAGAGAAGAGGAATAACAGGTGAAATGGTGATTATTACAGACTGAGCACAAAAGCTCTTCTGTTATCTGATGCAGAACTTTTAAAATAATGGACATGTAGGCTGAGTCGTTAGAGTCAACGCTCCAAGTTTGGAGCAGATGAATCGTGAGCCATCCAGGAAAATCCTGGGTTGTAAAAAAAAGATAAAAACTATCTATGACATCGATAACGCCGTTCCGAACCGAGTTACGCAGAAAGTCGAAAAAAGGGGTCTACCAAGACGGGGCAACAATACAAGCTCAATGACTGCGAGGAATGCAGCAGCGAAGCGCCTACCAGCGACGGTTACCGCCGACAGGAGCAGCATTGGAAGCAGTGAAACCACCACCTCCGCGGCCACGACCTCCCCAGCCACCACGGCCACGGCCACCCCAGCGACCGCCACCGCCGCCGCCGCCGCCGTAGCGAACCATCTCGGCGAGACGAGGATCGATCTGCTGCTTGGCCTCAGTGAGGATAGTGACCAAGTCACGAGCCTGCTTGGAGTCTGCAGAAAAGAATTGTTAGAGGAGTTTTCGAGGGCATTAGGGCATGGAACTCACTATCAGTGGTAAAGAAGGTGATGGCAGTACCGTGGGCACCGGCACGAGCGGTACGACCAATACGGTGAACATAGTCCTCCGAGTTGTTGGGGTAGTCATAGTTCAGGACATGAGTAATGTCGCGGACATCTTTTGAAAGGAGTTTTCGTTAGCAAACAGAGCATTAGTGGGTTTATGAGGAGTATGGCCATGAAGGGCCCTTTCTCCGTCGTGCAGGACTTGATGCATCACTGCTCTCTTGATGGTTTTAACACCAGGAAGCAAATCCACGGAATCGCGGTTCAGTCTTATGGTATCCTTGGAAATGCAGCTTCAACAGTTCAAAAACAATGCTGTGTGAGAAAAACTTCGACTCTCAGGGGAGCCTGGTCACACAAAAAGTTGGAGAATGAAAGTCAGACAAAAGCCTGCTGCTGTGCTGCACTGTGAGTCCAAGGTCCTTGGGAGACCATGAGGCGGATAATGCCCGGGCGCGGAATGAATACCGACGTGCTTCGAGAGAGTTGTGCACCGTGCCATTGTATTACACAACGTCAACACGGGTGAGTGTTTTTGGACCCCTAAGGGGGGGAGAAAGATGGGGGAGAGGGGGAAGAGGAAAGGGGGATGCAGTTTGTTCATACCGATACCACGGGAAGCCACGTCAGTGGCCACCATGATGGGGCTCTTGCCCTGCTTGAACTCGTTCAAGACCCAGTCACGCTCGTTTTGCTGCTTGTCACCGTGGATGGCTGGGAAGAAACGTTAGCAAGGTTGACACAAAAGGGATAGAAAGCAGGGTAGCTTACAAAGCGCAGGCCATCCATCTTGACGAAGGAAACGGGTAATGTCATCAGCGACACGCTTGGTGCCGGTGAAGATGATACACTTGTTGGTACGCTCCTCCATGATCTTCTCGAGGTGCTTGATCATCTTGTCACGCTTCTCGAAGTCGGAAACAACCTCAACAATTTGGGTAATGCGGTGGTTGGCGGCAAGGTCAGTGGATCCAACGTTGACCTGGATGTAATCGTTCAAGAAGTCAGAAGCCAGCTGACGGACTTCCTTGGGCCAAGTGGCGGACCACATGCAAGTCTGACGGTCAGGGCGAATCTGGCCGATGATCTTGCGAATCTGAGGCTCGAAACCCATGTCCAGCATGCGGTCAGCCTCGTCGAGAACGAGGTAGGTAACACGGCGGAGGTTGGTGCGACCAGCCTCGAGCATATCGATCAGACGACCGGGGGTAGCAATGCAGACCTCGACACCACGGGAGAGGTCACGGATCTGAGGACCCTTGGGGACACCACCGTAGACACAGGTGTTGCGAATGCGGGAGGACTTTCCAAACTTGGTGATCTCGGCCTGAATCTGAACGGCCAACTCACGAGTGGGAGCAAGGACGAGGACAATAGGGCCATCGCCAGGCGCGAGGAGGGGTTGAGCATTGATGTGGACAATGGCGGGGAGACAGTAGCTCAGGGTCTTTCCGGAACCAGTCTCGGCAATACCGACGACATCACGACCGGAGAGGGCCATGGGCCAACCCTGAGCCTGGATAGCGGTGGGGCTGTCAAAGCCCTGTGCCTTGACCTCAGAGAGGACGTACTGGGGGAAACCGGCCTCGTCGAAAGTCTGAACGGGGCGGGGAACGTTGTTACCCTGAATGGCCATGACCTTGGACTTGCGGAAGGCATCGACCTCCTCCTGAGTGCGCGCAGTAACGTCGGGGTGCTCCTTGTAGAAGGACTTTTCGAACTTGGGGAGGCTGTCGAGGTCTGGTCTTGTTAGCGTTTGATGCTTTGCAAATATTGATACTCCAACTTACCCCAGTCCTGGTTCTTCAAGCCAGCGCCGAGGTTGGACATGCGGTCACCACCGCCGCCGCCGAAACCACCACCGCCGCCTCCGTAGCCACCACCACCACCGTAGCCGCCGCCGCCGTAGCCACCACCACCACCACCGTAGCCGCCGCCGCCGTAGCCGCCTCCACGGCCACCGCCGTAACCACCACCGCCGCCACCGCCGGAGTAGCCGTTGTCACCACCGCGGGAGCTGGGTACGATTAGCATCTGCAAACAAATCTTTCGAGGTCAAGAGGACGACTTAGGAACTTACCGGTAGGAGTCACCGCCGCGAGAGTAGCCGCCACCGCCGTACGACATGATTGAGTCTGAGAAGATGTGATTTAAGGGGTGATAAAGTAGATGAATGCAAGAAAGTGAGACAAGAGAAAGAGAGGGAGAAAGAGGAAGATAAAACAAGAACTTCTCGAGAACTTGAAAGAACGGAAGGATGAAGGAAGAGAAAAGGGAGAAGGCGCGAAGAAAAAAAGTTAGAGAATCGCTGTATCGGGCTTAGCGTCTTCCGCTGTTTTTCTCCACGTGACCAGGCCTGGATCAGGTACCTTCCTGACCGCCTGCCTATATAGGCTTCGCTCCTTCCCGATCCGTAACTTTGTTCAATTTTCCCCAACTGAGTGCAACATGATTGGTGGGCTTTGTGTATCAGCGGGCAGAATGGGTTTAGAGTGCCACGGGACGGCGAGAGGCAAACAAAGGAGATCTCTGCAGTGGCGACACTTTCGCCTCTTCAGATTTCCGCTCACCTGCAGTAAGATGCTTATTCTACGAAACCGTGGAGGCTTGGGTATAATCTAAACTTGGTTCACAGTCAAACCTTTGAATTTTAGGCCCCAGTGATGGCAATGTTCAAATGCAAATTTTGTACAAATGAAGTTTATCTACCGCTCCCTTCCAGTCCCATATCCCAGAATCGAATCTCCAACTCTGTAGCACGGATAAAGATCTTGATCAGTTCCTCCATGCGGCTAGGAGACACTAACTGCATATGTTTCTCCAACAATGCTAATTGACCGTCAGTTACATTTCCCTCATTTGCCAATGATAATGAAATGACTTACCTGAGCCCAACTGCACAGCCTCTGTATAATCATCTGCAACATAGTTCTCAATCCATTTCCAATACTGATTGCCCTGGCGTAAGGTCCCGTCATCTGCATGCAATCGTTTGGCAATGGCACCGTATCCAATCAAGCATGGAGCGAGCGCCATTTGAAGCGCTAGCCAATCTTCAGATTGACCGATGTCCAGGATGTATCGACTGTATGCCGTACAAGCTATCAAAGAGATTAGACGTTGGCAAGAAGAAAGAGAAAATCAGGATTGCAACCAAGGCTTCTTACCGATAGTCTCAGGAGTGTCTTCCATCTCCTGTTTAGAAAGTCCAAAGGAAGCACAGTAGTCAATATGCAATGCCATTTCCCGCTGGATGTGAAGCACAATCTGGGCGGACTAGATGGAAGTTAGAGTTGGTATCTTAGCATGAGTAAACATGACTTACCGCCGCGATCGAATCCATAGTCTTGGCTTTGTATGATGCCAACGCATTGCTTCGAGCAAATTGGACCTGAGATCATGAGTACGTCAGTAATCGAGGCATTTCTGATTTTGATTGCTCCTACCAGGTAGAGATAATCTTGCACTAGGTACGCCTTGAAGCGCTCAAGAGGCAAGTTACCCCGGCCCATCCCCTTGACAAAGTCATGGTGGGTGAAGTCCTGCCACGCTCGTTGCACATCTGGACGGTCCAACGTGTACTCGATGAATCGGCCACTAGACATAGATTAGCTTATCTCATTTTGTCAAAATACCAGGCAAAAGTGCATACGGCGCAAAGGGCATGGTGTAGGTAGAGTGGAAATGATTGATTGGTCCACTCCCCTTGCCCAGATCGGTGCTTGTCTTGATGCCTATCTCGACAAACCGCACGGCACTGCGAACGGATCTGATCATGTCCTGTCCGGAGGCCAGGTTTGCGGCAATTGCAGAAGCAAGTGAGCAGCCTGTGCCATGTGTGTTTTTGGATACCAAGAACTCGGTCTCGAACAAGGTAGTGTTCTCTCCATCAAAGAGGATGTCCACAACGGTAGTTGCATCCTTTGTGTTTTGGCAAATTTTGTGGTCTTTCGACAGAGGAAGGTGTCCACCCTTGAGCAATACCGCTCGAGGGCCCAAAGAGCAGATTTTCTTGGCAAGTTCGATCATTTCGTCAAGGTTCGTTGGCTCGGGGGCTTCTGCCCCGGCATCCTTCAGCAAAAGTTGAGCCTCGGGGATGTTTGGTGTCAATATTGCTGTGAGGGGAAGTAGCTTTGTCCGTACTTCCTTAACTGCCTTTTCTGGTAGCAATTGAGATCCACTGGTGGAGACCATAACCTGCCTAGGTTAGTACGGAGGTCATGGACGGGCAGATATACCATACCGGGTCAAGTACAACAACCGGGACCTTGTGAGTCTGCAATGTCTCTGCGATGACATCAATGGTCTCGGCAGACGAGAGCATGCCTGGCGGAATTATTATCAGCTAGCATGCAAACCGAGGCTTGGTAGGCTTACCCAGTTTTACCACATCTGCACCAACATCCTCAAGACCAGCGTTGATTTGCTTCCGCACGAACTCTGATGGTACAACAAAGATGTCCTGAACGCCCAGGGTGTTTTGAGCCGTCAGTCCCGTTGTGGCCGTGAGAGCATAGCAGCCATGGGCTGCGAGAACCCTCTGATCAGCCTCGAGGCCCCTGTCATATGTCAGCTCAATCCTTCACGTCCCTTCATGGGAATTAATTTGCAAGTAACGCAGCCCGCAATCGATTGAAAGAGGCACTGCGCTGTCTGGACCGGGTTTCATGGGATGAGTTGGGGTAGACTCACGCGCCACCTGAGCTATCAGATCCAGCAATTACCAACACTCGCTTGACCGACATGTTTCCGTCAAGAGATGGATACAATCACGTCTCTGCAAACCGAAGTGAGGACGGAGGGTGGGGTGGTCGGAAAGTTGGTCTCCGGGTTATCGATAAGATAAGAAGTTGATATTCGGATAAGGACCTCGGGACGCATCCATGGATGGAATGCCACCTGGGCATGAGCTGTCTACCTAGGTACGGAATACATTTACACAGTATACGAGTATGGATCGTTTATTATGCAAATCAATTGGAATCATGACCATCCTAAAAACATCCCTAGGTATTTACAAACATAATCCAAAAACGCCACCGGGGCATCTATTGTAACATAAAGCGGAACAGACCATCCATCTCGACCCATTGCCGACCACACTTCTTCAGGTAGCCATCAACCACACCCTTGACTGTGCCGAATCTGGTTCGATTGAACTCCGCAAGAGCAGCAATGCTGTCCTTCTTTTCACCGGTTTCCTTCTCGGCAGAAGCCTTAGCCTTGTCGACATCCCAGAGACCAGCGAAGTAGAGAAGTTGGTTGTAAATCTCCTTCTCTGAGTACTCGTAGGACATGCGGCCTAGACAGCCTTCTGCCCGGCCTCGAGGACCAAGACAGCGGTGTCCGTAGACACTGATCTGGCGTGTGCGGTTTCCACACGATGAATCGTCACACACGAGCCAACCTTCGTAGTACCGTGAGGTTTGCTCGCGGATCTGGTTCTCAACCTGTGCGACAATAGTCATGACAGAGAATGGTTTCTGGCAAGCTTGATTCGAGCACACGATTCCGTGGGCAGTACACATGTCGGATGAATTCATCAGCCCCTCAAACACAGATCGCTCTTTGCAGGATCGGCATTTCAAGGATAGCCGGGTGGCATTGGCAAAGCGGACCGAGTCTGGAATTTGGGATTCGAGAGGGGTGATTTCCGCATTTTGCTGGCTGTTGGAGCTGGATGTGTTGATCTGGTACTTGCGCGTATCAAGACCCAAGCATTCCGCGAGGCGAACGGCATCAGTTCCGGGAATAGGAGCGCAGAGACGTTCGATGGGAGGGAAAATTTGCTTGAGAATGTAGAATTCAACATCAGGCTTCAAACCAGAGTCGTTCTTCATCACATCCTGTGGACTGTAAGATCGCTTTGCCGGTGGGAGAGATGATGTTTCCGAGTCTCCGTTGGTCACGATATATGAGATGACGTCGTTAGGCCGAACATTTTTGCCTCTGGCGATATCCCTGAGAGCGACTTGAGCTGGGGGCATGCTCTCTTTGTTGGGATATTCCTGGGGTCGTTTGGAGAGTTTCTGGAGAAGTTAGCGAATACGTTTCCCGAAAGAGGAGAGCTACCCACAGTGTAGATGACATATTTCTGAACGGGGATTGTGTTTTCCTTCATCCTCTCTGCAAGCTCACGCAGGTAGTCGTGAACCTTGTTGAGAACGACCTCTTGGTCCTCTCCAGACAGAATCTCGTTGAGCAGCTTCGACGAGACTTCCTTCGAGAGAGCACAGTATTCACGTCGTTTCATGTCAAGACCTTTCACCTCCAGTTGCTCGACATATTTGCCGTCCACCTCGGTGAGGTTAACAGCAGCGTACTTCTTCTTGGCATGCAGTAAAAGTCGACGGAAGACATTGTCAATATCAATCTCCAGCAAGCGATAGCGTTCATTGACTGCTTTCTTGAACTCTTCGCCAACCTTGAGGGCGTCACTCATGTTCTCCATGTTGGTGTTGATCATGACGGAATCGGTATCACCGTAGATGACCCGCAGTTGTTGGCTCTCAGCCAATTCCTTCGTGTTCCTCAGAATCTCTCGTCCCTTGAAGGTGGTGAGCATAGCCAGAGGACGGGCATAGAATCGACTTTGTGTGTATCCCAAACATCCGTACATGGAGTTGGCAGTCAGTTTGAAAGCCAGTTGCTTGGTATCCCACAGCGCCAATTGCTCGGGCGTAGCACGCTTATCCTTCATCAATTTCTTCACTTCGCGTCTACGACCGACCAATGTTGCAATCAACCGAGGGAGAACACCTTGCTCTTGTTCCGAGGAAGGAACATCGGGCACTTTCTCTTCATTCTCATTTTCAGACTATTCAAGATTGGTCAATTTCGCGTAGAAGAATGGAGGTAAAATGAACTCACGGTGGCTGTTCGATCAACTGTAGTGAAGCAAATGTTGTACTCTTGGATGATACTGGGGTACAGACTGTTGAAGTCCATAACAAGAATGAATCTGTCATAGAGACCCTTTTCGGGCTCAAAGACAAGACCACCCTTGAACTTGTCCTTCTTTTTCTTGTCCACAGCCTCGTCATCATCTCCCTCTTGAGACTTCTCCTCCGCTTTCTGAAGGCGGGAGGAATACTTATCCGGACAGATATACTTGTTGCGGTGGAACTCGTGGAGCAGAATGTACTCGTTTCGTTCAGCACGTGTACCACTAAGTGTGCGCGCCCACGAGTTACCAGCGATATTCGTCAAGACCTTTGTTAAAGGCAGCATTTGAAGACGTAAGACCAGCGCAGCAACAAAATATGTGTCTGTGTCACAATGATTGACGAAATTCATCAGGCCTTCTTTGGTGGTTGCCCAGGTCTTCAAGGCTGCTTCGACATCTACGTCCTGTCGTGCGTTGCCTGGGCCAAGGTAGAGTTGGCACATTTCGGTCAAGCTCCACGACTGACACTTCATCATGAGGGACTAAGTGGCTGTTAGCTATGTTAATCATTCGAATCATGAGTGAAAAGAAAATACCTTGCCCATATCGTTACCAATATCGCACATCAATCTTCCAGCAATCAGTTGTCTTTCGGCAAAGAAGTTGCCACCCTTGTTGAAATGCTTGGGCCATTCACCACGGCGGAGCCGTCCAATGCGATGCCAACCAGGCGTCTTCTTCTCGCGCATTCTGCTGAGAAGAATGCCCAAGTCAACGTCCTGTAATTGGTGACCCATGATCACATCTGGGTCCATCTTTTCAAACAATGCCAGGAACTTGCTGAGCAGGAACTGTTCGGACCTTTCTAATATGATGGTGCCCGGTTGCTTCGACGCTTCAGCTTCGAAATGCAACGGATAGGATCCACTAGATGGGCGCATGACGGTGAAAGTCTTGCACGGGAGCTTTTCTGGAGGGGTGGTATCGGTGAGGGAAATCCCTTCATACACTCTGGCACTGGCTACCAGGATCTCTTGCTTGTTCTCTTTGACATTGAGTTGGGTTCGGAACGCAAGACTCATGAAAGTCAAAGGAGGAGTGTCCAGGTTTTCCGAGTCCGGGACAGGGCTGATGAGCCCTGGCTTGGTGGCCTGGCATTCGAACTTACACCATGAGGCGTTTGTCACTGCGGCAAAGTCGGCTTGGTCAATCCTGAGCCAGCAAGGACCCATTATGTTCTTCCACAGCACGAACTGTTCGAACAGCGAGGTATTCGTGCCAAAGACGTTGGAGAACGTCTCTCCCTTTGTCTCCATTGGCAACACAGGTTTGTCATAAGGATAAAGCAGCTTGAGATAATCCGTCTCTTCCTTTGGGACGCCCGGCATTTCAAATGCATATTTTCGCCTAGAAGGCTTGATCTTGTGCATGCCCACTTTGAGCCTCGACATCATTTCGTCAACCTCTGAGTAGACATCTTCCATACCAACCTCTTCGTCGGTCGCCCGTCCGTGCTTGTGTCGGTATTCACGAGGCAGGAAGTAAAGCTTTCGCAGAATGTTGTCAACCTTGACAAAGGCACTGGTGAAGGTTCCATTCTGCTTGTTTTTCACTTTTCCAAACAGACAAAGGCTACCATTGACCTCTGTATAGTCCAACCAGAACATGCGCAGGCTGCCATCCTCTTCGACTACATCCTGGGCCCGTAGTTTCCCGAAGGATCGCATTTCGGGGGCTGGGCTGCTGAGAACATTCAGTTTGTTTCGAACGTCGTTCCAGGAAGCGTCCATGACCTCCGGCATGGTCTTTACGGGTGACGAGCTTGCCGGTTCTGAAACAGCTTCAGGCTTGATCTTTGGTGGCGGTCTGCTACCGGCCATGTTGATAGTCTCTACCTTGACTCCGGAGTCTGCTGTCACCTCCGCGACGTCCATGAGATCAATATCATCGTCTTCGGGCTCTTCGGGCTTCACTATGGCTGTATTCTTGCGCTCCACAGCTTTGCTGATCGGGGAAGAAGGCAGGATATCGCTCATAGGAACATCATCGTCCGGCATCGGTAGGGGCCCATCATCGAGGTCGTCAGAATGCAGGACTTGGGCTTTCATTGGCGAACTGGGCATGTCGTTTTCGTCTGGCACACGGGCCTTCTCTCGGCGACGTTTCTCGGACAAGGGTGGAGACAGAACGCGAACCTTCCGTCGCGCTTCTGACTTCACAATGTTTCGGGTTGGCGCGTTTCTAGATGGCACATTTGTGTCGACCTCTCCGAGTAGGTCTGCCATAAACGCATCGTCCTCTGCCGTAGCGACGGGCTAGTTCAGAGCCACAGTTAGCATGGGTGCCTCGCATATCACGGAACTATACGCCATGGAGGGAAAAACCACTTGCCTTGGGCTTGGGAGCTGCAGCGGCGCTCTGTCCTTGGTTGAAATATTTGGAAATGCCATTGTTCATTTTCTCTTTGCGTTGCTGTTCCTCCTCTCTTTTCCTTTTTGCAGCCTTTCCTCGAGCAGGTAATTCATCGCTATCGTCGCTGGCGTATTCGGCGGTCTGCTCATTCCACACTTCGCGGCCGTCGTCCGCATATCCGGCACCGTTGTCGTCGACAACGAAATCGTCTTGGTCAAGTCGGTTTCGAATGACCTTCTTATAGCCATCATCGTCGACTTCATCGTAGATGTCGCCCTGGTCCTCAACCTCGTATGTTGAAATTCGCTTCTTTCCTGAGGCGCGAAGGGCCCTCAGCTCGGCCAATCTCTCAGCCTTTGTGGGCATTGTGGTGTTTTTGAAGACCCCTGCCCAGCAAATGAAGTTGTGTGGGCGGCGAAAATGAGATCGGTTGGATAATTGTTGCGGGGAAAGGAGCCTTGGAAGGGCAAGAGGAGCGGCGCGCCATAAATTGAGGGACGCGAACACCACGCGTGGAATCGCGTTGGCGCGGATTGGCCAGGTATCATTACGTAAGATAATTTAATGGCCCCCGGGGCCGGGGGCCACTTCGGCCTCAGGCGACAACATTGTGCCCTAACTCATGGAATTAGCTTGTTCAACATTAAAGTAATCTGGGTGCCGATAACCTTATATACGTCTATTTCTAAGGTTATAATAAAGGCTCAAAATTCACAAATCTTCAAACATCCCATGGTGCTTCTGTAGGTATGCATGTCGGTACCCTTTGCGCTGTTCGATTGAATGTCCCATCACTGTCCTACTTTCCAATGCATGCCTTGTTCATTATTCGTACTGTCAAAATGGAGCTGCATTGTGTCTTGTCATATCCCTAGATATACAATCTTAAGTATATGGGCCTACATGAGGCCCTTAGGGGCTAGGGGCTAGGGGGAGATTTATGGATCCCGTTGGGTACCTAGGTACTACTATATACCACTTTCGAGGGCTCATCTCTGACAGTTACATACAGCATCCCGCAGTGCAAATTCCAGATGGGTTGTGCCCCCGTCATTACATTTCCCCTCGCCCTAGGCCTCCCAAAGCTGTGCATGCAGTTCCATGACAGATAATTGGCCTCTTTGCATGGAATTTTGAGGCCGAGACCTATTTCAGCCCTTGATAGGTATAGAGTAAGATTGCTGCCGTAACTGGGTAGGAGCCCTGGTCTCCGGGCCTGCACAGATGGGACTCTGTCGCTTAGTCGTCCACGGCGGTCCCGCTCCACGAGTCCCATGCTCGTTATTATACTTCCTCTTTAGGAAACTCACATCGCCGCGGCGACGGCGAGTCATTTTTAAAACTGATTCACGTCCACAAATCCCGAGTCTTTTTCCCTTCTCCAATCCTTCCTTCCTCTCAGCATCCCCGTCCCCAAGTCTCTTAGCTTCACGGCCTGCAACATTCCCATTCATTATTGGTTCTTTTGAGTTTCAATACGCACGAAGCAATCACGTATGTACTATCCCAACTGGGCCTATTCTTCCAAGGTTGTACCACAGCTCGTGGGCACTTTCACTCCCATGCATCACATCCCCAAAGCCCCTCCCTGTCTGTGGCAGAGACTTCCAGACATGGAAAGAAGATACAACTCAGCTCAGCACCAACATTGAGCTGTCTGTGACTGACTCGAGCTCTCATAGATGCAATCGTTGCTGATGCAGCCAGACGTGTTTTGGCACCACGCTCGCACCACGATGATACGCTGACGATAATTTATCCAAGGTAAAGCCCGCTGACATGCTACTTGAGTTTCCTAGCAGATATTGCCACTGTCCCTTGGTGAGTTTACTCAAATCCCCAGTTGGCTGCGCCGGTTCACGCAGAATCTGGTCAACCAAAATTTGCCCAATCGCTTCACTAATATCTATCATAGCATGAATGAAATCTACATGTAATGTGGGTATCTACGCATCATGCTAAAATGAAATCAGTCCCTTTCGTCTGATCCTCTTATACCCCCGGTCTTTCGTCTGATCATCACACCTCGGTCTTTCGGGTGTTTCGCACTCGAGGCAAATCAGTACGCAAACATCTTGGCCGCATGGTCTACTATTTGAAGCATTGAAATCGTCACTGACTATGTTGTCTTCAAAAATTAGGGGCTCTGATTCTCACTTTCAAGCTCATGGCTCTGGCCTTGGGTCTGTGCACCTCGTCGCGCCCACGAACTCATATGTCTTCTATGCCATATAACGAGTCTCAACAACACAATTGGGCTTAAAAACATCCACTGTGAGTTAAAAATACGAAGCCAACAGGTACTGCAGTCTTGAAATTTCTAACACCTCAGAGGGAAATAGTGTTCAGCACATGCTTATGCTCGAGTATCGCATTGGCATGGCGGCTATGAAGAACAATCTGGGCAATCTGGATGGCTTTTGGTCTGGTCCTTTGAGATTCAGACCAATCAACCCACCTCATAGCACTTTTGTACGGTCGCTAACATCTGAGTAGGTTCCAGTCTCGTCGTTCCATTGTGACTTCCTACTATCCTCGACCTCCAACTACATCGGCACCAATTGAGTTCATGTTCAGTTGGACAGGGCAGATCCAAAAGACAATGCAATACAGAATGAAGCCGTCTGGTTTTTGAAGTGGCCCTTATTTCTGCATGCGAATATTGAGCAAGCCCGCTGACTTCTTGATACCCCCAGGATATAGCCATACCTTATCACCGACCATTCGAAGGCTTGCCTGGTCCCTGCAAAGTCGGGACTTTCCGTTTGTTGCTTCGGCCAATTCGTCAAATAAATTTACTTGCTACTTCTGTTTGCAAGGCTTCGAGAAAGGTAGCAATTGTCCAGGTGGGCGATCGCTGCTGGCAAGTGATGAAAAAGAATATCAAATCTACCTAAGCTACGGCTAATGGAGACTACATTCGGAACTCTGATGCCACTCTATGTTCATTTTTACCTTTGAAAAAGCATTCTTTCTCGTTTACGTGTGCCCTTGTTGTCCACACAGCATCAATTTGTTTATGCAAAGCTAAGTGATACCCCAATCCTCTACAGTTTCTAACGCAACGACTCTTTTTTCTAGTCTCAATTCTCGCAGATGCTCGCTGATCAACACGAAGCTAAGTTTTCCCCTCCCTGTCTATGTTGCTTTTGCAAAGTAAATATTGCTAAATATGCTTGATCCCATGCATATGTATATGGGTGAAGGCTACACTGGCGATGATTAAGTCTTTTCCATCTGCTACACAGATTGATCTAAAGGATCTGAAGGCTCTGCCTAATGATTCGATAAAAGAACATCTGATGCCAGTCTAGGCTCATTTTTGTCTTGATTCCGATGGCTATTTCTCGGGTGCAGGTGATAACTGACCTTGAAGCTGCCAGTTCCCCAACTCCGCCCTATCCTATTTGGAGAAACTTGAGGTTATTCCTCTATTTCAATTTCTCAGATACTGACTGGTTCAATGCAAAGCTAAGTACTCCGACTCCTCTCATATACTCGCAAGCTAAATTCCCTCTAGGCCGATTCTCGGGGGGTTGGATGGTGGAATCCAAAGCTAAGTTACACCCCAAATCCAATCTCTGTTATGTAGTTCCACTCTTTTGTTTCTTTATTGGCAATGGGCTTGAGGGCAATGGGTACTGGCAAGTGATGATTGTTCTTTCCACCTCATGTTTCAGCCCTCCTGGGGTGATCCTGAGGCTAAAGCTACGGCCAACGAGGAAAAATTGCAACACAGTCTGATGCCTATTCCAATTCGTTCTCACGATTGGAGAAGCGGTGCAGTTATGCAGAGTGATTATGATGATGATGATGATGATGAGTACTGGCAAGTGATGATTGTTCTTTCCACCTCATGTTTCAGCTCTTATGGGGTGACTCTGAGGCTAAAGCTACGGCCAACGAGGAAAACTTGCAACACAGTCTGATGCCCATTCCAATTCGTTCTCGCGATTGGAGAAGCGATGCAATTATGCAGAGTGATGACGATGATGTTGATGATGTTGATGATGTTGATGATGTTGATGATGTTGATGATGTTGATGATGTTGATGATGTTGATGAGTACTAAAGAATGATGATGATGAGTACTGGCAAATGATGATTGCCCTTTCCACCTCATGTCTCAGCCCTTATGGGGTGACTCTGAGGCTAAAGCTACGGCCAACGAGGAAAACTTGCAACACAGTCTGATGCCCATTCCAATTCGTTCTCACGATTGGAGAAGAGTTCTTGATATTGGTGTATCCGGCCATGCCCAAGGGAGGGGGAGTTTTATACGAGCAATGGGAGAAATGGTGGACTGCTATTCCAAGGTTTCATGATGTACGATGTTGGAGTGAAAGCAGCGGTGCCCAAACATATATTTTGCGGCAAGGTGTTGCGAAGATAGGCCCCGACAGTCAAGCTAGGATGGAAGCATTGAATAGGGTTGTCGAAATGTTCTATGTATGGCTGGTCTTTACTCCATTCGACCCATCTTTGGGATTTGAAGACTGTCCAATTGATCTGAATATCACAACCTCGCGAAGTCCACGGGTCCAACGCTCCCGAGGTCTCTAGGGCTACCTAGTACTGGCAGGTGTGCATGAGCTTTACTTCAAGGTTCCCAAGTCCATGCGGAATGAACATAACGAGCTATAAATAGTACTATGAAAATGGGTTCGGAAGATCCCTGCCGGTTTCTAATATATAGATCCCTGGCGATTTTCTGATGTGTAGTAGGAATTAGCCACGGTGAAAATAGTCATTAGTCGCGGTGGAGAACCTTGGAAGTGGTCGATCCTCCCGAGTCCATGCCGAGAGATAGTTCACTGGATACAGATCAAAAGCTTGAATGTTCTTCAAGGTTGCATGGAGCATTTGAAGTGCTTCTGGAGCTACAAGGTGAATCTCCATAGTTGCAGCCACGAGTCTACTTCCAAGCGCTGGGCATGCATCCAGCCTGGAGGGTCGGAGCGTAGAAGCTCGCCAAGCAAAGCGCAGAAACAGCAAGTTTGAACAAGAAACCCAGTATCATTGAGTAGATTTTCCTGGCTATGCTAGGTATTTTTTCCAGCCGTGCAGAACAGCGCCAGTGAAAAACATAGGATATCCATCCTCAACACAAGGCACCGAAACAACAACCAGAGGCCATATTCATCAAGACCTCTAGCCCGGTCCTCTGATCTCATGCACGAGCGGTCTTACCGAACCAAAACCACTCAATACACGTCATCCCCGGCACCTCCCAAAGTCCCGAGTCCACCAAGAAGTCATGGAAATGAGTCGTGATAAAAAAAACAGACGAAGACAAACATGTTCCACTTCCTTCCCGTTGCCGTTGTAAACTTTTCTTTTCCCTTTCGCCGCGTAATAAGGTATAAGAGAGAAGAAAAATTTAACGGTAGGACTTCTGGTAGCGGGAGCGGGCACCGCGACCACCGAACTTCTTTGGCTCGGTGCGACGGTTGTCGGCAACCAGGAGTGTGCGGTCGTACTGAGCAAGAGCCTGCTTCAGCTGGTTCTTGGAGTGCTCATCGACGTACTTCTGGTAGTAGGCGACGATAGACTTGGCGATGGCCTGACGGATGGCGTAGACCTGGGAAGTGTGACCACCACCAGTGACGCGGACACGGATGTCGACACCGGCGAACTTGTCAACGCCGACGATCAGGAGGGGCTCGTAGACCTATAATTCGAGTACTCGTCAGAATCATGTCGAAATGCGGTTTTTTTCTCTCTTCCATCCTTGCCCTGTGGTCGCAGGCGGGGGGTTTTCATTGCGAATAGGCGGTGCGGAAGGTTGTTGGAACGATTGTGCGTACCTTGAAGCGGAGGATCTCGGGCTGGACCAGGGAGAGGGGCTGGCCGTTAACCTTGACGAGGCCCTTGCCTTGCTGTAAAAAGTCTCAGTATGCGGTCATGCTTGAATGTATCTTGAGCCCCCGTGGTCGCGCAATGTGTTGTTTCGTATATCCTTCCAAAAATTCAATTTCGATATCCAAGTTTTCCGAATTCCTGCTCGACTCTTCGATTGATTTCCTTCCAGATATTCCGAAACAACGTATTGGGACCGAGGGGGTATAGGCGTCATCATACCTTGCAGTGGGCGACAGCGGTGGCTATCAAGAATTCAATGTCAGCGCACACTCCATCGGTCATGAGATATCCTCCAAAATAAAAAGCTTACCGGTCTTCTTCTTGCCGAAGCATTGCACACTCGGGACGGAAGCCATGGTGGATAGAATGGCCCTTGTTGTCGTGGGGAGGGAGTGTGTTGTCGAGGGAGATGGAAAAAGAGATCACTGAATTCCCAATACCCGCACTGATTTGGCAGCCCGGTGCGGGTTTCGCTTAGTGTGAAAAAAATTACCTAAGCCATTCGCTTATACACCGCCGCCTCATATTCTGCCAGACTTAGGCTTAGGGCTATCTGACCGCCGCCCGATTAGCTCACCACATCACGTGGTGTATCTGTTGCATCACGTGAACAATGCCGCCGCGCGACGTATCTCGGGGCGAAGTTTTCGGACGCCAAGAAAGCAGCCAAAGGGTTCCGGTGATACGTGCAGGTCCTCAATTGAACCCCAATCATTAATTGCTCATTCGGTCTACCTCCAAACCACCTACCTGCTGTATCATCGCCCGCACAGCCATCATGTCGCAACTCGTTGGCAAGGTAAATAGCTTCAATGCGGAGTCTTCCGGGGCAACCCCAACTAACAAACCGCCTCGCAGACCCGTCTCGCCTACTCGCGCACATGGCACTATGTCGATGCCGGTTCCGACGAACGCTCCCTCGGCCGTCTGGCCTCGTCGATTGCCCTGGTCCTCATGGGCAAGAACAAGCCCATCTACGACCCATCGACAGACTGCGGTGACTACGTTGTCGTTGTCGGATGCCACGATCTTAAGACGACAGGAAAGAAGCGATTCCAGAAGCAGTACTACACCCACACAACACGACCTGGTAGCTTGAAGAGCATGACGATGGACCAGATGTTCGCCAAATGGGGTGGTGGTGAAGTCCTGCGCCGCGCAGTCAAGGGCATGCTGCCCAAGAACCGTCTTCAAGATAGCCGCCTTGCTCGTTTGAAGAGTAAGTTCTCTCATCTTGCTGCCCAATGTCAAGTGGAATCAGTCCCTGACGTTGACTCGGCTCATTACTCCCCCTCATTCCTTTGACACTGGCTAACATAGTATCGTACAGCTTTCGAAGGCGCCGATCACCCGTACAAGGACAACATTGTTAAGTTCGGCAACCAATCTGTGATCGGTAACCTGTCCGAAGTGCAGGAGGCATTCAAGGTGGCGGCTACCAAACCCACTGCATAGAGCATATTCCTCCTTTTCCTTACTATTCTGTTGCCCTTTTCCGGCTGACCCCAAGCGGGGTCTCTGTCTATCTGTATTCTATTTCCCTGCGATGTTATGATCCAACCGCAAAAGCGCATTGGTGCGGAGTCCATTTGGGATGCTTTTGATTATCTACCACGTCGATTGGTCAGACCTTTCGACTTTCGAGCATGCGATTCCTTTTGAAATGTACTTCTAGCACATACAATCACAATACCACGTACTATACTGAATATATTTCTGGTACTAGGTATTGCTTCATTCAAGGTTGGCTACTGGAACTTTAGAACTTTGGAACTTCCAGGTTTCCAAGGTTGGAATGTACGCCGCAGATCGACCCGGAAAAAGCAAAAGCTGTACCTGCATTGGATTTGAGAGGGAGTCTAGCCCTGGAGGTATAAGTGGATATATGTACACAAGAAAAGATCCGCTAGAGCAACTGTCGGAGCTCGCCGACAAGTATAAAAGGGAGCATTTACAGCTTAGCCTTCTGGCCAGCGCGACCAACAGTGCACTTGATAAGACCGTTGGGGTTTGACTGGGGCGCATAAACCTCGGCATCCTTGCCGGTGTTCTTGAGGCCCTTGTGCCAGCTGAGATCTATAAACGCAGCAATTAGTCCCGGTCCGATGATTCTGAATGTTTGAAAGGGAAAGGAGAGGGTCAGAACATACCAACTTCGAAATAGTGGTTATTGGGCAGCGCATACTCAACAGTCTGGACGAGAGGTGCGGCGGCAAGAATCAAATCCGCCATCTTGTACATAGTCGCCTGGACAGAGGCGCTGTTATCCTCCGCGAAGGTCTTGAGAGTAATTGCGCGCGCAGCATCGTAGGCAGCATTGAACTTCTCGAAGTGAGCCTGCACCTCAGGGAGGCCTGTGAAGCGGCGCCATTGCCAGTTGGCTGCGACATCGGTGCTGAGGATGCGATCCCAGGTCTCCTTGAGGGTGGTGTACTCGTCGCGGAGGAAGCCCCAGAATTGGGAGCCGGTGCTCTTCAGCACGGTCAGACCCTTGATGGAGGAGTTGATATCGATGCCCTTGCCCTCGATGACGTCGACTTGGACGTCGCGAGTCTCTGCGCCGGGCTTGACGAATGAGTGTGCGTGCGGCTTGCCGTCGACTTCCATGCGCTCCCAGCGGTGGGTCACGATGTTGACGTGCGCCGCATGGATGTGGCTGTACTTCTCGACGAAGTGTGTGCCCAGAATGGAACCGAACAGCTCTGGAGGAGTGACGGGGTGCTGCTTGGCTGTGATGTAAATGGTGTTCTTGATAGAGTCTGTTGCGACGACAACGCTGTTATCGGCCTTGGTGTAGCTATCGGGCACTTAGGTTAGTTGCGGCACTGGGCGATCTGAATGTTGGATCTTACGAGGTCTCGATGTCGCCCTCCAGGAGGACACAGACGGTCATTTCGACCACAGTCTGGGTACCGGTCTTCTCGTCCCGGTGCACCTTGTAGACGCGGACATTGTCCTTGCCGTAGCGGGCAGCAGCCAAAGAACTCATGATGAAGATGTAAGTAATGTGAGTTATGGAAATAGAGAAGTGGATTAGAAAAGAAATTTCGATTGCTATCAGTCTTATTTATGTGAAATACGTAGAGTAGAGAGGCATCGGGCACCTCCGATGGCCGCGGGTGGCCGCCACTACGCAAATCCCGATCTTATCGCTTTCGTCTGCCCTGCGCGTACTAGTGAAGGTATGGCCTGACTTCCTCCGCTCTTGGAACAGGCTAGACTTGGCAGACAATCTATCCTATCCACCGTAAGCTTGCAAGCTTGTCGCGACCTTCTCTTCCCCAGACTTCGGAAAATGAGCCGCAGTGGAGATCGCTGCAGGCAAGAATTCTCCGGCGTCCGAACTTCCGACGCCCGAGGGCTTCACGCAAATCCCGTATGGGCTGATTGTCGTCTTGACAACTCCACAGCCCGGCGACCTCCACCACGGAGAGTCGCGGTCAGCTCTATCAATAACTCGGCTTAGTCGGACGCCCAGCCTCGTCGTCGTACAGCGCGGGGGGAATGTCATCTACAACGACTCCTTTCTGGGTTTGAGATTTCCGGCTTTCTTTGTTTGGTGTATACTTACTGCAACCCCGGGCAGCTTCCAAGGGTGATCGTCTTGTGCAGTGTGTCATTCTGCCTATGGCCCTGCTTCCATGCTTCCAAGGGGGAATGTTGAACATTGTCATTTCATCATGCTAGGCTAGGGGGAACACCAACGCCAAATCCAGGGTCTTGTTCCCTTTATTCACGACAAATCCGTAATTTCAACGTGTTCAAAATCAATGGAAAGCGAAAGAGCCCCAATACACATGGAAAACACGACCCGACACGCTGAAAATGCGTGGCCTGCGCATCGGGCCACAGCATATATAGGTTTCAACCACAACCCCTCTGGCGTCTGCATGCTACTTGACCGGGCGTGTCCCTTGGCGAATTGCAGTACGACCCGAGACATCTCATGGGATCAGCCGCTCGTCACGTTGTGCAGACTTGTGAGCAGGATACGGCCAAACCAGAGTCAGAGGGGTATATGGGATTTACGAGGGTATCGTGGTATAGCTAGTCAATGTCACTGGAACAACAAATGGAGACGTTGTCGGGTCCAATAAAGTGCACAAATCCAATATCGTAACCTTGGAATTAGCGAAAGAGCCCCTGGCATGATCCGTGTCAGAGGGGACTCTGTTATTCAGCGCAAGCATACTAAGCAGGGAAGCTGAGTATAAGAAAGCTACCAAAGAGGCTTGCCAAGAAGCCCGATCTCTGGTTTGAATGGAAATCCTCGAATCGGAGGCTGAGGCTAGTGCCATGCTTGCAACGTCGATCTGACGAAGTTTGTATGCCGTGCACCAGTCGCAAGCCCTCCGTCGTATAAATCCTGGCTACGACTGGCGATTGGGTGCGGAAGGTAAGTGTAGAAAGCGGAGGTCGGGCGTTGACTTGCCGCGCCCTCAAAAAGAATGGGATGACGAGAGGATTCTTTGTTTAACAAAGAGCTTCCACCTGCCTACCTCGGTATTGGAAGTGAGATCTAGAATCTGTTTAGTTCCACCTCTTTTCTTAAAAGATCGAGCGTCAACTCGCACCCGCGGAAGTCTGTATTTCTTTCGAGTTGGAGTTAGCCTGGACGCATTGCCGCCGGTCTCATTTCTGATATGACGATGAACACGTGCGATTTGAAAAGGTTCAAGAGGACAAGGAGCAAGAGACGGCCCTGGCTCTTGAACATACGGTCCTCGACAAGCTTCATTGTCGCAGCTGTCTGGATGTCCACCTTCACGGTATGTGAGAGTCCCGTGGCGTATGCGCATCGCTGACTCCTGCTTGAATCCATTAGGAATTTTTGCTTTATGCCATGGTGAGTCCGATATATTTTCTCGGAGATTGAGAACTGAGATCAAGGTTTGACAGATAGTCCCCGTCATGCCAACGGCGCTCATGACTCGAGCAGGGGTCGAGTATGAACACAGTACGTGTTCTAAAAAGTGTGTTCGTCACTCGCACTAAAACTTTGATCAGGGGAATATTGGGTCAGTGTTCTCCTCATGTCTGAGGCGGGCACGTCTTTATTGATGTGTCCCATATTCGGATACTTGGTGGACCGCGGCCGAACACGCCGACTCCCATTTATCGCAGCCCTGGTAGTACTGACTGCGTGTATGATTATCTTGCAACTAGCGCGTTCGATAGCCGCATTTGTCGTTGCACGTTTGCTCCAGGGAATTGCCGGCGCACTGGTAGTGGTAGCGGCGTTTGCTCTCATCGGCGATGCGGTACCACAGGAGCGCCTTGGCCAAACGATCGGATATTTGGGGTCCGCAATCGCCTCAGGGTTCCTGCTCGGCCCATTTCTTGGAGGTGTTGTGTACAACTCTGGCGGATATAATGCGGTGTTTTGGTTTGCATATCCCATTCTCGCACTTGACATGATCATGCGGCTGGTCTTGGTTGAGAAAAAAGTTGCCGCCCAATGGTCTCAATCAAGTGAAGATCTGGAGTCGGATCTGGAAACGGATGCGCGCATTGCAGCAGCTCAAACGCCTCAAACACCACAGCTGCAACCGCGGAGAAAGAGAGGCCTCGTAATGTTCCGAATGCTCAAGCAGCGGCGAGTGTTGATCTCGTCGTGGGCACTGCTGGTCCAGGGTCTTTTGCTCTCTGCTTTCGATGCGGTATGTGGCCATTATAACTCTGAGAGGATGACTGGCTGACAATGCTGCTTAGACACTGCCCATTTACGTTGAGACGACGTTCGGTTGGAACGCGCTCGGGATGGGGTTAATATTCCTGCCGATGGCGGTCCCGGCTTTCTTCGAGCCTCTATTCGGCTTCATCACCGACCGAATTGGCGCACGATTCATCTCCTTTGCTTGCTTTGTTCTCCTGATCCCATCACTTATCTGTCTTCGGTTTGTCGGACATCATTCTAACGCACAGATCGCTCTATTGGTCTGCTTGCTGTTCCTCACTGGAGTGTTCATCCACGCCTGTGCACCCGCGATGTATGTTGAGACCCAGCAAGCGCTCACGACCATGGAAATCAACAGTCCCGGAATCCTTGGCCCCAAAGGTGCGGTGGCGCAGGGGTTCGGCCTGCAGAGCATGTGCCAGTTCGCGGGGGTTTTCCTGGGACCTCTCTGGGGCGGGTTTGTGGAGTACCGGTTTGGGTGGGGCGCCATGACGGCGTCTTTGGGGGTTTTGGTGGCCCTCACGGCGATGCCGATGTTATGGCTGGGAGAGAGTGATATGGAGAGAGAGAATGAGGCAGAGAGGAGAGACATAAGGTAGAAGAAGAGGGATGGTTACGCAAAGCAGGCAACACCTTTTCTCATTTCCCGTTGTATTTCGCCTGGACCATCCCAATCGGGCAACTCGAATGTTCTCTATCGATTACCTTCTTTCGTCACTCTTCACTTTCACCTCATCGGTCGATCTCCATCTATTCACCATCTTTGTCTTCGCGCTCTCGATTGATTTCGCAGGCATAAAAGCCTCTGTCTTCGCTCTTTTTTACTATTCACAATTCACCGTGGACATCTACTGTACTGTAAGTATACTCCCCGAGGTCCATGATTCCTGCGTCACACCTCAAATAAAACAATTCTGACTCAACAAACAGAGCACCCGTGGACGGCTTGACATCAATTGATCAAACCCTCAAGCATCCAACTCTCAACCCCCAACCCCACCTTCACCACAATGCCTCCAACCAACAAGACCTGGCATATCAAGCACCGCGAGGAGCTCAACATGGACCAGAACAAAGAGTTCATCTGTCCCTCAGAAACATCCCCTCACATCGCGACACTACTCAGTTTCCCCTCCGCCCGATCAACCCTCCCAGAGCTCCACCTCAAGACCCGAAATGAGATCATCAGCCTCGCGACCACAATCGCGGAATTCGAACCCGTCCGTCTCCACGCCAGACCAGAAGACCTACCCAGCGCAGAATCAATGCTAGCAGAGCGCAAATCCTCAATCCCAGAGTCCCATCTAGCAAATATTACTCTAGTCGCTGCACCAACCAACCACTGCTGGATCCGCGATACAGGACCCGTGTACGTGCGCAGCGCAGACGAAACAGACACTACGCGCTACGCCATCGATTTCCAATTCTGCGAATGGGGTCACAAGACCACTGAGCGGATTTACGGATCCGATCATTCCCCTGCAGCAGCAGAGGCAGTCGAAAACTCACCCCAGTACGCTGACTGGCCTGTCATGGACGTGGCGGCGCAGATTGAGAACACGGCCTTTGCAGCTTCTGTTCTGGAACTCGAGAATGCGTCCGGGGTCTCTGTCACGCGCGTGCAAACGCATCTCAAGCTCGAGGGGGGCGGAATTGAAGTTGACGGTGAGGGCACGTTCATGGCTACGGAGAGTAGCATTATTGGAGATGCGCGCAACCCTGGTTTTGGAAAGGCTGATATCGAGGCTGAGTTGAGGAGACTATTGGGAGTGAGCGCTTTCGTGTGGTTCCCTGGTCGGATTGGGCTTGATGTTACGGATGTGCATATTGATGCGGAGGCGAGGTTCATTCGGCCTGGAGTTGTGGTGGTTTGTCGTCCTCATGACGAGGCTGAGAAGGTTCACTGGGACATTTATCGGGAGATAAGGGATGTTCTAGAGAAGTCTATGGATGCACGTGGACGCAGGTTCGAGGTTCATGATGTTGTGGAACCGGATCCCAGGCTGGTGAAGGGTGATCTTCCTGGTGAGGAGGTGGCGCCGGCGGCTTCGTATGTCAACTTTTACTTTGCGAATGGGGGCTTGGTGATGCCTGCTTTTGGGGATGTGGCGGCGGATACGGCGGCTTTTGAGTTGATCAAGAGCCTTGTGCCCGACAGAGAGGTGAGGCAGGTTGATGTCAATGCTTTGCCGAGGACCGGGGGTGTCCTGCATTGTGTCACGCAGCAGATTATGTGAGTCATAGTGTTTCATAGGGAAACACAGCCTTCCAAGATTCGATATTCTTGTCTGTAAGGAGCCTGCCCGGGTGCTATCTAGATATAAAGTAGAGATGGCCAAACCCCCAGGGCTCCAAACACAACAACACCATAGCCAAAGGCTCTGATACTTGTTCATTATCACATGAAGGGTAGACATCTTTCACGTATTCGGAACAGCATGTGAGATTCATAGCATACTATCCAACATGAATGAGAAGTCCACATATTGGGCAAATGTATGCCCAAGACAAGAGACAAATAGAGCGGAGAGTGTGGGATTCGAGCCAAACCCGCAATCCAACAACATGAGCTGTATATCTTTTCTAAGACACCCTTTGTACGAACAAAACAGAACTTCCCTCGGATCTCCGAGAAAACATCAATCCAAAAAAACGCCCCAACAACCCCCGTAAATGCCACGCGCCAAGAGAAAGAAAAAAAAAAAAAAAATGAACATCAATCATAAACAGGCCCGGATCCCACTCCGAACCCTCAACGTAAAGAGCAGAAAGATCCCAGTCTATAGACTCAACTGGTCAATACTCCCTACTCTCCCGGAACCGCCGAGCCGACCACCCCCCTTGGTGACCATGCCTAGACGGTAGAAGCGCTCTTCGCCGGCCGGCGTGCGACCACCAATATACCACTTCTCAGGACCGATGGCATCTCGGAATCCACCAGACCCACTGGAGGAGTCACTTCCGCGGCGCTGACGATCAGCGGGGCCCCTGTTGATCGGGATGGGGTTTGATGCGGATGTGGGTGGGGAGGATTCAGCGTGGTAGTGGTTTTGTTGGACGCCGGTCTGTGTGGATGGATGTGTGTGTTGAGTCGCTGTGGAGGCTGAGGCTGAGGCTGAAGAGTTGGAGGTCGAGGTGGTGGATTTTGATGCGATGGCGCGGCTGGAGATTTGTGGAGAGATGGTTCCTACTTGTTGGACCTGGGTGGATTTGTAGGTTGATTGGGCGCGGAATGCAGCGAGGAAGTTGGAGAGGAATGGTCTGTTGCTAGACATATTGGTCGACATGGCGGAGTCTGGAGTCTGGAGTCTGGGGAAGAGAAGGAAGATATGTGAGATCCCGATGTTAACCTTGGGAGTTGCCGATGCCGGAGTTGCTCCAATCAGAGGCGGTGGATTATGGACATGACGTTGCGAAAGGGTGTTCCCGGTTCCTTTTCTCCGGTTCCCCGCAGTGCTGTTTATAAGTATAGAGTAGAGTATACAGAGTAGAGTACGCTCCTGGTCAATCGTAAGTCTATTTCTAGCTGCTTTTCCAGTAAACCCTCGAAACACCCTAAATCACATCCCAGAAGCACACATATGTTTGTGCCATGCCAACTTTACAGAGGCCATGCAATGCACACACCCAAACAAAAGGAAAAAAAGGGGAAAAGGCAGGAAAAGAACGAACAAGGAGAAAATAATAAAAGCACAAGGTAAGAACTGCAAATAAAGAATCTCGACTGCAGCCCTCCCAGGAAAGATGCTTTTAGTCGGAACTCGCATAAAAAGATGAACACATGCCCATGTCTATAGTGTGGACGCCGAACAAACCACCCGCCATACCATCTGCCCCTCGAGGGTCGGATACACGATGAAATCAAGTCTCGCACTGTTTAAGAATATCACACCCACACCGGATGGGATCAGAAGAAGAAAAGAAATTGATCAAAGACATATTGAAACAAAGCCGGATAAGAGAGGTCGACATAAGACGCCGGCTCGGAGGAGCAGATCAGACTGGCGCAGGCGAGTCTTGGTGAGACATCACCCACAGGGGATTGGTCCAGCAGAGCAGCTATGGACGCGGGCCTAGAAACACTTGAAGAGGGGGCGGAGAACAATAGTCCTACCCCCGGCGTGCATCGGAAAAGAGTGAAGAGAAAAAAAACCTTGTCAGATTATCTTATCATGCAGAGTCGCTTTTTTAATCTCGTGTCTCGTAGTTCATCTGGCTTTCTGATCGAATCCGTTTACTGTCTCGCGGGCTGCACGGTGCCTAGAATGGAGGTGGTTAGGATGACAGGGAGCAGGAAACTGGACGAAACGAGAACTCACCATCGCCGCTCAGCGTGTTCGAAGCGAGGTACAGTCCGTTCATACCGCTCTCCGGGCCGGTGGAGGCAGGGTAGAACTTGCGGTCGTGGTCAACGGGGGCGTGGATCGGTTCCTGGCCGGCGGCCATGGAGTGGGGGAAAACGGGGTTGATGTAACCGTCGGAGGGACCGTGCTGAAACACCGAATTCCAGTCAACACCCGGCTGATGTGAAGGGGGGCCATGCATAACCGGCTTGTGGTCAAGGGGGACCAGGGGCTTTACCTGTTCGATAGGACGATCAACCGTCAGCTGCTGGCCATGGGCATCGACACCAGGCTGCATGAGATACGGATTCTGCTTGGGTCCAGCCATCCACGAGGCTCTCGCGTGCGCCTGGCCAGCGGAGAACGCGTCATCGCCAGGACGACCGTTCATACCGTTGACCGGCTGCATCGCAAAGCTTAGCGGCTGCTGCTCCGTGTAGCCTGGGCGGCCATTGGCCATCCCATTGCCATTCACGGCCCCATCGAATTGCGTACCCATAACGCCATTGGAGTGGGGGACAGGGTTACTGACTTCATCCTGAAGCGGCTTGGGGTTTGCCGCGGCAGCCGCAGCTGCTTGCTGCTGAGACCTCTTCAGATGGGCCTGAGGGTGTGACAAGTGAGTCGCACCGGTGGGGTTACCACGTCGGATCGAGCACTTCTGGAAGTGGCGCTTCAAGATATCACTGCGCGAGAAGGTATCCTTGCAGAGAACACACATGTAGGGGCGGTCACCGGTGTCTGTGGGAAAGGCGCCGAGAAAGACGCGTCGATTAGCAAATTGCGGCTTGAACAGGCAGTAGAAAACTCTGCTCCACAAAAATTGATTGCTTCAAACTCACGTCTCAGGAGATGGCGCTTCAAGTGCTTCGCGTGAAGGTAAGTCTTATTGCAGTGGGGGCAGGGGAATTTGCCATCCGCGTCCTTGGCGGGGATGGTGGTGCTCTTCGCGGTGCCATTGACTCCGTTGGTGACCGGAGTCGCGCGGCCCGGGACACTCGGCAGGATGCCACGGCGGCCCTGAGAGCCCACGACCTGCGTGCGTGGCTGTTCCTTCGCGTAGGGGGAGCCATTCGCGCCGTTCACATCAGGAGTCATACCCCAACCCTTAGTACCATCGGAGTAACTGAAAGCACCCGAGGGCAGGCCATTGTAATCCGGGCGGCGGTCGCGTGGGGGTGCCGGGGCGATAGGCTGGGGGTAGCTCTGAGCGGTGGATGCGGGCGGAAGCACGCTCGGAGGAGGTGGGGGGTACTGCTGGTGCGCCTGTGTTTGAGGGTTAGGAAGGTTCAACATAGACGATGGCGGAAGGCTACCGACAGTCGTGTGCGGCATCATAGGGGCCTGGGAGGCCCCGTAGACATCGTGAGTTGACGGAGGGTACCGCGACAGATCGGGCCGGTACGGCTGGCCCATGTAGTGATGAGGCGCGGGCGACTGAGCGTGGTGAGGCTGGAGGGGAGGCAGGGTATGCGGTTGGGAGACCGGATACTGCGGCTGCATCGAGTATTGTGGCATGTGCATGCTCGAGATGGGAGTCGAAGACATGGGCGTGGAGCCTGGAGGCAGACTGTTGGTGGAGGGAGGTCGGGAAGGGTGAGATCTGGGATCCATTGTGGCAGAGGGAGAAGATCGGTAGGAAGAACGGAAGTTGTTCACGGTAACTCAATCATCGAACTTTTGAAAGGAAATCTGCGCGCTCTCTTCTCGTGAAGTTTTTTTTTTTTTCTCGGTTTTTTTTTTCTTCTCCAAGCCAAGGCGTAGCTCCTTGTTTGACGAAATTTTCCCGAGGTAGTAACGGCGACGGTCACCAATTCACTTGCTCCACACGACGAAGGCAGAGAGGAAGGGAGAAAGAAGAATGCTTAATTGAGAGAGATTCCCCACGGTCACCCACCAGAGAATAATGTGATGATTTATCCGTACCGCACGTTGTGAGCGTCGATGGTTCTGTATCCACCGAAGAAGCGGGCGTGCAAGTGGGTCTCTCGCAGAAAACAACTAGTCCGAGATCTGCTTCGCGTCAAGGGTGTGATCTCAATTCAGAACGAATAGTCGCGATCCGACAAAGAAATTGGAATGGGGGGAGACACAAGAAAAGAAAGGAAAGGCGGAAGACCGGGTTTGAGTGAAATGGAAAAGACGATCGTTCGGGGAGGCAAGAGGCGAGGGAAAAATGGCTGTGTAAAAAAAAAAAAATGCGAAGAGCGAAAATTACCCAATATTGGAGTGTATGGTCATTTTGGTGTATTGAAATTTCCCTAATTTTGATTTTCGGTTTTTATTTTTTTCAATTTTTGGCTTTTCGCGGCCGTCCTCCGAACTCAACCCGATAGCGGTACAGTGTTTTCTTATTACTGATTACTTGATGAGTTGCTTAGTTTGTTAGCCTCCTAGTCGCGAATATTAAGTGAGCTTGCTCGGATAGGAAGTGGTAGATCGGAATTGGCGCACAACGCAACCGGACATCTCATATTTACCTACGCGTCCGGCGATGACGTTGTGTCCGGATAATAATAATGTCCCGAGACCAATTGAACTACGGCATATACAGTACAGTAGTAGAGGATTAGTGCTGTGGACAGAATGCCAGGTTCCCGTGCTATCAGATCGATACCTGGAGAATATGGAGAAAATGGAGAAAATGGAGCATCTGTATACATCTGTACGGTGTACGGAGTACAAAGAACTGCAAAACTGCATGACCATGCTGCATTCAGGATACTGAGTCAGATGCCTCCGATCGCGGCGGTTACCGGAAATTTAATAAACTCTGAACGACCAAAAATGTGCCAGGCAGAACGTCGATTCAGGAGTCCTTGCGGGTTTGATATGTGAGAACTGATCTGACTTGGAGATGGAACCCCAAGTGGATTATGACCCTGACGCTCCAGCGGGCTCCCATGTTGGGCTCCGCGGTGGCTGACAGGCCCCGCAAGTGACAGCGATCTAACCTCGCCAGATCCCCAGAACGTGCCAACAAAGTACGGACTCGTGAGGATGCGTTTGAACAATTGAACATTGCTGACACTCGCGTCCTCCGGTTTCTGCCTTCTCGCTAAGCACGTCATCTCGCGGTCCGAGGTGAGGCCCGTCACATCGAGCTCCGTGATAGCAGGCGTCATGCATCCTCCAACCCCTCACACTTGCATGCAGGCCGGGAAGGACATGGCACATCTCCCAGGGTGGCTGGTTCTCAGGCCGCCTGGCGATGGCCGGACTTCGGTAACGGCGATGCATTGTTGCCCTACATACTCCGCTGCTTGGTGCGCCGTAGCCGCCTCCTGTTCCCGCGGTCGAGGTCCGTAGTTTCACCGATGAAACACAAGCACTAAGCTTGTCCATCCATAGGCTAAATCTGATTCCCCCCTGCCGTTGCCGTCTGGAAATATTCCTATTGCCCAGGAATGCTCTAGACGGATTTGGCATTCAGGGGTGCCCCCTATTGGACGTCTGGCTACCTCCCGTGGTCTGACACAGGCGGTTCGCGTCCTCGTACTTTGGCGCATGAGATCTCGACCGAGTCCCATTAGTAACACTTAGAGTTTCAGATCCGACTACGTGGTCTGAGGGGTTGGTCAACAGCCGATCTGATACGGAAATACGGCACGAACTTGGAAAGTGCATGGTGCCTAGATGAAGAGAACAAACCTTGAGATATGCACTGATTTTCGCCTATACATGTACGGAAGTATCTTGTACGGAGATGATCTGTATTCCGGTCCTAACATCCCTGCCCCTCCTTCTCCACCCCTTCGCAAGAGCTTCTCCCGCTTCGATTGTGGACCTGAAAGGCTTCGACCAGGGTTCTGCAGAAATATTGATCTGACCACCTGATCTCACCCATTTTTTTTATATTTTCAGATTATTATCAATATAATCAATATTAATGCCCTCAATGTGATGCCCGTAGCCGAATTCCGCCAAGGGGTGAGAATGAATCCGATTCGAAGCTACGACGTAAAAGGCAGGCCACTCGCTCGCGCGACCTTCCACTTTGTCTCACCTCGGTATGCGTACGGGTACGAGTGTGATAAGTACAGGTACCGATGTGTTCATACTGTGTATCACGCGCCGAAAAGTACAGCGACTAGGGGCGGATGTACCATTTCAGTAAAAATAAATTGGCTGCAGATACTTCGCGCACCATTCCAGGAACCCATTGGTTTTGGTGGCTTGAGCTGGCTCTAAAAAGCGTGAACGCGGTGTGGTTTATGACCTCCAGGACCTAGTCAAGTGCAAAATACCTCGACTCGGCATCAAAGCCGGGAATTGAGACCCCACTTCATTCCCCGAATTGGTTCGCAAAGTACGGTGAGGCTTTTACCGTCTCTGAATTTTGGATCCGATCAGGGGCTGTCAGGTCGGATTTTGGCAGAGAGAGTCAGGTACCGACGCTATTGCTGGTCCAGCACTGAGCGGCGTCGCGCGAACAACTGTATACTATACAGGACAAAGGTGCTTTCTTTTTCCAGGCGAAAGCTTGGCCTCTGAGTCGATTTACAGGGAAACCCACTGCCGACAGCGATGGGGCCCGCCAATAAGGCTAAATTTTACATTTGCTTAGGTACACCACACGACTCCGTAGCAGGTTCCGGATAGGAGAAAAACATGCTCCGTAGCGCGCGCAAGATCGCGTAGATCCCGCCCCAGTCCCCATCGCTGCCGAACTGGTAGGATCTCACGTGTTTTCAGGGAATTCACAGAGCACAAATATAGCGAGTCCTAAAAGGAAATTGGAGAAGTGTAATAATAGTAACAGAACTCCGACGTGGTCAATATGATCTATATCCGGTCCTACCCAAAGCCATCGTCAACATCCGAAAGGCAGCCCGGCACAGGCCGGAAACACCGCTAGAGCCAAGTCCGGATCGCCGAGTTTCAGAACGCAATGCAGCCAATCAGAGGGGCGCGCGGACTCCAGTGAGAGGATCGTGCCGCCACCGACCTCATAGGCTGCCGATTCCTGTGGTCGAGGCCCGGAGGGGAGTAGCGTTCTTTCGCAAGGTCCCTCGGAGATCGTGAGTAACTGGTATGGTATTTGAGGTAGTATTGCAAAAAGAGAGTTTGAGTACTCCATCTTCTCCAGGTTCCCATGTGTTCTGTGGATCGAATATGGGTATGGGCTATGGAGACTGTGGCTACTGACAGTTCAGGAACGCGTAGGGTACTCTATGCACATACTACGATATTCTGTTCACTTGGCCCTGAGAAATCGCAATTACTGTAGCCTTGGGAAACATCAGTCTGTACCGAGGTTTTCATCTCCGCCACGTCATTGGTTTCGGATGAGGATTGGAAGTCTGATTCGCCTATCCTTTTAACGCTGGCCACCCTCGCTACCATGGAGTGTTGATAGCCTCTCTGCTGTCCGTCAATTGACCATGGTACCATTGACTTGGCTGGTTGCAGTGTACAATGAGCTGCGAATCCATGAATCATCGTACAGTATAAAAACATTATGCACAATACAGATGCGTTTTTTTCGGGGGTAAAAAGGCAAAATGGGACCCGATTCGGCACGTACGGTATTGTAAACTCGGCTCCCCCCCGACTCCAAAACAGCCACTTGGCACCTTTGGCGATTTCCATTCAAACATGGTACTGACCGCCAATCCTGCTATTCTTTGGGCATGGAGTGCTACCTAAGATGATACAAGTACGAATCTCACAGTACGGGACAGTTCAGAGGCCAACGGGCAGCGCATTCCTTCTGATGCAAATGTTGCCGATCTCCGACTGTTCCTGATGCAATCCCATCTCGGCAGTCCACTCGCAGCCCCTGACAGTGACGATCGGGACTGCGCGCAACAAGCGACCGCGGGACCAACCCGCGTTAGAGCGCGTTCGACGCATGATTCTTCTTGGGTGAGAATGGCAAAGTCGGCAAACGTGGTTGGACCGTTGCAGATGGAGATTTTAGAATTTTTTCAACACACTTTGACTTTCGCTGATGACTATCGTGGCGTATAGACTTTGGATACGAATGCTACTATCAAACACTAAAAGAGTAGCTGGAAATGTACATCCGGAAATCAGGGTAGCGTGGTGGGCCGGTGTACTCCGTAGGCCCTCGTGGAAAGGGGTGGGTGCCCATCTGGAGTCAGATTAAGCATATCTCTGTCCCTTTGTTTTTTCTCCGTGGCATCCATGTCCAGTGTCCACCAGCACCGGTGGGGTCTCAGGGGTTGGTGGATCTGGAGGAACCTCCCCGGGGATCCCAGCGCAAGGTACGGATTCCTCGTTGTACAGGGTACTTGGCGGGGGAACCGCATTCTAAGGCCGGACACTGCTGGTGCAAGGGACTTGGACGCGTCGGTTTCATTTACCAGTCTGATTTTTGGGGCTTCCGACTCTCAATGGTTAACAGGCTTCTTTGGTGGCAGTGCGTACTACTAGTAGGCTTCTATGCCGTCCCGAGTACCAAGTACAGAGTACCTTTTACAACGCTGGAAGCGATCAGCGATTTGCATCATTCCGAGGTTCTTCTGCAAGGTATCTCTTCTGCATGTCAATTCACGCTGTATGCGACATCCACAGCACTCTGTATGCGAACTGCTTTTCTATTACATTTTAACTTTCTACGTACTTTTCAGTTATTCACGCTTCTCACTCCCTCTCTCGTTCAGGGGTAGCGGCTGTGTGCAGCCATTAGATGCAACCATTGGCAAAGTTCATGCTGTTCCAAGGGCTTTCCGTCATATTGCTTTAACGTTTCTTTGGCAGGGTGAATTTAAACTTCCAAGTGATGATTTCACCAATTGCCAAATGCGATCTCGTATGGTCCCGCATGCAGCCTTATGTTACGCATCTGGATCTGGATCTGGTGGACCTCGGGAGCAGTGGGCTTGCTCCATTGCGTCGAGCTCTCACAGCCCCAAATTCAAGCCAGGAGGGGCGCTGGGTCGAGACCCATGTGGCTGCTGTCAGATTGATCCATATTTATGGACCCAGTTGGATGCCTTGCTTACATGCATATGGCGAATTCCACGGCTTTATGTCCATTATGGGGAAGACGCCCTAAATATGCGCGCCCAGCTTGGATGAATCAAAGTGAGAGCTGCCATCATTGATCAACTAATTGTTACTTCAGGTTTTACATATATTACCTATGTAGAGTCCAACCTCTCGATTAGACCGTATGAACGCCAACCTCTCTAGGTAAGCCTAGCATATTTAGCGAATTAGATAGGGTTATCTGGATCATCCGACTTGCGAGCAATGGCACTCGTCTCCGTTTCTTGCCGCTCAGGCTCAATCCCCTCGCTGACGATGGGCTCTTGCGCGATGCCATGAATTGCATGCTCGACATTGACCACGGGGCCAGTGAACCAGCGATGCGCATCTATGAGCCACCAAACTGTGACAGCCAGCATCGGCGCGCCCCAAACAAGACAGGTCCAGTTCATCAAATCCGGTGTCAGATTCCCCCCGGTCACACTAGGCAGACATAAGATTGGCACCATCAAAAACACAAAGGAGACTCCTATGCCACCAATGTACGGCCCAAACGGCCCAAGGTGCCAGGGACCCTTGCGGAATCTGTCTCCAACAAAGAACACCCGAATAGTAATCGGGATGGCAAAAGCGAAGAACTGGGCAATTGCACCAATTGAAAATAGAGCACCAATAGCAACCTCACCAGCAAGAATAAGCAAACACATCAGAATCCCTAGCACGGCATTCAAAATTACCGCATTAACAGGCGTCTGCGTACGCGGATTCACCTGCTTCCAGTACCTCGACAACGGGAAGCATTCGTCACGCGCGTACGCATACGTAACTCTCGACGCAGCCACCATACAGCCCTGGCCCATCGAGAACCCACAAACGATCGTGAGTCCCAAAATAGCAATCGCGGTCTTCTGCGGCATGACCTGTAGCAGATACGAAGCCCAGGGTTGGCCTAGCTCAGAATCAATCACAGCCTCGATGTCGAGAACCGTGTATGCGACTACTAGTTGTAGGAACCAGCCCATTAGTCCGCCCACGCCGGATGTGAGAACGATTGCGCGTGGGGAGGCGATGTTCGCATTCGAGCACTCTTCGCTCAGGTGGAAGGGCGAGTCGTAGCCTGACATTGTCCAAATCACGCCGACGAAGGTCATTAGGACGGCGACGCCGTCGGGGAAGTCGGTTAGGTTGGTTATGTGGCCCCAGACCTCTTTGCTTGATGTGAATTTGGGGGTATTCTTGGTGTTGGCTGGTATAAGGATCAGTACGGTGATGAGTGCGATGAAGTTGAATGTTGAGCCCCAGGAGTTGAATTGCGCCACACGTTTTGTCGGCATGCTGCTGATTCCTGCATGTAGGATCATTATAAGTGTGGTGAGGAGGAAGGTCTGCCATGTTGTTGGGACATAGTTTGGGTTGTTGATGGAGACGGCTGCTAATATCATTGCGCTCAAGGCGTAGTCGACAGATGGTGCTGCTGTAATCTGACCAATCCAGTTCGACCAACCAGTGATCCAAGCAGCGAAAGGTCCGTATCCAGGTGGCGCAAGAACTGCTGCAGCGTAGTAGAGTCCGCCACTATATAACATGTCCAAGTCAGCCCGGATTTGGAGACTTTGTTCTCGCCATTATGGACATGGGATCCGAACCTCGTGGGCATTGCTGAGCATAGCTCCGCCATAGACATTGCAATGCATTGAATGAAGATCATGGCGATTATCCAACCCCAGACCATACCTGCCGTTCCTGCATATCCCATTCCTTCGGCGGTATCAGCATCCGGGACTAGGCGCGTGTTCACAGACAGGTATTAGGGCTTACCATAGTAGAGTGTACTTGCAAACGATGGCAGCAGACCCAAAACCGCGAAGCTAACACAGAAGGTAGTCCAAAGTGAGAACTCGCGCTTGAATTCCTGCTTATACCCCAAGGCTGTGATCACCCTCTCATCTGCATCCATATCATGGTCCGTGTACGGCACATCGCCATCCGGAAGCACAGATGTGACCTGCGCATGGTCTACTCGGTTGTGGGGCTTGGAGAAGCCCGAAACTGATGACTTCGTTTCCAAGCTTGCACCCATGGCTGGGAAAATGAAGTGATGTCGCCTGGCTCGGCAGTGCCTAGGTGGATGAGATATATATTGGACTAACCAAACGGGACAGCCAACATGTAAGGGGCCAAGCAACAAATATGTATGGTTTGAATCTCAGCACTAGACCGACAATCGAGGGGCTCTTAAGTTATCATATAAAGTCAACGGTAGCTACGGAATTACCTAGGTAATCGTCCTGCCTGCGCCATCTGCCATAGGGTAGCAGCACGTTATCTTGACATCCTGCAGGTGGCGTTCTGCCCCGCGCACCGATGATCGTGCAAGCTACTATCCGAATGGGCCACTAAGTATGAACCTTGTAATCGTCCAGTTCGCATCTTGTATCTCCATCGAGGACGAATACGAAACACCATACCGAGCCGTTCGGGGCATAAAGAGCACGAATGAGGGGAACTTCCCAGAGCTAATCTCAGCCCGCCAGGATGCAAAGCAGCCCGGGACTGATAAGAGCAAATGAGAAGTCCCGGAAAGACGGTTCAAGATGATAGGCTCGACAGCGAAATGTGAAATCCAACGCGTTGCCCCAGGATGCCCCGCTAACCCGCTAACCCGCCGATTCGCAGACGCACAGGGAGTAACACAGGGCTCAGATGATCTATGGCACAGATCCAGTCCCAGCAGGGAAGTTCCAGGCGTCAAAAGTGCACGTGCGAGAGAGCTTAGCGTGTTCCTCTGTCACTCAGTCACTTTGCTCCTATTACGCTTATCATGAAGATGATAAGCGTTGATAACCACCTGGAGAGGGCCCCGGCAAGAGGACTCGAGCTACGCTAATCAATATAGTATACCTAGGTACGAGTTGTTCCATCTAAATTGATGTGAATGCTCTTTTCGTCCACGGTTTGATATCGCTGTCGGGCCGGTCTTGGAAGAGGCCGAGGCATATTTGGACCCGTGGACAGTTTAGACTCAACGTCTGGATTGCAGACCCGAATCTTTGAGGTTTCCAGGCCACTTCCAAGGTTGCAAGACATGATGCAGCGGAGACAACCTTGTTGCTTTGACGTATCTTTCATGCGCAATACCAAAAAGCCCCAAAGATGGACGAGCAAGTCCGGATCATAAAGTGCCAAAATTTGGTTGAAAACAATTGTTTCTATGTGCTATTAAAAACAGAAGAGGATTTCATTGGTATTCTACACAGCACAGCCCATACCCATTATTCGAGTCGTGTTGATCCAAAAAAATGATGGACGTATCTCCGCGCGAGATAATTTAGAAGGGCTGGGGGAAACGAGTCAGCGCGAGCTCCGATTGAAAGATGACCAAGCCAGATATTCAAACTTACGTTGTCCTCGGGAGCGATGGTGCGGTCGAAGTAGGTGTCGAAGAAGGGGAGTTGGCGGAGGATGTCGTTGCGCACACGGGGAACCTCACCGAAGAGGAAGAGAGCGCCAGTGCCAGCGGCGACACCGAATCCGGCAGCGATGGAGCCACTGCACGAGCTGTTCAGCATTGCTGTGCCCAGATTGCGGAGTAGAGGGTGACTTACGCGTTGATGGCGGTGGGCAGGGTCATGCCAGCGGCAGTGCGGGGGATGTCGTACCTTGAGTTCACGAAATGTTAGTCAAATGCACTTGTTGCAACTGAATCGACTCTTCATAGCCTCAGCATTTGCTGAGACCCAGAGTGGCCTGTCCCACAAATGTCGGCCATCGGTGGAGCCCTATCGCCTGGGGGAGCATGAACATTTGTTCGCCAGCAAAGTAAACTATGCTTCGCAAGCCCACGAGACAGGGCTATGGTCTCAATCCCGAGATATTCGATCGATGTCTGCAACCCGGGAATTGGAGGATCGGGGTAGGGACGGTCTTACTTGGGCGCATAGGCGGAGGCCTGGGCCGCGGCGCGGCGAGCAGTAGAGGCGAACTATGGGTATATGTGAGCAAACATGACTGTTGACGTGATATCTTTTCTGCTCATGGATCTGGCTCGGGAGACCGATTGTTATGTGGTACCCGGTCGTTCCCCCGAGGCCTGCCCGGGAGCTGGCTATGCTGGCCGAGGCAACCAGAGCAGAGATTGATGTTTGGCGAGTTGCTGCACATGGAATCACTTACCATTTTGAATGACACCGGGGTGATATGGAACAATTGCTGGAGAACAGGAGCTGGTACTTGGTGGTCGACGAAAACCGGGAGTGCCCGAGTGCACACGTGACTTTCAACTCGGCGTCCAATCAGAGAGAGCTTAATTGTGTTAAGAATCAATCGGTGGACGTCAATCACCACAACAGTATGGGGAACAATCGCATCAATTGACTCAATTCCACTTGGATATTTGTTTGGCGGAGATGAGTGATCGCGCAGAAACACTCAATACCTAGGAGAAGGTTTACAGACAGGAAAACATTTGATATTTCGAAGCATGTATTCAAACAAGGGTAATCCGAGTACTCCGTAGTAGTTACAGAGATTAAAATTCACATCCATTCCAGTTTTTCCCTTAGTTGCCACGCGCGAAGTAGGTCCACTGACCGGGCTGGGGCTTCTCCTCAAGCTCCTCCCAACTGCATTGGTGTTAGTGACATGTTCAACTCTGAAGAGTGGGATGCTATTTTCACTTACACCTTGGCCTTGGCCAGCTCGTCAACAAGCTTGAGCTCGGCCTCGGCAACCTGGATAACCTCCTCGACAAGGCCAGCGCCAATCTTCTGCTCGATTTCAGAGATCCTGTTCCGCGAGTTAGCGCTTCATCCACTACCGTAATCGCCAAATGTCAACATGGCCATAGGATACATACTGGTCGGCATTGAGAGCGGGCTCGCTCTCCCACTTCATCTCTTGGTGGTAGAAGTCGTGCTCGGCCTTTTCAGTGGTCTCGCTGGCTTCCGCCATGATCTGAGCCCATTCGGCCTGCTCTTGCGGGGTACGGGGACCACCGCTGGAGACGGGAGGTCCTTCGCCGTCCCATTCTTCACCCCGAACGACATCGCTGCCATCCTTTTGTTGAGCGGCAGCGTGGGTAAAGCCACCCTCGGTGCGCTTGACCTTAGCGAACCGCTCAGGCTCGGCTCCCACGGTCTTCCGAACGCGCTCGAGCCATGCTTCAAATCCAGCGGGCTTTTGCGACTCAACAATTTGTAGGCGGTTGCGGGTCAGCGCTTCGACGGACTGGCGGTATGCGGAGGACTCGGGGAACGCCTGAAGCTTTTGCAGAGTGGTCGAGTAGAGGTAGATGAGGGTTGGGCGAGGGCTGGGGTGGGTGAAAAGACCAGTCAAGCCGGTGGGAGCGAAAGGCTCCAGGTACCGGGGCTTCACGTTGGCCAATAGCCGGAGTGTAGAGCGCATTGTGAATGTGATTGGGATGTAGGGCAATACTGATCAGGGAGATCGGAAGTGTTCTAAGGCGGACCGGATCGGATTAACCAGATTTTCCATTACCAAATGGCAGGGGGAAGAGATGAAACTCACCTTGTGCAATACCAACTAAGGACTCCGATTCTCTTCGGACTGTGTGCAGTGCTATTTTGCTCGCAGCTTTGGGCGCTATAGTCGCTAAGTGCTGTCTTTTTGCGACGTGCCGACCAGTGCCCACCCGAGTCGCTCGTCTTCGCCCCCGTCTAATGTGCCACCTGTGACATTTCGCGATTATCCTCCTTATTTCGACCAGAGTCCCTCGTTTTGCCCGGCAACGCTTAGAATCCATTCGAATCTTTCTTTCAAACACAGCAGCTTTGCTTGATCACTGTTATCCGTCAAAATGAAATCAACTTGGCTGAGGTGGTCCCTCCTCCCACTGTTGGCAGTGCCTGCGTTGGGCACGCCTTCAAATGCCTCCCCAGATCAGGGATCAGGGGTTGATACTACAAAGAGGTGGGGGGAGCTGGTGGACTCTGATCAACCCACGACGTTCAATGGGGTTGAGGTTCCCCCGTTGACACAGCTGACACCGGACAACTTCGACGAACTTACCAAGGACGGTTACTGGTGAGTACCATTTGCAGTTGCACTATCAAATCTACTTGGGCCTAACTGTTGTAGGATGGTCAAACATTATTCCCCATCCTGTCCCCATTGCAAAACGGCTGCTCCGATCTACCAGACTCTCTATGAGTACTACTATGTGAGCATCAATATACTGTTTTGGTCGCGTAAGACTCGCAACTGACTGATGGTAGACCTCCAACCCCCTGTTCTACTCCGCAGCGAAGCCCGACGAGCCGGAATCCCAGAAGTCCTTCACTGCCCACTACAACTTCCGTTTCGGTTCCATGAACTGTCTGGCTTACAATGACTTCTGCACAGCGAAGAAGATTGACTATTATCCCGCCTGGGCATTTTACGACATGGGAGTCCAGAAGGAATCGCCTGTTGGAGCCAAAAAGATGTCAGATATCGGCCAAATGATCGAAACCAAGCTCGAGGAAATCAAACCGGGATCTCGACCTTCGCAGGGTGTTGAATTGCCCAAGATCAACGCTCGGAGCATGGAAATGGTGGCCAAGCCTGAAGTGGCCAAGTCTAGCGAGAAGACGGCCGTTGAGAAAGAGAGCATCAAGACCGCGGAGCTCGAGGGCTCCAGTCCCGATGCCGTCAAGGCTAAGCTCCAAGGAAGACCCGCCAACCCCTTGGGAGTATCCATTCCCCTCACAGCGGAGAGCTTCCAGAAGCTCGTTACCACCACCCATGATCCTTGGATCATCAAGTTCTATGTTCCGTGGTGCGGCCATTGCCAAGCTCTGGCCCCGAGCTGGAACTCGATGGCGAAGGAGATGAAGGATACTCTCAATGTTGGAGAGGTCAACTGCGAGACTGACAGAAGGCTCTGCGAGGACGCTCGTGTGAACGCCTACCCCACAATCTACTTCTTCCGTGGAGGCGAGAGAGTGGAGTACACTGGACTACGTGGCTTGGGAGACTTGATCTCGTACACCAGCAAAGCTGTCGGTGTTGGCTCAAGTATTCAGGATGTTGACGCTACCACCTTCAAGGAGTTGGAACAAACCGAAGAGGTGTTGTTCCTGTATCTCTACGACCACGCGACAACATCTGAAGATTTCGAGGCGATGAACCGACTGACACTCAGCCTTGTGGGACACGCTCGCATGGTCAAGACTGACAGCGCTGCTTTGTCCGAGCGGTTCAAGATCTCTACCTGGCCTCGTCTTCTGGTCGTACGTGACGGACGTCCCAACTACTACAATGCCCTCGCCCCCAAGGACATGAGAGACTTCCGCCAAATCCTTTCATGGATGCAGACCGTGTGGCTTCCTATTGTCCCCGAACTGACAGCATCCAACGCCCAGGAAATCATGGACGGAAAGTTCGTGGTGCTTGGACTTCTGAGCCGCCGCCGCAGCGATGACTTCAAGCAAGGCCGACGTGAACTGAAGGAAGCTGCCCTCGAATGGATGGACAAGCAGGTCCAACTCTTCCGTCTTGAGCGCGCTGAACTTCGTGACGCCAAGCAACTGCGGATTGAGGAAGCCGATGACCGCAACGACCAGCGCGCCTTGCGAGCTGCGAAGAACATGCGTATCACCATTCGCGAGGATGACAAGAAGCAGGTTGCCTTCGCTTGGGTTGACGGAGACTTCTGGGAGCGCTGGCTGCGCACCACATATGGTATTTCCGTGGAGACTGGCGACCGTGTGATTATCAACGACGAAGATGTAAGCGAAACCCCCAAAGAAATTTTAGAATATTGGAGCTGACCTCTACAGAACCGCCGCTACTGGGATACCGCTTCAAGCGGAGCTCCCATCATGGCCTCTCGCACTTCCATTCTCGAGACTATTCCCCTCGTCATTGCTTCCCCCTCGAAGCTGTCGCCTAAATCCACCATCGGCACCTTCGAGACCATCTTCTTCTTCACCCGGACCCTCCTCAGCAGCCACCCCATCCTCTTCTTCATCGTGTTGGGTGTTGTCATTACCGTGGCCACTGTCTTTGGACGTGGACGCCTTCGCCGCGGTGCTCCCCGTGGTGGTATCATTGGTAACACCAACAATGGTGGCTTCTTCCACCTGGATGGCAAGGAAGGCTTCCTGAATGGAGGCTCGACCGACAAAGTCGATTAACGAGACAAATGTACAGTTAAGGTGTTGGGCTGCGCTTTCTTATAATTTTCTGTTTCCACTGTATTTGATTGATGCTGCTCTCCTGTCATGCAATCGTCTTCTCGATTGATTCTGTCTCATCTAACCTTTTGCATGTCAGACCAAGGGGTCCTCGAAAGCACATATCTCCTTGTTCAATTTCTTTCCCTGCTGCCACACGTACTGTCTGGGCTTAGGCGCATCAGATCCTCGAGAGCTATTTTCTTTGAAGCCCTGAAGTATCATATCAATAAACGCAATAATATACTATCCATTATGATCTTGAATTGCTCAGACTCGCATTCAAAGAGTCTCGCCTGCCACTGTAGAAAGTCGAGCAGCAATGTACCTAGTAGGTAGGCAATCCTTTGTGAAGACTGCTTAATGTTTACCGGACCAATTATCAGTGGAATTATGTGCAATCCACTCACTCGCTGGGCAGGTCTCTGCTGGACGCGGAGGTTGAGTACACACCGAAGGCACCTTGTGTCTGTATTATAGCCCATACGCCATTCTTTCGGGGCTAAATATGAGGCCAATGCCAGCCTACATGTTTCCATCAATAAAATCACTGGTACATCCAGAATTATTGATCATCCTGATAAGTTGTAGTCTATGGGCCCTTATACAGTGAGTGGGAAGGCGGTGAGCCAAGGCGGGAATCCCTTGTGGACACATACATTGCTGTCCCTGAACGAAGCGCTCTCCCTATAGCTCTCCCCGATCCCAATCCCTTTTTAATTCCTTCAATTAATACCTTGTTCCGAGGCTCACTCTCTCCTGCCAACTGGGCTGTCTGAGCGGCCTGCGGAATCCCTCCTCGCTGTCAGGCTCAACGCCGCAACACACAAACACGCAACTCTTCCCCCACACAACATGCGGCTCGACGTCAAGGTACGCAATTGCAGAGGATGTGATGCTTCGAGAAGACCTCTTGTTGGGGTCTTGCGGCCAATCACATATCCCCGCCGGCGAGACTGGTCAGATTGCTGACGATAAATGTTACAGAGGCAGCTATTTGCCCGCTCCGAGCGGGTAAAGGGGATTGATTTCCACCCTACTGAGCCATGGGTAAGCTTGTACAATTCCATATCGCGACAATCGCCAATACTAATGTGTTCCTAGATCTTGACAACCTTGTACAGTGGTACGTTGATAGAGGGGCAGTTTGCGGCGAGAGTTCGAATGCGCTAATCACTTTGGCTCAGGTCATGTCTACATCTGGTCTTACGAAACACAGGTAAGGATTGATATGGCGCTGCACGGCTTGCCACTCTGATCTGACTTCCTCGTCATTTAGTCAATTATCAAAACATTCGAACTCACCGATGTCCCCGTTCGTGCCGGTCGATTCATTGCGCGGAAGAACTGGATTGTCTGCGGCTCAGACGACTTCCAGCTCCGTGTGTACAATTATAACACCTCCGAGAAAATCACCTCCTTCGAAGCACACCCGGATTACATCCGTTCCATTGCTGTTCACCCCACCCAGCCGTTCGTGCTCACAGCCTCCGATGACATGACAATCAAGCTTTGGGATTGGGAGAAGGGCTGGAAGTGTGTGCAGATCTTCGAAGGTCACAGCCACTATGTGATGGGCATGGCCATCAACCCTAAGGATACCAACACTTTCGCTTCCGCATGTTTGGATCGGACTGTTAAGATCTGGAATCTCGGCTCCCCCCACGCCAACTTTACTCTCGAGGCACACGAAACGAAGGGTGTCAACCACGTCGATTACTACCCCCAGGCTGATAAGCCATACCTCCTCACCACCTCCGACGACAAGACCGTCAAGGTCTGGGATTACACCACGAAGGCTCTCATTGCAACCCTCGAGGGACACACAAGCAATGTCTCTTTTGCATGCTACCACCCCGAATTGCCCGTCATCATCTCAGGTTCTGAAGACGGTACCATCAAGATTTGGCATGCCAACACCTACCGCCTGGAACAATCATTAAGCTATGGTCTGGAGCGAGCATGGTGTGTTTCATACCAGCGGGGCCGGCAAGGCATTGCCATGGGTTTCGACGACGGTGCCGTGGTGGTGAAGATGGGTCGGGAAGAGCCCGCTGTTTCCATGGATGGTTCTGGTAAACTCATCTGGGCCCGACACAGCGAGGTTGTGTCTTCGGTGATTAAGGGTGGTGAAGCTAGCATCAAGGACGGCGAGCCTCTGATGCTCCCAACGAAAGACCTCGGACAGTGCGAAGTGTACCCACAGACCCTTACGCACTCCCCCAACGGTCGATTCGTCTCCGTTTGTGGTGATGGAGAGTACATCATCTACACCGCATTGGCGTGGAGAAACAAGGCTTTCGGACAAGCTCTCGACTTTGCCTGGGGTTCGAAGGATAACAGCAACGACTATGCTATTCGCGAATCATCGACAAGTGTTAAGATTTTCAAGAACTTCAAGGAGCAAAGTGCCGGTCTTGATGTGGGCTTCCAGGCCGAGGGCCTGAGCGATGGTGTTCTGCTTGGTGTCAAGGGACAGGGTGGTATTGGCTTCTTCGATTGGGAAACCGGTAGCCTTGTTCGGAGAATTGAAGCTGAGCCCAAATCCGTAAGTACCGTGCTGAAATTTTCTGGGAACTGGCAACTGACATGAATCAGGTCTACTGGTCTGAATCCGGTGAATTGGTCACACTCGCCTGTGAGGATGATTTCTACGTTCTGCGCTTCTCGCGCGAAGAGTACATTAATGGTTTGAATGCCGGTGAGGCGGACGAGGATGGAGTGGAGGCAGCCTTCGAGTTGGTTGCTACCGTCAACGAGACAGTCCGGACTGGTCAATGGGTTGGAGATTGCTTCATCTATTCCAGTGCCACCAACCGCTTGAACTACCTTGTCGGTGACCAGACCTACACAATCTCCCACTTTGATCAACCAATGTACGTTCTCGGCTACCTGCCCCGGGATGGCCGTATCTACCTTGCCGACAAGGATGTGAATGCGGTTTCCTTCGGCCTGTCTCTCAGCATGGTCGAGTACCAAACCGTGGTCCTGCGTGGCGATATGGATATGGCATCTGAGCTGCTCAAGGATGTCCCTCAAGACCAGATGAACAAGGTCGCCCGATTCCTCGAGGGACAAGGATATAAGGAGATGGCTCTGGAAGTCGCCACTGACCCCGAGCATCGCTTTGAGCTGGCACTCGCGCTCAACGACCTCGATACCGCACTCCTGATCGCCCGCGAGGCTAACGTCGAGCACAAGTGGAAGATCGTTGGTGACGCCGCCCTGGCCGGCTGGAACCTCACTCTTGCTCAAGAGTGCTTCACAAACGCCAAGGATGTTGGCTCCTTACTTCTGCTGCACACTGCCAGCAGCAACCGTGAAGGTCTCAAGTCTCTAGCTGCTCAAGCGTCCGAGTCCGGGCTCCACAATGTCGCCTTCTCCACCCTCTGGTCCCTGGGAGATATCGATGGCTGCCTTGCCCTTCTCGTCCAGACCAACCGCATCGCCGAAGCCGTTCTCTTTGCCCAAACCTACAAACCTTCGAGCGCACCCAAGCTTGTTGTTCAATGGAAGGAATCCCTCGAGCAAGCAAACAAGACCAAGGTTGCCCGCCTCATCGGTGTGCCCCCCGGTGCTCCCGACGTCGCCTCTACGGACGATGACCTATTCCCTGAATGGGATGAATACATCCAACTAGAGAAGCAGGGCGTCGTCCCCGAGCCTCCCTCTTCCGAGTCCCTGATCGATGTCAACGCGGACGAGGAGCCGGCTAGCGCCACCAACGGTGAACCCGAACAAGATGAGACCGAGGCGGCCCACGAAGCCGCAGTCGACGAGGCTGACGCGGCTGAAGCCGAGTAAAGGAAAAAGCACCCGGTTCTATTTTTTTGGTGACTTTGAGGGAGAGTTAGGTAGATCGTTTGTTTATTCGGCTGACAAGTCAGCTGATTCTTGATTGCGAGCGGCGTCTTAACGTGTGTCCGAATTTTTCATTTTATCTGTAATTCCGCTGCGATGTCGATCTGGAAACATGCCTAGATACAATGACAGCAAATGTTTTTTTCTCTAGCTTTTTGGGCGGACTGTTCATATATGTGCTCAATTGACTTGGATATCTGTTCATATCAAGTACCGATTCGTCGTAGATTATAGCATTGAGGCTCTGTGGGACTGCTGTATTCTCTTGATCTCGTAAGAAGCCAAAGATTCAAGCTCACATCCGTAGTCAAGTCTCATCATGATGCCAATCCAGTATTGACCCAGCATCCTGCATTATCTCACGGTATATGTCCATAGCCGAGGTGTCAATTCCAGAAGCCACAGCATCCTGTCCCACCGAACTAAGACCAGTGTCCTGAGAAACCCAGTCAAGAGATATTTGCGATGAATCGTGCAGAGCCGGGATTTGAAGATCTCTTTCAAGTTGCTCGACATCCAGGAAATTCTGCTCCTTTGCACGTTTCGTAGCAGCGCGTTCAAACAGACGCGAGAGCGGCTCCCAAAGCACCCATCCTTTCGGCGGGCCCTTCTGTTGCCACCGTTGAAACATTAATTGTGCTATCACCCAGGCGCGGTCCGCGGCATCCGATGCCGGCCGCACACATATCTCCGATAAAACAAAGACCAAGGCATGCCACTGCCGATACATCTGGAAGAGCCAGATCCAATCTGCTGTTTCTGCACTCGTCTCCAGCAAATGGGTAAACTCCAAAACATCGATGGCAGTTTGGAAAAGAGTCTCACGTCGCTTCTGCCACCGGTCTGTGCTGAGCTCACCAGTAGTTATCAGAGTGAAATGAGCTGTGAGCCATGACCGCGCCAACGCGATGCGCGTAATAGTAGCTGCAGTCCACTGGATTGGCACGTGCAAGTCGCAGAATCGGAGATGACCGCTCTCCAGGAAGGAGTTGATCTCATTCAAGTTCTTCTCGGTCTCTTCAATGGATGATCGCCTCGGCGTAAGACTGGGCCTTGAACTTCCACACATTTGACGGGATCGAATGATGATTTCGCATCGAATCAAACAGAAGGTCATCTCAGTAAATCCAATGCGAGCTGTGAATGGCTTCGTTGCCTCTGGGGAAATATCACTGTCGTTGACGTTGAGCGGGAGTCGAGTATCATAGCTTCCTTCATATATCAGACGACCTATTGCTTGTGCTTCTGATGACTGTGTATCGAGAAGATAGATATACCACCAAAGCCGTCGGCGCATTTCCGTTTCAAATGGACTCAATCCGAGATGGGACCCGTCACGGTGTAAGCCTGATCCTTGCGCGAGCCTGTACACCACAGATGTCATAGCCCAAATGAAATTTCCATCCTCAGCACACCATAGAGTAGTCAAGAACAAGACCAAGGCTTGCAGTACGGTTAGACTGCGTGTTTTCAGGAAGTTTGCTCGGGCGAGTGCTTGCTCTGTCGCAAAACGATAATGATGAATTAGTGTCTCATGATCCGTCTTACATTTTTGGAGGCAGTCTTCAGGCTTCATGCTGGCAACTGCAGCAAAGTATACAGCAAAGACCAGTGCTTCGTCAGAGGAGTCGAGGAATTCAGCATTGGTCGCTGCTTTCCGGACCAGCCGATGGATAGTCGGTTTGTGAAGAATCGAGATTAAGGGTGCCACGTTTCTCTCGTAGATTTCCCAAAAGAAGTGACTGGTGAGCGGTGGCGGATGCAGGCTATGAAGAGACTCTGCAAGAGCACGAAACCCGAACATGTATGCACTTGAGTTTGGTCCCTGGCTCTGCATTGGTCCTTTCGTTGGGGATTCCCTGCTGGAACTGCTCGCCATCTATTCAAATGGTCAACACCATCGCAGTCTCATTAAATTTCATCTCAGAAACATGACAAACCTCATTCTGAAACCCCACGAGAGCTTCGTGCTCCACATACTGTCGTCCCTCCCCACCGTTCACGAGCTGCCCCAGAGGACCGGCTGCTCCACTCGCAGCACCATCGTCCTTTCGAGATCCCAAGTGGGAGGCAGTGTCGCTCACGGGAGATATGTCTTCGGTGTGTGAAGCGTCATGCAGCTCATGCTTAGACGGGTGAGTCTGGGGCTTGGATTCCTCGCCAAGGTCATGAAGCCGATGCTCCAAATACTTCACTCGCGATACCAGCTCCGCCTTCAATGCTCTCTTTTTTCTGCGGGGCGCTCGGCCCGGTGGCGGAAAGATACATTCCACCCCTAGCTTGACGCAACTGGTGCATGGAAGCGTCTTGCTGCAGCGGGTCTTCCTCTGGTTACATTTGTGACAACTGCGAGCATGTATATTCTCGGAGCTCGCCGGAATACCAGAGCTAAGTGGGCTTTCCATTGCGGCCTCAAAAATACCGACGAAGTATCAGTTGCGCACCGGGGTGACCCGTGAGCCTTCGGGGTTAAAATAACGGCCGAGATGATTCAGCGAGGTTCGCCAGTTGACCCGAGTGGGTTCTCATCGCCACCTCTTCTCCAAGGTTCGAACAAACGTTGCAGGCCTCTATTTTAATGCCGAGATTGCATTTGCATTTGGAGCCCCTGCTGGTGGAGTCTCGAGTCTCCCATTCGCGATGCGTCGGGCTTAATTTACCACCCGATCTGATTATGCAGCTTGGTTGTCCCCAGGCATTAATAATGTTCGCACTCGATATGACGAGAGAGAGCAGCCAGACATGATCTCTGGGTATATAAAGCACTTCCTGGCATTGAAAGAAGGCATTTACAACTTGTTCCGGGATCATCACCTGTCATCACCATACCAAGAATGACTTTCACCGTTGGAATCGCCGGTATCACCGGAAAGTTCGCCAAACGACTTGTATCTCATCTGCTCAAACGCCAGGATATCGCCATTCGCGGATACTGCCGTGATCCCAGCAAGGTCCCGGAGGAGATCTCCTCTAGCTCGCAAGTCACTCTCATCAAGGGCGATGCCTTCGACAACGACTCCATTCGCACATTCGCCAGTTCCTGCGACGTCATAGTATGCTGCTATCTTGGCGACGACAAGCTCATGGTCGATGGCCAGAAAGCCCTGATTGACGCCTGTGACGAGTGCCATGTTCCCCGTTACATTGCCAGTGACTGGGCTCTAGACTACACCAAGCTCAAGCTTGGTGAACTGTTCCCCAAGGACCCTATGATCCATGTCAAGGCCTATCTTGAGGATAAGAAGGTCCAAGGCGTACACATCCTCATCGGTGGATTTATGGAGCCCATCTTCAGTCCATTCTTCAACATCTTTGATCCGCAGACCAACACTTTCCGCTATTGGGGCAACGGTGACGAGATCATGGAGGGTACCACCTATGACAATGCTGCCGAGTTTACCGCTGCCATCGCAGTAGACTCAACTGCAACCGGAATCAAGAAATGTACGTGATAGATGCATGGATACGTACGATTGATCTTCTAACTGCTTAATAGTCCTCGGTGGTCGCGCGACGATCCGCGAAATTGCTCAGTCGTTCGAAAAAGTCTACGGTATCAAGCCTAGCCTTGAAAGCCGTGGAAGTCTTGATGACTTGTACAAGCTTATGCATCAGATGCGCGATGAGAGCCCTTCGAACATTTATGGCTACATGTCTATGTGAGTAGCTGAGTCTACTTCTATTACTTCATTCTAAAGACACTGACCCGGTTGACTTTTGCCCTTCTAGGTTCTTCTATTACTACTGGATCAACGGCCAGACCTTGGTCGGCACCGACCTAGACAATGAGAAGTACACTGCGGTGAAGCCGGCTAGCTGGGAGGATTTCATGGCCCAGTGTCCACTTCAAGCGCTGCCTACAGCTTTCTTTGCCCTTAGTGGGTAGATGTAATACCTGAGTTCGTTGGAGCAGGATAGCTGAATTGAAATACCTTTCATCTTTGTTGTATTGCTTCGCCGGCAATCCGTTGGAGCTCTGTAGGCCGAAACTCGACGTACCTTTTGTTCAGACGATCGGCCTCGTTGAATCTAGCTGGGATTTATCATTGTTCAAAAACAGTCGAGGGGGGGGGGCGCGGGACATACAGTCAAGACTATGCTCCGTGCGGGTTCACTCAAGTTGACGAAGGAGCGCGACCCCTGGAGCCCCGGGGCCCCGTGAGTTTATAAGATTCGGTTTCCCAGCCTAAAGATGTAGTGGTGTTTACAGCAGTGGCCAAGAGCGACTGAAAGTCCAAAAGCACGGGTGCAAAGCCAGCCGTGTCTGGACTCGGAAGCAGTTATTTTGGGCAAAAAAAGCAGTCATATTCAATTTGTTAATATACAGATAATTTCAATTACAACTCTCTAACTCTTCACTTCTTTGCAAATCCACTGTCCTGTTCCAACCATGGGCCGAAACCTTTCAAACCAGGATGGATCTTTTTCAACTCGGCGATATTTGCCTTGTACCCCTCATCATGGAACCATTTGAACATGTATCCAAAGTCCTTCATGGAAGCCATGAAGAGAGAACACAAAAATCCAAAAGTCGAAGGAATGGGCTGGCCCGTCTTCTGCTGGAAGATTCGCGCGAATTGATCGTGTGTCAACTCATCACCGGCAAGCGAGAGGCTCTGGTTCTGATACTTCTCAGGATGCATGAATGCCTCGGCTCCGAAGAACCCGATATCTTCAGTCGCGACCATCTGCAGGGGTTTGCCTTTGAGTGCCATCTTGTAGCTGGTTGCGAAGACCTTGCCCATGAATCCTGGGACCATATTCTCGTAGAAAGCCGTCGGCCGGAGAATGAACCACTTCATGTCGGTGTTTTTGCTCTTTTCGACTAGATGGTGCTCGATGTTGTATTTGTTGATGAAGTGTGGGATTTTGGTTGCGTTGGTGTAGGAGGCATCTCCGCCACGATCAACAGAGCTGTACACGAAGAATTGGACTTTCTGCTTCAGCGATTCGTCGACAAGGGCTTTTCCCTGGCGCTCTTCTAGCGCGCCATTTCCAATTGCGGTCTGCATTATAGATATGATTAGTGAAAATCCTGGGTTAGATTGAAGATAGTAGGCTTACCTGGACACTGTAGACTCCCCAAATCCCCGACTGCGTCAATTGGCGCGCACTCTTGAAAATAGCAGCAGGATCATCCAGGTTTCCCTCCACGAGTTTGATGTTTGATGACAACTTCGTCAACCTTTGCGCAGAAGGGGATTGAGAATTGCGGGTGACGGCCAAGATTTCCAAAGGAGATTTTCTGGCCACGAGGCTTCTGATCAGCGAGCCTCCCTGGTTTCCAGTGGCACCGGTGATGAGAACTGCCGGCATTGTAGGCAGTATTAATGGAGGGTCTTGGTGGAATGTATGTAGCGAGATCAATAGATCTATGTGATATTTCTTAGGATTGATTCTAAAATCTACGATGGCAAGAAGACTATATAACACCGAGAAACTTTAAAGGTTTGAGAAGTTCGGTGCTCATTTTAAGGCCGAGCTGACTACTTTTATTAAGCTGCGGACGGGTGGGTCTCCCGAGGCCCGGTGGGTCCATGGATTGGTAAGGGCAAACCTTGGGACTCAAATGGAAACCGTGGGAACAAAAACCTTGACTGGCTATTAATGAGACGCTGGCGAAAAGCCCGAGGCCGAGGGTATATTTTCGAAATCCATGGATGTTACTGCGAAACCTGTATCTAGACAACACGATATACCCAAGGTTGTTTACCGGTCCGTAATGACTTGTCTTAACACCGATGTTTGAGATTATTTACGAGTAATAGGTAAACTCCTGGTCACCGGAAGTTGTAGACGGCTTTATCCGGTCCCGTACAGTCAATCAAACACCCAAGGTTGGCTACTTGATCGGAGAAACAGTCCGTCAGTTCAAGCCATGGAACGAGCCCTATGATTATAACTGTGGGAAAGGCAGACAGTGAGACTGCATATAGTCCGGGATTTCAAAGAAGCCAGGGAGTGCCAGAATTTAGAGTTGACAAATGGGAGGAACAATTGCCTGCGCGAGTAGAATCTATTTCCTAGCTCCTTAAAGATCAACGTTGAAAGCTCTTGAGATAAGATTCCCCGGAAACGCTTGTTTGGATTGGATCCCAAACCTTGGAATGTAGCGGACATTCCTGTTGCAATGTTGCCACTCGTTGAGATCAGACGGTATTCTGAACAACCACCAGGTACTCGTTGAACGTAGCATATTTTCTAGATCAAGGTTTTACCTTTGGCTCTTTGTCCGTCTGATCTCTCCATAGCTGTGGCTGATCGCAGCTATCTTCACATTCGTTGGCATTATTCTCTCGTCATTGTCACGGAGGTGGCACAGTCCTTCAAGCCAATTGCGTAGATCGAGATCGGCCATGGTGTACTACTGAATCCTGATAGTATATGGCCAATATAGGTGATATGAATCAGTCGGATCCGAGGTATGAGTGTGGGTTGTAGGAGAGACTGATGTGGCGTATGTGAATGCCCCAGAGTAAGGTCGCCCTGTGTGTGAATTGCACGAACCTGGTAATGGTTGGAGAGTCGGCCTTGCCTGGACAGGACTGGAGGACTGGATGGAGCCGCCCGGCGGATAAGATCTGCTGAGATGATAGCCTTGGTGCAGACTTGGGATTTTGCCTCATGTCGTGATTCCGGCTCGTTCTTGAGTCTTAATCATCCAGACAATACCATCCAGCGCGGGTGGGCAACGCAGGGCGACGCCTGTTGAATCTCCCTTTTTGCCGAAGTAGGCGAAATCCCAGGTTTCGATCTTGACGGGCTGCAATGGCAGCGGAAGGAAAGTGCGTAGTTGGCCATGATTCACGTCAAATTCTTCATTGTCCGGCCTTCAAAGACCTCCCCCCATTGAAAATGACTCTTGGGGCTCCAGAAATAGGCTTCTCCGGTTCCAAGCTTCCTCTCAATTGTACATGCAAAGCGGAGGATGAACGAGGGAATGAATTATTGAGCTGTTGGGCCCAGAACTGTGGGGTTGAACTGAGGGATATCCGTTGGAGCAGTGGTGGTGTTGATTTCAGGGACCTCGGGGTTGGATATGGCTGGATTCAAATAAGCTGCCATCATGAGGCCGGCACGTTGGAGCCTTGGAAGACATCCAGTAATTCCGTGCGTGATAATGATCTGAGGATGTGTGTAGTGAAACCGTAAGAGGAATTGAGGAGGAGAAGGAACAAAGTAAGCCAAGTGAGATCTTCGTGCTCCCGGTCTGCCACGATATCGTTGATCCTTGATCCATCCCTCATGGCCTCGGGAGGGAGTATGGATGACTTTCCTAGCAGAGTAGCGCGCGTCAATCCAATTAGTTTCAGCCTGAAGTCTGCCACTGACCGATCAGCCTCCCTGATCTGGTCATTTCCAAGAGGTCAGCTGTCAATAGCTCTAGGGAGGAGACCAAGAGCAGAATAATCATAGATATAATGCGCATCCTGATATGTTGAAGGGAAAGTGATTTGATAAAAGAGTGAAAGGATCCGAAGTTGTATAGGACTGTCCGTTGCGAAGTTTTATTGAAATACAAAACAAGGGGACAATGACCGCTTGAGAAAAGACCAAGGATAAGGAACCTGCCTAGAGAGAACGAACACTTGAGGTGGAAAGAAAAAATGACCGAGCAAGAGACAAGAAAATCAAACCAAAGCGCTCAACAGACAGATGAAACGAGAAAGTCGTCTCGAAAATCAAGAGCAGCTCCAACATCAAGATGCCACAATTCAAAGACTCCTTTGGGATGGGGGGAAAAATCAGACATGGTGAACAGCCATAGAAAAATTGGTAAAAAAAAACCAAGTCGAGATTGATGTTGTGCGAACGAAAGACATACACGCAGTATACAGGGAAGTCGTTTCTATGAACATTCCCGGAATCAGTCATTCTTACAGAACCCATTTCGATCTAAATTGACACGAAAGAACTTTACTCCGGGATGCTTCCGAAGGACGGATCTTTGACACTGCCACCCGCATCGCCGAGACCAGCCACTGGTCGGTTGTATGACCAACCGGCGAATTGCTGTTGCATCGTCTGCGACAGGACGGGTCCATCGACGTAGGAGTCTTGGGGTGCCTCGGAGGTGAACTCGCGATCGAAGTTTTCCGTATCACGGGCATCAACCTGTACAACGTTAGTCATGGGATCAGGTATGGGAGGAAAGATGGTAACGGTCACATACCACATTGGGTCTGAAGCTGGGCTCGTACTTCCTTTGCAGAAGCTTGCGCCAGTCAATGTTGGCGAAGAAGTGGTGCGACTTGATCTCAGCAGCACCGTTCGCACCGAGTCGGCGCACGGGATCCCGATCCAGCAGTCGGGTTAGCAGATCCCGGGCAGCGGGGGGCACAATGTCGCTGCTGGGGAAGGTCAAGGGCTCCTGCAAAATCTTGCGGTACATCTCGTTGACGTTCTCATCGTAGAACGGAGGAAGACCTGTCAACATCTCGTATAGCAGTACACCCAGAGTCCACCAATCCACGGTCTTGGTGTAGCCGTTGCCGAGCAGGAGTTCTGGGGCAAGGTATTCGGGTGTTCCACAGAAAGCTATGCAGGGTTAGATTTGAAGACAAATGCACAGGCGAGAGGGTCTTACTGTTGGTTCGGTCCTCATCCTTCATGTCCAGCTTGCAGAGACCGAAATCGCAGAGAGCAATGTGTCCAGTGTAATCCAGGAGAATGTTCTCGGGCTTCAGATCTCGGTAGATGACCTTAAATCCATGCAAGCACTCGAGAGCGCAGAGCAACTCTGCGGTGTAGAAGCGGGCTCTGTTAATATCGAATCGTTGTTCTCTTTGCAAATGGTGGAACAACTCTCCTCCGTTCACAAATGCGAGGACGAGGTACAGCTTCTCTGGTGATTGGAAAGAGAACTTCAAGGGAACAATGAACGGGTTGTTGATCTGAGCCAGCACTGATCGCTCGGCGAGTGTGTGCGTAACTTCCGATCTCGAGATAATGTGGGCCTTGCGGATTGTCTTGAGGGCGTAGATTCGGCCAGTATCCTTCTTCATGACCTGCATGACCTTGCCGAAACTACCCTTACCCACAACCTTGAGCAAGTCGAAGTCTTCCAGCTTCAGACTGCGCTGCTTGTTTTCCACAAACGAGATACCGATCTTGATCGAACCGGCTCCAAATTGCAGGTCCAACCATTCGGCACCCTGCTGGCCCAGTTGACGCCCTTGCTCCTCGTGAGCGACGGCAGCCTTCTGGTTGTCCTTCTTGCTCAGCTTGGGGTCCTCGATGTAGGGCTGGGCCTCTTCGAAACGCGGGTTAACCTTGCATGCGCCCAGGAAGATATCTTCACTCCGTCCGGCGCCAGGCCGGGCTGCAGGGTTGCGCAGGTACAGCTGCACGTTCAACTCGGTTTTCCTAGACACATCGAACTTGAAGGCTGTGTTGTCGCCAGCCCACAAAGGGCTCTCGGGAGTGCCCGACACCGCATCCACGAAGACCTGGTTCTTTTCGAAATCGAGGAGGGCGTAAGGAAGGTACTTGGTAGAATAGCGACCATGGATAGTGGGGGCGGCGTTGATTCCCCCGCTTGTGGACTGCGGTCGGCCCGACTGCACAAACGAGCCCGCTTGGTTTTGAGCCGAGTGCGACGAGGAGGAGGTACTTGGGCGTAATGAAGAGGGCGCGTAGGAGTTATTTTGGAAGTGCGAGTTGAAGATTTGTTGGAAATGGGGGGACAGTGAAAAATCGCGCCCTTCGTGGAGGGTAACGATCAGAATACCTGGGTTCACAGTAGCCACAGGCGGAGAAACGAGAGACTCGGAGGCCACTGTTGGAAAGTTGAGACGATTAGTTCCCCATTGCTTTTCAAATCACGATGAATAGTCCCTACAAATTCCATTTGTTGACGGGGTGGCGGAATTGATGCTGGGCGGGTTGGATGACACAGGCGTTGTCGCCTCGTCGCCGTTGGAGTCGCCCTTGATAGTGGAGGTAGAGGAGGATCGGCCGAAGGACGAAGTCAAGGGAGCCAGATGGGTCTCCTTCAACTCTGCAAATATGAATTAGCGGTTGCCCTCCTCCGGGTATGGATTTCACTGCAGAGCAGGGAGGGGTTGTGGGTATATAGGGAGGGAGGGGGAGACCAACTGCCAGTGAACATACTTTTAGTGAGCTTCCAGGACATATTGGCGGTTGGTCTGAATAAATGAAGGAAAAAAAGGAGAGATCAAAGTCCACGATCGCGCAATGCGTGGGTGTGCAGAGTGTTAGAATCACCTAACAACATACACAGGGGCCCCAAAATAAACTTGGAGAGCCAGGAACACACAGTGACACACGCAAACACACACAGCGCAACAGATAAATCAAAGACCACCAACTGTATCCAAATGGAAGCACGACTAAATAGAAGTGAAAGGAGTCAAGTCAAGAAATTGGATCTCCAGAAGATGAGAGAGGGGAACCCCTGTAACTGAAATACATAGATTACCACTGTGGTTGGCTCAACCAGTAACAGTGCTGCCGGTAGGGCTGTACTGCCGGTAATTTACAAGCCTCAGCGCACTGACAGCCTGCTCAGCCACCCTCAGCCACACTCCGCCCCAAGGGTGAACCTCCGATTCAGCTTGCCCGCGCTTCATGGACGATTCCCGAGCTTGAGTGAAACTACAGAGCTTGGCAGTGCTTTAGTCTAATTCCAACCCTCTTTATCGATTTTGCGCCCTTCAGATCTGGGATAATTCCCCGCTCCGAAGTGCGGAGATCGCCTACCCCGGAACACCACACCTGGTCATAACACACCCGACGAGCCCACTCGCTACCCCTTGATATACCCCCCGGGGATCTTCTTAGTCTCTGTTGGAGTGATTTTTCTTACCTGGGGATTGAACGGGGTGGAGGGCCGATGGGTGTGATACGCAAGAAGACCGCCTCGCGCGGCACCGAGGCTGGAACAAAGTTCCACTGCGACGTGTGTTCGATCGATGTCACATCAACTGTAAGTTGCCAACCTAGGGTCCTCGATTGAGAGGGATGAACGAGGAGGTTATACCGTGTTTCTAGAGCTGACGCGACGCGATCCTCTAGGTTCGCATATCATGTGCACACCCCAGCTGCCCCGAATACGATCTTTGTGTCCCCTGTTTCTCAGCCGGAAATAACTCGAAAGGCCACGACCCAGCAACACATCCATTCTCAGTGATTGAGCAAAACTCCGTTCCCATCTTCCAGGGGGATTGGGGTGCCGATGAAGAGCTCCTGTTGCTGGAAGGCGCCGAGATATACGGACTGGGTTCATGGGCAGATATTGCGGACCATATCGGCGGCTACCGCGATAAGGATGAGGTGCGCGATCACTATTACGATACCTACTTGAAGAGCGAGCACTTCCCGCTGGCAGACCGCGCAGACCCACATGATAGGAGTCTCCAAGACTCGATCTCCAAGGAGGAGTTCCAAACGCGGAAGAAGCGGCGGATTGAAGATCGCAAGGACGCGGCTAAGGCAGCACCTCCAACAACACCGAAACAGAAGCCAACTGCCAGTGTGCCGGCATGTCACGAAGTGCAGGGCTACATGCCCGGTCGATTGGAGTTTGAGACCGAATTCCTGAATGACGCCGAAGAAGCGGTCCAGCATATGACATTTGAGCCCGGTGCTGGGCTGAATGAGAATGGCGAACCGGATGCGGAGACAGAGTTGAAGATGACCGTGGTCGATATCTACAACTCCCGCCTCACGGCGCGCACGGAGCGCAAGAAGATCCTGTTCGAACACAACCTCCTCGAATACCGAAAGAACACCGCCCTGGATAAGAAGCGATCCAAAGAAGAGCGAGATCTGCTGAACAAAGCGAAGCCTTTGGCGCGCATGATGAACCGCAAGGACTTCGAAGATCTGAACAAGGGTCTGGAATACGAGCATAACCTCCGTCTTGCCATTTCCCAGCTCCAAGAATGGCGCTCTATGGGCATTGGGGACTTGAAGGCTGGTGAAAAGTTCGAGCAGGACAAACAGCAGCGTGTGCAGCGATTGATCCCTCAAGGCTCCTTTGATCGTTTCGCCAGCAATCGCCCCAAGCAAACCCAACTGACAGAAACGCCAGCAGCGGCAATACAGCTGACCACACCCGAACTCCCGCTGCGGTTACAAAAAGCCGCAAACCCACACGCGCCGGCAGATGCTGTTGAGGAATCATTGAACGATTTTGATCGCGCCTTTGCTACCGAGGGCGATGCGCCTCCCCCGCAACCCGCGAAGACTAAATATGTGGTCCCACCGCTGAGTGGGATGCCGCCTTGGAAACTGAATAATGACACTGCCGCCGACCTCCATCTCCTCACCAAGGAAGAGACGGAGGTCTGCAATGTGCTCCGGATTATGCCGAAGCCGTACATGGTTGTCAAGGAGACACTTTTGAAAGAAGCAATGAAGCAGGGCGGCAGCTTGAAAAAGAAGGATGCCCGGACAATTTGCAAGGTATGGATACTCTCCTTGTTGACATTGCGATGCCATACTAACTCTGCTATTAGATCGAGGGGACCAAAACGGGTCGCATCTACGATTTCATGGTCCACAGTGGCTGGATCAACAAGGCGTAGATGCCTTTCAATACCAGGCTTTTTTCTTATAGCACACCGATATCCTGATTTTTGATTTTGTTCAAGGAGCGGCTGGTCTTTCTTTGTCGGCGTTGATATGGAAGAAGGGAGTGTTGGCAACACAAGTTTTCGGAATTGTCTAAGCAGAATCAACACTAAATATCCATGGATTCACTACTGCACTAAATACCCCTATTCCGTCTGCGAGAGTCATGTAGATTAAATTGAGTCCAAAGATAGGGCAACCGATTCAACGTGCCTAGGAAGTAACTAAAAGACGAAGTGATCCACACCCATCGGCCCTCGGCATCTTCTCCGCATCTACTCCGAACGACCTACAAATACCACGAAGCAACATAACCACCTCCAACGCCCCCATTCACCTCGCAAAGTAACACGCGCCCTCATTCAAACAATCCAAAAAGACAAGAAATCATTCAAAATGCCAAATTTCACCATCCACCCCCCAACGCCAGCCCACGCAACACTAAGCTACCCATCCCCACACGTCCTCCTCGTCACTCTAAGCCGACCCCGCGACCTAAACTGCATCAACGCCCAAGGCCACGCAGACCTCCACTCAGTCTGGGAATGGCTAGACGAAGAGCCCAGTCTCCGCGTCGGCGTTCTAACAGGACAAGGACGGGCGTTTTGCGCAGGTGCCGATCTAAAAGGTAAAAAAAGCAAAACCACATGTACCCAGCCCAACCCGATCATACTAACCTCACCCAGAATGGAACACGCGCGCCTCATCATCGAAAACCACACCGATGCCCAATAGTGGATTTGGAGGACTTGCACGGCGCAAGGGCAAGAAACCCGTTATCTGCGCCGTGAACGGCATCTGTCTTGGCGGGGGTGCGGAGATGATCATTAACTCCGATATTGTGATTGCGTGGACTGGGGCGGTTTTCGGATTGCCGGAGGTGAAGAGGGGGGTTGTTGCGCTTGCGGGGGCATTGCCTCGGCTTGTGAGGACTGTTGGCAAGCAGCGGGCTATGGAGATGGCGTTGACGGGGCGGATGGTTGGAGCGGTTGAGGCGGAGAAGTGGGGGCTTGTGAATTCGTTGGTTGATGTTGGTAAGGTGGAGAAGGGGGAGGCTGGGCAGGAGGTTGTTGCTAAGGCTGTTGTTGGCAAGGCTTTGGAGGTTGCGGCTGAGATTGCGGGGAATAGTCCTGATGCGGTGCTTGTTAGTCGGGAGGGGCTGAAGTTGGGTTGGGAGGGGATTGGGGCTGATGAGGCGACGGTTATGTTGAATGAGACTTGGGTTAAGAGGTTGTATGAGGGGGAGAATATTAAGGAAGGGTTGAAGGCTTTCGTGGAGAAGAGGAAGCCCGCTTGGGCTGATAGTAAGCTGTGAGTGGGTTGAAGATCAGGGTTCGTTTTGTATATAGGAGATGGCAATATAAGATAATTGTGAATGTTTCATTTCGCTATTCATACTACAATTCGTTAAGTCATACAAGAAAAGAAAAGAAGCCATTTCTCCATCGCGCCATATCCTGGTATTCGCCATATTCCATGCGGGCTTAATTCAATGCGATATCCATCAGATGCGCGGTTGTCCTGCCTCTCTTTGAGTGGTGTTAGGAGGCTGTTGTAAGGTTGACGGGGAGAGGTTCCTACTTTGCGTCGGATTGTACACCGTCCACGACCTTGACCACGTGGGGGAATAGAGGGTGGTCTCGGTCCAAGCCGGTCAATCGGACAGCAGCGTCGGCAGGCGAGTTCTCCTTGAGGATCTGGGCCAGTTCCACACTCTCATCGTCGCCTTCCACATTCTGGAAACGGAGAGCCATCTCCACGGAACCAAGCAGTGAGTCGAACTTTCCACCACGCTCAGCGAGTTGTGCTGCTGGGCCGATGAATCGTTCCTTGCGGGACAGTTTGCGGACGGGGGCGCGGCCCACACGCTCGACGCTGTCTTCCAGGTAGTGGTTTGAGATACGGGCGATGATGGTCTCCACGTATTCTTGCTGTTCGGTGGCGCTGATTTCGTGCTTGTCAACGATCAGGGCTGCAGTTTCTTGGAGGACATCTCGAACGATGCCGCGAATGCTCTCATCTCGTAGAGCCTCAGCAATAGTCTTCTTGCCAGCTTGGTATCCATAGTAGGCTGCAGTGGCATGACCGGTGTTGACAGTGAACAGCTTGCGCTCGATGTAGGGCTCCAGGTTGCCGACCCAGTGAATGGCATCGATCTTGGGAGGACCACGCTCGCCGAAAGGTCCGGACTCGACGGCCCATTCGTAGAACTTCTCGATGCGGACATTAAGACCGGCATCCGCAGCTTGTGCCGGAACGATGCGGTCAATAGCAGAGTTGGCAAAGCGTGCCCTCTCTGACATGGAGTTGAGACGGTCTGCGGCAGTGTTGTCCTTGATGAAGCCATGGAGAGTATCTGTGGCGCCAATAGCATTTTCACAGGCAATCACGGCGAGTGGGGTGGGGTCAGTTCGGGCGTCGATGCCTTTGGCAATGACGGGGGCGATGAATTTGAGGATGTTGGGGCCTACAGCGCAGGTGACCACCTCGGCAGTGGAAATCTCCTGGATGACATCGGCTTCGTGGGTCTTGGAGTTGATTGCACGGTAGTTGGTGATGGTCTTGGTGGATTCACCCTCGTCGCTGACTTCCGTGACCTGGTAAGACTTGGTACTTTGCAGGGCATCGATGATCTTGTCCATGACATCCACAAAGACCACTTCATAACCCGCCGTGTGGAGGAACTCAGCCACGAAGCCGCGGCCGATGTTACCACCACCGAAATGAATTGCCTTCTTCTCCATGATTGATGTGGAAGTAGAGGGTTGAGTGAGAGAGAGGAGAGAAGTATGAGTAGAAGTAAAAGAAGTGTGAGTAGTCGAAGACAGTCGGGAAAGGGTATTTATATTCGGAAAGAGGGGGACAAAAAGGGAAGTCTGGGCAAGTCCACGATGACTTCATAGATATTGGCCCTTGACGGAACTGGGCTCCGCCTTGTTTTCAACTGCCTATTGACGCCGATGCTGTTACACTTTCTCCCCGCTCCGTGTAATATGCAACTTCCTCCGTACGTACTCTCCATACGGCATACCCTAAGGTACAGTGCTACACTAATTACCGTGCAGTAGAACGCGATGTTTACCCCCACTTTCTTCCTCTTTTGTCCTGTATACTTCAGATGAGGCACTCCCATTCGATATCAGATTCCCCAGTCCACTCACCGGAAAAACGCTCGGGGAAACTCGTGGTTGATTCACGCTTTGACAGGAGACACGGGAAACCTTGGCAATTCGGGCCCAACAGCCGAAGAGCCACGGAGGACAGTCGTCCTGAATCTATTCCCCTTCCCTATATCGTGTGAGGTATATTCAAAATTGTATGGTGGGATGTTCCTATTCTAGTAGATATGAAGTCTAGACATGCCATCTCCACATGTGGTGACGTCGGACGGTTAGCAGTGAAGACCCAGTTTTTACCCGTTACTAGTACTGCGAACTCCATCAGGTCAACATTCGATCACATTCCATGACTGAATGGAGCTAGCCACATATCATTTCTAAATGGCTGCCTGTGAGAATCAAGGGTCAAACCTTCATTGGGTGCACTCAGATATCCCGCAAGTGGCCGGATTCGCAATGGTCTTGAAACATCTAGTAGGTTCTCGACTGGACTCTCCGGATATCAGTGTTATTGGTATTCCTATTTTGCCCGCTTCCGACTGGCTCCGTCTACCCCTCCATGTCGTCCACGGCCTTTTCAATAGGCGCAGCAGGCCGGAATGTATTAATCAAGCACACAGCACTGCCCACCAGGAGTAACCCCGCAGCAGCCCAGGTCATCCCGAGCAGTTTCTCCCCATACTTGGCCGACACATTCGACCCCTTACCGTGGGCGTTAATCAAATCCACGAACTCAAACGCCAGCACTGTCGCGATGATGGATGCGACATTGACACAGAGAGATCCGAGCTGAATACAGTCAGCCACCGTCGTATCCACGTTGACAACCCTAGCGCTGAGCACAGACAAGTGTCCCCAGAGCTAGTTGAGTCCGAATATCCACTTACCACCATAAACCCGCATTCGAATAAGCCCTGCCCGGCTCGGGGGGCAACGGCGGTCCACAATTTAACTAGGAGCGCCGCGCCCATCGCGCCAACCCCGATACTGTACAACACCGCCATCGACCGAGTGGTCATTCTAAACGCATGGAAGTCGTCGCTGATCACGCGCGGCCACTCCAGGTTCTCGTCGTGAGTGACCGGCCACTCTTGGGTCGGGTCGAAGGAGAAGAGAATCTTGCGGTGCGAGCACTCGGTCACGTTTCGTGTCACTCGCGCGCCGGGATCAGACGCTCCTAATGTCCCCTGGCAATAGGACATGATGTGGACGGAATAGAAATCGTGCGCGGTACTGTCGGTACTGCCTTCTGGTGTGTATAACTGTAGAGCGGGTCAGCTGAGGCTCGTCGGTCGTGGTATAGATGATTCTCACCGTCAAGAGATCGACGTTTTCTAGGAAATTCTTCTGCGTCCCCGCGAAGAGACATAATATCGTGATTATAAACGCGATGAATACCGTCACCGTCGGGAAAATCCTCTTCGGTTTCAACATGGTCGTATGTGTAGTATGCCAGATGTTCAGAGATCACAATGGATCGTTGGTTTAGTAACTGTCGGCGAGAATATTTGCAGGGCTCCCCGTGCCGATGATGTGATGTTTCTTTTACAGTGAATCAGTGAAGACCGAATCTACGATTCTAGCGCTGCATCCTGCTTATATGGTAATGAAGATCCCACGATTCGCGACCTGAATTTTTCGCGCTCTTCATTCCTACCGTGGGCTGCCAACATGGTTGGAATAGTAGGCCAAGCTCAGATCATCCGTGGTATGCAGATTTCCTGATGTAGGGAGTCTCTCGTTGGCCATGTCAACGCCAAGCTCATGAAGGGGGGATCCCGCCCACGCGAGGAATGCTCGGGGATGATACCAGCCACGAACGTGCACGCCAGACAGTCAACGGGTACCGGCTAAGCAATAACGTGATAAAATCAAGGATTTTCAAATGATCATTATCGTCATGGCCTGGATTGTGTCAAAGAGACTGGAACATCAAGAAACCGCACCTTGGCATGCGATGACTCTAGACCTTGCTTTTAAGCACAGAGATGCGATATGTAGTCTTTTAGGTACGAGTTTAATGAGTGCAGCACCCGTTGACTCTACGAAGCAAGTAATGTGTTTGATAGTCTTCCATAATAAAAGGCTTAAGGTTATGCCCTGCAACTACTAGGATGGTGAATGCCGCATGGTTGACAGCGGGCAATGATATGCCTTTTATAAGAACAGAGTTCTGAGCTATCCCAACCCTGGAAAGACTCCTGGAGTCCGCAAGGAACATGCACATGATTGGAGAGCCCCCTGGCCCTGGCACCAAAGTCTTCGACCTCATGTTGACAACATGATTCCCATGAACTCGTCATATGTTGACCATCATGCCTACAGGAGTATGCTTCGAATATTCAGAGGATGCAGTTCTTCGGAGAGAAGAAATCAATTCTTGCCTGCGAGAACTTGGAAGTTGTCTACCCCATTACTCGCTCTCAAATCGTGTGTCCAACGGACTGGGCGTTTCTATCTTTCAGTCTCCATCTTTCCTCGACGCTCCGCCACCAAGTGAGGGGAACCCATCAAAACAAATATCACTTGTACTCGCATTCCGAACAAGCCAACTATGGAGGAGAGCTGTGTTCTACAAGTACTTCTCGATGAAGTTAACCAGGAGCTCAACCGGTTCGAAACACAGATACATTCAGAGCACACTAGCCCACCGGCATATGGCTCGGAAAAAAGAGAGCTAGACCAACAAGTCGCACTTCAGGTTTGGAAATTCGAACTCGAAAGACAACTGGTCGTTCTGAGTGACCGCCAGACCGCGGAAGCCCTAGAGCTGGAAGACGAAGCAGACGAAAGTCCACTGCCAAGGATCAGTTTCACAAAATGGATCGCGATGACTATTCGGAAGCTCATCACCTCATTAAAACATATCCTAGGAATTACCAAAATCACGAGCTGGGCCGAACCAAAGTTCCGATTTTGTGCTTGCTGTCGAGCATCTCACAGCCGAGGCTTCGAAGCCCGATGCTCCCATTTCTACTGTAACGACTGCCTATTAACCATGGTCACAATGTTCCTGAAAGGTGAATCACCTCCGCCAAAATGCTGCAATCAATTGATCTCCGGCCCGGGAATGAAAACAGCGATTGGAAGCACTGTGGACCAAAAGTTGAAAGAGAAACTCATCGAGTTCAACGACCCCGACAAGACGTACTGTTCCAACGAGAGATGCTCGCGATATATCGTGTTTAAAAGGTCCTTTCTGTCAAGGCTTACCACAAGACGAATCTACACCTGCGTGTGTGGATTCCGCACGTGCAGAAAATGCAAATCTTCCGCTCATAGTGGATTGTGTCTTCACCCGTGGGACGCCGCGTTCGAGTGGATGAAGATGATCTCGAGATGGCAGGATTGCTTCAATTGTGGCCGTGTGATTGAGCGTATTAGCGGCTGTACGCACATGATGTAAGTTCCATCTCTCACCTGTGCATATACTTCAGCGCTGCTGGGCTGGGCTTTCATGGCTCCCTGTAATCGCGGATTATTTGGCGATCTGGTATACATGAGACGTTTTATTGACTTTCTCTAGGTGTCTTTGCGGCGCTGAGTTGTGTTATAGCTGTGGGAAGAAATGGAAAACTTGTCATTGTCGCTGGTAGCTCTATCGGTGAGGGACTGTTGTTGTTAACGCGGGTATAGAATCTTGGTCTGTGTGCTGGCATCCGGTTCTAGTGTCAAATGATACCGAGAAAAGAAGGGTAAAGCCTATACAGGGCTTGTGCTCCATATTCCTCTCTCTTGGTTAATTCTTCTCCCTCACGCTTCCTCTTATATAATCTTTCCATATCAGAGTTCTGAGAAGAGACAGGATACGTTTATCCACCTGGGTAACTGTACTTTGAAAGCTTCCATCCTGAAGATCCTGCAGTACATGGAACCGCAAAATATACCGAACCCTCTTGGTGGCTCTGGGCGGCTAACTGCAACTGAGGGTGATGAAAGAGAGTATGTCGAAAGGTATATGGAAACCGCGGGGAATCATTTAGTGCATGACCTGGTGTATAATGTACCGAGAGTGAAAGGAGCCGGAAGTCGAGCAGACTGAGATAGAAGATGCAGGCGGCGGTGCGGAGGAACAATTGCTTCCATCTCCAATTATGCAAGTGGGCGGAGGTCGGAGGAGGTCTGATAGGGCCACAGTGCCCTCAAGCCGACTGCAAGGCTACGAACCCTGGGTAGGGGTTCCAGAATAATTCGGCCAAGAACCGTGAGGTACCGATCACGTTATGTCGCGGTCCACTTTGATGCGCTGAAACTAGCCCTCTCTGTAGAAAAGTGGCAGCCGAAGAAGCTTGAGAGAAACCACGGAGCTACGGCCCCGGAGCCGGACCCCGCATCCCGGGGGCGGATAACACTATCTATACCGAGCATGCTCCGATTCAATTAGTATATAAGCAGACAGCTTGTTTAGTTGTCTATAATTATAATATTTACCCATACGCTTCAAAAGTAAGATACAATGAGTCGTCGTCGAAATTCTTATGCTAACATCACTAGTGTCCAACAACAAGATCGTTCCTCTTACCATTATCAAGGGTGCCGGCAATGAGCTAATCCCTATCCCTCAGGGCGAGTGCGCTATCATCGCCGACTTCCACTCAGTCAAATCCCAAAGCTCACACACCACCCCTTACCTGACCACTGGATTGTACCGCGTTGTGCCCGGTCCTACACGATACGGCGAGTACGACTACGAGGAGACCAAGTTCGTTCTCAAGGGTCAGATCGATATCACCGTAAGATACCTGTCGATTGAGAGATCTGTATTGTGAATGATACTGATAACATACAGGATGAGGCCACTGGCAAGACCCACCACCTCGTTGCTGGAGACTGGGCTTTCTTCCATGTTGGATCTAAGGCTCAAGTGAGTTCTCTGTATTCCAATCTCTGTGTACACCTGCTGATCCATTTATAGTTCTCAACAAAGACTGAGGGCATTGCTTTCTATGCCGTCACCCGGCCAATGAACGCCGGCCACCCTAACCTTGTTGGCCGCGAGGAGAGCACTACAAAGTTGTAAAAGTCATTGCTATCTTAGCCTGATAGATGAGCCTTCATGCACGATCCATGATATTTCGCATTGTGTACTGTAATCATAGTTTCAAGTGGTTTTAAATCTTAAGAAATTAATGTCTATGGATTCGGCTGAAGAACCTTGCGACAAAAGGGTGCGGAGTACGACCAGAACAATTCGTCGCCCTCTCCCTTCGCGCTTGGGCATCCGGTTGAGACCTCCGGACATTCCAAAACATGTCATTAACCAATATTTCCGAATTCTGCTAAACGGAGACCTTGGGATGCGCATGCATCCATGTCAGGTGATGTAGTAAGCAAAAAGTTCTTCCCAAATCAATCATTACACAAATAAGTAATGAAGCCAGCAATACTTGTACCTAGTAGCGAAAGGATCCGATGTGTTTTTTCTTTCTTTCTTTTTTTCTTTCTTGAATATCTTCCAAGTTGAAGTTAAGCAGAAACTGATCTGAGGTTTTGAACCTTGAAGAACTAAGATGCAGAAAAAGTTTATTTCATCTATGCAGAACCATTTTTATATATCTGTTGGTCCGTCACGTGCACGGATGTCTTCAAAGTCGTAAAAAAGAACCTTGGAACCTATATTTGTGAGATTCTTCTTTTACCAGGCCTAGTTTCGGCTAATTTCATTGTCCTGACATTCATAGATATCACCGGTATCTCGAGGTCGTTACATGCTGCCCAGGTGGAGTTGATACCTCAGGCCCCACTGGGCAATCGTGAGGTTCAGCCAACTGAGCCATGGGCAAAAACAATCATAAACCGATTCCAAGGTGTTCTCAAGCTAAAACATCAAGAAATAACGTTTTACTGCCAACGCAATCTCTATTGCGATCACACGAGCAACTTCCCGTTACATGGTGGGATCTATGTCGTTCACGCCGGAAACGGCAAAACATCATCGAATGTCACTCTACGTCGTGCTCAAGCAAATCCCGAATTTGGAACCCTCTAAAGTAGTTCGAGTCTAGTTTCTTATTGCTGTCATGGAGCTATCCACTTTTAACAACATACTCAGGTACTGGTTGATCAAACTTTGGAAGTGCAGGCAAAATGACAGTCCTGGTGTCAGCCGCACTCCAGGGCTAGTATATCACACTTCCCAATTTCAGAATTTGGTAAACAGAAATCGACTAGCAATAATATGTCAAGCTCAATCGGAAGCAATAAATAATCTTGAAAACTGTCAAGAACCATTGCTGATAATTGATGGAGGTTCCATTGGCGTTCTGTAGAACCTTAGCAGCCTAGGTTTCCGTGAACCTTGGAATTTCGCGGGTGTGCGACCCGCGGTCACGAAGTTGACCCGGAGCCAAGGTATTCATAGAGACTCACAACCAATCGAAATTCAATGATTTACTACCCAGATACCTAGGTATGCACTTGACATTTGATCAGGACCTCGGGAACTTTCATCGGAAACCTTGGAAGGGTGTTGCTCGTATCAACAGCCCTATAGGGACCGGCGAGTGAGCTACGTGCGCCCATGCCTGGACAAAATGCAACCTGCAAGCGTATTATGAACGACCACCTGAGTGAAAGCCACCACTAACTAGTGGCTTATGGCCGCACCTGGCCCCGGGAGCACCGGAGCTCGAGCCCTAGCCCGAAGGAACAACGCGCCTAGTGCGGTTGCACGAAGCCTGGAAATCAAGTATCAATTTGATAAGTCCGGCCTAAACGAGGACACTAGTGACATTCAGCAAGGAGTCGGGGCCCGAACCGAACAAGGAAGTGCCGTGAAACGAACGCTAGAAACCTTGACTGCTCACACGTGTGATGGGGCGTCAAGAATCCACCCTAGCTGACACGAAGATTCGGACATAGCGAGCCGATAGCTTATGTATTCTACCTACCTACCTTCATGGGAAAAAGATCGGGAGAGCCAAGACCGTAGCCAAGCGTTTAAGATGAGGTTTACAGATCGGCATCGGATGACTTCAGCGTGGATACCAAGCACACATGAAACGGCAATGCAGGGAGCTTTCTAGCACCTAGCTTCTAGAAGGCAGCCGCTAATGCCAAAGATCCGGCAGCCGATGCAAGACGGAATCCAAGACGGGCTACGAGACAAAAAGAGCCCCCTAAAGCGAACCAGAATGTCATCCACCAGTGACGATTGGCTGGGCGCATGCAGTCTCGGGCGCGTGCAGCACAGGATCGGCCAGTATCCACGCTGCCACAGCTGAACCCCTGGATTGCAAAGAAATGACGCAAAACCGGGGCCCATGCAGGCGAGCCGGATGTCATACGCAAGGTGGGTTCTAGAGTTCCATCTGGATATCTCAAACGGTGGCTGAAGTAGGGGAGTCAGCCGAGATAGCCTGAGCCGAGAAAAAGTAGCCAGCGATAGACGCGGAATGGGAGCACGTGCGTGCTCGCGAATTCCAGCACCAAGCATTGGTGAAGCTCACTTGGCGACGCCTTCGCTTGGACGCCTATTGCTTGACGCGCCGTAGGTTTGAGCGGCACGAACCTGGCAAGGAGGGGCCGAGAAGCAAGCATTAGCCAAGATGTTGGATGATGCTCGGCGTATTGTGGTCGCATGCTCTCATTGTTGTCGTGTTATTGGACCCTGATGGTCAAATGGGTGTCGATAGTGCAGTTTTTTTTGAGGACCTAGTCTCAAAGCCACCGTCGATAGCATATCATGCCATTGTTTGCCCGCTAAACACGTAAAACAAGGGTGTGAGGGCATCGCATGGCCGTGATACCACGTGTGGGAAGGTTTGAGGTTGGAAGTGAGATGAGATGCACATGGGCATATGCGGGACGCTGAGTGGCCAGAGATCCATGCATATCCCCCGGGTTAGCGTGGAATTTCAAAGCCACTACGTCAAGGGGCCAGAGCGGCCCGTTTTTTAACTTTTTGGATCTCGAACAGAAACTGGAGATTGAACTCATGTCCGCGTCCATACTTAGAACGCGATGCATTGTATTCGTATCTCCGGTCCACCCGCTGCCGCCTATCGGACTGCATTGTGTCACTGTCAAAGCGCGGAAATGAAATTGCCCCTGGCCATTTGAGCTATGCCACTCTGCCATACGGAAGACGTAGCATCACACTGTCTAGTACCCAGGCATCGAGGAGATTTGCATCTTGCATCAGTCTGCAATTATGTTGCCTTTCACCGTTCGAGGAAGATCCCTGCACAGTGATTTGGAAGCCCAGAGAGCCCTCAAATCAGACCAGCACACAAATCCATTGCCCCCAAACGCACATATGTTAAAGGGCAAAATCGAACGCCCCCCCGCGAAGATCAGCCCAGACACGACCGCCTACCTAAAGAAGCGATCTGCATCCGGATTCTGCCACCACGTGCAAAGTTGATTGGTTGCCGGCTCCTCCAGTTGCCCCCGCAGGAGGCTCCACTTGATCCAGAATTGCCGTTTTCGGCACGACTAACCAGAGAAACCCCGACCAAACCAGCGAAATCCGAGGGTCCGAAAAGACTGGGACCACAGTTGAGCGGCCGAAACCCAACGCAGTTTCTTTGCAATTCTTTTTTTTTTTTTTTTTTTTGGGTGTGGAGCCCGTCACCGACTTATCAGCGATGGCTGCCATCGCATGTGTCCTTCGCTTGGCCTTTCCCATCTTTTTCTCTTCTCCCGTCCAGTTCATATATAAAACCCAGGATCGCCACTGCCACTGAGAATTGATCATCCACAACCCTCGTGGTCTTCCTCGACCTCCTCCCTCATTCCCTCCAGGATTTGAACCTGTCCTTCCAGGCCCAAAAATTCTTGCTCACGCGACACCTGAGGGAAGCTTCCTATCATGGCCGATTTTGGACCTCGTGCCCCCCATGGGCCTGACATGTCGGGAACCCACAACCCATTGGAAGACATGGACATCAACGAGAAGGGTGCTTTCGATTCCCTGATCCGACCCGACGACAGCTATACTCCCGAGGGCACCTACTGGGCTGACCTGCCGCTCTTCAAGAAGATTGGCTTCGTCACCTCCTACAACAACAAGGAAGCGAAGCGGGAATTGAGTGACATCTGGAAGATGACCAAGGAGGACCCGCTCTCACCGATTTCCTACTACTTCCGCAACATGGTGCTGCCCGGTGCCGGTCTCGGTCTGGAAGGTTACGTGCTCTTCTCTATCGGTAACATCAAGCCGTTGTTTCAAAAAGCTTTCCCCGACTGCTGGGAAACCCACGAGATCTGCAGTCAGCAATGGATGTCCGCCATTGACTACCTCGAAATCATTGGTATCATCGTTGGTCAGGTTCTGGTTGGAATTTTGGGTGACTGGTAAGCAATTGCAGAAATTTGGATAATTGGCTGGCCATTAACACGAAAATTAGGCTCGGTCGTCGCTGGGGTTTGATTCAGGATGCTGCTATCATGTTGCTCGGTCTGATCATGTTGACTGCCGCTTGGGGTGTCACACAAAACGGCTGGGTGATCTGCTACGCCTGGTCTCTGTTCATCTACGGTATCGGTGTTGGTGGTGAGTACCCCATGACCGCTACCAGCGGTATGGAGAACGCTGTTGGCTCTGGCAAGATCTCCACCAAGGAGGATCGTCTGCACCGTGGCCGTAAGGTCACCAGTGCTTTCCTGATGCAGGGTTGGGGTCAATTCGCCAACCAGGTCATTCTCATCATTCTCTTGCTCTGCTTCCACCACGGCAGCGGAAACAACCCTTACTCCGCGGTTGCGGTCCAGTGGACCTACCGTGTTTCCTTCGCCCTTCCCGCCGTTGGCACCCTGTGGCTCGTGTACCACCGTGCCTACCACATGAAGGCTGCCAGCAAGCAGCTTGACGCTGCCAAGAAGAAGTCTTCCGTCACCGGCTACGATGCTCAGTCTCTCAAGTTGACTTTCCGCTACTTTGGTTTCCGTATCTTCGCGACTGCTGGCGGCTGGTTCGCCAACGATGTCTTCTTCTACGGTAACAAGCTTTTCCAGAGCGAGTTCATCAAGGTCATCAGCCCTGCATCCGAATCCGTCATGCCCACCTGGTTGTGGAACTTGGTCAACGTTGGTGTCTCGCTGTGCGGATACTACATGGCCTCTTTCATGATCGATAACAAGCTCTACGGTCGCAAGTGGATGCAGATCATCGGTTTCCTGCTCTGCTTCATCCTGTTCGTTGTTCCCGCCTTCAACTTCGACTACTACCGCCGTCCGGAGAACATCAAGTCTTTCCAGACCATGTACTTCCTTTCCTCCTTCTTCAACCAGTTCGGCCCCAACTCTGTCTCCTTCCTCGTCGCCGCCGAGGTCTTCCCCACTCCCATCCGTGCCTCCGCTCACGGTATGTCCGCTGCCTGGGGTAAGGCCGGTGCGCTCTTAGCCGCCGTTCTCTACAACTACATCGACACCCAAACCAAGTTCTACGTTGTTCCTTGGTTCGGTCTGGCCGGTGCCGTCATCACCGCATTCTTCCTCCCCGATACCACTGGTCTGGATCTGAAGGAGCAAGAACGCCGCTGGGAATACCTTCGCCAAGGCAAGGAAGAGGACTACCACGGTCCCGCCGTGCACCCCAAGCACCTGTCCTGGTACGAGCGCTACGTCCTGCGCAAGCATCGCTTCTACAACGCCGAGCTCGACTACCAACAGAAGGTCGAGGAGTACCGCGCCGAGTGGGAGTCTGCCATGGCTGCTAAGACTTCCGAAAAGGAGGATGCCAACAACTTCGACACTGACGATACCCTCCTCGAGGGTCACGTTCACACATACTTCCACCGTACCAGCCCTATGTTCAAGGGTATGGAGAAACCCGTCTCTTCCAAGCAGGATAACTTCACATTACCTCCGCCTGCGGAGAGTGAGCTTGAAGATTCCGATTCAAATGAGAAGCGATAAGTGTCGATTTTTTGTATATAGATAATTCCCCTGGTTTCCTTTCCTGTTCTCTTTTTTTGTGAAAAACGTGCATATACACCGAGTTGCTTTGAAAGCCTGCCTTGCTTATGAACTGAATGCATAACTTTGCTTGATGCATGGAGCGATGAAGTTGTCCTGTAATTAGAAGTTGATACCACATACATCTTGCTCCAATTGGACAGTTGCTACACAACCTTTCTCTCCGGTTCCTGGATTTCCTAGACTCCTTCAGCTATAATACTTATCGAATTGGGGATTATACCGAAGTGCACTGATGCTATTATTTCACGTCTGTTCTCCGGTAATGAGTATTAAAACAAGCCGTGATGTCCATGGTCGAAAAGAAGTGAGACTCCGTTGTGAGCGATGGCCGCTCCGGATAATCATTTTTCCACCTGGCATTTCCCCTCCTGACAGCGCCCCTTTCATTCCCTCTTGACTGTGTAAGTCTGCTCACTTTTTCATATTTCTGGTATGCAACAGAATACGTCCATAGCCTCTATTTGAAAATGAAAACACTGGATGATCAAGAAAGAACGACCCTTCATTCGTTGTGCGGCCGCACGATTGTCAAAGTCGGGGACAACCTCGTCGTGAAATCGGGCGATATTCGCGCCCACGAAGCCGAAACACTTCGTTTCATTGCTGCAAACACGACAATACCCGTGCCCAAAGTCCACGATGTCCAGTGGGAAGATGGCAAAGCCGTGGCTATCGTGATGGATTACATACCTGGCAAGCGACTCGATGAAGCATGGGGTACTTTGAACTCCGATCAGAAGCTATCCATCGCCTCCGAGCTTCAATCCTTCATAAATCAACTTCGCGAGTTGAAGGGTAGCTACATCGGAGCTATCAATCGTGGCAAAGCTATAATTGGACATATTGCGTCAATTGAAGGCGGACCTTTTGATTCCGAGCAGCACTTCAACGAGTTTATCCTGGGAGATATCATCCCATCAGCACCGGCTATGCTACGACATCATGCCAAATTTGCGCTTATGAATGACCATGAGATTGTTTTTACCCACGCCGATTTCTCCCCGCGTAATATCCTAGTCGAAGAAGGCCGGGTCACAGCCATCATTGACTGGGAATATGCTGGCTGGTATCCAGAACACTGGGAATATATGCAGGCGCTTCAACGACTGAAGCCGATGCCCGACTGGCCAGAATATTTGTCACTTATTCTTCCACCCCGCTACGAGAGAGAATACATAGGCATGTCTTTCCTAACTCGCCTTTTAACCCATTAGCGCATACTACTACTATGGATGACATGCCCATGTGCAGATACCCCGGGGTCCATCTGGGACAAATTTCGATTTAGCAACATTCCAAGTTGGAAGAAATAATAAATGTACTCTCGAGTGTTCAAGGAACTTTAACCAAAACAGCAAAGGTCTCCAACCCGAGGTCCGCTCTCCCCGAGATCGCAGAAAGCACTGCTGATGTTGTTCAATTGGATCGGACCTTGGAAGTACCTAGATACTAGGGCTTCTATGTAAGCAATGAAAGTCTCAAGTGCTCCAAGACTGCTCGTATTTTTCTTCATACGTTACTCACCGGCAATGTGAACTTCGGAAGTTTTGCGGCACGCACAGAACCCTTACTCATCTTCGGCTTCCAAACACGCATCGGTGATTTGATCGATGGCCGATGCTCGCTGAAACGCATTGAAATACCCATTGTTCACCATCCGGGCAAGGGCATCTCCCACCCAATTCTGGCAGTTCCAATCCGCCTCTTCAGGATCATTGTTTATAGGAGTTTTTGAAACGACATCTCTGATAGAGAGTTCACTGATTGAATCTTGGATTTCCGCCACGGGTAACTTGTGGGTAAGCTTTCGACTTTCCTCAGGACGGTAATCGTCGAGAGGCACGAACCTGAAATACCCAGGGCCTCCCTGTATGTGCAGTGCACATTGCGATCCATGAGAGAATTCAAAAAAAAGAGCTGTATGGCGATACTTGGTGTAGTCGGAAGGCTCACCATAGAAGACAAGAATAAAAACTTTGGTTGGCATTTTGATGGTTCGAATGCAGCTTTCGGATCCGTGATCTGGAATATGGATTTTGTGTCCCGAGAGATAGTCTTTCTAAATGGAACCAAATGCTGTTTAAATAAATAAAAAGGCATGCTGCTCTTCGGCTTTTCACGTCATGTAAGTAGAAAAAGAGCAACCCAAGCAAGTCTGCGCGCGCGGTACTGGATAAGCAAGGGCCTTGTTGGATCTGTTGTAAATTTGAGTGACTTAGTACATCGATCGCATTAGCGCCCATTTCATGGGAGGATGAAATGCCAACTGTTGGTCTTAGGTGATAGATATCTGCCCCCGGGGCCAGGTCACAGGTGGGCGTAACGCCCACGGTCGAAACGCTTCTGGCTCCTCATGTACCAATCAATCTTCGTTTCGTAAATACCAGGCAAAGGGAGTTTTTAGAATCAGGTGTTGGGATACCCAGTAAACTGAACGGAACAAGAAGCGATGGGGTCTCTACTCCGGCGCAGGCTGGTTGGACTCGATTTCATGAGACAGTGAGACAAGGGGAAGGGTTGTCTATGGAGCTAAGCCGACGAGTCTGGGCACATATGAGCGTCTTTTCAGATACTCTTTGTACGATGCTGGCCGCATTAGATGCCTATTCACATCCTCCTGCCTACGTTCTTCAACGCTCGGTATCCACGAAACGCTGTCGCTTCTGGAACACCGGGCAAAGGAATATTCAAACAGTACCTATTCACCTACTTTATGCGCAGCCTCGGAGTTCACAAAGCCCTGTTCAAGTGAATTTTAATTGAATTTTAGAGCATGTATTGATAAAAGAGTACAGAAAATAGCCCCCTGGACGAAGAATATTACTAAAGATAGCGCCAAGTTTGGCTCCAAGGTTTCAACTTGACTTTAGGGCTGGTTTGGAGTACTATAGGATACATTCTCGTAGACATTATGGTTTTATATACATAGGTATTGTTTCGGTATTAAGGCTGCTTCTGCTACGCTGTGTGCCCTTAGTATCATGATACTATCATAATAGATAGACTGCATCTGGGTCACAAGACAACAGTCGCATTGCCATTGACATCCGCATGGGTTTTCGCATTGATATTTTGTCACCCGTAGACCATGTATACCAGGACCCAAGCAACAAGCACGGGGAAGCCACGGGGAGAAAAGCACAACGCAGGTAACCGGCGGCAACCGGTACTTCATTGGGGGCCTTCAGCGACTTGGTCTTGGAAGCAAGAGATCATGGGGAGACAGGCCTGATTCTTGTTTTCGGCGGAGGCGCAGTCAAATATTTTCGGGATCAAAATGCATCTCTCTGTGCCTTGTGCATGGTAGGCCATGCAGTGATGCACAGCCCGATCCTGCTAGATGTTGCCTAGAGTATCAGGACCGGGTAAGCCCACTGGATTGTTGGTGATGAGATAGCCGGGACCACGTCAGAGGCACGGTGCATGCGGTAAATGTAGTCACCTAGAGTCGCAAACAGGCTCGGTGGTCACTGATGGCATCTATCCGGATGGATTGGGGGTTCTTTTGGTCCATCTTCTGTGCAAGGAGTACATTGCTGCCATTTCAAGTTGGCCGGAGCAGGATGTTAGAAAATTCAGATGAACATCCATGGATAATAGGGAAGAGCTAACAAAACTTCATGTCTCCAATGTTCAAATGTTCCAACATTTGAAGTCGACTTGACATGCTGACTAAAAGTGCTCCACCGGGCGACAACATTGAATAATTTGAACGAACACCTCAGGCCTTCACCTGAGCGACACCCAACTCACCAACATAAAGTCACCCTCAAGATACTCGCCCTACAGGACCTAAGAAGATGCGTCTTTTCGCCTTTGGATCAAACGGATCAGGCCAATTAGGAATCGGCCATCAAGAAGATGTCTCCAAGCCCACACAATGTCTTTTCTCAGCAGGCATAGAGTCCAATGCTTTATCTAAAGATCTAAATGAGGAGATCACCACCATTGCAGCAGGTGGAAACCACACCCTCCTCCTCACAAGGTCCGGTGCCGTCTACGCAACCGGAGACAATACAGATGGGCGATGCGGACAGACCTCAACTTCCAATCAAAACAATAGGCCAGCAGACGTCTTCAATCGTCTTACTCTTACAGGTGCCTCGGGCCCAGTCACGGAATTCACCCACATCTCTGCAACATGGGAAGGATCCATCCTTGTGACATCAGAGGCAAGCGGCGACCAGGTTTACGTACTTGGCACGAACACGAAAGGTGAATTGGGCGTCACAGAAGCGCTGGTTTCAAGCGCGGCGTGCGTTCCTGATTTTCCACCGCCCGGTATGCGAGTTACTGCGTTGGCGAGTGGGATGGCACATTCGGTTGCCGTGCTTTCGAATGGAGATGTGTGGGGGTGGGGCGGTGCGAGGAAAGGGCAGCTAGGGGACGAGAATGTGGCCAAGATAGCAAAGCCTGTGCGGATTGAGGTTCCGTTCTTTGCGGAGAAGGTTGCTTGCGGGAGGGAGTTTTCTGTTGTTTCGGGTGGTGGGCAGTTTGTTGTTCTTGGTGATCCGGGGAATCGGTGGGGTATCTTGAAATTACCAGCATGCTTTGAGGTTCCTGGTGAGAGTCGGTCGAGGGGGTTGATTCGGTATCCTTGTTCAGACATCCGGGCTAGCTGGCATGGCATCTATGTGCATGCGGCGGGGCTGGAAGGTGGTGATGCGGAGGATGAAGTCGCGTCGCTTCTTGCTTGGGGTCGCAATGATCGCGGCCAAATTCCACCTCAGACGCTTCCGTCCCCTGCTGTGCTCGCTGTTGGTAGTGAGCATGCTGTTGCTCTTTTGAAGGATGGTCGAGTTGCTGCCTGTGGATGGGGAGAGCATGGGAATTGTGGGTCGGATTTGGATGCCCTGCGGAACGTAGCGGATAGGGTGAACATTATCTCGCTCCCTGAAACTGTGGATGGGAAGGTGATCGGGGTCGGGGCGGGATGCGCGACCAGCTGGATGGTAGTGGAGTGAGTCTACCGTCGATGGTGTGGCCCAGACGCTTCCCATCATGACCTCATTCGGAAAAAAGCCTCAGTCGAAGAGACCGTACTGGCGAACCTGAGACAAACGCTGAGTTGGCGGAAGACCTATCTCGTCATCTGGCTCTTCGGTCCGCTCGTCGCCCTTCAGAGCAGGCTCTGCATCACGAATCGATGCACCGAAAGCATCCTGGAATTGGTTCTCAGCCAATATGCCCATCTATGCAAAGCTGGAAAACATACCTGAGTTCCCGACGCATCCCACCCTAGAATATCCTGGGGCTCCTCCTCTTCGTTCATCTCATCCCATTGTCTATCGTCATCAGCAGGAACAAAGAGACTGTCGAAATCCATCGAAAGACCAGACGCCAAAGGTCGATCCGCGCCGGTCCTTTGACTCAGGTTCTCCTGTGTGGATGATCCATGCAAAGGGCGAATCGATCTGCTCCGTGGCGGCGGTGGTGGCATCGTATTTGGTGCCGATCGCTGGGTTTCGGACGGCCTGGCTGCAACCGGGATTGGCGCTGGTGTTTCTCGTGGGATAGTTGCCCGGGATGATGGAACATCATCATCTGCTTGGCCGCGGGTCATAATCGTGAATTCCGCCTGGACTCCTTCGACCCGGTACTCCAGTTGCAGCGGCTTGCAAGGCCTGGTGAACCGGGCTGTCACGGTGGCATTTGCCGTTTCCGCATGCCCGACTATGGCCTTGAAGTCCTTGAGATTGATTGCCACGTGCATGTTGTCTTCAACCTGATACTCTTGGAAGTCGAGTTTGTCTGTTGCGACAGACGTGTGCACTGGATGTTTCAGAACTTCTGTCTGAAGGTTAGCAAGTCGAATCTTCTCACTAGATAACATGGAATTCCTGCCTTTGCCTTCAGTGATCTTCGTAGTAAAACTGGTGAAGACTGCCCTGCCGGAATCAGAGTACATATCTAATTGCTCGGCAGATAGACTGAAGTGTTCTATCAGGTTCTTGAGGAATCCTGGATCAGCCGCCCACATACTTGTAGCCTTAGATTTGTCAAAGACAGCGTGTTGAATCGCTGCTGGCTCGTAGGTGAGCTTGTATGATTTGATGACACCTAGGAAACTGTCAGAAATTTGGATCATAGTGCAGATATGTCAATCAATAGTACCAAGTCCACATATCATCTTCACTGTGAGTCTGCACTCGGCTTGCTGTGGGTCTTCATGTATTTCCATGTCACAGCGCTCCACGGCGGTGTCTTTGTTCTTATCAATTCTCCCTCGGAAGATTGATAAAAGTGCCTGGAGTCGGATCAGAAAATTTAGAACGATCGTCCAGTGGAGATCCCGCACTCACCTTTGCGTAGATCTGGCAGAAGAATCGATCTTGAGGAGTGCTTCCACTGTGCCCATCATTGCTGGTTTGGAAAGAGTATGTCTCGAAGAAGACATTCTTCTCAAAGGCAAAGGAGGCAAACCCGGTCTTGGTGGAATTGAGGGCACTCAGACGAAGCTGCACTTTTGGTTAACGTACTGTCGAATTTCGAACTCTGAGTCGAGTCATAGGCTGCAAATGACAGCACTTACAAGGGTTGGCTCGGCCTCGATGGCGACGGTCTCACTAAACTTGGACAGACAGATCAAGACGTCATGGAGTCTGACCAAGGCTGGGGGATCCAGCGATAGCGAGAGAGATGTCATCTCTTCTTTTGATACCGCCGACCGGAAAGCTTGAGGTCAACGAAGTAAACAGACATACATTTACAGAGGATCAATTAACGCGCTGTTCAACGCGTCGAAGATATTATGTAATCACGGTGCCAGCCCGCGGGCTGGCCAACTGGTCAAGTGGTGCAATTCGACTTGGGAAATATTTAGATACAAATTTGAATCTCAGTGGGATTGCTGTTGCTTCAAAGCAATTGTAGAGCGGTATTCAATAACAAATAGCCTCACATCGATGGCGATAAACAAATATCTCTGCTAGAACCTCTTTGGGTCAAAATCACACCCAAGATCAAGATCGTTCGAAGCCTCAACGAGCTCATTATCTTGTATGGTCTCCCCGGTAACAACATCCGCATCAACGGTTGCTTCACATGAGTAGCACATGGCGTAGCCTGTTCCGCTACAGCTTCCACACCAGAAGTCTGACTGGCGGCACATGGTGCAATACCTATATGTTTGGTTAATGAGATGGCATAGCAAGTCTTCAAAGGTTTCAAAGCTTACGCTGAAGTGATGCTCACATAGTTGCTACATGTGATGCAGGGATAAGACGGCATATTGATCTGTCCCGAGGTCTTGTTAGGTATACTCCATGCATGAGTGGGTATCACTTGCAAACGAGGACTGGAGTCTTAGCTAGAGAAGCTTGGTATCGAAGATGTTGCCACGGTCTGGTTCAAGGTTGGTACTCGTGAGTCTTATGTCCGTCTCTCGGGGTCCATAGAGCTTTATATCTAGTCCAGGTGAGGCTTCCCCGCCCATTCCAAAGGTCCATTCTCCATTGTGCCGGGACTGACAAGCTGCAGTATGCCGATGTCCTAATTAAGGCTTTTGAGCCTCGTGCAAGTACTTGGTCTCCGTGTTGACAATGGGGTACTGACGTGGGATGTAGTCACTGGTTAGAAATTAGAGCCACAGAGCTTGGAGACTTGGCGCAAGAGAGTGGACGTTGACTGGATACGTGGGAAATACTTGTGGCGTCTGACATGCAGACAGCATTTCCGCTCGAGGTGGGAGATAGAATGGAGAATTCATACTTTGTGTACGTCCGTTTATTCTCGGGGTAGTGCCCGGGTGAGATGGCATGACACGGGTGATAGGCACACCTGATTTCACAACCTCGGGAGTCGTGGAAAGCATCGCCTGGACAAGCGTATCTCATTTCCATGCACAAGACTACCCGAACGGAACAGAGCTAAAGAGTGATCCTTCAAATCCAAAGATAAATGCATTGTATGTATTCTGAGCTGGAGTATGAAGGATAGATGTGAATATTCAGAAATAAAGAGCTTTTTCATAAGGTCGTGAAGATGAGATATGATATCTCATAGGCAAGGAAGAGCCAGGGCAGTCCAAGATGCTTTATCAATTAAAGGGGCCCAGGCCCATGTCCAGGTTCCGGCGCATTGACCGGAACATGTTGTCTGTCGTTGTTGGTTGCAAGTTCTGCCCTGGGATTTGTATTGTTTGGAGGTTCTCCAGTTCCCCCGATTCCAGCCCGGTCTCGTTGAGGTAAAGGGTGTGGGAACTGCATTTCCAAGAACCGTCGCCTGCGTCGTCCGTTTCGTACAGCGTGCAAAAAGTTGACACCGACTTGAGCCAAGAAGATTGCGAGGAACGCACCAATCACAAACACCTGAGGAATGTGAGTTTCTTCCGAATCGGACTGTCCCGTGTCGCGATGCTGGGCATGCTCATGGGACATCGGAGGGCTTGTCTCGGGGATCGAGAGCTGAGAGCCACCGAATGAAATGGATATGGAGAATGAAAGTGGCGTCAATGAGGAGAATGCTGTGAATCCGCTTGGTGACATTGACGTGAGGAATCCAGCTAGAGGTTTCATGACCAACGGAATGATGCAGAAAATGAGGAGGGGAACGGATAGTCATAAGACAGAGTAGAAAGATGAACGGGTAGACCTGTGTGTAGACGATCAGAGGAGTAGGTAAAGAGATAACGTGCAACTTACCAATCTCGAGCTTCGAGTTGTCTTGCCCATTTTGCCGAGACCTTCAGCCTCTCACGAACGCTTGTGGCAGATAGTATGGGGTATTTCTCTTCTTCGGATATAGGCAAAATGCTTGCAAACCACCAGGGGAATCGTGCGGCATCCACGGGTATTGGCCCATATGCCAGCATGACCCGAGGGTGCAACCAAGGGGCCCCAGACCTGCGCTGGTTGCTGATGAATTCTCTTGCCAAGAGAAGAAGTTGCTGCGTGGACATTGAGTCTAATTCGGGCTCAGAAGGGACACTCTCTGGCAGAACATCTTCACCATGTGTTGAGGTCTCCAGGGCCTCAAGACGCTCCTCTTCTGCCAGCGGTATATCCTCCACGCGCTCTGTTTTGGCAACATAATATCCATCCAACATTGCAGAGTCAGTGATCTTGAACCGTGACACACCCGTAGCCACAACCAGACTCCGACCATCAGGAAGCAACTCGTATCGCTCTATCATCAAAAGCGTTCCATGTTGCATGAAAGGTGCATCGTCCACATGACCGAGCTGAAGCCGGCCGCGTCGGTTGTACATAACCATACCGAACTTCCCATTGCCATTCTCAATCACTCGCCGGATCATAAGTCGATACCGGGGCTCAAAGACGTGGAGGAAAGTCGGCATAGTTGGGAATGCAAGCGTACAAACAAAGAGTGGCAAATTCTTCTCATAATCTGGACCGGTTTCATCTTGCTCGACAGCAGCGCGTCTATCTTTGACCTGGTCGAGGAAAAAGTAATCAATCAGTCGCGATACCGTCTTATTGACAGGTTCCGCCTGTATGCTTGGCATGCCCAGCTTTCGACGACAGATGGGACAAAGATCGGCGTGATCCAGTACCCGGGCGACGCATTTTTGACAGAAAGTGTGGCCGCAAGCCGTGGTGATAGGATCAAGGAGTAGTGCGTAGCAGACCTGGCAATCCAGCTCGGCACGAAGATTGTCATAGAGTTTCTGGCGTTGAACAAGATTTTGCGGGTCTGCTCTTCCCTCGAGTGTGTGAGAAGTTTCGTGGAAAACGTCGATTGCGTCGCAAGGGAAACGACCCTCCGATGCGAGGCTGTATAGACCTTTCAACCCGACTTGCTCCAGCTGGGCGCTTTCAAACCCATGCGTTTCGTCGACTCGCCATCGAACCAAATTACCGACGCCTGGGGGCGGGGGAGCGTCGTTGGTCGCATCCCCCAGTAGCTGCTCGAATACCCCAGCCAGCTTCACAAGCAGGACATCAGTGCTGCAGTCACCGGCGCAATGATCCCCGATACATCCTTCGGTTCCTGTCCACGGACACGTGAACTCCTCGTCCCTACCCTCCGCTACGGGATAGGTGATACCCGTCCGTAGCCGACAAGGGGGCAAACATTCCCGGCACACGGTGTTTCCACAGGGTAGTCGAAGTGGTGTGCGCAGTGGACGCGAGCATTGCGTGCACTGGATCAACTGAATGATGGTATGGAGAGCTGCGTGGCTCGACATCTCGTCTGGTCGGTCGGGTACTGCGATGAGGTCGGCCTCGGGCTCCGAGTGCGGGGTTGGAGACTCCATGACACTGAGCTGTTGAGATGTAAACAAGAAGTAAAACCTCGGATTTACAGTGGGCTCATCTGAAGAGCTCGGAGTCGATGATCCGCTCTGCGCGATTGCGGGTCAACTTTAGATAATCGGATCAGTGCCTCGGCTCATTTCGACGCCGCACTCGGGACTACAGTACATAGTACTGTCATATTCAACTCTACTAGTACGGACTACACGAAGCTCGGCTCAAATCTGGGCAAATGAAGTATTGTGGAAGTCATAGATTGATGCGTAAACCGTCGCTCAGAATACAAGCCAAACACCCAACCGTCTTGTAGGGTATAGTATATTAGCGGACAAAAAGCAAAAGAAAGAAAAGACCACCGCTATTCGGATTGAGAGCTGCCCGAGGAATCTGATTCAGAGTCAGAATCTTCCTCAAGCACAATTCGCCGCATGACGCTCTTGTCAAATAAGTCGAGGGCAAAGCGACGGGCTGGAAGTCGGAAATGATGACTTTCCAAGATGCAAAGGGTTTTGCGGAAGAGATCCACTTGGCGGAATTTATCAGGTTGTTTTGATTTCAAGCTGGGAACAAAGACGGTTAGAAAATGCGCTTTGGATTGAGTCGAACGAAGACCATACCTGTGAAGTTCCGAAGCTGCTCGTTTGGCGAGCACAGTATTCCCCATGTCAACGATCGATTTGAGGATCTGTTGATTGACCGGATCGGGGTCCGAGGTGGCCTCCTTCATTTTCTCCTGAGGAGTGCGCTTCGATTTCGAATCAAAGCCAGGGAATGAGATCTATATGAATTAGCAACCCGAACAACAGCAACGAGGCGTGAATGAAACTCACCCGGAACAATTTACGGAAATCAGTCGGCAGACAAAGACCCAACGAGTCCCCCTTCTGATCAATGCCGGAATCCCAGCCTAGTCCTCGTAACACTCGCAGTCCATGTCGACTCCGCGAGATCAGACCGAGGACGAAGAACGCAGTGCCTCGCATAGTGAGGACTCCTGCACTCGTGGCTATGTCCACAATGCGTTGGATGATTTCGGCGTCGAGGAACGGAGCGCCGAGTTCCATGGATCCGATGTTCCCAACTGCCCAGAGACATCCCTTGGCTTTGAGAAGCATCTCGTTGTCTTCTTCTTCCAGCCTGAAATCGCGGATCGTCCAGGCAAACTCGTTGAAATGGCCCGATTGTTCCAGCAACTTGCACCCTTCGGCTGTTCTCGCAAGTTCTCGGTAGAAATGAGGTGGTACCAGACCGATGTCTTGCAGGTCTACTAAATCCTCGGGGGCAAGGCTACCACGTCGTGGTTGCTCAACGTAAGCCCGAGAAAGCGCAGCCTCCACGAGACCAACATAGCTATCATTGCGGCCAAGGAACCAGTCATCCATCTCTTGGGTGATGTAGTCGAGGCCATCTAGATAGTGATACCCAACAGAAGTAGACAGGAACCGAAGAAGTAATGGCGCACCGATCTCGCCCAGGTGGTCGAGGGACGGTCGACATTTGACCACGAACTCAAGATAGTCCCGTTGGTTGCAAGCCTCTTCGAGGATTTTGACGGCGACTTGGCACACCGTTACTTCGGGATCATATAACTGGGTGACGAGAAGTTTGATAACCCATTCAGCATTGCCAATAGCCACGTTGGGAGAGAAAGACACGTCGCCAACGGCATATTTTCGCAGAAGTCTAGTGGCAAAAATTCGGATTTCTTTGGACCCAATGGTGAGGGCCTTGGACAGCATGACCCGAAGATGACTCTCGCGGCTGTAGTCCATGTTGCCTAACAAGGTTTGGATCAGATCGTTTCGGTCTCGCAGTTCAATGATGTGATAGAACATATTCAGCATGTGCCACCGTTCCATCATGAACAACCCATTAGCATCGGCACTCAATATGCCAAGCATGGCAAAGTAGCCCCCACTCAATGTGTTGGCCATTTGTTCCCGAGAGAATAGTGGTGATTCGGATGTCAGGCCACTCATACGATCCAGCTGAGCCAGGCATTCCGCAACTTGGCGAAGGAACTTGTTCTCCGCTAAGTATTTGGTGCCCTCTGGGGTCATGACTAGAGTGCGCATGAGAACGCAGCCCGTTCGGACGTATCTCTGATTCGCTTTCGAGTTTGAAACCATGGCGAAGCGATATTTGAAAGGTCGGTAAAATCCAATGAGACGTTTCATGAACTTTGAGCCTTTAATTGCCTCGTCCATGCGTTTTGGATTGGTGAGAGGGCCCTCGACCAGGCGATGGATGATATCCCACTTCCATTTGGTGTAGTTCACTGTGTTGAGGACATGCGTCTCTAGGATGGCGTTGCGGAACTGTGTTTCGTCCATCGCGGGGCTCAACTTCTCCTTCCCTTGTTCATTGGGCAGCAGAGGGATCGACATGTCTGTCTCCATGTTGTATCGACTCTGTCCGCTGGGATATGCACCCGAACGAGCTAATGTGCGATTGATGCTATCAATTTGGAAGATCGTTGCAGTTGAGAGATCATGGTTTTCGGTCTCAAAGTCAATAGCTGGAGGTATAAGATGAGGAAGGACTTGGAGTTTTGCGCTGACAGCTTGAGGCAAGGAGTGGTGAGCAAGCTTGAGAACTTCTGTCAAAAGTAAAGTAGCCTTTCGTCTGAGCGAAAGATCGGTTTCGTCCTCGATGATATCAGAGAGGGTCTGCGCCGGTTAGTTCCTGTTCAGGGTTTGAAGGACAAGCTATACACACCTTCGCAATGCCTGCCTCTACCAGCCCAGCCAGAATGAGTGTAGAGAAATGGGAAGTAAGGTCGAATTTGTTAGTATTGCTGTCGTCGAGATTGCGACTAAGCTTTGATGATTCAGTATCGGAGCGGAGGTTAGACACCCTGCCATATGTTGTGAGCCGTCTTCCCGCAAGGAATGACGATGACCATGAGGGCGGTTTGATTCGCAGGGCGTCGAACAGTAGCTCCATGATCAGATCCCGAGCCGAGGGATCGTCATAGTGGAGCGAATCAAGTAGTGAGCGCAACGGTTGTGAATCATGCCTTGCAAGAATGACCAGGCCAGGCCAGGTCTTAAGCATTGCGGAGATCGCCCGGGCTGCAGACTTCAGCCGTCCGCTGCGCAGGGAATCAGATAATGAGTCGGTAAAGGGTGTCAGAACTGCCTCTAGTTCCGATCCCTGCAGGAACTTTCGACTGCGCGGGGCATCCACGACATGCAGGAAGCTTGAAATCAAGCTTTCGGAGGCACCGAACGTTCCTTCAGCAAGTGCATCATGCAGCGCAGCGAAGCCCCCGGCGGTTGCAACCATTTCGGGATCTTTTACCAGTATCTCGGCCAATGTCATGATTGAAATGTTTCGGAGACGGTCTTCATGATGTTCAGCCACCGCGACAATTGTTCGTACGATAGCGCGTGATACCTCCCGAACTCCATCCTTGACATCTAGAAAGCCTCGCACAAACTTGAGTGCCTGTTCCCTTTCGATGCTTGATTTGGTGTCTTTGACCAGGGAGAGTATGACCAATTCATCGGTATGTAGTGACCGAATCGTTTGCAGGGATTTGCGATCAGCGATAGCATAACGGGTAAGCCGATATCCAGCGGCTACCACCTCTTTACTGTCGCTCAGAAGCATGACTTGGACGCGTAGTCCGAAAACAGGCCATGCAAGATCATATTTCAAGGTCGGATGTCGTTTGAAGAGTTCGACCAGGTTGTTTGCTCGTTCGACGTAGAAATCGGGCGACATCCCCGCCATCTCCAGTGCCTGTAGTGTTTCAGAGAGAACATAAGTCGGCGACTCCATATCATCGCCAATCTCGTCGCCATCTCCGCCATTCAGCGAGCTGGTAGCATCCTTGTTTCGAGATGGCGATCGCATGGGGCTGGCTCGGAAAAGGCTCGAAATTCGGCTGCTGGATGGGGGTGTCGATGCCGGCGCCTGCGCACGTAGTATCTCTTCTTCCAGCTCATGTTGAAGTTCCACCAATTTGCGGTTGGAGGTACTCAGTTCCCCTTCCACTCGGAGTCGCTGTTCTTTGGTTTGTTTCGGTGGTTTCGCTAGCAGCGCCTCGAGCATGTTCTCGGTCCCGCTCTTGATCTTCATCTCCCTTGCGATTCTGTCCCGAAGATAGGCCTGGCGCTCTTCCGTTGAGTAAATATCCTCCTCGCCGATAGACCTGCTTGCACGTCTGTTGAACGCGCCATCAGGTCGGGGGGTCACGTTGCGAGAATGCATGCTCTTGAGCTCTGCGCTGAAGCTGCCCGGGCCTCCAAACGAGGGCGCCAATGACCCTCCTCGTCCACCCATGAGACTGCTTCCTCCGGATTCCGACCGACCATTTCTCCCAGTGCGTGGTATGCCATCGTGCCAGCTCCCATCGGCCGAGCCGCTATCTTGGCTGAGCGAGGAGCGTCCGTCACCCAAAGCACGGTGGGTGGACGCGGAATATGCTGAGTTGTGCCCGGAAGCCATGAAGCTCCATTTAGCCGCGACGGCTTCGCTATCACTTATCGCAAGTGTTCTGGGTACCAAGTGGCTGCATTGAGGTCGACTGTTGGAGAGGGAAGGGAGCGGAGCAAGATATGGGGAAGAGGGGCGCGGTCACGGGTGTGAAGATCAGAAGGTAGTAGCGGCCATTCCCACCTCCAGGGCTGTCAGGCGTAAGGACGGAGTTTCGAAACGCAGCGATCGAGTGCTTTTGTCCCACTAACCCTTCCAGATGGTCCTCTCGTAGCGACTTCAAAATAAACGGCTGACTAAGATGATCGATCAGGTCATCTGATCTAGGCCTCTATAAAATCCCGAGGTCCCTACGGAGTAGCAGATTCCAATAGCCTACGGTTTCGAAGTGATTAACTACGTGAATTTAGAGCTAACAGGTGAAACCAATCTGGTCTCAAATCCTAAGAGTCACCTTCCATCGCAGAGATGTCTAAGGAGTACTCGTAGTCTCGTGGTTCCATCTACCTCAAGGTATACATATAGTTGATCGATGCGATTTTATAGCATTCAGTCAATCTGGGAACTAATAATTCAATTAAACCGTTTCTCGTATATCCTTTGCGCGCTTGCGGTTCTATCATACACCATTAATCGATCATTTGTTGGAGGTCGTCTTCTCCAGGATGGTTTTCATCATTGCGTCGCCAAGCTTGGCTGCCTCAGGGAAACGTGGGGCGAAGTATTCGGCAATGTGTTCAAAACGGTGACGGTAGGACTCAAAGTCACCGAAAGAGACACACTCGGACCATGCCTAGTTCGGATGAGGCGTTAGCATCAGCAACCTCATCAACGTCAGTAATATCAACTCGGACGTACCCGCGCGGCAAATGTGAATTCCAGATCATCGGACCGGAAGGTGTTGTCGTCAATGGCGGTATCCAGTGCCTCATCGAGGAGGTCCTGGTTCCGGAACAAGTACTCGGTGACACCCAACCAGAGACGGAAAAGCTGCAGCGCATTAATATACCAGTCGGAGAGCCCATTCTCATTCCTGATTACATACCGGAGTAGAACAGATCATGTGGTCGTAGGGAACAATGCCGAGTTTCGACCAACAGTCAACAATGGCAAGCAAACTGAGGTGACTGTTAGGGGGTGCCTTCTCACGCGGAAGGTTGCCCAGCGAGAACTGATCCAGCACGTCATCCCTCAGGAGGAGATCCTGCTTTTCGGTGCCGAATTTGAAGACTGAAGCACCTGCAGCCTTGACTCGTTGCTTGAGCTCCTCCCGGTGTCCCCCGATCATGAGCTTGTACAAGTCGGTGACGGACTCGGCGTACTGGCGAATCTGCTGCTTAGCCGCCGGGTTGAGAATGGCAAGGCCAGCATAGACGTGCCATTTGTTGGAGTAGATACGCAAGGTGATGTTGATCTTAACGTTCTCAATGCCACCCACCCATCGTCCCTGCTCCCAGGGGAACTGGGTGTTGGCCTGCCATGCGGTTCCCATACTCAGGAAGGCTGCGTGAGTGACGGCTTGTGTATCCGCGGTAATGCGGTCGTGCATCTCGCCGGTGAGGTAGACATGTGTGGATCCGAAGCAAGAGAGGATGCTTTCGACAAATTGCAGGCTTTCGTCCGAGGCTCGGTGTTGGATGAGGACCTATATCCCATCTGTTACTGACGAATGTTCGGGAGAGCTTGGAAGCAGACGTACCAAAGGCTGACCCTTGGTATTCACTTTGGGGCCGTGAAGCGAATGGCAAGACACAATCTCGACGTCGGCAGGAAGGTGTTTATCAAATGCGGCGAGCTCCGGGGCTTTGCAGGACGTTTGACCACCGACGATGGCACCGACCTTGGTGGCTTTGGATGGGGGTCAGAATGAATGTACTTGGGACTGCGGGCAAGGCAGGTCGACACATACATGGTCCGTACTGTTCCACGACCTTGTCGATGGCTCCAGCCTCTACGCTGTACAGGATGTAATCGCTAATTCTTGAAACGAGATGTCCATTGGGGAATATGGTGACTCCTTGCTATATACGATGAGCTTCTCGAGCTTTTGAATGGCATAACCCCAGCCGGGGGACGTACTTGAGAAGCGAATTCTTGATTTAAAGATTCAAAATTCTCAGGTCTGTCACAGGCGTTTATCCTTGATGTTTTATCTCACGTTAGTTACTCCAGTCTTGAGGTTCAAATGTTAGTAGGAACAAGGCCCGATGCGTATCTGTGTAAATCTTTTCACTTGTTAGCGAGTGACTCATGACCATGAAGTGAAGCAAATGTTGGGAGGTTCAACGAGATCAGACAAAAAAAATAAGGTAGCGTGGGTTTAACATCATCGACGGCAGGTTGGGGAGCTACCAGCCAGAATGGCATGATAGCGCCAACCATACAGTACTCGAGCCAAATGCACTCATGTCATCATTCGAGGGGGTGGTGTAGATTGCGAGGGGAGAGGGGGAAGGCTTACCATTGAAGCATCTTGGGACTCGTGTTGAACGAATGGGGGGATAGCCAATTACCTCCATCCTGCGGCACTTAGACGATGGGCATACATTTTGCCCATGTCACCCATACCGATGATGCCAATCGAGGCATCCTCCTTGGTGCGACCCATTCTGTCAAGCAGTCACAGCTGCAGATTCTGATGTGGCTCTGTCGCCCAATGTCACTGTTGACCAAGTATCACACTGGACACGGTCTATTCAATTGCGATCGCAAACTCGAAGTTATATCACTTGAGTCTGGGAAGATCAATTGCGATGTTGAAGGCAAATAAGCTGACGAGAAGAAAAATTTAAATAGGCAACCAAGCTAGTCCGCTCACCGCCCTTCGGCCCGACCAAGGTGCCGGGCTGACCGGAAATCCAAGGCAGAAACTCGCTTGGTAATAGCCAATCATGTTGTAGGGATTCTTCTAGGGCACACACCCACTTTTCTTCCCATCCAAGTGGGATCGTGATCTGACTTTTTCTTCCTTTCTGTATTCCATCCACATCCAACAACAGTCGCAATGGCCCCCAAGACTAAGGCTCCCGCTGCCGCCAAGGAGAACGTCTCCCTCGGCCCCCTCGCCGGTGATGGTATGTTTTTGAGATTTTCAACTCCAGGAACCTTGAAGGCTAACAATCTATATAGGCAAGCTCGTTTTCGGTGTTGCCCGCATCTTCGCCTCCTTCAACGATACCTTCGTTCACGTTACCGATCTTTCGTGAGTCCACCTCAATCGCCAATGCGTGCGCGCTCAAATGAATTGGGAATCAAATGCGCCGGCACAAAGAACGTCTACTAACCAGTCTTCGTCTACAGCGGTCGCGAAACCATCTGCCGTGTCACCGGTGGTATGAAGGTCAAGGCTGACCGTGACGAGTCCTCCCCCTACGCCGCCATGTTGGCTGCTCAGGACGTCGCTGTCCGCTGCAAGGAGCTCGGCATCAACGCCCTCCACATCAAGATCCGTGCCACTGGTGGTAACGGCACCAAGACCCCCGGTCCCGGTGCCCAGTCTGCCCTCCGTGCCCTTGCCCGTTCCGGCATGCGCATCGGCCGTATTGAGGACGTCACCCCCACCCCCTCCGACTCTACCCGTCGCAAGGGTGGTCGCCGTGGTCGCCGTCTGTAAGCGTGTGCGCTTGCAGTTGGGGCTATCCTCTCCCCTGGCAAGCTCATTGCCTCGTTGGATTGGTGGCTATTTGCGAGCTTCTCTCGCATCTGTGGATGGAATAAACGCGAAGAACGGCCTTGATCGCCTGGTCTTCAATTTTTTTCATACGCTGAAAATCACTCTCTCGGATTTTGCTGTTGGATTAGGTAGTTTCTAACTAAATCAACATATTGATCCATATATGTTCCATTGTAAATTACAGGCTGCTGGGGCTCTGGTTATTCTGCATAGAATCATATCGCCTCTACATAGTAACATTGAACAGCCAATGAACCTGTAATCTGCCTCTAGCTGCGGGGAGCTGCGGTGGGGTCCCGATAAAAAGATTGTCAGTCTTGCTTCCAGTAAAACCTCCAACTGAGACTCCGCTGCTCGCCGAGACATCGCTGTGATCTCAATTACCGCTAAATCAGGGGGAACTGTTCCAAGCTCGTCTCAGTGCGTTGACTGCGTACACGCATCTCGCCCGCTGGGCTCAGCAAACTCCACGCCTTAAATACCAGCTCCCCGAACATCATCGAGCGCCAATTTCTTCTTACCTCTGCAGTCGCAACTACATACTCACATCATTGATATACTGAGCTCTTCAGTTCCAACAATGGCTACTCATCAACCTACCCCGACCCTTCTCCTCCCTCAGCTGCCTCCCAAGACCCTCGTCGGAATCGACCTCATAACCTTTACTTCAACCGCCAATTTCCACGGAATCCGCGACCTTTCTCCAGGATGGCATTTTCTCTACACCGGCACCACAGAGACTCTGTCTCTCCGCACTGGCGCATGGTTCTATATTGGCGACACCAACGCCGCGGGGAAGGGCCCAAATGAGTCAGCTCTCGTCTCGCGGACTCAACCCAAAAGCCAAGCTACAGCAGGCTCAGATATACATATTTGGAGATGGAGCGCAGATTCAGAGACTCTCGTTCCGTTGAAGGGAGATAGCGACTCGGATCGCCAAGAAGCCATGCGCTACAAAGCCAATCTAGGCGCTGTATGGCAAAGCGGAGGGCTGTTCAAATATCGCAGCCGAATTGCACCATCAATGTTGGTCAAGCCTGAGTCAGCTGGAGCCGACCAACAGGAGGAGGAAGATCAGCCTCAACCTCAACTCGAGGCTCGGGTTCAGACAGAGGATGATGGAGAAACCGAAGAGAATGGTCGCAGGGATTGGTTTGGATTGACGAATCGCATCTCACCAAGTCTCTTGTCGCGTGTCATAGGAGACCCGGAAATTGATCTAGATGGTCATTCACGTTGGTTATTGACATCCGCTTCGACGGCTGACCGCGACGCGGACCATATCCCTGGAATCGATTCACCCACCGAGAAAACAGAGGAGCGGGCGGAGGGCGAGAAGCCAGAACGAGAATTCGGCTTTATTCCTGTGGACCTGAAGCGGACGTGGAGAGAAGGCGCTGTTGGGCGTGAAAGAACGGAGGCGGCTCAAGATCGGTCCTGGGCTCTGAATGACTTGATTGATCGATATGCTGGCGAAGCATCTGGTGGAAATCAGTTACTTGGAGAATTCCAGTTTACCTTCCTCATGGTGCTGACGATGATGAATTATTCATGCCTTCAGCAGTGGAAGCGACTTCTTGAGCTTGTTCTCACCTCTCGCACTGCGGTTTTAGAGAGGGAAGAATTTGTGAGCGAATTTCTCCAAATTCTGTTCTTGCAGCTGCAGCGATGTGATGATGTTGAGGGTGGGCTGTTTGAAATTGATGGCGATGAGGGTGGTAAATTCTTGCGCAATCTGCTTATGAAAATCCGTCAGTCGGTGGATGATCTGGATAGAGATCATGATGTTTCTGCAGTCAGACAGGAACTTGACGAGATTCAAGAATGGGTGAAGGCTGAATATGACTGGGATCTGCAGCGCGGGCCAGTTGTTCGTCAGGGTATGCTTCAATTGGAGGATGGCGAAGAGGTTGAGATGGACTGGGATGGAAATGATGAAGATGAAGAGACTGGAGAATATGCCCCAATGATTGTTGAAATGTGAGTTGGCGAGGTAAACCTCCCATCTCTGGACATCCACGACTTGAGTAAAATAATTGACGACCCATCTTTGATATCCGGCTTCTTAGCATCTAATGGTGTTCATTTCTTTTTGTCCTGGCGTTTCTCGTTTGAATAATCATATCTTCATTCCAATGTTGCTAGACATATTGTCTAATGTCTATGAATGCAAAATCTATGTACAATCTAATCCTAGCATCGAAAGTTGCGTAACCCGGTTTAGCCACCTGGGTAAGCATCCAGCTCTTCGTGACAACCGACACAATAATTTCGTCGGGTGCAGGCATTCTTTTCTCGTTTATTTCTCCTCATCCTCAATGGTGTAGGCCCATTCGTGCTCTTCCTTGCCATACATGATGACCTCGAGCCACGACTTGATTTGCGCCGCGTAGCCAGCGGGCTTACCATCCTTGCCCAAGGTGCAGATGTCATTGTCCTCATTGCGGATCATGGCAACGGGAGTGATGAAGTACTAATATTCAGTTAGTATGCCTGGTGTCTTAGATAGGGACAGAAACAAGATGAGAAACTTACAGCAGTGCCAGAGACGAAGGACTCGACGATGCGGCCCTCCTTGGAGGCCTTCTCAATCTCAGCAATGGTCAAAGTACGCTCCACGGCCTCAAGAGGTGCCAAGCTTCCAACGGCCTTTTGGGAGAGTCGCTCGCGCACGAGCTCGAGAACGCTGCGGCGAGTCACACCGGGCAGGATCAGCTGGTTGCCCAGAGGGGCGGTCACAAGCTCTAGCTTGCCGGTATCGGCGTTATGCCAGATGATGAAGAAGTTGCTGGCGCCAGCCTCGGTGACCTGACGATCCTGGCCGAACAGCCACAGAATTTGATCAAAGCCAAGAGCCTGAGCCTGACCATGAGCCTGCAAGGAAGGACCGTAGTTAGCACCGAGCTTGGCGTAACCGAAGCCACCAGGCCAGGCGCGGATGGTATCCGGTGAGGAAGCGAAGAGCTTGAGGCCCTTCTTAGGAGCAGCCTGGGGGTCCTGCTTCATCTTAGTGAAGTCAGGCCAGGGGACGGCAATGATGAAAAGCAGAGCTTCCTTGGGCACGGAGACACCCAGGTGGGGACCGTTGCCAATGACGGTAGGGCGGATGTAGAGGAAAGAGCCCGGGTTAGGGAGCCAGCCTGGATCACGTCAGTAAACGGTTCTTTGCATCGTAGCTAACCAGGCGAAGGCTGATATTCTCGAAAGGTGAAGACTTACGAGCGCCGTCAACCTGCAAGAGCTTGGCAACAAGCTTCTTGAGCTCGTCATACTTGAAGCCGGGCAGAGATGAACGTTGAGAGCTGCTGTTCAGACGTTCACCATTGCAATCGGGGCGGAACAGACGCATCTTGCCGTCGTATCCGCGGTACACCTTCATTCCCTCGAAACACTCGGTGGCATAATGCAGCACTGAGGCTGTAGGTGGGATGCTCAGGTTCTGGTAGGGCTTCACTTCAGGGGTTTCCCAGCCCTTCTCCACGGTCCATCGCACGGTGACCATGTGGTCGGTGCAGTGGGAGTGGCTCATCTCCTCGGGCGAGCCGGGCAAAGGCACATCACGCAGGTTGGTAGAGCGAGTGATGTTGAACTTGGAGCCATCGAGCTCGGCGACATTGGGAGCAACGGAACCCATTGTGAAAACCTGGTGTTGTAGAGGTGAAGATGATTACAACCTTTGGAATTTCAATGTTTTTGTGAGTCACACAGAGATTAACCGATGACCAATGGTGGGAGGGACAGCAAGACAACCTCTTTGATGTTCGAGACCGAAACTCGGAGTTCAATTGTTTAGTAGGGCGCGCGGTTTGCCCCGGGATGTTCGTCGGAACCAAGGAAAAAGTTTTCAACACCGACTCCAACTTTTCACTTGCCACCTCCAATGTCTACTATAATATTTCACTATCTGCATTTGTATTCAACAGTGAGCTACGTGCTGTACGTCTATGAATGCCATGTCCCATCTTCTCGCAATTGTGTAAGGACTTTCAAGTTTGAACACGCCTTGCGCCCTTCAAGACTGATAGAGTATCGATCGACAGGCCCACTCGGCCCGGTTGACATCGCCGAGGCTAGCCGTGTATGTTGGCTAGTTGATTGCCGGTATAGATATGAGGGACCCAGATATGAGCTGGCGAGTAAGCAAAAAGAGTCAAATCGCGAATTGAATAGTCTAAGGTAGTTCCCAATATCCACGGACATAGAGGCACCAAGCCCTAACTGTATACCTAGGTACTACTCATGCGGCGAATTGTATTGGGATTGGGTAAACTGCAGGAAAGCAGGTCGATTTAGTATAGATCTGCAAGATCGATTGGCCAACTGCCCAGGTTGGACTACAGTACATGCATATCTCACACCGTCTACCTAGTACATATTGTATTTCCCCTGGAACAGTTCAGCCTTACTCCGTAGAATGTATGGGTGGTACAGAAGACGTACTATTCCTTCTAGTGCATATATTTAGCTGATTCAGGATAGCGGACGTCGTCATTGTCCAACAGCTTCCCGAAGATGATACCATGAGAATCCAATCATGGGAATGGGATTGACATTGCCATCCAAAATGACATTGAGAAGCAAAGACCAAGAGCTCCCCCTTGCGATTGTATGACCTCGGGAGAATGAAATGTGATTTGAACCGTAGACATGACCGTGGGCCTCGGGACCTTGGAAGTTGAGAGGCGAACCCGTGAACCTGGGCATCGACGCAGCTTAAAAGAATTGTACCACGATATTATTGGTCCGATGAAGGAAGGGCAGGTCCATCGGACCTATACCTGTTCTTTGTCGGGCCTATGCAGCATCCAGCCCTGGAGGTGCCCAGCGCTTTGGATGGATGAGGCGACACGACTTGTGAGCAGACATATATAGTCCAGCGCTGTTCTTCCCTGGTTATTCTAGCATCGCAAATCATATCTAGGTATCGCTTGCCTTTCACACGTACACGTCATGCCTTCCCTTTCGAATCTGTTGCACGTTCGACAACATCTTCACGTACCCAGAACGACGACAAATTCAATTGACAAATTCATTTGCACGCACCCAATCACTCAGAACTTGCGGACCAATCCCAGATTCACAGAATCAAGACCTCATCTCCGGGCCCCAGAGTTCCTCCGAGCACCAAGTCTTTTGGGCGGATCCCTAGCAGGCTCCGAGAAAATAACCGTGCCCCCATACATCTTCCATGAGAAAGATGGCGCAAGATGCGTGATGATCTTGCACCTTGGCAGCCACGTTTGCAGTCATCCAAGCGTTGTCCACGGGGGTCTTTTGGCAACGCTCCTAGACGAAAGTTTCGCATGGTGTTGTTTCCCTTATTTTGCTAAAAAGGTTGGGGTGACGGCCAGTTTGAATATCAATTACCGGGCACCGGCACTGGCAAACTCGTATATTCTTCTTCACGCGGAATTGGTAAAGCTCGAAGGTCGCAAGGCATGGCTGGAAGGTCGTATTGAGACCTTGGAAGCTGGTGATGCGGATACCACTTTGATCGCGGAGGCCGATGCGCTTTTCGTAGAGCCGAAACAAGTTGACGTGAGTGTGTTCTTTGATGTGAGTGAATTTGCGGGTCGATAATGACACTTTCCAGGGCTTGGGTGGGGTTTACCTGACTTAGACCTTGCAGGGTTAGCTTCCAGGGTTGCAAGGCAAGGCTCCGACATCCTTCTTTGGAGGCTACGAAAAAGGGCGAATGAATGATAGCTGCAAGTCGGTGGACTTTTATCGGAGAGGAATTGAAAGCGAAAAAAAAAAGAAGAGCTGTTTACTATTCCAGGTTTCCAAGGTTGGAGGAAGAGTGTCCACATGCTTCAACTGGCTCTTGTCAATCTCATGCAGTATGAATATATATTTTAATTTAGTTCTATGGAAAAATTTACCGCGCCTTCAAACCTTGGAACTTATGACAAGACGAGCGAACAGAATCTATTAAAAATTTACCTTCAACCAGTGAAGCTACGAACATTTCAAGTGAAATACATCGCTTGTCAAAACCAGGCCCCAAATTTTCAGTTCTGATAGATGACAGACTTCCAAGGTTGGTGAAATATTAAGATAGCTACTGGCTAGCACAGGAAGAGAGAACAGCCTGGAGAGAGTTGACTGATGCTCTAAGAAAGGAGAGAGAGAGAACTAAGAACTAACTGAGACCTCGGGAGAGAGCTACCTAGGTACACTACACAGGGCACGAGACTCATGGCCACATGACCATCTCGTCATGAACTGAGGCCAGATTGAACCGCCTCCAAGTGTGAGAATGAATATAAGCTGACAAAGTACTAAAATGCACCTGGGAACTAGTTGGAACCATGCCCAGGCTCACGGGCTGCTGATTGAGCCCAGGAAATGCAAAGAGTGCGAGGGCGATCTGACGCCACCGCCCCGGCGGTAGCATGATGGGAAGACCACTTGGAAATGGCCCAAAGAGCAGTGAGGGGGTTCGCCCTCGGGAAGGATGTTTAGGGAAACATCATATTAAAGATCCATTATGTACTCGACCACAACATTGGAAAGAGTGTGTAACTCTCTTGTTCTCACCGAGTCGCTACTAGTCCCGGGGCAACATGCGGTGGGAGTACTCGATCTGGCACAGAGACCTGGGGAATATCCTGAGTAGTACAGTAAGTAAGAATCTAGTCGGATTGAATGTCGCCAAGGTGTGTGGGGAGCCCTGGAGTACCTAGGTATGCAAGGCCTATTCCCCATGCGTCTGTATAACCCCCAATCCCTGGGGCCCTCTCAGGTTGTGTCTGTGTAACACAGATTCTCATAATCGCATCAATCATGATACTTCTTTTTGATTCCCCTTAATCTTCCAAGGTTGCCCACGGGTGCTGTCAGCAAAGCAAGCGCATCCCTCAAGTCAACTACATACCTATGAATTCCTGTTGACTGGAATGATGCCTACATTGGCTGGCATAGATTTTGCAGTTGCATTTGAGTGCTAGAAAAATAAATAGAATTTATTAGCCGACATTATACCACCTTGAATCATAGAATGGAGGACCACTACATTTGGATCTGAGGGGAAGGGAGAAGCCCCCCATCCCTAGAGTGTGTCACAAAACGCTTCAAGACACTGAATCCTCCCAAAGACGATACCTGGTACTTCGGGAGGCTCGGGTAGCCAACCTTGGAAACCTCGGACGCCTGAATTAAGGTTGATACTAGATATCTCCGTCTCCTAATTACCTAGTAGGATTAAACCCCGGCCCGATGCCAACCTTGGAATGAGAAAACACTATACACGGATGAATCGACCAATTTATATGCTAAAACAGTTACAGCCACACACATTTTGCATAAGTCGATCATGAAACGAGAGTTTTTTTTTTTCTCTTTTTTTTTTTTTTTTTGCAATCGGTCACTGGCACGAAGAGTTTACTGTTTGGGTTATACTAGGTAGCGATCGCCGAGATATTTTTGTCCCATCCATGACTAATTCGTGTGTAGCTTAGCGTTTATCAGACGAAAAAGAATTAGAGACCATGGGTGCTCTAGTTCCAATGTCCATTCATTGGGATCGTCCTCTTCAACTGTAAATGCTTTTACCCTGGTTCTTGACAAAGTCAGTATTGTTACCCAAGCCCACAACGAAAACTACTATTGGAAAGAACAAAATTTACTGTACACATTTTGTTTCCAAGGTTATAGAGATCAAGACAGTTTGAGGACAGTTCATTCTACCGTGGAATAGATTGCGACCCATTTCATGCCAAATTTGGTGGCGGCAGTCAAACCTTGGAAGCCAAAAGGACTACATAAGTCCACGGGTATCTGCAAAGCGATCAGCCCCCCGGGGCCTCCTAAGCTCTTACATCCTCACAAGCTACACATCAAACGTTCTACAGCAAAAATTAAAGACCAAGCACAAGCACTTGGCATGTTTTCCTTTTCCCTTCAACAGACTTCCAGGCCCCAGCCAGCTAAGTATCAAAGACCGGTTAATACAGCGATGGACGACGACAACTCGTCGCCTGCTAAGCAGGGAAAACAGCACGTCCCGGATGATATGTTGATCGGCGGAGAGAAGACCGAAATGGAAATCAAACTCGAAAGAGATGGGAACATCAACGCTCTCCAGCGATATCGATACCTGAATTGGCGCAAAACCCCCATACAGATCGAAGTTTCATGCGAACTTCTCGACATAGAAGAGAAGCTTCGAGAGGTTGTTCAAGAAGAGATTGCCATCAAAGGAGGCGCTCCGCCGGGAACCAATACACAAGAGACTTCGCACCTTGAACACTCAATACTGGCTCTTGGCTCAAAAGTGGTGGTACTTTCGTTCCGACCTGGAAGATCTTCAACTGAGGGCGTTCAAGCTCTGGCGCTCACACCCTCGGTGGTATTTGCATAGTTCACTCGTTGAGGAATGTGCAGGTCGACAAGGATGTTGTGCGCGTGGATGTGGCTGTTGTCAGAATCGCAAATTGCCCTCATCGCGGAGTCTGGGTGTCGGACACTGCACGTTCGAATGTGCGTGTTGTCGAAAAGCGAGAGGATTTGAAGTACCTGCTAGCGACAAGAAGTTGATAAAGGAACGATTCAAGAACGCCCTGGAGAATCGGGGCAACCGAATCACCAGATACCGACTAGTTTCGATTTGGGGACTTGTTAACGACAGCCAGAAGAGCCCATTTGATATGATCGATGCACCGCCGAGCTACGAATAAGTGGAAAAGGCCGGTATGAGAAAATTGCTTGAATGAGCTGAACCCAAGTGCTGAGATTGGAAAATTCAGATGTTTTGATCAGAGGTGTCGCTTTTATTGTTCACGGGTGCCCAGGTGTTTGTATCAATAAACTAATGTATCAATTTAAACTTGAAACAGTTGACTATGTCTTTGTCTAGACTCATCCTATAGCCAAAGCTTTCTTGTAAGCACCAAGCCTGTATAAATGAGTGGCTGCTGCGTGCAATTTGGTTGGATTTAGGGAGCTCAATCAGTATGTACACTGTACAGGGGTTGGCCCATGCACGATGTGATTGGCCCAGGGCAGTGATATTCAACCTTCCAAGGTTGGAATATCCGACAGGAAGCAAACATCGTTCTTATCCGACCGAATATTGGACGCAGAATGATATCCATACCCACCAGAGCTCAACCTGGAAGGGGCGCGAGGGTCCAAGCACATGACATGTACATCTCTTCGACTAGTGCCGTTTGCAACGTGCCCTGGTATGTATGTATGAGCTTTGCTAGCCATTCGGCAACACGCCAATTTGACTGGCTCGCGTGATAGACAACCTTGCAGATGAATCAGAAATATCGAGCATCAGACAATTTAGATGAAAAGATAAATACGAATATCTCAACGGATCAGTGTCAGGTACATGACGTTGGGTTAAGGTATCCCACTAAACTTGGAAGCTGCAATGCACGACCGGCCCGTCTAGCGCTTTGGCTGTAGAAAGTATACTACTAGTAGACGTCCACGGGTTCATGGCGTCGAGGGCGAACGGGTTTATCTAAAGCAAATCCGATCGGACTAACGGAGAATATGAGAAGCCGATGGAAGTGATTGGAAAAAATATAAATAAAGAATTGACCGTACGGAGTATACGAGTAGATCGGTGGGCACGGCAAAGTCATCCGGCCATACAGGATTGGGGGGGAAACCGGCTGCTTTTTCCGTGTGGGTGGACGACATCCCAAAAATCCATGTCTGGGCCAAGAGCAAGACCAAGTGCGAGCACAGTAATTGCGACCAAATATAGCGCGCAAACATGCAAGGATTGCCCTTCGTGAGTGCCTTTGCGGCAGCCACGTACGGAATACATTAATGTTGAAATGCCGCCTCTCCCCTCACGATGTATGTAACTAGACCAGAAACAGCAACACCATTGGGATCTTACCGAACGTCTATCACACCTATGCAGGTGATGGAGATTCCGGTCACGGCCCCATGACGGTTACACCGCAGATCTCAAGACTCTGAGGGCATCAATGTGCGGGGGAGCTTACGGAGGAGACCGAAGGGAATCTCGGACGCGTAACCCATGTTAGATCTGGCTTGGCTGGTAAAGCATATCTGAGACCAGTTTTTGGGCCGGGCATTACAGTTCCGACGGAAGCCATAGGGCAGAGAGCCTTGATGTATGAATGCCTAACTTAATAATGCACTTTAGTGTGACTGCTAGTAACTAGCGTGCCTGAATTTTGGAAGTGCAGGGTGCATTTTGCCTGTGATCTTAAGGGAGCACGTTCGAAAGAATTTCGGCGAAGAAAAAAAAAAACCAAAGTACGGAGTACCACTGCTGTCGGTGGATCGGAAAGGAGAACAAAGAACGAAAAATGAACTACCGAGGACGGTAAGGGATCGGAGGACATGTCACTCTTCCCGAGAAGTGACAGAACTAGTCAAAATGAATGAACTAGTACGAAGTACGCAGTACTACCAGTACGGAGTATACGTGAATGATTAATATCCACTGCCGTTCCTAATAACGAGGGAAAGAGTACTAGATGAGCTACGTAGATGTTAAGGTGCGAGTCACTTCATTGTGTAATTTCAAAGAGTCAGAGCGACCGAGTGCATGATTCAATACAGGGGAAGGCGATCAGGCTACAGAGCTGGAGCTTTCCAATTGGTCGGATTTTTTTGCAGCCAACCAAGTCCAATGGAAATGCATAATTTTGAATCAAGGGTTCGTCCAGATAGCCGAGCAATGACTGGATATGAAAGCATTCCATGGACATGCTTGCAATGTGAGTAATCGTACAAATGCATCTACTATATAAAGCATACGGGGGATCAGATCACAGCCCCAAACCGGGCTGATCATCCCGTAGATCTAGTATGCGAGGAGCAATATTAGGCAATTCTAGAGCCCACAGAAAGCGAGTGTGGGTAGGGGGAAATCCCATACTTCCCAGCCTAATCTTATTGGACGGTAAAATCTTCCACGATCCTTCGTTGAGCCCGATTAGAACGTGTGCACCTAGCCGTGTACTCCGTTCATAGGAGGTTTTCCGGTTCCATCCAGTGAGCTGGAAATTGGCTTTGTGCTCCGTACGAACCCTGATCTTTGGATGATTTTCCCCGTCCTACCCGTCCCGGTCGAAATCGAGATTCCTTGACCCAAGATCAGAGCTGCACCTAGTGAATGTTTCACGCTTGAGATAGTACTAGTACTGTGGCTCAGACCAGTGGCCACCCTTGGAAAATATCCACGGCGGTCCAGGGCCCATGCTGACAGGTATAATCCAGGTATTTAGGTGCTAAGGACAAGGGGGGATACAGAGCCTACTGCGGGAGCGCGCGCAGCCCCAAGCTGAAAAGTGGAGAGACCTGGCTATAAGGGGTGCGTAGGGAGCCAAGGCGGTTTCACCTTAGTGAGTACTCCGGAAAATTTGCGGTATATCGTGTCATTCGGTCTGTGGGAATGATTCAGTGGCAATGCCCTCTCGCCACTAAGTCAAGAGACTGTACAAGCAAGAGCTGAAGTGGATGTTCCAGCATCCTGGAACTGGCCCCGCCGAAAGGGTGGAATCCTGGGCAGATACCCTGTTCAAGCCGGTAAGATTATCTGCATTTTCTCTTTGTTCATTTTTCCATTCCTCAGTTCTCCTCCGCGCCGTCGGATATATTGGGATTTGGCCTGGCCCTAGCATCGGTACTGTCACATACTTTAGGTTAGTCTCGTCTTAACGGCCTTTGCTGCATGCCACTCACCTACTAGTGAATCGTTGAATCCCAATCGCCATTGCATTCAATCTCGGACCACAAGGCCACCCTGGTCGTGCAACTGGTATTCGAACACACAGTGTTTGTCAAACGCCCCCATCGGCTCTAGTATTCCGTCACCTGCAGCTAGAACTGTGTGGTCACCTCAACTGGCCGAGATATCTTCATCTGCCTCTAAAATAGTCTCTTTTTCTTTTTCTTCCCCCTGGTCGTGTTCCATCATCTTCGCATGCACTTAAAGCAGCTATTCCACCGTGACTGATCCCTGCGACATGACTCTCCCCCTTCTTACCCCATGAAACCCGAATAACATTGTCTGTCCAATACCACTGGGAGGTTGCCTAACACATCTCGGCGTTATTGGATTCAAAGACTCAAACTTGAGAATTCTCAAGTGCAATGACCAACAGTCCACTTACAGCCCGGTGCGGAGAACTGCGAGAAAACGGACCAAGTGGTGAAAACCAGTCTGATTACAAAACCACTCAATCCGAGGATCCCACTCAACATGAAGCTGAGCCATCATCGCAACATCAAACCATTTCCAACCTTGGCTCCGTGCCCGCCGCGCGTGTTGGCTCCACAGACATCGCCGGCGGTCACTAAGCCCAAGAAGAACTCGACAGCTTGTCTGGCATGCAAGGCAGCTAAGAGAAAGGTGGGTCAACATGTCCACTAAGACCGTTCCTCTCATGATGCTTTTTATTCTCCCTCGTTACCTCTCTTCCTGTTATTGTCTCGCCCCAATCATCTCACAATAACACCCAAAAGTGCATGCACTAACCACTGCTCTCTCAATAGTGTTCTGGGCCCGATGCACCTTGTAAGGCGTGCCGAGCGGCCAACACCGAGTGCTATTTCGATCCCAGCCGAGACCTCAGGCGAAAGGTAGCTGTGAAGCGGACGATCATCGAACTCACGAATCACAAAGAGCTATTAGCAACTTTGATAGAAACACTGAAAAAAGCCGACGAACCGGAGCTTGAGCAACTCTTGAATTTGATTCGGGGGGAGGCAACGCTGGAAGCCATCGCAGAGGAGGTGGGAGCGCCCGTGATGAGATTCGCCGATCCACAGGAGCTCTCGACTTCCAGTCAACTGGCCATATCAGAGTATGGAGACCAGCCGGTTGAAGTTTCAGGCTCCGGTTCCCAACCGAGACGCACTTCAGATGTGAGCAATGTGGCAAGCTCCCCCGATGACATTCAGTTCATGACATTACCTCCAATGCCAGTGATCAGCCCTTATGCACGTATTTCACTGGAAAGTCTTTGCGACATACCTTTGTTCGAGGTACCAGCAAGACCATGGACAGATGTCACAGACAGCGACTATCTGGTCTCCCATCTGGTCTCACTCTACTTCACATGGGACCACCCTGGCTCGCAATTCCTGGACCAACGTGTGTTTCTCGCCCATATGAAAAAGGCGGATTTGGACTCGGGTTTTTGCACACCTCTCCTTGTTAACAGTCTTCTAGCGACGGCCAGCGTAAGTACCTCAGATTTCTGTATCTCATGTCCCCTAGCTAACAATGACAGACATACTCTGATAGTCTCGATGTATTTTCCATACCGGATAATGCTTATTCAAGAGGCCAATCTTTCTTTGACGAGGCGCAGAAACTGTGGGAAACCGAGGCCGAAGCTAGTCTGTCTTCCAGCAGTCTACCCAATGTCCAAGCTCTTCTGATGATGAGTAGTTTGTATGCCCTTCTCTGGTCCGATACCACCTAACCGCATGGAACTAAGTGAATCTATAGGTTCAAACTTCGTGGTCGAATCAGTAAAAGTTGGCTGGTACTTGGTCAGGCTGTCCGACTGGCTCAAGGGATGGGTCTATTCGATTCACCCTCGTCGGCACAAGAAACGGCACTTACGGAAATGGAGCGTGTTCGCACGATAACTGCTTGGAGTATCTTTAATCTTAGCTCGTAAGCTGCCACTCATCAGAGATCCGTCGGACGCGGCCACTAACGTTACGAACAGGCAACTTTCAATTGAGTTGAAAATCATCGCTCCCCTGCCATGCCCCGTGTTGGGCATCCGCCTATGCGGTATCGAGGATGTTAACTGGACGCCATATCCTCGATCTAACAAGATCACCTATGACAAAAAGCTTGCTCGTCTTCCGGATATCCGCCAAGGGCAGGCTGATATTGCGAAAATATCAAGCGACATCCAAGGACTTTTGAGCCAACGAAATCAGGGCATCAGTGCTGATGCTTTGTGGAAAGAAGCAAACGCTTATTTTGATCGCCTGAGCACTTGTCTTCAACTTTGGCCCAGCTTAGAGGAAATGGGAGCCGACCCAGTCCCTCAACTGTACCTACTAAGGTACGCAATAAAGCTCTTACTATCCCCGCTCCATCTTCTAAAGGTGTTCAGTTTGCTGACTCGGACAAAGGATCAAATGTCTCGAGACTATCATCACTCTATTCGAAATGTTCAACGATCCCGCTCACCCACAGTTCGCCCAAGAGGCCCAGGATCACCAAACTAGGTCAGCGCATGAAATGGCACAATGTCTTCGTCTCCATCGCCGGTCCTACGGTACAAAACACGTACCAAGTCAGATGGTCAGTGCTACACAAGCAGCCCTTCGGGTTATGATCTGCCATTTCGACATCAGTGATGAATCTATGCAGGCTTTCGCTGAGCTCTCTCTCTTTGGAACAACTTTCGGCTATAAGTACAAGGAGACTGCCAGTGCGATGCGGGAAATCAGAACCAAAGTTACCCAGGAAAATATTCGGCTGCCCGATGATATAATTACAATCCTCGGGGGGCCCGGGGACAAGGGCTATGACTCGTGATCCAGGTCTAGCTATCACCCAGCCTGACATTTTCCTTTTGGGGTTGGAACCGAGAGAAAGCTCATAATTGACTGCATAACTGCATGCGTAGTCTATAGAATGATGTTGATGACATGTATTGTTACGGGACTGGTTTATGGGGTGTTCTTGGCGTTCGTGGACATGGGGATATCAATGTAACATCGTGTTACCGGCAATGCTTGTTGGAAATTAATATTCAAGGATGTTACGGTCGTCTTCGTTGTCGGTAACACCTGATATTCTAAATCGCTGTTGGTAATCTAGGTACGAGCTTTACCTTAGAAAGTTCGAATGTTAAATGGCCTGGGCTAGGGTGTTCTCAATGTAGGCTAAAATCATGTCACCCACTCCATGCGGACCGAATAGCCGGATATTTGGAGAGCAATTATGAGTTTCAAAATACAAAGTACCTAGGCAAAAGAGGCCATAGACTGGAACTAGAAGAAAACTGGAAAGGTCAGTTAAGCCTACCTATGTAGGTAATACGCCTCATGGACCACATACGGGCTTCTACACAATATGCTCAGAGACAACTGAGTCTAGAGCTCAGCCCCTGTTAGGCCAAAGCCGTTATAGTATATATGCCCTACAAAAACCTGCCATAGACAACAACCTGACCAGTCAAGCTGAAAGAAGCGGGCATAGTTTGAGCTGAGTCATCACGATAAGCCCTGATAAGCACACCAAGCGAAAACCCTCAAAATTCGACTTCTTTGGCAAATCGCACACGCCGACGCTAGTTCCCCACCTCGCCCTTTCCGCGCTCCCTCTGCCGTTTCATCTCGGCAACTTGCTGCATTTTTCAATCTCTTTTCCTCACCCCCCACCGAAAATGTCGTACGAAGACCGCGCCAATGCGCGCCCCAACCTCGATGAGTCCGACGTTGAGGAGGAAACTATGGTCAACGACTACCGCGAGCAGGTCAACTACGACGATGGAATGAGCGATTTGGACCGGACTACATCCCAGGGTGGTGCCGCCCAGGATCTTCAGGCTCAGCTGGCCGCCGCCGCTACCCCGCTGGAATACCAGGCTACCCTCGAGACCAAGTTCGCCAGCTACGACAACTACTGCAGTCTGTTCCACTACATCCTGAACTCCGATGGCCCCGTCGAGTTGGAGGTTCCTTCTGTAGGTCTTTCCAGTCCCGAAACTACACCGTTGCTTGGAATATCCGTGAATGAAAACAAAACCCTTGGCATTTCATGGATACGGCAAGGTCAATTTCATCACATAACAAACATCAGTGGCTAACCTTATATTTCCTCACCCTCAGTACTACTGGGCCTGGGAAGTTATCGATGAGTTCATTTACCAATTCGAGTCGTTCTGCCGCTACCGCAACCGCGTGGCTGGCACCGGATCCAACGAGGAGGAGGCTCAGCTGCTCCGCGAAAACCCCAACACATGGGGCTGCTACTCCGTCCTGAACGTGCTCTACTCCCTCATCCAGCGCTCCCAGATCAGCGAGCAATTGGCCGCCACCAAGCGCGGAGAGGACCCCCTGGCCGTCGCCGGCGAGTACGGCTCCCGCCCCCTCTACAAGATGCTCGGCTACTTCTCGATCATCGGACTGCTGCGCGTGCACTGCCTACTCGGTGACTTCAGTCTCGCCCTGAAGATCCTCGACGACGTCGAGATGAACAAGAAGGCCATGTTCGCCCGTGTGATGGCCGCCCACTTCACCACCTACTACTACGTGGGCTTCTCCTACATGATGATGCGTCGCTACGGCGATGCCATCCGCATGTTCAGCCACATCCTCGTGTATGTGTCCCGGACAAAGAACTTCCAGAAGGGTGGCAACAACTACGATGCCATCGCCAAGAAGAACGACCAGATGTACGCCCTGATCGCCATCTGTGTCGCTCTCCACCCCACCCGTCTGGACGACACCATCCACTCCGCCGTCCGCGAGAAGTACGGCGAGCAGTTCTACCGCATGCAGAAGGGTGGCCCCGAGGCCCTGCCCGTCTTCGAGGAGCTCTTCCGCTCTTCCTGCCCCAAGTTCATCAACCCTACTCCCCCCGACTTCGAGAACCCCGCCTCCAACGTCGACCCCGTCGACCACCACACCGCCATCTTCATGGACGAGGTCAAGAACACCCTCTTCAACCCCACCATCCGCTCTTACCTCAAGCTCTACACCACCATGGACCTCAAGAAGCTCGCCGGCTTCCTCGAGGTCTCCCCCGAGCAGCTCCGCTCCTGGCTCCTCGTCAACAAGCAGCGTAGCCGCCAAATCCGCTGGGTCGAGGGTGGCCTCTTGGATGGCGAGCCTGCCATCGCCAACGATCTCGACTACGCTCTTGAGGACGACCTGATTCACGTCAGCGAGACCAAGGCCGGCCGCCGTCTGGTCGACTGGTACCTTCGCAACCTTGCCCGCGTCTACTAAAGTACCCGTGTCTCATAAGTGTGCCGAGAGTTGAAAAGCAATAAGAGAAGGGGTGGAGAGAGAGAGCCTTTCTGCTTACCAGAAGAGGAACGGACATGACTTGAGATGAATTTTCTTATTTTCTCTGCCTACTTTGTTTTCATTTTCCATATTATACTCACTGCCCTCATCCCCCCTTTTCCCCCCTTCCGTTTTTCTTGTTTCCTTTATTTTTTTTATCATCCGAGTTGTTTCCGTCCGTGGGCCCTGGAAGTCTTGGGGCTTCCGGGTTCAAAATCAGGTTGGATTATCGATTTATTTGGTGGGCGTCCGCTGTTTCATGTGTTGCTCTAAGCTGGTGTCCCTGTTTGTTTGATAACAGATGACTTTTTCAGCATGGTGATTATTTGTGTCAGGTAGAAAACAAAAGCAGTTACTTGATGAAAGCAATAGATCAACGAGAAATACTTTACATATTTCATTTTTGTTCCATACGGGTGTGGATGTAGTAAATCAAGATAGAGACTTCCCCGTCCAAGGCCTGATATCTATTCTGTAAAGAATCAATCTTATGATGGTCTGCAAATTACTGAGCCTGGACCTCGGCAAGTCCATTTTCTATCTACACATACAATTAAACTATACCCAACTTGGATCATAATAGCAGCAGTTCACCAGTGGCAGCCCCGCCAGCCAATTGCGGCTGATACACCTGCTGCTGATTTTGAGTAACGACGTATTGCGTCTGAGGTGCGCCTCCACCACCAGTGCCATCCAAGTCCAAGGAAGCCATTTGCTGAGACCCAATTCCACTGAAATAAGCATCCGCCGCATGGGCAGCTTCGTTCATGTTGCTTGGTCCGCTAGATGTGGTATTGGGCCCGGGGCCAACGGGTAGATTAGGCGTGGGAGGCGCGTTGATCGGCGTGATTGGAACGCCTGTGGTCGTAATCGTGGCCAACCCACTGTTGCTAGTTGAGGCGGGGGCCATACTGGCGGAGGGAGGGTTATATTCCAGCATAGAGCCCGTATCCGAGCTGCTTTCGGTTCGAGATTGCTGCAAAGCGGGGCTGGGTAACAGGCGGCGAGGGCGAGCGGCCCGGAAAACCTGATGGATGGGCTTGAGATAAACAGTGGCCAAAGTACCAACATTCAGACAGAGTTCCTCGAGTGTGCGCGGGTCGAGCTTTTCACTCTCTGCGGTGATCGGGGGCTTCTGGCCCATGACCACTTGTTTGGCTGTTGCTGGGTCTGTGGATAATAAACGCCAGTACATGTACCCGCGATCGCGAAGATCTGGGTCATCTGTTTCTTCAGTGCACCACTTCAATACCTGTGGTACGAGCTGTTGGCCTTTAGTGGGCCTTTGGATGAACAACTTGACAGTAGCTGTGAGTAGGGCCAGTTGAACTTCCACCGTTTCGTCGTGGAAAGTAGCCAAGTAATCCTGGAGGAGGCCATCTGAGTTATCAATGCGGTCCGCATATTGTCCAATAATCCAAATCACGGCCGCCTTGGCCTCGGGTTCATCCAAGTCGTCAATGTTTCGGATGACGTGACTGATTATGCTCTCATACTGGTTGGGATACTTCCGGAAAATGTTGCGAATGACGACTGTTGCTTCTTGCACGATGTATGGAATTTTGGCGTCGACAAGCTCCAATAGTGTGTTGATACACTGCTTTGCGGAAGATTCGATTTTGATTGCCAGCTTTCCAATAGCTCGCACAGCCTTGCGCACAAAGTGAACGTCGATCTCAGTGGCATATCTGTGTTTTGCGTTAATAAATTTTCTTGTCACAAATGAGGTCACAAATGAGGTCACTATTGGGCACTTACTCTCGAAGTTCTGCCAGAACAACAGAGATGTTTTCTTTCGTAGTCAGCATGAACATCAGTTCCAGCTTGGTGACTTTGACATAAATAGGGTCGTTGTAGTTACAGAAGAACACGCGAATATCATTTCGCAGAACCTCTGGTCTCTTCTGAAGGATTAGAATTGCGTTTCGCAGGGCCAGATATTGAACCTCTGGAGGCTTGGAGAGGAGTGTGACTAGGGGTGGAGAGAGTTTCTTGCACAAGGAGGTGATGTGCTTTTCGCCTGCAATGTAGTTCATGAGGTAGAGAATGACTCGGCATGATGTGAGAACAACGGCAGAGTTTTGGTGGGAAAGTCGCGGAGCAACTCGCTCTGCCAGCAGAAGCGCCTCGGCGGAATCTTGAGGCACGTAGGACATTAATGCCTCCAGGATATAGGTTTGACCCCATCTTACTAGATGTCAGCAACGGAACCACAATACAGCAGCTATGGGGAACATACTCGGAGCAGTCTGGCAAAATCGAAACCAACTTTGAGGCGCTGACATAGTCAATGGTAAGAGAGATCGATTCACTTCGGCCCCAGATGTCGACCAGCGATGCCAGAACGCTTGAAACAACAGTCGGGTTCTCATCTTTCAGCATGCGATTGAGTCGGTCGATCAAGTCCGAGTTCTCAACCATCTTCTTATCGTGCTCGTACAGCTTAGCGACACAGAAGGCAGCTGTCTTACGGACGTAAGGATCATTGTCTTGCATGAGACGCGTAAGGGGCTGAGAAGTCGCTTCGACGAACTCGCGGACGTGCACATAGGAAATTGTCCGCAGCGCGAGTGCGCGCACAAGTGGGTTGTTATCACCCATGTCCTGCATATCATGTCAGAGGATTTCGTGATCATTCTGTAGACATAGGAACGTACATCAACTAAAATAGGCAATGCTTTCATCGCCACCTCTGGCTTCATTCTCGAGTAGTTCACCAAAAACAAGAAGCACCTAGAATGAATCAGCTTTCGTCCTGGCCCGATCCACGCTGCATATCATATTAAGACGCACATCTTCTTGATCTCCAAGCTCGGCAGGTTCATGCATTCGATCACATCCGGGAAAAGCGCAACCATATCGTTGTTACTCATGGTCATGTTCGCGACAATCTTCTTAAGGGCGATCTTTTTGGCGGAGTAGTTCTTATCTTTCTTGCCGCCGCTATTGAGCTCCTGCCGTAGCTCTGCAACCTTTCCCTGTGGATTCCGCGAGCGTGAGCCATGTAATGGACCAACAGGAGCAATACCGATGAACATGGGGGATGGGATGGCACAAGCCGACAAGGGGCCAAATCAAGTATACGTTTCCAGGTTGCCAACACAAGCTGCCAGAGCAGACATGAAGGGAGGAAAGGTAAAATGCGGGGAAAGGAGACCAAGGCTAGAGGGCGATCATGCGACCAATACAATAGAGCTGCCAACGTACCCTAGCGAACAACTTCGCATCTCCTCCGGAACTCATGGCTGCGGTGTGGGCGATTAGCCACTGCGCTTAGATCGGCTTGGCGGTTCGTTCGTATTGATCGCGAGCGATCTGAAGTGTAATCCGGAGGGCTGTCAATCGTAGAGAGACCGTGTATTCGTGGGATTGGCCTTGAAAAGGTCCAGGGTCCAGGTGGATTGGAAAGGGTCCAAGAGGAAAAGGGTGAGACTGGCTTCACTGCACGTTCGGGAGACTCGGAAATTGATTAAATCATCGACTGGACATAACGAATAGCAAAAGGAAATAAATCCAAAGATTCCAGCGACTGAGACGAGGGAAAGCGAAAAGGAGAACAATTGAGAAGGCGGAGTGGACACTGCGGATGCGACACTCGGCCAACTTCCTCCGTTATACAACTCTCCATCTCCACACCATGTCGCAGGCACCTCTACCCCCACCACCTCCACCACAATGGGTTGTTGCGTTGAACGCGCCGATGCCTCGCCCCTCCAAGGCTGCTTCCAGCATCCCGGACCCGCCAGGCTTCTCGAGTAATCGCGGCAAGCAGGTGAGTCTCCCCTCAACCCCGACTGATCGGTACTAATGTTGGTGTCATTCAGCGTCAACAGCAGCAGTCCACTACCAAGAAGCCCGAAGAAACCGATACACTCAAGATGAAGAAGGCGTGGGAGGTCGCCATGGCCCCCTCGAAGCAGATCCCCATGAACGCCATCATGATGTACATGTCCGGCAACAGTCTTCAAATTTTCAGCATTATGATGGTTCTTATGCTGTTCAAGGGTCCCATCCAGGGCATAATTAATACCAACGCCGCGTTCGCCAAATACGAAACCCCCTCGACCCATTCGCGTCTTCTTGGCGTGAAGATCGTATACATGCTGATGCAGCTGGTCTTATTGGCACTGGGTATCTGGAAGGTTAATGCGATGGGTCTATTGCCGTACGTTTGGCTCTTGTCCTTGAAACGACTTATCACTAACATACTCGACCAGAACTACGAGATCGGACTGGCTAGCGTGGGAATCGGAACGGCTACCCTTGGAACGGGCCCAGTTTGCCTTCAGGTGATACAATAGGATAATTAAATCGATGGATTGATGCAGTCAGAAGAGTGCTTGCACTTGAAACCACTCGCTATGCATTGTTGACAAGCTCTACTTGTGTTCGATCTGCCTTTGTTTCCAGTAGGTATTGATAGAAACTCATAATTCGTCCAGGTCATCAGGTATTGGAGCAATCATTGGTCGGCTCTCGCTTTCTCTTTCAAACGTCTTTCCTCGCGCCAGCCGGGACCTTGGCGGATAACAACCAAGAGCAATGGTGTTGTGGCGAGCATCACAAGTGCTATGAATGTGAAGCACCAACCCTTGCCCATAGATGAGAGCATGAGATCAATCAGAGCCGTCGCCCCGGCCCCCAACAAGCAGCGCATGAAATTGTTGGCGGCAGTAGCCTTGGCCGCTTGAGTTGGATATAAATCCACCAGCAGCGTACTAACGGTGTTGAATGCTCCCGTCAAGGTCAGTCCCATTATGAACAGGATGCAAGTGGGAGCTGCAAGATGAACGTGATAGTTCAAAAGCCACCCAAAGGCAAGGACACTCAGACTTCCTACTGCGAGGAGAGGAAATGCGATCTGAAGACGAGCTTTCTCAATAGGGTAATCGCGTAGGTCAGTGTCTCGATTCTTGGTCAGCGGGAAATTGAGCTGCTTTGCGATCCGGCGGTAGTTATAGTCGAGGAATTTCCCGTTGCCCACAGAAGCTATGGTAGCACCGAGACCAAACGGAATATAGCATAGACCGACTTGGAGATCGTTCAGACCGTATAGATCATTGTAGATCGAGGGGATTGATGCGCTCACGTCATAGTACCCAGCGAAAAGAATGGCATTGCAGAAGAGAATCAGACTGGTGTCCTTCTGGAAGACAATGCTCAGGGTCTCGAATGGATTGGGAAACTTGAGTTTCCGCTTGACGTCGGTCTGGGGAATGGGCCTTTCTTCCCTGCTCTTTCGTGACTTGAGGTAGCTGCTCCATGGCATGTTCCATTCCTGTGGTGGCAGTGACCCATCTCCCACGATGCTGCGAGCGGTCTCGGGGAAGAAGAACAGAAAGGGAGCCAGGAAAGCACCGGCAAAGATAGTCAGAAACCAGAAGATTGCTCGCCAGCCCAAGTACTGGGCCAGTAGACCTCCGATAACTGGTCCAACAGAAGGGCCCAGTAGAGAACCCGCTGTGACGAAACCCATGTAGGAGCCTCTTTGTGAAGCAGTGGCAACATCAGAGACCACGCCCGATGAGAGGGCAATGGTTGTACTGCTTCCTGCACTCTGCAGGCATCGGAGGACGAACAGAGCGGCATAGTTATTTTGAAGGGCGAGACCTATGTTTGCAGCAATGTAGATCACAAAGCAGACGATGTATGCTGGTCGGCGCCCCGCTTTGTCCGCAAAATCTCCGATAAACATGGGCGACAGGCCTTGAAAAATCTGAATTTCTGGTCAGTCAAGCTGGACAACCACACAGACATATGCGAGCTTACCATGTAGCTCGTCAAAGTCAAGTTGATCAATGAGTTCGAGACGTGAAGATCTTTCGCCAACGTATTCAAGGCAGGGAAGTAGATTTGTGACGAGACCGGCGAGAAGAAACCGGCCCAAGACGCCATAAACACAATAAATCGGCGTTGGCCATCTGTGAAAACCGAGTAGTCGACATCGACATCTGCAGAGACTTCATCCTCGCGGACGGAATGAGGTCCTGATGTTTCCTTTTCCTTGGCCATGGGGTCCTGCCCAGCAGTGGTAAAGTGGAAACTTGGAAGTCACCAAAACCTGAAATCGTCGAAACTTCAGTCGCTAATAAGGGCCTATCGTGATTCCCCCATTTGCGGAGATTTTGACGTGCCGAAATGCCGAGCTGCGTCTCGGAGAATTCGGACATAACGATGATCTTAAATATACATATTCAGCTCAGGCGTACCTGCAGGAGTAAGGTGATCTTGGTGATACTGGAGCCCTGAAAGCCTTGTAATTGCTTATTTCATTTGTTTAAATTCATATGTACTAGGTATGCAATTCAAAGGTAAACACTGGCATATAGTACATCCCAACCTAAGAACTAGCGTGCCTGGACTGCCTCTTTACACGCCTGCAGGAAGATCTGACAGAATTCCCAAACCTCGGTGTACGTATTGTACAATGGAGCTGGGGCAACTCGAATCACATCGGGTTTCCTCTCATCAATCACCACCCCGTTCTCTTCCAAGATGTGCAGAATCCGATCCAGTAGTCCGGGTTGGAGGCGTATACTGAGCTGAGCACCTCGTTCAGCCGGGTTTGTTGGTGTGATGAGGGTGAAAGGCTTCTCTTCTGCGGTTGCGTCCAGGGGATATTTCAACAGGAGGTGTTCAAGATATCCAGTGATATTGAGAGATTTTTGACGAATTTCCTTCATGGTTGCTCTCTGGAATATCTCAAGAGATGCAACGACAGCGTTGATGTCCAGAACAGAGGGGTTTGATAGCTGGAATCCAGCAGCACCGGACTGCGGCGTGAATTCTATAGTGGTCAATGTTGTGAAGCAGGATCGATAGCCACAATGGTCACTTACTATTCTCCATATTGAAGCGCGTGGCGAGATCACTGCCCCACCAGCCGGAGAGGCGAGGACGGAAAGTCTCGTCGCTGTCGGCCTGTTTCTCATCCACTCGGCCGTGGCGTTCATGAACAAAGAGACCGGCCATTCCACCGGGTCCACTGTTGAGATACTTGTAGTTACACCAGGCTGCGAAATCGACATTCCAGTCGTGAAGACGCAGGTCTACATTACCCGCTGCGTGGGCACAGTCCCAGCCGATCAAGATGTTTTTGGAGTGAGCATGAGCTGTGATCCGCTCAATGTCGAAGTACTGCCCGGTATAAAATTGGATGGCTGATAGGAGTACAAGTGCGGTACTTGAAGCATTCTCATCAATAACCTTGATGATCTGTTCTGTGCTGAGGATAGGCTTGTCCAGATTCTCCGGCTCAATCAGGACCATGCCCTCTTTGGGATCGAAGTTGTGATGACGAAGTTGGGACTCAACCGCATACTAAGTGTGCCTGGGTTAGCAAAGATGATATAATATGAGATGTATATCGGTCTTGATGAATGGCATACATGGTCACTGGGAAAGGCCTTGCCCTCCAGAATGATCTTAAATTTCTCTTTGGTGGGCCGGTAGAAGCTTGCCATTAGCAGGTGAAGGTTGGCAGTCAGAGTGCCCATCACAGCCACTTCGCTCTGCGAGGCACCCACAACGGGCGCCATGAGTTTGGACCCTGCTGTATCGACATCAACAAAGGGTGGGAGCAGTTCATCCTCATGGGGGACGAAGTGTCCGGTCACACCTTTAGTCGCCCAGGTTCGCAAGTACTGTTCGATGTACCTTTGCGTGCTTCGAGGCTGGACACCCAGTGAGTTGCCACAGAAGTAGATAGATCTTGGGTCAGATGCCTCTTTGCCTAGCAAACGAACAAAGATTCGAGGTCAGAATGGTTACCGAGATGCGCCCGGAATTCCGATACGTACTATCTTCTGTTGCCAGAGTCTTGCGCTTCAGGTCTTTCTTGGATGGGATGATGAATTCCTCTCGGAAGGATCGGAGAGGATCTTGAGCATCTAAAGCTTCGGCATATTCTTTCTTGTAGGCTCTGATATCATCTGTATACGGAAGGGGCGGGCCACTTTGAATGTCCCTGACGTGCTGCCGGGAACCCATTATGAAGGTCGAGTTGGAAGAAGCAGCGCTGTACTGGAGCTGTAGACCTGACCCGAAAGCTGCAAGACACGATATCCGGAGAGTTGATGCGTCCGCATATCTGCACTTTCCCCCGCCAATCGCAGATCATTTCCCGATTAAGATATTTATTCTGCCCCGCCATCCCGCCTCCGACTGACCAATAGGAATGCAACCTGACTAACCCAGGATTCAGATCGGGATGGAATGATTTGATATCTAAGCACTCCGACCAACCTTTCACATCGGCGTTCTTCGATCGTGCATCATTCTATCAGACATGTCGCGATCCATCTTATCATCGACAGCCACCCGCCGGCTTGTCCAGACTCAGTCTTGCCGGCTCTTCTCAACTTCCCGGGCTTTGCGCCTCTCCGCATTCCCCGACGGCGAACTCGTGTCTCGACGCCCACGTCCGGTTACAAGTGGCACAGCACTTCTGGGCTGTTTGCCTAAGCATTCGATCTCTCCCTACACTCGCCAACGCTACGCCAATTTCTCCTCTACCTCCGTTCGCCCGGCCACAAAGGTCACTCAGAATCCCCGAACCGGAGATGACGGAGAGCCTCTGACGATTGCTATTTCACCACGAGCCATAGAGGTGAGTTTATACTTGTTTCTTGATATACCCCACTGCCTGCGTTTTGTGTCCGATTGAGGATATCACGGCTTGTGTCCGGACGGGAAACTACTTGGGTCGTATTGGAAGACAACCTCAGTCCGGTCCCCAGTGGCGAGGATTGCTCTTTCCCATGACCCGAGTATGACCCGCTTGAGCACCTTGATGAGTACATGCGACCACAGGGTGTGGAAAACAGGGCTTCCCGTCCGCTCAGCCGTACTTAAGCCACACGCCGGTGAGTTAGTAGTTGGGTGGGTGACCACCAGCGAATCCTCACTGTTGCATGTATTTTTATATTTTTGGCACTTTTTTTCCGTTGCTTGAATCCGCCAGCATCAGGGCGACCTTCTCTTTTGACCGAAGCTAACTTGACACAGCGTCTCCGTGACATTACCGACCCAACTTCTTCTCCATCTGCGACCAAAGAAGAAAACCCTTACCACCATCTCCGTATTACGGTCACTAGTGGTGGATGTCATGGTTTCCAATACATGATGTCTCTAGAAGGGGCGTCCAAAATTGATCCTGAAGAGGACACCATCTTCGAGGGAGAACCAGATGCCGGTGAGCCTGCCACTGATGCAGCCGGAGAAGCCAAGGTCATCATGGACGAGCCTTCTCTTGAATTGCTCCATGGTAGTACCGTCGATTACACCACCGAGTTGATCGGAAGTCAATTCAAGATCGTGGACAACCCGCGTGCAACAAGTAACTGCGGCTGTGGAACGAGTTTCGATGTCAGCGATTGAGTGGGCCTCGGGGCGTTCAAATGTTCTTGCAGGGCGAAGTATGAAAGGTGTGGCTTCTCCTTTTCGCTCTTTTAATTGCCTCATGTACATCACATTGCATTCTGCCACTGGAAAGATAGATAATTGCATGTTATACCCCTCTTCTCTTACTTTGTTACGCAGGTTTAGCCTCAATGCCGTTTGCCATGGGAGGAATTGCATCATTCCTGTCGGAGGAACGGGTTTTCGAACTAGACCTCGTATGCACAGACGAGCTAATTGGTTTAATAAATACCTAGGTAGCTTACTAGGTACAACCTAGAAGTCCCGACATGAAAGGAGATTTGTTTCAAACCGATTTGGATATCAATGGCTATCTAAAAGTACGACTAACGCTAAGAAGCAAACAAGATGATCATGACAGAGATTCCATCGACATAAAGATAGATAATACATGAAGAAACCGCTCACACAGCTAAGCTCCCAGAGCTCGGATCCAAGGATTTAATCCTCTTCCATTCTCGAGAGCCCTCCGCGGCTGCGGCGAATGCGTTCGTCAAGGCTGTCCTCCTGGACCCGCTTATTGATATCAGACATGAAGCGACCACGGTCAGAACGTTGGCGATCGTCAGCCTCTTGCTGCTGCTGCTCCTTGGCGGAAGTTTCCGCAATTCGTTGGCGCCGATCCACCTCCATTTCACTGGCATTGGACTGCATTGCCGCAAGTTTGCGGTTTCGTTCCTCCTCTAATTCCTTGGGGTCAGGCTTGGGGGCCTGGGGACGCGCAGCGGGGCCTGGCCCCCGGCCAGAGTCACGGCGGTTGTTGTACTCGCGTCGAGAATACTCACGGCGTGTGTCTTCGCCCGCGGGACGTTCCTTGCGATCACTGGATGGGCGGGGAGAACGGGAGGACCGGCGGGGTGAGCGGGGACGTTCACGCTCACGGTAGTGGTCTCGGTCCCGTCTGTGGTCGCGGTCTTCACGGTCTTCACGCCGGCTTGAATGGGTGTCTCTCTTATCATGGTAGTCGCGACGATCTCTATCCTCCCGGTGGGATCTAGTATCGTCACTTCTCCGATCACGGTCGCGGCCGCTTCTGTGCCTGTGGGATCGCTCAGGCGAACGAGGTGAGCGAGACCGGTGGCGACGAGGTGATGATCTTCGGTGTCTATCACGGCGGTCATCGCCCGCATCATCGCTGTAACGTCGACGCTTGGAGTCGTGGGTGCGATGGCGGCGTTCGCGGTCCTTCCCAGAACGTTCCTCTCTTTTTTGCTCCCGTTCCTGGCGCTTAAGGGTCTCCTTCACCATAGCTTCATACGCAGCCTGCTCTCTCTTCTTCACTTCGAGTAGGGGGTCTGCCATGACCTTCGACATGGTGTCGCGCTGGGATCCGACGGACGGGCCAGCGGGGGCTCCATTGCCAACCACCTCCGAGCCCTTCTCGAGCTTCTTGGTGTCGGTGTCGTTCTTGAGCAAGACTCCGTCAATGCGTCGCTTTCCAAGGAGATATCCCTCCATTTCTTCCGAGTAGTGGCCGTTCTCGCCTGTGGGAGCCTGGTACATCCAATCGACGCGAGCTTGTGATCTCGTCTTTCCGGAGGCCTCTTGGAGACGCTGGATCTCTTCCATCTGGCGTTCCTCTTCTCTCTCGCGTCGCAGCTGTTCAATCTGCTTGCGCTCCTCCAGAGCGCGCTGCTCGTTCTTCCATACCCGCTCCTGGTTTTTGAAGAGGCCGGGATGCCATGACCTAGGCTTAAAGTTAGAGGTGTTTTTCTAATAGGGGGATCGCGAAGCAATTATGGGGCGCGATGCTTACTTCTTCAAGTTCAAATCTCCACCCATGATGTGTGATGCTCAAGGTGAGTTGGAAGATTCAGATGCGAGAGTTGCGATCGCCGTACCTTGTCCGACTGCCCAGGTGGACCCACCCAATTAGCCACCAACCACGTGATATCTATATAGCACTGCCCATTTTGCAATCGCTGAATGCCGTTGGCACTGTAATAGTACTAGTAGTATTCTCATATAGAATTACGTGAAATCAATCAAAAAGAACCAAGCAAACCAATTCTAGAGATACGAGCCAGAAAATTACAGACTCGAAACATTCAAGATAATAGTCAAAGTAGCAAAGGGGGTGTAACTCTAAGTACAAGGTGAAGGTTGAACAAAAACAAAACGCATCATATCATATCATTATCCTCACCGTGGATCTCCAGAAACAAAAGCAGGTTACCAGAAACTACACCATCCAATCCAGTGCTGACAGATGTTCTCAACGTTGGTCGCCTGTGCGAGAAGCTTGTCCACTTGATCGCTGACACTTAGCTCGTCGCTGTGTCTGAAGTCCCGTCCAGTGAGCTTCTCCTTGACGCGCGCAAGTACCTGGAGGGCGCGAGCATTCTGTGCTTCCCGAGCCTCCTGTGGAACACCCTCTGGTGCATCAAGAATGCCCCCTTCAAGGATGGAGGGGCGGCGACGACGAGTGAAGTCGTTCGGCTGGGCACCGTGCTCGAAGTTGACTCCTTCGATGATGGATTGGCGGCGCTCCGTGGTGAGGGACACCCGATCGGGAGACTCTTGTGCACCCAGACGCCAGTTGATCAAGGGGTCGTGGATGAACTATAGAACGTGTTAGTATTGAGTGTGGTGGGAGCGGGGGAGAATGTGAAACTTACGGCTTCAAGGACAGCCATCAGAGAATCCTTGTTCTCGCGTAGAACGCGCATAACAGCCTCGCAGGTGATGCGATAGCTTCCCTCGATGTTGCTCACCTCCATGGCGAAGGTCAACATACGGGTGAGACGGAATGGTACACGCTCTGGGTACTTCTCTCTGTGCATTGCGATCTCGAAGCAGTCACCGAAATCGATATGGACCACGCGACCATTGCCACGATCCAGCAGCAAGTTAGATGGATGTCGGTCTCCAAGACCCAGAATGTAGCCCACCATGGACATGACACCAAGGGATCGAGTGTAGTTGGTACGTCTTTCTAGCCAGGCTTCGGAGCTCTTACTCTTCAGCCAAAGGACCCGGTACAGATCCTTTCCAGTTGTGTTATCCATAGCGTAGCCGAAGACCTCGACCTTCTGCATGAGGGCAAGACTGTCGTAATCGGGGGCCATTTGCAACATGATCCTGTGCTCGATGTTGAGAAGAATGCGACGGCTCTCGCGGTATTCCTTAATCAAGGCGTGAAGAGTATCACTGTTGGACACCCAGCCGAGCAGACCGGAGCTCTGAGACAAGGGAATGGCAGGGAAGCGCTGAACCGATAAGTGTCGCTTGAAACTCTCGCCATCATTATCCAGTAGGGTGTTGCACAGGCCGAACAACTGCATGACTCTCTCGTCCTGTCGGATATCCTCGTGGCCCTTGACCAGATACATGTAAGAGCTTCCATTGCTGCCCTTGAGCGTCATGCGGCGGGGTCGTTTCTTGGTCTGCAGGACATGCAGGATTGGATCGAAGCTCATGATACGAATGATCGGCTTTCCACTCTGGTATGTTCCTGGCACCGCCAGGTCAAGATCCAAGCAGTCCTTCAGTCGAGGGGACACGTATTTGAGGTCGAGTGTGGATAGCTGTGGTAATTGACGGCTGATCTTTCTGAACACCGTGTAGTACAAGTCCCAAGCTTGGTTTAGATCGCCAATCTCCTCAGACTCCCGGTACATCATACAATAATGCTTCGCCTCGGCCAAATCACGCCCGAAGGCTTGCGCGAACGAGACTTCTCGAAGAGTTTCGGCACCCTTGTCTAACATGTCATGGAAAGGAGCAAGTGTCGAGAACATGCCCTCGACATTGTGGTCACCGAAGTAGAGACGAGATGCCTCTTCCAAGCCTTCATGCCAAAGCTCATGCCATAGAACAGCCACTCGAATCAGCTCGTGACTGACGAGATCCGCCTGTTCAACAAGTTTGGCACTGTGTTGCCGCATGCTTTCCATGATGTTACTGGCAGACTGAGAGCGTCGTGTGACATTCGATTTCATGGCCACTGTAAGTGGGTACACAAGGGCTTGGGGATGGGCCTTGCCGACCTCGGCCAGCAGTCTATGGACGGCCCCGCGTACCCTGATGTTGGGTTGATTGATTCGAGCGATCAGTTGAGGAGTAACAGAAAGCCAAGTATCAATGTTGACAGCGGCGAATCCTTCCGTGACGATATTGTTGACTTCATGGTCGCCACCATGGGTGAACCAAAGTGTCAACAATCGCAAGGTATCTTGCAGTGAAGATGTCAAAGATAGGGCAATGGAGCGAATGAATCCACGCATAGCAGGAATGACATGCTCTGTCACGATGTGAGCTGGCACTGGCGAGGGAGCGCCCTCACGGTTGCTGGCCTGGTTGGCGATAGTGGTAACGACTTCAAAGTTTGCAAGTGCCCATGAGTGCCAGGCCTTGTATGAATCGCGGTTGTATTGGGTTGCCGCGGAGTAGGCATTTAGTACCTCACGGACGTGCTCCGGTCTCCAATCACCCTTTTGCAGGGCGGTTTGCCACTCTCCCTGCCGGAGATAACTCTTTGAAAGTAACTTCCGGAATTTACTAGCATCTCCAATCCGCTCACGCAGGCTGACGGCGTCTGGGTGATTCTGATCGGCAACGCCGGCGACACCGTTCACTCCATTGACTCCATGATGTTCTGAATTTGACACCACGAGAGTGTTGTATCTGGAGAAGTCATCGGTCAAGCTGGATGTGAACTCCTTCAGCATTTCCAGTGATTCGTGCTGGTGACCGTTTGCCCAGTTGAATTTCAGTCTGGCATATGTGACCTCGGGAGGTGCAACAGTGCGCAGACCACCGGCATCAGCCACCACTGTCTCTAGCGACGCGAGAGATCGTTCTGCCAGACCCATACGGTTGGATTTGCGGCAAAGATTGGCGAATTTGATGGACATATCGAGATTCTCACGAGGAGCAGTGACCAGGGCTCTAACCTTGAGCATGCGCTGCCATACCTCCACATTTTGTTGACAACCCAGCAATCTTTGGTTCCAGGTTTTGCGCATGGCATCTTGCTTCTCCGGGTCACCGATATTTTGCTTGTACGTGATGATCTCTTCAAGCTCAGCAAGCATCTGGACTCGCACAACCACATTGTAGGCCCGGTTGTAGGATTCACCCAAAAGCGCAGAAAGCTCCGTATCGAGGCCGTTGCGTGCCTTTTCAATGTACATGTTGGCCTCTTCGAATTGGTTGCGGTGGATTGCCAAGATGGCACCGAAGAACGAGCGATCGGGAGACTGCTCCTTCATGACACCAAGGTAGGAGTCCATCAACTCCCACTGGCCCCTACCCCAAGCAGCCGCAGCTGCAAGAGGGGCGATTGCCCGACGATGCTCCAATGAAGCTTGGTTCCACTTCTCTTGGGCCAGGTCTGAGAGAACCTTCCATTCTCCAAGAGCGTGAAGACAACGCATTTTACCCATTGTGATACCAAAGGAGTCGGGATCGGTTCTCTCTCGTCGTTTGTACGCAGCAAGAGCCTCGTCCCACCGTTGGAGCTTTTCAAACCATGTTTCCTTAAGCTCGACATCACGATATGCCTGCGCTTTGCGTAGAATACCGATGGCAGCGTCGGATTGTTGAAGCTGGTTGTTGATTGTGATCAAGGCCTCGACAGCACCAGAGTTCTGATCTTGCTCAAACTCAAGTTCCTTGTAGTGCAGAGCTTTAGCGAAGGCATGGCATTTAGCGGCATACTTTCCAAGAGTGCGAATATCGATGGGGAGTGCCTTATCGTCGTGCTCCATGAATTCGGCGAGGTTGAGGAGAATCTGCAAGATCTCCGGCGAGATATTAGGGGATGTGAGGGCCTTCTCAATCGAGCGAACAAGCTCCTCTTGGTATTGGTCATACAACTCCGTCCAACATGACACGAACGCAGCGTTGAACAGATCTCTTGCCAGAGGTTGGTAGATTCCAGCCAAACTGGCACAGGCGCGCAGAGCTGGAGAAGGAGACTCCTTGAGGAGCTCGATGCTGAACCGGCGAATCCATTCTTGCCAATCTTCCCGAGTGGACTTTTGCGAGGCATCCCACGCATTCTTCAAATGTTGCTGGTTCACAACTATCTTTTTCTGTCCAATCTCGGCGAAGTTGGTCTCATCAGGAGGTAAAGCGTACGCCTCTTCGGGGTTGAGGTCTTGGGGAAGGGGATCACCCTTTAGTAGCTTTGACACCAGGATTTGATAGTTCACGTGTGTGAGTTGATGGGTTTTCATGACCTTGTTCAGGAGATTGATGTAATGGGTGAAGTCCTGGCCCAGTTGGAAAATGAGGGCACAGATGCAGTCCAACGCGGATTGACGTAGGACACGATCACCACTTGCTACAACACGAGAAAGGGAATGGACCATGAGAGACGCAAAGTCAGAGACATTCACCTGGCGTGACAGCTTTGTCAAGCTATCAATGGCTGATTTGCGGATGCTCTGGGGGTTTTGAGGACGATCAAATAGGCGAACAATAGAGGGGATGATTAGGTGCATGTATTCCTCTCCGCTTGTGCCGAAGATCAGAAGAGCGTGGAGGATCTTCTCGGAAGGTTGGCGACGGGGGCTGGTGTCTTCGTCGAGAGTACCGAGCATGAGAGGAATCAGGCCAGCGAGGTACTTCCTGAATTCTCCCTCCAATGAACGAGCAATGGCCTCGACTAGCGACAAAATAGTGCCCTGGATTTGGTATGATGTATCCCAGAAGTCTCTGATCACTTCAATTATTTCAGGGAGGAAAGCACGAATGTGCTGGCGGACAATGTTCACCAAGATTGCCATCTGATTGAAGTAGGATTCGAGGCGACTCGTCGGAGAACTCCTGATAACCAAGATGAAGCCCGGAATGATCTGCCCAAGGAATGGAACGCATTTGAGGCCCATGGTTTTGAAGATTGTGACGATGGCATCAATAACAGCAGAGTGATATTGCGCCAGCGAGTTCTCGCGCAGGATGTTCTGCATCAAAGTATGGATGACCACGGTGGGGTAGTACTCCTCGTTTGACGGGGTTAAGCCTTGCATTATGAGTGCCACATCTGAAACTTTCTGGATTTCGTTGATGTGATGCACATCTGGTTCAATCTCGCTGATCTGCTGGTACTTGTAGGGATCGAGAGCACCGAGGACACCAAGAAGCTTGATGGTCTCCTTCCGCAGGGAGCCTGTCATTTCGGTCTTGATGATGTTGATGAGCACGGCGAGGAGATGAGGATATTCGAGATAAGGCTCAATGACATAACCTGAATTGCTGGCGAGTTGCCCCAATGTACGGAGAGCGGCCTCGCGCTTGGTATGTGATGAGAGATCTTGTAGTGAGTCGAGAATGATGGGCATTATCTGCGGCAGGTATCGTCGCATTTCGTGGCCACCAACATTAGCAAGTTCACCGACTGCCTTCAAGGTAGTGGCGGCAACACCTGGGTTGATGTCGGTTGATTTGGGCAACAATGCAGTCACCATGGGATCTACATATGACCTGATCAATTTGGTCGCATTGGAAACAAACAGACTGATGAGTTGGGCCGTTTCTTCTTTTTGGCGCGCCGTATTCGCAAATCCGAGTCCAGTCAAGAGATTCACCAGCAGCTTTCGAAGCGGAGGGAAGACATAGGCAGGATTCACGCTGGACAGTCGACCAATAATGCAGATTGCTGCTTCTTTGACATCGAAAATCTCGTCGTTGACAGCCAGGAACAAACATCGGATGTTCTCTGGCCGTGCCAAGTGGCGATCGAATTTACGATCCAGCGACCACAAGACGGTGCGCCGAATCTCCGGATCAGGGTCTCCAACACCTACTGTCAGAAGCTTGTCGATGACCTCGCTGACAACCTGAATGGAATGGCCACTAGTTTGGTTGATGATTGGATCGTGAACGAATAGCTGGCAACAAGTGAGAGCTGACGCCTTCCGAATCTCTGGATTGTCATTCTCCACATAGTTGATGGCAACGTCCCGCACAAACTCGTTCAGGATGTGCCCTGAGAAGTCAAAGCTACCCAGTGTGTGGAGTGCAAGCGCAATGTCGGAATCGGAGTGCAGCTCGTGGAGTGCGAAGTCTTTCGCAAAGGATGGCATAGGAGGAAGTCGGTTCTCGGGGCAGCCGAGGGGACGGAATGGTGTGCCGCAAAGAATGATACTCAGCATGTCAAGAAGCTTTTCCTGGATCATGGGTTTAATAGGAGGGATGTAATGGGCCATGTCAACCAGGGCTTGGGTCAAGGACTTGCTGAGTCCACATGTAAAGATCTGGTCTAGCAGAGCCTCCATATACTTCGCGAGTGCCTGGCCGACAGCTAAGGAAAGCATACTGATGCACTCAAACATCGGTGCTTCGTTAACGCCCGTTCGATTCCTTGCTTTCATCGCGAGGCCCTCTCGAATGTAAATTATGATGCCATCAAGATATTGGCCAATTGCAGGACCGACTGCATTGGCAATCTTTCCAATGGCAATGAATGCTGAGTTTCTCTCCTTGTCTCGCTTTAATTGAGCTTGGAGGTAGATCATGAAACGATGTAGGTAGATTTCGATGAAGTCGGTAGGTGAGTAGGAGGCGAGAATCGGGATGGTATGCACGACTTCAGTGCGAATCTTTGGGTCACGGTGGTCCTTGAGGCGGAGGATGATCTCGCAGGCATTGCGATAGTGTTCTTTCATGAACATTGTGCCCTTCAGAATCAGCTCCTTGAGGATTAAGAGAGATCCGTGGATCCAGTCGATGTTGTGGGACTTCAATCCTAGGAGGGCTTCGTCGTGGATGCGAGCGAACCATGACTGTCGAACTTGGGAATCACGCGCCACGATAATCTCGAAGCATTCACCCACAGCCTCGGCGGCAGTCTCTCGGATGAGAACCTTCTGGTCTCTAATAGCGACCCAGACAAGCTCAAAGACTTGTGGGACGAAACCGTAGAGCAGAGTCGGGGAACCCTTGGCAAGTTCACGGATGACGAGCACTGCCGCAAATCGCCGGCTCTCCTGACGCTCCGATTGTAACCATTCCAGAGCAGATTGGATCTCACTCTCCACCAGCTCTGCGGTGAGAGCTCCACCGGGCTTCGCGAGGCGACCCAGCGATCGGGCCGCATACACCAGGACGACATTCTCATTACTGCGTAAGGCGGATCGAAGGTAGCTAGCAAATCTTGTTGTCTTTTGGGCTGCATCGACACCGTCAAAATCAATCAGTCGGTCGAGTGCCAGCAGTCCACCGATTCGCTCGTTGGCATCGCTTCCGTTCACGACCAGTTGGGCGATGCGTTGGCTAACTGCATTGTAAAACTCGACGAACTTCTCGTTGGGCCAATCTGAGTAAAGGGAACTGTCAGTTGGGTCCGTTGGGTAGTCTGATCATAGCGGCATACCTCTAGAGACAGACAAGACATTGTCATAGAGCTCGTAGGCAGCTCTGGCCCTGGCCTCCTCATTCTTGGACTTTAGCTCCACAAATAGTCGTTGCGTCACATCAGAAATTGCTCCAGCTTGGGCCATATTTGCGAACCACACCCCAGGGTGGACATTGGAGTACAATGTCTAGGCCATAGAACAAAAAAGACGCGGAGCGCATGAAGTTGGCAGAGAGAGGGTCATGTGTGAGGGAGATGGTCGGGGCGCACGGGCCAGTTTGGAGTTCCCGGGCAATTCGGCCATCTACAGCCCCTCCGTATATAATCAATGCTTCTCTCTTCTTTCAGACGGTCTATGTCAATGACCTGGTGATTTTGTCTCTTGTGATCTTACCTTACAGCATACATATCTTAAGGGTTGCCTGGTGTTGATAGACTTCACCTGTGTGACTGCCCAGGTAAGGATCAAGTGAATGACACCAGGCCGGCATCCATACAGAGTGCACCGAGCTAAGACATCCTCTGCCTGATGTGTCGATCGTCTCTTATTTGTTCTCAAAATCTAGACCGGGCAAAAACTACGGTCTCATGCCATGATGCCGCGTCGCATATTCAACTCACACCGACTCATCAGGATAGGCACCTGATCATATACAAAGCACCCGGGCACCAAGGAGCTCCTGTATTCCTTCTATGGACGTCAGAGCTCTTTGGGCTGAAAATAGTAGACTTATATGCGGTGTTGGGTAGGGATTACCCTTGAGCCATTCCGAGGTAAGAGGTTGTATAGCATGTTTGATGCTTCGAAGGTTTGAGGCTGATGACAAGCCTTTCGGCACGAATATGGCTTCCCGATTCTTAGCTCTTGAAGGTAAAGTGAACTGTAATATATTAAATGGCCGGTTCAAAGACAGTCTGGCAATGCTGCAGGTGCCCGGCAGAAAGGCCCCGGGGCCACCTGCAGAGAGACTGCTGACAGCTCCAAGCACACCGCACTTCCAAGGTGGGCCCTCTTGCTGACCACAACCTCAGAGTGCCTGCTTTGCATACTGTATATCCAGACCCAACATCTGAGAATATGCCAGACACCCCAGTGTGGGCCCAGTCGGGATGGCACGACTATCTAGCTGCTCGGAACTCGGGGCTCCCTCGTCTGCCTGCTGTGACGAAAATCAGCCCAGAGGTGGTGCGAATCCTGGGTGGGAATCCAGGTGATATGCAGATGCAAGGGACCAACACATATCTCGTGGGAACTGGTCAGTCGCGAATCTTGATCGATACTGGGGAGGTTAGTGTTGTTCTGTGGAATTTCTATTTCCAACGGGAGGCTGAATGCAATAGGGAATCCCCATTTGGCTCTCCACGCTGGTGGAGTATCTTACACAGAATCAATTGAGCATCTCTCTGGTGCTCTTGACACACTGGCACATCGACCATACCGGGGGTGTCCCCGACCTCCTCGCGCAATATCCACATCTAAAGGATTCCGTGTACAAAGCTCAGCCGGACTGTGGCCAGACTTCCATTCGTGATGGGCAAATTTTCACCACTGAAGGAGCTACGTTAAGAGCTCTGTTCACACCCGGGCATAGCCTCGATCACATGTGCTTTGTGCTAGAGGAGACTGAGACTATGTTTACCGGCGACAATGTTCTTGGACATGGCAACAGCGTTGTTGTCGAAGATCTAGGGCGATACATGGCGAGTTTAAAAAGGATGAAGGATAACATTGAGAATGAGGACATGCAAGTTGGATACCCAGGGCATGGCGCTGTGATCGAAGACTTGCCCTCAAAGCTCACGGTGTATATGAGGCACTGGGAGACACGGGAGAGGGTGGTTATGGCCGCTTTTAAGAAGCCTGGAACTAACGCCAGATCGCTCTTCACGACCAGCGAGGTAACAAGACACCTATATGGGCCTGACATGGAAGAAATGGCGAGGCCTTTTGTATCGCAAGTCTTGTCCAAGTTATCCGAGGAGGGAAAAATCAGCTTTGCTCCAATGGGGGATAAGAAGAAATGGTTCGCAATCTGATCTTGGACTGACTTAGACTCGTGGTTATCAGTTGTGAAGAAGCTCAAGCATACACAATAAAGCTAGATTTCCGTCGGAGCAGATGTTCTTCAATGTCATTCAAGCTCTGGGGTCCCGAGGTCGTTCAAAGCAATACAACTCTTATCAATTTCAGATGTCGGTAGATGACCATTCGCTCGTCTGGTGAGTGATTTGTTGCAGGCTTTGCTGCAGAGAAAAGGCAATTGAAGGCAAACAATTCACTGGTAAATCTGAGCTCTCTTCACTCCTGCTCTCATCCAGTGGGTTACTTCCGTTGTATCGCTCAGTGAGTTGCGCAATAAATTGGGCCACTTTCCCCAACTCCCCCATGACTCGCATCCGACCCTCATCCCCATTCAATCTACCAGGCTCGTCGGAGAGGTCTCCCCAATGCGTGTCCTGATCAAACGCCGCGGGAGATGGTACTTTCTCCACAAATAAGGCCATTATCATAGCGTGCATATCCATGACACACATACAAATCGCCGAGACAAGCATACCCACCTCCGCTCGCTCAGAACATGGACAGGACAAGATAGCGGATAATCGACACAGCACTTGTGCCATCATCTGTGTCGCTGCTGTGACCAAACCCGGGCAAACGGGTGAAGCGCGCCTCAATTCCTCTGCTGGTCCTTCTAGTTCCGCTGAGAGATCCAAAGCAACCATTAGACAGTCTTGATCAATTTGACTGTGCTTCGTGGTGTGAGGTTCCACCTGCTGGATCTGTCCCATGTCGAAAGCACTCTCTGGTGGGGTGGGATGTGCGTGGAATATAGTCTCAGAGCCCGTGCTGCTCAAGCCCGTATCGACGGCTGTCAGATTGGACTGAGAGTATAGTTTGATACTCTCATGTACAAAGTGAGTTGTCACACTTTTTGTGGCAGGCTGGGCTGGGCCGGTCTCTTTCTCTTCGAACAGCGACTCTTTGGGTCTGTAGGGCCGACCAACTCGTCGTGCTGGACTGTATGAGCATGCATTTCCCAGTTTGTCACATCGAGAGCAAGAAGGTTTTTCTTTTGTGCAGCGGACTTTTGCTGCAGAGCATTTGTCACAGGAATCCTTGAGCTTTTGAGGCTGTGAAGATGCCCCCGGTGTATTTTTGGAGACTCGCGACGACATGATTTGATATCGATTTCTAAAGATTTGGGACAGTGCAACGACAAGCTCCGAATAAAAACGATCCAAAGACGCTAGTCCGGACGAAAATAAGCGCTAACCCCAGTCGAGGCATCTGAAGTGGTCTAATGGAATAAAGGCAACGGGGCCCCGTAGTCTGTCTCACCTGGCATTGATCGGTCACTTTCCGTCACAAAGTGGCCTCTTCTGTCACGACTTAAGACTTACCAACCCGAGCAATGGTCTTTCCCGAAAGATCACATTGATTCCCTGGTACATTGGAACTGTGTCGCTCGCAGTCACCCAGTTCCCAAAGAGGCCTCAGGACATACTCGTGGACTTCGCACTGGAATAAATCGGGGTGAACTCATATGAGGACCAGAGACTCGGGACTGACCTGGGATATTTTGATGCCAAGGCAGCTATAGATCAAGATTGGCGAGATTCCGTGGGGATCAGCTTCAGCGCACCAATTTCTTTTGCGTCCCTCAAGAGTCGAGATCGAGTCCAAGCTCTGGTGGCTTCCAGAAATCGAATCCTCAGCCCTACAATGTCTTACACGGGAGCCCTTTATTGGCAATCCCACTTCGCCCAATGTACAGCTGAAGATATGCTGGACACCGCAGAAGCCAGTACAGATTTCTTCGCAGATCCTTGTCTCAATTTCCCAGATCTCGGCCTTGATGTTGACTTTGATGCCCATCTGTACCGAGACACTCTGACGCCAGCCTCTTCTTTTCTGATCGACGCCCCACCTGGCATCTCCCCTCCCTTCTCGTCTGATTCTGGACCTCACACATTTGATGACTTCACCGAGTCAACGCTGGATTGCCCTGTGATCGACAATCATTTCAACCGTATCCCCACTGGGCCATTTCCAACCCCACCTCCCCCCTCCGCAGCTACTTCCTGCTATGCACAACGACGCCCTTCATGCATAATAACTGCAACAAAATCCCTACGCTCACTTCATGTTCAGCAAAACGCTTGCTACTCTCGTCAGAGCAATGTCAGTCACAACAGTCATGACCATGGCCCTGAACAACCCCGCATGTCCGGGTCAGTTCTGAAATGCAACAAAGATGCCGGCATGTCAGTATGCCGTATGCTTCAATGTACATGTTCCTTTCATCCGCAGAACCAATTGATGATTGCAATCATCTGCTCCAAGTTGATCGCGTGGTATCGCGCAATGATCCAGACCTGCTTCAAGAACCAGCAGGGGCTCAATGAGACGCAGGAGGACACGTCCCTGGAGAAGGTCATTCACCAGCCCGTTACAATTGGAGATCATTCGGTCGATGACCAGGGGCTGGGGTTGACCATTCAAGCTCAGGTTACGTTGCGTGAACTGCATCATATGCAGCGTCTGGTCGAGACCCTTTCAACTCGGATGCAGGGGACAGCAACCCCAGCCCCAATTTCCGGGTCGATCCCGAAGGCTGGAACACGGCCCCAGTTTTCTAAGATTCCAGAAGCTGCACATGGTCAGCTGCTGGCCCACTTGATGAGGCAGGTTCATGCAGCCAAGGCTGATCTTCTTGCTGTCTCTCAAGTACTATAGCGCATTTTTACGAGGATACAGTTTTGGACGTTTGCCTAACGATTACTAGGTAGTCTATTGCATAACAGACTGTCCCATAAAAGCACTATTTGTACGGAAATGCATTTGAGCGTCAGTCACGATTTAGAGCTCTTACAGAAACTATGAAGATAACAAGAGAAAACGCATCATGGGAAGGGGTATCAATAGCTGAACGCAGGAGGGCAAAGTAAAAGAACGGAAATAGGCTCCGACGAGTGATTCAGAGCCGGCGTATTCCCATGCGGCCACGGCTCTGACGAGCGGTGGATCGCCGAGCAACAACCTTGCGTCGCGGCACATGCTCTGGCGATTGGTTGCCTTTTAGCCCACACCACCAGCGAATAATCACCTGCGCTGCCCAGTCCACTTTGGCCTTGCTCTCGCTTGCTTCTTGCTCTTTCACCCTTCGTCGTTCCACGTAAGACCGCCACGCCCGCTGAATCGCGACAGCAGATTGATCACGCTCAGATGTAGAGCACATTGACGGGAGAAAAGCGGTTGGGTTCGATGGATTGGAAGCGACTGCTGAGTGTGCTGGCGCAGGGGAGTTAGCATTCGATACATTCAGCCTCTATGATGAGGCAGATGGATTTTGTCCGATGGACTTACAAGTTCTCGCCCTCTGACCCCTGTGGTCGGTGTCTCCCACAAGTAGACAATATGCACGAACAACTTCTATCGCCAGTGTAGCCACATCAATGCTGTGCAAGGTTTGATGCGGCTGTAAACATGCCCTCGACGCCTGGGGTTTGATAGCGACTGTCTGGCATGATTTCGGAGCCTTTGGGGTGTCGATGCCGACCCCATCCACCGCTATTCGGTCGGATGACTCCTTGCGTAGTTGTCTAGGCCTCCTCTGGGTGACCTGCGTAGGGGTGATATTATGCTCGGCTCGACGATTCTTCTGATATATGGGGATACCGGTTGGCTTGCTCTTAGTGGGGGAGTAGGTAGACATCCCTGGAGGGACATTTTCCTTCCCGCCACCTCTGCCGGGTATGTCACGAGTTGAGGCTCTCGGCTGGGGAGGCTTCAGGTTTCTCTGGAGAGGGGCTCTAGGGGCTGATGCCGATTGCATCGGTTTGCGCTGTCTTTTGGTCTGTGTCAAGGGTGTCTTGTTCATCGTGTATACTGGGATATCTGTACTGGCACTTTTGTGCGGGCTCATGGCGCGAGTTGGAACGTCATCGGGAAAAATGCACACTGTTTCACGTCTTCTGGGTGATCTGGGCCCGAAGGTGAGTGCTTCATCGAAAATGCCAGGCATGGTACCTAGTATCGAGTGCCTCGTGCTTCGAGTTGGAGTTTGATGCGGTGCTCCAGCAGGATGTCAAAACAAAAGAATGATGGTATGTATTGATCAATTGTTTGGAATGTGGGAGAAGCGGTGAAGTTAAGCAAGGGATCGACTTCAGAGCGGGGGAATTGTGGAGGGGTTCAAGATCTTTAACAACAGTCCAGTCCAACTATATATCCGCGCCAAGCAAGTAGATGTATCAGACTGTCTCGAGCAGTTGACTTGAGATGTGTTGACTTGGTTGTCTAGGGCAACAGTCGTGTCAGCACAGCAGGTGTATGTATCACGTGATGATCCACGATCCCGTCCACGGGTGCCTGTTTAACACGAGCTCATTTACGGGGTTCAGTTGCAAGTTTCCATGGGGTGAGCTTCTAGTCCTCCATGAAACTTCACTGGATCCATGGATGACGTTCTGAAATCTGGTGGCTGGGTGTCGTGGTAAGGCTGGGAGATCTACTGTGTAGTATCAATTGATTCCCAGGTCATCTCGACGATCTCAGAGGCCATCTCTTCTCACCCGTGGACTTCCAAGGTTGAATTTGGAACCACACACTTTTTAACCTCATTCGTACTTTTCTTTCTCTTTCTTCTCAAAACTTCTGCTACGATACACATGAACGGGAGGGCTCTTTATGAGAATTGTGATGACTCCACTACATATACAACGAGATGAATCTTACCTATCAGACTTCCTCACCAGACTGAACCGACTGAAAGACCTATGACAAGCCGCTCACCACGACCTGCAAATTCCTCAAAGCCCTTCCATCGATGAAACCCCCACCTTCCTAGCGGATCCAGCCCGCTGGGAAAATCGAGCATTGAGAACCGTTACCGGCCGGAGAAGGTCTGTGGCACAGACAACAGGCTGATCCGCAAAATCCAACTGGCGACGTACGGTAGCCGGGCGAGCAAAGATCTGAAGTCAAACGAATAATATACACTTACCGTCTCCATCAAGGGCGTGAAATGGCCTCACCTTGAAAACAACCTCGAACTCCACGCTATTGCAAATCTCCCAAAATCCCGAAGGTATGATTCATCTAGACTGTCAGCATCGTCACAGTTGGGCCGGGCCTCGGATTCTTCCACCAAACAGAAGATCACGGTCAATGATAACATGCCCGGCTAGAATGTCCTCCTCGTAAATCTTGACAAGATTGACAACGGTGGCGATTTGCTGCTCATGTGAGTCCCGAGCTTCGACGAGGGGGAAAGATGCTACAAATGTCACATCGCGCTGTCTGGGGTGGTGGGTCACCTCGAAGTCCTGTTGTAGAATGCGTGAAATAATGATCTTGATCAGCTCTGGGTCAGATAATACTCGCTCACCTGAAGCGACGCGGACGTTGATCCACCGAAGCGATAGAGTTAAGTCATGGTCTTCAATGATAGGCATGCCGTTCTCGATGAAGATAGTCTTCATCGAGTCGAAGTCCATCTTCTGGTATAGTGGTGAATCCATCTTTTCAAGGTTGTATAAGACTTTAGTAGTTGGTTCTGGTTGTTTAGTTGCTGAAATGTCTTGCTGTGATGTTGTGAATGTTTGGTATCTGCTCAAGATATCGAGGCAAGATATCGGGACTTTATATCCAGAAGTCGAGCATCAGTGCCTTTCATGCCGCTATGGACAATACACATTGTCGCTTCGTCAGATAAATTTGGCACAAAGAGCAACATCAAGAATCAGGTTGTTCTGCCCAAAAATAGGATACCCCGTAGCCTTTCAACCCTTCTTTGTCTACAGATCTGTAATCAAAGACAAGGAAACCTTGAGATTCCGCGGTCGCCATGTTTGATACAACCCATGGATCTCGGTAAACTCGAGTCCGAGTAGGATCCATGAGACAATGAATCAGAATCCCGAAAAGGGTAAGTTCGGAGGTCTTTGGACGTTGGCCTAAACATGAAAATCAATCTAAAATCATGATGTATTCCAAAACTGTTGAATCTTCGAAACAAGACGAACTGATTCAAGGTTGGAGACCAGAGATTGGAACGCAAGTGATAGATAATAGGATGCCGATGGTACGATGAGGATGGAAAAGAAGTAGGAAAAGAAAGGGTCACCAAGCGAGGGATATATGATCAGACCTATTAGCTGTTGGCTAAAACAACTATACAGAGTGCTCTTGAAATTTGTGACCAGCGTGTGGAAATAGATAATAACATTTGGCTCCGTTCCAGATGCATAACTGTAGGGCATGATTTGGTAGACTTGAGTACTTACAAGAGCACCTTGCAATAACGGGTATTTGAGACCCTGTGCCATCATAGCCTTTCTCTATAAGGACCTCTACATATAAACTCGGCTAAAGTCACATCAGCAGCGCATCACTCCTGAGCCACCGTATCACCCTAAACAATGATGTCATAGGATGTCCACTATAAAAGTGTCCTTCTGCCTCTGATTTTGGGGCTTCAACACTATCCTCTTCCATCTCCAGTACATCTATCCTGTTGAGACCATACCTTACCATAATCTACCACAAATCTTCAAGTCATCATGCCGATCGACACCTCCAACCAAGACAAGGGCGTTACTGGAGCCGCCAAATTTGTCACATCCACACTTGGCAACACGGTCGGCGGAGTCACTCGCACACTGGGTGGCGTCACTGGAGCTGCCGGTCGCGGCATTGGAGACACTGTCACCAGCGCGACGGGGAGCACGGGCGAAGGAGTCGGAAATGCGCTGGGCAGCGCAGGCTCGGGAATCGAGAATGGAGCAAAGTCGGTAGCAAAGGGTGTTGAGGATGCTGGGAAATGGAAATGAAGTGATGGCTGCAAGATTCACGCGTTTTGATATTCTTTTTTGCTGTACATAAGCGCTTTCTATGAGTGGATAGTGGAGCGATCGCATTCATCTTGTTGATATTCATTATATGCGTGCCTCCTGAGATCCCCATCTCCACTGGTAACAAACAATTCTGGGGTAAATATTGAAAACATTCACCATTAAACAATCATTCACTCGGTTTTAATCTCCGCTAGAATCTTCTCCCACACTCTCGCAGATTGTACCAAGCTATCATGATCTGTGCCCTGAACAGTTATCGACTCAAAGCTAAGCACACTCCCATAATTCCCTTCTTCGACTTGATGCCAGCATCTCTCGAAATATGCTTGTCCTTTCTTTCCACTCATACCATCTTCTTCGGCAAAGTATGCTTGAACCTTCAGAGGCACCCCCTCTGGGCCTCGTGCAACTTCTCTTTCGATCAGTTCCTTTACAAAGACCTCATAGTTTTCACATTTCCCCCAAAGATCAGGCTTCTTGCGCAGACACTGTAAAGCCTCGCTGTTAGCGCCAACCGTGTTCTCTTTGAACATGGATTGCATCATAGAGGAATCTATTTCGTTTTGTTGATCCACACTTAATCCATAGTGCTCTTCAATATAGCGACGGTTTTGATCTTTCTCTTCGTTGCCCCCAGAGGAAAGCATGGCAGAGAACTTGGTCACCATCTGTCCGCTAGTCGCCGTAGCGGACCCATCTTGGGCTAGGAAGAGACGTGGGATATGATTCCAAAGCTTGAAAGCCGGCGTAGGAAGAAATTGAGCTGCTTTCAGCGACATCATTCCCGAATGTGCAGGGTCCACAAAGGGAGCTGTTGAAGAAACAGATCAGCTCTCATTTCCGACTCTTCTAGCCCTCGGCCACGGATTCGAAAAAAGTATGCATGAAACTTTGGACGACCATGAGGTAGAAAGACATACCTAACAGCGTTACCCTTGGATGATGCGGGTCCAGAATATCGCGGCAGCTCCACAATGTGTTCAAGAGATACATGGTTCCAGCACTGTGCGATGCCAAAGCCACATGTTGAATACCCAGATGCGCCAGAAGACGTGGAACAATTTCAACCCAAACCGACATGCGTTGAGCAAGTGGAACATCGGTGGTACTCCCCATTCCAGGTATTTGAGCCTATCAGTATTCCTGTAGCAAAGTAATATAAGGAGCACATTTACCGATCAACAACAAGCATGCGCACGCCCAGTTTCTCGGCAATCGCGTGCAGACAGACACCAAGATACCGGGATGAAAACATACCCGGCATCATGAGAAGGGTCGGAACAATCTCGGAATCGGCAGCTTCTTTGCCATACTCGGCGTAGCTGACGTCGAGGGGTCCATGTGTAGCAGTGGCCTCGATGGTGAATGAGCGATGGAAACGAGGATTGGAGATAAAAGCGAGAGCGAAAGAACGCGGAGAACCTGGGTCGGTTGTCATAGCGGCAGCAGTTTGAGCAAGATATTTGCAGTTTGCGCCTCTTCGTGGCGAGAATCAAAGAACAAGTGGGAGGGGTGAATATGAGTCTCGTTCATCTTAGGCTCCCGGCTTACGGCTGATTTTGGATCCACACCAGTTGACCTAGGCAGGCTCGTAAGCTAACAAAAGTCAATAGAAGCCAGAGAAAGTTTGGGGGCCAAATAATTTTCGTGAATTAGAATGTGGCAATTTTCCGACTCTCAATTCAATCGGAGTTCCCGGTTTATTCTCACGGGAGAATCGAATGAGACATCGCTCATACTGTTGCCTTGGGATGATTCTCGCCATCTCCCAAGGTTTCCGGCGCTGCGGGCCTGGAACTGGCGGATGACCAAAGGCCTAGAAGAGCCCCGGAGCCTCAATTGCTTCGTAACATTCGAGCAGCTACTATCTCGCTGGATAAGTTCGAGTCCAAGTGAATATAGTACACTGTAATCCACACAGGATGCTGGTGGCGAAGAAACTTCGTTCTGATTATATTTACCAGAGAAAGCGCACTCGCTGATCCTGCTGGAAAACTCTGGAAAGAAAGTAGCATCTATGAGCAAGATGTATATTCACGGAAATTACCACAGATTGATATATGCTTTTTCTGTACGGTGAAGCAGCTAATAATTAAATAACCGGAAATTCTATAACTCACTGTCAGCATACAGCTGTGTTCACCATATATCACTTTCAATGTATAGAGCCGAATTGGGGGAGAAAGATAGAACCTTGGAAGTATTGAGAGGGGGAGAGAGGGGAGAGAAATCGAGAGAAATCGAGAGAAATCGAGAGAAATCGAGAGAAATTGAGAGAAATTGAGAGAAATTGAGAGAAATTGAGAGAAATTGAGAGAAATTGAGAAATTGAGAGAGAGAGAGAGAGAGAGAGAGAGAGAGAGAGAGAGAGAGAGAGAGAGAGAGAGAGAGAGAGAGAGAAAAAGAGAAGAGGGATTAAAAGAGAGAGAGAAGGAGGGAGAGAGAGGAGAGAAAGGAGAGCTATAGAAGTCTCTATAAAGAGAAAATAGAGATTGAGAGAGGGGAAGAGAGAGAGAGAGAGAGGGGGAGAGAAGGAGAGAAGGAGAGAAGGAGAATAGAGGGAAAAAGAAAAGGCCCGGATAGCTATAAGAGAAGGATAGGGCAAGTTAAGTCTAGAAACAAAGTCTTTCAAGCGATCTCGAAGGGAGCTGAAAGGTGCGCGAATATTTCAAAAGAGCTCTGAATCAATCTTCCAGTGTCTTATGCAAAATATCTCAACAATGATATCTGAATTCTCTCGTTTCTCACGAGACAGAACCAATAATTCTCAACACCGGGGCAGACGTTCATCTCCCTTGGCTTCAAGGCTAGTGCTAAATACTCTAGCAATGGAGACAAACATTGTGATTGAGAGTGCATGAAGCCACCTAGGGACTTCGCAACCAAGTCTGTGCCGCCAGTGTGGGAAACATATGGTCTGAGGGGATTCTTGAGTCTGGATGGCTTCATATGGCTGGCCCAGAATTAGAATGATACATTGGGACAATTCACTCATAACACTGCCTGTTCTGGTATGCCAGTGAATTCAATGTTTTGCGGTTTCAAAAGCATTGCCGCTACTGTCATGCTTCATACAAGTGTCTGTATTTGGATCACTGACCCCGGATTACCAGATGAGGAAGAGCATAGCAGCCACCGTACCAATGTCCCTATATCTTCCGGACGTTCGAATTAGAAGCCTTCGTCTGATACAAATGAGCATTTTCTCATCGTCAAGACATCATATTCCTATCCTATGACCCTTTATGAGATATCTGGCATGCACAAGTCACTGCAAAGGCCTCATATCACATCATACAGCAGCACTTTCATATCAAAATCCATGGAGATCTGCCATGTTGTATGGATCCAATATACCATATCCAATCAAAATCCATAGTCTTGATCGCACGGCCGGTGGCCCCAACATCAATTTACAATCCGAGGCATGAACACTTGAACTGACGTAAGAACCCATTACAGTAGATGGATAAACTACAATTCTAACCGTTGACTCTATGCCAAAGTTGACGCACAACCGTCTCGGGAAACACCGCACCGCTAGCGCTCACAACAAAGTTCACCGACGCCCAAGATACCATGGCAACTAACCACGCGGCGAAACGTGCGTTCCCGTGATGTCAGTGCTGACTTGTTACCCATCGAGTGTCTAAAACGTACGGATAGACGTTAGACAGAATAGGAAGCTCGATTCCATGGACCCTGCGTCATCTATACGGATATAGAACAGAGCGCATTAGTTGCGGAGACCACAACGTTGTACCCACTGACCGCTTAATCGTCTCGTATCATCGGCCACTGGGCAGAAACCTCCAGTTAAAGGGACGTCATATAAGTCCCGGATTGGGCGAGCGGCTGGGCGAATAACGGCAAGTTGGGCGATTACGTAGGCCGGGATTTGCCCGCGAAGTCGCCCATTGGGTGGGAGGTGATCTTCAGTATTTGGCCCATGGATAATGGGTGGTCGGGGGTAATTGCGATGAACACATTACAACCCCCAGTTGGTCCGTAAGTTTGGCGATTCGCGATTCGCGAAACGTGTTTCATGTATCGTTTCCGCCCGAATGGGAATGATATCATGATATTTCGACTGAATATGGAGTCGCAGGATTTGAAATCTGAAATTTTCACATCATGCGCCCAGTGGAATGTGTTAAGGTTGCATGAGATTTGCGACCGACTACTAGTTCCTAGAATCAGATGGTCCGGAGTTGCACACTTACACCTTGGAAGAGCCTGGTTTTTGCGCTTCGCGAATGAACCTCGGGAGTTTGCCAGTTGCCATCGCATGCCGCTGGAGTGTATCATTATTGGCAAGCCGATCGTGCTAAGGACACCCGATGACCAGGTGTGATGGCCAACCATATGCGGTGCGATGAGGGGGTCACGTCGATCACTTATCAAGTGCTTCCAGAAGATTTCCAACCTTGCAAGGTTTAGCGTCGGACGGGGATTGGTCGAATGCGATGCCAAGGGTACAAGTCTGGACGTGAGGTACTTCCAGGAGTCTGGTGAAGAGTCCAAACGCATCTGACGTGGGCTTGCAAGGATGTGACCCTCCGGAGTAAAGTAAGAGCCGCGTTGTAAAGGATGAAATATCACTTCGGTGAGTACCTAGCCCTGGAGGTACTCCGTGCTTCGTAATCTAATGCTATATTTATTCACTCTGACTGTTGAAGCGCCACACGCCGATCGGATAGGCAATCGTCTCTTGGATCGATGTGCGACGCACGATGCACAATAAACTGGTTATGCCTAGCAGGCATCTGAATAAATTCACTTCCTACACTTCCAGATCCCAGTTCAATCGGACCGGTCCGAGTCAAAGGGCCAAGCCTGTAGCCCGTCGATCCCGAGCCAAATAACCAGCACTGCCACCGTTGCCCCCTAACTGATCACATATTCCAGTGCGACAGCTTGGCACAAAACAATAGCACCCAAATAGTCCATCTCGATACTTGCCAAGACCCTATTCATGCATCCTGCTGGTCAGCATGATCGCCATGATCGCCCTTGGCAAGTCTTCCATGGCTCATCGCGAGAGACCTCAGAAGCACGGAGTCGAGCTTCGTTTTTGCGCAGATGGTAGCACAAGGCTTGGCGCCGAGGATACTGCCCCTATCATGAAGCAGAGGGTTATCTTGTTCAAAGTTCAATGCCAAGAGTCAAGGAGCTGTACGGAGTACTCCGTACGAAAAACAAAAAGAAAACATCAAAACAATGTTCATTGACTCGCCCCTTGGTGGATATTGATCTCCCTTTCCCCGTATTGTCACCCCGGAAATACTCCAGAAAGCTCGGTGGTACGCGGATTCTGAAGATCCGATGCCCAGACCTTGGCGGTTTGCATCACCTCGCGCGCCCGCCAAGCATTCCTCCGGTGAGGCCCAGCAACTGGCTGTCCCCTTGCTCTCCTTGCTGATCCAACCGTCGGGCAGATCATTGATCCGTCTGTACATCTCCGAGACTGACCGATTTCTGAGTGCGCGGCTACGCCTTGGCGTCAGGAGTCTGCAGTCCCATCTTCCAAGATTGGAGGTGTGACGGTCTCATTCAGGAAACCAGGTCATTGCTGTACAGTATTGGCACTGTCTCTGTTGAGGCACGGAGTGGACTTGGCATTCTTGGGCCTTTGGGGTGCTCGGCAATGAAATCTGTCACACTAGGCAAAGAACGTGTACTCCGTACCGGCCTTGAGTGCTCCGCATTGTTGACTTTGAAGGGTCATAACCCCAATCGGTCGTGTCATCGGTATCAATTGGTTGTGACTCGTTCTTTGTTCAAGACTGCAAGGATTTCCGTCGCATTCAATCCCATTTTGGTATTCCCAGATCTGAAATACCAATGCCCGTACTCTCCAGGGCTGTACTGGTACTTCGTACTCCGAAGGGTCAATGTTGTTTCAACCAAGTACTAGAGTAGAGACGACAATATATCCCAGAAGGTTCAAGCCCGTGCGAACATCCCGCTGTCACCCCTTTGTTTTAGTTTAACATGGAAAATGCCTCATACAACTCGAAATTACCAACCTGCTTAGCCATTTAGCCCATCATTTACCCGTTGCGCTTGCATTGCATTGCATTGCAGCTGTCCAATCCCCGGAATCTCTCAACTCCACCTCTCCGGTTGTCTTCCCGGTCAACAATCCTGGTTAGGATCACTGTTTCCAAGGTTGTTCCATCCCGTGTTGTGCCTCAATTATAGGAACTGCACGTAGCACAATCGGGCGTTAGACAGTGTGAACATCCCGCTCGTGCCATCCTCTGTCCAGAGTCCCCTTCCCCACCTGCACAGGTCACACCTTATTGCACTAGATACCTGCATGGATTCCTGTGGGATGCATTTGTCTCCGGTAGATGGGGTACTTTCCTCAAGAACGGGTCCGGTGGTTTGTCAATTGGCAATTGAGTGAGTGCCACGATCGTTGAGCGGGGAATTTCCATCACATCGTGCCGCGAACACCACGCTACACTCGTATCTCTCCGGTCTCAAATTATGGTCTTGCCAGCTTATCCTCCGCACCGTCGACTCAGGACCCGCCGTTTGAAACGAGATCTGATTCATGTCGCGCGGGTCGACCAGGAGAAGTTCTCCGTCGGGGGAATCAGGAGGGGTCTTCTTGGCCCATTCCACAATCCCAACCGTCCGCCGAGAATTGGCGCCCTCGATCCCTTTCTGTTATTCAGCTTTGCGGAGTCCAACGCAAAGTGAGGGGTGGCCAAGCGCTGGATTTCCTAGATTCCAGCCCCGGCGGCGATATCGCTGCCGTCAGCGCGGGAACTTTTGTCGCTGCATGCACACCTTGTACATTAGGGACATTCGGCTAACTGTGCCTGTACCCTGTGTACACCAGGGTTCCAGTTCGATTAGTACCTTGCGCCCGGGTGCGCCATGGAGCAGGGCAATTACAAAGCCCGATAGCGAATCGCTCCAATATGTCAGACCGCCGATATGTGATCGATTGGGCTTGTCGCATGATAATACCTACGGAGTACGTAAAGCCGTAAAGCTGAATTAAATTACTCGAGTGGGCGCAAATCCCGCGATGAGCTCAATGGCTGAGGTATCCCCAAGCAGAGTCTCCCACAGTTGCGTTGTCAACAAGCTTCTTCCACGCCTCTCTTACAAACTTAACTGATCTTTCCCACGTCAGGCTACCCGGTTTCCAGAGTCCATGCGATCCACTGAGCTTGGATGCTCGGGTTGCAGGGACCATGCCTGCTCGCATTGATGGAGTGTGGGGGATCTCCTCGGATTCGCGAAGCTTGTCGAAATTTAAATGGTCGCTCAGAGCCCTACATCTTGTACATGGGCGGTTGAGGGACTGCACTCTGCATATCTCCGGACCACTGTGCGCTGCGAGGCCCGTTGATCGTTGGGGTTAGTGGGGCCCAGGATCGTGGTATTCTTGCTTTTTTTTTTAAATTGCCTGTCTGTGCTGGCCTCCTGGTTTACGACATTCGCGCATAGACAGTCCCAGTCAGCCGGCCTTCTAGGGCTGATCGCGGTCGCGGCTGACCGCTTCTCTTTGACCATGAACGTGGGCGTCAGTCCTCGTAAGCTCCGATGCAAGCGCCCATTGGTGGTTTTCTGTCATCGGGTCTATGGACATGGATCGGAGTGGAATTTTTATCTCTCGGTGATTAGTTGCGGTGGTGGAGATCCGAGGAAACCACGCCTTGTGCGACAACTCAGGCTATTGTAGATCGAGTGTATACCCAACATGATGATCGTTTTATCGCTCCGCCTCGGGAATGACGAAATGGTTGCTATTTCAACATGGAGATCGTGAGGCCGTGCTAGCGAGGGAGAGCTTGGCATCCCTGCCAAAGAATTCGACTGCCTTTGGGCTTGGCGTTGGAATGGAAATCGAAGGGTGATTTGCACCGAACCGTGTGTCTCGAGTATTTCGCACTGTGGCTATGTATACCAAGACTGATCTGCCGGGAAGGGACAGAGCCAAGAGTGTCTGTTGGAGGTGCGGATGGGGGTGGATACAACTCAAAGTACTCCGTACGCGCTCGTACTTCCTCGTATGAGGTACCGAATATGTACAGTACAGTATGATATCCAGCAAAGTACTAGTACTCCCAGAAGTACGTACATCGAGCCGAGAACCTCCGAGTTGAGTCACGTTTCGAACTCGATGAGGCGGAGACTATGCACATGGAAGGAGGAGATGACTGATGACTATCGGTGCATGTAACTCTACGTCAGCGCCAGAGTCCGCAAGAGGAGACAGCGACAAGCAATCTATGACTCGAGCGGCAAAATCCGCCAAGACCCTACGAAGTATGACTGTCAATCCGAGCCTTGAACGAATCGCGCACAGCGCGCGTTTATGGAGATTTTGGTTATCAATTCGAGATTACGAGTTCCCGTCAAGTAAGACAGCCCTTACGGAGTAGCTTTAGGGCAAGTTCGGCCAAGGCTGCTCGGCACCACTCAGGCACCCCAATCGGCGAATGGTAATCTTCATACCGCCGAGCTGCACCGTTAAGAGCGGCTGTAACCATGAGATGACCATACCCATACGATCGACGATCAATGTACGAAATCAAGGGGAAAGGTCCATGGTACATGGAAGTACCCAACTTGCGCGCTGAATGTTTTCGGTATTGGCCCAAGGCAATTTCGCCTAATCACGGATTCACCGCTGCGTTGGCGAACAAGTGCATTGTGGAGTGAGTTCGCGGCAAGTATAGGTCAGGTTTGAATGGGGGAGTTCAACGTGAGGGTCGAAACCGGGCCCTGATCAGGTTTAGTTCCAACACAAAATCCCTCATAGTCCACCAAGCGCTCTGCAATAGTCATCAAACCGCGAATCCACCTCGAATTTCCCCCCTTAGTCATGGTCTTTGTTCTATGGAATATCCATGGATCCAATCTATCCTATTTATTTATATGTATTCTTTATGCTGCAGGAAGTACCATGTACAAGGTATAAAGAGCAGCGAAACAAATCGTGTAGCGTGGTCGTACTCCGTACTGCGCGCAGGAACGACTTTTTTCCTTAGTCAGGAGTAATGGGGGTCCACGGCAGGGTATTCGAGTAATTAATTTCGTAAGCACAGGTAATCATGAGTAATCAAAAGGCAGCCAAGGTGAGCCAAGGTGTGAAAAGGGTAGGTTAGGGGCTGTTTGAGGGTAGTATTGGGTAATTGGGGGGGGCTATCCCGGGAAGTATTTGGGTATTTTGGGGTACTGGCTGGTAACTGGGTAAAATGCCCAAAGAGGGCAAGGGCGAAAGACAAAAAAAAAGAAAAAAACGAAAAAAAGAAAAGAAAATTTAAATGACGGCGCTAGGCCCAAAGCGACAGTGCCGGAGTGCCGTATCGTCACTCCCACTGTCTCTTCTCTCTCTCTCCCCTCCATAACTAGCACGTCGGCTCTCTGCCTTTTCTTATTATTTGATTCCTTTCCCCCTTTCCTTTGTCCTTCGGTTCTGCCTCTTTTGCGTTGAATAATCTCCACTCCATTCACCTGGCATTCTTGCTTCTACACTTCTGAAAGCACAGACCTTCGAATCCCCGGTATTCGATCTAGTTGACGCCCTCAACATTGTTCCATTCTTAGGACAATTATCGATCTTGGCGACTATCTGGGCGACTATCCTCTGCTTCGCCTCACACCTAGCCATGCGTTACATATCATGACAAGCGTCCTCGTTTGGGACATCTTGTTCTGCCCTCCAGATCGATCTACGTGATACCGATTGATATCGAGAGAGCACCCGTTGAATGAAAGACCTTCATACATCTTTCAAGCAACACTGTACCGTCGCCTTCGACTCGAGACTACGCCACTTCGCCTCTACCTTGATATCATACCTACTCTCCCCAAACTTTTGAATGAACTATGGCCCAGCCTCGTTACGGTGAAAGACCATTTTCTTTCCACAACCTTTTCAAGATGCTTCTTTCACCAAATGCTTCGATGAAGGCGGCCCACGAGGAGGCCGACCTTGCCGAAGACGTCGACGAACCCCCCGATCACCTCACTCACGCCACCCCGTCGAACTCCGATCAGATTCGCCTCGGACGCCCAACCGTGGACCGCCAGGAATCCCTGCTCACCCGTGCCCTAAAGACCAGCCCGGAGATGTCACCAACTGATCAGCATACCTCCCTACACGACTCTTACATGTACCGATCCTACCCGCACAGCAACATCTCCGGTCTTTCGACTGCTGAACTCACCAGTGATGGTGGACTCACAAGTCCATCCTTGTCCAACACTCCCAGCCCGCCTCTACCTCCTCAGATGATGAGCAAGGCGGCATTGATGGGCAAGAAGGATGTCACACCAAAGGTGAAGGTTGTAGCTGCCGGTGAAAACACCGTCGAGGCCAACCTTGGCCGCAAGCGATGCATCAGCTTCGCGTGCGGTCGAAAGACTGATGATCAGCAGCCGCTGTCCCCCGTATCCCCCTCCGGCTCCCAGACTCTCCCTCCCAAGGCCCCAACGTCCAAGGAGAACGTGGAAGAACCTTCCATCCAGCCTCTTCAGCGCAAGACCACCCTGACTTTTGTATGCCCTGGGCGGGAGACTGCCACCCAGAGAGAGCGATCCCCTGCGCGTAAGACGTCCTTCCGCTCCAGATGCCGTGGATCCCCAGCGCCTGCTCTTCGCAAACCCTCTCCAGATGCCAAGACCACTCCCAGGAAAGCCGACGAGGAGGTCGCGCTTCCATCAACTGCTCCTAAGGGAGTCCCCACCAGTGGCCTGGGAAAGTTCGAGGAATCTGAAGCTACTCGATTCCACGAATTTGCCAGCTCCATGGACGAGGACGACGAGTGGGTGAACAAGGAGGCCGACTACACCGAAAAGATCACCTTGAACGACTGCATGAAGAAGGAGATGGCAATTCGACGACTCGGCGAACAGGCCGAAGAAGAGGCATTGGAGGAAGAAGACGATGATTTGGAAGACCTTGCGGACGATGACTCGACTGTGCACGATTTTTCATCCGACGATGGCAACGAATCTGACAATGAGGCTGGCTTTGCGGAATCGGATGACAGTGATGACGAAGGCTCGGACTACGAATTCTGGGCCCCATCATTGGCTAGTCCTGAACCCACAAGCCAACCCATTGAAAGCCGCCCTGGAATCGAGCGCCGCGCTTCAAACACCTCTTTTGAATCGGTGGACGAGCCTACCAAATGGCTTCCAGCGCCTGTGCACATGAGCCACCGTCGTGCATCGAAGGTCTCGACAAGCATCAGAATTCGCCCTCGCACGCCAAATCTTCCAGACAGCACTGATTTTGTCTGCGGCACACTCGATGAGGATCGTCCTCTTGAAGCTGCTTATAAGTCCTGTCTGGAGCAGAGACGTCTGTCGAAGCAAATTCCCATCCCGCAGGACATCGACCCGAGTTTCCCCACCAGCGACCCCGAGGACGAGGAAGATCAGGAGACCGAAGAAGAGCTCTCCGACATTCCTTCTGAACCAAGCCGCGGACGGGCCGAAGGTGACTCCCGCAGACACTCTCCTCGCCACTCCCCCAAACGCCTGATGTCTCCTCCACCACGCCGAGCTGGACGCACCTCTCCCAAGCGTCTCAAGTCTCCTCCCCCACGCGTGCGAGCCAAGTCACCCATCCCATCCAAGTGGCAGTTCACTGAAGAGATGCCTCTCGTCGAGTCGCCGGAGGGCTTGAACATCAGCCACCTGGTCCAGCGTCGACCCCTGATTCGCACCAAGTCTCTCCCTCGCACACCCAACCCATTCTTCACTGGTCTCGACAAAGACCACCGCTGGAAAAGCATTCCTGCTTTGTCCGAATCGCCAGAGCGCGAGCACTCACGCACGCGTGAAATGCACACCCGAGGCCCCGTCGACATTGTCGAAGGGCTTGAAAAGAAGCGCCAGAAACGCAAAGAGAAGTTCTGGCGCCAACACTGCCGCAAAGCTGCCAAAGAGCAGTTAGGCAAACGGCCTATTCCAGGCCAAGGAGCTACTCGGATGAAGGAGCTTGGCCTCGAAGTTGCTGAGAGGTGCAGAGCTTACGGCGTCGGTCAAGACGCCCAGCTCGTCCTATCTGTTTAGTATCCTAATGGAGCTTGTTTCGAAAGTTGTCCCACCCTCCCCCTTTTTGGACTGTATATATCCTATATTCTTGTTTGTTTCCCTTTCTTCGCGATTTTTACTGGCTTGGGGTCTATTTGTCTCGCCCTACTCGATTAGCGATCCGAGTGCCTTTCGCTTTCTTACACATACTTCGCCTACTTCATGTTACCATGGATGGCTTTTCACCCTTTTCCTAATTCCTACACGGAGGTGGCTCTTTCTTTGCATTTTCTGTCGGAAGCTTGTCTATATTCTTTCTTTTCTCTTCTCTGCAGTCCTCCAGACTCACTGAAGATCGATTCCTTTGTCGTGTTGCATGGTTGCGGTGCTTATACCCCTGTCTGACTTTTCTGCATTGTGAAATAAGAGATCATCAGTTTGATGAGAGTGAATATGAAATATTTTAGATATACACGGATCCTCCAGTAATCGGTAACTGAACCTTGACGAACATGATAGAAGTGCAAGGTCAACTTGTGGCAAGACCTCGGGAGACCTTGGGGATAACTTGCCACTGCACTCCACGGGTGCGCAGGTGAAGTGCAATGTACCAGCCTCCGTTCTACCTAGGTGTAGACTGCATAATCTCGCTCTTATCATATGGTCCCAACACTCCTAAGCCTTAAGCCCAAGATGCATATAGATCGGCCCAATTCGAGTTCCCAACCTTGGGACCCGAGTCCGTACTTCTTCTGCGCCGTGATTCCGTCTTTCCTGCCTGAGGCAGCAAGACCCCGAAAACAACACCAAACCTGTCTTCTTTGCTTCTATCTCCCTCCACCCTCCACATCACCCGTCTCTTCGATCAAAGTCCCACAGATTCGAGTCTGTGATATCCGCCCAACCCGGACTCTTTTCCTCGATTCTTTTCTGACCACCCCTTCACCATGTGGATTGTCAACTGGTGTAAGTCGCCCCGATACCACACCGATCACTTGCCCGCAGCCGATCACCCATCGACAAAGGGAGCTTCCATGACCGGGGGATAATCGCCTACAGGCCCGGCTGGATCATTATATGCCCAGCTCGGCGCCGGCCTTTGCGCTTCGATTCCCTCGGTTATGGGCTGTGATCCGGATCCGTCACATGTACACTGTGAACCATACTAACATGGCTCTGTATAGTCTACGATGTCCTTGCATCGCTTGGTCTCCTGACCAAGAGCGCCAAGCTTCTGTTCCTCGGACTCGATAATGCAGGAAAGACCACCCTGCTGCACATGTTGAAGGTGAGTTGAGAGTCGGCAGATGAGTGGACCGACATGGGCCATCCGGGTGCCCACGAAGAGGCTGCTCTCCGCGTATACCGGCGGTGGAGATCGTGAAGCAACCGCATGCTAACAACATTCAACAGAACGACCGTGTCGCCGTTCTCCAACCCACAGCTCACCCTACCTCCGAGGAGCTTGCTATTGGCAACAACCGCTTCACCACCTTCGATCTCGGTGGTCACCAACAGGGTATGTGAAACCCGCCCCAGCGCGCCTGTGAGACCCGCGACAGAGAATTGACATAAATACCACTTTTAGCCCGCCGTCTCTGGAAGGACTACTTCCCCGAAGTCTCCGGTATTGTGTTCCTGTGTGATTCCGTCGACCACGAGCGATTCAACGAGTCCAAGGCCGAATTGGACGCTCTTCTCGCCATGGAGGACCTCGCCAAGGTGCCTTTCCTCATTCTCGGAAACAAGATCGATCACCCCAATGCCGTCAGTGAGGATGAGCTCCGTCACCAGCTTGGTCTCTACCAGACTACTGGTAAGGGCAAGGTGCCTCTTGAGGGTATCCGACCTGTCGAGGTCTTCATGTGCAGTGTTGTTATGCGACAGGGTGAGTTGAGCATTTCGGAATACAAGCTATTCTATGCAGATTGGCTGAGAACCTTGGTAATGAATGGCATTGGCTAATTGAAATAATCTATAGGATACGGAGAGGGTATCAGATGGTTGTCCCAATACGTCTAAATGTATTTCTCGAAATAGGAATACGAATTCGTCCCTCCCCAACACCCCCGACCCAGCACAAGCTTGACAGACGTTCACCATGTCAAATCGCTTTCGACATCTATCTCCAATGGCTTGTGGCTTCCCACCAAACCCTCCCCTTCCAGTCCGAAAATCAAATTTGCTCCATATAACTTGATTCAACAATGTTCTACCCCATAAAGAACACCCTCTCAACCCGTTTTTACCCGGCCTGCTTCGCTTGAATGTGCCACTCGGCAATGATGTCAATCACGCCCGAATCCTTTGCTTGTCCCTTTTGCGCTTCTTTTTGCCCGCTAGCTAGCCGGTTCTTTTTTGGATATTATAGTTCAAAGACGTGATATTCCTTTTCAATGCGCAGAATTGCCATAAATCTCAGACTCGATCATCGGGGAATGATCTCGAATCAAGCCCGATTCAAAGGTGGTATGATCAGACTAGTAGACTCGAGGTCGGGATAGTTGCCTCATTGGGTGAAGTATGCACGTATCGGCCTGCATGGCTAGCTTAATGGCAGTCTAGACCAGGCCAAAACACTTCGCCTATGTGTAGATCTTGTGCAAAGGGCCGCTAGTTATGCATCATTCATCGCTCGAGCTTGTATCAATAGATAGACGGATGTCCCTTTCAAGGTTTTCTGAAGAGGCCTTGCTGGCTCATGAACATCCATGTAGATCATATTGCAAGAATATCCTTGAACTTATGGCCTGTTGATGAGCGACCGTCAGTCAAAACGAACAGAATGGGACATGTACCTTTTTCTTTGAGCCTGGGACGATCTTTACTTCGCCTGACTCTTGAGCCCCCTCGTTAAAGTGGTAGCGAAGACTATGAAGCCCCGACAAATGGTATATTTAGCTACCGAACCACGGAGGTACTCAGCTACACCGGCCAGTGCCTAGTCCAGATGTGATCGTCCATGGAAATCCGGTATACGACGTTCAGATGACGGGGAGTGCCATCGCTACCTTAGGCGGATTCAGCAACCCAGGGAAATGGAGCAGATAGGCGAATAAGATTCGATATGAAAACAAGAGCACATGAGGTCAAGCACGACAAGAAGTGAGAAAGAAGAAAGAGAAAGAGAATAATAGATAACCAGTTTCCCCCTCTGATTCCAAAAGGAAGCGTTCCAGATCCAGATGGTTAGTAACAGAAACAAAGAAGGTCGAAAATAAAGCAGTTGAATTCCACACCGGAGGTACAGGTCGTGCGGATCCGCCAGGGAAAATGATGACTGGGCTTTTTTCGTGTGTCGCACTGGGCCCATGGAGGGAGGAGACTGAGGCTGTGATATTATCGGGGATTGCGGAGTTGAAGAATATCGGGCGGTGCGGATGGAGGGCTCCTTGGTCATCGTTTTCGTGGATCCGGGGGGGACTCGAGGGGGTTGTTGGGATGTCATGAGGGGCGCTGTAAATGAGATTTGTGAAGGCTTATCTCCGCCCGAACCTGCTGCAATGGGGAAGCTCGTATTTGTTCTTTTATTTCTTTCTTTGCTTTCGCGGAGTGACGGGACCGCCGGCGTTCATGCCACCGTAAACGTACTTTTGCTTTTTCTCGGCTGGTTTCAGGATCTGCGGAGAGAAAACAGATTAGCGAGCGGTTCGAGACGAAAAATTGAAAAGCGAAAGGGCTTACCTGGAAGGAACAGAGCAGACTCTCGTCCACGCTCATCATGGCACCGGCATTATCGAATTCACCGCAGTAGTTGGGCGCACTGAATAGAGTCACCAGCTGGCGCTTGGAGAAGAACTCGTATCCATCCTCCACAACTTGGTGTGCACGGCAGATCAGATCCATATCGTGTTTTTGTAGGAAGCGTGAAACAACATCGGGGCCAAATGTGAATGAAACACCTCGGTCGTTCTCGCTCCAGCCGGTGATATCCTTGTCGGGGTCGGACCACAGGAGATCGCACAGGAGACCGCAGTCAGGGATCTATTTCAGTCAGCGATGGCTCTCAGCCGTGAACCCAGCGTCACGATGCCACGGTCAAATCCTCCGACTGCCAATCGAACCAAATCCACCAAATCCACCAAAAAACGGCAGGAGAGACTTACATCAGTAGGGCGCATGACACGGCGGATCTGCTCCATCGAGTTGAGGTCGGGGCTCAGACCACCGTGCATGGTGAAGATCTTCTCGTCAATGATGGCAGCAATAGGAAGGCAGTTAAAGCAGTCGGTGAAAGTCTTCCAAAGCTTGATGTTGTACCGGCGCTTGCACTCATCGTAGAAACCGTAGATACGGTTGATCGAGGCACATTCGTGGTTTCCACGGAGGATGAAGAAGTTCTCGGGGTACTTGATCTTGTAGGCCAAAAGGAGGCAAATAGTCTCAAGAGACTGCTTGCCACGGTCGACGTAGTCACCGAGGAAGAGGTAGTTAGCCTCAGGGGGGAAACCGCCGTATTCAAAGAGACGCAGCAGGTCATAGTATTGGCCGTGGATATCGCCGCAAATCTAAGGGGGGAAAGTCGCGTCAGACGGGGCTTCTCTCGGCGACTCTTTCGGACTCCAAACGACTCACCTTGATGGGAGCTTCCAGCTCGAGAAGAATGGGCTGAGAGATGAAAATCTCACGGGCCTTGGTGCAGAGGAAACGGATTTCTGACTCAAGCAGCTGAACCTGCTTTCCAGGGCGGCTACCCCTCACCTCCAAGAGCCGGTCGATGATTGAGTCGAGATCCACTTCATTGTCGGCCATGGCGAAAGACCTCTACCGTAAATGACGGGGCGAGAAAAATAGGAAAAAAATGAATGGGAAGGGGGGCGAAGGAGCGCGGGAAGAGAAACCTCCGGAGCGATCGGTTGAGAGCAGAAATTTGATGACGCGGCGACTATGTTCTGTTGTTGTCTGTCAGAAAACCTGGTTGATCAAGTGCTCCAGATTGAAAAGAAGTCCAGTCTGCATTTCAAAGTCCCAGATGAGGCAAATCCGACACGCGCACTTGATGTCGCTCTCTGAATTTTTTTTCCCTCTCCTCCCCTTTGGCAGTGGCAGTGGCAGTGGAGATAAACAACAGGGCGAAAAATGGTCGGATGTCACAGGTGACCTACCAAGCAGAGAATTTCAAGATCAGGTTGATCTGAAGAAGGGCCCCAGCGGCCGCGAGAAAGGATCTGGCAAAGACGCCAGACGATATGTCGACGGGGATGCCTATCCGGGTTGTAATGCACCGCGAGAAGAAGAGAGAGATGAGATCTGCTCCTGGGCGCCTAGGAAACAAACGATGAGCGAAGTAGCGGGTTTGATTCGAATCGTTGGAAAGACGCCGGAGGGGTCTCGAAGTGGGAAAGGGAGAAAATCTCAATCAAGGGAGAAAATTTTTCTTTCGGATAGCCGATGGTAGAATATGCGAAAGCCAGTCAGAAAAAACAATCTCGAAACTGAATGTTGGAGAGGGTGAGGGAGAGGAGAATCTTTTCTGAGGAAGAAAGCGGGAAGTTTCTGGTGTTTGCGCGTGTTTGGTCTTCCCTATCAAGGGTTATATATAGATCAGCGCCTACTTATGGCCTTTTCCTCCTCTTTCACACTGCTTTTGCCCTTGGATTATATTGCGAGAATGCGAGCGCTTGGACAGATTTTCATTTTCTACCTGCATGATGGAGGGGTTTGGCGTTCGAGGGTCGAGACTTCGACGCCTCGACGCCAGATGAGGTCAAAGCACGAAGACGCTAATCTACACCCTCAGTGAATGTCTTTGTAGGACATTCTTATTTGATATCGCCAAGCTTTCTTCTGGGGAATCTCTTAGAGAATGCTTGAGACTATACGGAGTACAGGCTACGGGGAACTTGGTGTCATCCGAAACAATTGAGATAGTCTCCATTGGGCTCGGAGCCCATACCTGCATAAAGTGAAGATCATCGCAGAGGGCATCACTGAGAACGAAACTGTGGAGAGAAACAAGAGGGGAATTGAACACAAAAAGTCCTCCAACGCCAACATGCCCGAGAAGAATCATACAATACACGCTGTAACCCGAAAAGAAACGAAGAAAAAAAATGAACAGAACAGAGTCTTCCATGGTGCCGATCAAGTGTCCACAAATGGAACGAAGGATGGCACAGTCATGGAAAACTGAAAAGCAAAAGACGGTCGTAAATGGTTCATACATCCAACCCATGTCTCGTAAGTCATCCAACGCCGAAAAACAATGCATAAAGTGGTCAGTTGTCGGGGACATCCTGAAATATGTTGTTCAAATGAGTCGCGGAGGACTTCATGACGGGGGATACCCGGAAGAAATTAAACGAAAACCAGATGCAATGATTCATCGCATGTATGACAGGGAGACTCCAAGAGATTATGGAGCGGAGTTGTGTGTAGTAGACGGAGTCTCCCGTGATATGAGTAGTGGACCGAGGATGTTCGAGAGTGTAGGGGTTTTTATCCGCTAAGCGCATGTCCGCTCAGAATGGCCTGCGTGGTCGAGCGGGTGATAGGTGGGGTGGAGATATGAGCGGAATGGTCTAAGCCTGCCCCCGAGCTGTGAGCGAAGTCTTTGTGGGAGTTATCCCAGTCACTCTCTCCGAGCACGGTCAGCCAGTTATGGCCGACGTCCTGGCGGAGGACTTCTAGCTGTTGGCGGCAGAACTCTTCGTCCATGGTCCTATCCTTGCCCTGGGAAGGTTGCACAAGGGTAGGACTTGGTGGGTTTATATGCTTGGGTGAACTTTTGATGTTTGGAGTCCCGGCTGGCTCCCCGCTGTCGAGCCTCCACGGCTGATCAACAGGGCCGTCGGTCGGGTGGTGAACGGGAGTTTGAATCTTTTGAACGGGTAGGGGTTGGACAGGGAGAGGTGGCAAAGTTGCACTCCCCGGCTGACCCAATCCATCTGTACTGAACGGGTTGTCGACCGTGATGTCAACTATCCTCCGCCGCTGGGGTTTCTTGCGGCGGTTGGTACCCGTGTCGATATCTTTCTGCAATTCATTGGTATGAAAGTCCTCCTCGTCTTCTTGGGGCTTGAAGGCTGCAAGATCGTGCGGGACCTTGGACACGGTGGCTGCCTTCTGCACGAACGTGGATTCATCTGCCTGGCTGCAGCGTACAATTGGTGCGGCCTGAGGCTCCGCAACACGCTCGATAAGCTGCTTCCTCTCAGTGTAGCCGGGACCTCTGCCGTCAATAATGATGTCCTCGGAATAACCAGGCGTCCGACGGAAGAGATTCATGATCACAACTCGATATCCAGAGTGGGTGTTCACAAATGGATTGCCAGACACCCAAATCTCCCGTATCTCAGGAAGACTAGTGAGTCGTGCAATCTCCGTCGGGTCTGTCAAGTTATTGTCCCGAAGGTCCAGTCGTTCCAAAGAGAGCAAACGTTCAACCCCTGCGAGCGAGCGCAGGCGGTTTCCGCGAAGCGTGAGGACAGTGATTGCGGGCAGAGGGTTGCGGGTCAATGAGTGGAGAGACTCGATCATGCAGTGCGACAGGTTGAGCGCCCTCAGAGCCACTAGGGATGCCACACCGTCTGGAATCTCAGTCAAAAGGTTCGAGGAAAGATCAAGCGAGTTCAAGGTGTTGGCCACCGGGGCGAGGCTGGCGGCGGAGACGGACGTCAGTGAGTTTTCGGGAAGACCCAAGTGTCGTAGGAATCGCCATTTCGAAGATGACAAGACATCGGCGACCAAGTTCGAAGAGCTTCCGTTCCGAGAGAGATCGCTCGACTCTGAGCTCGCAGATCCTGTGCGTCGAATCTGACGAGACTGGCCCCGGCGGTGGCCATGCTTTGTGGCTGGACGAGTTGGCGACGTACTTCCAGCCCTGTGAATCTTGGCGCCTTCCGATCCTGTCCGAATCATCGAGTGAGACTTGGGACTAGCGCTGGATCCGAAGGCTGTGTCCATCACAGGAGACCCAGGCGCCGAGAGGGAGTTGGCTTGAGTGGGAGTATGAACAGGTTGAGTGTTGGAGCCGCCGGTCCATCCCAGCGATGGTGATTGTTGCTGAGATTTGGCAGATCGGCGGCGCCTTTTGTCGATGTCGTCCAACACAATCCTCGTCAAAAGGTCGGCGGGGTCCTCCAAGTGCGCCCGCTTGAGTGTCAAGGTGCGCAGCTGCTCAGAGAGTCGGTCCCAGCCGTAAAAAGAACGGTAATCTAAATCAATGATTTCTAAAGCGCTCAAATTCTTGAAAGAATGCAACGGCACCGCCGTATCAAAAGGAAATTCTTCATATCCACTGATCAGAGGAGCTCGGTGGTCTGGGGCAAGCCTGAGGCAGGGGATCTTGGTGAAGGCAGAGTACAGGTACTTCAGATCCATCTCCAAGGCCGCTTTGGCCCGATCCGATTTCGAGGGAGTTTCTTTCGATCCGATGCGGAAAGATGACCAGAGGTCAGTCATTCCCGACATCACACTACGAACACTGGAAACGGAATGGATCGAGGCTCCATCGCCCCTGGATCGCTGGGGTTTATTCAGGAAGGAGACATAGGACTGCGAGACCTCTGTGTGGATGTTCTCCAGTCGGATGTTCATAGGACCCACCGCGATGCTGAGTTCTTCGAAGCGGGAGAGGAGGTAGAATAGGTGGTGGGGGGTCAATGTCAACTTGGCGGTTTTGGCATTCTGTGACATGAACTTCAGAGCCGCGGATGAGAAGGCTGCGGCCAGGGTGGATGAGGTAGATGCAAAGGAGCTACTAGGAGTCAGGGGACCGCTGGGAGACTGAGGGATCGCATTTTTGGTAGGCTGCCGGCGAAGCTGGAGCGCATTGGCGAGTGCTTTTTCGTGGGTTCGGACGTAGCTAGCGACGTTCTGGGCGAGCACAATCGTCAGTAAACAACCAACCCACACGATGGAGTCCCGACACGGCACCACTCCAAGACCACAATGGCGGGGCGATAGCACAAACCTTGATGAAAAGTTGTCCATCCCCAGTGTTTAATTTCTCCATGGTGCCAGCGGGGGTACTTTTCCGGCGTAGACCGGGAGAACTCTGAAGATGAATAGCTCAACAGACACAACCAGGCGTAGTCGACATCTTGCTTGTGCTACCCGAGCAAGTTCCGAAAAGTGATGAATGGGGAGAGAAAAAAAGGAAAAAGAAAAGGTCGAGTCGAGGCTCTGGATGCGAGGGTTAGCGGTCCGCCGAAATTGATCAGTCTCATCTGGGAGGGTCCAGGGGGAGGGGGTGTTAGAGGATTCATACCTGGAGAAAGAAAAGTGAATCAAAAGCTCCAACTTCTCTTGTCACAATGTCCCAAAATGAATGGCAAAGGGTGAAAAGAGAAGAGGGTGGCACGGGGTAACGACTAAATAATAATAATACGGCTTATCCAGATAACACAATACGGGATGTACGCCAGGTACGGCGTAATTACATTTATATATAATTTTTTATCAGCTGAGAAATTTGCCAGTCGTCTGATATGCCTCTCATTGGATTTAATTTCTCCTGCGCATATTTAATGTTATGCTTCGCCATTGTCCGAACCCCTTATGTCTACATATGTATGCTTCGTGTCTGCTCAAAAATGCGACCTGTCAAAGTAATCTATACGCAACACTCTCGTACCGTATAGCTGTCGGTATAAATAAAATGGTTGCTAACGATGCACCTACTATGCCCGGGTGGGTGAGGGTGAGAGTGGCGAGCCTATGAGGGCGCCTAGGATTTTAGCTCGATATTTCTCCCGCGTCTATCAAAGATGTGCAGTTAGCGATGGCGCTCTAAAAGTACCAAAGCTCCGCATGGAACTACTAGTAGGATTAGTCCGACAGGTGCTGATACATGGATTTGAGCCTTTGATTCCATCCCAAATTATACGAGAATTGCACAGAGCGTCTACATTCTGAGCCGATCTTGCGCAAGGAAACTCAGACCATATCCTATCGGTGGGTCCTGGACCGAGGGGCTCTCTTTGATCGGCGGTAAAAAAAAAAAAAAAGGAAAATTAACATCTTCCCATTCATGCATCATCAAACCCGACTCGTACCGAATGCACCTCGAAACTGTTGAAACCCATATCCCATCTTAGTGGCGGCGTTGATCAATCTCCGACGCAGCCACACGCAGGCAACTTCAGCCCACGATGCAGACCGGGTGGGAATGCCGAGAGCTGGTTTAGTTGCCCCGTGCTCCCGTTGGCCCGCTTTCTGCTTTTTTTGCTTTTTTGCCGTGATTTCTAATTCGATCATTTCGTTGCCTATGAAGTCTCGCACGACTCACGCCGTACCGTTACCCGTATCGTTGGTCATCTGTAGGCGCTGAAGGGGCAGGCGATCAAATCAGGGTTTAGAAGCGAGTGATTGCACGAGGCACACGATTGGTGGGGCAGAACATGCATGGGAGGATATCTGCATACTCGCAGGATGCCTTCGTCCTCGAAGTGGTAATAGTGGAGAGCAGTCATTCGGAAATTCAGCGAGAATGAGAGGAAAGACACGACCTGGTTGGCGCTATATCGCGAACCCCTTCAGACCGACCAATCAGAGGGGGCGGTGAATTTCGCACGCTATTTGGGGATCGTCCGAGTCAGCTCGCACTGACATCTGACATTCTCGAAAATTGGGTAATATTTAGAGGGAAATGGATATCCGATGACATCAAGAACTGATTCAACCCCGTTGACTTCGTCGTTGATATAGATGCGGTTCCACGGTTGACGGCGGAGTCTCCAAGGATCACACCGCCTCGTCCGAGAGAACCATGGTTCGGCGTCATCCCTTCATCTAAACTTCCAACCGCCAATATCTCGACGAATGCATCTTGGAAAACTTAGTTTCTTCTGCATTCCCTTCATTTCTAATCGGTCCAATCGTGAAGCGCGGGGTCTATAGCCACGGTCCTTCCATGTTGCAAGCTGGGGCATTCCAAGGTCTCTAAATGTGCCGTAAAACCTTTGGTTCGGCGTTACACCCCAGCCTCGCTGCATGCAATCCTGCACTTTCGATGCGAGGAGGGTACCTTTATCCCTGTCCTTAGTGATTTGTGCTTAAGTGCACATGAATGTCCTCTACGGAGTATGTATATGCTGTCCATCGTACCCTGTAGCCGCATAAGCTACTGAAAATCCACACAGTCGCAGGGTTTACAGCCGATCGGGGCTGAATGCCCCTCCAAGCCCCAGGAATGTTCAACACATGGAGAGAATCCCTTCTGACATAACCAAGGGGGAGGGGAGCCACATGACGAGCGATCGTCTGGATGTGCCGCGACTCTCCCCCTACTTACCACAGACGATATCTCATTACAAGTTGGCTTCAAAGGCTCCATAAAAGACGTAAATCCTCGGGCGCTGCCCGGCCTCGGAGATCCGAGAACAGTGTGCTCCACCTTGGGACGATCCCTACAAACGTGCAGCGCGATATGGCAGGTAAGCAAGCTTATTGGGTGAGACACGGCACGGTCGTTTGCAGACACAACTCCTTGCCAAGACCTTAATATGGCTCGATGGGGATATTTCACTCCCTTTTTGGTCTACTTTCATTTTTTAGGGTCACGTCGGGGGGTACTAGGGGTTGACTTCATAAGCGGGGGAAAGCTTTTTCTATCCAGCGCCACAAGAAACTGCAATAGGAGATCCATGATCTGCATATGACTCAATGAGGAAGCCTGATACGGGGATCGCATTTCGTGATAACCATCTCGTCAACCCTGGAAGGTTATTGACCCCGGCCTGCGGGGCATTGAAAAATGGTAACCTTGTCTTTCATCCCGCAATGAGATTCGACGCCTCAGCACGTTCAGGGTTATCACAAAGGTTAATACACTGTGAATGTAGCGGCTACCGCGGTGATAAATATTTCGGTCTGCCTTTACTTCATAGCGAGGCATCGCGTGTTCAAAGGAATGCTCAGAACTTGTTAATATAAGCGAAGGTGACATCGCAAGTGACCAAACCCGATGGCTTGCGCCATGTTTGTTTTTCGCATCTGCTTTTAAGAGTTTAGCAGGCTGATCAACATGATCAGCGCCCGAGGAAGAACATGAGCGAATGGAAAAAGCGTCCGGATTATCCTCCCCTAAATGAGCCTAATTAGGGACTACTCATGTACGCTCCCTCTGTACCCCGCCAAAAATTCATATCAGATCAGGTGACCCAGAATGACGTTGGGTGGTGTATGTTATACAAAAATGGCTTGATCTCTGATATGTGAGTATCCTATGTCCGATGCGGGCACGAGCCTTCGGTGCTTGGTACGTAACTGCCGCTATGATATTAATATCACAGCCCGCTGGATTATTTCCTGACCGTCCATTCGGTAGCGACAACCAAACTCTGCCGAGACGCCTACCAATCACGGGAGGACCAAGATACCTTCGAGATTGGCGCTGCCGGCCATGTAGCGGTGAGATAAATTGTGCTGACTTGAATCCGAGGTCAGAAAAGTCTTCGGGATTCTGTCTGAAACAGGAGCAGGATGAGCCCACTATTTACTTTGGAACAAACATTTCCAAGGAATGTCAATTGCGCGGGGCATGCGTGGAGGGGTACATTCCAAATGTCTCCAATACCGTCGCACAACCGGTGAGACTTTGTTCATCAAATGCCACAGCAGACTGGAGTAACATAATGTGTACAGAGCACAAAATTCTTTCCTCCTCTTTCCTCCTCCTTGGTATTTGCGGCACTAGGCTGGGTTTCAGAGGGGAGGCGTCAATGCGGCCGCTGGCTTTGAACAAAGAACGTGGCCATGTATTTATTACAACCCCAGTAGCCAAGGCAATTAGAAGAATGCAATCATGGCAAATGTCAGTAAATGATGGTTCTTATCCATCATGTACCTCATAACTGTCAAAGACGGAGTATGCATCCTTGCACACAGAATCTCACAGAATTTACAAATGCAAGTTATTAAATGATATGCAGATGATTTATGTGTCCTAATTACATATAGAGCCATTGTGAATGAAACACGTGTACTCGCATATCTGTTCAATTATGGTATATTGCCTGGTAGGATTGAAGTTGTATAGTTCACGGTGGGCCGAGGCTTCTGATAACACCGCTTATCTGGTGGGGTAAAAGACAGTTACGCTAGCCTGTTTGGGAACCCCACTAGCCGCATTTTGAAGATCGTGTGCACGTGACCCTTTAACGTCATCGTGGCTTCCCCAACCGGATTCCAGGTACCAATGTACCTTTAGCTGCGACTCCCAACATACTCACCCGGAGCATGTGTTGATCATGACCGATGAGAAGAAACCTCCTAGCGACCCTTATGATCCTTCGGGTATTCCAGACTTCGATTGCGACTTCATCAAGCCCGATGAACTCGACCGATTCGAGAGGGCGTTGAATGCCCCAGAAGCCTCCCCGCTGGTGGCTATCAATGACTGGCGACCGATCAACCAGAGAGTCCGCAAAAGCCGCGGACGTCGAAAAAACCCCAAGCGAAGCAAAGATGAAACGAGAGAAGGGGTGCTGTACACTGTGCTCAAATGGCCATTTCTGTTTACCGTGTTTGCATGGATCACCATGCTGGGCTTTGGCTATGTGCTGATCCGAGCTTACATATTCCTCTACGAGCAATGGGTGACATGGCGGGGCAAGAGAGAGCGCTTGCGACGGGAACTCTCTGCCCAGAAAACCTACCCAGATTGGTTGAAAGCTGCGCAAGCGTTGGACGTCCACCTCGGAACCGAAAAATGGAAGCAAACGGATGAATATGCCTATTACGATCATCTGACCATCAACAAAGTGGTGGCGCAGTTGAAGAAAGTACGAAAGGATGCAGAATGGGAAGTCGAAAATGGCCGGATTGCCTCAAATGAACTGCCCGCAGTCGAGGAGCTACGGACACTGCTCGAAGCCTGCGTCAAGAACAACTTCGCCGGGGTCGAGAATCCTCGAATCTACAGTGAAACTTACTCCGGAACCAAGGTGTTGGTTCAGGAATACATCGAAGAGGTGCACGCGTGCATCCAGCTCGTCTTGGAAAACCCGCAAATCGAAAAAGAAGCCAAATATCAACTCTTCAAGCACCTCGACACGAATTTCGGACGCACCGCTCTGTGTTTGTCGGGTGGCGCCACTTTCGCATATTACCACTTTGGGGTTGTCAAGGCCCTGCTCGACAACGACGTTTTGCCAGAAATCATAACCGGGACGTCAGGCGGAGCACTGGTGGCTGGATTGGTTGCAACCAGGACGGATGAGGAGCTGAAGCAACTGCTCGTCCCCGCTCTGGCTCATCGGATTCGTGCGTGCCACGAAGGACTTGCGACGTGGATTCACCGCTGGTGGCGGACCGGCGCTCGATTCGACACCGTGGACTGGGCTCGGCAATGCGGCTGGTTTTGCAGAGGCTCAACTACCTTTCGGGAAGCTTACGAGCGGACCGGGCGCATCCTGAATGTCACCTGCGTGCCCTCGGATCCTCACTCGCCGACCATCTTGGCCAATTATCTGACTTGTCCCGATTGCGTCATATGGAGTGCTGTGCTCGCTTCGGCGGCTGTTCCAGGAATTCTGAACCCAGTCGTATTGATGACCAAGAAGCGAGACGGCACTCTTGAGCCTTACTCGTTCGGCCACAAATGGAAAGATGGTAGCCTGCGAACTGACATTCCTATTAAGGCGTTGAACCTGCACTTCAATGTAAATTTCACTATCGTGTCTCAGGTAAGATTCCATACGTCCATTCATGATGATTTGCCACTGACAAGATTACAGGTGAATCCTCACATCAACCTTTTCTTCTTCAGCTCTCGGGGCACCGTAGGGCGACCAGTCACGCACCGGAAGGGACGTGGCTGGCGCGGCGGCTTCCTCGGCACTGCAATCGAGCAGTACATCAAATTAGACATGAACAAATGGCTTCGAGTTCTTCGTCACTTAGAGCTTCTTCCTCGGCCGATGGGCCAAGATTGGAGTGAGATCTGGCTCCAGAAATTCAGTGGTACTGTGACTATTTGGCCAAAAAGCATTCCATCTGATTTCGTCTACATTCTCTCCGACCCCAGCCCCGAAAGGCTCGCGCGCATGATTCACGTCGGTCAGCAAAGCGCATTCCCCAAAATCCAGTTTGTTCAGAATCGACTGAAGATTGAGAACGAAATCATGAAAGGACTACAGGAGTCTCGAGCGGGTGGTCGTTCTCTTTCCCCGATTCTCTCCCGTCGTCTTGAAAACCCCACAAATGAACACTCTGACTCCATGACCGAACGTCTGGATGACAACCTTCCCGAACGCGATGGCTCCAGCCACAGAAGTGAGTCGCGCTTCGCTGACTTGTCAGACAGCATGTCACATTCAACCGCCTCGTCACGTCCTCAGACCCCGAGTTCCCGTCGGGGAAGTGTGATGGAGGAAATGCGACGCCAGTCGGCCGTGTTTTTTGACGATACGGACGATTACAGGGACGAAGATGCGGTGGTCATCTGAGAATAAAATACTCGAGCGCGTTTGCCAAAGTTCATATGGCTCGGACCGGGTGGACCGGGTAGACCGGGGTCAACTCCGCTTTGGTGCAGCTGCAGCCCTGTGTCATCATTTCCACTCCCTCGGATCTTTAGCATGACTAGAGGCTCTTGACTCTCGTCATTCTCCCGCTCTGTTCGGGGATGTTTACCCTTTTTTCATTGTTTAGCGCTTCGCTCCCTTTTTACCCTATTCCCATCGCCCTTTACTGCATAGCAAGGTGTCTTTTATTGTACTGATTATGCATTTGATCACTCTTGGCCGTGTATACAACTGCGCTCTGCTGACGATCATCATACTTTTGCCTCTCGTTAATCTTTCCTTTCTTGGAGATAATCCATGTCACATAACGCAATAACCATTTAATTAATTTCTCACCTTCCACGATGTCCAGCTGCCCAGGTGGGCGTTTTCAGCCACCTAAGCCACTGCCCAGGTGGGCACCTGGGCACCTGAGCTGCTTCACTGGGCAGTCGGCAGTTCGACCACTTCGGGGCCTTACCCCAGTCTTCCAAGGTTATTTTTGAAATGCCTAGTAGGGCTGTCAGCTAGGTAAATGATTACAGAAAAGAAAACAACCCTATTTCGAAATCTGTCATTTTGATTTCCTGATTATATATTTTCTGTGTTACTGACCCCCGGGCATTTCGTGCCGAAAGTACGTCGAACAACATAAGTATATCCGAGAACCTTCAAGGTTGGGGATATATCCTTCCAAATCTGGAGAGAGAAGGAGAGAAAGAGAAGTTCGGGTAAAAAGCATATTGAGCATTGGAAAATGTGAGAGAAATAAAGAGGGCGAGTGAGCTATCTACACTGCACAAAATCCCACCCGGGGGAGCAGCTCACCACCAACAACCATCCTCACCTCATATTCAACCTGGCTCAGGACTTAGCAGAGTCAACATGAGAGTCTAGCGGGTTAGCATGCAGAGTACGAGAACCATGCAAGGTTATTCCTCCTGCAGTTGGGACCTGAAAGTCAGGGACAAGCTTTCTTCATTGACCTCTCAAGTCGTTCTGTGCCGAATCACTTCGCGACCCATGAAGACTCTGAGCCTCCTCCAACCTGGATAAATGAAGTCCTGGAATGGACCGCCCCTCAACCTGCGTATCAGATTTCTTCGACCGGAGGTGTTTGGCTTCCGCCTCCCGGCTCTAGTCTAACATAGTCATATGGCTCAAGCAGGCTCGAAAGCCGCGTTTGAAGCTAAGTCCGCTTATTAGCAATCATTCCAAGGCTTTGCACTGAAGACGCGAGAAATGGGTCAAAATCTATGAACCAAGTTGCTCTTCGGCGGGAGTGGCGAAGAGCTCGGGATTGAGAATAACGCCGCAGCGCAACGATGACCACATCGATTATCAATTGATGTGAAGGTTTTCAACGACCTTCGTTGGACTCCTTTAATTTTTTCTTTTCTTCCCTTTTGTTAACTCTATAGCTTTCACTCTTTCTGATATCGTGAACTCCATGTCGAAAACTATTCTGATCACCGGCGCGACCGGCAAGCAGGGAGGAAGTGTCATTACGGCTCTTCTCAATGCCAATGCAGATGTCGAAATCCTCGCTGTGACTCGTGATGCATCTTCTGGCGGAGCTCAGAAGGTCAAGGCCAAATCCTCGAACATCAAGCTGGTCGAAGGCAATTTAGATGATGCGGAGAAGATCTTCGAAAATGCTCGCGGGGTGACTTCTCAGCCCGTTTGGGGTGTTTATAGTGTCCAGGTGAACCTCTTTACTGATACAATCTGTCCTTCAGGATTTAACGTTATCTTAGGTTCCGGTACCTGGTGGATCGGACAAAGAGGCCGAAGAGAGACAAGGCAATAGTCTTGTTGACGCAGCTCTGAAGAACAATGTCAAGCACTTCGTCTACTCATCTGTTGACCGCGGCGGCGAGGCTTCATTCGACAGCCCTACGCCGATTCCTCACTTCATCAGCAAACACAAGATTGAGCATCACTTAGCCGAGAAGGCCAAGGGCAGCGAAATGACCTGGACCATCTTACGTCCGGTTGCATTCCTCGAAAACTTCACTCCCGATTTCTTCGGCAAGGTCTTCGTCACCTGTTGGAAGAATACAGTCAAGCAGAAATCGCTTCAGCTCATCGCTGTTGGTGACATCGGCTTCTTTGGTGCGCAGGCCTTCATGTACCCCGATGAGTACAAAAATAGAGGCATCTCTCTGGCTGGTGATGAGCTTACCTTTGAAGAGATGTCCAAGATTTTCAAAGAAAAGACTGGAAACTCTCCCCCAACGACCTTTGGCTTCGTTGGAAAGGCTTTGATGGCCATGATGAAAGACTTGGGCTATATGTTCCAGTGGTTCTATGATGTAGGGTATGGGGCGGATATTGCGGAGCTGAGAAAGGTGCATCCTGAGATGAAAGATTTCCGCACTTGGCTTGACAAGGACAGCGGATTCGATATCAAATAAGGGGGTCATTTCATGTATTTCAAACCAATTATGTCTGTTATAGCCGTACTGTTATCTAGTGTATAGTAATTGAGAATTCTTGATATTTCAACACTGTTTCCTATAGATATGTGGGATTTCAACTTCCACAGCAAGCATTCATGATTCTACGAGCATGGCTAGTCCCAGGCCGACAGCTAGGCATTCAGACATGCAGAACTACCCACTCGAATAGGTCACTTAGGCCTCAAAGCAGGGGTTTGACCCAATTAAAGCCTCACTAGTTTTCATCTCCAAACTTCTGCAAGGTTTCGTCATCTCTAAATAGTTTTGCTCGGTAGTAGTAGACTCTCATTTTATTTGCGGCCAATTACGGCTCTTCAGTATCTAGATCAAGATTTAGAGGGTAGACTTGTTCTCCTCCAGGAAGGTCTTCCAGGATGTAGCCTGGAACCCAGCCTTCTTAAGCAGATCCTGACTCTCCTTCAAGCTTCGGCCGTTATAGTAACCAGGCTTCTCGATAAACAGATGGTTCTCCAGCATCTCCTCGCCCATTGGGCCGGGGATAAAGCTCTTGTAGGTTTCAGGGTCAATCTGCATGAACTGGGTCTTTCTCCCAGTAACCTCCTCATACTCAGCAAGGATGCGAGTGGCAGTGTAGTACTCAGCCGCCGCAAGAATTTGAGCACCAAGGGTTTCGGAACGGAGCTTCAAGGAAGCGGCGACGAATTTACCTGCAATATTCAGTCAGCTAGGTTCTGATATTCGAAGCGTGAGAAAAGCAACACGTACCCATGTCACTTGCAATATCAATGAGAGGGAACTGGGAATCTTGGCCAATAGGATAGGCCAAGGTGTAGACACCATCGTCGCCCTTGCGCAGCATGCCAAAAGAGGTATAGTTGCCCATGAAATAACCAGGCAAGATGAATGTAGCCGGAACACCGATTGACCGGATGTACTGCTCAACCTGAGCCTTTTGATCGAAGTGAGGGACATGCTTGAGTCGGCCAGCGGTCTCCTTAGTCACATCGAGAAGGGAAGAGAAGATGAGATGCTGAACGTCGCTTTCCTTGGCGACGTCGGCGACATTCTTGCCATGGACAAGCTCGGCGTCGGATCCAGCTACTCCCCAAGCAGGGGTGGTGACAAGAAAGACGGAGTGACTTCCTTGAATTGCTTTCACCAATGACTCCTTGGAGTTCATATCAGCCTGGTTTGATGTTAGTGTCCAGTTGAATCTACCGCTGAGATGCTGCCATCTTACCGAAACAAGCTCAACTCCCTGCTTCAACAGCGCCTGGGCTGCTGGCTTTGAAGTATCGCGAGTGATACCACGGATTTTGAACTCCTTGGATAGGATATCATCTTGCAGAATAGAACGGATGACAGAGCCACCTTGTTGCCCGGTGGCACCGAAGACGGTAATCAGTTTAGACATTGCGTGAAGAGTTCCTCGAATGGAGAGATATGAATGTATTGCTGGAGAATAGCCATTGACTGTCATCGAGCTTCTTAATATATGAATTCACATACTGAACTTCATGATCAATCATGCTCTCCTCGGACTCGTTGACGCCGATCGCAGGACATTTTGTCAGCCGCTTAGCATTTTCGGCGTTGATCTCAACCCCGACGACTCTCGGATTTATGCTCGCTGGTTTTACCAATGAGCCCGAATATTAATAATGCAGCATCTATATCATCTTGACCGGCTTTATTTCCATATTGGATTCATGTAACTTGCCTTGCGCTAGATCGTGTGGCGAGGTTCATGTCGTCGGATTGAGGGACGAGTTACCAATTTGCCAACACCGGAGACTCTAGAGGCACAATTCCAATCCACATATGAATTTCTTTCTTGCACATCTATGGGAAGCTCTCCGGAAGACTCGATTGGCAATCTACAAGCAAAAGCTGCAAAGAGGGCCCTTTTGAAACAAATACATACATTGGACACGCTGTGATACCGTAGCTAGTGACATGCTTCCAAGGCTCAGGGCCAGTAGAACTTCAAGTTCATAGTTGGAATCTGGGAAACAGTTACAATTATCCCATTCATCCTATAGGTCTATAGTGCCCTCGGCAATGCTCTCTTCCAGACTCACCCAGCCTGATCGACCGAAGAAGTCGTTGAGAATTTGCCTCGCCCGTTCCGAAGGAACAACGTGGCTCAGATCTCGGCCTTCATTCTCTGGTTTTTGAGGAAGTACCAAATTATCAGGATGGAGTTTTCTCAAAATCTCCAGAACATCTGTCCAGTTCTGCGGAGCCGCGAAAGCAAAAACTCGCTCCATGCGGATTGAAGGAGAAAGGAGAGCAGCAACGTGCAATCTTGCAACATCCGTGACGTTCACATACCACTCTTCACATGACGTTAGTATCTTTCGTGGCTTTAAGATAGTTTCGCACTTACGGGGAGGAATCATTGACATTGGCCATTCATCACCTTTGAGGATGCTTGTAATGAATGACTGCGTTGAGCCACGAATCTCGGGGGCGAGAATCTTGCCGAACTGGTAGTAAATCAGAAAGATTGAGCTTCTTGTATTATAAAGAGATGACTTACAGTGATGCTTGGTAAGACACTGTTGAGAACGAAGGGGTTTCCATTTTCTTCGACCCATTTGAATGCCATTCTTTCAGTCTCGGTCTTTGACGCTATGTAAACATAGTAACCCTTCGCCTGAGAAGGAGTATGTTCATCCCAAGCAGCCTTGACTGCAGAGTCATTCCATGTATCTATTATCTCGTTAGAACTAGGAGTGCGAGGCGAGTTGAAAGTCACACACCTTGAGTGACCACAATGCGTTCTTCATTGGGGCTTGGCGTATATGCTGCAGTTGAGGATGAAGTCAACACAACCTGCTTGATTGTAGGATGCTTTGAAGCGGCGTTCAAAAGGTTGAGCGTTGCCTTGATGGCATTTGGGATCAACACGCTTGGATCAGGGTTCATCGACACGTCCGCGGCCTGGAAGATATTTATGGATCAGGACGTATTCTTCGTTCAATAGAACTGTACATACCACATGTATGATACCTGAAATCCCATCAACCGCCCGATCACATCCTGTTTGGTCGGTCAAGTCTGGTAGGATGAATGTCTCAAACTTCCCTTCGCCGTATTTGCCATCGAAGAGCTTGTTTAACCATGACTTGGGGGTCCGAACAGTGCCACGGACCGAGTAACCCAGTTCCAATAATTGATCAACCACATGTGACCCAATGAAGCCGTTGCCTCCAGTGACTAGAATCTTGGATCCGAGAGGAATGGTATACTGGGGATCGGACATGCTGGTCAGCAGCTGGTCTCGAGGTTGACCAGGGGCGGAATGGCAGGTAGAACGACAACTCATTCGATGTAAGTACCATCGTAGGAGGTTTCATCTCCAAGGACATTAATAATGGGGAGCATAAATTAAGACCGATGGGGGGTGGATACTCGCTCCGTACTAGATCTTACAAAGCCCGGGCATAAGATAGGGCCCGTCGTGGTGCACCTTGGCAGACTCAAAAAGAAATGTACGGCCATGATTCAAACCTGAAGGAAAATAGAAATGGATTTAGAATCAACGTTGAAATTCTGACGGCTCGGGTTGAGAAATCAAGGATGAAAAGCCTCCCACGGCGCGCACCCTCAGAATCATGCGCAAATCGTATTTTCAATGGCGATTGAGCTGGCTGTGTGATAAAGTTTTCATGTTTGATCGTAAGCTAGCGTCAAAGAGGCTTTTCAAATCTAGCAGTATTATACATATTGTACACAAATAATTGAGCACTAAGGATCATTCATTAAAGCATCAGTTTGCATCAAACAACAAGCGAGTTTTCAGTGACGTCCTTTGCGGCCTTTGCATTTCCACTGAGTACATGAATGCACTGCAATGCGTAGGCAGCCTCCGGAGAGAAGTCCTCAACGTAAGGCTTGACAGGGGGCGTCGAGGGCTCGTCCCCGTTGCTCATAGCCACATCACCATCAGTGACAGGGGCAGAATCTTGGAGCGACTTTTGTTCGGCTTCAAGCTGAATCTGCTTGCCTATTTCGAGGACCAGCTCATATTTTTCGACGGCCAGATGGGCTAGGCCGAGAGAGTGGTAGACACGGGCGAAATTGAATTCCATCTCTTGTCTTTCAGATAGAAGAGCTCCGGGCTTCTCTCGAACAAGACGGTATTCGTGCATAAAGGAGAGCCCTTGCATGATAGCATAATGTCGATTTTCGGATTGTCGTTTGAGGGAGTGGTGGATATAGGAGAGTGCGATGGAGAGAAGAACGGCCGGGTTTTGATCGTCTAGGGCATATGCTCGGAAGAAATAGTTCAGGGCCGGGTAGAAACTGTTTCCAGAGTATAGAATGTGGCCATAAAGCACAAGGAGTGCAATATCCAATTCCTCTGCGGGTATCGGCTGGCCTTCTTCGTCTTTGGAAGAGAGGGTGGCGCGCTCTTTCCAGATAGACTCTCGCACAGGACGAGAGGGTTTTTGAGGCACCGTAAAGTCCATCGCTTTGATTTGTCGGAGCATGAATTTCATGTTGGGAGAAGAGTGGAAAAGGGATCGATGGGGATCACCGCACACGAGACTGAGCATAGAGAAGAGCCTGTAGGTGTCGGTGACAAATTGGTATTCTTTGATGAACCAGCGGGCCTCGTTGGCCAGGGTCTCTTCATCTGACGCACGAAGAGCGCATGCTAGAAAGATGTCAGCGCGATATGCTTTACCGAGGCTTAAGAATGAGCTTACAAAACCAGCAAACATGGATCATCCGTAGCTTGGGCTTTGAATGGAACCAGATGCTTGCGATTGCTGCAGATTCCAGCGTCTCGTAGGCCTCATCTGGCTCGCCTTGTTCTGTAACGACCAGTGAATATTCCATGAAAATGTCCAGCCACTCATCAAAAGGTATTCCGTGGTAATCAGTGGGGACAGTACCCGGCAAAGGCTCATCTGAATCATCTGTCAAAGTAAGATTAGCCTCGTAGTCACCACCTTATGAGTATTACTAACCTATGCTGTCCTGAAGACGACCCGCCATCTCTTGCATCTCGTCCATCATCTGCCCCTTTTCGGTCTTGGAGTCTTTGGGCTTCGAATATCCCACGAAGCGCATTGTTTGGGCCATGGGATAGAAGGCGCGATTGGCCCGGAAGTCTCGCAGAAGAGCATCGGCAATGTCAAGCCAATCTTCAGTGGCCTGTATAGCACATTCTTTCATCAAGGGATGCAATTCCAGCAACTTCATGTACAAGAATTGAATATCCTCCGTCCGATTACCTTCACCGGGATTGATTTTTCCTGATTGAACTGTGCTCATGAGTGTCGCATGCGTTTGAGGCTTGGGTGCAATTGGTCTTGGCTTTTCGGTCTCTGCCATCTTGAACTCTATGGCAAGCTGTTCGAGCCTGGTGTCCTTTCTTCTTCCTCCACGAGTTCGGTTTTGCTGACGACCGATCAAAACCGCCTCACTGGCATATTTCATTGCCTGGTCTGTCATTTGAAGTTTCTCGTATAGCTTGGCTAGCCGGACTCGTGATTCCATGTGGTCAGAATCGTGGTCAGCCACCATAAGGAAACAGCTTTCAGCATCTTCGACCTTTTCCAGCCGCTCACAGCAGTCACCCATTGCCATGAAGAAGCTGATATCGGCATGTTCAGCGGTTTGCTGAATAGGGGTGTAGTATCGTAGTGCATCTTCAAGAAGTCCTACTTGTTTCAAGGCATCTGCCACTTCTCGGAAAAGATCACCATAGTCGAAAATGCGAGCGCCTTCGGAATCGTCCTCAGGGTTGAGCCATTCAAAATGGTGCTATTCTCGATCTGTTAGCCCAGATTTGATCGTTGCAGTGTGACTGTAAGACGTACCTTTGCTTCTTCGTGGAACTTGTCGTCTATCTTCAGGCGGAAAATACCCATTTTGATCCGGAGCTCGAGGGGAAGACCCAGCCCATATGTATCCCGAGGCCATTGATTGGGGATAAAACCGTCAGTCTTGATGCGCCGCGGAGAGTCATCAGCATCCCATTCTCGATCGTCATCCTCAAAGTCGTCCCATAGTGTGTCATCGCCGCGCCCAAGCAGCCAACGAGCGAGCAACTTCATGTTGTACAGCCCCTCGTCGGGCTGTTTGAGATAGCCGAATAGCTCGGCGTAAATGTTAATGTCGGACCACCCAAGCCCGGAGCCCTCTGGATCAATGGAAAGGTAGTGATCGATACTGTTGGAATAGTGATCTACCGCTTTTTGGACCTCGCCCAGATCAATGTATGTCTCTGCAAGATGGCGCAGAGCCTTGGCACTATGTGGGCGATCCTTTAACAACCGTTCGTACTCTGTCGCAGCTCGGCCATTGTGGCCCAGCTGCCGGTATACAGCCGCTCTTTGGAAACGAATAGCAAAGTCCATAGGATTCACATCGAGGATGCGGCTGTAACAGTACACCACGTCATGCAAAGCGGATTCTCGGTTATCTTGGGCACGTTCCAGGATCAGCTTTGCAACCTTGATCCAAACACCAGGGTCCTTTGGCCTAGTGTGGGCTCCATTGAACAGAGCTGCCAGGGCTTTGTCGTTTTCTCCCTGCGCAAGGAAGATCTCCGAGAGCAAAGAATGCGCTGCGAACATTTCCGGGTTGATCTGGATAGCCTGCATGACAAGTTCGATGGCGCGGTCGTATTGCCCATCGATAAAGGCAGATGTAGCTTCGGAATGGAGAAGCTTGAACTCTGGGCTGGGCTCTATAGGCTTACGAGGTCCTCGTTTGACGCCCTTCTGTCCCCGAGCGCCATATCTTCCCGAGAAGCGACCACCCCCTCGACGTCGCCGCCTGCCAGCGCCTGAGCTATTGTCATCATCACTCTCCGCTGGCTCATCCTCGCTAAACACCCCGTCAGCTTGGCGGAAGATTTGCCCCAACAATAGACATACCTCTCGCTTTCATCACCAGAAGATAAGACAAACTCCTCATCTGATTGCGCAGGTTCGCCTGGCACTGGAGGGTACGACATAGAAGGATATTCGTCGTCTTCATATTCCTCGTTGGAGGGATAGTCTGGGCCAACATTGCCCCCGGTACCAAGCCCCGCAGGATATTGATTAATGCTCTGTGGCTGCTGCGCAGGCTGATCTCCGAACAAACGTGGATCAAGCACCGAGGCGAGCATGCTTCCAACGTCGAAGGATTGTTGGTTTTGCCAAGGAGAATCAACATTCACCTCGATGTCCGGATACATGGAGGTCTCATCATGATTGTCCCCTTCCAGGACATCGTCTGGGTAGTTCGAGTCCATGATTCAAAATCTTTGCTCGCGTACCACAAGCCCTAGGTTTTGGTGAATGCGTTGTAACTAGGTTGCAGCTGTATCTTCACACAGTCATAGAAGATGCAGATTATCCACGGCACTGACACTCATTCTCGGTGCAGTCTCGACTTCCCAGGTAGGTAAACGAGGTCGAGGTAGATTGAAGCAGTGGAATCCAGCGTTTCAGGCTTCGGCAGATATTCCCAGCATCCCCACCAGGCGGCAGATATTCCAATTCAGTAATTAAAGCAGAAAGGACCATAGGAAAAATGAATCCGAGGTGTTTCCAAGGTGAAGAGCGCCGGGGAATGTTGAAGTTCGCGGAACCCGTGATCGGGGCCTGAAACAGAAAAGCCTCTCCCAGCTTTTTGCACAGTTCCTCCCATTTCTCTCTTTACCTCTCACTCTCTCTCTCTTACTCCCCCCTCCCTCTCCCCTTTCTTTCCTTTCCTTTGGAGATTTTGTGGCTTATTTGTGTTTGACACACTATTGCTCCAAGTCTCACTTTCCTTTCGTTCCAGGCCCTTAATTTTTCCCGTCGAGGTGCAGCCCACTGGACTGGTCTGTGCCCCCGATCGTTGTCGCCTGAAAGTTCGAGATTTGGGTATTTTTGTTTCTAGGGACCTTGACCGGGATCTTAGGGGTTTTTTGCTTCTTTTCGTTACGCAAACTCAGCAGGTGCTGCAGGTGTTTTGCAGTAATCGTTTCCTGTATTTACTACTCTCACCACGTTGACCATGGCCAGTCATATCATTGGCAATCGCAACAGCACTCCCGAGGCTTCCAATTCGACACTGCGTCCACCTTCCTCATCTCGAAATCTCGGATCGCACCAGCTGCGGGCATCGGCAGACATGTCCGGATTTCCCTCGCCGCTGTCCGCCCGAAGCATCCGTCCGTCATCGGAAGTGTTCTTCAACCAGCAATCTCAGGGCCAGAATGCGACGGAGGACGCTTTGGATCGTGCTGCTCAGCAGTGGCTCGCCGACATTGACCAGTACGAGACCACATTGGAGGAAATGGCGGCTGCCACCCTTGACCAGGACTTCAAGGATGAACTCAGTGCCATCGAGCAATGGTTCCGCGTGCTGAGCGAAGCCGAGAGGACTGCGGCCCTCTATGCATTGCTCCAGCAAACCACTCAGGTGCAGATTCGGTTCTTCATCCAGGTCTTGCAGCAAATGTCTCAGGGCCACCCGATGTCCGGCCTGCTCTCACCTGCGAACTTTGGCGAAAAGGGCATGTCACAGTCCCCACGTCCTTCATTGAGTCTCACTAACCTTGATTCTATAGATGCGATGTCCAGCCGCATGAGCGACGCCATGTCGAAGCTCAACATGGATCCCTCCCGCAACTCCCTTGGGCGCCCCCCGCCATCCCCTGGCGCAAAGCGCAACTCCGGTCTCGACCCCTCGACCATCAATGCGATGTTCCCGGATGCCGCCGCGGCTATCGCGAAGAAGAAGGCCGAGTTCACCCAGCAAACTGGCAACGCACCTCCCTCGAACCGTAACAGCGCAGTCTTCGACCGTACCTCTTTTGTAGCCCCCACCATCTCGGCCCCCGACAACAACTCAGACAGCCTGGGTCAACCGCCTGCTTCCCCCTGGGCCCAACGGGGCCTCTCGGACACTCAGCCTCCTATCGCTCGCCCCAAGTCATCTTCTGGACATCAGCCCATGGGTCAGTTCAGCCAGCCCTCGGGCATGCGTTCGCCCCTCCCGCAAACCGCCAATGTGCCTTCCAGTGACATCGAGCCTCCTTTGCTTTCGCCTTATAATGTCGGAAACCACAGTTGGGCTTCAATGACTAACACCCCGATGACTGCAACATTCGGCCAGCAGTCGCACCAAAACCCCAACAACCATGCGGACATGGTTGCTAATGCCACGGCAATGAAGCTGGCAGCTTTGTCGACGGTCAACAACCGCATTGCTTTGGATGACGCGCGGAAGTATCGCCGCTCCCGTTCCAATGACGGCCAGGGCAGAGCCGCTCACGGCAACCCCAGCATCAATCAAGGATTGGCTAGCCCAGGCCTTGGTGGTCAACATCTGGTAGCTGGGCAGCTCCTCAACAATCAGCAGCTGGCCGCATTGCAAGCCCACCAGCAGGCGGCCATGGCCGGCAGACGGTCCCGCCCCACCTCCCCCGGCATTGCGATGCAGGGTGGTGGTTTGACTCCGATGGGATTCACCTCCCCTCAGAACAATGGGTTCCTGGCTGCTTATGATCCGAACAACCCTATCATGGGCAATGGCATGGGCTCGTTGAACATTGGCCAATTTGTTGGCAGTGAAGGCTACCTGTCGGATCACTCCGAGGTTGCACGAGGCCGCTCCCCACGGGGTCGCCGGGGCAGCTCCAAGCCCCCCGAGGATCCTACTGACCCAGCTCTCCTGAAGGACATCCCCAGCTGGCTGCGATCCCTCAGGCTGCACAAGTATACCGACAACCTCAAGGATCTGCAGTGGACAGAGCTCGTCGATTTGGATGACAAAGCTCTGGAGGACCGCGGTGTCAACGCTCTTGGTGCACGTAATAAGATGCTGAAGGTAAGCCCCTCTGAACTCCCTATTCGTCTGATCCATACTCACATCTCGTTTGATAGGTCTTTGAGCAGGTCAAGGAGGCCCGCGTTGACGGCAAATTTGAAAACCTTGTCTAAGTCATTTGAGTTCTTGAATATCTTCAAGTCAGCGACTTCACCTGGAACTGGCATTTCTTGGCAATGCAGCATAATGGAAAACATGGGCTTGGGATGTATCAAACGCTGTGATGTGAACTGTTTCATGAGATGGGATCGGAATTATTGAACATTGGATTCGGGTTAATAGTAGATATGAACATGATTTATTTACACTGCAGCCATTCTTTCTAATTGAGATACTCTCGTATTCATATCCATCAAGTCCGAAGCAGCTCTGAAGGCAGCTCTTGCAGCGTAGTTAAGCACAGGTGGCCCGTGCGCTTGGAACTCGCCGCTGCCCACTTCCGACCTCCACGCATTGAGCTACATTCCCTTCGGACAGGTTCAACGCAATTCAGATCCCACGGCCAGACCCTTGTGCACAGGATATACGGGGTACCCAGATCCTACCGGCTCCGTGATTCTTATCCACCCGACCGCAGCGCAACCAGTCGACTCCCAGCGATCCTTAGCCTACAACATCGAACAAACGACACAAAACTTCACAATGGCACCTACAAAGCAGGAGCTATCGCTTCTCATCAACCCGCTCGTCCCAGAGTCCGTCCAGCACAACAACCGCGTATGATCCCCCACAACTCACCAACCCCTAATACATCCCACTCTCTTCCTGACTTCCACGCTCGAGCTCAATCCCACTCTGGACGCTTGTCATCCCGGTTTCAAACTAACTCGATGCATACAGGTCCTCTCCTCCCTCCACAGTCTGACTTCCTTCCTCCTGGGCCTGTCCGCAGGCATCCTAGCCCTCCAATCAACCTACGGCTTCGCCTTCTACTTCCTCGGCACTATCTTGGTCTCGGGTCTATTCCATGCAGTAGTGATTCATCGCTCGGGCGGTGCTGGTGCTGGCTCTTTCTTTCCTGGTAGTAATGGTGGCGAGATCGAGGGTGTCGTGGAGGTGGATGAGAAGACACAGGCCGTGCGCATGCAGCTTGATGGAAAGGCTGGGCCGAAGAAGATTCTCCGGAAGGGCGCTTGGAGAGATCTCTGGTTCGGTGGTGGTGTTATGAGCGAGGCGCTGAGTGGATTCGTGCTCGGGTGGGCTGGTGTGGGTGGTGTTTTGAGGTGAAGGGCTGTACTTTACTCAAGATATGGCGGACTGAGCTATGGAACTGGCTCTACTACTGCTGTCGTTTGCATATGCCCACGGGTATTAAATGAACTTTCCATACTCTGTACACCTCTTCGAGAATAGCAGTAGGGCTCACGTGTATGTCCGTTTGTAGACTTGGGCTGTGAACTGTGATATGATTGAAATCGCTATAATATTATTTCTGGCTTTCACTTTCGACCACGTCGTCAACCACCTTCTCGAACTCTTCAACCGCCTCCTTAGAAACAGGATAAGTATACTGTTCAGAAGGGAACGCCCGACTCTTAACTTCATCCCTATAAGCCTCAATACCTCTCCGCGCCTCACCCCAAACATCCGCATAAGTCTTCACAAACTTCGGCAAGAACCGACCAGCCGGGAAATTTCCCAGCATATCAACCTGAACAAGAACCTGTCCAGAACATCCATTCCCAGACCCAATCCCAATAGTCGGCACACTCAGTCTCTTCGTCACGATCTCCGCAATCTCAGCAGGCACGGCCTCAATCAAAACCATGCAAGCACCAGCCTTCTGCACAGCCAGCGCGTCCCGAAGCAGCTTCACCGCACTGGCTGCCGATTTGCCCTGTACGCGGAACCCGCCGAGGGAATGCTGGCGCTGAGGCGTTAATCCGATATGCGCCATGACAGGGATGCCGGCTTGAGTGATTTTCGTAATTGTAGGTGCCATTTCGGCACCGCCTTCGAGCTTGATGCATTTCATACCGCCTTCTTTTACCATCCTGATTGCGGATGTGAGGGCTTGCTCGGGTGAGGTTTCATATGAGCCCATGGGTAGGTCTACGATCTTGGTAGGGGTTAGATATGTGGAGGTACCTAGTAGGGATGATGCATGTACTTACTGTAAATGCGCTCTTGACTGCACGCTTCACGCTGCGACAGTGGAGGAGCATCTCTTCCATTGTGACTTCGTTGGTGTCTTCCATGCCCATGGCTACCATGGCTAGACTATCGCCTACCAGGACGATATCCATCCCTGCGGAATCGGCGACATGCGCGCTTGGGAAGTCTGAGGCCGTGAGGACTGTGATGGGCTCATTCTTTTTGTAGAGACTCCGAATACTTTGGATAGTCACTGGTTTGCGGGTGTTGGGGGTGGTTGATCCCATCGGGGAATGGGAGCTATATTGGGCGATGCATGTTCTGATTGGAGGGCGGCTGAGACGCAATGCCGGTCTTAAATAGCTGATTGCTTTTGTGGCCATTTTGTGCTTTCTGTGCGTATCTAGGTAGGGAGAGGGAGGTGGAATTGAATATAAATGTTCGACGTTCTGGCGGATGCGGCGTACTTCGCAGTATTGGTCCTTGGATGGGTCCGTGGCTAACCTCGGCCACTCTGTACTCCGTACTGAACTCCGAGGTCTTCGCTTCATTTCTCTACATCTTATATCTGTCTATACTTTTTATTTCAAAGTCACTCAATTGAGTCTTCAATCTATGCTTTTTTAGCCCTGCCCCAGTCGAGCTCTTTCGTGATTCGTCAACTTCAGCTCTTTCGCTGTTTATACTGAAGCTGCGATCCCTGTCTCTTTCGTCCAAGGCGTAACATGAAGTTCCAACTTCCATTATCTAGAGCTTCTTGAGAAGCTTTTTGTCGGTCTTCAGTCGGATGGACAATCCAATCAAAGCAGCAACAATAGTCATCGCACCAGCATAGAAAATGGCTGGGCGGTAGCTGGTGATACCGTTGTTCTCTCCACCAGCCGCATTGAGGATATATCCAGCAATCGGTGCGCCCTAAAGATATCGTCAGCAATCCAGGACCGAGGTAGACACACGTAGTCGACAATGTGCCAGGAAAGCAGCCACTCACAAGCAGATACCCTCCTGCCCAGCCTGTAACAACCATGCCCATAACCACAGACACTCGCGCCGATCCAAAGGTATTCCCAACGACAGTGGGCATAGTGGAAAAAAATCCACCATTAGCCATACCGTTCACAATCACAAAGACAATCAATGGACCTAAGGACGTAGACACAGGCCAGATAGCCAGCATGCTCACAGCACTCAGCAGCAGGGACATGAACAAAGTATTCAGCGGTCCAACAAAATCACTGCAAAGCCCACACAGCAGCCTGCCGAGCGCGGAAGAAAAATTGAACGCAGCTACAACACCCGCCCCTGTACTAGACGACATGCCCAGTGAGGCCGTGAAAAGCGGCAAGAAGAACGGCGGAACCAGAAGCGGGAATGTAGCGATAGCACCCATTGCGAATAAGAGCACGAACCGTATGTCACGGAATAGACGCCTGATACATGCATTAGCCACGACTTAAAGCACATACAGAGGAATAAATACCAGTCCACAACCGCCGAAGGCGGAATCGGAACCCGCTGTTTGATCAGGTATGCAGCGGGTAAACCCGTGCCCCATGTAGCGAAGCCGATGATACGGAAAGTCCACTGCACGCCGACGCGATCAAGCAATGCATTCATGACGAAACTGATCACCGCGCCACCAAGTCCACCAGCAGCATAGACGATCCCATTCGCGATTCCGCGCTTGGCCCGGAAATACTGCGCCGGTGTAATTGAGACGACCATGAAACAAAGACTGGAAACAGCTTAGCATGAAAACCATAGAATAAAGAGGTCTGATTCAAACATACCTAATTCCGATCCCCATAACCACACCCGCAGTCGCGAACAAACCCCCAATACTCATAGCCGAAAACCCGCTCAGCACCTCGCCCAGGCCGAGGAAGAAGATCCCAGCCATTGCAGAGTACCTCGTTCCCAATTTGCGGATTACGCGGGCGTTCAGGATTCCAAGGAATGAGATACATGCTGTTGCTAGTGATCCGACGAATGCAAGTGTCGATGATGATGAGACGCCTTCTTTGACGAGTGCTGCTTGGAGAATTCCCCAGCAGTAACTTGTTCCAATGAACCACCATGTTACTACTGCGCAGCCGGAGATCACGACCCAGGCTTCGCCGCCGTCAGGGACTTGGGAGTCTGCTAGGAGGGATTGCTGCATGATGTCTGTTTCGGAGGGGTTGGCGGAGATGTCATTTTGGTTTGCTCGGGATCTTTCTTCGAGACCGGTTCTGTTGAGGTCTTGGAGGGAGATTCCTGTTGCTCGGGATTGATCCATGATTTCTTAGGCTGTTGGATGTTGGAATGGGAATTGAGACGGAAAGGTTATAGTTGTTTGCGGTCGGCGCTAGTCCCGGTTAGGATATCGTGCATGTCTTTGATTTTAAGCTTGTTTTACCTTGCTGTAGCCTGTAGGGCTGCCCAGGTGCCGGCTTCCACTCTCGATCTCTTTATCTTTACATTATGGACTTGGGATATCATTGTCTCTTTACTTTGCATACCCATTAGGCGAGCTTAACTTTAGCCGATGTGTGGATCTGGTGAATTGGGACTGGGCGCTTATTCTCGGCAGGTGTGGAGATGTGTTGCTCGAAGGGCGTGGAGATTATCAATCAGTTCGATTCATAAGTGTAACCTTCCAAGGTTGAATGTGCATTGCATCTGCAATGCCGAGCTCGTACCAGGTACTCTGTACGCGCCGATCTATCAGATCCGAAGCTGCCGACCAAGCTGTGCCACGAGAGCACTGGCCCGGGTTGACAACCGGACCCTTGCTTTAAGGTTTCTGGGTTACCCCTGGCATACAGCACTGATGATTTCTCGTTCTATACCTAGGTACGAAGTCCGAGCTGCAGGATCAGTTCAACTTACTCGCCTTGTTCCAAGTTTGTGTCTGTATCAGATCTAAGGCGGCACAAGCTCCAGGGTTAAGCACCAAGCGAAGATACTAGGAGAGAGAGAAAGAGAGGGAGTATGAAACGCTGAGAGGGAATCAATTCACCAAGCAAAAGGTCTATCAAAGATATGTAATCAAGAGGGTATCTCCATAGGAGTGGACCAGCAAAAAGGCAAAATCCAATCCAACCATTCCAAATCCAGAGGTCCAGAAACAAGACCAAGTCCAAATAAACCAACCCCGCCAAACCGGGGGGAGATAGCGCCGAACGAATACCAAGATGTTCAAAGTCCAAGCGAGGCACCAGATCGACAGTGCTAGTGACAGTATAAAAAAACATGACATGCATATAAAACAGAAGGGCGAAAATGATATTAACAGGTCATAATCAGGGCATCTCAGATCATTCTCCAAACCAGGGAATCCATGATCAATGCAGAGGAGCAATGCAAAAAGCAATGCAAATGGAAGATGAAAAATGAAGCGAAATCGCCAAAACAAAAACACATTAACCAAGATGAGGAATCTCGTCCGATGAATTGGCCACTGCACTCTGGAGGGCTGCGTTCAAATCGATATGGAAGAAAGGTCGGTTCATGCCCTGCACGAGCGCAACCTTGCGACGACTGTTATAAGCCTTGCTATCCGTGAGATCATGCTGGAACTTGTCCTCATGAATAACATCCGAGTGCTCAGAAGCCGAGCTCTCAACACCGTGAGTCTCGCGCTCAATAGCACTATGATCAGACTTGATATCAGACTTGATACCATGCTCCGCGTCATCGGTCTTGTGGTATGAGAGCTCGCGCTGGTTATTGATGATCTCGGCATGGGCAGCGGCAGATGCATTTCCTTCAATTTCGGCCACGCTGAAAATGGGTTTCCATCTGTGGAAGCCTTCGTTGGAAATCGGAGTTGGGTAGCCGAAGCCGGCGGCGGCGAGGCCGCGCTTGGTCCAGCGGTTGTTGATGTGGGCGAAGTGCCATTGCACGGAGCGGGGGGAGGCGTATAGGTCTAGTTGGTTGCGGACGTCGATCAGGTTCTGGATGGAGGTGACGTCTACGTTGTTCACGGAGGAGAAGTCCAGAATGACGGCTTGGAGGAGTGGCAGGTGGGAGTCATCGTCTGTGCCTTCTTTGCCGCGGCGGGGACCGGCGTCGTTCCAGGGTCGGTCGCCGCGGTTGCGGTAGGCGTGGGGGTTCGTGCGGCGAGTGTTCTTGAAGATTGTCGAAACCAGGAAATCGGTGTAGTGGTTGGCGTTGGGGTAGTTGAAGCCTTCGGCGAATCGGTAGATGAAGATACCGGGGAGGGGCTGCTCGACCTGGATGTCGGGGTTGGAACCATCTGTGTGGTTGATGGGGAGGAAGATAGTGCGGTGGTGGTGGTCTTCGTCGTCGGAGGGGGTCTTGTTGTTGGCGAGAGATCCGTACTTGCCATCGGTGTCCAGAAGGTGGTCTCCGACCACGGAGTGGATGGTGACACGTCCGAGGAACTGGCCGCGGGCCTTCGCCACACGGAAGAGAAGGACTGCCAGGGACACACAGATGGTGCAGTAGATACCGTCCTCAATAGAGGTGAACACAGTCACAATGACACCAATGAAGAAGATGAGCGCATCTAAGGGAGATACACGCCAGAACTGGTACACGGTGTTAGGGGGAGTGATCAGGTCACCGACGGCGTGGATGATGACACCGGCCAGAGAGGCCTTGGGGATGTAGAAGAAGAGCGCGGGCAGAGCGTAGATGGCCAGCAGCACCACAACCGCGGTGATGACACCAGCGAGGGGAGTCCGCACTCCAGCCTTGGACTTGATGGCTGTGCGAGAGAAAGAACCAGTGGCGGGGTAACCACCGAGGAAAGGACCGAGAAGGTTGCTGACACCAATGGCCACGAATTCCTGGGAGGGGTCAATGGTGTAGTTGTTCACACGACCAAACGACTTGGAGATGGCGATGTGCTCGATCAGAAGCACAATCACGGCTGCAGGAAGTTGGCTGGCATATTCCTTGATGATGTAGCGGTCCATGGTGGGCACGGCGGCCTGCTGGAATCCTCGGGGAACATGTCCCAGAAGACTGAACGCCGGGTTATCCTTGCGATGCAAGTTGGTGGCGGCACTAATCATCGTGTAGAATAGAATGACAAACACTGTGCGGAGGGTGGAAATAAAGAACCAAACCTTCGCACGGTGAGGCTGCTTCTTCGCGGCGAAAGTGCATGCCGAGCGAATGATGTACAGCATGGCACAGGCAGTGACACCCATGGCCGCGTCCAACGTCGACGTCGGGAGGTACTTCAGGGTGTTGATGATGATCTCGTAAGTAGCACCACGGGTGCTGAACTCGGCAGTCTCGCCGAGCATCGTGGACACTTGACCCGAGCAAATGTTCAGAGCAGAGCCAGTCATGAAGGCCGAGATGGCCGGGAGAGGAATGAAATCGACAATGAATCCGAGGCGGAAGATACCCAGCACGAACACAATTCCACCGCAAATAATAGCCAGCGAGGATGCGATCAAATGGGCAGGGTAATCCGGGTAGGTCTTTTGTACATCGAGGACGATCGTTCCGGTCAAAGTCGACATCACGGCGACAGGCTAGAGGATGTTAGTCTTCATCCGGATGCTCCCGCTGCAGCCATCACTTACTCCGATTGTGATATCCTTGGACGTGGCGAAGAACCAATAGATCAACACTCCCATGAACGAGGAGTACAGACCATACTGCACCTCCAGACCCGCCAATTTGGCGTAGGCCATACCTTGGGGCACGACGACGGCACCCACGGTGATACCGGCGATGAGATCACCCCACAGCCATTGCAGGTTGTAGTTGGTGATCCATGTGAGGAAGGGGAACAGGCTGATGAAGTATCGGCCCAATTGCCGGGGTGTCGGGAGCACTTCGGTGATCCATTCCCAACTTGTCGGTTCGGGTTCGTTGTATAGGTTGGTGTTGGCGGTTCCCATGGAGAAAGTCGATTCTCCGCGAGTGACCGGGTCGGCGGTGGCACCCAGAGGGTCTCTGTATGCCACCTTGATACCGAGGCCCTTGGCCAGGGTCGAGCCCAGCTTGGATGAGGTTTCACCACTCATGCTGTGAGCAAGATGCAATGCCGGGATGTGCACACAATGTCCAAAATTCAAATCCAAATCCAAAAATGGGGATCCGGTATATAAAGAAGATCAGACTGTCAGACCAGACGATCCCATGCAAAGAATGCGTCGAGAAAAAAAAAAAAAAAAAGTAATGCAGTGCGTGATTCGGGAGCAAATGGCGCAATATCGAAGCTCCCCAGATTCAATTTAACATTGGACTTTTCCCGCTTGGCACTTGGCGATGCAAATTTCCAATGGAAAACACGAAATCAAGTATCTGATTGAAGTGTTTCTGAAAAAGAACAGCAAACAGGACACTCTTAAAAGGGATTCTGGATTTCGCACGGCAGCCGGTCCACCGATGATCGCGAGCGGATCAAGTCCCACTGGGTCTGGATGACGACCGTGGAGTCTCCGCCGCGGAGGTGCTCGTTTCGCACTTCAGCACTTACAGCACTTACTACAGTACTAGTACAGTAGATACAGCACTGTACTCGTACTGTTCAAGTGCATACTATCTCCAGCTCTCATGACCTAGAAAGAAGCATCACCATGCTGGTATTGTCGAGTTGTACAGATGCCAAGGCTGCGCATGACGAATAACAGTGCGCCTCCGTGAGTTTTGCCCCGAGCAGATCAGCTCGTGGGGCCACCAGACCAATCACGGACCGTCGAGAACACGCAATCTCAACTGGCGATGGTGAAAGACATGTTTCCACGTTTTTGTTTCCACGTTCTACGTTTGTCGTTTCACGAAGTTTCTTTATCTCCGATCTTGTTTTCCAACTGGAACTACCCCGAGGTTCTTCCATAGACCATGTACTGTGTATGTACGTATTCTGGAAGTAGTCTCCGTAGGACGAGGCTCTTGCGTACCCCCTATACGAGGCCTTCCCGTCTAAACGAGACTGCCCTAGTCCCCTTCCATCTTAAGCTCATCGCAATAGATTACTTCTGACAGGGGTCCGTGGGGACTCGGCGCTCCCTACTCTATCTGTTAGGTGCATACGGCATTCACACTGTGAACGCATTGAACATTAGCCCGGTGATCGCCCAACCCCATACGTTCAGCCGTTGATATCCGGCTTTCCAAATCCAGGTCGATGACTGGATCGTATTCCATCGACATCTGAATACTACATACGGAGTATGTACTACTAGTATGTAATACTGTAGGAAAAATATCGCACTTTGTACATGCCGCTAAATATGCATGTTCTTCCCCTGCAGTGTGCCCAGTCCACTTGGTGAAGTTGTCATTTAGATCTAAATCACGTCATCGAGCTCTCTCGTTGGTCAACTGCCAACAGCTCGCGACACTCTCAGTCCAGAAAGCTCTTTTTAACTTAAACTTTGGGCGCTAGCTCCCTTCAGGCTAATGAGATGCGTGGTTTTACTGTTCCAAGATTGTCTGCCATATCTCTATCATGCAACGCCTTTCCCGTCTGGGCATCTCTAAAGACTAGGCGTCGGCGGCCGACATGCTAACAGGAACACCTCCGACCAGACATCGCAAGCTGATCCTGATGCCAAGAATGCTGGATTAGCGCATATGCATCTCCGTCCGTTTTCCTCGGAGATAATGGCGTTCAGCCTCTGTTGAGCTCAATATTGCCTAGGCAATATCCCAGCAATATCGCCTTAGCTTCCCAAGGGATTTTGCCTTTTTCATTTCTTTTTCTTTTTTTCGCTTTGCTTTTTCGCGACGGAGTACAGAGTATGCCCAAGCCACTAACATGCAATAGCGGGAGTCTCACGGGATCTCTTTCTGATCCCCGAGTCCCCTTTTCACCAACACGAGATGGCGAAGATCCCAGAGCCCTGAGCACGCCATACAACAGCTTCATCCGCTCTCCCTACATCTGATGTCACATCCCAGACGCAGTATTCCCAGTATGTGTGCATATGCAGGGTTGACCGAGCGCGGTCACGTTTGCGGGGAGGCTCGAGAAAACGAAGCCAAATGGGATGTCGCATATACCGGACAGTATCTCTGCCGAGATACGCGGGCTTGAAATGGGGTTTCCCTGCATGGTTCACGTGGGTAGTGCTTATTGCAGGTGGCTTAGATGGTTCGCTTAGACTGTCGGTCGACGGAGTACGGAGTACGGGTAATGTCGACTTGATACATTCACTATACTCTGTCGGTTGTCGGGGACTCGCAATTTCAGCGAGTTTGCCTGATATCTTGCGCTATTTGCCACATCGCTTGTAGGCGTTTGGATGGATCATCTTACGCCTTATCTCGGCTTGCTTCGTCATGCATTCAATTTGGAGTTGAGTATCAAGGTTGCACCTAGGTTTTGGCCAGGTTACTCTGTCGGTTCAGCTCTGACGAGATCAGCATATGCTTTCTCAGGGATAACCTTCCAAGGTTGGTATGCTCACGTTGCCACAGCTTGTTTGCCTTCTACACAGCCATGAGGCATCCGAATCGCGAATTTACAAAGAACGAGATGGTCCGCAGGCGTTATTGGACTATCCTGATATAGCGCCACGGCACGGTTAATTTTGATTGAATCAAAAGTACAACTCGAGTGCAAAAAGCCGAAGACCCTGGCAATCTGAGATCGCCATCTCTCCTGGAAATCACGCATACTGGTCTAGATCAACGAACGGCTCGGCAGCCTGGTGTTCAGGGTAGGTGGCCAATGCAAGGCAATATTGCGTCCGGCGATTGAGTTTTGATATTGTCTGGAATATCTTGCCGGGAAGGCCTCCTATCTCGCTGGAGATATTGGTTGACGCCTCACGGATGTTTGTTCGTCCCGCGGTTCTTCAATCGGGGGTCTGGCTCGCCAAGGGTGCCTGTCCTGCATAGAGAAGACTTGGTCGGTCTGGGCACAAGCATGGTCGCTACCAGGCCAGACTTGTCGCCTTGTCCCGGCTTGGGATGCAGCCTTTTCAACGCCAAGGCTCATCGTTTCATTTTTCAATTCCAGGAAGGGAGAACAGGTGATCATTTGTAGAGAGTAGCCTGTACCTGGTAAGAGTGAGGCTAGTAGTTTCAAGCCCAAATTGTAAGGTTGTTGACCAAAAGTCATCATCTTAACTGTTTGGAGTCCTGGGGAAGGATTTGAACCTTGGAAGGACAGAGTCCAAGAGTAACACTAGAAATAGTTGTAGCGAAAGGTCTCGAGACATGTGTACTCTTGAACAGTACCGCTCACCTCACCTCCTTCGATTCGCACTCGCCAATTGCTTTGGAACCTTGGTGTGAGTACCGCGACGACCTTTCGATACTAGCGACACTGACGTTGTCCACGGGTTGTATCAAATGACATGTTGCGGCACCCGGGGTATTGATGTATTGATCTTTGCGAGACACACTGCAACGCCTCCAAGGTTAGAGTGGTATGAAAGAATCCATGAGCCAGGCAATACAGCTCTCAGTGTTTCGCAAAGCCAATATACAACACATGCGAAGTGAACGAGTCCCACTAACCTTGGAGGGCAGGGGACCTTGTGGACCTGGGCAGGTCTTATAACTCCTACCCCTGCCCTTTACGACTCATAGCTACGCATCTCCAGCTCATTCTATGCCGTCGGCCGTTATTGCAGCAAAAACACAATGTCTATTGGGAGGTCATCAGAGTGCAGGCTAGAAATAAAGGAGAACGCGGATCCATCAAGGTCATGCCAAAAATCCTTCGCAGACGCCGCAGAAGCCCTCATGGGAATGCCGGTCTTCTAGACTCGATCTGAGCCCTCGATCTGAGCCCGCAGTCATGTCTCGTCTCATCCGTCTTCAGTTCATGACGCTTTTCCATCAGCGCAACTCCGGTCCGTCCTGAAAACCCCAGATTCCAAAGTCGAAAGCACAGTCATTGAAAGCAAGAAAAAGCAAGGATTCGAATAAGATGCTGGATAAAGGGTAGGCAATGGGAGTCAGAATGAGGATTACAGGAAAGGGTTGAAATTTGAAATTGAGAAGGGGGGGAAATGATATCTTCAAAGTCTTGAGAGGAAACGCCATTGCAAAGAAAAACAAAAAATGTTCCCGCGTCTATCGGGGCTGAGGCGGCCTCCCTTCACATGGTTTCATAAGCGAAGTTTTCATCATTGGCCGGTCTTCAACGCCCTATTCACGGTTTCTCCGAAATCCTTTTACTGCGAGGCACACTGCACACGCTCGGCACCAGCAGGCACATCATCGTCATCGTCATCCATACCGGCTCCGGCGGCGCCGTGGGCACGGGCCTGGTCGGTCTCGTTCTCGGGGTCCTCGAGCTCGAAGTCCTCAACCATGGCGTCGGTGGGAGGAGTGTGCTGGGAGATGCGGGGAGGAAGAACCTTCTCGAGGAGGTCCAGGTTCTGGAGCTGGTCCTTCTCGGGGAACTTGACATCGAACTTGATGTAGAGGTTGCCGTGGTCGTGGTGGCGGAACGAGGGCATACCCTGGCCGTGGATGACCTTGATGGCGTCTGGGAAAAATGGTTAGCATGACACACAATGGCTGTGCTAATGCGATAAAGGAAACATACCAGGAACGATAACCTCGCCGGGGGCGATGTTGACGGTCATCCACCGGTCATCGAGGTGCTCAATGTGGATAGCACCGCCGGCAAGAGCGGTAAGCAGGTCGATCTCAGCCTGGTAGAAGAGGTCGTCGTTCTTGCGCTGGAAGCGGGGGTGGGGCTTCTGCTCAATCTCGAAAACGACATCACCAGGCAGAGCACCGGGCATCTGGTCACCCTCTCCGCGGAACTCGATCTTGTGGCCATCGCGCACACCCTTGTCAACGTGGACGTGGAGCACCTTGCGCTCGACAACGGTCTTCTTGGCATTACACTTCTTGCAGCGGTCCTTGTCACGGACATTCTCACCCTCACCGTTACAGTCAGGGCAGACGGTCTGGAAGCGCTGGATCATGGGACCCATCTGGCGCATCATGGTCTTCATACCACTGCCATTGCAGCCCGCGCACTCCTTGACAGCACCCTCCTTACCACCGCGGCCATCACAGCCACCGCAGATGACAGACTTCTGGAGGGCCAGCTTGGAGACCTTGCCCTTGTAGATGTCCTCCAGGTTGACCTTGTGCACGTGGTGGATCGTACGGGCCTTCTTGGGGCCAGTGTCACGCATACCACCGCCGAACATTCCACCGAAGGGACCGCCGCCGCCGCCGCCGAAGAATTGCGAGAACAGATCCTCGGCGTTCATGCCACCGCCGCCGCCGCCGTGCTCCAGGCCCTCCTCACCGAGCTGGTCATACAGCTGACGCTTCTCGGGGTCGGAAAGAGCCTCATAGGCGTGCGAAAGTTCCTTGAACTTCTCTGCGGCCTCGGGGTTGTCGGCGTTCTTGTCTGATGACCCAACCATGTCAGCCAGTGTTCCTGTATCGCTCATCGGACGGAAATATCACATACCAGGGTGGTATCGGAGAGCACCCTTCTTGTAGGCAGTCTTGAGCTGAGCCTCGGTAGCGGTAGGGGAGACCTAAAGTGACGACGCAGCCAGTCAGTTCATGGTTACTTTGGACGCAGAATTCTCTGCTGAATCACTTCAACATACCCCTAGGGTGTCGTAGAACTTAGTTTCCTTAACCATGATGGATGTGCGGGGGAAATCAAGGGTGTGGAATGAGGGACGAGTCTAAGTCTGGCTTTCCAGAACGGAATAGGCAGACTAGACAAACAGCCTAAGAAAGTCTAGGCTTGGGAGAAATATACAAGTGCCAAATGGACCACAATTGCAGAGATGATGTCCTGGCTGGATGAGGGGGGGGGAGGAAGAGAGAGAGAGGGTCTGGATAATAATAATCGAAGCCCCAAAATGGCTGAGTAACTTTTTTTTTGCCCAGGCACCACCGTATGGGGCTCGTAAAATGACCGGATAAATTACCAGGGCCAAATCCTATGTTTCTACTGATTTCTTTGTTGCTCCCGAGGCTTTTAGAAGGTATTTAATAAAGAGATCCTCCCATCTTCTTGCATCTTCTCATACGTGCAACCTGGTGATTTGTGTCTGATATGGCCCGAGCGCTGATTCTACGGAATTCTGCGGCGTTCGACTGTCTTCGACTGACTTCGCATGTCTTCTCCGCGCTTCCATGTAAATTACCTAGGTACTGCTGACTCAGTCTCTTGTATTGTACAGGTGACTGAGGCGCTACGTAGATCAGGTATCACTTGGTATCAGATGGAAGTATAAGCTAAAGAACTACATCCTGGACTCAACAAAAGTAGATCTCTAGGGCTGTTTGCAAAAGATTACTTCATACTCCTTACATGTAACAGAATAACACGCAGAGATTTCGAATCGCCACTACCGCCACCAGATCTCTTATCGATAAAGATATGGGGAATGGAGGTTCGGCACTCTCCGGCCGTGATTTTGACCCCTCCAACAATCCCACTCGATACCCATAATGGAGCAAGATCCAGGATTCATCGCTGCCGTCGAAGAGGCGAAGCAGGGTCTCGCCGAGGGCGGCGTGCCAATTGGTGCAGCCCTGGTCTCCAAGGACGGCAAGATCCTCGGCCGCGGTCACAACATGCGCGTGCAAAAGGGAAGCGCTATCCTGCATGTCAGTGAATCTTGAGATACTGCAGGGGACATGTGTGGTCTAGGTCCACCGCCATGTCCATTGCAGGGACTGGCGACTATCTGCTAACGTTGACAAGGCCGAGATGTCTGCTCTCGAAAACTCCGGTCGTCTGCCTGCCTCGGCTTACGAGGGTGCCACCATGTACACCACCCTTTCGCCCTGTGACATGTGCACTGGTGCCTGTCTGCTCTACAAGGTGAAGCGTGTGGTCATTGGTGAGAACAAGAGCTTCATGGGTGGTGAGGATCTCTTGAAGAACCGCGGCGCGGAGACCGTTGTCCTGGACAACCAGGAGTGCAAGGATCTGATGGACAAGTTCATGAAGGATAGTCCTGAATTATGGTATGTGCTAGGTGCTTGGTTCGCAGGGGAGGCGAGTGCGAGTCTTTCATCAGGACTTGGCAGTTTCATCATTATCAATACTAACTGTAGTGTCCGCTGTTCAGGAACGAGGATATCGGGGTCTAACTTGATGAGGCTCCTGTATATAGCCCCAAATACAATGGGAAATGAAATACCCCATCAAGAGGTGGAAATACTTTTGAATCCAAAGTCGTATCTTTTTGAAAGAGCCTCGGCCAAATAGGGCTTAGGTATAGATAAAGTTAAACAGTCAGGCGGTGGATCTCCTCGAAGAAGAATTTGAGGTGCTCGGGGTCGACGAATGGAGTCACGCCTGGTGATATTAGCATTGTGGTCTCGGCTTTGACAACTATACAAAGTGGAGGGTGGACTTACCATGGCCCAAGTTGCAGATCCATCCCTGCTTGCCCTTCTTGAAACCCTCGACCATAGGCTCAACGGTGGCAGTAATGGCTGGCCGGCCACCGTAAAGCATGCCGGGGTCAGCGTTACCTTGGATAGTCACACGGCCGTTGGCAATACGCATAGCCTCAGCGGCATCGTGCAGCCAGTCCAGGCCGACAACGTTGTATCCCGAGTCGCAAAGGTCATCCAGGGCATACCAGGCACCCTTGGCGAAGACAGTCATGGGAACAGGCTCCAGGCCCATTTCCTGCAACCGCTTGGGTAGGTTTGCGGAGATGTGACGGAGGTAAGGGAGAGAGAAGGACTTGAATGAAGCGGGAGACAGCTCGCCAGCCCACGAATCAAAGACCTGCACCAGCTGGGCTCCAGCGGCGACCTGAAGCGCAAGGTATTCAACACAGATCTCAGCAATCTTCTGCAGCAGAGCCTGCGCCTCCTTGGGATACTTATACACCCACTTCTTAGACTGCACGAAGAGCTTGCTGCCACCGCCTTCGACCATGTAGCACAGCAGGGTCCATGGGGCACCGCAGAAGCCGATGAGAGGCACGCGACCCTTCAGCTTGAAGCGTGTGAGGGAAATAGCCTTGTAGACGTAATCCAGTTCCGTCTTCACGTCCACCTCCTTCGCCATCACCTTCTCGTATTGACCGTCCGTCGGTGAGTCAAGCGGTTCCGGGAAGTGAGGTCCCTTCTTGTCTACCATCTCAACAACCATTCCCATGGCTTGAGGAATGACCAGAATATCGGAAAAAATAATCGCGGCATCGATGAGGCCCTCATAGCGCTCAATGGGCTGGAGAGTCAAGGTCGAGGCGATTTCAGGTGAGCGGCAACATTCGAAGAAGTCGCGGCCGCCCTTGGCCTCGTGGTATTCGGGGAGGTATCGGCCAGCTATTGGGTGGAGATTTCAGTCATTTGGGTATTCTAGGGGAATTGATGCCCGCAAGGCAAAGGTTTCTTACCCTGTCGCATAACCCAAATGGGAGGACGTTCGACCTTCTCGCCTGCGATTGTCAGCGCCAGTCAGCCCGTAAAACTCGGATAGGACATACCCCGTGCAGCTCTCAGCAGCAGGTCGTTCTTCAATGGCTCAAATTGTTCCTGCATTGTGTTGGTTGGATATGCAAGTGGGATGGTGGAGGGGAAGTGGGAATCCCAAGTTCCTCCGGGTACCGCGGCCCGCGATTAGACCGGAACCAGGATGGTTTTATACTACGATGTTTCTTCTACGTGAGGTTGGTCTCTTTCAACACTTTATTTCATGGCTTTTCATATTCAGTCGGAGATACGATGGCTACAGCTACCTAGGTATCTTTTTGGAGCATCTAGCATCTTTGCATACCATCAGTAGGTCTCGAGGTCATGTATATCCGTCCACGGATATATATTTCAGGTCCCGCCATCATCTCATATATCATTAACCATTGATCACCTTGATTCTATGTAAGTTCAGTTGTTGACGCTGATCTGATACCTAGGTAAGAAATGCAGCAATTCGAAGCGATCAGAAAGCTCAACCGTCCTATGAATTGCACTTTGGATCGCAGAAAACCGTGGAATACACCTGGCCAGCGCGCCATACCTGTGACGCAGTATCAAACATTGAAATCATCATCTCGTATGTATTTAAACCTCTAAATTTTGCTGTACATTCCTCAAGCCCTTGGAAAAGCACGACTTTAATCATCGCTTCCATCTCTCTTGCGCAACTTGGCCAGACCGTACACCGCGTCATTGAGCTCGGTTTGCTTCTTCTGCTCCAGCCCCTCAGGCACACCTGAAGTGCCCTCCTCATTGATCTGGAGAACCATGGAGTCTTCGATTGGAGCCCATTTGCCGGCACTGACCCGGAAAGTCTCGAGAGGAGGCTGGGACATTGATTTCCAGGCAGTAGTTGAGTTGGGTTGACGCAGTGTGTCCACGGATACCACGATGGAACCCTTGGAATCGATAGCAGTCAGATCGAGGACATTTCCACAGAGTTCGAGAGTCTGCTTGAGAGCCAAGCTGTTGCCATTCTCAAGAGAATAACAGAGGAGTTGTGTAGACCTGCTTGCGGTGTTAGAAGCTACTTGAAATGCTGGGTGACTTGGGGACTTACCCTTCTAGTGCGACGAAAATGGTTTGAACTGACGCCGCATCGCCAGCTGCGGGACTGAACGAGATATCCCAAATACCGCTGACTGTGATATCTGTCTCTGACTCGGGAAGTTGGACCTTCTGGAGTATCTGGTTCTCGAGCCAGTTCCACACGAGAAGATAGTTATCACCACCTCCAGAGATGAGAACCTTGGGTTCCCAGGATGGAACGCACAAGCTGCCAACAAATGAAGTGTGACCAAAGCAGAACTGCTCAATGACGTGGGCTTGAGGAACGCCACGGGATACACGAATGTGCTCATCGCGATCCGCAGTCAGGATGTAGTTTCGTGGACCGACAGTCGAGTCTGCAGGCCGCGAGACAGAGATCAAGCCTGTCATCAGTGAGACATGGCCAATGATAAGCTGGTGCTCAAAGTTCAGCGCAACTCGTTCTTCCGGGTTGGCCTTGGCCAATGCAGCTTGTTTCATCTGCTGCTCCAAGGATTCCAGGTTGCGCTTGGTGTGCACTGTGAGGTTTGTGGCAGATGGCTCATATGCCTTCGCCTGTGGTTGAGACCTCACGTAGTTTTCACTGGGAATGAGCGGGAAGGCATACACATCTCCGAACTTATCACCGACTAGAATAGTACTCTCGTCAGGTGTAAGGGTCAGCCCACTCAGTTTCTTGGGCATTATGCTGCACCTGGTAAGCGTGAGAAGGTCGTAGACTGGGCAGTGGTTACTCACCGAGAGCTCAATTCCTGGAGTTTTCCATTGTCGGCCAGACTGAGAACTCGAACACATTTGTCCTCGGCAGTCATGATAATTACATATTTGCTTTGGGCAACAGCCAAAAGAGGGATGTTAGTCCAAGCATTGGTGTCTTGTTTCTTCGAATCCATAGATTTAGCCTCTGGCGCAGGCTTATTTTCCTGCTCGGCATCCTTCTCATCAGCAGCAGGCGAAGAGAGCTTTCTACGCTTCTCTGGTGGGCCTTGGCCTTCCGACGCTGGGGTTGCGCCAGAGGTTTCTCCGGTGGGGGCCTCAACTATAGGCTGAGGCCACACATCCAAGCGCTGACCACTGGATACATCCAAAGAGAAGAGATTGCGACCAGCAGTGGCCACAAGAATGTCCGACAGACCAGCGGACTGTCTGTTGACATATCGCAGACGCTGGAACGGGTGTTGAAGGCCAACCATTATGAGGCGATTTCGGCTTCAATTGGCGAAGGAACCACAAGAGGACAGCTGAGCCGCGCGGTGTATACGCAGAAGAAACAGCCAGCGAATCGAGACCCCCAAAGATCCTTGAATCCGAAGTCAATGACCCCCATCGATATGCCATTCGGGCGGGTCTACTTTTTGCATCACGTGATCCACTAGCGAGCGCACCAAAAAAAAAGTAATCTTCCCGAATTCCTCCCGAGTTCCTTTTCTTCTCCATTAACCACCACAACACTTTGACTTTCCCTTAAACAACCTCTCTTCATTGAAATCAAGAAGAAATGGGGGGCAAGTCCGCGACCAAGACCGCTTACTTCGAGAAGCTCAAGCTTCTGGTGAGTGACCCAGCTTCGAACACCTGTGCCTCGTCGGGGCCAGGTACCGCTTTCAGAACCGCATTGCTAACGTGATCATAGCTTGACACTCACTCTTCCATCTTCGTTGTTGGAATTGACAATGTCTCTTCCCAGCAGATGCACGAGATCCGTATCGCCCTCCGTGGCGAGGCTACCGTGCTGATGGGTAAGAACACCATGGTTCGCCGTGCCCTCAAGGGCTTCGTTGCCGAGAACCCCGAGTTCGAGAAGCTCCAGCCTTTCGTCAAGGGTAACATTGGTTTCATCTTCACCAACGGTGACCTCAAGGACATCAAGGAGAAGATCCTGGCCAACCGTGTCGCTGCCCCCGCCAAGGCCGGTGCCGTCGCTCCCGATGATGTCTGGATTCCCGGTGGTAACACTGGTATGGAACCCGGTAAGACCGCGTTCTTCCAGGCTCTCGGTGTCCCCACCAAGATTGCCCGTGGTACCATTGAAATTGTGTCCGACCTCAAGCTCGTTGAGGCTGGCAACAAGGTCGGTGCCTCCGAGGCTTCCTTGCTTAACCTCCTGAACATCTCTCCCTTCACCTACGGTATGACCATCGCCCAGGTCTACCAGGAGGGTCAGGTCTTCGGTGCCGATGTCCTTGACATCTCCGAGGAGCAGCTCCTTGCTACCTTCTCCAAGGCCATCTCCACCATCACTGCCGTCTCCCTGGCCGTCAGCTACCCCACCCTTCCCGCCGTTATCCACAACCTCATCAACGGCTACAAGAAGGTCCTCGCTGTCGCCATCGAGACCGACTACAGCTGGCCCGAGATTGATGAGCTCAAGGACCGCATCGCTAACCCCGATGCCTACGCCTCTGCTGCTCCTGTCGCTGCCGCCGCCGCCTCCGGTGGTGACGCCCCCGCTGCCGCCGCTCCCGCTGAGGATGAGGAGGAGTCCGACGAGGACATGGGCTTCGGTCTCTTCGACTAAGCGCATTCTCCTTGAAGGGATACGACTGCCATGTATTAGATTTACTTGAACCGGCGCTCGAAATAGCGACCGGCAATGAAACTTCATGACACGGCAATGGATTTCCGTCGGAAACCTAGGACACGTATAATGGACGTAGCTGCGCCCATTGTTCGTTTCCCACATACTTGGTGAGTTCCTTTTGTTTCTTTCTTCTTGCACCACACCCCTTTCTGGCGGATGATGAGACATTTTTAACCCCGAGCATTACGGCCCCTCCTGGGGTCGCACTGACGATCTAAATGCAACAACAACACTCTAATTTTTTCCTGACGCTATTACCTTCACACACTTGCTCTTGACTTGACTTTGCAAACAATTGCTAACTTGTGATCAGTTTACAGATGTTCTTGATGTGACCTGCGATCGTAGGACCACTCGTAGACGGTTGTGTAGGTGGAGTCCATGTTTGCTATCCCTTGTTGTGCAACTGCGGTAATAGATAGTTGCTCAATGAAAACTCTTCCCAGGCTACTGGTCCCTTGAATTTGCATATCCCATTCTATGTAGTCTCCACAAAGCAGAACTCTAGATGTATGATTCGCAACTCGATCTCCACCAGGCCGACTGTGTTTCTTGAGAAGTCCATTGAATTCCCCATTGAATTCCCCATTGAATTCGTTGAATATGCCAATTCGCAGATCTAAGTGGACTATCGATCTGACGGAGAAGAGAGCAGCGCAACGCTGATTTGCGGGAGTGCGGGTATGCTGTCATAATGCGTCACGAGCGCAAAGCCTGAAATTCACCTTCCAACGGCCTTTGGATGATTTTCTTGATCTGCGAGGCAATTTACCATTTACAACTAACGAGATGTCCAATTCAGACGGGAGATCGAAGAGAAAAGTGCGTGATCCCGACAAGCCGGCAATCAAATGCTAACCAACCAGAGCGACAACACTCCTATAGATGGTAGCGCATTGAGTCGCATATCTATGGAAGCAGAGTCGGACTCGGATTCCGATAATCAGCCGGGATACTATCGTCGACTTTTAAATGATGTCTTTCGGGCAATACGATCAGAAAAGGGCCATCGGCAGGAAATACTGCGAATGATACGAGGCCGTGTCCCACTTCGCCAGATCCGACTATACTTAGACCAGGCGCTGCCGGAAATACAGGAAATCAAGACAGAAGAGGAACCTTCCAAGAAGGTGAAAGTGGGAGACGTCCCCGAGAATGATACACCACAGCCACGACCGCAAGCAATGGATATCCAATACTTATGCGACAATGCCCCGTGCAAAGTCCCCGCCAAACCATGGACAAATGTGACAGATGATGATGAGCTCGTGTCACATCTGGTGTCCTTGTATATGACGTGGGACTATCCATTCTACGCCTTCTTTGATCGCACGACGTTTTTGGAGAACATGGAGAAAGGGAATCTGAATTCGGACTTTTGCAGCCCATTCCTGGTGAATGCCTTGCTGGCAAATGCGTGTGTGAGTTCCCTTCCATCTCGTGTGATGTCGCTCCGTTAAACATGGCTTGCAGGACTATTCACAATATGCCGAGGTGTACACCATTGCCGGAGACACTAATACCAAAGGTGCTGCTTTTCTAGCGGAGGCCGAGAGCTACATGAGAACACATTCTTTCGAACGAGGTGGTGGCACTCGACTGGCTACCCTACAAGCAACCCTGTTGCTGTATGAGAGGTATGTCCCCGGCATTATCTTTGAACGTTGACTCCGTCACTGATATTGTTGATTGGCACAGATACTCGGTGTTGGGCAATGAAGATTTCGGCTACACCATGCTCCACCGAGCAATAGAGATGGCAGAAGAGCTTGGGATCGTCAATTCTGAAAAGCTGAGCCTCAGCAGTTCCCAACTGTCAGAAGAAATGATCAGATCGATCCAGCGCACCGCCTGGGGCATCTTCCAGATTGATACGTAAGTATTTGCAGACCTTGGACCGGCAGATACAGGCTAATGATGGTCGACAGTATTGTCCATACCAACTTTCTCAAACCGAGTCGTATACGCGAAGTGAGTGTACATCGGCTCCCCCGTGAAGAAAATGGCCGCGAGGACTGGTCACCATATCCGTTGTCAAGCCACCCGCAGCCCTCCTACATGAATCAATATTTTGATGAGGCTTGTAACCTGTCCTACATCGCCAGAGACATTTCCCGAAGTGTGCAAATTGCAGAGGAAAAGAAGACCAGCTTGAACGAGGTCAAGCAGAATGTTTATGATCGACTTTGCCAATGGGACGCCGATCTCCCAGAGATATTCGACCCTAAAGGACAGCCAGCGCCGCATATCCTACTACTCAGGTTCGTACAATTCCAACTACTTTTGGCCACGACTAAGACTTGGAAATCCGTGCAGAATGCGATATCACGCACTCATGATCAATCTATGCTGTGATAACTTTGGTAATTATTCCTCGTTCGCAACCATGGAGAAACGAGTGCCCATGAACCTAGATCCAGGGAAAGGAACTACGGCTTTCGAGGTGGCCCTCTCATCTGCACGCCAGATCTCTTTGATAATTCAAATGATGCGGGCACAGTACGGCATGAGATATGTACATCAATTCGCCATGTACGCCATAAACGTTGCGATATACACCCTACTTGAGCAGCCAGATTTCGACATCGTCGACCCAGACTTCTTACAACTTACGGGTGCCTTTGCCACGATTTCAAATCGTTCCCAGGTAGGTAAGAGTCTGTATCACTTCTTGAAGCTGTCAGTGAGATCTCGAGACTCAAGTCACAAAATCGAGACTCTTGAGGTGATTCCCACGGAGCTTAAGGAGATTTTCCCACAAGGCCATCAAGACGGTGGAGCCAAACTCAGATCAGGTCGCACTTCAAATTCACAGCAAGATTTAGAGGATTCCCCGAAACCCGTACCGTCTCCAGGGTTGAAGGACATGATTGGGGAGTATGAGAAATTGAGCGTCGGCAAAGAGGAGAGGCCTTTTGACCACCGCGAGAGTGGCAATTTTTCATTTTGATACTTGAGCGTCAAGAATAACTGCCCATGTCTAATAATGTATACTATTAATTGAAGTCAAGATCTCCTATTGGGTACATTGGCAAATGATTCTAGGGCTACCGGCCTTGGAAGCCAACATGTACATCCTCCAGGGCCGAAGTTGTCCAACCAATTACTTCCAACCTTGGAAGTTGTTGATGGCTTCAAAGCATACTAGGTAGGATCTTGCGTGGAACCGTGGCGCTGAAACAATCTTTTCAATGCCTATGGCCACTATTCTCTCGCCGAACAAAGAACACACATGTAGACAAAGCAACGGACACCTCGCTGCGCGTCAAGAATCAATCCCCGGGCCTCACAGAATGCAAAGCTTGAACAATTGCCAAATCAAGGAACATTCAGGCAGTCAAATGGTATCGAATAACAGAGCATCACACCACAGATGTCGATCCAGACATGCCTCAAACAGTATATACATCAACACCCAACCATGAATAATTCCAATCACAACTTCAACTCCCAAGTCTCCCCAACAAGCTTATACCCAAAGATATCATTTTCCTCCGAGCAAACCAACTCAAATCCCTCCTTCGCATATAGCCGACGCGCAGGGAGCAGAATGCCCTGCGTCCAAAGCCGAATCTTCTCATATCCACACTGCCGCCCAAACAACTTGCACTGCTGCACGAGCGTCTGACCAAGTCCCAGACCCCGTGCACCAGGCTCAACCAGGAACATTCGCAACTTGGCCGTGCCGGCCTCGTCTCTATCCTTGACTAGAATGATGCAGCCGAGGAATTCGTCGTTGCGTTCGGCGATCCAGCATCGGTCGGTGGAGGGGTTGTAGTTTGCGAGGAAGTCGGCGCCGACTTGGGCGGCTAGACCTTCCATTTTTAATCCCCAGTCATGCTCTTTGTCGTAGTAGGTTGCGTGGCGGTGGATGATCCAGCCTATGTCGCCGGGGCGGTGGGTGCGGATTGTGTATGGGGGTTCGGCCATGTTACGCTGTGTAATAGGGTTATGATGGGCTTTACATTGGGACAATGGTCTTAAATGTTTCTCTTGGAGAGAATGATAAAATGGAGCCATGTTGTTCGAAGGGCGCGAAACAGAGTTTGGCGCCAAGACCTTCAATTGACTCATGATGATGGCATTTGGAAGTATAGAATTGAAGAACTGAATGATATGCTTCCAATGATCTTGATAGGTATACATCTGAAAAATGTGCAATGCATCGCGCTTCGGAGAATCGAAAAGACATGCAAAAGAGCCTGGTCAACCCCCCAACTTGACCAAAGAAGTGAGGGGAATGATCTGTGATCTCGCAGTTATCAAAATGGAAAGTGGAAACCGATGAAGGCATGCTCCGTGCAGACTAGAGCTTACGCTCCATCCTCGGTGCTTCGTCCGAACCGACCTCCAAAGCCACCGAGATCACGGCGGAAGAATTTACCAATGTTTCTCAGATTATCATTGAGATTCCCTGTTCCGCTTTCCGACGGCGTTTGCGCATGATTAGGTTGAAGGGTGGAGCCCATGGGGGCAGGGGAAGAGGCACCGGACGGGCTGGTCATGCCAGATACGGACGAGGCGACCCCGGTTGCTCCGGCCACAGTTGAGCCCAGGTTGCTTAGGCTCGGATTTCCGAAGCGGTCAACCCCGTCTTTGGCAGCGGACATGATGGCTGAGCCGAGCATCGAGGCGTCAAATCGGGAGGGCATGGCTGTCGCGGCACTGCCGAGACTGAGACCCTGGGATACCGAGCCGGTGCCGGCGGTGGTGGTTGATGGGCCTTGGAGAGCAGCGAGGATGGGATTGCTTGGCTGGAGACTCGAAGCGTAGCGGTCTGATGCGCGGTGGAGCTGGAAGAGCTCGACGAGGTGGTTCTGTTCCTGGCGGTTGCGGATGCCTTTGAGATCGAGGATTTTGCGGAAGTTGTTGTTGTTGCTGTCGGCAATGTGGATGAGGTAGGCTTGGACAAGAGCCTCTGGGGGTGATGGTCGGACTTGGAGGGTTTTGAGGAGGGTCTCGATCTTGGAAAAGCTGATGTTCACACGCTTGACAAAGCCGGCCGGCGCTGGAGCAGGGAGGAGAGACGAAAGGCCACTCTTGAGGGTGTATGAGTCAAGAAGCATCTAAAACAATGTTAGAAATAGGGAGAAATCTCTCGTCATGGAACATCTTACTTGCTCGGCTCCTGTCTCTGGGACGGGCTTGCATTGGAACACGTTGCCAATGAATTGACTTGAGATGAGCTCCACTAAATGATCAGAGAAAGCACGCGCATATTGTTGTTTGTGCAAGAGCTGTAATATCTCGGATGACTTCTCCTTCGTCCGAGATAGCATTTCAGCCACGTATGAGCTCTGATCACTAACCGCCTCGATCTTGGCCCACGGTGTGTTGCGCATTTCGCGCCATGAGGGCTCAATATCAACCTCGACCTTCCGCACAAGGCCTCGCACAGCAGCAGACGCAATTCCCATAAAGGAATCTGCTTGACTTTGCAGATCCACGGATTGCTTCAAGTTCTCATCTAGCCTGCCCCTGATCTTCTCTTCCAGTTGATTGCAGGTCGTGTAGCAATAATCGGCGGTATTGAGCACAATTACCAATTCTTCAATCGTGGGCACCCTAGATGGTGTGTGTCCACTTGGTCGCTCACCAATGTAGTTCAGTAGAATCTGCTGGGCATATTGATCCAGATATTTGGCAAAGACTTTGGCCAGTTCTGCCAAGCTGACTCCGGTTGAAAGCTTAGCACATTGCTGTAGAGAATGGCGGTAGAAAGTGAAGAGCTCTGTGGACGATGAAATGACGATATGTGAATTGAACTCCTCATCCGGTACCTTGAGAGGCTGAGTACGGTATTTGGGGAGCAGTCCCGCAAGCTGCTTGTCTTGAGCCTCAACCCAAACACTGAGATATGGCTCAAAGGCCTCTGAGATTGACTGGTTGAACACAGGCGGCTCAGCCGAGGCAAATGTATCAGTCGATGCACGTGAGGCCGGAGAGAAGCGACGGTCGAGAGAATGTTCGAATTCCAGCGTCTCTTGCAAGCAAGAAAGTAGCAAGTTGACATCAATTGTCTGTCCACTGCGGACAGACCGAGACAATATTCCCTTGAAGTCGTCCCGTGTGCCTTCACAGAAGACATTGGCCAAGATCTCATTCACCTTCCACGATGCCGGGAAGATGGCCGCATTCTCTTCATCGTAGATTTTCAATATGCGCCGGAACCAGGAATATCGGCGGGAGATGTTGTCCAAAGAACCGGCCTCCTCGTTGTTTCGGAAAACCTGCCTATATTCTCGGAGCTGCGTATTGCAATACCAGGTCACCAGTCGAGACCGGGCATGCTCACCCAGGGCATCCGCGACCAGACATGCCTCCGCGAGCATGGTGCGCTTCGAGCCCACTTCACCCTTCGCGAACGCTATCTCAAAGTCCTCGCAGACCTGCTCTTGAAGATCCCGCTGTATGTCCGCCACGTTCCGGCTGAGTATTGCGATTTGGTCAATCGATCGATACGACTTGAAATGGGCCATGAGCTGAATGACAGCCTGGAGCAGCTGTGCACAGTCCCCGTATTGCCGTGTCCGACTCAGAGCCTGTAGTTGGTCGTATGCCGTCGTCAGCATTTGTAGCCGTTTGAGCGCTGTCATCGACAACGTCAGGTTCTTCTTCGCATTGTCCAATTGCTTGATGTCGGCTGTCATGTCGGTGATCGCCTGTTCCGTCTTCGACGCACGCTCGCGCACATCGTCGATCTTTTTAAACAGCTCCGTCAAGTCCGCCTTGGCTGCTTGGATTCTTTCAACACTGTCGGCATTGGAGGTAACCTGCTCCTCCACCAGCATGCCGATGTCATCGTCGAGCTCATCTTCGCATTCGTTTAGGGCGTTGGAAACCTGGGAAACGGAGGATAGGGTGGACGGATGGGAGAAAATGGCATTCAAATGCTCAATTGGATCGTAGTCCACTGTAACCCCTTTCATGTTAGCATACTTAGCGGTGGGCACGAGGTCAATGTTTCCGCACCCGCATCCAGAGCATCGGGGCTTGGTTCCTCGATGGGCGACATATGGCTGGTTGTGGCAGTGATCGCAGTCATCCCATCAGCTCGCCAGGATCATTCTGCCTTTGGTCCCGACAAACTTGAAGTGAAGCCAGTGTTGGGGGAGGTCGAACGGGGTTATCGCGGCCCGCATGGCTTTAGCGCGCCAGCTTGGCATCTTACGCAATGTCGTGTAGCAGGGCTACAGTACACCTGGACATTACAACTAATCTTGTCACTAAATTGGAGACTACGAGGGAATAATTGTTTCGATGCAATGCAATTGCACTGTTTCAATGTCTGTTTAAGCTAAATCCCCTGCTATGGGCATAGTTCCAATGTTTCTATACAACATGCCCCTGGACCTCGGGACCCAAGCTCGGTAATATTGAGTATACGCCCATTGAGGGCCCGCATAGAGCTACAATTGCAATCTCTATGCTACCCCTCCATGTGTCAAAAAGCAAACATTCATCACGACCGTCCTCTCGACCGGGGCCAGCGTTGGCGGGGTTAGCGGCGCTAAGCGTGCGCTAAGCCCGGCGAGGCTGGGCGCTTAGTGAAGTACGGAGTAGATGAATAGAGCTACGGAGGCAAAAGGGCTGTTGTAGAGTGAAGAACTGTGGTTATCGGTGGTGTATTTTTGATTTTTGATAATTTTTCACACGAGTTCTGGCCCGTAGGCTTTGTTCAAAGTACCATTGCTAGCAACCCAGTGCCATTCGCCGAAGCCATGCATTAGAAGAAAAAGAAAAGATAGTGAATCACGTCAGAGCATCGTAGCTCGACACAACCTCCTTTCTGGGAAAAGGATAGGTTCAAAGCTAAAAACAGGAAGTGAAGTGAGGTGAAAGGTTTGAACGATATGTTGTGGTCAAAACCAAGTCATTGCTCACGAGGGAGTGAGGAAGGCGGTTGGGGGCAAGGTGCCAGAAGCCTATGAATAAGTCAGTTTCGCGCATTGATAATTTGACATTGCCGTACTCACCTTGAGCTCTTCGAAGTTCTTCCACGCAGCCTCGGCATCCCAGTTATTGCTCACAAGAGCCATTTCGGAGTATTGAATAGTCATGCCTGACTTGGCACTCATCTGTGCAACGATTTGCTCCTGCTGGAGCTGAGTGTCAGACTTGCCAGGCTGAGGCAAACCATATCCGTCGGCGGCAGTGGGGGCAGCCGCAGGAGCTGCAGCGGGAGCCGCATCGGGGGCAGGGGCAGCCGCAGGGGGAAGTGCGATGGAATCGGGGATCCACGCGTCATGTCCACCATAAGCGCGAAGACAGTACACATCGGTGAGAACTCGAATGCCACCAGGGGTGTTTCCAGGTCCAAGAATGAAAGTTCGGTCGAAGCTGCGAAGTTCCAGTTTTCCGGCAACGCTCTCCTCCAGCTGACCGTGCACGGTGAGTGAGAGGCCACCAACACCAAAAGCGCTCTGCCCAGAAGGGTCGGGAAGGCCAGGAAGTGGGTAGCACTCGATGAGCCATTGATCCGCCTTGGTAGTCAGGTCGGGGTGACGAGAAGGTGGAAGGGTACTGAAAGCCTCACGAATCTGGTCAACGCCCTTGAAAGAGCGTGACATACGCGCGGGGAGGTGGCTGATCTTGTCAAGGTTGCGGCTCTTTTTGATGTACTCGCCCCAAGCAACCGGTTCGGAATTCAGGGATCGAGGAGAGACAGTGTTGATATTGAGGGAAAATTTGGACTCGTTGTCGTAAACGTTGGAGACCAGGCCATTGCGATCATTGTCGTAGCCTGCAAAAAAGGCTCGGACGAAATTCTCGCCGATTTGGGATTCATCATGGAAATGAGGAGGCTGAACAGGAATCGGGGTCTTCTTCTGAAGCGCAACCTCTTCCGGAGTGCGTACCTGAACGTTGTTCAAGACTTGTAGCTTAGGATACCACTTGAGCATGGTGTCCTTGAAGTTAGGAAGGGAGCAAAAGTCGTTTCCAGTCATGTCGAGGAAGACAAGGTTGCGGAATTTCCACCGCCACCCAATAATTGCCTGCGCATCCTTGAATTTGTTGTTCGAGAGGTCCAGGTTCTTGATGTCGGGAACGGCTTGAGCAAGAGTGGTCACAACACTGATGTTGCTAAGGTTGTTGTTTGCCAAGCTGGCGCTTTCCACTGCTTCACGCCGAGCCGCAGAGCTATCGTAACGCGTCTCCCAAACTTTCATGAGAGCTGGGAAGAACTTCGACTCAGTGGAGGTGGAGTTGAAAATGCCCATCTCCTGCAGGTCGAGATCGCCTGCCAGATCGGACATGTCGAGAAGCTTGTTCTGAGCGAAGTATCGCTTGTCGAGGATGGCTAGCATCTTGGTTTTGGTATCGGCGGTGGAGCCGGGAGCTCCGTCCTCTGGTGCTAACTCGCTTGCTAGCGCATCATCTGCATTGTACGGCGCAACTGTGATTTTGACACCGGCAAAAGTGCTTCCATTGAGCCGAAGCATTTTGTCACCTAGATCAGGTTTGATGTGCACAAGCAGGGTATCGGGGCCCTTCTTTTCGTGCTATTTCGAGAATCAGCAAGGTGTCGAGGAACCTTGGGAGACCAACGGTCACCCAGCGCAAGACTTCGGAATGCCAAGAATTTGTCGATCATCGTCGAGAAAGGATATATGCTCGAAAACGAAGAGGGACTAAAAGTGAAGGCGTCGAGATGCATGCGAGGTGACCGTTGCGACTGTAGTACTTACCTGAGTGAGTCTGATCCGGGGACCACTTTTTGTGAAGCTGTTCATGCGACGTTCAAGGTACGCGACCAGAGCCTCGCGGCCGTGGTCCTTATTGCTCGCTGCCTTGCTGTTTTTCCACCCGCGAATACAGAACGTGTCGAGGTTGTCCTTGGATTTGCCGTTTCCTCTGTTTTGACGGATGCTTGCTTGCGAATCAGTGCTGGCGATTGCACGCTGGATCAAGTCGATGTTCCTGTCGCGGGCCTGAGCTCGACCTCCACTACCTGCGGCTCTGCCACCAGCTCCTGCACCTGACATGCGGCCACCCAAAGCGGCACGACCTGTCTCGGTGCGATTTCTTCTGGCGCGAGATGTAGCGGAGTCCATGTCCATGTCTCCATCCCGATCAGTGCGAGTGGGACCCCGCTTGCGAATGCCCCCGCGATCACTGCTGCCGGTACCACCGCGGCGAGACTTCGAAGATTTCATCATGGCGTTGACGGAAGGAATATCAGGAGACGGAGGAGGGTAGTTGGTGGGGTTGAGAATGTGGAAGCAATGGCAATAATCCGAAGCTGCGGTTGTCAAATGAGTCGTGCGCTATGCGCCTCAAATCAGGTAGGAAGAAGTTCGCATGCAGGAGTGTCGCAAGTGAAGCGTTGGCGCAAGAGGGTGAAAAATAGCTTGACAAGAGGCGAGGAAGGTCAAGAGAGGGTGAAGCTAGCAGATAATGAATGGGATCCGCCAGAGAAGTCAAAAGAGACCAAAAATAACCCAGAATAATAGAACCGTGCAGTATCAAAGTGAAAGTAAAGAAAAAGTGACGATGGCTCACGTGACCCAGGATCGCGGCACCCACTTGTTTGGAGCTAATCCCAATGTGGTGATGAGTCATCTCAAGCTCCGTGCCTGGCCAATCACAGGCTGTCGTCTGTCCTCACGGCGAAATCCCCATACATCGCAAGTATGCCGGGATGCTTCTGAATTGGCCAGCTCGCTCCTGTCTCTATTGTTGATTGCCTAGTCTGCAGGCTTCAGTTGACTCATTTGGATTGATCTGCTCCGAGGTAAGTGCGCCTGTCTGACTCGCTGCCCTTTGTTCTTTCATGTTTGTTTGATACATTCGTCCGAATGGGGTCAAATCGAGCGTGCGCGTCCAATGATCACTTAGCTAATCTGCCATGTTGCTCTTTGTCGCACAGGCACCTAGGACACACCTGCTGTCCATTGACATTCCTTTGGCCTTTGCGCTCCACCGTATGGGCATCAATTGACCGGCGAGATGCCCGCAAAGTCGCGATTCACGAGGCTAGACGCCTTCGCCAAAACCGTTGAAGATGCCCGCATTCGCACGAACTCTGGAGGCTTCATCACCATCGCCTCCTTGTTGATTGTGATGTGGCTAGTATGGGGAGAATGGGCGGAGTACCGACGAGTCGTGGTGCTTCCTGAACTCGTCGTCGACAAGTCTCGAGGTATGAATAGAGTTCTGGGTGGATCGGACATCAGTGATGCCAGGATGTTCTGTTGAGCACGACTTGCTAATCACACTTTCGTGTAGGCGAGAGGATGGAGATCCATCTGAACATGACATTCCCTCGGCTGCCGTGCGAACTGTTGACTCTGGATGTCATGGATGTCTCTGGTGAACAACAAGTCGGCGTCGCGCATGGAGTAAACAAGGTCCGTCTGAGCCCTCACACCGAAGGAGGCAAGGCGATTGAAATCCAGTCCCTGGACCTGTAAGTGCTACCCCACGCAATGGTCATCAACATTGGTCTCATCTACCCCTCACAGGCACTCCCCCTCAGAGGCCGCCAAGCATCTTGCCCCAGACTACTGCGGTCAATGCGGTGGTGCCAACCCCCCAGCCGACGCCATCAAGCCCGGATGCTGCTCCACTTGCGAAGAGGTTCGCGAGGCCTACGCCCAGAAGCAATGGGCCTTCGGCGATGGCGGAAACATCGAGCAGTGCATGCGTGAAGGATTCGCTGAAAAGCTCAGCCAGCAGCGCCGTGAGGGATGCCGCATTGAAGGTGTGCTCCGCGTGAACAAGGTGGTTGGAAACTTCCACATTGCGCCAGGTCGTAGCTTCACAACTGGAAACATGCACGTCCACGATCTTGACACTTACATTGTGCCCAATGCGGGCCCAGCGGATCAACACACCATGTCTCACACCATTCATGAGCTTCGCTTTGGTCCTCAACTCCCTACTGAACTGGCGGACCGCTGGCAGTGGACTGACCACCACCACACTAACCCTCTGGACGACACCAAGCAGGCGACCGACGAGCCCGCGTACAACTTCATGTACTTTGTAAAGGTGGTCTCCACATCATACCTGCCCTTGGGCTGGGATCCTCTCTTCTCCGCCTCTATCCACAGCGCCTATGACAAGACCCCTCTAGGTTCCCATGGCCTCGGTTACGGTGCTCAAGGTAGCATCGAGGCGCACCAGTACTCTGTGACTTCGCACAAGCGTCCTCTGTCTGGTGGCAACGACGCGGCCGATGGCCACAAGGAGCGCTTGCACGCTGGTGGTGGTATTCCCGGTGTCTTCTTCAACTACGACATCTCTCCCATGAAGGTCATCAACCGCGAAGCACGCCCAAAGACTTTCACCGGTTTCCTCACTGGTGTTTGCGCTATCATCGGTGGTACATTGACTGTTGCCGCTGCTCTGGACCGCGGCCTCTACGAGGGTGCCATGCGTGTCAAGAAGATTCACTCGAACTAGGTGCTACAGACAAAGCCATGTAGCGTTGGGCTTCAATTGTTGAAGCACTCAGATTAAATCCGTATACCTGCGTGTATGGATCGGGTTGGAAGAGAAATCCCGTGCCCCTGACCGGGCATGCTGGAAGCGAAGGAAGCTGGCACTTTTGGCGTTTTTGGGATACCTTATACATGGTTTGCGATTACTGTTCCGAATTAAGATGTATCTATCATCTCTCCATAGCGTTGAATCTTTAACGGGTCACATCTTGGTCCTGCGCTCGTATCGCGCAGGTGGAACCATCCCAGTAATATCTATAGCTACAAGCAACGCGTCAACACAAAGCGGATTCCTTGTGAGGCCCGAGGGTGTACAGAAAACTCACTAACAGCAACCTCGAGGGGCAATCGGGCTCCGATCCTTGGCTTCCAAGAGGTCATACCTAGGTAGAGGTATAAATCTTGGAAGCGTGAAGCTCAAATGTAAAGTAACAAAGTTGACATTTCCCATCTATCATAAATGCATACAAAGAATACCTATATAATTGCACAGCTAGGCACCAACAGAGGCTCTCGCCATACTCGCCCTCCGACTCTCATCATGTCTCTCACGATCAGCAGCAAGCTGCTGGGCAAATTTACTCTTAGCCCTAATAGCCGGGCCTTTCCAGTAGAACACATAAATGGGGATGAGGACCAAGAAGCCCACACAACCAAGTAGCGTACTCGCCCACTGCAAATGGTACTTCGACCCCATGTTCTGGTACATCGGCGTCGAATACATAGTTGCGATACCGGCGAGGAAATCGCGTGCAAAGCCATTTCCACCCGTTGCAGATGCGGAGTATGGACCGTACGCGGCGACCATGTAGTCGATTGTGGCCATGTAGATGGCGTAATTTGCCATTGCGATCATACAGGCGAATATGTTAGGTGCTATCCATGGGATGGGCGGACCCATTGATGTCCATGCGAAGCCGAGGAGGCCGATTGGCTCGAGGGGAGCGATGAAGAGCAAAAGTAGAAGACGACGTTCTGCAAGACGGCTTGCTGGGCCGGATCTGCGGCGTATTTGGATCTGTCGGTAGATATCTGGTAAGAAGATTAAGTAGGCGAGGACATAGCCGATGAGGATCGAGCCGAAGGTCAGGCCTACGGCGAGGGTACTGAAGCCCCATTGCTCGAAGACCAGAGAGAAAGACTCTGTGAAGACGAAGATCAGGGCATCGGAGAAACCAGACAGAAGAGAGAGAAAGAGAACAATCGGCTCGCGAAGGAACATCTCAAATGGACGAATCCAAATCCGAAGCACATCGTGGACATCCAAACGGGGTGTCTTCAGCTCATTCGGTCCCCATACATCAGCACCTTCTTTCCGACGTCGTCGAGCCTCCCGATCAACAAGGATTGATGCTCTAGTCTCCGGCACAACGAAAAAGTGTATAGCCTGCGTCACAGCACCGACTATCAACTGCATCCAAAACACCCAATGCCAATCAAGCCACTGGCCAATCATCCCACCAAAGAACGGCCCAACAGTCGATCCGCCCACAGACGAAAGAACCACATACGCAACCGCATATCCCTGATCATCAGCCTCCCACATATCAGCCGTCATACCAAGAGTGACCGAGCCACCAGCGGAGCTCAATCCACCCAAGACACGACACACGACAATCGTCCCGAAGTTCGGCGCCACCGCGCACGGAATCTGCCAAATATTGACCAGGAATAGAGACAGCTGCATGATAGGCCATCGGCCGAACTCCTCACTCCATGGAGCCCAAAGCTCGCAGCCGAATGCGTATGCGACAAGGAAGACGCACTGCCCTACTCGGCCGGCTTGTTCGCTGATGTGGAATCGTTCGACGAGGCCTGGGACGGCATTGGAGTAGACGCCTGTGTTGAAGTTCATGGACATTTGGACCAGGAAGATGACTGTGAGGATTGTCCATTTCTTCCATGTTGGGAAACAGAAGCCTAGTTTGTCGTAGCAGTCTTCTTCGGTGAGTTCGGGCTTGCCGCTGGTTTGGAGCTTGGGCTTGTCGGAGTGGGCGTCGGAATCGGAGGCATGTTCGGCGTGGGCGTCGTTGCCTCTCTCGATCTTACTGGGCTTGGATTCGTCTTCTTTCTCGACAGACATCTCCACTTGATTAGATCTGTGTGGATATCAAGTCCGGATGCATAGATGCAATTAAGAGAGTAGATAGTAGATAGACAGGTTGGGAATGTAGAGGAATAGGAACAGGAACAGGAAACTTCATTGCAATAGCAAGCCATTTATAAACGGCTTGTTTCTCATCCTGGTAACCCGAGTATCGAAACCCTACACATGGCCTTGAACCCTGTCACTTACATCAATCGATATACGCCAACCAATGATGTCTGCGATGGATGACGGAAAGGGACGTTGTATACAATATAGATGTAGAATACTCTTCGATGATAGGCCAAAGGGGAAAACCTGTTCTCCTCTCAATAGGACTACGTCATTGACGTCAAACAGATCCGAAGCCGATTGTTTGTGGAGACGAGGGGTGCAATGTGAGTGGCTTATGCTTGTTCGCATGACATGATTCAGTAGTGCTTATGTGGTGCATCTTGATTAAAGATGGGGGCGAAGAGTACCAGTATGTACCGATCCTCGGGGCCAGTGCCCAGGGCAGGTCTCAGTTTATCTCATCGATGCTCCAACATTAAAAGGATAAAAACGGAAAGTGTACAGTATGCAAATCGATTTATATTAGGGTCGTCAAAGGTCACTAAAATTGGTGTGTTCAATCTAAGCCCCGGTCATACAGACGCATGTATGATCTACATGCATGAACCACTTGGCTAGTAGATGGAAGAGAAGTGAGGAAAGAAAAGCCTCAATGTAACGATAGATAAGCAGGTATGCAAAAAAGAAACCCCCACCACGCCAATCAGAAACTCCGGTTGGATGCGTGATGCAATGAAGCGACAGAAACGAAAAAAGGGCAAAGAGTGAAACTCGAGTGGAAATGAGATGGACTGTGGTGCAGGTGGAGCCGCCAAATGTGCGATTGAGGCATGGACGGGTTGGACATGATAGAAAATAATACTGATAATGATGTGCAAGGAATGAAAGGCATTTGAGAGAAGAGAGGGACATCCAGGTAGTGGCGGGTGAGAAAAAGACCTCGAGCCAAGGCCCAATCACTGGGCATAGTTGTAGTACCGGGAGTCTTGGACATGAGCATGAGCTGCTTGGTGGCTGGGCGGAGTTGGCGGTGCCTGGGAAAGCTGGCCATACCACGAGGAGCGGCGGGGCACATCTGGGCGCATCGGTTGGCTCAGAGCATCCCAGGTGTTGTTAGCACCGGGCATGTTGTAAATGGACTCCTGCTGGCCGTATTGGGGTGGGTATACGGAGGCGGCCTGCTGGGGGAATTGTTGGGGTGACCATTGCTGTTGCTGATGTGTCATGGGCTGCTGGTAGCCCATACTGTGCTGACGCTGGGCAATGGCTTGTTGAACCATCTGGTTCGACATTCCATCCCGCATCTCGCGCTTCTCCCGTTCACGGGCATCAATCGCCGATACGAGACCCATAGGATTGACTTGGGTCTGTGATTTTCGGTTGTCATTCGACATATTGAAGAATGATGAGCCCGTCATTCGGGCAACGTGCTCTTGCTCACGAGCAGACAGATGACTTGAATGATCGTTGTGGTTAAGCATGCTCTGAGCACCGCGGGATGAGGGTCGCGGTGTGTTCATGGGGGAGTGAGAGCGGACCTGCTGAGTCCAGTCCCCAGATGTGGGACGTGGTGTGAGCATTGGGTTCGACGATGAACGACCATGAGCCTGCATTGGAGGACTGGGCTGCGCCCGATGTTGCACGAACTGCTCCGGAGTGAGTCCTCCACCAGGGGTAGCAGGACGACCGGCAGCCATTCCGGGCTGCCACAGCACACTTCGTCGGTATTCCTCTTGGCTGGAAGGCCGGGCATTAGCCTGATCCATGTGATGGGTGGGAATGGCAAGCTTGGTGCCGGTTGAATCCTTTCGCTGGTGGTTTTTGAGAGTGTCAGATGTGTTTGGGCGCCCGGTGGTAGGCATGTAAGTCATGGTAGGACCAAAGTCCACGTTGGGGATGTCGGGATTCGAGGTTGGTGGCTTGTCCATGGTATAATGAGCATCACCAATTACAAGATCCCTGGCCGCCGGGACCCCCACGGTCTTCTTGACTCCCATTCTAGGCTTCGTAGACGAAGTGGATTTCTTGCTGTAAACAGACTCATGAGTACTGGCATAGTCTGGCGAGGCCGTAGACGCATTGTCATAAACACTCTCATCGTCGTTGCGGTTTGGCGAGATGGGGGAGGGAAGGGAGCTAGCGTGGGGAGCGATTGAATTCAGCACGTCTTCGTCAAGGGTATGACGAAGATCATCGTAGCTCGGCTCGTCCGGTTCACCCTGTCGCTGCGGAAGCGGCTTGCGTCGCACAGACTTGACAGGGTCAATCCCCATCTGCTGAGAAAGCGGCCTATGTGAAGAGTTGGGGCGGGAGATGTTCTGGGCTCCCCCACTTCCAGTGCTGCTGGAAGTGGTCGGGCGTTGCTCAGGAATCTTGGGAGGCCGAACCGGGCCTGCTAGAGTAACGGCCTCATCGCTCGATGAGTTGAAATCAGAGTTGGAAGACTCCCCAGGACCAGGGTAGTAGACACCGTTGATGCTTCTTCCCGTTGCCCGTGGAACGTTGTCGGTCTGTCGCTGCTGGCTTTTCCAAGCCGCACCAGCGGCCGCCGCGCTCAGACCCATGGTTCCAACAGAGGTAAGCTGAGTGAGAGTGCCATGAGACATACGGTTGTTTGCCAATCTTTGCTCCGAGGTCGGCTCGGGGCGATTGGCCGGCATTTCTCTAGGCCCGTGCGAAAAGTCAGGCGGGATTGCAACAGGAGCCGGGGGTGTTTGCGGAGGCAGATGCTCCTCGAGGGGCGGACCGTGCAGGTTTTCGAGGCTAGGGTCAGTCTCGGAACCGGAGCTCTCTGCAATGGGAGCGACTGGAGTCCCCCGGTGTGCTAGATCCTGCGAGGAGGAACCAGGTGAGTCTTCCGCCGGCAGTGCATTGCCGAGCTTTGGTCCAGAAGCGAGGCCAGTGGTGTCAGATACCCCGCGGTTGTGATAAGCAAGTGGCGAACCATCATTCCTAGGGACTTCGTGGATGATCGCTTCGGCGGAGTTGCTGAATTGTGGCTTGGATTCGATGGCGAATGGACGACGCGCGGGATCAACCGGAACGTCACTGTTGCGTCCAGACATGGAACGATAACGAGGGCGCACGCTATTCACACTGTCGCTTCGGCTTCGGCCGGAGGATATGCGGCGCTGCGTTGCCTCTTTCAGCTGCTTCCTCCACTGAGCTTCGCTCCACTCCTGGCTTCCAGGAGTTTGAAGAAGATTAGCAATGTCCAAAACGTCAAGGTAGCCGTAACGTCGCTCCTTGGGGAAAGCAAACATGATGCTCTTTATGTGATTGGTGTCTGCAACAAGACGAGTTGGGCGGCCATAGAGATTGAAGGTGTCAAAGGTGGGGAAAAGGAAGCGCAGCATCATCTCGAATCCAGAGACTCCGGCATGAGGCTCAGGCATGACAAAGACGAGTCCTTCCGAAGACGACTCGGGTGTATGGGTGGTGATCCGCCCTTCCAATTTGACCAGGGTTGAAGCATCAATCAAAGCCTTGGATTGAGGGTAAATGGCATACGCCGAGAACACCTGGGTAACCGTTGCGATCGGAATCGCCTTCTTTGTCTTCTTTGTCTCATAGAACCTGATGTTTCCAGTAACTGGAATTGACAGGCGATCGTAGGCCGACTTTTTCATAAGTTTCCGCGCTTTTTGGAGCTCTTTCTCATCAGGCGGGCTGATCACAAACCAGCATCGCCTCCACGGAGTGCCTGCTCCGAAACGCACCCGAGCCCAGTCTTCGTATTTGAATTTGGCGGGTGCTAGAATTGAGTTGATGCCATTCAGATGCTTGCCCTTTGCGGCAACCAAAGACCCTGTGTAGGCTTCGTAGAGTGAGGTGTGCTCAAACATGGCAAGCCGGATAGCTGCGGTCCATTGGGTTAGGGAGTGGAAAGAGTTGAAATGCAACAGATATCGGTTCTTGCCAGCAGATGACAAGCTTAGTACGTTCTTCAATGGCTGTGCTGTGCCATTACGAATGGGGAGAGTTTCGATCTGTGGAAGGTTAGTTCAAGCGCCCTCGTGCGGATACACGTCACATCTTACCATCTTGAGGGACGCATCGGCTAAATTGATAAAAGTCGCCGGGACCTCTTCTCCGCCCGCTGCGTCCAGCGCAGCGCTATCCCATAGCGAGAGAACAGTCCCGACAAGCTGTGCGTAGGATTCCACCCATTGTCGATCACCGCACGCTCGCCCATCTGCGCATGTTAGCCTATGTTGTGGTCAGGTACCCTGATTGACCTACGAGTGTCCAAGTCGTTTAATTTCAGGAAATACCCTTCTTGGTAGACCTTGCTTGTGTGGATATTGAGGAATGAGAAGATTGGCGACAGCTCCGGCGGGGTGTCGCCAGCGTGCTGCATGAGCGGCGGGTTGCGCGAGAAAATCATAGATGCCGGTCGCGAGGTTGTCCCATCTCTCGGTCCAGCGCTCACGGGGGACAATTCGGTGGACGGGGACGGGGCATCGGGGGGAGGCGTTTGCCACCGCGGTGGTGTATCGGCCGGAGTTACATGCGCTGGCGTAACGTTGCTCGAGGACTTTCTCCTCTCTTTGCTAGAGTCGCTTTTCCCCCAGCTAGAGATAAACGAGCGGACTAGTCAAGTCAGTAATGGGCCTTGCGCATTCCGGGGCCTCCGAGAATCACTCACCACGCGAACGACCCATGACGTCGGAGGGTGCAAGATCACCGGACAAAGGCGGTTGACTTTGTCGGAAGATACGGGCGATCTCGCCTGTGGAACGGCTTAGGAGAAGGCGGGATTTAAAAGAAAACCAGGTGGGCTGAACGAGTGACTGTCAAATGGGCGCGCCGGAACGAGAATCGGCGATAAAAAGAGCTAATCCATGGAGGGAACACCAGGGTGACCCCAGAAGGCAAACGGAGGTTTCGCACTGAGAGCTCCGCCACTGACGTTTTACAGTCCCAATCACCAGGATGGGCACGAGAATTGGTTATAGGAAAAAGCGAGTGTAAGAGGGAAAGGGAGAAACGGGAATTCAAGAAGAATGAGGCGATGGACCGTGGGTCTTGGGCGAGTCCGAAGAGGGCATAGGCATCAAATTGCCCATTCTTCTCCCAGCCAAGCCAATACTATGTTATTTTTGTATTTTATGTTTTCCGTCCGGCTCTGCTATTTGTCCCCCATTTTCATTTTTCATTTTTCATTTTCTGTTGTGCCTCCCACTTGTCTTAGGACTTGAGACATCAAAGGAACGAGGTTTGGCGTCATCCTGGTCTCAGATCAGCGGTGGAGCGGCAACAGGACTATAAGGACTATAAGTAGACTAACTCACAATTGCTCTCCTTTCTCCGCTCCTTTTTTCCTTCACCTTTAATAATTGCCGAACATCCCCTGCCCCTATCCCAAAAGAGATTTCCGCCACTGTCCGACTGCTACATAGTACGGAGTACATTAAAGGCGATGTCGGTACCGTCTTGGCGGGACATGAACGGTGGCCACACGTTGGGCGGGTCCGTCCACGTACCCCTAGGCGTTTGCTGTTCCTTGGTTTTTTATATTTACCCCGCTGATGCTGGCCACCTAATAAGTACTAGTATACAGTACTATACTAGTAGTACAGTCTTGGAAAAAAACTGCTACTACTATAGTACGGAGACAGCTTAACCAGCTGCACTGTATTCTCCCTTACAGCGGTGACTCCGGATTCTATGACACGTGAATTTGAGGCCCTAAATTATCAATGGCAACCTAAGAATAGAGCTACTGCTGCAGCTTTGGACAGATCGCAAATGGATCTACTTATAGCTTGCATGAGATCAGCGCTCTAGATCAAACCCATCGCGTCATCCGCCGTACCCAATGCGCAGATCGCACATGTGCGGGTGATCTTAGTCCGCTTACTTTATTTACTTGCTAGAGTAACCGCGACAAAGTACGAGTTAAGTATACGGTGTTTACTACATAGGTAGTAATATCACTTTACTATAGAATAAACTACAATCACTGTACTACATTATATGCATCTCCCACCCGTGACCCTATTAAGCTTAAGTGGTCCCAAGGTGGTTGACTATGGCCCATGGATGCGACTCGACGCCAATTCGAGCTTATCCTGCATGCGCGCAAGATACTCGTCTGTTCCGTCAACTCCGAAAGCAAGCTGCACCATCTCGCGGACATGATCGGGGTCGTTTTCCGGTACATTCCCAACCCTGGTGAAGCATGCATAGATTTTCGAAGCCCTGCTCTCTAAAACCTCCGCAAATGGGCATCTCTGAGCTCCTTCCCCGCTCACCAAGGTCTCGGCGTCTCGGAACTTCTGACAGTACAGTTGTCGAGTGGAATGTTGCTTCGAAATGTTCTCGTGTGCAAGATGCGTCGGGTCATCGAGGGCATTCCTGATATTTCGGTCCGACCAAAGGAGTGAAAACGGCATTGGGTAATGGTTCACCTGCAATGGGGCTGTCTGGGCGAATTCCCAGTCAATGAGACCTAGGAAATTGAAGTCGTCATCGACGATGATATTCTGCATGCCAAGGTCCATATGATTGAGGGGGAAAAGATCCTGAGATGTCTGGAAGAGGTCCGTCTTCTCCACAATATCAAGGAACACGAGGGCACCAAGCCTGCTAAAGTGAACTGAGTCTGAATTGGACTCGTTGGCTTCGGCCCTCCGCAACGCTGCTTCTCCGATAGCTATGAAATAATCGGCGGCTGCAGAAAATGGCCCCTGTGGTACGAGCCCTTCTGCTGCCGCTGTAGACAACTTCCCAAATATAGGCTCTCCAGATTCATCTAAAGCGGTTATAGAGCCTATTTGAGTGTATTTGAGTGTCGCAAGCTGTGCCTGAGCCATTGTCCACTGGGTTATGATGTGGTCCTGAGTTTCAGCCTAGGTCGGGTTAGGGCGGACATAACGAAAGAAGCAAGGGAAACAAAAAGCGAGAAGTATCAAGGCAGTAAGGGATAGAAAGGATAGCAAAAAAACATCTTCTTTTCTAACCGGTAAATCGCAGAGATTGAAAGCAATATCCTGTAGGGTATTTCCACAGAAGCCCTCTATGAGCATGTACATGGCACCTGCCGCAGTTGCACGTTGAGAGCCGGGGCCTTCATAGGCGTACACTTTAGGAGTCCGCACCGATGGCAAGTTCTTCTGAGCAAGAAACTGCATCGTTGAAATCTCGCAAGAGACTGTATAAAGTTCGTCTTCCTTGGTGACCGTTGGTAGAGTATTGGGATGCCGGGGCAATCGAACGCGAGCAATCACTAGACTGCCGTCCTCGGCCACCATCTCAAAGCAGATCCAAAATTGGCCTGCCAAGAAACTCTCACTCATGGAGAGATTCTGGCCTTTTATGAGCTCGGCATGAGATAACAAGACGTCTTTGTTGAGTCCGGCCAGCGCTGACTCCAACCGCTCCTCCATGCCGTTGTAATCCCAGCCCTCGAAAGAGGTCCATCGTGTGCTTGGAAGCAGCTTGGTGCCTGAAACTTGTTTCATGGTAGGATAGGCTCTGGTTTTGCCCTGGTGGTTGATCGAAATGACAAGGCAGTGAGGGTGTTTGGGCATCGCCCATGCCCAGCACTTGAGGGGGCCGGTCTACAGATTACACGTGACCTGTCTTGGATCAAGCAGAAGGATTTTCAACGATTTTGCGCCATCCAGGGTTAGCACCTAGGAATTGGTTGCCCTGGGGTATAGCTCAGGTGGAACCTTCGCCGCCCGAGAGCCACCGCGAGTTGTTTCGATTCGCAGTGTGAACATGGAGGGATATGATGATCTCAAAATATGCAACATCTTTCCACATAGCGAGAAATAGAAACATCTCCAATTGCCCAGGTGGCACCAAGATAGCTTCGATTTATCACGGATCAGCATGCTTTGACTGTTGCCGGACCCACCGTTTCCCCAGTACTCCAGGGCTGCATGGGCTGTACGGGGTAGACACGGCCCAAGTTCTGCCCTACGTACGGAGTACAATCGAGCATAGGATTGACTTGGCCTGTGGATACCTATGCATCTTCTGCAACAAGTGTCTAATGAGGTCCACCTGCTAAATATAGCTAGTTCAGCCTGACGAACGCCAAGCTCAGCATTGCTTTGTGATATGCCCACACTCCGTACTATACGAGCTGTTGAGCTACCCAAAAACTTTGGAAGCGGGAGTGCCTTTTGTGATGGATAGTTTTTTTACCGAGGGCCTAGGGAGCCTGTGCAGCACACCTATGCGAGAACGGGAACGTATGGCTTTACCATAGCGGAGGAATACCCATCTACAAGGAAAGAGGCTGTCCCGAGAATAATAAGATATGCTATTTCGTCGTCGGTCATGCCGAGCTAGGTAACCCTGGAAGTTCGTGGACGAGGAGCCTCAGTTTGGCTCGCGCCTACTTCTCAAAGTCCATGTTGCATTGTCATGCCCACGGGGAACAAGCCCAACCTCAACTAGGGTGAAATGTCGTAGTTAGATCACCTGGCTAAATAGAAAACAATTTGACTAACACGCTACGGGCGCTGAACAATCATCACGGTCGTTACAATGGGACCCCTTACTCTTCCATACTCATGTTGTATGCGAGAATGGGGTCGATGAATGCCATATCATCATGGCTGGGTATCATAGAGTCGATGTTGCCGGTGTTGTTCCCATCGGGAACATCCTGCATCAGATAATCTGCGTTAAACCCCTGCTGGGCAGGCAGATGAGCCGAGTCATTGGACTGGGATCCAAAAGCTACATCTGCCGAGCCATCTCCATTATACAGCTGGCCATACTGGCCATCTTGGTCAAATTCAAGGCCATATATGCCGAGTGAGTTCCCTGCGGAACCCGAGTCTTCGGACAACAAGGCCCGTTGCAAGAACAGGTTTTCGACATGATCTTCTGAACATCCATGTCTGGTAGTCATGTGAGCCCACAGATCATAGTCGCGGTGGAATCGATGAGAGCACGATTCGTCAAAGCATTTGATCTGCCTTCCTGAGTCTTCAGCATATCCCTGGCCTGTCAGGGCAGCCAGAGTGGTGACAGAGTTTTGTGGTGCCGGTCTTCCAGCCAAGCCCTGTCGCTCGCGGCGCATTGCCTTTGCATTTTTGAGACCTAGGTGATAAGTCCGGACGTGATCCTCCAACGAAAGCTTGCTTCCGTAACGGTTGCCACAACCAATTCCGTTCCAGGTCTCAAGATTCTTGGATTTGGAAAGGTCGACCTCACCGCAGACGAATCTTTTTTCGCCTTCATGCACGGTGCGGATGTGAACAGTCAGGTTTCCTTGCCGGGTGAAGCTGCGCCCGCAGCCATTAAAGGTGCATGGGAACACCTTTCGGTCCTCGAGGCTGACATCGCCATGAGCGATCTCGAGATGACGTCGCAGCTCTCGCGATGTGGAGCAGACAAGGGGACATTGAGGACATTTTGGGGGGTGAACAGCGCGGATGTGATCTTGGAGGGAGGTGTAGGTAGGGAATGAGAAATCTGAACCGGCATTCAGTCCAGTAGCAGATTGTTGCGGGTTCTCGGAGCATTCCATGCAGGTGAACCGTTTCTCGGCGTGTACCCGACTCTCGTGGGTGCGAAGGTTTCCGGCGGTGTCGAAGGCCATTTGACAGTTCTCGCCGGTGACTGGGTCCAATTTGGTACATGGGAATGGCTTCATATTTTTGTGTACACTCATGATATGTTTTTGGAGTGTAGTGTGCTTCCGGAATGTTTCGTTGCAGGGTGGGTATTCGGTGCAGCGATGTTGGTCCCTACCATCATGTGCAGCCAAGTGTCGACGAAGTCGTGATCCATTAACAAAGCTTTTTCCACAACCTGGTCGGTCGCAGGGGTAGTCTCGGACATCGCTGTGGGCGCTCTTGACGTGGTGAGCGAGATGAGAAGGTCGTAAGAACGATTTGTCGCAGCCGTCAAATTCACAGTGGAAAATGCGTTCGTTGTTGTGCGATCGTATATGTTCTTGAAGTCGGGCTGGACGGTTGAACGCTTTGTCGCAGCCCTCGAACGGACACCGAATGGTTTTGAGCTCCGATGGGTATCGAGAAGAGGTAGTCGACATGGGGGTCGCCGGGGTTTCGTGCATCTCATGGCTCATTGCACTGGGAGAACCCCGAGCCGAGTACTCGGGATCTGCGCCATCGGAGTGAACACATTCATCAATTGGATCTAGGTCTGGAATGAGTGTTAGCAGTTTTATCGCTTTATCGGCTGCTATCTGGAGATTAGACTTACCAAGATCGTTCTCGACATGCTGTCTCTGGAATCGCTTGGACATTTCGTCCCCTTCATACGAGGACTTTCGCTTTAACGCCATGACAAGAAATCCCCCAGAGGGATGAGCAATAACAAAGAAATGATGCAAACGAAAAGTGAGGACTCTGGACGATGCCCAAGACTATTTTTTTATTCTGCCACAATGGCGGTGTGGAAGACAGCGAGAGGAAGTTTTTCCGCTCCAAGAGATTTTAGCAATCAATCCCACCACGATTACCGACTCGCCCCTCTCACACCTCCGGGTCTTTCATCGCTCGCCTCGGTTCACCTGTCTGCCGCTCCTTTACACGCTTACCAGCCACCATGTCTGACTACGGCAACGACGACGTTGAAGAGACGTAAGAGCTATCTCCCTCCGCATTCAGCTTGAGCACCGAATGGGCGCAAACAAGCTTTGCCATCTGCCTTGTCCCCAATGACTTTCTCAATGTGTGCGCATATGTTTAAACAACCTTGTTTTCTAACGTGATTGCGTGCGCAGCTTCGACTACGAGCCCGGCGAGGATGTCTTCGATGAGCCGGAGGAACAGGAGGGCCTCGAAGGCGAAGACCATATGGAAGGGGATGACTACAACCCCGTTGCCAATGGCGAGAACGTCGTTGTCTCGGGCGACCCTAATGCCGGATACTCGGGCAAGGTCATGGAGCAGTCTCGCGAGAAGAAGGTGCCCAATGATCAGCGCACTACCACCCCGTACTTGACCAAGTATGAGCGCGCGCGTGTCCTGGGTACCCGTGCCCTCCAGATCAGGTATGTTTCCATTGCGTGGGATTGCCATACTGTGTCCATCCCTGTGAGGATTCGGTTAACCCCCAGTGCAGTATGAACGCGCCCGTCCTTGTCGATCTCGAGGGTGAAACCGATCCCCTGCAGATTGCCATGAAGGAACTGAACCAGAAAAAGATTCCTCTTATCATTCGCCGTTACCTTCCCGATGGATGGTAAGCTCCACACTGACCGAGTTGACGGGCCATATCTAACAATCGATTGCAGGTATGAGGACTGGACTTGCGAGGAACTGCTGTAGAGGCCGATGCCTTCAGTGTTCTACCGGCCCGCTTTCTGTGTTTTGCTTTCCGGGTTTCAGCATAGCGTTTGGAGTTATGGGGTTCGAAGAAACCGTCAAAAAGAAAAAAAGAGCGACTAGGATGTGGATGGACGTGATAAACCATGGACCATGCCTTGTACATCAACCTAGAGACCAAAAAGATAAATAATATGACGCTTCAAATATGCAGAAGAACGATGCAGAAGATGCAGTTAAGAAAGTGCAGGCAAACCATGCAAACCACGTGTAAAGTGGAATGCCAATATCTCCGAGCTTGGACTGCCACACAATCAATTTCACATCTGAGATTCCCCACTAGATATCCCAGAAGCTCTGCATTCTGATCAATCATGCTGAGTTGCCATCAATATTATCAGGGCGTTCATTCTGAACTCCCAGAAACACCCTGAAATAACCGAAGCCACTGAAACCCACTTACCCCAAGGGCGAGTGGACCCTCCCGAGGTCGGCCTCTTCCGCCCACGGCCCCGCTAGCCTCGGGGTTTATAAGCAACTCCGGATTAGGCGAGCAATCCGATTTAAATGAAGCGTTTGCGTTGCAATTTCGACTGTCTCTGCTGCCTTGATCCGGGAGAGACCTCCATCAATATTGGTCTGATATCTATGCGCCATAGATTATGGGGTCGACTAATGCGGATGTAGAAAAGGTCTTGGTTGAGCCTGATCAGAATGGAGCCAACAATCAATCGAATCCATCGGACGCCGTGACCGACAAAGAACCAGAGCCGGAGTTCGATACAGGGCTGAGGACATGGCTGCAAGTGCTGGGATCATTTTTTCTCTTCTTTAACTCATGGTATGACTGATTTTTCTGTCAGTGTCGAGACTTGGCTGACTAGGATCTAACAGGGGCATCATCAATACATGGGGTGCATACCAGACATATTACGAGCAAGAATTGCTTGCCGGCACTTCATCATCAACTATTGCCTGGATTGGATCATTGCAGTCTTTCCTGTTGATGATGATTGGAGTCATCACCGGACCACTCTTTGATGCAGGCTACTTCACCGCGCTGACCAGTTTCGCTGCGTTCCTCCTGCCATTTGGCCTGATGATGACCAGTCTAGCTACCAAATATTGGCAGCTCATTCTTTCCCAGGGTGTTTGCATCGGACTGGCAGCAGGCTGTCTCTTCGTGCCCTCTGTCGCCATTCTTCCGCAATATTTCCGCGCGAAGAGGGGGTTGGCCAATGGCTTTGCTGCCAGTGGTAGCAGTATCGGCGGAGTGGTCTACCCGATCATGTTCGATCAATTGCAGAAGAAAGTGGGCTTCGCCTGGGCTACCCGGGCCCTGGGGTTCGTCTGCTTTGGAACCACTTGCATTTCAGTTGCCATCATGCGCCAGCGATTCCAGCCCAAGGAAAAGCGCAAGCTTTTCCAGCTATCCGTATTGAAGGAGCCGGCTTTTACCGTATTTGCCATTGCCATGTTTATGGGCTTCCTTGGGTTCTACAACTTCCTCTTCTACGTGCAGTCTTATGCTATTGAGACCGGCATTGTGGATTCGAACTTGGGATTCTATCTTCTTTCCATGCTGAACGCCGCTTCGACCTTTGGGCGTATTGCGCCTAATTTCCTTGCTGATCACATTGGGCCTCTGAACATGCTCACGCCGGCCGTGACCATCACGGCCATTTTGGCTTTTGTCTGGATCCGTGTTCACACCGTCCCTGGCATCATTATTCTGTCTGTCTTTTACGGATTCTTCTCCGGTGGTTTTGTCTCGCTGCCTCCAGTGGTCATGGCGAGTATGACCCCCGACGTGCGTAACTTGGGTACACGCATGGGCATGCTTTTTGCGATTGTTTCCATTGGTCTGTTGATTGGTACCCCCATTGGCGGTGCCATCTTGAACTCGACAAACGAATATGTTGGTGTTCAGCTCTTCACTGCGTGTTGCTTGATTACCTCCGCCGTCCTCATGACGATCGTGAGGCTGCTGCGCACTGGTCTCAAGTTCCACGTCAAGGCTTGAACAGCTTTACTCCGATTTCTTTGGGCTATGAACTCAGGTATTGGGGTATCAATATGCATACGGGTTGTAGTGGACCGTCTGCTATAACCACACATATCATGAAACGCATTTGACACTTGCGAAGCACATCCAATGTCCTACGGGGCAAATGAAGCCGTACATAAAAAATATCATTTTCTATTATCATTCCAGCGTTCTGCATAACAGCCTTGGAATACCTTCAAGAGAACGTGTACCAATCTCAAGAGACTTGATTCATGGATTGCTTGCCGGCTGAGTACTGTACGGAGTACAGAGTAGCTCATCAGATAGCGATCCACATGCAGATTAATATCGCTTCCCCTGAAACTCACGCCCAACAGGAACATAACCACAAAGGCCATAGTTCATGATTTTTAGGGCTAGCATATCTTGGCACTACCCCTTTCCCCCGTTTGATAACTTTGCTGCACTTTATCCGAATAAGGTGGGACAATGCCAAGCTTTGAAATTTGCCTTGACATCTTACGATCCCAACTAGTCTGAAAAACCTTGGAAGATCCATGTCGTCGATCTCGATAGAGATCATTCTTGGGAAAATGTACTACATGAACTAGGCGATATCAGCTCAAGGCCACATAATCAATCATGCACAATCTGATGAACCATGCGAGTACATTCCCATGAAGATTCCAAGGTGCACATGTGGCAGCTTGGCTTTCCCAATCGGGTAATTGGGTCAACTTATACTCCGTGCCCTGTACTCCTTAAGGAGTGAATATCAGTAGACCCACAGTGTTTGCCTCCTATGTAGGTAGCAGTGCACTGATCAGTCGCTTGAATACTAGACAGTCCGAGTCGATGATTGGACAATAAGTATGGTCTGTACTCCGTACGGCCCCTTACGTTGTAGCCCTATGCCCAGCGCAATGGGTCAGTTTCAAGGTTGCCTTCAACGGTGTGGACCTCATAGCTCTCCATAGCCCAACATGAATAATAGTAGTATAACATGTCAGTTATTCTCGGCCATTGTCCCCTCAATGAATCCCAGGGCACAGTGCAGGGCTGGAATTGCTCTAGACTTGTCGCAAGCAGCTTCCTCTATCATCAACTACCCGATGTTTGATCTAAATCCGAAGCACTGGCTCGATATGTACTTGCATCACAATTATGACTTATGTTCGTGATTGCGCCCCAATAGGAGGCACATGCAATATACCCCCCTAAAAACATACCCCTATATACCAGCAAACATTAAATGAGCACATAATGATACTACATGACATCCTCCGGCCCAACTGGGAAATTCTCTCCATTTTCTCGCACGTGCTCGAGCTTCTTATCTCGACTGCACGGCTTGCGCATATCAAACGCATCTTCCCCGGAGTCAGACATGCCAGACGGATCATCACTGTAGTAATTTACCACTCGCCGGAAGACCGAGTACCTGTGGTGAAAAGAAATTAGCAAGTATTCCAACCTGGACTCCATTGCAACACTCACCCCATGCCCTTGTACATGTCGTACGCAACCTTGTTTCCTGCGCGCACATATAGATCCACGAACCAGGCGTTGTTGCTATCAGACCCGCGCTCCAGCTGCTCTGTCAATCTGCGTGCGAAACCGAGGCGGCGCCAGGCCGGTGCTACGGTGAGCACTGTGATATGTCCGTGCCATGGGGTGTAGTGTTCTGAGTGTCGCATGGACGGGTGTTGTTCTTCTAATTTGCCCATAACTTGGGGAAGTTAGCTAGTCAATTCGCATGGTGGTTGGATATCGCATACTGTAGCCCACGGTTCCGGCTTCACGGTCTTTGATTGTGCTGAAGAGTGATGGCCATTTGTTCAGGTAGTTGAGGTAGAAGCCAAGGTCATAGTTCTCTGTGAGAGGATCGAGGTTTGTTTGGTTGAGGTTGAGAAGGTCCAGCGGGGACATGCGCTCGATTGAACTCATTGTGAAGAATGACTCTATGCAGATCTAATGTGTCTCGCAAGTCCGCAGGTGGGGGAGTGAAGCTGCCCTTTTTTTGCCGGACGTGTCGGCGGTGAATGTGTCTGTATACCGAGTTTCACCCCCCACCTGTGGATATATCCAAATCACTCCTTTGAGGGAAGTCTTTCTTTTCTTTTTCCTTGTTCCTATTTCTAGTCTCTTGTCTGTGTGTTTGTCAGAGCTGCCAACTCCCGTGCCAAACTGCGACATTGACTCGGCACGGAGATAACTGGCCAATCCAATCGCACCCAAAACAACCTACATACTCTTCGCCTGTAGCTGGACTCAGACGACGTGTTCCTTATCGCTACTTATATTGCCTCTCTAGAATTCCTCGATCAATCACATTGACAAAAGTCCCGACTGCTCCGCATACAATGCCTGCCCCTCCGTCTCCCCTGAAACTCTCACACCGCTATCGATCATCAATCGACGACACACCAATTTCCCCTGGAACAGCGGGAAATGGCTTTGTCCCAGCCAGTCCCCGCTCACCACAGACTCCCCGTCTCTCTGCGCCCCCCTCCCCCATCCTCTCCCGTAACAATTCCACCGCCATGAGTGGGAATCGCGACTCCGGAGACTTCACCGGTGCCGACGGAGGGGGCCTGGGGAACTTGGCCGATGAGCTAGCCGATGCCTGGGAAGAAGACGAAGATGGTTACGGTTACGCATCAGGGCAGGAAATGAGCCGCGCGGGGTCGCAACAGCTCGGCCAAAGCGACGGGGAAGATGCGTACATGCAATCCGTGCGTGGAATGCGCACGCGGTCACCGTCCGTCTCACCAGAGAGAGAAAGCCTCCACCCTTCCAGGAATAAGAACCGTGCAAACCATCTGCGGCAGCACCGCCGGCAGGAGTCGCAATACGATGGTTCAGACTATGGGCCCGATTCGGACTTCGACGAGGCGGCGGATATCTCCCCCGCCCTGGAAAACCAGATGGCTGAAATTGAAAGTTTGGTAAGGCGCGGGATAGAGAACAATGGAAGTGAGAATGATCGCGTGATCCAACGGACGGTGGACTCGCTAAAGGATCTTGGTGGTCAGAGCGGAATTGAAAACAGCGCCATGAGGTATGTCTTGCACGAATATAGTCAAGCTCGGAATCACTAATGAGTTGCCAGACTGATTACCGCCCATTCTTCAATCACCTCGCACCTGACACATCAAACTCGCACTCTCCAATCACTCATTCATCCTCTCCTGTTCTCTCCTTTCCCCCTCCTCTCTGAAGACGCCATCGACTCTCTTATGCCCCTTATCGACGAAGGCCTCTTGCCAAATCTCCCTTATCCATTCCCCGACCAGCCCCGCCATGGCTCCAGGCCTGTCACGCCACAATCATCCGCACATAATCCCCTCGCCTCTCTCCAATCACTTATCTCCCAAACCGCCGAGATCACGCAGTTACTCCGCGGACTTAGCGACACTCTCTACGAGTCACGGCAATTGACCTCCACAGCCTCAAGACGGCTCCGGTCTGCCCGGGAACTCGTCGCCGACATTCGACGAGAGGAAGAAAATCGCGAAGAAGGGTCCCGGTGGATTGAGAGAGGTGAATGGGACCGCCGATTGAAGGACCGAGAAGCTGGCAAGGTCTGTGGTGATGTCGTCAGTGGCTTTGAGGCTGTCTGCGGCGAATGGCGGGAGAAGCTGTTCGGGGCGAACGCTGAGCTGGCTGCTGCATAGAGTAATGCTGATGTTCACGATGGTATCTCTCGTCATTTGAGATCCTTGATTGTGATTTCCTTGTTTTGTTTTTATCTTCACCTGTCAGATATCCATATTGATTTATGCTGGGCTATTGTTATCCCTGCCCATGTCTATACTGCATGCTTTTAGATTGAATCCATAGAAGCTCTGAATTATCATATTATTCCAATACCAGTCCAGATTGTTTGAAATTTGGATCTCGTTCCTGTACTTATATGTTTCTATGGCGAGAATACGACCTCGGGAGAAGTACCGAAGCCATGTGAGCAATTAGCCCTAAGTAGAAATCACGGGCGAAGCTCATGATACCCGTGGACGTGTGGGAAGAAGCTCGACTACACAACGCGACATGTATAAGTACTCCCAGTCCTTTGGGCTTACAATGCCATATTCATCCTACCTTACCACCTCGACTGCTTCCATAACTCAATTGGTTAGCGCTTGAACCAAAGATAGTCCCCCATGACGCCAAAGTCGAGGATTACAGAACAGGAAATCTGACGAGACAATAGATACTCCGTAGACGTAAACGTGCAAATCATGGTACCGTGTGGCTCACATCTGGGCATTGGTGCTACTGTCGACATACAGCTGGGCTTTACACAGGAAGGAAGCACAACTCAGATTCAAGAAAACCTGACATTCTATATAGTACCCAAGCCATGACATGAGCATTGCCATGAGACCAAGACACAAGAGAACAAGCATGATATTGGCATCAAAGACGGCAAAAGATTGCCACCTACCCTTTGAAAAGAGAATAAATTAGAGACATCGAAACGCAAAAAACACAGACCATAAGGCCCCATGGGGTCAATGATACAAAGATGCAGAAAGGGTCATGAGAACAGCGCCAAATAGAAAAGAGCTTCGATACACTTTTTGAATGGGAAAGTCATAGCTATAAACTCGTGACCCGGTCGTTTACTGCTGCTGTCGGAATCTGGGAACCCACTTGCCGCCGGTGGCGGGCTTGGATTCTCCAGAGGCAGCAGGGGACTGGGAAGAAGGTTCGCGGGCGGTACGGGGAGCCCAGCGCTCGGTGGGAGCAGGAGCTTCACGGGGCTCGCGGGGGGCCCAGCGCTCGGTGGGGGCCTCGCGAGGAGCGGGGGGAGGGGGTGCGGATCCGGAGGCGCCTCCGGCACCGGCACGCAGATGGGGAGGAACGTAACCACCGCCGATCTTGCGGGCAGGGGCAGCCTCGGGCTCGCGGGCAGGAGGGGGAGCTTCACCACCGGCCTCCTTGGCGGCTTGACGCTCTCTCCAGGTGGAGGGGGCACCACCGGTTCGGGGGGCAAGGTTGAGTCGTGGGCGTTCGCTGCTCTCTCCGAATCCACCCTTGCGGGCTGCGAGGCGGGCCTCGGCCTCCTCCTCTCGCTGTCGCTGTTTGATGGCCATCTCGTCCATTTTACTGTTCGTATTGTTAGCATGATGTGCGTGGAGATCTGAATGGGATACTAACGATCGCTCTTCCTCGCGCTTAGCCTTCTCTTCGATGAGAATGCGACGGCGCTCCTCCTCGCGGGCAGTGCGCTCTTGTTCTTCACGAGCGGCACGCTCCTCTTCCTCCTGGCGCTGGCGCTCTTGCTCCTCACGCTCTTGTCTCTCGCGGCGGCGGCGCTCCTGGACGTCCTTGACACGCTGCTTCTTCTTGGCCTCGAATTCACGCTCGGCGGCCTTGCGGCGCTTCTCGAACTCCTCGTGGCGCTTCTCGGAAACCTCCTTGCGGAAGTTGCTGAACTGGGGAACAAGGCGGCCCAGACGGTGCTTGAGAGCAACAGCCTCGGCGTGCTTGTCCTTGGATTCTTGAAGAGCCAGGGCGTTCTGCTTGTCGTAGAGTTCCCGGTCGACCTTCTTCTGGGCATCGTAATCGGACGAAATGTGCTTGAGTTCCTCACGACGGAAGGCACGCTCCAAGTGGTCGATACGCTTGGCGGTTGTGCGGATGCGGTCGTTCAGCTCGTTCTTCTCCTTCTCAAGCTGAGCCAACTTCATGGCACGCAGGCGGTTGGCATCCAACTCATCAAGGTCAAGCTCGCTGATATCAATACCCTTAACTCCAGTCTTGAGCTCCTCGATCTGCTTCTTGAGCTCCTCCTGGCGAATGCGGTCCTGCTCATCCTTGATGCGCTTGAGCTCACGGTCGCGCTGTTCGTCGGCGAGACGCTGCTTCTCAGCCTCCTGGAGCTGGTGGGCGCGCTGGCGCTTACGGGTCTCCTCCTCGCGCTGCTTGCGCTGCAAAGCATCGGTGGCGGCCTCCTTCTTCTTGTCGATGAGAACGCGACGAGCAAGGGTCTCTTCGTGCTCCTGGGCGGCACCAGCAAGGGCACGGGCCTGGGCGGTCTGCTTGGCCTGGAGACGAGCCTCGTTGTACGAGGGGTCAACGTACATGCAGGAGATGTGGAGAGTCTTAGCAAGACGGGCAACCTGGAAGCGGGCAATCTCGGCAGGGGTGTTCTGCAGACGCTGGACGGAGCCAGCCTCGCTCTCGGCGGAACCAGCGCCACTGCCAGCGTGCATGGCCTTGGAAGAAGAGAAGATATCGGAGTCGAAGGTCAGGACGCCTGAGATGTGGTCGACACGAATGGCGAGGTCACCCTTCTTGCAACCGTTCATGATGAACTTCTCAATCATGGCGGGGGTGATCTGGAAGGGATCGGGGAACTGAGCAAGCTCGTAGACGAACTTGAGCTCAACGGACTCGTAGACCTGGGACAGCTGCTGGAAGAGACGGGTAAGGATGACCTGCTGCAGAGGCACAACGTACTTCTCCATCTCGGGGTCGGCACCAATCTTGGTCAAGATGGGGGTGATCTTCTTGCAGATGGAGAGAGGGTGGAAGTCAACCTCGAGGATGTTGTAGAGCTCGCGAATCTCGGGGCGGACGTGGCGAAGCAGACCCTTGTTCAGAGCGTCACGGAACAGAACGGTACGGGTGGGGGAGGTGGCCATGCCGAGAAGGTTAGTCAAACGGGTGTTCTTGTTCTTGCGGGCCTCGTCGACGTCGACCAGAGCACCGCGGGAGCGGGAAGTGCTGATAACGGGAATGGAGAGAGCACTGAGGAAGACGAAGGAAGCGGCCTTGGACAAGCTTTCCTCGGTGACGGAGGGGTTCTCCTTCTTGGAGCTCTGGCCGCTGGCCAGGGCAACGGAGGAGAGACGGAGAAGGTTGTAGTAGCGGTTGTAGGCGGCGGCGTGGAAGAGGTAGTTCTCGCTGACGAGGAAAATGCGGGCAAGCTTCTCGTAGTAGTTGGCCATCATGATGTTCTTGGCGGGACGCTTGCTGAGGCTCAGCAGGGTGTGGATGTCCTCGATGCTGCGGAAAGCCTCTTGCCAGAGCTCCAGCTCAACGGCGACGTTCAATTGCTGGAAACGGGTGTCGAGGTGGCGCTGCAGGGTGTCGGCATCGCTCAGGTTGATGGCGTGCATCTGCGAAGAGTACTTGGCGGCGTTCTGGACGTGGTTACGGAGCAACTCGCAGAGACGGCGGAACTCGGTCTTGCGGGTGAACTTCTGGCAGAACTTGAAGGCCTGCAGGGCAGTCGACTGGTACATGATCTCGAGGCGGGCATTGTTCTTGAGGATCTCAAGGACGGTGCGGTAGGTCTCCCAGAGGAACTTCAACCAGGGGGTGACAACGGCGCGGTCAGTACGGTCGCGAGACTGCTCGCCGGAGACGGTGGCGAGGAGGATGGTCTCGGGGGTCTCGATGGCCTCCAGATCCTCGACGTTGGTGGAGGGGGCGGCGGACTCGAGGGACGACTGGATCTCGTCGGCCTTGGCCTGGGCCTCGGTGACCTTCTGTTCGGCGAGCTCGATGAACTTCTTGAGGACGATCTATAAAGATAAAATCCCTAGGTTAGTTCCGGGTCGGAGTTCTTTTTTTTTTTTTTTCGTTTGTTTTTTTTTTTTTTTTTAATGATCGACACGAACCTCGATGGTGCCGACGTTGGTGTTCTGGGCGATGTTCTTGTACTGGTAAAGACCATCCTTGGCGGCCTTGCCCTTGCGAAGGTCGACGGAGAGTTCAACAAACAGGAGCATCACCGGCTCGAGCGAGGCGATGGGGCTGTTGCGGGTCCGCTTCGAGGTGACATGTTCGTGGAGGACGGTCAAGGCGGCGGGGGACTGCTCAACGGCGATAAGTTCCTGGGCCCTCTGTCGATGATATAATGATTAGTACATGTGTGTGGATCGACGGTTTGCGACAGCGACAGCGAGCTCACCTTGAGAACGTTCTCAGGCTTAATATGCGGAGGAGGCGGCATGATGGGTGGATGCCCCTTTGGAGGAGGGATCAAAGGGTTTAAGACTGGGAAAAATAAGGGCGAAAAAGTCGAGAGGCCCAATGACACACACGGGCAGCGTTAAAGGTTGCGATTAGAGATGCTGCCACGCGAATACCCGATAACGAGGGGAAGATTCACAATGTGCGTGAAGCAACGAAAAATGGAACCCGCCGCGAGTGTTCCCACTTCGGGCTAAGCGATGGCGATCACGTGTGGTGGCCTCAGGCTGCGATACGATTACAGGTTTCGTATGACACCTGGGCATCCATGAATCCCCGTCCATTGATTCAGTAATTAACTACTATTCAACCAGGAAGTACGGACTCCAGAGTACTAGTAGAGTACAGTACTTCGTGACTGCCCAGGTGCTGATGTCTGCTCGGGAACGTGTTTGTCGGATTCAATCGGTGGATCAGCGCACGGAGTACACGGTATAACCATCTCTATAGGCTGGATCAGTCTCCTTGCTGAGATTGCACGATATACTGTAGACTATAGCATATTATGTAGATACAGCCGAAGATCACGTTCAAATTGCAATGTGAGTCCGAAGTGCGTACCCGGTACTTCAGAATCAATGGTCCGACAATAGTATACCCCGACCCATCCGAAGTACCGGGTACCCCGACCTCTGATGGGAAAAAAGAAACCCACGGACCTGACGACTCACCCTTTTTCATTCCTTTGTATATCCTCTTGACTCACCTTCTTTTTGTACTTTCTTATTTGTCCTCATTGCTACCCATCTTTCGGACGGACCCCCCTGAACGGACCCTAACCTAATTCTTGCGCCCTTGAGCCGATCCATCGAAAAACCCCCCTCCCCCCTTTCTCCCGTTTCGCGACTCTTCAACCCACCCACAAATCCCACGATGCCTGCCTACGAACTCCGATCCGGTGGTGATGTCAAGAACAAGAAGCAGAGTGTCGCCGATCTGAAATACCGTCGCTTGACCGAGCTCAATGCACGTCTGAAGGAGGATCTGGACCGCCCTCGGGTCAAGGTCTCCGAGGCTGCTCTCTCGTGCGTGTCCACCCTTGAATTCGGAGTGCAAAGCTGACTTCAACAGGCTGATTAGCTACTGTAACAACACTCGCGACTTCATGGTTCCTTCCGTGTGGGGACAGGTATGCGACCGACCTCTTCACGCGCGCGCATCTCACCCTCTAACCCCCATTCTCTAGGTCGACAAGCGCGAGGATCCTTACGCCCCCCAACAGCAGGGAGGGTGCTGCACCGTCATGTAATGCCTTCACGACGGAATTTTACTCGCCATGATAACTTCACCAACTTTCTCGCTCTCTCTCTCACTTCTTTTTCATTTTCTTTCTACTTAATTCCGGACTCCTTCACGATCAACCCTTGGAACTCAATACGCGCGGAAAAGAGTGATCTTTGTGGCCTGAAAGAACTCGTCTGCTGGTCCTGCACGATACCCTTCCACGCCAGGCATCTTCTACGACTTGCTCTCTTTTCCGTCGCTTTTTCGCCTCGGTCCCTCCCTCGCAGGCAGTGCACTTGACGATGCACCTGCTGCATCTCCACCTCTTCATCTTCTCTGGATCGCACCATTCCCCATTCTCGCTGTGTTTGCTTGGAATCAGCTTTTTTCTTACTCTTTTTTTTCTTCTCTCAATTTCTCCGATGTATCCTCTTGTTACGGGTTCTCTTTCAAAAAGTCTCTCACTTCTAGGCGTGAGAGTCGGTTGCCATTCGTGTATCATAGATTCGCATGACCAATACCATACCGATCTAATTAAATCGCCATTCCCCCAATTCAATGCTAGCATGGTCACCCAGGCTACTTCAGTGCGGCTTTGCGAAACTCGGCAGGTCACAATTGTACTTTTTCCATCTGCCCACACTGCAGTACGATACATGGGCCCGGGGCACAACCCAAACAAGTATAGCATGGAGCCTTAGCCCTGAAAAGTACGAAAGTGAAGCTCTTCAGGTCCCCGCTGACATCATCCACATCCCACCCGACAGGTGAACTTGATCTTGCTTCGTTTTCATCTTGAATCATACCACCTTTGCACTCCATTTCTCCCATCATGGCGGAGACATCAGAAAAGAAAACAGACCTATCCCGCGTCCACTTTCCCCGCATCTCAATCCAATACTGCACCCAGTGTCGATGGATGCTTCGCGCCGCATACGTACGTTGGACCTGTCACATCCGCAATACTCTCGGACTTCGTGGCCCACGGGGCTCTCGTGTCTATCACATATGGATCATAAATGCCTATGCTCATCGCTAATGGTATACAGTTCGCCCAAGAGCTTCTCTCGACATTTAGTACGGATCTCGGCGAGGTCGCGCTGGTTCCTATGACCGGGGGCATATTCACGGTGACGATATGGCATCACGAGCTGGTTGATGGGCAGACATCCACGGCTGAGAAAGTCCTATGGGATCGGAAGAGGGATGGTGGATTCCCCGGTACGTTATATGATATATTTTCTACTTTGCTCTGGCCTCTGTACACGTACTTCGTGGTCTGGGAATATGTTGCTTCTTTCGATTTCGTTTACATTGGGCAATCGGGCAATGGCTCGAACTCGAATTGTTGTCGGCTCTTTGCTAATCATTTTGTTTGCTGCAGAAGTCAAGGCTCTCAAATCTTTGGTGCGGAATGTCATTGCGCCGGAGAGAGATTTGGGACATACAGATCGGGCCTTACGGAAACAGCATGAGCAGGGTGGGACTATGAAGGAGCAGCAGGGTGAGCAAAAGCAGAAGATGAGGGAGGAAGAATCCGAGGTTGCGTGCGAGGATTGCCAATAGCGAGGTCGCATGATACATAGAATGCTGTTCGTAGAATGCGAACTGATTGATAGATAAACCTCCGTACATGAAAGATTTCCATTGTCAAGGACAAATTCATAGTCTACTTGGCTGTACGGAGTCCTCCAGGGCTCATACATATCCAAATGAGAAATCTGACTGTACACATCACATTCATTATCGCGTAGAGCGGAAAGTCTACCCAAGAAGCCCCAAGTATAGAGGGAACGCAAAAAGAGAAACAAACATTCGGGAAAGGGAGAGGATATCCAAGACCGTGAAAGAAACAAGGTCTGATTCAGAAAAAAGCCCGCTCCTGTAGAGAAACAACGCCACCACCAAACTCTAAGAGAGCTATCCCAAATATCACGCCAAGGCGACGCAGTTGGGACGAAAAGAAAGATCAGATGAAAGGAAATGGAAGAATCGGATGAAAGAGAGGCGAATAGAATCATAGTCATCAAAGGAGAATGTTGGAGGGGGAGGCCGATGTAGAAATGTAGAGAACAGATGTATCACCAATGTCGGTATCCGTGCAAACGGATATATGATAAAAGCGAGACTCTTTCCAAAGAGAGGATCAGAAAAGCATACAACTCGATTTTAACGTCTTGTTGGGCATGATCAGGCATATGCGTTTGCTTTCGTGTCTGAAACAGACCCAGACGTTCAATAGCAGGTATCGTTATCAACTTCGTGGGGTCGTGACCAGGAGTGCCATTGCTTTGGGAAGAAAGATCAAAGTCCGGCTTCTTCGGCTGGTCGAGTCGTGAATTCATGGAAACACCAGGGTGGCGTCAATCTCATCGCAAATTGAAGCCCAGAGATCCATGACAGCATTACAGACAGCCAGTGCTAGTCTTTCCAGAAGCACCGGCTAGAATGAGAAGAAATCATGTCTCGCCACGGACCTCGTGTGAATGGTTGCGACGCTTCCAAAAAGCAAGTCGAAGACGACTCCGCTTCTTGGGAAGTCGGCGACGTTCGCCGCGTGAGTCATCCGCTTGCAGACTTTCGTGCTTGCCGCTCTCGCCAGTAGTCGTTGACTGAGTGGAACTGGTAGTTCCGTTGTGTCCCAATCTAGAAAAGTCCTTGCTGGCACCGTCTTCTGACCGCGATGTGCCATGACGGTGGCCATAGTGGCGGTCTGGACTATAACGGCCTGCAGGCTCAGAGATAGCCGAGGGATATGCGTCCGCGGTACTTGGCCGGGTGCTGTTGTCATCTGGTCCTCCAAGGTCACTGTGCGCCGCGCTTTCTCCAGAAATGCGCTTCTCGTCGCCGCTATCCACGGCCAAGAAGCTTGTGGCATTGGTTGCCGGGGAAATCGGTGTCATGTTGTTACTATATGTGCTCTGCGTCCGAGTACAACTGTTACGGTTGGATGCAGTGCGAGCAGAGGAGCTGTGGTGGGCGTGGTGACGCTGTGACCCGTGTGGAACTGCTTGGCGAGAGCTGCTTGGTCTTTCAGCCTCAGGGGCCTGGTCACGATCCACTGTTGCCAGGGGAGTAGCCGCGCTTGCTGCAGAATTGGCATACAAAACAGCCGCAAGGACAGCCGGGTCATCGGTAGCACCGGCTTGTTCGGGAAGAGGGGTGTGAATCTGGGTTCCGACCGACCCACGGGCAGACCGCGGGGCGCCTGGGATAGAGAAGTACGAAAAGTCCGGCATAGCATTAGAGGACTTGCGGGAGGGTGCTTCCGCTGCTGGAGCGAGAGGAGTTCCAGTGATCTCAATCTGAGGGCCATCGGTATCTGGCGATACAACAGGTTGAATGGTGTTTTCATTGTACGCAGCACCATCCGAGCCGACATCCGTGGATGATCCAGGCGATGTGAGCTGATCACCTGCACCATCACCAGATTCGAAGAGCAGTTTCTCGGTTCCGCCAGATCTTGACGCAGGGCTAAAAGACCGGGGAGAGACTGTAATTTCTGCCCGTTTCTCGACAGGGAGGCCTTGCTTTTGCAGTTGCTGATTGGAGAGTTCCTGCCACTGCGCCTGGTTGCGGCGGATGTGGTCTGCAGTGAACTTCAATTGCGGCAGAAGATCGGAGATACCCTCAAAGAGGGGAAGAGCGAATATTGACATGAATCCAATTTGACCAGTGGCCAGCTTGTAAATGTTTCCAAGTTCAGGGGGACCACCGAACAGCGCGGTTTCCATCCCGACTTCTCGTTCCATCTCGCCCTGGTTGGCAAACTCGTCTTGCAATATCAAAGTCCACTTCTCGGCGACCTTCCAAGGCCGTGCCACATTACTGATGTCGGCACATTTGATCAATAAGCCACAGACCAGAGTCTTGTACATGTCGACATCCTGTGGCTTCCACCCTTCTACAGACTTGCCGTTTTCATGGTATTTTTCTTGGAAAGAGCCCATCCGCTGCATGAACTTTTGGTGGACACCCATGTCGGTTGCCAGAATCGAGCTGATGAGGAGTTTGCGGAGTTGCTTATCCTTGAACGCCGACGGCCAGTGTCGGCGGAGGATCTGGGAGAAGGCGGCACAGTGGAATGCTTCTAGCACGGAGTTGTCGTTGTAGAGTTGCGCCAGTGGTGCATTGAGCTTGACAAGGAAGAAGTTATTGACACCCGGGTGTCCAACGTCATGACCGATGGCTGATATGAGGAGAGTGAGGGCGTCGAATGGCGAGAGGAGGGATGCGATTGGCGATTCGGAGACGTGCTCCATGCTGGTCGGTGGGTATGGAGGCAAAGCACCGATCTGCAACAAAAAGTAAAATACAGACTGCAGCACATCGATAGCATGGCGAAAGTTGTGATAGAGGACAAAGGAATTGTAGGCGGAGCGACAAGCCAGGAGGAAAGTTTGCAGTTCATCGGGTGTTAATCGCCAATGGTCTAGTCCAGGCATGGTGAGAGCGTGTTGGATCATCTCGCACGCACCATACACCAGTTCGTCTTCGGTGAACTCGTGGGCCGAAAATCTCCAACTCCCCACCTGTTCTTTGATGTATGGCTCGCGTGCGGGATCGACGCTGATCTCAACTTCTTGGAATTCATGGATGACCTCCTCGGGATTGCAGATTCCTTTCATTAGTTTTGACACCATGGCTTCTCTCAGATAGGAATACGGCTGCTCATCATGTACACCCACCCACGAGAGCTTCCGCTGTTTCCTCCGAGCAAGGAATCGAGACATCTCTCTCTGTGCTGTCTTGCGAGTGCGATAGGCATGAACCACGAGCCCTTGGATGCGCGATCGATCGAGTGGGGTGGTCAAGACATCCACGGCCCCGGCATCTAAACACCGCGCAATCTGCTTGTGCTCCGCCGTAAGAGGTCCTTGGGGTTTCGGTGTGCTGGTGGGGGCGGCAGTATCAACGGGTGCATCTGGGGAAGGAAGGCGTAAAATGGCGATTGGGATGACCAGATTGGGACCCTCTTGAGCCTGTATGTCATTTGAAATGCCGGACATCAGAGACAGGCCACGTGCCTCGTCGGATTGGGTTGAGAACGTGAAGGTCCGGTGAATGGAGCCTGGTGATGGAGGGGCGTTGTCTGTCCACGACGCTCGACTGGCTTTCCGACGCGCCAGGCTCGACTCCTCGCCGCTGAAATCCACATCGAAGAAGGCGAAGATTGGGTTACAGTCGCTACCGGCACGGTCGCTGAGTTCGGCCAGCTTCGTGGCAAAGGATGATCCATTGTGGCAGAGGTAAACTGTCACGCCCGAAGGGTTAGCACATGATCGCATGCATCGCATCCTGCAAACCCTACCTTGTCTGCACACTCCCAGAAGCAACTCCACGTCTGCCTGCAGGGCGTCCGGCTCTTCAGGTGTGACGAAGGAGCCTGCGGACGAAATGGTTGCAGTGTCTATGGAATTTCTGCGCACCCATCTTTCCGACCGCACTCGGTCATCGATGAAGACGCCCGAGCAATCCACACGGTCTACCATGTTGTCGGAAGGAATGGGAACCGCCCGATCAGGCCGGTCTGCCGAGATCACAAGACTGGCAGGAACTTAGTCGGAGATAGGAAAAGGAAACGATCCGGTCGGGCCTATGCAGGCTTCGCATATGGCTCGGATCACGACGTTGGGCGGGTTTCGGAGGAGAAAGGGTTCGGGGACACGGCCGAAGAGGTGAGAACAAAAAAAAACGAGAAAAGAGGAAAACCCGAGATCAAAGAGGTAGCGATGAACCGAAGAGAAACAAACGAGCGGCAGGCACGGGCGATCCGGAATGAAAGGATCGACTCCAGAGAAAGAATGACGACTGCGCCGACTCGAACAATGGAGTTGTTTGCTGCAGCGTCGAGTCGCGTTGTGGACTGGAGGTTCCGAGACACACCCCCAGAGTCTAGACTATGCGCACTGGACAACCGAATCGAAGCACCACGATGGGGACACGTGAGGAATGTCGAAGGGAGGGGGGTCAGTCAATTGCAACGAAAAAAAAAGAGAAGTGTGGCACGTCAGTCCGACATGACTGTGTAGCGGTGAGATCTTCAGAACAAAGAAAATGAGGAAGAGAAGAAGTCGAAGCAAAACACCCTGGAGGGGCGAACACGGGGAAGGGGCTTCTTTCCTTCTTCCAGAAGGCCTTGGGGCGGGACGGGATGATCCTCGCAGTACTTTTGCGTTGTACTTGATTTGCCTCTCTTTCTCTCTCTCTTATTTTACAGCTACTAGTATACTTCACATGCGTAATAATTTTTATCTTCCTCTATTGCTCTCTTTTTTCCCTTTCTTGCTATCCAACTTCTGCTTTCATCCGATCGCAATCAGTGGGCCCAATGACGCCTCTCATTTTTTTTTTCCTTCTAGAAGGCTGAGTCAGCGTTTCGGTACCGGGTTAGTCCAGCCCTGGAGGCCCTAAGACGGCACGATCAGTCGACAGTCTCCAGTATTAGTGCAGGATAGCGCCCGAGTCTGAGATTTGTCCCATCTCCTTCCGCCCACTCCGCCTACTCCGCCCAGTCGGCCACCTGGTGGACAGAGCGGACATTAAGGACCATCGCCTTGGGGCCAAATCCTTAGTCAGAAGTGATCTCATCTAGCGCTTATCCACTGTCACCTGCAGCGAAGGAATGGGTTCTGCGGGGCCCAACGCCACTGGGTTAAACCTTGTACTCTCGACTTCCGTCCTGGTGAGGTTGGTCCGCAGATCACCGAGTATTCGTGACTTCCATCAGAACCTTTTACATAACCTTCCAAGGTTTGGAACCGCCATCCATGGTTCAACTGCTGATCATGTCTTCCACCAATCACAGCTGGTCTGGCGCACTTTCTGCATATGCCTCCACACGTCTGCATCCATAGCAGTGTAACTCCGAGTACATCACATCCATGTCCATACATCCATGTCCATATCATTCACTATCTACTCAAAAACACAGATGATTTTGCCTTTCGTAGCGTTACTCTCAAGCAACTTGTGAGCCTCCTCAATCGCCTCAAACGGCAACACCTTCTCAACAAACACCTTAAACGTCCCATCCACAAACTTAGGCAGCGCATGATCAACAACAATATCCCTCAACTTGCGCTGGTATTCCACATCCCGAGACCGGAGTGTACTTCCCTCAATGCGCACGCGCTTAAACAGCAAAGGAGCAATATTCACTCCATCCGGCAACTTACCACCACCCATCAAACCGAGAAGCACAACACGACCATCGCGAGCCGCCACGTCCAAGTTACCTTGGAAATAAGTAGCTCCGATAAAGTCAACGGTGAGGTTCACACCAGCACCACCCGTAGCTTTTTGGATCTCCGAGGCCCAGTCCTGGGTCTTGTAATTGAAGGCCTTGGTGACACCGAGCTCTTGCTCCAGGAAGTCGATCTTCTCTTGAGATCCGGCAGTGGCGTAGATGGCACTTGCGCCTGCAGCCTTGGCGAGTTGAATGCCGGAGATGGAAACAGATGAAGCACCTGCGTGCCAAAGGACGGATTGTCCGGATTGGAAATCACCAACCTGATACAGGGCCTGTGAGGCCGTAATCCAAGTCTTGGGCTCGTTAGTATCAAGTCCTTAGGAATGCTATGACCATTTGCCATTGCCAAGTTGGATCTGCTTACCTCCGGAACACCGGCTGCCTCTTCCCATGACAGCTCTTTCGGCTTGTGAATCAACATCTTAGTGGAGACGGCAATGTACTCGGCGTAGGCACCACCGTAAGCAAGACCAAGGACTTCATCTCCGATTTTGAAATCCTCATGTCCATCTGGGCCGAATTGTTCAATCACACCCGAGAACTCCACGCCCATGGTTTCGGGCGCCTGCGGGGGAAGCGGGTAGAGGCCCTCCCGCTGCAGAAGGTCCATACGGTTTAAACCGAAAGCGCGAATCTTGACGATTGCCTCTCCCTCTTTGGGGGATGGCTTGGCAATCTCATCGATGAAGAGGCTAGTGGCGGGGCCTTTGCCGCCTTTGATGCCTGTGCACTGTTAGTTTTGGGGTTGAAGGCGATTTCGATACATGATCTTCGTCTTGTGCATGATTTAGGTAATGGGGTGCAATTAACTTGAAAGACAGTGGCTTGCCAAGTCTAATGTACAAAAGTACCTTCGCTTTTGGCAGAAATGCATTTCAGGTGGACAAGTGGGGTTCTTCAGGGTTCAACACGCCATTCAACTCACCTACTGCTCTCATGGTGTCACTCATTATAAGGTCAATGCACTGCGTCTGAAATATGTGCCTCCAGCAGAGTTAAAGCATCATTCTTATATGGTGGGGATCTGCTCTGCTGTTCCAACCTTGGAAGCACTGACCTCATTTCGGCATTTGTCAGCATCTCAGCTCCCGATTTACCCGTGAACATGAACACTTCCGACTTCATTTAGGGCAACGGAGCAGCGATTCCAACATTGTTCATCCACCGAGGTCCGGGCAGGAATGCAGCAGAACCAGGAGACAGGACAAAAAGGCAGGAAGACTACGGTCCATTTACAACCTTGGAACTACGCAGCCGAATACCTCGGCATAGCCGAGGCGTAAGATATGGGAAAGGATGAACTCAAACAGCAATGCTAAATTTCTCTAAACAGCAATGGGTAATGGGAATATCAATCATCAAGTAGCTCCATGCAAACCATGTTTTCCACCATATCAACCCACCAACCACTCCTTTTGCAGACTCCAACAGTTCCCAGGGTAATCAAAGACGCCGAGAAACCAAACAAAAGAAAGGAAAAAAGAAGTAGGAGTATAAGTAAGACCAAAGCAACAAAGAGACCGCATCCGACGGAGAAACCAAATCTCTTGAAGCGGGACAACAAAGAAGATAAGACATTCACATCCCAAGAAATCCAAAGACAGATGTCCTTGTTCCGTAAATGCCGTGGCATGCATATGCAGGAGCTGGAAATGGAAAAACGCAAATAGAAGGGATATCGGTCACTATCATACAATTCGGGCATGGGCACCGAGTCGGAGTTTTCTCGTGGTTTCGTTATGAGAGAAGATTCTTCAGCGATGGGCTCGCGCTTGCCCCGGTGCCGGGAGGACCGGCGGTGCCGTTGACTCCAGAAGTCCGACCAGCGCTTGGAATTCCACCCATCAATGAAGGTGGTGTATCTTCAGGCCGCGTGGGTGGCGTCGGCCCGCGAGGGTCGAGGCGCGACGGAGCCACTGGCGGTGAGTGTGAAGAGGCCCCCAGGCCACGGTCGACAGAGTACATGCGCGGGGGTGGACCGCCGTTCAGTGCGCTCAGCGAGGTTTGCGGTGAGCGGTTAACGGTCGTTGCCTGGACGATTGGGGGAGATGCCGAGGCAGCGTAGGTACGCGGTGGGGGCTGGGAAAGATGCGGCGATCGAGCTGGCACTGGGCCATAGGGGCTCTGGTGCGCATAGTGTGGCGGAGGGGGTGGTGGCCCGGCGCTGGTGTACTGGGGTGGCCCTGCAGGGTGAGGTTGTGGGTAGTTGCTAATGTGGTGGGGAGGCGGGGGTGCCGCAGGGAAAGGAGACGACGACATCCCGGTGCGGAGACCGTTTTCGGGAGTAGGGCGCTGTTCGTAGGGTCCAGTGTATGCCGGGCCTGGGAGGCCATTGTGCGCGTGGGCTGGGGGCATCGGCCGCCCAAGAACAGCGCTCGGGGGAGGAGGGTGTGGGTGCTGGTGTGGGTGGGACAGGAAACCGTGGCCGTGGCCTGGCATTCGGGTCGTGGGGACCATTGTGCGTTGTGCGATATATGGCGAGGGCCTTGGGTCAGGCGAAGGATCTGTCACTGGTGGAGCGAGAGGTGCTGGGTTCTTAATATGGCACTTGTGGCACTCATATGCCGGAGCAGCCAAATCCCCGTTTGCATGGCCGAAGCCCGGGGGGTGGGGAATGTGTCCCGACCCGTTGATCATGGGCGGCATGGGAATATCAGGGCGACGTGCGAGAGCCCACCACCTAGGGCTAAAGCCAGTTGCGCAGCGGACACACTTTCGGTTGGTTTCGGTTTCACAGGGAACTGGAGGCGGCGCAACCTTCACGTCTGTGTCAATCTCCATGGGGTCATCGGCTGCGTCATCGGTTGAGGTCGCGGCCTTGGGTGCATCCTTGACGACAGTTGGCGCAGTAGTCGTTGAGGTTCGACGGTGGCCATTCTGAGCACTGTGGTGCGAAGTCCCCACAGACTGCTGCATGTATGCTGCCTTGCGAACAGTCCCAGTGAGTGACAGATCAGCTTGCTTGTAGGTTTGGGCAAACAGTTGAAGAGCATTGAGGTGGTCCTGGTTGGTCTTCTCGCCAATATCATGAACTGCACTTGGCACGCTATGGCTTGGACAGTAGACCACAGCTGTGGCTGCTCCAACATCCTCACCTAAACGAATGGGTCGCATGCTGTCGCGGCGTGAACTCTTGATAGGTGTAACATCGAACCCGAAACGGTAGTTCGCTTGGAAGGCACAACCAACGTGGAAGTGAGCGTTGCAGCCAGTGAAGCTACACGGCAAACATGCGCCCTTGTTGGACTTGCAAACCTTGCACGTCTCGCGCCATCTCTCTTTAGGAATGGACCCAAATCCTTCAGCGGGCTCAAGCTCCTCCGCGTCACCGTACTTCAACTCCGGTGTCCACATGGTGCAGAGCACGTGAGCCCAGTTGTTGCCTGCAGTACGCTTCAATGGTTCCCGGGGACCGACTGGCTTGCCAACGGCCTCCTGTCGCTGACGATACAGCTTGATAGCCTCGGTGACCATCTCCTTTTCCATGCGCTCCTTCTCCTTCTCGCGATCGGTCTTTTTACGCGAAGTGTTCTTGGTAGTCTCCATGAGATCGTGTTCGGTCCATGACACCGGGCAAAGAACGCAGGCGTAGTTTGTGGAGATTGAGGGGCTGCGGTCGTTGGAGCACATATCACACAGCCATTTGCTGCTTGCGCGCGAGTCTCGTACACCGTAGCAGTTCCGATGGACCGTAAGACGACAGTCCCTGCATGAAAGATGTTCATCGCCCGTGGGCTCAACTTCGTTACAAACCGCACAGGGGAGGGTCTTTGCCTTTGGTGGATCAGGAACAACCGGTGGGGCTTCAACCACCTTCTCGGGGCCCGATTTCTTCTTCGGCATAGGCTCGACGGATGTGGCGGTTGAGGTCGCAGGTGTTTCCTTGATCTTCTTCTTCGTTGGATCCACTTTGCCTTCCTGCATGAGTCGGGGGTTCGTGTCAAGCGGGATGCCCATCGAGCTAGCTGTATTGGCGGTTGCACTGTTAATCACAAATGGGGTTTCGGTGGCTACAATCAGTTGCGCCAACATTTCTTCATCAATGCGCCGGCGCCATGACTTGTTGCCGCTGTTTGCGATTCTCTTTGCCACCTCGTCAACGTCCTCATACTGGATGCCGTACTTCCGCCACAACAAAGCACAACGGAGGCAAAGTGACACAGTGAGCATGGGACCCTTGTCCTTCTTGTTTTGGGGCTCGGACGGAATAACGGTGCCCGGCGGAACGAGAGGTGCTCGCCTCCACTGCCGTGAGCTGCGTGTTGAGCAAAATTTGCAGTGGAATCCACGTTTCTGTACAACCGCTTTCTCAGAATCAAATGCAGAGTCGTCATGGTCGTCGGCAACGTCATCGAGAAGCTTGGATGAGGTGACACTGTGGCGGCGGACTTCTTTCTTCCCGCGTCTCCCTTCATAGGCTCCCCAAATCTTTCGGCCACTGGGGGTTTTCTTCCACATGTAATAGAAACGCACAATCTGATAGATGGGGACGGTCTTGACATGCTTCATGATATTGCGCCACTCCGATCCGTACTTGGCGACACCCTGCTCAAACAGCTTGAGTTCTTCTGGTCGAATGTGGGGTTCCTTGAGATCCTTGTATCTGTTGGTTTTCTTCAACTTGGCGAGGGCCGCCTGTACATTAAAGCTTTCCGCGTAAAGGATCTGAAGGGCCTTGTCAAGGAAGTTGGTGCAATGTTTCTCAACGCCGATTCCTGGTGCAAGTTCCTTGGCCTGGCGCATGTAGTCATCGATGAACTTTTCGCGATCCTCTTCACTCAAATGTGAACCCGGTGCCTCGTCCTCGCCGCGAGAAGGAATCTGTTCAGAAGAAGGCATTTTGAATATCGGCTCGGCGGTGCGTGCTTGTTTCCCGGTTTTTTCGTTGATCGTAACCGGCTCATCTAATCCGCGATGGATGTAGCCTGTCGGTTCGTCCTGCACCCACTTCGGTCGGTTGGCCCTCTCGTGCTTGGCGGCTTCCAATGCGGCCTGCGCATCCTTGGACTTGCCATCCTTTTTCGCAACCTTAGACTTCTTCTTATCAAGTGGCTTCACATATTCGATAGGGCGACCCGGCCACGGGGCTACCATCGCCTGGTGTCGTGTTCCTAGACGTGAGCTCGCTCGGGGGTAAATTCTGTCGTCATAATCAAGGGCATCCTCCACACGGCAGTGGATACCAAGGTATCGGTAAGGCCACATCTTTGCCTGTGCCATTTGCTCGACGGTTGCTGGCTGAGGCATGAAATCTTCCTCTGCCGCGGGTGTGCTGACAGAAGTCCCATTCGCTGCCCCATTGGCGTGACTGTGGGGATCTTCCTCCTCCTCTTCCTCCATGATGATATCTTCGCCGTCCGCTCGAGGTCCACCGGTCAGTGGCGTGTTCCGCGCTTCCAATTTCCGTTCCTGGGCACGGCTGCAAGCAGCGCAAGCCCATGCAAAACCTCGAGCGGGCTTCTTGGTTAGAGCTGGGCGAACACAGTGCATATGGTATGTTGAATGGCAAACAGCACAGTCGACTGATTCGGAATTGGCGGCGTAAAGGCGACATCGTTTGCAGGTTTTGACGGCACCCGTTAATTCTTTCCCTTTGCCGATCTCCACGAGAATAAATCTCCAGCGTTCATCGAGAACTTTTTTGACGTTTGAGGGAACGTTGATAATATCTTTAGTGGGGATGACATCGTAAAGACGATGAATGTAACGGTCGAACATCTTGTCGTACCAGAAGCTATTTTTTGTCTTCTTGTATGTGTTGATGTCTTCAATTTCCGTGGCATGTCGGATATCACATTTCCCCCGTAGTGAGGAAAGGGGACAAGTGTCGGAGTGCATCGACGCAAAGACATAGCGGGTGTCGGGGGAATGACGCTGAATGTCTCGTGGGCGGTAATACCAGTTCACTCTGAGGGCCTCGATAAAGCCCCCCGGCTTGGTTTTGGAGTAGACAAATTCCATAATTCGCGCCAGATAATATGGCTCCCCTGGAGGTTCACAGATGAGGTAGACATGGTCTGGGCATGATTAGTGGGGGATTAGTTTTGGGATCTGGAGGGGACCAACCGTTGAGGCCGAAAGTGGTGCCATCGTCAGCTATTAATTGGCCGTCCTGTAAATAAGGACCATGCGTTTCGAAGCTCATCATGTTGGTAAAGTAGTCCCCGTCGGAATCGCCGGGGGCGGATGTGAAGATTTTCTTAGCAGCACTACCCGAGGTGGGTGTGGAATTGGGTGTGCTGGCGGGTTGTTTGCGCTTTCTCAAGTTGGACCCATTCGCGTCTTCTGGCCTGGCGGAAAAGGAAGACGTGCCGGGAATGGTATCTTTAGCCGCGCCGTTGGCGGGGACATTCACATTGCCATTTAGGCTCTTACGTTGCGCCGACGAGGTCTTCTCATCGCCGTTGACCGGTGCTACGCCGTTGCGCTTGGCCGCCTTGGACGGCGCGGAGGCATCCGCGTCCATGTCCAGGTCACGATCCTCGGCATAATTTGGCCTTGGCGCATTGCGGCCTCTCGATCGCGTGCCATAGGTGACGGAGCCATTTGCCGCATCGGCCAGTGGCTCCGGCGAGTTGGGGGTGGTCATTGAGAGCAAGCGTCAGTCATCCACTGGTTGAGACAGAAGTGAGACACGAGGATGCTGGTGGCGATTAGTCCACGTCCGAACGGGCTCCCGGGCATCAATGGTGGGAAAAAGAATAAATTGGGGAAAGAAGGAAATCTCAAAAGGAACGCGAAAGCAAATATACGGAGAAGTTGCCAAGGGGAAAATCAGAAAAGTGGGAAAGACAAAGAGTGGACCGTGTCAGATCTTATTTCTCTGCAGGGGTGAAGGGCGGACATATCAAGGTGCCCAGCTGGAGGGGAAACGGTGGGCACTTACTGAAGACGATCATCAATCGACGCGATATAGGAAAAAAGAACCAGTGACCGGGAAAGAAAGAAAGAGTGCAGTCTAGGGAGATTATGGGTCTGGCGGGTCAGTTAGAACCGAGACGATATACGGAATGGGGAAGGGGGAAGTGGAAAAGGGAAGAGGTAGAGAGGCGATATGTGGAAAGGAAAAAAGCGTCGAGGATCCCGAAGTTGGCCCCTAGTCCCGATATGTTAATATGACGGATAGAAGCAACCTGGGCTTTTGCTCCCCTTGCTCAATCTATGGTAATTTTGGTCTATAGGGCCTCTCTGTCGGAATGCTGGCATTGTTCAGGTATATAAGGTGAATGGCATGTTGTGTGAGGGCTTGGGCTGCATCCGCTCTATAAAGAAAAAATACCATACCCATACGGTACCTTTAAAGTTGACTTTTCGTGATTTTTCCCCGTTCGCCTTGAAACCTGTGCGACCAAACACGGCACTTCACCGCGATCCTCGGGTTTGATATTTCCTAGAAGGGGTTCTATCAGGGTGGATCCGGGCCACGACCGGATCGATGTTGGGGCTCTACCTACGGAGGACTAGTAGTGGGGTATAGAGGGCAAGTAGAGTCTAGGAAGTGCCAGAAAGACCACAGAAGACATGAAGAAAGCCTGCCAATTCAGCATGTTCCTATGTAATTTAAACTTCTCCTGGTCCAATGACGATCAAAGCCGTCTAGGCCTGAGCTCCCTTTGGTATAACGTGCCGGCCTCCCCCGTGAGGTCAATTCGACCTTTCACTTCGAAAATCGCGCACAACTGCCCAGGTGGGGGATGGAGAGGATGGAGAAAAGTAACCTTGGAATGTACGGACATGCGGTGACAGTCTAGATCGGAGCAGAGGTATATCTTCCCAGGTTCCATTCATGGGTATATATATGGCGATCAGACCCCGGTAGAGGCCAATTTCTCGCTTCAATGCCAATCAGCAAAGTCAGCTGTGGTATCATTGGGTAGGTATGATTCTGTGACTCGTATGCCCCAAACAGCTGAGCCTGGGAATATATACCTGGGTAAAGTGTGACTACTTATACAGGGTCAACGGCCCAGTGCGCACTCAAGGATCTACATCACATTCCAGCTCATTGCATGATCACTTCGACATGGAGAAGATCATATCAATTCGTGAAAATCGAGATCTGGAATCTGAAATCTTGATCCCAACGCCTGTGGTACGCGACTCATGATACAGTCGTTATGACGCTTCCACCCCGATCGGGTCTCAGACTCTGTACCTGGTCTCGGGATGTGCACCCAATTTTGGATCGGGAGATTTCCCTGGCTTTTCTTTTCTTTTTTTCTTCATTATTTTCCTTGTCAACTTTGGAATTTCCCAGTGTGTGACTGGAAATTACGCAGCCGGGGATGGGCTCGGATGATGCCACGAAGTCGACTCCATCCGCCACAGATCATCAGCCGACCATCTCGGCTCCGGTGTAGACTTTGCCAGACCGGCTGTGCATACCTACCATATCAACTTGGAATGACCGACAACTTCGGGATCACATATATTCGTGCTTTGTAGGTATTCCAACCTGATTTTCCTACGAATTTTACTAGTACGTACTGCGTACTCCATAGACAAGGTGTAGGGCCAACGGCTCATATCCACCTAAGCACATATCCACACACGATCTGCCAGAGTGGTAGTCTTCGCGTAAGGGGGTTCCCTCCACATCGGAATTTACGTAGTGTACGGAGTGTGAAAGCATGGAAACATGCAAACCAAGCAATAGTCCTGCGAGCCCACGGCCATTGCAAATAGCAATCTGCAATGCGTCTCACCTAACAGGATATCGCCCGATAGAGCCTAGCGCGTGACATAAGCAGATGACCTAATCAATGACACAACGCGGCTGCCTCAGGCCAGCAAACGGACAATAAACAAACCTGGGAAGGAGAGAAAACATTCTCAAAAGGAAAAAATGGGGAGATGATTATGGGATTTTAAGAACGACTCGCATCAGGTATCAGATGGCCCAGCCTCGGAACCACTTGCAGACATGTCGACATCGGCGCACCAGTCCGGGTTTCAGACCACCATCGATATTGCCCGGAGACAGACTCATCAGGTAGCATCCATCGCGGGACAGAAGCGTCCTTCAGAGGACGTGTCAGGCCCAGTCGCAAAACAGGTTGTGGTTCGTGGGCGAAACGCTGACTCGGACCCCCTGTTGGAATCAACACCGTTTGAGTCTGCCCGGAACGTGCTCACCCCGGTCAATCGTTTTACAGCAAGTAAGATCCACCTCGGTGCTGGCGCAGGCGTCAGCGAGGCGCAGAATGAGGATCGTCAAAAGGCAGCAACTGCCCCGCCCTCCAGTCAAAATCCGTTGCTATTTCTGGCCAATCCGAAGTATGGCTTGCCGCCGGCTCTGACGGCGAATTTTGCCGCTCTGGGTGTGAGCAGCATTTACCCCTGGCAGGCGTCGTGTCTGTTGGCGAAAGGTTTGCTTTCAGGAGAGCGCCATTTGGTGTACACGGCCCCAACTGGAGGTGGCAAATCGCTCGTTGCAGATGTGTTGCTTCTGAAGCGCATTATCGAGAATCCTGGTCGCAAGGCCCTTTTGGTCCTCCCCTATGTGGCTTTGGTGCAGGAGAAGCTAAAGTGGATGCGGCGCATCGTTCAAGATGTTGAGAAACACATCCCCGATGACGCGGATTCTGACCTGCCTCACTGGCGACGGAAGCGACTGCAGAAAAATGTCCGCGTGACGGGGTTCTTCGGGGGGAGTCGGACGACGGCCACCTGGGCCGATACCGACATCGCTGTTTGTACGATAGAGAAGGTATGTACGTTTTTGGAACTGGAGTGTGCCATGGCACTGATCTTGACACATAGGCGAACTCTTTAATCAACACCGCGATCGAGGATTGTAGCATCGGGGACTTGGGAGTTGTGGTCCTCGACGAGCTACATATGCTCGATGATGAGAACAGGGGTTATCTCCTGGAACTTATGGTGACGAAGCTACTTTTGTTGCAACAGGATATCCAGATCGTTGGAATGAGCGCCACGCTTTCTGTATGACCATGCTTCTATGAATAAGATGATTGCCCTAACCGAATGACAGAATACCGAAATGTTGGCGGAATGGATGAAAGCCAAATTCTTCATCTCGACCTACAGACCTATACCCATTGACGAGTATTTGGTCTATGAGAATGGCATATACCCAGCCGCGACGTCCAGACAGCTATTTCAAACAGCATCTAAACTAGCCGCCGCCGCCTCACTACATGACACCATTCCACCGCACCGAGTTGTTGAGCCCTCTACATTCAAGCAGCTTGGAAACTCTGCCATAAATTCCATGGTCGCACTAGCAGTGGAAACTGCAAGTGCTGGATTCGGCTCGCTGGTGTTCTGTGGCAGTCGCCAGGCATGCCAGATCCACGCAGCGACAATTGGCGAGGCTATGCCACCGCCAACACAAGAAGAACTCCACAAGCGACTCGATCTTCTAGCGGAGCTGCGCAGTCTTTCATGCGGACTAGATCCCGCCCTGGAAACAACAATCGCAAGAGGGACTGGTTTCCACAGTAAGTATCCTAGTTTAAGTCGAGTTTTAGGCATTTCTAACAATTTTTCAGATGCCGGAATGACCACGGAAGAGAGGGAGCTTATTGCACAGGCTTGCGACCAGGGGGTTATCAAAGTTCTCGTTGCCACTTGCAGTCTCGCCGCTGGTGTTAATCTTCCTGCGCGACGGGTCATCATAAATGGCGCGAGAATGGGCCGAGAGCTAGTAGGACCCGCGATGCTGTGAGTCCTATTACACTTGGCTATGAGCTTAGCTATGAGAAACTCGAGCTAACGAGAACAGTCGCCAAATGTGTGGTCGTGCGGGCCGCAAAGGCAAAGATAACGCCGGTGAGACGTATCTAATATGCGTGAAAGCGGATATGCAAGCCGTGTGTGATTTGTTAGACGCCGATATGCCGGCCATAGAGAGCTGTCTAGCACCGGAGAAAAGGGGCCTAAAGAGGTATGTGGACTCTCATTTCTTTCCTTGACATTTAGCTCACCTCCCACAGAGCACTGCTAGAAGCCATAGCAACCGGATTGGTTTCCGGCTGCGACGCAATCAAGGAATATGTCCAGTGTACTTTATTATATCGCACGCTGGACAAGAAACTCGCATACAGCATCATGAACTCCGCGCTGCAAGAATTGGTCGACGAAGAACTTCTCATCTTCCGAGACGACGAGTCATACCAAGCCACGCCACTAGGACAGGCCATCGTTGCTTCGGCATTCTCACCGGAAGACGGCCTATTCGTGCACGAAGAGCTCAAACGCGCCCTCCAAGCCTTCGTCATGGACGGGGACATGCACATATTCTACATGTTCACACCTCTCCAAGCAGCCATGAACACACCGATTGACTGGCAAATCTTCCGCGACCAGGTAGATCGACTAGACGAGAGCGGTCTACGCGCACTTCAATTCGTTGGCGTACAGCCCGGCTTCGTAAACAAAATGTATGTCCACAGATCTGCGACAAACCTCAAATCAGAAGCTAACAGCCACAGGGTCCAATCCGGAGCCTCTCTTAAAGAAACAGACCCCAATCAGATTAAACAAGCACGAATATACCGCCGCGCATACACTGCCTTCCAATTACGCGATCTAAGCAACGAGGTCCCAATCTCAACCATCGCAACCCGCTACAAGATCCCACGCGGCACAGTCCAGACCCTCGCACAACAATGCCACGGCTTCGCGGCTGGTATTGTCAAGTTCTGCCAACGTATGAACTGGGGCATGCTAGCTGCCGTGCTGGATCATATGCGTGATCGACTTGAGGCCGGCGCTCGTGCAGATCTACTGGAGATGGCGCAAGTGACTTTTGTGAAAAGTTGGACTGCACGCCTCTTACGGGAGAATGGTTTCAAGAATCTTAGGGCTTTGGCGGAGGCTGAGCCTAAAGACTTGATCCCTATATTGAAAATGGTATGCTGGTCTCTAGCAGAGGCTTGATCCGAAATTGATGTTTTATCTAGGCGAATCCGCGTAAAGCGCAGAGGAATGATCTCCATCCGTCAGAGTCGGAGAGATACACTGCCAAGCTTAAGGCGAAAGCTGAGACGATCATTGCACATGCAAATAAGATTTGGGGTATGTTCTATTGGGACTCGGGTTGTAGTGCTCGCTGACAATCATTCTAGACCGAGAGATGCAGGTTGAGTTGGAGGAGTGATGATAATGAGAACGACGAGTGTTGGCTGAAGCAGCTATTTTCACTGGGAGATAGTCGACATGAACATGACTTAGAACCCAAATGTTAATAAATTCCAACTATAACAGGATCATCGTCTAATGACATTTACTTTTCAAGACTCCCATCGAGCCCATCATCGTCGTACTTAGGTACAAGCTCTACATTGAACCCAGAAAAACAATAGAAGACCCAAAGTCAGGTTTCAAGTACCGTTTTCATATTTGCAATGGCATGCATGCAGTTTATACGTGATACAAAATGTCCAACGCCTTCCAAAACGCCCAAGAACCGAAAAGGTAGAAGCTCAAATCATCCAAACAGGCAAACAGGCAAACCCAAAAGGGGGGAATCTACAACTCGCCATGCAGCGAACGACCAGGACTAGACGAGCCTTTCCCAGGCTCAGCCATGAACCCGCCTTCGCGCACGCGTAGACCAAAGTTAATCAGAATGATAACGACAAGACCAACACTGACGACCGTCGGACCCCAGCGCTCGTAGTAGACGCGCTTGACGTCGCGACGCTTCCGAATCTTGTCAACGCGCCAGATGTACAGGAAGAGACTGTAGACTAGGGCGCCGGCGGCGAGGAGGGTGAAAGCCCAGGAGGAGATGAGGGTTGCGTAGTCTGTTCCGAAGTTGAGGAGGGTTGCGGCTATGCCGCCTAGGATGATTGAGAATTCGAGCCAGGAGAGGAAGGTTCGCTCGGCGGCGAAGTAGACCTTTGGTTCGACGCGGACGGGGACGAAGATGCCTAGTTGGGGGTTAACTGGGTTGTGTGACGGGGGTTTGGGGGAATGAGACTCACGTTTGCCGGGAGGGGCCTGGAAGCGCTGCATGGTGCGACGCTGGGTTCCCAGGACTGCAATGCCACGCTGTTCGGGGGGCGGCAGGGATGTTGGACGGGGGCGGGGGACTATGGTCATCAAACCCTGTGCGACGGCGTGGCCGGTTCGACAGAGGTAGTGCTTGGCCAATTGTTGGGCGTAGTATGCTCCGCCAATGCGACGGGCTTCTTCGAGTTCGTCTGAATAAACCGATTCGTCGTCCGAGTCGTACAAGGGGTAGTCTTCGTCGCCGGGGAGAGGTTGGGCGGCGATACGCTCTTCGATATCTAGTTCGTTACCGTTGGTCTCGAACAATCCGTTGTGGTTCTCGGTGGCGTGGTTGTTCAGAGCGTCCTCGTCCGTACCCGGGGTTTCGTCGTCATCGGAGTCTTCGTCGTTGGCGGATATCGAGGTACTTGCCAGTGGCCTGTGGATTCCGTACTGATGTGTGACGGGTTTGCGGATGTCAACGTCCATCTGGGGGAACCAGAATGGAAGCAGGTTGATGCGTGTTGGGAATAGCGTCGCAGTGCCGTGAATGAACTTGCTGAACTTGGGGACGGCTTCTACCAAATGGCTGGAGGTCAAGTCGCGGATCCATTGAGGCGGCTCCTGGCCTGCCTGGGTCTGCAGCTTGACTTCCAGCACGGCGTATGGGAATCGGTCAATGTCCTCAGGGGGAAGCTGAGAGAATGGGAAATCCACTCCGATATCCATCCGACGCCAGTTCTTGCCCGCGCGTCGGCGGCCATCCATGTTGTCCTCGCGGACCATGGTAAGCTCGGTATCCAGAGAGATACGGACACGCGCATCGCCTGGAAGCTGGAAGGCAGTGCGGTGGTAGAAAGTACGAGTCACGGGGACGAGTCGACGAGTGATGACCCGATATTGGACCTCGCGGGCCAATTGTTCCAAATCATCAATCTCAGCCTGGCTCTTTTTGCCCTCCTTGCGTGCCTTGTCAAACACCTGCTCCACGGTCATCTTGCCCTCCAGGAAGGCGTTGACGTTCTTTTCCTTGAGTGAGAAACGCGCCTTGACCGACTTCTCTCCCGTCCAGTCCTCGCGGTGAGTTTTGCGCTCCACGAAGATCTGATCGCTCTCCATGCCACCGTACCACCGAAGACGGATCGCCTCGGCGCCTTCGGTCTTCTTCAAGCGACCCTGGTACAGCTCCCATGTATCTGTGTTATCGTAGTAGATCGACGAGATAGCCGTGTCTTTCTCCTCGAACTCCTTGTTGGCGTTGAACACCAGCACAGGCAGGTGCTTCAGCACGACCAGCTTGAGTTCAGTAATATTATCCCTATGCACCCAATACTTGGTAGTCTGCCGCACAAAGTTTTGCTGAGTTCCACCGGCAGAAGCGTCGCCCTTGACTGGGTTACCCTTCGTCCGCACGAGGTCATACAGCTTTGATAATTTAACCACGAAGGCATCGTAGTTGTCCTTGAAGAAAGGCTTTGCATTGAGGCGAGCGGCAAAAACCGGCTTAAGATACCAGTGTGTTTCTTTCTGCAAGAAATGTTAGCCATCGCGCCGGCCAGCTGCGGGCGAGCACCTACGTCATGCTTTTTGATGATCTTCTGGAAACCCGTATAGTTGAGTTGCGTGAACTTAGCCAGGTCGTGCACATCGGCGATGATATCACTGAGCACCTGTTCCATCATCAAGAAGTCGGAATCAGTGGGTGTTGGGCGCGCCGTCCGTGTGCTCTGGCGACGATTCTCGGTGGATCCATCCAGACGAGATACGACATCCGTCACCTCGAGTTCGCTATCCTGGATGCGCTCGACGATCTCCTCACTCTTGCGCTTCTGGAAGAGGAAGACCTTCTCCAGTTCACTTTCGAGCAAGGAGACGAAGTGCGTCTCATCGTCCTCGGACCATTCTTTGCGGGCGGGATTGGCGTTGGCGGAGGTCGGCTCGACGAGTTCGGTCTTGAGCGCTTTCTTGAGCTCGTCGTAGGCAATATAGAAGGGATAGTACTCCTTGATCATGGAAGACCGGAGATATTCACCGAACCTATCGGACAATTGTGGTTAGCACCGGATCGAGGGTTGCAAGCGACCAATTCAAGGTTGCGCACCTCATGATGGATTAAGGGGGGAGCGAGAGGTTAGGCAAAGACTATTCCAAGCTCATTACGGAGGAAAAGAGAAAGAGAAGCCAGATCGTACAAAGTGCAAGAAAAGGTCGGGAAGGTTGTAGCTCTCCGAAGACAGAAGCATGGCCCCGAACTCGGCTAGCCCGATGACTAGCGGGTGACGGGCCCCACGTCCAATTCACGTGTGTTACATGGTCTAGATCTTGAGGTTTTGTGCGCAGGGCGCCGAGTCTGATACTTGCGCAGGTGGTTGCTGATGAGAGTTAAACTACAAGGTGTGTTTATGCCCACCTGGGCAGAATACACCCCCATATTCCTACCATCAACTGATCTCATTCCCATTGTGACGTGGGGACTGTATTGACAATACACCCTTACCTCAGCATCGATACAGCCGGATCCACGGGTGCAAAATGGCAATCTGACCAGTCACGGGCGCACGTGGGCTTGGTATTGACTCGACTGTATACACACTCACTACTACTATACTACTGCATCCATCGAATATATATAAAATCAATGGCCTCTTTAGAGCAGCCTGAGCTCGCCCTGATTCCAAATGTGTTCCAGCCTGGAGGCGCATCCCTTGCAAAGTGCTTCTACAGCAATATCCAAAGTACGATGCAGGTTATCTGCAGATGATCACGCCCCACAGAGAATACTCGTCTGATTCGTGGCTCCAGAGCTCGAGCTACATGCTCCCTACATCATCAAAATAAAGAACTACGAAGATCCTAAGCTGTATCTCTCCAATCCATAACATTAATCATTTCGAATCTGGGGAATGGAAATCACAACGCCAAGGCTCCCATCTACCTTGGAAAAAGGTCCGGGATGACATGCAAATCTATCATCACTTCATGGTCTCATCGCAGAAAGTCTAGGCCAGGCTCATGGCCGCCCGACGGATACTGCGACGAGCACCTTCTCCAAACACATTCACCGAGCCCTCGGATTCAAGCGACCGCACCACTTCGTTGAATTGCGTGTGGTCCAGCTTGTTGTCGCTCTGCTCACTCACGTCACGCAGGAGGTCAGCCCAGCGGACGGAGCCACCTGTGGCACCGCCGCGCTCGTCCAGCCGCGCGAGCACGGCCTTCTTCAGATCGTCGCGCAGGCGACGGTCGGCCGCACTGGACCCTTCGGTCAACAGGCCCATGTCAATGAGACCGGTGCGGGAGTCGGTGGCGGCCTGCTTGATGGCGGAGCGAATGAGGCGGACTGCCTCCTCAACATCCGCAGCCGTGACTTCGGGGGAGAGACGCATGCGGGCATGGGCCTCGGAGAGACGGATCATGGATTCCAGCTGTCGGGTGGTGGCTGTGATGCGGCGCTCTTGCGCGCGGATGTCGTCACCCAGCTGGCGCATGGCCACGTAGGCATCCGCAAGGGCGTTACCGGCGGCGGGGGTGATGACGGGCTGGCAGTTGGTCTTGGCATATGTGATGTAGGAGGTGAGGAACTCGACGGGCTAGAAAGAGAAGTTAGTAGCTGTTGGTGGTACGGTGGGGAATTCACTCACAAGAATCTCGTGTGAGCTGGCATTGTCAGGGTTGTCCTCGAGGTACATGCCAACCAAGTGCTTGGCCATACGGCGATCTTCCGACTCATCGACACGATCGAGCACCAGGTAGACCAAATCGAAACGAGAGAGAAGGGTGGGAGGAAGATCGATGTTTTGGGGAACTGGAAGTTGGGGGTTGTACCTACTGCCAATAGGGTTGGCAGAGGCGAGGATAGACGTGCGCGCATTCAGTGTGGTAATGATACCCGCCTTAGCGATGGAGACGGTTTGCTGTTCCATCACTTCGTGGAGAACAGACCGAGTGGATTCGTTCATCTTATCAAATTCGTCGATACAGCACACACCGCCATCGGACAAGACCAGAGCACCAGATTCGAGAACCATCTGGCGAGTCTCTGGATCACGGGTCACGTACGCGGTCAAACCAACCGCTGACGAACCCTTACCACTAGTGTAAACACCTCGAGGGGCGATCTTGTGGACGTAACGAAGCAGCTGTGACTTGGCAGTCGAGGGATCACCACACAGAAGAACGTTGATATCACCACGGTAGCGAGGGTTACCACCTTTCTGGAAGGTCTTGTTGGTACCTCCGAACATCTGAAGTAGAATACCCTTCTTGACATCATCCATCTCATAGATGCTGGGAGCCAGAGAGCGAGACAGAAGCTCATAGATATCGGGGCGAGAAGCAGTGCGCTTGATCTTTTCCTCTTCTTCCGCAGAGACCTTGCGCAGCTGGTCTGCTTCAATCGCGCGCTCGGCCATCTCTTGTTCGACGGTGGACATATCAACGCCCATCTTCTTGCGATCGACCTTTTGAATGTGAAGAACATCGACGTAGGTCTTGAAGAGAGACTTCTGGGAGCGCTGGCGAGGGTTGACTCTCATGGGGTTGCAACGGAAGATACCCGTCACTTCCACGCGGTCACCAGCCTTGCAGACATCGACCAGGCTTTCATAGACACAGAGAGACACGGAGTGAGGAGTCTGACCATCAGGGATACTATCTGGAGTTTCCTGAAGCTTGATAACTTGCTTGTCTGCGAAGTAACATCGGTTGTGGAGGAGCTTCATCGAGTTCTTCTCCTTGCACGATTCACGTGGACATTCAGTGGGCTCGTTGATTCTACCGCGGTCGATATCGACATTGGCGCCGTATCCACAGACGTTGCATCGGAAGAATGCTTCCTTCATGTCGGGAATGATGGGAGTAGCACGGATGACCAGACCCTTGATGCTAATCAGCTTGTCCATGTCGGCTGGGTCGAGCTCACGCATGTTGATAGAGCGATCCAGGTTGAATGGACGTGTGGAAAAGTTGAGCGCTTCAACTTCCCCAACCAAATCCGGGATATCGGGGTTGGGTGCTACCCCGTCCGAGGTAAGAATGGAGTGGCCCCGACGGCCGCGGGCTTGAGCTCCACGCTGGCTCTCCGATCGCAGGACATCCATTTCCTTAAGAGCCAGGTCCACCATCACGTCCCTCAAACTCTGATCCATCAGGGGGATGATCTCTGCTGGGTATGCGCAAAGTTGGTGCCACAGCTTGCGAGTGGATGGGTATGCCCGAAGATTTTCAGCATCCAGGTTATAGGAAGTAACACCGAGTTTGCGCATATCGTTGAGCTCCTTGATACATTCACGTCTCTCTGCTGCTTCTCCCATGACCCGGGTCTCATCCTCTGTCGCGCCATCAGCCCAAAGGCGGTATTTCGGAGCGAAGTTGTATAGGAAGTTTTTGAATGCAGACATCGAGTCTGCGATTGCGATATTGGTACCCCAGATCACACGAGTAGAGTTGCCGTGCATGGCTTCTGCCTCGGAGGTATCAGGGTTGATGTTAGAGAATGTGGCATCAGAACGGGGAATGGCATTATCTTCATGCGACGGCACTCCATTGCTATCGACGAACATGCGGTTGCGACGATTAGGGGTGGCGCCAAAGCCACTTGAGTTCAGTTCACTGCGACGGTGGATGGCACGAGGACCAGGAGTTTCGGATCCCACGAACAATCCACTACCAGTGCTGGGTGCATCGGAGCGGATATCTGAGCGAATATCTGAGCGGCCAAAGCCTCGCGTCGGGCTAGAGCTTGGAATATAGTTAATAGGCGATGAATCTGTGATTTGGTTAGTCTTTTGTCTGAGCAATGGGCGATGTCATCGCGACCCGTCGCAATTGGTTCAAATCCATACCTCTCACGCCGGGGTTTCCTCGCGGAGTTCTGTCGCCATCGTCCACCGTTGAGCTGGCATCGCCCATCTGCTCATCAGAGGGTTCGCCATTGTTGTTTCCTTTGGTAGGCGACGATTGGAAGAAGATTGGGGATGAAGAGGGCACGGCACCCTCTCCCATTAGTCGCCTTGAGGCACGAGGGGTGACCTGAAAATTTGGGCTGCTAGGGGGCTCCTGTCGCGATGACGAGGAGGGGGATGCAGTTGAGTTCTTGGCCGAGCGACCCCTCCGTCTTCCAGATGGTGAAGACATTGTTGTGGATTAATGTGGTGGATACCTTGTATGCGGGTGGAAGGTGGGTGTTCTAGGTGAAGAAAGGGAGAGCAAAAAGCTGTGGGCGGAACGTGCTTTCTGCCGGCGCGACGAGCGCGTTAAGTGGTTTCCCTTTTCGGACTACGTGTACCTCCCACGTGACTGACCTGTTCGGTGGAGCTGTGGCGTATTCGTATTCCCGGGGCTGCACCGCCACACAGCCACATTGGGCCCTGCCTGCCCTACCAATCAGGCTCCTTCCCCTGAAATACCACCGTAACTACAGAAAGCAACTCTTCGTCATAGGAGAGATGGTAGAGAGGACTCGGGAGAGCTATAATATGTAGACGCAATTATAGAATGAAACCCAAAGGCGCTTCGCTAAACATTTCGCTTTCACTTGTTTCACCAAGCGCCTGATGTCATCCCCTGCTCGATCGGCGCTCCCACGATCCCTCCAATCCCTGTTCGTCAAACTTTCAATTTCTTGATCAACCCGCCTTAAATCCTCACGCCACTGGTGTCATTCGTCAACTGCGAATCCGAGGTGGTGTTTAGTCCTTTTTTCTCCCCACAATTGTTCAGGTTGGCGCCTTGGTCTGCTTCAGGTGGATTCTCTTTGTTGTCTCTGGATTTTTTCCTTATCACCGAGTTTCCTTGTGGACCTGCAGGCTACAGGAGACTGCCTTCCTTTTCATTCACTCTCCACGACTTCGTCATGCTGGTGGTGGCAGCACTTTCACCCCTTTCTACTAGTACATCCTGAACTTCTAACCCCTACCTCGGACCCCCCGTTCGGCAACACCCGAACTGATCGTCATGACTTCGGGCTTGGAGGACGCGCTGGAGCACAGTGGTGGTCATGGCCGCAAGACAGAGGGAGTCTCAATTTCGACGTTCCTGTCCTCGCTGGCGACGGCCATCATCGTCTTCGTCGTCGAATTCATCCTCTTTCTCTTGCTGAAGGGCAAGCTAAGCCGCATATAGTGGGTTCCCCGGACCAAGTGGTGAACCCCGTTATCAGTCCCACTGACCTTAGTGCTTACAGTCAACCACGAACCTACCTGGTACCGGATAGAGAACGTACGAAACCCTCGCCGCCAGGTCTTCTGAGCTGGATCGTACCTGTTTTCCGTACCTCGAGCTCAGAATTTATTCAAAAATGCGGGCTCGATGCCTATTTCTTTCTGCGCTATCTGCGCATGCTTTTGAAGATCTTCCTACCCATGGGCATCTTGATCTTACCTGTCCTCCTCCCGCTGAATCGCGTGGACGGGAGAGGTAACACCTACAAAAACGGCACCAGTGGTGATCGATACGACGTTGCTGGTCTGGACCAACTCGCATGGGGCAACGTGAGGCCCCAGCACACTAATCGTTATTGGGCTCACCTGGTGATGGCCGTCATTACCATCGCTTACATCTGTTTTGTGTTCTTTGACGAGCTCCGAGGATACATTCGCTTGCGACAGGCTTACTTGACCTCCCCCCAGCATCGACTGCGCGCATCTGCCACCACCGTGCTTGTGACGTCTATTCCACCGGATTGGCTCAACGTGGAGGCTCTGGACAGACTGTACGATGTCTTCCCTGGGGGTGTTCGAAACATCTGGATCAACCGCAACTTCGATGACCTGAACGAGAAAGTCAAGGAGCGCAACAAAATGGCTCTCAAACTCGAAGGTGCCGAAACGGACCTTATCGCCCAATGCAAAAAGGCACAGCTCAAAAAGGCCAAAGCGGAAGCCAAAAAAGAGGGCAAGAGTAAAGCAAGCGCAGAGAAGCAAGAGAAAAAGGCTGCCGACAAACGAGCATCTCACATGGCTATGGGTCCTGGTATCAGCTCTGGCAACCCTCATGACGCCCATACAGTTCGCGAGGCCCTTGACGGCACCAACCAAGAACCCCCGGCAAAGAAATCAGAGGATGGAGCTCGTCGGGTCTTTGATCCTGCCTTTGCAGCTGCTGGGGCGGTGGGATTAGGCGTCGGGAAGCTGGGTAAAACTGTTCTCGGGGGTTTCAGAAAGGTTGAACACGGTTTCGATGGGCCTTTGACTCAGACAAGGGGCTTTGTTGCAACCACGGACGACGTTCTTCCCCCTCGAGGAAACACGCCGAGTCATGATCGGACCGCTTCTGGTAAAGTGGCTACAACCGAAGCTTCTGAGCCTGCCGGTTTGCCGCGAACCGACGTGCCAACCCAAGACACGAAAACACCCCCTGCCCAAGCATCATCGTCAAAACCACCATTTTGGAGACGAATGTCATCCCACACGAAATCGATAAAATCACAAGATGCGCCCGAGCCAGACGAATATCCCTTGACCGCGCCTGAAACACCTGCGACCGATGCAGGCCGTCCAGGCTCTTCGGATTCCGAGGCAACTGGCAAAGGCAAAGACAAGAAAAAGAAGGACAAGAAACCCGAACAGGAATACCCAGTTGCATACAATGAAAACTTCGAGAAAGAAGACTATGGCGAGCCACTGTGGAAGGACTACATTCGACCTAAGGATCGAGACACTATGCGTCTGCCCATCTTCGGTTGGAGTTGGATGCCGTCAATCTGGCTTTTGGGTCAAAAAGTTGACACGATTGATTATTGTCGAAAAGAAGTTGCCCGTCTCAATTTGGAGATTGAGATTGATCAGCAACATCCCGAGCGTTTCCCTTTGATGAACTCGGCGTTTATCCAGTTCAATCATCAAGTCGCTGCTCACATGGCTTGTCAGGCCGTCAGTCACCATCTACCTAAGCAGATGGCACCTCGAGTGGTGGAGATCTCACCCGACGACGTTATTTGGGACAACATGTCTATCAAATGGTGGGAACGTTATCTGCGAACCTTTGGCATCATAACATTGGTGTGTGCCATGGTTGTTGGATGGGCTTTCCCCGTCGCCTTCACTGGACTTCTCTCGCAGCTATCATACCTCGAAGGTGCATTCCCATGGCTGGCATGGCTCGGAAAACTACCAGATTGGTTCATCTCAGCCTGTCAGGGTATTCTGCCTGCGCTATGTTTGGCTATCCTGATGGCACTCCTTCCCCTTATTCTTCGCTTCCTGAGTCGCGCCCAAGGCATCTTTACCGGCATGTCCGTCGAGCTGACGGTACAAAACTACTACTTTGCCTTCCTTTTCGTGCAGCTATTCCTGGTTGTTACCATTGCATCCAGTTTCTCCACAATCATTGAGAGAATTACTGATGTGACAAGCTGGCCGGAGCTGCTTGCCTCCAACATCCCCAAATCTAGTAACTACTTCTTCTCTTACATGATTCTGCAAGCCATGTCTGTGAGCGCGGGTGCACTTGTGCAAATCTTCGGCCTTGTGAGCTGGTTCATTCTGGCTCCGATATTGGATTCCACCGCGAGAAAGAAGTGGGCTCGAACCACGAACCTGAATCAGATGCAATGGGGCACGTTCTTCCCAGTGTACACCACCCTGGCCTCGATTGGTAAGGCATATTCTTTCTACAATTCCCATTCATTCGGCTAACAAATCACAGGTCTGATCTACTGTGTGATTGCACCTCTGATTTTGGTTTTCAATATCATCACTTTCAGCTTATTCTGGTTTGTCTATCGCTACAACACGCTCTATGTCACCAAATTCCGCTTCGACACCGGTGGTCTTCTATTCCCTCGGGCCATCAACCAACTGTTCACTGGGCTCTATATTATGGAAGTCTGCCTGATTGGCTTATTCTTCCTGGTTCGGGATCAGGATGACAGTGTCGCATGTAAGGGACAAGCCATTTGCATGATTGTCGTCCTTATCTTGACTGTCGGCTTCCAAATTCTTCTCAACGATGCATTCCACCCACTGATTCGCTACCTGCCTATCACGTTGGAGGAGGACGCCATTCGTCGTGATGATGAGTTCCGTCGTGCCCAGCACGCTCGCCTCGGTCTCGCCATTGATGATGAGGAAGAGGGTGATGTTGAGCACAGCCTGGCCGAGGCTGAGCGCCGGGAGCGCGAGCAGGGCCAAGAGGCCCGGGACATTGAACTCAAGCCTTTGGAAACTGGTTTGGACCAGAAGAGACAAAACTCGGATCACCTGTCAACGCCCAGACTTGAGCACAAACAGCCTTCATGGGCCACTAAATCATCACAGCGGAAGTCCAAGTACTTTGGTCTGCACTCACCAAGCTCGACGCCTACACTTCGGGCTATGCGTGATAAGATGGCCCAAGATGCCGAGGCACAAGGACCAGCCCCCAACACAGTTGGGCAAGCTCTATTTGCCGGTATCAATGATGAGCTCGAGGATCTCACGCCAGACGAGCGTGATCAACTGGTACAGCGTGCCTTCCAGCACGAAGCGCTCCGTGCGAAGCGACCAGTGATTTGGATTCCTCGCGATGACTTGGGTGTCAGTGACGACGAGATCTACCGTACCCAGCGATTCAGCAAACACATTTGGATCAGTAATGAGTACCAAGCGCTCGACGGCAAGTGTCGGACGATATTCAGTCGCAGTCCCCCGGATTTCTCAGAGGTGGATTTGATTCAACTGTGATATGGTTTGTACATTGTTCCTTTTAGCCATTTTATAGCATTTGCGGCGTTGCATTCAGTCATAGACATCCAATGTCTTTTTTTGAGGGAAGCCAATTCCCAGTAATTTCATTATCCCTTAGTCCATGAACTTGCACAGCGGCAGTCTGTAATCATCTACAACCCAGTAGGCCCGACGCACGCCCTCCCACTCGCCCTCCAACTTGGGAACAGCAATCTCCTCCCATTGCACATCAAATCCTGCCTCAAACAGATCCATCTCCGCAACCTTCTGGTAAACGTCGTAGGAAATTTGTCGATCAGCACCCATGCCGTTGAAGAATCCCCAGCGGCCCTCCTGCTCAAGCAAGCCAATGACTTGCTCGGAGAAGAACTCGCGGAAGTCGCCGTAGGACTCAGCAAATGTGTCGTAGTAAATTGCATCAAACTGTTCTCCCTCGGCCACAAGACCAGGAAGAATATCCTGCCAGCGTCCCTGGTGAATCACGACACCGGGCTTGCTGTCCCAACCGCGGCGCTTCATCTCAGCAATCACATCCTCGTGGGCTTCGATGATATGGTGCGCCGCAGGCCCTTGCTCCTGGAAGAACCCATCGACAATACCCATTCCGTGACCAATGTTGAGGACCTTCAGACCCGGCGTGGGGAGAAGTGCTTTGGCAGATTTGCGCATAATCTCACTTTCCCACTCCATCATCACACCATTCTTGTCTGCGTCCAGAATGCGGTCGTTCTGGATGTTCAGATGCGACTCTAGATATTGCGGGTTGCTCACGTCTGGGTTAGCGGGTGTGGCTGTAGATGCGGCAGTTTCAGCAGAGGCGTCAACAAGCTCGGGCGCGGTCTCGGTCTCGGTTGCAGCTTCGCCTTCGCCTTCGCCTTCTTCTTTCTCCTCTTCCTCGTCGCCGTCGGATAGCTCTTCGTAGGCATCGAGACGGTTCAGCAAGAGTTCTGCGCGCACACCCGCGTCAACAATCAGGTCGTAGAGCTCGAGAGCTCCAATTCGGCGAGCGAGACATCCAGGCGTCTCGTTGTTTGTGTCGAGGTCGTTCCAGATCGCGCCCTCCTGCAGCAGGAACTTGACGGTCAGGACTGCTGACTTCAGTGTCTCGGTATCCAGTCCCTTGGGGTTTGACTCTGTGACTTCGCTGCTGGTACCGTTTTGTGTGTCATTGGACTCTGTGTCGCGCTCGCAGGCGGCGATTGCGGAGTGGAGGGGTGTGAAGCCGGACTCGGAGTCTTTCACGTTTGCTGCGTCTGGCAGGGTGGTTTGGTTGCGGAGTAGAGTACGAAGCTTGGCGTTATCATGCTGTGATGCGGCAAGGAGGATTTCTTGCACATCAAGGTCGACGTCCACCTCGGTGAGGTGAACTGGTGTGTCGTCGGTGATTTCAGGCATGGTCTAGTTGCTGTTAGTGATATTCGCGACAACTTGTTACGCAGAGCATTGAAGTTTGCAGGATTTTACAGGCTTTCACTTCCAGTCAATACTTACAATTGTATATAACCTGAATATATCAAGTGTGGTGCACTGGTGTTCTGACGAAGTGGTGCCCCTCTTGAGTTAAAAAATCATGCTCGCCGCCTTCGTCCCCGCGGCGGAGAAAATATATATTGGCAGCCCTACTCGGCACGATGTCTACCATGAAAACAGTCAATCAAAAACATTCGGAAATTAAGTAGAGAAGAGAACACATTCAATGCTTGGTAATCCAGCTATTTGTACAATAGGTAATTCATCCCCTTTCCACGCAGCGCCATTAAGTTTGAGATGGAATGAATTTATTTGCCCTCCTCGCTGCCAGAGTTGACATTCAGGCCCAAGCCTTGGGTGTCGAGGTAGAGCTTGTTCTTGCCACCGTTCTCTTGGAGAATTTGAGCAATGTGACGGGCGTTCTCAATCTTACGGAGCTCAATGTAACTCTTGCTCTTCTTGATAGCGTCACCGATAAGTTCGGCCGAGCGGGCCTCACCCTGGGCGCGGACAATGAAAGCCTGCTTCTCTTGGCGGGCCTTGTCGACCATGAATGCGGCACGCTGGGCGTCTTGCTGAGCGACCTGCTTGGCTTCAACAGCGGCGGTGAACTCGGGAGAGAAGGTCAAGTGCTGGAGAAGGGTATGTTAGCAGATTCTAGAGTTGAGAGTGAGCATATGGAGACGTACTGTGAGGGAAACATCATCCAGGGCAATGTTGAAGCGGGCGGCGCGGCGGGCCAGGTTCTCGCGAACCAAACGGGCAACATTCTCGCGCTGTGTGATAAGCTGACTGGCGTTGAACTGAGCGACGACACTCTTGAGCACCTCGTTGACAATCGAAGGAAGAACGCGCTCATCGAAGTCTTGACCGAGAGTACGGTAGATCTGGGGAAGAGCATCCACACGGGGCCTGGACAGGACACGGCAGGTGATGTTCACCATCTGCAAGTCCTTGGTACCAGTGAGAGATGGGATGTTGCGAGGCTTGGCGCGGACATCGTAGATGATGGGTGTTTCGAACCAAGGAATTTGGAAGTGAGTTCCTGTTGAAGATTATCGTTAGATAGCTGTCGGGCCGAGTTTGGTGTGTTCCTACCTTCGGCGTAGATTTCCTTCTTGACACCACCTAAGCGCGAGTACTTAATGGCACGGTGACCACCGTCAACTAGCAAATAGTTAGCAGCCTATTCCAGCAAACCCCAAATGTAACATACCGTTGAAGAGAGAATTGGACGCGACGTAGGTACCAATACCGGCGAGAACAAGAGTTCCGACAAGTCCCATGCCTCCTCGGCCACCACCGGATGGGAAACCGCCGCCGAAGCCGGCCTTGCGCTTCGAGAGCATGACCTGCAGGCGCTCCCAGGCCTCTCGTTGATTTTGAGACATGATGTGAGGAAGTGCGTGGAGGGGATTGGAGATGGATGCGGACGGGCTTGGTCTGACCTTCAAACGGACGAGGTGAGGTTACAGGCGGTGAGGGAAAGTCGGGCAGTATCAGCTTCGCTTCTTGCTTTGAAGGCATTGACTATCGATCTTACTATCAATCACATTCCTGAATCTATCGTCATCATGGCTCCCGATAGAACTGGGAAAAGTGTCTTCCTGGGGAATATCCCCTACAGTATGCGCACCCACTTGCTCATGTGTTATATGCAGCGCTAATCTATATTAGACCTCACGGAGGAGCAAGTCAAAGACATTCTGAGCACGGCCGGAACTGTCACCAAGTTCCGATTGATGATGAATCCGGAGACTGGCAAGCCTAAGGGTTATGGATTCGCCGACTTCGCCGACGCCGACGCCGCTGCTTCGGCAGTGCGCAACCTCAACGACCACGAGGTCATGGGCCGCAAGATTCGCGTCGACTGGCCTCACAACAACGAGAAAGATTCCATACCCCCAGACTATTCGCAACAGTCGCAGCCAATGATGAACCAAGACCCCGTACAGCAGCAGATCCCAGGCTCAGCACCACTGCCACCTCTCCCACCAGGCGTGGAATTGCCGCCGCATATCGATTGTCCCAGCGCTATCTCCCACACCCTCGCATCTCTCCCACCAAACCAGCTGCTGGATGTCTTAACACAAATGAAATCTCTCGCCGTTGCTGACCCAGCCCGGGCTACTGATTTGCTGCGCCAGGCACCCCAGCTTGCCTACGCCATCTTCCAAGCCTTGTTGCTCATGAACCTGGTCGAATACCAGCTCCTCGGTTCCATCGTGGAACAGGCTGCTCAACCTCCACAAGTCCCTCAACAACCACCACAGCCTCAGCAGTTCCAGCCATATGGTGTCCCCGGCCAAATCTCCACACCACCAGTTGCCGGCACACCCTTTGCCCCTCCACCTGCTCCACCTGCTGCGCCAGTTCATGGCCAAGAAGAACTCCTCCAGCAAGTGATGAGCATGCCCCAATCTGCTATTGATGCCCTTCCACCAATGGAGAGGGGCCAAATCATGATGCTGCGCCAGCAACTCATGCAAAGTGGCATGCGCTAGAAGGCGATGCCCACAATTTATGGCTGTGTTCTGACTTGGAGTTCTGCACATTCAAGCAACAACAGCATGTTCAAAATTCTGGTATCACCGTTTCCTTTATTACTATCTGGCGAATCGGCGGCGTAGGGGAGTCTATTTCAATCAACTGTTTTCTCCACTGATTTGCATACTTGCTCACATGAAGCCCTGCTTATAGATAGCTAAAGAATGACACCAACCATTTCTCGTGCTTGAATGCAACGGCCAACCGCTCTCTCTCTAACTCGGGCTTGTGCATGCCTCGTTTGTCTGTGTGCAGCGAAATCCATGGATATAGTCTTATTCATGGATCGACCTGAATGATCAATGACTGATTCAATCGCTACTGTGCCCTGAGTCCTCCCCTCTTCGGACGAATGTAACTATTCAGAAGAATACAATAACCATTTAGGATGATTACGAATGAGCAGGAATCCACATAGTATATGCGGCATCGTTCCTAGCTGTGATTGACGACCAGTCAAGCCTCCAACCTTCAAAGGTTGGAAGGTTGAATGGGGACCTCGGGACTGCTATACAATGGGCTGTACTGTCAATTGCCAAGGCTCCCGGGAGGAAGGAGCTCTGTATTGTGGTGAGAAGCCCTGATCTTCCCAATCGGGAAAGTGCAATTCAAGCGAAGGGAAGTCCCTCCACGTGGACACGAGCTTGTTGTCGCGATCTCCTCGTCGCAGCCTCCTCATCGCAGCCTCATCGCCGGGGGCGATGGGTTCGAGAACTATTTAAACCCTCTCCTCCCCCCCGAATCTTTCTTCTCTTTGCAACTCTCCCACTCTTTCTTGCTTGCAGCTTTTGATCTTTGACTTTCGCACACCCTCAAGCTGCTACCAAGCCTTGACCTTGCCACCGTCCTTGACTGTTCTTGTTGATGCTCCGCATCTCCTTTGAACTTTCATCTTGTTTCTATCTTTACTTGAAGTCTTGTCTTGCTGTCACCAAGCCTTGACTTTATCACCGTCCTTGACTGTTCTTGTTGATGTTCCGCATCTCCTTTGAACTTCCATCTTGTTTCTATCTTTACTTGAAGTCTCTCCTCGCCGTTGACGCTCATCTCGCCGTTGACACCTCGAGTCCCTACGTTTTGTCTCGCGACGTTTGCCTCTCCTGACGCCCCCCGCTCTGGATGCATCGTCGTTCCTTTCCCGACACCACGTTCCTTTATTGATACTTTATTGATCCCTTGAAACATACACAGTCTTTGTTGACACCGTCTTTCTGTTTTCACCGTCTTTCTGTTGACTTTTTGCCCTTCTCTTCCACGGTTGGCATCTTGTCTTCGTCTTTCTCTTGACATCGTGTCCCCTCTTGGCACTTCGGCTTCCTCTTCAAGCCCTATTTCCCTATTGAAACATAGTCTCTTTTGACACGCTGTTTCTCTATTGACATTTTGTCTTCATCTTGACACTTTGTCTGTTGAAGCCCTATCTTCTTGACGCATCTTTCTTATTCGGACGCTTCCTTCCTCCGTTGACACATTGTTCTTCCTTGAACGCCTTGCCTAATTCTCGACTCATTGTTCCTCTTCGAACGTTTGCCCGCCCTCTGACATTTCGCCCAACCCTTGGCATTTGTCTTCTTGAAACGTCCTCTCCATCTTGGCGGACTGTCTCTCCCTTGACGCTTCAGTTATCTATTGAAGCTTGGTATCATCACAACTTTCGACCTACTTCTTTCTTTCCGATTTCAGTTTTATCGAACTCCAGCCATGTCTTCTCAGGAGATTGTTCAGCAGAGCTCCGACCTGCAGCTGTTGTTCAAGGATGATAAGGCGCAAGCCGTCCACAAGAGTCCCGAACTTCGACGAGGATATCGTGAACCTGGGAAAAAGTATCGGTTCCTGGCCTATGATCTTCCTCCTTTGCATTCGCTGGAAGAAATCTTCGCTCACATGGCGCGGAAAGCGTTGGGACTTGGACTTGGGCATGTCCTCTCTCAACTTGGCAATCGACCTCTTCGAGTGGCAACAATGTGCTCCGGAACGGAAGCTCCGTTGTTAGCCCTGGAAATGATCCAAACGGGTAAGTCTGACAATCCTTCCTACTATCATATGTTTGCTGTGATGCACTTCATGTTTTTGTGTCTGCGTCCAATCGGATCATGGACTATGGCTTCCAATTCCGACCATTCATAGCAATTTCACTCTTCGATCAATTGCTAACGAATCTCAGGTCTCGCAGGTATGGACCTGCAACTACGGGTCTCACACGCTTTCAGCTGTGAGATTGTTCCGCTCAAGCAATCATACATTGAGCGGAACTTCCGCCCTCCTATCTTGTTCCGCGACATTACCGAACTGGGAGGTGACAAAGGGTATGTTCTCAATTACTTCACTTGATATTTGAATTATTACTGACTTCATCTTCAGGCGGACCGCATACGGGTCATCGGAAGTGATTCCCGGTGACCTGGATGTTTTAGTTGCAGGCACCGCCTGCGTCGATTTCTCGCCGCTGAACAACTGCAAGAAGACCCTGCAGCAAGGCGGAGAGTCTGGAGCCACGTTCGACGGGCTCTTGCAGTACGCGGCGAGATATCGGCCGCGTTTGGTGATCCAGGAGAATGTCCGAGCAGCTCCTTGGGATCAGATGGAAGGGAAGTGGAGAGAGCTCGGGTATGTGGCTGTGCTGGTCCATATCGACACAAAGCACTATTACATCCCACAGACACGCGAGCGTGGGTATATGGTGGTTATTGACGGGCATCGCTTGGGGGCGGCGGGCCTGCTTGGTAGCCCCATAGACCAGGGGGGCCTGAACAAGGTCTCTCAACACGTTCGTGGGCTTGTTTGCTCGCTCAAACGACAAGCAAGCTCGCCTGTGGGTGAGTGGTTGCTGAGTGACGAGGATCGCCGGCTAGAGCTCATCGAGCAGAGGGCCTGTCTTCAGTTGCGCAGCGATGCTAGTTGGGATCAGTACCAGATTCGTCATCAACGGCACCGTGACCAGCTGGACCTTGGCAACGAGCGGCCGCTCACTCGCTCCACCCCCGGACATTCTGTTCTCACTGCGCCGGACTTCTATTGGCATCGTTTCTGGCAGACACAACCGGAGAGAGTGTGGGACACGGTGGATATCAACTTTTTGAAGAAGATTTCCCAGTCATATGACATGAACTTCAAGGAGTAAGTTTGAATTTCCCCTAACTTTCACTTACGATCTCGTTACTGACCTCACTTATAGGCGCTGGATTGACCTATCTCAAGGCGTCGACCGAGGGACTGACGGTCTTGCTGGGAGTGGAATCGCCGGTTGCCTCACTCCGCGAGGGATACCGTTCGTGACCACCCGTGGGGGGCCCGTATCTGGCACGGAAGCTCTCTCACTGCAAGGCCTTCCCCTCGACCGTATGCTGATGACGAGAGAAACACAGTCCGAATTGATGGATATGGCAGGAAATGCGATGACGAGCACTGCCGTCGGTGCGGTCATGTTGGCTAGTCTCATAGCTGTGCATCAGATCTTTGACACTGGCGATGAGGTATCAACCAATCCCGACGACAAAGAGGCCAAGCCCCTTCTCGCCCCGAACGCGCAACACAGTCTCATGATGAGAGAGCTCCCAGATGTCCCAAATCGAATCGACCCAGCTCTCAAAGGCATTGCAGCAAGTACCGTGATCCGATGCTCTTGCGAGAGACAGACTATCGTTAAAGATCGCATCTACCAGTGCACCCTCTGTGGACATACCGCATGCAATTCCTGTCGTGGAAATCCCACGCACTCATATTCACCCCTCTCCCTTTCAAGACGACAGCCTTCAGACTTTATTGCAAATACCGTCGGAATTGTCCCCATGAAGTTATGTATTACTAATTTGCATCTTCGGGACTTCGAACCCCTCAGTCGCCTCGACACGATTGCCAGCCTTCCCGACCTGTGGACTGACTTTGCCCAATGTATCCAACTGATCTTGAGCGACTTATTTGTCTTCTCCGAAATCAAGCGCGGAAGAAAATGGCGAATCGTTTACATTAGCAAGCACGGCCATTTGCATCTAGAAATTGGACCGGACTCCATTCAGTGGCTACTGTTTGCACATCCACCCAAGCTTGCACCCGCGAAAAGCACCATCAGAGAGATTCTTGCCAAGCCAGTTGCGAGATTTACGCCCATTTACTTTAAGCCATTCACTTCAATCTCAAGGCATATCTACAATGGTGTTTGGGAACTGTGTTCACCGCTGAGCTTGCCGTTTTCTTTGAGAATCTCTGGTCAAGGCGATCAGGTTCCGTCATTTGAGTCTGAAAGTGGCCTGAAAAAAGCAGAATTTCGCGATACCAAAGTCTGGAGCACCCTGTTGGTTGAAATCGAAGGAAGTTCGGCAGTTCTTGACCATGGTGTCAGTGGAGTGTATCATTTCCTTCCTGACTGTGGCACGGCCCTCGGTGCAATGTACAAGCGAGAAGCCACGCACCATGAACCCGCGATGTTCTTGTTCCTTGACTCAGCAAAGATTGGATTACCAGAGGATGATGCCTGCGTGTTCTCCCTCGATCACAGCCGTCTCCCGGGCTACGAAGTCAGAATGACTGCGGCTGAGTTGGACCCGAGTTGGCGATCATCGCAAGTGACACGCGAGCCGACATCTGTCAGGGCCTTCTACCGCCAATGGATCCAGGTACCTGGTGCAGAACTGTCTATCATGTATCCCAATCAGGGCATGGACTACCAAACTTTGCAGACTGGAAACAAAATCTCAATTGATCATGGAAATTGTCACAATGCTTGCCTCACAATTGCCTCGCTATCAGCGCACCCAGATGCTCTGAAACTCCGCGACACGGCAACTTATTGGCAGTCATGGGATCCTGAAGTCTCTCGCCTGGAATTGAAAAAGCTTACCTGGTTGTTCTCGAAGCTTGCCGCATGCCCTGACTTCGAAAACTGGAACGACATCATATCGCCTATCCCAACCTACGAGCATGATTATTCCAACGAAAACTGCAATATCTGCAACCCGCCTTCACCGAGTATCGTTTGGGGCCGCAATAACAGCGGTAGAATCACCCCATATGAAAATCAGCTGGAGGCGGCTGTTTATGAGCGGGCCATCAAAGCTCGTCCGTCAAATTTCTTGATCTTTAGACGGCTGAAGGAGAATGGGCACGCGGAACTACGAGTTACCCTCAATGTCCAAGCTTTGGCGCACCAAGCCCGTGCCAAATTAGCGGGATTGCTCAACCGCAAGACAATCACATCGCAATGGCGACTCATCACCCAAGCTTACGACATGGTCAAAGGACCCTCTACCAGGTTCACTCTCATGGACAACGCCGCTGACATTCCGTCACCACAACCCCCCAACTTCAAAAAGAGGCTGCGTCTCGAGCAACTTCGATCCCTGAGCTGGATGATTTCACAAGAAGACCCAGAGATCGAGCCATTTATTGAGGAAGAGATTGAAGAGTCCGTGCTCTCTCTGATGCCATGGCGAGCTGAAGTCAAAGCTGCGATGCCAAATACAGTTCGTGGTGGCTTGATCGCCGACGAGGTCGGATATGGAAAGACCGCCATTGTTCTTGGTCTCATCGACTCGCAATACGAAGCGGACTTGAAAATTTCTCGCGAAGATGATGGATTGATCGCTGCAAAAGCAACCTTGATTATTGTGCCCAGCAATGTCTGCCGGCAATGGGCAGAAGAGATTCAGAAGTTCCTTGGAAACACATACAAGGTTGTGAATATGAAATCCAGCAGCAACATCACCATTCAACAAGTCCTAGATGCCGACATAGTCCTTATGCCATGGAGCATACTTGCAAATGATACCTACTACCGCCGGCTTCATCAATTGACCGGAACACCAAAAGTTCCCTCGAGATCGCGCGGATGCACAGGTCGAAGTTTCGATAGTTGGTTCGAAGGTGCTCGTGATTCCCTTCAGCAGTTGGTGGGAATCTTGAAAACCGAAGGACCCGAGGCGATGCTCCAGGAATTGGAGGCCAGACGTCGCCAAGTCGAAGAGACAAATACCAATGCTACATTTGTCCCATCCCGCCGTCTACGTGGCCAAGCATTTGCTGATGCTAACGCATCTGGCGATCGTCCCGCAGTGCCAGAAGTTGCAACTTCTGGGGACGATTCGGGAGTTTCGGACACTGATCCTTCTGAATCTGAGGATGACTCTGACGACGATGCCCCTGATGCCAGCGGCACCCAACAAAAGCGAAGCCGCAGTGTAAGATCACAGACCGGCCGAGGAGCAAAACGACGCAACCCCATTGCAACAGTTCCTGGGAAACCTTCGAAACCCAAATCAGGAAGCACAAAAAAGCAAAAGGTGCCCGACGACCGCAAAGATTTCAACATCAAGGGAGACAAAAACCAAGATTGGCGTTCGGTCAAAGCTGCTCTCGTTCATGCTTTCTCTTTCAACCGTTTGGTCATTGATGAATACACATATGCCGGCGAAGAGAGACAGGCATCTCTGGTGGGATTGCGTGCACGCTCCAAGTGGATCCTTTCTGGCACACCAGCCCTCGATGAGTTCGCTGACATCAAGAGCATTGCACGATACCTCGGTGTTCATCTTGGCATAGACGACGATGCTGACTGTGATAAGCCATCCCACAACCTAAGATTGAAGAACATTCGGAAAAACCACACGGCTGCCGAAACCTTCCAGTTCTACCAAGCCCCGCACAGCAATGCGTGGTATGGACACCGCCGGCTGCATGCTCAAAACTTCCTGGATCGGTTCGGGCGTTCGAACCTTGCAGACATCAAGGAGATCAAGTTGACGACACACATCAAGATCGTTGGTCAAACCCCCACCGAAGAGGCAGATTACAATACACTTTTCCAAGCCGTCAAGGACAACAGAAGACGTATAGATGGCCCCATGAACAGTATTCTGTTCAAAAGTCAATTCCCAGAGGAGGCTCTCATCATGGGCTGCACAACCTCTCTCGTCGGGAAATCGCCCTGGTGCCTCGAAAGTTGTCTCAAAGGCTCAGACACCTTCGATGAAAAATCTCAGTGGTACTGGCTTCAAATAGAGTCACTGTGCGGCGAAGCCGCGATATTGTGGTATCGCTCCAGCATCAACAAAGATGGCTGGAAAATTTTGCACACTGATGTTATGAAAGGCAAATTTGAGGACCGTGTTATCTGCGATAAATTCGAGAGCCTCGTGCGCGATTGCTTCGAAACCTACAAGCGGTGGTCCCTAAAAGACGAGGACAAACACAATTCTCTGAGCCATTGTCTTGACCAGAGAGAAGAAAAGATCCACGCCAGCAACCCCACTGCCAGTGATCACACAGCTGCAATCACTAAGAACCTCACCAGCGAGTTAATTTCAAACCTGAGACGAGCCCGCGAGGTTGACCGCACAAAACGGTTTTACCATTCCGCGGTGGAGGCTCAGACCTCCTCCGTTCTGACGTGCCATAACTGCAAGGAGGATTGCTCGGAAAAAGAAAATCTGAACGTCTTCAAGTCCTGTGGCCATATTCTTTGCACGAGTTGCAAGAACGAAGCCAAGGTGTTCAAGAAATGCATCATCGAAAGTTGCATGGCAAAGTTTTCAGAATCTCAGATCATTCCCGGTGGAACCCTGATCAAGGACAATAACCCAGATACCGTCAGCTCCAAACTCAAAGAGCTCATTCAAATCATCCGCGACATCCCCAAAGATGAGCTTGCTCTCGTCTTCGTTCAAATTGGCCATCTGATGCCCGTGGTTGCAGACGCCCTCAAGATCGCTGACATTGAACACCGCATGGTCACTCCTGGCAAATTGAAAGTCATCGAAGAATTCACCAAGGGCCCCAAAGCACAAAAACGCGGCGAGCAGCCTCCTCCACGACCCAAGGTCTTGATTTTAAATCTTGGAGGTGCTATGGCTGCTGGATTGTAAGTTACCTCGTTTTATCTCATTGCAGCGAGACAAATTTGCTAACCAATTGAAAACAGAAACCTCCAATGCGCAAACCATGTCATCTTCGTCTCGCCACTCTTCACTCAAAACCAATATGATTGGGACTCTGGCATGACTCAAGCCATTGGCCGTGCCCGACGATACGGTCAGCAACGAACAGTTAACGTCTACCACCTACTTGTCCGAGGATCCTATGAAGTCAACATCTTCCAAGATCGTCAGAATCGCAAACTCGTTGAGCGCAATGGTGTTGCAACCTTGCTTCCAGTTGGCGAAATGCCTTTGCCAACCGACGTCATGCTGGAGGGCCCGCGGCTTCGCGACTAAGATGAAGAAGTTTCGAAATACGGTCTATTGAGGCCAATCATATGTTGTGCTATCTGTTGTGTAAGAATTTCAGCGTCAGTTCATGATCATAGCAAATGTCAGAGAATATTCCAATTTGACAAGTTCTAAGTATGCGTAGATCTTGGCTCAAAATTTGAACGATCAGCCTCAGTAAGCTTGACATGCAATTGTGACATGAGAAGAAGTATCAATATCAGCCCGAAGGCGTACTGAGCATCGGTTTCTAATCCTATACAGTGTAGACATCCAAGCATGTCCTACGGACACTCACTCAATACGCTAAAACCTGAAACTACAACCTTTAGTACTCGATACGCAAGAGTGTTCTAGGAGAGGAAAACGATTAAGAGAAAAAGATGCGATTGGTCCTGCTTCCACCGCAATTGGGCCAGATGTACATCCAGACTCCAATCACCAAAGTATCAAGGACGTACTGTACATGAAGAAACAAAAACGAAAAAGACGCCTCAAAAGTGGTAATCATTCAGGGCGCCAGGGGGCGCGGGAACCTCTATCATCGTGCTGACCGCGGTACCCAAGGCGGCTTCTGCTCGTCCAGTGGAAAAAATAAAAAAAAAATAAAAACACAACCATTATGATATCCCTCCCATCGCAATTGACCGACGGCAATGAAAAGAGCTTTTTATATCTTTTTGCTGATTCCTTATTGCTGGGGCGCCGCGTCCAACGCACCGTCCTTGCGCATCATGCTCTCAGGGTTCCACACAGGGACCTCGGTCAGGTTGGTGAGACCGGCGCTGTTCTCGCAGGTATCGCGCCCGCTCAGCGGGCCGGGAGGGGGAATCTTGCCAGTGGTGGCGGAGTCCTTGAGAGCTGTCAGGATGGTCTTGATGGATTCCGGGGTCAGGTCTTCGTAGTAGTCGTCGTTGATCTGGACCATGGGGGCGTTGACGCAAGCGCCCAGACATTCGACTTCGACGTATGTGAAGAGGCCATCTTCGGTGGTGTGGCCGGGGGTGATTCCGAGGTGCTCGGTGATAGCCTTGACGATGGCAGTGCTACCGCAGCCGCCGAGCTGGCATGGGGTCTGGAATTGGTGTTAGGATGGTTGGGGTATGGCGCGGAGGACTGTTCTTACCGTTGTGCAGATCTGCACGAAGTACTTGCCGACGGGCTCGCGGTTGTACATGGTGTAGAAGGTTGCGACTTCGTAGACACGCATGGGAGGCATCTCGAGCATGCGAGCGACTTCGTTCATGACGCTGATGCTGGTGAAGCCGTGCTGGCGCTGGCCGAGGTCGAGGAGAGGCATGACGGCGGCCTTCTTGTACTGGGGAGGGTAGCGCTTGAGGATCTCATCGGCGAGTGTGAGGTTCTGCTCGGAAAACTTGAACGGGAGAGTCGGGTTGTTGTTGGGCTTGTTGCGGTGCTGTAAGGGGCAATTATCGTAAGTATATGAATACAGAGCAGTCGGATTTGGAGAGGCAATCCCCCATCTCAAGCTGTCGGAGGGTCAGGAAGAACACGCACCACCGAAAGGGAGTCGCTGAGCCGTTGCGAACCAGCGGAAAAGGCTCTGTATTGGGACTTGGGGAGCTGGGAGACCAGCTGGCGGCCCACCCGGGGGACGGAGAAGAGTTGAGAGGCCATCGCGAGCGACGAGGGAGGGTCAATTGGAGTGGAAGTTGTGGTTGGAGGTTGGAGGAGAAGACGAATTCAAGGACAAGGCGTTTTGCGGGCGGATCCTGTGGCCAATCAGCGTGCGTACATTACTCCCGCTTTACCAATCCTCCGTCCCACAGCCCTTCGACCTTTATACACTTGCAACAGTTGTTTTGTCCATTGTCTGCTCATATTCATTCGAACTACAATTTAATGATTGGAAATTACAAGACAGGATGCATAGCTGTTCCGACACATTGGCACCCTGATACGCCCCTTGGCCTCTTCGCTGGATCGATCGATCCCTCATCGTGATGATCGCAGACTAAACATTCTCCATCTTATACACCTCATAGGCGACCTGCTCATAGGGATGCGCTGCAACTAGAGCCTCGACTGCATTGAGCATGACAGTCCGCCCTAAGCACATGATCTCGATCCTAAGCTCCTCGCATCGCTCCAAAACACCGACAGCACCGACTGCTGGGTCTGCGCCTGCACTGGGTAAGAATTGGCCAGTTCCAACTGTCTCGAAGCAGACTCTGGTGTACTTCCCACCTGGGAAGGACCCTGCGCCAGCTGCAAAGATAGCTTCCTTGCAGGGCTCTGCGTTCTCTGTCGGGACAAAGAAGACTAGCTTGTAGCGGTCCGGAATTGCCGATGTAGACATATTGCGGCTCAGATGAAAGGCTTTGTATCTGATTTCCGGTTGTGCGGAGTGTGATGGCCCGACTTTCCGCTGTGTGTGGTGTGGCTTGGACGCTACAGATGACACAGAGTATAGGGTGCGATAGGTTTCAGGTCGTGATTGAAAGCGTAAAGCAGACCTTGGGAGAGACCAGATTCCGGGCGTGACTCGAGGCATGAAACAATGCCCAGATGTTCCGTAGTCTATGTTGTCAGACGGGAGATGCAGGGAGGTATGTAATCACTAGTGGGATATGATGTGCGCTGTCTGCAGACCAAGTCAACCACTGGGACCTCGGAGTTGGGATATAGCGACGACAATATAGAAGAAGTGCCTGCCCAGGTGCTTTGTGGGAGAGTTTTATATTGCCTCATTGCATCCATGGGTCTGCATAGGATAAGGTGAGGGGTTCCGGATTCAGTGCCTGATTTCCAAGGCAAATACAACAACCTGGGAGTCCTACGGAGTAAAATGTATGGAAATTCCAAGGTTCACACTTCAACTTGCCATGCTCCTGATATTTATACTGAAGTTGAGATTGGTATACAAAAGTGTTGAAACACAGGGTATCAGATGCATCGCTCACGCCCTCGACTGAAATCAAACCGTCCTCATAAAATTCATGCAGTGATGGTGTGCATATACTTCTGAACATGAGCCTCGATACTCTTCAGGATCTCCGCCTTGCGAGAGTCTTCAATCCAACTCTCCTGGACACTGTTCTCGGCAATAATCTTCCACTCCAAAACATTCAGGTTGAATGCCTCCTGCACGGCATAGTAGTTGTCCAGGATGTAGCCACCGAAATAAGCAGGGTCGTCACTGTTGATCGAGAATTTGACACCAGCCTCCAAGAATTTCCGAATAGGAACTTCCTTGACGGACTTGACGCAGCGCAAGCGCACATTCGACAACGGACAGACGGTAAGCAGGATGCCTTCGCGAGCAACGCGTTGCATGAGCTCTTCGTCTTCAATCAATCGAATGCCATGATCAATTCGCCGCGCGCCAAGCTCAAGTGCAGTGCTGATATAGGTGGGATCACCTTCCTCGCCGGCATGGGCAGTTAGAGGAATGTTCTTCTTCGCGGCAGAAGCGTAAATATCACGGAACATATCCTTTGGGGGGCCGACTTCAGAAGAAGACCAACCAAGGCCGTGAACAGTACCGTTCTCAAAGGACTTGTGAGCCACCATCTCATCGTAAAGTTCCTGCGCAGACGCAACAGGCAGATGGCGCACGAAGCACAGAATCAACTTGGTGGACAGACCGAGCTCAGACTCGGCGCGCTTGCAGCCCTTGGTGAAACCGTCGACAATGGTGTTGTATGCGACTCCACGGCTTTCGTGGACTTGCGGGTCGAAGAAGACTTCGGCGTGGTGGACACCATCCGCGTGTGCTTTTTGGAAGTATGCCCAGGCCAGATCGGCAAAGTCTTGCTCCTCGCGCAACACGGCCATGCCTTCGAAGTAGAAGTGCAGGAAGTCGTCGAGGTTGCTGAAGTGCTCGTAGCGCTTCTTGAGTGTCTCCACTGAGGTGTAGACTGGGTCGTCGGGCAGGGTGATGCCATGGCGAGCGGCCAATTCAAAGATCAGCTCTGGCTCCAGGCTGCCTTCGAGATGAATGTGGTGCTCGCACTTAGGGAGACCTTGAAGGAATTCGCGCATAGGTGATTGACACATGGTGTGATGGAGGGTTGACTTTTCCTCTGATGGTAAAATAGACACGAAAAGACCAGAAACAGCCGCGCAAGCCCTTATGTAGCGATAAAAAAAAAGTGGGTGAGTTTCAACTTTTCCCCCGCCGGTGGAGGCCGTAAACGGGCGACACCGAGATCAGATACCAACTTGACTCATTTCTGGATTTTATATATTACTATCATTTTACAAATATAGTATTACTATATTCCAAGGCCTCCAAGATATCCCTACCTAATTCAAATTTCCACTTTCTCCCGTGAAAACAGCATGCTCTAGAGTTGTGGGTATCACCTATAAGAACGCTAAGCCTTTTTAACCGCCCGTAGGCTATTCTTCTCTCGTAGCCACTTGGATCTACATCACATATTACGCTGTCTCGGACTCGGTGCCGTCCAATTTCCAACATATACAGCACTTGGGGTCAGGCAGTTCCTTCTTTTGTTGTGTTTTGCCATTGGCTTTGCAGACCCTGTAATTTTCATTCATATTTGTTATAACAGGGACGAATTGGGTACATTCAATGCGTCGCCCTACAGTAGGACACCTAGTAGCCATGTTCGCTGATGATTGGCTGCCGCTCGCTACCCCTGGTCTTGAACCTCACATTCTGCACGGAGTAGACTGCACAGTAACACTCTCCGTATTCTATTAATCTAAGGACTGCCATATCACTATATCCCATGATACCGATACAATCGCAGCGCAGTGTTAGCCACATCTCACGGCGTCTTGCAAAGTCTACCACAGCCCACCCAATCAAAGATCCAAGGGTCCAATACACATGCCCCATTGACGCGGAGCCACTTCACAGATACAAAACTGGAGGCTATCACCCAGTTTCTTTGGGCGATGACTTGAAAGCCGGAAGATACAAGCTGTTGCACAAGATAGGCTGGGGAGGGTATTCAACCGTTTGGGCGGCGAGAGATCGAAGGTTGTACTCGTCACAAGAGCCTTGATGATGATGCTGGGTTAATCACATATCTACTTTTAGGAAAAGGTCTTATGTTGCTGTCAAAATCTCCGTCGCAGAAGTCAAGCATCAGAGGGAGTCCCGGACTATACAGCAGCTGGTATCTCATCACCCGCCTCTAAGCCATACAGTGCATTTACTTGATGCTTTTCAAGTAGACGGCCCAAATGGGTCCCACAGGTGCATGGTTTATGAGCTCTTGGGGTCCAACGTTCAAGATACGATTGATGCACATTTCCCCGGAAGACTGCCTGGGAAGCTGGCTAAAACCATTGCAAAACAGAGTCTCCTTGGACTTGATTCCTTACACCAACACGGCATTGGCCATGGAGGTAAGTCATGATCAGGGAGACTCCCAAGCCAATCTCATACGCTGCAGATCTCCATACTCGCAATTTAGCCTTCACTCAACCCAATGCGGATAACCTCGCTGAGGACAAATTCCTCGAAATGCTAGGGACCCCTGATATTGGCTTGATCCAGAGAGCTGATGAAAGGAGCCTGGATCTCGAGCCCGGTATGCCCAAGTATCTCGTGATGCCTGCCTCAAATCAACTGCGTTCTTGGAACTCGTCCCAGTCTATCAAGATAATCGATTTTGGCGAATCATTCCTTACCACTGAGTCTCCTCGAACATTGCATACCCCTTTCCCTGTGCGCGCACCTGAGGTCATTTTCCAAGATCGGATCGACTACCGTGTGGACTTGTGGGGCATGGGGTGTATGGTAAGTGATATGGCGCAAGTTTCCCCCAAGGCATGGCAATTGGTTGACGGGTTCGATAGCTGTTTGAGCTCTTTACTGGCCAGCCGCCATTTGATTCATTTCTGACTACGCCCAAGATCCTGGTTGGACAGATGCGAGATATGGCAAGTGATGACTTGCCTAGGAGATGGCACGAGATATGGAATGGCATGGATGGAGACGAGGACATTGTTGAGCCGGGTCCCAATCTACAGGAATGGCTGGAAGAGGTGTATTTCGGTGACACAAAAGAACATGACCTCACTGCAGAGGATATTGCAAGGCTGGGGCAGATTATTGCAAGGCTGCTGCGGTTTGAGCCGAACGCGAGAGTGTCGGCAAGAGAAGTCCTGGATGACGCTTGGTTTCACGAGTAAATAGTTCACAGGTAATCCATTCAGGCATAGTATTCCTCATGGCCTGGAATACCTCAGTCTACCAAGTTGAAGGGATGCCCAAATCCCTAAAGAGATTGCGAATCGCAACTGGAAATCTTATAAACAGTCTATTTAAATTCAAATATACTCATAAATCATCTAAGCTCGCAGTTCAGCCCCAGCCGCCTTTCGAAGCCGGTTCATAACAGCCGCAGCAAGATCTCCCTCACTATCCGGAACGCCCTCGACATAAATCACATCGACGTCCAGATCATCCAGCGCACGAAGCGCAGCAAAGAGACCATGCGCAATAGAAGCAGTGTCCGGCCCGATATAAACATCATAGGCCATTTTAGTGCGCGCACTCGGATTACCAGTCTCCTGAACAGGAATCGGGAAGCTAATGAGGTCCTCAATCGGAGCATCAATCGGCTTGATCGAATTGGCAATCTCAGCTTCCGGAGCGAGTTCCAGACCCAGTTTCCAGTTGCGCGTACGGATCATACCAATGTTGTGAGCGCCAATGGCAGAATCATGAAGATCTTTCTGCACATGCTTGACAACCCCGGCAGGACTGGATGTGGGTTCGAAAAGAACAACTCGCGCTTTCGGGGAGTAGTGGCGGTATTTCATGCCGGGGGCGCGGGGGATTTCTTTCACGTCTAGCGAGCCGTCTTTGTAGGCGACTGTGACGTTTTCCCAGCCTGCGCATTGGCGGATCTCGTCGATGCCGATGCCTCCGGGTCGGAGGATGGCGGGTGGGTCGCATAGTCCGTCGACTACGGTGCTCTCGACGCCGACGCCTGAGGCGCCGCCGTCGAGGATCAGGTCGATGCGGCCGTGGAGATCGTGGTATACATGCTGTGCGGTTGTCGGGGATGGCTTGGTGGATGCGTTGGCGGAGGGTGCGGCGAGGGGACGGTCAGTCGCGTGGATGAGAAGACGCGCCAGGGGAGAAGAGGGCATGCGCACGCCGAACGTGGTCAGCTTTGAAGTGACTTCGGGCGCTAGTTCGGAGCCGGAGGGGTTTGGTAGAATTATTGTGAGTGCGCCGGGCCAGAATCGGTCGATCAGAGACTTGTAGATTGCGGGGACCGTGATGGGTGGTGTCTTGGTGGAGTGGGGACTTTGAACGCTGGGATTGAGCAGTCGATCCAGCATCTCCAGGGAATCGACGTGGATGATCAGCGGGTTGTCCGAGGGTCGCTGTTTCGCACGGTAGATGCCCTGGACCGAACCACTGCGCGTGGCATCGGCACCCAGCCCGTAGACTGTCTCGGTGGGAAAGGCGACAGGGAGATCACTCGAGCGCAGCAGTTCCGCGGCTTCCTCGATGGCCTTGGATTCAGGCGTTTGCTGATTACGCTCCTGTTTCCACCATTCGGCCAAAGACAGATTCCCGGGCCCTTGGCTGAGCCGCTGAACGGAAACAACTCGCGTAGGTGTAGCCATGGTAGTGAAGAGTCTGGCACAACTGCGCTGCCGGCCGGTGAAAATGCGAGTAAAAACCAACTTGATGTTCGCGTGAATCTCAATGACGCACCATTCAGGCGCGCTAACTGAGGGGCGAAATGATGCCTGAGGGGCCGATTCCCAATTACGTAGAGTGGGATTGGTGAGGCTGTTCTATACGATTATCATGCTGCACGATGCCGTCAGCGATAGTCAATGCCCAGGTGCGAGGTTCGAAGCGAAGAATTTCGATGCAAAGGGGATGACGTCGAAAATGTGGATGACTCATCTTGGGCGCGACATCTGCCCTCCCTGGTCCTTCGAGGTTATATTGCATCCTGATTCATTTGATTTTGTATGGTGAGCCTCTACATGTGCATATGTGCATGTAAGCTCAGTGTAGTGGATATAAAATTGAAGTTCGTGGCTGCCCAGGTGGTCAGCCATTGGGAGACCGGAGTCGACATCTACCCTTCGGAGACGTGATGCATATAGAAATCTAATCTATGTAACACTGTACTATATTTTTGGACGAGAAGATCATTTCTTCTTGCCCTTGGAGGCTCCTTTTCCACCACCGCCGCCCTTTCCACCTCCACCCTTGGCTTTGCCCTTGTCACCTCCACCGCCGCTTCCGACACCAGCAGTCATGATGCGTACCTTGCCCACAACCATGGTGTTGATGATCTCGGTGTCTTTCCAGCCCTTGATGAGCTCGCCCTCTCGTTCCCGGAGGCGCTCGGCATCAGCACGAGGGATTCCAGCCTCTTCGGCATGCTCCTTCTTAACCTTGCCAGTGGTGGTTTCGGACACCCACCGACCAACAATCTCCTTCACGGCCTTTCCTTTCTTCACGGCGCCTGGTTGCAACTTGACCTTGTATTTGTAACGTCCAAGCGCAGCCCACGGGGCGCAGACAGGAATTGCTGCAATGACCTCGTCATCTGGGGTTGGTGTGCCAATCAGAGCTGGGATCCAGGTAAGATCTGCGGCTTCTGCGGCAGCGGTCTCTTCGTTGTAATCATCGGTTCCATTTTCAGTGAACTGGGCCTGGCGCTTGCGCTCAGCTTCAGCGGCACGCTCGTGCTGGGCACGGCGACGCTGTCTCTGGGCCTCCGCATCTCGCTCGCGCTGTTCTTTGGCTTCGGCGGCCTTTGCTGCCTTCGCGGCTTTGCCTTTGTTGGCACCCACGAGACGAAGGGCAAGCTCGCGCTCTTCGTCATCTTGGTGGGCATACTTGGCAGCAGCACGCTTGTCCTTCGCTCGCTTGGCCCGAGTGGGGGCAATGCGCGGCGCGGCGGGCTCTTCGGGGCGATCAAGAGGTTTACCCTGTCGCAAGGTACGGCGCTCACGAGCAGACAGTTTTGGCTCTTCGGGCTGGTCAGATGGGGCCGAAGATTGCTCTTCGCCTGCCAGGTGCTCTGCTGGAGTTTCCTGCTCTTGCTCGTCTGTTGGTTCCTCTGCATCTTCCGGGTCGGACTCAGATTCGGACTCCCCGGGCTGCTGCTGAGTAGTCGGCATCTCGGTTTCACCCCGCTGGAGAGGGTTCTTGGTGGCCGCCTTGTTGTCTTCGTCCTGCTCGTCCTGCTCATCCTCGGAGGCCGATTCTTGCTTGGTATCCTCGGCCGCATTATCATTAGCTTCTTGCACAGGCTCGGGTTGTTCTGGGGCAGTTGGGGCCGAGGATGAGTCCTGTTCATGAGTCTCGGCCTGGCTTTCAGAGCTGACAGCAGGCTGCGGGGCGTCTGGTGTATCGAATAGCTGCTTGTGGTTTCGGATACTATCCTGGCTGACTTGGAACATGATACCGAATCCGAGCACTAATTGCGATGGAGCCAAAAAGTTCTTCTCTCCCTTGATTTGAAATACACCAGTTGGCATGATACCACTACCATTCTCTGCGATCTTTGACACCTGGTGAGCATGGGCCCACCAAGCAGACATCACAGCCTTGGAATCCCATGCAGATGAAGTCGCCACACAAAGGTTGCCGGCCTGAGAAAGTGTGCTTGGGGGAATCGGCGCATCCGCATATCCGGCTCGGTTCTTGACCACGATCGGTGTTGCACCTTCCAAATCAGCATGAACGAAAACGTCGCCCTTGGTCAAGTAGCGACGGTAGAGAAGTTCACTTTGCATGGAGTCGCGTGCACTATACAAATTAGCAGTTTATCGCAATATTTCAATACGAGTACCACATACCCAATAGCCAAGTAACCCTCAGAGGAGATGAAGAAGATAAACTTCTCGAACCAGAATGGGGTCCTCGATTGCCGCAACACTTGCTTCTCCTTCTTCAAGCCTTTCTTCAGGTCAGTCGTCACCTTCTTCTCGTGGCTTTTCAGCGCCATTGCAGAGGACTGGGTAGTCCTCTGCTCCTTCTCCGAGGCTTGCTTCTTTTGGTCGTAGTACTGCGATGCATTGGCCCAAGGGCTTATATCGAGGTCGATGTCGATTGTCAATTGCTTGGACTCGCGATCGGCGCGTTTGCGCTGATACTCTTGTTCATTTTCCGAGTCCGAGTCTGATTCTTCGCTGCTGGAAAATTCCTCGTCCTCGTCTTCATCCTCGTCGTCACCGGCTTCTCCTAGGAGGAGAGTAATTGTGTTCTCATACAACTTCAGGGGAAGCTTGATGATTTGCGCAACTGGGTTCCCACGGCCTTGTTCCATTTCAATTAAACGCGCGATTTCGCCCCAGTCCATTCCTTGGGCCACCAATCCGTTCACAGCATCCATTGCTTCTTGGACACGGTAGACATTGTCTTGAATGGCGTCTGCTTTGCGAATGTGGAGCTCCTGTGCATCTTTCAGTGCATCGATTCGCTTCTTGTGCTCTTGTCGCACGGATTCGAGCTTCTTCTTGGCCGCCTGTTCGCGTTCCGTCAAACGTGACTCGAGTCGCTGTGATTCCAAAGAGGAGAAGTACTCGTCGACCGTGGCATTAAAACGCTCAAATTCAAGAATCTTGATCCCTGGTTTGTTTTCGAACTGCCGAGGCTTGAAAGGGTGGAAGTCTTCGTATAGTAGCCCCGGAGCCTTGGTCGAGCTGTCCTCCTCGGAAACGGGTCGGGTGTCTTCCTTGGCGACGATGTAGCCTGGATGGCTGTCGCCCGAGTCGAACCCAGTCGAAATACGCTGCGCCTCTTCGAGGACATCTTGCACCTGCTTCAACAGATCTTGGCTCCCCAAGACTTGATCCAACGGGAGGGTAGTGTCGAATTCCTTCACCGCAAAGACGTGATCCAGGAGCAAGGGAGGGTATTCAGGGAATCCTTGGGACAAGGCCTTTCGCAGAACATCGGTGCCTTTCTTTTTGGACTTCTTCGGCGCATTACCCTCCTTCGCAAACAGGGCCTGGGCTTTCTCCAATGTTTCCCTGACTCGATCTGCCGTGATGTCCGGAATTCCGTCATAGTTTTGTTTGTTGGATAAAGTATATTGGAGGCCGAGTTTGATTTCTTCCTGTCCCTCGCCTGGGGAGACCTGTCGGAACAAGGCAAGGATGTTGTGCTCACGGTCCGTCAAGATGATATTACCACCAGCGAAGAACTCTAGGTAGACGTGGTAGGCGCCATCGCTGAAAGTGATGTCAATGATGCGATCCGTCCCGATTTGGGAGATACCCGTGATTCGGCGAGATTTCAGATATTTGCGTAGTCGCGTCACAAAGGGCGAAGGTGTGGTTGCCGCCGTTCGTGAATATTGAGTGACATGAGTGCGGAAACCGGAGTCAACAATGAGTTGGCGACGGTGGTCCGGTTTCGCGAGCTTGAAAAGGAAGATACGCTAGTCGCCAAAGAGCATTAGTCCCGACCCATTGACGTGGCACGAGGGAAGGTGATCATACCGAGGAAAGATCGTAAATATTGGACACGCGGAGGTTGACGCACTCCGACGCCAGCTCCTGCGAGATGACCTGAGACCATTAGCTTGGCTCGTTCTCTTGCAATGTGCCCGACATACCTTCACATCCAAAGACGAGAATCTCTGCTTCATGGTGGTGTTGTTGAGGAGAAAAGGAATTTTCGAGTGTGACGTATGCGGGGCAGGAACCATCGGCGTCCAAAACTGGAATAGCGGCCATGGCGACGTTAAGTCCGCTCTCCAATGCCCTAATCGGTGTCTTTGTCACTGCGCCTTGAAAGAATACTCCATTTGAGAAGATCCTGTTTGATGAATTAAAATTTGCAGGGTTTCTTTCACTATTTTTAGTATTGTTCACGTAAAATAGTCAAGTCATTAAGACCTCGATCCTAAAAGTCCGCTAGGACCAAAGCCTGACTGAGTATTGAAAGTCATTTATTGTACTTCACTTGCGAGACTGAGCTTATAACTATGCTACGAGAAACTAGAAGCTCAGTCGCATTTGGCAAGCTGATCTTCAGTGTGAATAAACGTGGAACGTACCACCAAGAAGAGTCAAAGCCTCGAAGTATCAACCCTCTGGTTATTGATGCTATGGATTCGAGCTTGCGTGTTCCAATTCAGAAGTTTTTATTACAGCGCTAGCGATATAATTCACAGCCATAGGGTGAAAGATCGATTTCCACGGCACCCAATAAGGCTATTAGGTCCCAACGTTTGAGGGCTCATCAACCCCAAAGAGGGACCATCTGTTCGAGCTTTCCAGCATTTTACCAGTGGAAAACAGTTTGAGAATGAACTCATCCTCAAAAGCTCAGGCAGATTGAAGAATTTTCGCGCTTTCGAGGCTATAGTTCCAGGGCCGGGCTAACCCAAAAGAGAAGTTGTTGGAAGAAATCCCCACTATTCATCCCTTCAGCCAATCACATGGGCGTTGCGCAGCCGCAAAAAGACGCGGATATAGTCCTATCACTTCGAGACGGGCTTTCGATTTTGCCTTCAGAATCTTCATATATAAGAGACCTGCAAGAACCACAAATGGCTCCTTCTTTCTATTTTCATGACCACCTCGGCCTGGCGCCTTTCCTATCGTTACCGTCCCCTCGTCTCGATACTGTGCCATTTCTTCACAATTTGTATCACCTTCAAACGATCCACCATGACTGGAACACAAATTACCAAGACTCTACTGGAGAAGGCTTATGTAGCCAAAGAGATCTTTGAGCTTCGCCCTGACTATCGCGCCCTTCTTATGGTTCTTGAGGGCATTTCTCCCGGTCCCAGCGATGAGGCCAGTGAAGCCCTTCTTCAGGGAGCCGAAGTCTGCGTCAAAGATCTACTCTCCAAACACCCCGTTACCGAGATCCCACATATCTCTGCGTGGCGCGAAGCCTACAAAGCCTTTGGCGCAAAGCCACAGAAAACACAAAACAGCTTGGAGGCATTGACACGTCGGGCAAAGACCGGTCTACCACGAGTCAATCGATTGACCGATATCTACAACGCCATTTCAATCAAGCATCAAATTCCATTTGGTGGTGAAGATCTTGACAAGTACAACGGGTCCCCGTTCTTGGTCCGCGCCACTGGCCAGGAACAATTCCAAACTTTTTCCAGCGGTGAACCCATCACGGAACTTACGGCGCCGGGTGAGCCTATTTGGTGTGATGACACTGGCGTTACTTGTCGCCGCTGGAACTGGCGACAGGGCCCTCGGACTGCGTTGAGCGATGATACCACTCGTGTGCTTTTCATCTTGGATGCATTAGAGCCGCTTTCAGATGAGGCCCTCCTCTGTGCTGCCGATGAGCTTGCCTCGGAATTGAAACGCACTTCCCCGGAACTGCAGGTGGCACAGAGGCTGATCAGTGCTTCGGGTTGAACATGTTGTGTACAAGATCTTCGAGCATTGCCTTGGCCTTGAGTATATTAGATGAGAAATTTGTATTTAATCATTCCTGAGTTAGACCAAATCCCTGTTCCTGGCAAACCTAATATGTATTTCAGGCTTCTCTAGAATAACTCACTCTGTTTGTTGATTTAAACGGCAGGTTTTGCCTCAACATCCCCAAACCCCGGGTAGCTCACATTCCACCTAGATCTCATTCCCGCTGATCCCAAAATGCCGACTTTGTTTACGCCCGAATACCGACAGACTGAGGAATGCCTAAGATCCCACCATATATCAAAATAGATCGGCGGTTCATAAATCGTGCTTGGGAACCCGGTTCTGATCTTCCCACCCCGCAACCTAAGCCTTCCATCGTTGATACCAATATTCCCACATCAACATCCAATATAACTCCATTCTCTCAATATGAAGCTTACAATATTCCTTCCGCTCACTGCCTTCTTGTCCTGGGCAGTGGCTGATTCTGCGGATCCCCGCGAAGAAGCCAGTGTCTGCCTTGTATGCTTCCCACTCGCTGGATGAGATCCGCCGGAGGACTAACCATTTCTTTTCTATTCAATAGGTTACGTGTCTCGATGGTGCTGCCGCTACTGCCGGTTGTCACAACTCTGTCGATTACGAGTGTGCCTGTCCCAGTACAGTGTTCAAGGATGCACTTGCAACGTGTATGAAAAATAACTGCACAGCAGATGATATAACGGGTATGTCGCTGTTCCCTTCTACCGAATTCCGTCTCAATTTCTCATTGGGCCCCATGGATCTTCCATTTCTTTTTTGGCACATGCTGATCGCTCTCGTTCACATTCGCAGTCGCTGGAAAGATTCACGAGTACCATTGCGGGACACCGGCGCCATAAAAAATTGTACATACTTCATTGTCTATATAATGTTTAATTCACTTTTGGATATTTTATCTTTTTCGTTTTCGACGACTTTCTGTTCCCTCTACCTAAATATGTATCAAATTCGTTTGGGCTTAACTATCCATGGATGGTATGCTGCGCAGTGGTGAAGAATAGGCCCGGGTAAATCCATGTTTAGGTGGATATATATCTGCAACCTTCCCGATTCTTTTTATGGGTGGCTCTGAAATTTTGGAATGCAGTCCAACCTGGATTTAGGCCAGGTTTTTGAAGTCCTAATTTGGACTCTACGTAGTAACTCGCAAAGTGTCGAAGGATCGAAAAATGGGGTAATTGGGCGACGGTCAAATTTGGGGAGTGACGTGACCAGATTTTAACCTTTTAGTCTCCTGCACCGATCAACAGAGTAGCATTAGGTCTAGACTCTTCCAAGGTCTCGTCGATTCAATATTCGAGGTTGAGATGTAAGACCTCGGACGAAGTTGCTGCCGTGACATTCGGGGAACGCCCCAAAGCGCGCGTTCAACTATCGGCTGGCCAGTCATACGGAGTAGAACCGATCACGATCCATGATGCTACACGCAAAAGTTCAGAATTCTAAGGTTCCTACGATCTACAAAATCTCAAGACTCGGGATCCAACAAATTGCCCATGGAAGAACTCCATCATTGCGATTGCACGAGACTGATATCAAGATAGGTGGTAAAAGGTAACAATAAGAGAACATTCAAGTATTTTTGTCGTTCTGAACTTCATATTCTGAATAACCCATAACCATCTAAGCGAGGTTCTCGTAGGCATCGGGGAAGCGCTTCATGTTCTCCTCGATGAGACCGTGGCCACGGAGGAACTGAACGTAGGCACCGTCGGAGCGGAGCTTGCCCTCCTGGCGGAGCTGAACGTAGTCCTCGCGACGAACGGGGGTGAAACCCCAGTTCTTGGAGACAATGATCTTTTGGCGACCGGGGAACTTGTACATAGAGCGGCGGAGGGCCTCGAGAGCGGTAGCGCGGTGGGCGTCACGGGTGCGGACGGACAGAATGATCTGGCCAATGTTCACACGGGCGACGAGACCCTGGGGCTTACCGAAGGCACCACGCATACCGGTCTGCAGACGATCGGCACCAGCGCAAGACAACATCTTGTTGATACGGACGACGTGGAAGGGGTGGACGCGGACGCGGAGGTGGAAACCTTCCTTACCGGCGATCTTGACGAGGTACCTGCAAAGAGAGTATAAGTTTGCGCTCATGGGGGTGAAGTTGAGATCGGATCGGATCGGGTGACGTACTTGTTGGCGCAAATACGGGCGGCTTCGAGAGCCTCGGAGGAGAGCTGCTCGTACTCGTTGGAAACAAGGTGGACACACATGGGGAAGTCATCCACGTTAGCCTTCTTACGACCAAGATCGAAGATACGAATCTTAGGGTCGGGAACACCACGGTTGAACCGGGACTTGGGGTAAGGCTGAATAGAAATTCATGTTAGTGTTAGATCGAACACAGAAACCATCCAGTTCATAGCAGCCAGTGTTGCCCTCAGCGACAGGTAGTTCTCGGTTGTGGCGAGATTGAGGAACATGATGCTCGATGCTTTCCCCCCACAACCGAGATTCCCACACAAATCTTCATGAACTGGCGAAATCGAAACGCACCTTGTTCTTGCAGTAGCGGTAACATCTCGCGGGACGACGGGCCATTTTGAGTGCTGGAGTGTGGTGATGGCACTTCCTGCGAACTGGGTGTGGGTTGTCGGTGGTGTCGAGGGTTCGGAAGAAGAAAGAGAAAAGACTCACGACCTGCGGGTCACGGGATTATGCTTGGAAATCCACCACAGTGTGCTATTATCACGTGATAAATCAAGTAAGCCCTCCAGGGCTAACCCTACTGAGCGGACCAATGATAATCACCCATTCTACGACGCCTAACCGCTTTGGGATGCATACTTCCAATCGGAGCAACATCTCCCCAGACAAGTACATACAATGCGACATGCTTGATAAGCATGGATTGCCTTCAGTGCCATTTCAAGGGCTGAAGCAAGGCAACTATGAATGAGTCACATCATCGATGACATGACTCCGGGGTACCTTTGTTTCCGTTCGACCTGATAAGGTCCCGGGGGCGGATACTACATACGCGATCCCTTTGACAGCACCTGCTCGCTGAGTACCCCATATGATTGCCTCCGTTCAGATCCGGCTTTCCCAAGACTTGTTTTGAGAATCCTTGATGAATCGAAAGAGATGGATTCTTTCACATTCGGCACTTGACAAAGGTTCATCGAACGATCCAGGTGGCGGCTCGGAAGAGGCGACCGGGGAAGTCTCCGTTGATCTGTAATCAAGTGTTATGGCCTCAGACCTCGCTCTCAATGATGAGAAGGAAATGTGATTGGCTTTGGCATGTCAATAACGTGACTGCGAGCAAGAACAAAACCTTGGAAAGGCATGGCAACTTGTAAGGTTGTCATGGAGTGGTTCCAAGACTTGTCGCTCCTAGCAGAAAGAAGGCATGTCCCTCTCGCTCTGTTTCCCCTATTTTTTCACAACAGGGGCAATTCAGAGTTGAAACGTTGTTTCTGTTTCCGTATCGCCTCGAGCGTTGACAGGGAGATGAGAGTAGGGGTCTCCGTTGAAGATCGCTATAGATACGGTGGAGCCATGGGAACCTAAAACGGTGCTGAGTCAGGTGTCGCCTGAGGCATCATATGTACGAGCATCGTTGCCCTCAGGTTTCATCTTGGGCAGCATTCCACTGTCTAATAAGATGAACCTAGCCTATTAATCCCCTGAAACACTGATTCTATTGCTTTTGTGTCTCGAGTGACCTGGATCTCGTATTATTGCAGCCCCCAAAGCCGTTACGGTGTATTTTTAGAATACAGAGTAAGGGATCCGCATTCATAACAACAAATTCGAGGCTGCAAGCATTTCCTCGATCTCTCTCTCATTCCATCTTGCCGGCGACTACTTCCGATGATTCCTCAACTTCAGTCAACCATGTGGCCCGCAATCAATCTGTGACGACTTTCACTACATTCCTGACCTTAATCTGTGGTACAAGCGCTCTCCACTACGGTGTCCACTAGCCTTTGACCGCTCCGAATTACGCCTGCTCCCTGTTTTTCTCCTTTCTCTCTGTCAATTGGAGTATATCGGGCAAATATATAGGTCTATTCTTACCAGAGTCCCCACGGGCTTGGAATCTGCACCATGTCAGCGACGCCTCGCAAGCCTGGAACCCCCGGCAATTCCAACAAATCATCACTCGCAGATCCGCCCTCCAACAACGGGTCCACCACACGAGGACATGCACGCTCACCCAGCGCAGCCAACGGCCTCAACCGATCTCCATCCTTGAGAGGCTCTACTCCTGTATCTGCGCGCGCGGCCGCAAGAAAACCTGGTCGCTCCAATCTCAGCATGTCGAACGTTCCACGAGTCTCCAACGACCCGTCCGAGGAAGAGGCGCGGGCCCAGAATGCCGCCCTCATTGAAGAACTGCGGGAGCAGCTTCAAAAGGCAGAGACGGCCTCCGAACAATATCAAAAACAATTAGGCGTTCTACAAATGCGCCTGGACGAAGCGCTCAGCGAGCAAAGTAAGCTGGAAGATCAGGCCCACGAGCGAGACAGTCGGATCGAGGCTCTCAACAGCGATATCCGGGACCAAGGTCGTCAGATTCGGGATCTGGAACAAAACCACGAATCCGAACGCAATGCGATGCTTCAAGAGAAGGAGCAACAGACCAGCCGGGAAGAGGAAATGCAGGCCACCATCCAGCGCCTCAAGGACTCCATGGCACAGAGGGATATGCGCATCAACGCAGAGGGCGACCGCAGTCAAGTTTCCAGATCTTGTAAGATCCCACCCCGCTGCCATCACCACACACTCGATACAGATACTAACTTCGACCATAGCTAGCTTCCGCAACCGCGCCTCCCCGGACGTTGAGGGCCAGTTTGCGCCGTCGTCGCACATCGAGCGAAGCCCGTCCCGAAACAACTCCACACTCCTTTTGCAGAAAGACAAGGTTATCGAGTCACTGCGTCTTGAGCTCGCCGAATCACAGATCAAACTCGTCGAGATGGAAAATGCCGGGGGAGGTCGCCAGCGCGAACTGGAGAAGGAGTTGCTGGAGGCTCGTATGGCCAACGCTCGTTTGATGGAAGACAATGAGAGCTATCAGCTTCTCCTGAGTGAGAAGACTCTCACAGGTGACTTCACCAAGGGCGAGTTCATGCGAGATGTCCACCCCACAAAGCAGTCGGCGAGTGGGCTTGGATCCTTGGCAGATGAACTTGAGTCCGTGGAGGAGTCGCCTGAAGCTGACGCCGATTCCAAGCCAGATGGAGGAGAGTTGAAGGCCCTCAAGGACCAGAACAAAGCCTTGACGCTCTACATCGAGCGCATCATCAGCAGGCTTCTGATGCACGACGGCTTCGAGCATATTCTCGATAAGAACGAAGATGAAGCCGGTGCAGACAAGAAGAACGATAAGGAGCTGCCTCCGACTCCCCCTGAGAAGGATGATGCCCAGCAATCCTTCTTGCAGCGGGCTAAATCGGTGGTCGCCGGCCCCAATTCCCGACCTTCTACCCAGCCCCGTTCGCGGCCTACGAGCATGCTGCCACCTCCGACACCCACGCAGAGCAATCCCAACGAGAACCCCAATACTGCACCAAGTATCCCATTCCGCACCCAGTCTGTCAGAGCCACCCACCGTCGCAGTCGCTCCGAGCAAGTCGATCCAGGTGCCGCAAATGTCGTTGGTCAGATGTACCGCGGCCGCAATTCAGGCGGTCCAATCTCTCCCTCGACTATGGGCCCTGGGTCGCGCCAGAGCATGTTCTCCGGCGCGGCAAGCTACATCTCCAGCATGAGTCGTGCGCCGTCAATGTCCAGTCAGCCCGATCGGATGGGACGCAGCAGCTCTCCCAGCGTCGCTAGCGACCCTCATGGAGACACGCTTTCCAGTGGTGCTACCTCCAGCCCTCCTCGCTCCAGCGGTGGTATGAACAACTACACCGGTGCAGTGATGCAGCAGGACAAGCTGCGCCCCCTGCGCCTCGTCAGCGAAACCACCAGACTCAAAGAGGAAGAAGAGGCGGCTCGCAAGAAGGCCAACCGCGGCAGCTGGATTCCGTGGTTGAACCGCAACCCTGAGGAGGCAGCGCCTCAGTAGGTCACACTCGGGCACATTTTATGTGATCCTGGACCGATCACAAGCTCAACGTACCCATACCCCCCCTTCTCATGCACATAACACGACTTATGCCTTGAAATGTCCACCTTGTAATTCGAGGATTCTGGTTTCCCGCTTTTTCGACGCAATTTGACCCTGTTCCTTTAATCGATTTATCGTATTGGAGTCTCGGACATCATGGTTTACTTTGATATATATTATTCCCCCATTCTCATTCTCAATGATGTCTTCCACTCTACCATGCTACTTCGTTGAATCCCTGCATTCTTTGCAACCGTAGCGGTAGGTAGTGTATGTGTACATACTTAATTAGGCATCTAATACCGTTGGACACAGCCGAAAAATGGCTGTCGAAGTTCATGCACTAGCATACCCAGGTGCATACTCGCATGCCATATCTGATGTGATAAAGTGGAAACCGAGCGATATTCCAGCATCCTTACGCAGCTAGGAGCAGTCCGGAAAAACACCGACACTCATGCCCAGTGAGCACTAATGCACCTCGGTATACATTTATAAGGCAATAAAAAAACGATTACAGACGCATCTTCAGTATACATTGACACTCACAAGGTGCGTGTTCTGTACCCAGTTCCTCAATAGCAGACGGAATAACATTAGTGCGCCCAGCGGCCAGATAGCATCAACAATCAGAGCACTCGAGACACTCCAATTGCTCACCAAAACAACACAATTCACCATGCCAGGCCCTCTTTCCCTCTTCTCCGTGAATGCGGTCCTCGTCATGTCCGCTGACGACGGCTCCCGGATCTTCACCAAGTACTACTCGGGACCTCATACCCCCGCCAGCACCGCACCCAACTCCGACCACCCAGGTGCCAACCCCTACCCAACCGTCAAGGAGCAGCGCGCCTTCGAAAAGGGCCTCCTCGAGAAGACCAACAAGTCCGCCAGCGATGTGATCCTTTACGACAACCGCATCGTCGTTTTCAAGATGGAAAGCGACGTCATGCTGTACGTTGTTGGAAGCGCCGATGAGAACGAGGTCCTGCTGTACAATGTCGTGCTCTCACTACGGGATGCTCTGGGTATTCTCTTCAAGTATGTTGCACTATTACAGAAACCATCACCTCGCCGTCACTAACCACATTGCTCACCAGGGGCGCAACCGACAAGCGTACTATCGTCGAGAACTACGACCTTGTTTCCCTCGCCATTGACGAGGCCATTGACGACGGAATCATCCTTGAGACCGACCCGGTCATGATCGCTTCGCGTGTCAGCCGCGCACCCGCCGCCGACGCACCCAACATGAAGAACATCGACCTCACGGAACAAGGTCTCATGAACGCCTGGGAGTTCGGCAAGCGGCGTCTTGCGGAAGGACTGCGCCAAATGTAATTGGAAGTCGATACTCTGAGGTCGAAGGGGTTTGATGTGTTTTCGCCATCTTTAGAGCATTTCTTGATTCACCCGCTTTTATTCCTGGCTGGTCCTGGCGTGTTACGGTTTTGCTTTTTGTTATCTACCCAGTTGGGGGTACTTTGTTCCGAGCATTGAGAGCAAAATCTCGTTCTCCTTTTTTCTTCCACTTCTGATCTATAGCACTTTACAAAAGGTCCTGAGTCAGGCTTTGTGGCGTGCTTCACGCTACAACACTGGCCAGGGCATCGCATAATTCATGACTCTATGCCCAACGAGACTTTCGTGCAATTGGAAACGACACTCATCTTGATATTTGGTTGCTCAGTGATCGGAGCTTGAGCCGAACTCAATCGTTTGCATCCTAGACGGCTTCGCTGATCGGGTAGGTAGGCGAGAGACCGACTAGGGATTGTAGGCCTCGTCGGTTGCAAACTTGGCCGGCGCTGCCCTAATGCATGTCATGTTGGCGATTAGCCTCAACCCCCCTGGCACTACTATCAATCAACGCATGAGCCCCCTGGAGCCCACTAGCCGCCAGCGGACTCACCAGTGCTGATATTCGCCCAAAACGTTATAGAACATAGGAGGCACAAGACTTCCACCATCGCTAAAATACTATAACATTTGCAGCCAACTGTGACCATGCATATCCCTCTTGCGAAATCTTCTCAAATCACGCTTCACGCCATCGGGCCTCGTGCTGCGCCATGATGGCAACCCAGTGTGAGTGTTTGTTCAACCAGAATATAGGATAATCCTGGAAGACCAACAGACGACCAGATTCTTTATCAGAAGAGTGTATGTATCTGTGGGTATCTCATCAATGGGTGAGATAGGACATGTACAGACATCATGGATGAACATTACTTAAAATCTGCTATCGAAACAGTGATCAAAATGCGTCTCGATAAGCCGAAGAGACTCAGATTGATCTACACTTCCAGCCAATGCGATCTGTTCTCCGAGCGATGCGAACCCACAGTCGGCGGGAGAGGCAAGTGAGCGCGCACCGTCGAAAGAGGCAGGTTTCCGCTATCGGCGATCCACCCTTCCCCGCAAATTGTAGAGCATCACATCCAAGCCCTTCAAGGGAGGTTGCCTCTACTAGTTCACAATATGGCAGTAATTGAAGAAAGTGTTCACGAGAATCCTCATACTCGTTCATTCACAGGATGTGCCACCGTAAGTTGCGTCTTCACACCAACGTTCATATCTGACCCCAACAGTGTCGAAGCCGACATGTCAAATGTGACGAAGGACAACCAGAATGTTCAATGTGCCAGTATTTTGGTCTTACCTGTGGTGGCTACAAGAAAGACATCTTCTTTGACTTCGAAACTTCACCAAGGAACCATGGGGTTCGCTTTCGGCGACCGTTGCTCACCGTCAAAGAGAGGGAGCGCATGAGTCAATGGCTGGTGTCAAGTGCGCCCCCAAAGAAAACCTTGAAGATACTATCACACATCGAAGATGAATGTGAAAGGGCCGACACTACCGATAGCGTCGAGATTCACAAAGGCCCATTTGGAGCTTTCAGAATGAGCCCAGTTCAAACCGAGCCTGAGCCCACCTTTGAACCTACGCCGGACGAAATTCAGGATATAGACTCAAGCTCACCAGAAGATGTGGTTGACACGGGGAATGCATACCAAGTTCATCCGCATGTCCCTCTTTCGCCGTGGTCTCAAGGCATGATGCAGTTGATGTTCGATCAACCAGACGAAGTTCCTACTCCACCGTCACCAGGCTTCTTAGATGCTATGATGAACTCAACTGATGTTGGGAACAATATGGATCCCCAAGAATGTTTACCGAGCTTCATGTCAGACCCCTACTACAACAATCCTGTCTCACCTACTTCCCTCACCTCATCTATGGGCGGATCGAAAGCCGTGCCACAAGATGCAGTCTTCCTTCTCAAACACTATGCCTCGGCAGTCATCAGTTTAATGACACCACTTCGACATTCCAAGACACCCTGGCACGTCCTTTTTATCCCTCACACCAAGACCTGTCTTGCGGCTCTGGCCCTAGGCGATGATATGAGTGATGCAAGTCTCTGTGCGTTCTATGGAACCTTGGCAATCAGTGCATTCAGCCTTGGGGGAGTCTCAAGATCCCAAACCTGGAGCGAGAAAGCTGTCATGTTCAACCAGCAAGCCCAACATCATGCAAGGTCGATGCTGATGACCGCATACAACATCCCGAAAGTAGCTAAATACAAATCAATATTGATGGCGCTTCTTACTATGATCCAAGTGACCATGTTCTCCGGAAACAGAAGCCAATCCGAATTTTATTTTTTGGAAGCAGAAAAGTTCATCCGAATGAGAGGGCTGAAACGCAAAAAATCTCGGAAGGTGAGGTTACTTCACCACTGTTATGTCTTTGAGCGAATCATTCATGAAAGTGTATTCATCTGCGGTGCAAACTCGGGACAGCGTCACCATGTTCGGACTGCCATCGAGTCGAGCGGACTAGGCAGATACAGCCTTGACAGTCTCTCGTTCAGGCTTTCAGGATGGAAGAACCTGCACCAAGAAATGATGCGAGTACGCGGACAAGAGGAAGGTGAGAATGATTTACATCTCGAAAAACCTGGGTTCTGGTCGAACACGCTATATCCAGAGATATTCGGCATTCCTGAATCATGGATATTTCTTCTATCTCAGATCATCCGACTTGGAAAAGAGAAAGATGCCACTGAAGAAGAAGACGCGACAAATTGCCTCAGTCTGAAAGATTTCATTGCGCGGGCTAAAACCCTCGAGGAATACATCAACAATTTGCAACCCCCAAGCCTCGAGATCACACATTCTCAACTGGACCAAGACATTATACAGAACATGCTTGATGCCATGAAGAATGCATTGGCAATATATTTCTACCGTCGAATCCACGATGTGGACGCTTCGATGCTACAGCCAAAGGTCGTTGCTGTTTTGGAGTGCTTGTTGCGCTGCGAGAATGCGGACTCGACGGTGGTGCATGGATCTGCCGGATTCATATGGCCTGCGTTCATCGCGGCCTGCGAGGCTGAAGATACCTCTGTACAGGCAGCTTTTACCGACTGGTTTGACAACTCAGCGTGTCGGAGTGGCCTGTCTTGCTTTAGGCAGACGCTGGTGGACATTCAGAAGATTTGGCAAGAGAAGTGCTGTGCTGGGAAGAGCGTCACATGGTTGGATCTCATGAAGAGAACAATGCCGTTGCAGCAGCAATTTTAACTTATAATAAATGTGTGACTATAAAACATGTATTTAGCATCTGTTGATATCCACGGTCGATTAGCCCGGGCGTTGGCAATTTCAAGATCATTTGTATCACTACACATACTGGTATCACAATCATAGCGAGAGTTTCAATCATTGGACTCATTGTATACTATCAGCTATGAAGCAATATCGCAATTGCTAATCACATTTGATCCCCGAAGCTCCCAGTGCCGAGTTTCGGAGTCTGCAATCGCAAATCCAACGCCTAAACGGCGAGCCAGAGTCATCTGCAAGATTCCCCGCACTTGAACTGAGTGGCAAAGAAGAGGGACGCATGCAGTATTTGAGTAGAAAGGAAAGTCAAGACGAGAAGCGATGCCACAGGTGGACTTGGGTATCACCAGATGCCAATTAGGCAAGTTTCCACGACAACCCCACATTTCACTACTTAGTACTTGTGAGCTTGCTGTTCAAGAAGCTGTCCAGACAGTTTATTTAAGCAGTCATTTCCATGAAATTGTCTTGACTTTCACTAATAATCCAATTTTCTTTTCCACCTTCGAGGTTCACACCGGAACCACCCTCATACCTACCTTCTACGTCGCCCCAGGCCTAATACACATATCTCTCGCAATGGACGTTCCTGGAATTGCCTTGATCACAGGTGCCGCCTCAGGCATTGGTCGTGCGTGCGCAAAGACATTTACCAGGGATGGTGCTTCGGGAATTGCCTTGATCGATCTCAACCCCCAAGCCCTAGCAGCCGTCAAAGCCGAGATCGAAGAGCAATCAAGAAAGCAAGGAAAACCATGCCGAGTCGAGACCTACCCCACCGATATCTCAGACGAGAACCGCGTCAACCAAGTCGTACAACAAGTGGCTGCAACATTCGGTCGTCTCGACTACGTGGTCAACGCAGCCGGCATCGCCATGAAGCACACAGGTGGCGCGGCATTCTGCGAAACAGCAGACTGGGAACGGATCCTGAACATCAACCTTACTGGTACATTCTTTGTTCTGCGCGCTGCTGCCCAGATCATGCTGAAGCAAGAGCCTATTCGATCCTCCTATGATGGTCGGCCATTGCAGCGCGGTTCGATCGTCAACTTCTCGTCTATTCAGGGTGTTGCTGGAATCGCATGGTCGACTGCGTATACTGCGACCAAGCATGCTGTTATTGGATTGACTCGTACCGCCTCAGAGGATTATGCTAAGGATGGCTTGCGCATTAATGCTATCTGTCCTGGGTACACTGAGACCCCTCTGACTACCAAGTCCCCGCAGATTCTCGCGGCTATGAAAGACAAGGTTGCCAATGCGGTGCCTATGGAAAGAATGGGTCAACCGGAGGAAATTGCCGATGGTGTTGTCTATTTGAGTGGTGGAAGAGCTTCTTTTGTTACCGGCACAGCCTTGTTCGTGGATGGTGGATACACCCAGCGATGAGTTTCTTTTTGACCGGTAGTATCATATAAAATAGAATTGCACATTTGAAACCAATTGGCGAATAAGAAACACTCGATTTGACCATTAAAATTCCCCCTAGGAGCGAATTGGTTGTGGGCGACCGATCCGTCGAATGTGACCTCATCAGTCTTATACTCCAGGATGTCCCCGGATGCCCAAATCCGCCGTTAAGCTTGAGCAATCTACTCTCATCCTTCACAAAGAGCCCACAGGCCCTGCATTCTCGAATCGGGTCGGCTGGACTGTGTTACAATTACGCTGCATATTCTATTTCACCTCTGAAGCAGCCAAAGTATGAAGTCTGGAAGACTTCCGCGCCCACTCACTTTCAGTCATCGTATCTTGTCTGCTAAATCTTCCCGGGAGTACTCGTCTCGCCTGCCGTATTGCAAAATACCGACTCCATTGCAATACCGGAGCCCTTTCAACCAGCAAAAGCCCATTGGATGCCACAGGAGGTACAACACTGCTCCTTATTCGCATCACTTTACGTCCCAAGTCAGGATGAGCAGTCAAAGAGTACCGATAGAGCCGCAGCGTGTAGACGCTCCTCTCACACAGTCAGCTACCTTTCTAGTCATATCGGCGACTGATAAACCCGGTGCAATCGAAACCATCCGCTCTGCACTGTCAGGTCTGAACAGCTTAGCAAAGAATGTTTCTATCCGGGACTTGAATGCTCAGTTCGCCTGTACTGTCGGCATAGGCAGCGATATCTGGGACCGCCTGACGAACCTCCCACGACCTTCAGAGCTGCGTCCTTTCTCCGAAATCAGAGGCAAGACACATACCGCGGTATCCACACCGGGAGACCTACTTTTCCATATCCGATCCGAACGTCGAGATATCTGCTTCGAATTCGAGCGCCAGCTGATGGATCAGCTCGGAGACTCTATTTCCGTCGTCGACGAGACAGTTGGGTTTCGGTATTTCGACGTACGCGATCTCCTTGGATTCGTGGACGGCACAGCCAATCCAGTTGGGCCCGCGGTGCCCGAATCCGTACTCATCGCAGAAGAAGATACCTCTGCATCTGGCGGTAGCTACATAGTCGTGCAAAAGTATACGCACGACCTACCAGGATGGAAGAATCTATCAACAGAGGAACAAGAGAAGATCATCGGCCGCACAAAAATAGACAATGTTGAGCTGGATGATGCGGAATCAGGACAACGCTCGCATAAAACGCTGAATACGATTGAAGACGAGGATGGAAATGAGCATGATATTTTGCGCGATAATATGCCCTTTGGCTCGCCTGGATCGGGCGAGTTTGGTACCTATTTCATTGGGTATACTCGTCACCTCTGGGTTATTGAGAAGATGCTAGAGCGGATGTTTGTCGGTGATCCTCCTGGGCTGCATGATCGCATACTTGACTTTTCAAAGCCACTCACGGGCACGACATTTTATGCACCCCCTGCTAGTTTGCTGGCTCAACTTTGATCTGGTCTGAGGACTGGAATGATCCCAGCGAGTAAATATCGAATGTTCGCTAGAAAACTGGTGAAAGTTGTAAATTTCGTCAAGTTTGGCTTAAATTCTGAAATCTCATTGATTGACCACGTCTAGATCGCACCAGCCTCCTTCAGAAGCCCCTTCAATTGACCAGTAGACAGCTTCTGCAAGTCAGAGTTTCCTCCAATGTGCTTTTTGTTGATGAAAATGTTTGGCACTGTGCGCTGTTTGGTTAATTGCTGCAGCGCAGTTTGAATATCGCTGCCATCGCCTGTCATAGTCACATATCAGCATCTTGCCAGGCTCAGCATTTGAACAACATACTCATCTGATCGAGTTCCAGAACTTGGAATTCAGTGTCCAGACTCCTTAGAGTGCCTTTGGCATCACTGCAGTAGGGGCAGCGCGACTTTGAGAAGACAACTGAGATGTTTAGTATTGTCTTTGGTCTGATTTGAAGCTGAAGTAGACTTACCGACACCATTGTCGTTGATAATCTTCTGAACCTTGGCAGTTGACATGTTGTGAATTGATGGACTTCAAGGGCTTGAAAGGTGATGTTCGGGAAGACCTTCCCATATTTGCCTGAGTGCCTGGATGCCTTGGTGCCTGGACAGAGTATCACTCCTTTCCCCCACGTTCATATCGACTTGTATGCTCAATGTCTTCATGAAATTATTCAGGGCTCATAATAATTGGAGCTGACTCCTACGATGGATTCACCAGAGATGATACGGTCAACAATACGGTGAACTGAAATTTCGAATGCCAGACATTCTATAATTATGGGCTCAATTGTACAACAGCTCACAGTCGAGCGGCAGTCGAAAGCTGCGCAAATGCCAATCCCTTCCAACCAGCTGCCTTGGACTCTGCACATCTCCGCCGATATTCAACAGCATTACCTGCATATCTGGCAACGCTTCGAACAGTCTTTCCCTTGACGTTCTTGTTCACACCGGTCATCCAACTGTCAATCTCATTCGACAATGCACCCTTGCTGCACTCCACAACGTGGTCGGTCCATGCCTCGACGGCCTCGGAGGTAGGCTCCACATAGGAGAAGTTGTTGTCCTTGCAGTGCTGCAGCAGATCCGAAATAACATCAACAGCATGCTCAATGGTTCGTGGAGCATTTCCGAAAGGCTGGTGTGGGCCCAGAACCATGAACATATTAGGCATGGAGCAAGCTGTCATACCGAGATATGTGCGTGGGCGATGGTCAACCCAGATTGCGTGCTTGCCTTCCTCATTATCACTGGATCCAATGAGAGGTCGGCCATCCTTTCCTTGCCAATCGACAGAGTTGAAAGCACCGGTGATGGCGTCAAAGCCGGTAGCGTAGATCAAAACATCCAGCTCGTGTGTCTTTCCATCATTTGTGATGATACCATTCTTGGTAACGCGCTCAATTGGCGTCTTTTGGAGATCAACGAGGTGAACATTGGGCTGGTTGTATACTTCAAAGTACCCACTCTCAAGTGGAACTCGCCGTGTCCCGAATCCGTGGTTTTTGGGAATCAAGCTATCAGCCACCTTCGGGTCGCGGATTCGTGATCGGATCTTGCTGGCCATGAAGTCGGAGTAGAGCTTGTTGGCTTCGCGGTTGCTGTAGGTATCGCTGAATGTACCCAGCCACTTGGCGAAACCGGGCTTTGCGTAGATTTCTTCCCAGAGGGCCTGGCGCTCTTCGGCGGATACTTCGAGAGACTTTCGTGGGTCGGCCTGGTGCATGAAGCAGGTGGGTGTTTCGGCGCATAGTTTGAAGAGGTCGTCATAGTCTTTGCGGTGCTGCTCCATTTGCTGTGGAGTGATAGGCTCGTTGCGAAGTGGCGCAGACCAGTTGGCAGTGCGTTGGAAAACACTCAATGACTTGACGGGCTCCTTGGAAACTGCAGTGATGGTCTGAATACCGGTTGCTCCAGTACCAATCACGCCGACTCGTTTGTTGGCCAATCCACGAGTCATGTCAAAGTTCTTTGGCCAGCGAGAGGTGTGGAAAGCCTGGCCTTCGAACTTTTCGATGTCGGGAATAGCAGGGAGTGTAGGCGTTGACAGGAAACCCATACAGCTGACGAAAAAGCGAGTCCGGTGGAAAGTGCCTTTCTCGTCGCAGAAGAGCCAAGTGTTGTTCTTCTCCTGCCACCGGCCTGTCTTGACTCGGGTGTTGAATTGGATATCTTTGTTCAGGTTGTGTTTGGCGCAAACATGTTCAATATAACGAAGAACATCTTCTTGGGTCGAGAATGAGTCCTTCCATGTCCATTCGTTCAACAGGTCTTTGTCCCACGAGTATGCGTAGGACAGGGACTCGGTGTCAACTCGGGCGCCAGGATAGCGGTTGCAGTACCAAGTTCCTCCGACATTGTCGGCTCCCTCCAGGACACCAACACGCCAGCCTGGGAAGCGCTTTCGGAAGTTGTAGAGTGCGCAGACTCCAGAGAGACCGGCTCCGATGATGAGTACATCGTACTTCTGTTCTGTGTCGATGGAGCTCATGGCGAAGAGTATTCAATGATGTTGAGTTGAATGTAATCCTTGAACGAGATCGGTGATCTTTATAGACCTACGATGGAGAATCATCAGATCGAAACAGACATAAGGCATTGTGGACATCATTCCGACCGGACATATGCGCATTCGCAGCTTTCTCCGTAACTTGCCTGTTTGGGTGGCCCATGGTCTCGCTAGTGTACTAATCCCAATCCGGCCTAGCGCAGATGCTTATCTACCCCGCGTTTCTGACACGTGCCGTGGACGCTTTCCTCTTTTGGACATCATACTCGGATTGGGCAACTGCATCATGTAGGTCCAACTTTAAGAGTCCGGCAGTGCGAGATAACCATATCAACTGTGATCGTACCATGTTGGATAAGCCTTTCTGATCATTTCAACGCCCTACCATCTCTTGATTAGCATTCATCTTATGACACCAAGTATGACGTACCTTTTCTGCGATCATGTAAACGGCATTCTGAATTCGACAGTCAGGAATCACTGGGATGATAGATGCATCGATGATCCGCAAGTTCTTGGCCCCATGCACTTTCAATTCGGAATCAACTACTCCCTGGGAGATATCCAGAGAAAGCCTAGCAGTACCACATGGATCTAAAACAGTGAGCAGTGTTGTAATAGTCTAAGGAAGGCATGACTTACGATATCCAGTTTGTGCCCGGTCCATAATGAGTCGGTCCATCTCTTCATCTGACTCGCGGGGCATAGGCCATGGATAGTCTTCTCCAATGATGTCCTTCATTCCGTCGCCTTCCATCAGAATTTGGTCGATGTAGCGGACGCCCTCCCTCAAAGCCAAGATGTCAAGCTCATTGGAGAAATAATTGAGGTTGATGGCAGGTTGCTCTCGTGGATCGATTGTGTTCAGTCTCACATAGCCTTCCTTTGACTGTGGACGGAGGAGATCGACAATCACAGTCAACCAGTCTCCTTCTGGTGGGACAGGGAAATGCCACTGGAAGGCATCACAGAACATGGGCTTTCTTTATTAACCAGAATATCACCAATTGGGACAGATATCACTCACGACAAAATCAATCTCGAAATGAGGTTGTTTCTCAGGTCCGAATGGGTCCTTGCCACCATTTTCCTCTTTGGCCTTGCGGTACTGGACATGATCGGAGAGCCTCTCGTCAATGCGTGGGAAAGCCACCATTTCAAGAAGCCCGCTTGCCAACGGACCAGTTTTGTCTTTCTCATACTGTGCTCTTGCCGCATCGTGATGGCGTCCTTTCTGGAGGAGGACATGATCCAATCCAGCCCCATCTTTCAATCTGAACACATGTGGAAGGATTGGATGATCCAGCAAATGCTCGCCCACATGCTCGGAGACTATGACTGGGGATAATCCGGGACGTGCAAGCTCACGCCGTGGTCCGACACCAGAGAGGAGTAGCAGTTTCGGCGTTTCAAAAACACCTGCTGAGATGATGACTTCCTTTCGCACCCAAATCGTCTTTGAGACTTGGCTTTGATCGAAAATTGTCACACTTGTTACCACGGCGTTCTCATTGTCCCTGCCCTCAAAATTGAGCTTTGTTGCTACACTGGAAAACATGAACTCGATGTTATCCTTGCCATCAAGGTATGCTGCGCTGTTTGAGCGAACACCACCGTACACCGAGCTGATACAGTGAGTTAGACCATGAACCTCACCATCGTATATGTCTTCTTTCACGACATGGCCTTCACCAGTCCATGCCTTCGTCAGTGCTTGTCGGAAGAACTCGGTCTCCGGAAGCAACTCCGCATGGGAAACGTGTACAGGGCCATCACACCCAATCTCCGAAAACCGTGCGTCGTACATTTTATGGTCGTCGTGATATGTAGCTGGCTGGTATTGCAGTCAATATCTTTTTTCCCTAGCAGTAGTCCTTGTGCTCTATACTTACCTTGTTAAAATATTCCTTACAGCCCTGCCAATTCCAAGTAGGCCCGCCGTATTCTTCCCACGCGTCCATGGTTCCCTTACTCCCTCGAAGCCAGGTGAAGTAGTTGAGACTGCTGCTGCCACCAAGAACCTTTCCACGGGTATTTGGTTTTTCGACACGTTCGTAATCCGGCTTGTCTACGAATGTTGTTTGATAGGCCCAGTCATAATGGCTATTTCGAAGTTCAAATGCCCGGGCAGGTGTCATGATCTCAGGGACGTCCTTCGGGTTTCTGTCAATTGGTTAGTCCTAAAATACAAGCTAGGACGAAAGTATCAACCCTTCGCCAGCTTCAACCACCAGTATCTTCACATTGGGATTCTCTGCTAGCCTTCCCGTGACAACATTCCCAGCCGTGCCACCGCCGATGACGATAAAGTCGTATGTAGGTCGGGAGATCTCTGGCATTTTGAGTGAATCGTCCCGTTAATGATCACGGATGACTTAAAGCACATGTTGTGTTCAATGCTACCTTTATGAAGAGATTGCGGCATATGGGCTCAGATCTCTAAAAGCTGGGCAAGTTGCACACCATGCTGTGCATTTATTCACGGAAGCTCGGAGCATCACTTGCCCAATCAGGACTCAGTTTTGGAAGGGTCATACGGTGATCTCAAATGTGGAACTTGGATTCTTGACACTGTAGGTATTGAAACATCGAAGTATACAACCTTGGAAATGCGCCCACTGGTGTAGCTTGATGGCTCTATAATGAAGGTTGCACGTAGTTCCGGGTTTAAACCTGTCCTGTCGACCATAGAGAGCACGCCTCTCTAAGATGAGGATTCGCGTCTCTGAACCTTGCTGGTATGTTATTCCATGACAGCTCTATCGCTAGCCTCAGCGAACGGAAGAAAAATATAGGCCCAAAGGGATACAAAAGGAAAGAGTTTCGAGCACTATCCTTCTCTGTCCGCGATTTGATGCGCAATTGGGCCCTTAGTCGATCTTTGGGGTCTTTGCCCCTGCAATCTGAAGTCTGCGGGTACTTCATTGACATCGAGCGACGTTATCAAAAGTAGAGAGCCTAGATTAGTCCAATTGTCGTCACACTTCATCTTCCAGGAATTGAGGCCAGATCTATAGACCCTAAACCTGGAAAATACCATGAAATCACCAAATACTGGCTTAGGCGCATGATGGTGACCGCAACTGCAAACCCCACTGTAACATTGCATGGAGGCTCGAGCTCCCTTGCGCAGAGCATATCTGTGGCTTACTTACGTTGGAAGTTAACTGAAACGCCGACTTGGGTCCAATAAAAGATGTATCGAGATTGTTGAGGTATTGTGGATTGTAGAAGAGTTGGCTGATTTCCATGACGGTTGAAACACGGGATCCAGTAAAAGGCCTCGGGAACCAGTCCGTTCTCGGAGGATGGGAGCGGTGGGAAGATGGTAGCACAGGACTCAAGATGACAGGTCATATCGAGATGATTACTCCTTGCTCTTTGTGAAACGTCATCTAGAGGCGGGGGCGGAGGCCCTTGATCGTTCAAACTTTGATGCCGCTGCCTCAAAGACAGGAAATGAATAGGTCTTTTGGTGACTTGGTGTGGAATGTTGGTAGTGAAAATGTTATACATGACGAGACCTGTTTCAACAGGAAGAATTGCGTAAATCGGTATCTTTGTCTCCATAATTCGGTGCAGCGAGCATCTAGTTCTGTTAGCAGTGACTCACTTCGTACATACCTCGTAAGATCCATGGATTCACTGTGTTTTCGATTTATCCAGCGTGTCGAGATTCAAAAGAATATGAGATGGTGTGAGTAGACATGCTTCAGGCACGAAATACAACAAGTGGCCCCAGAATAAGCTGTATGTATATGTTCAGAGTTTCATGATATTGATAGGAGATATGACCGAAAAGAAAAAAAAAAAAAAAAAGACCACTCCAATGACACCATAGCCCATAGGGTTCAAAGAGACGCTCAAAAAAACAGACACCGGAGTTTCGTTGAGTGCTCATGAGGGAAAACGCGCCTGTTAATACTCTCCGCATAAACCAAAACCCACATCCTCATCTGCCGGAAACGATGGATGCGCCAGCAAGATAATGCGTGATATATTCAGACCTCACCCCATGTGCCGAGTCCAGCTCCAACACCAATGGTACTATTGGTTTCGCTGCCGCCAATATCCCAGTAATTCCGACTGGATCCTGTCATGGTCCGTCGGCTTGAGATAGCCGAAAGCTTGGCACTTTGGCTGGCACAGCTTGAAGTAGGGCGACGGAGTTGAGGTCGCAGTGGCGATGAGAGGCCAGCTGGGTTCGACACGCCTGAGTACTGTGACGGGCGGCGTGACTGGGTTTGGGATCGGGAATGGGCCCGCGCCACGAGCGGGTGGTGGTGCCGAATGATGGCTGCGCGGCGCGATGCATCTTGGTTTCGGCGAGGCGGTGGTGGTGTGCTGTGGGTGTCGGTGGGCATGTATCCTCGACGGCTGAAGCGGTTGCGGATATAGCGGAAAACCATCATGACGTCAAGGCCACGCTCCCAATACTCTGATTCTTGGAGCTTGGTTGATTCGGCCGAGTCGGATGGCCTAGGGTCGTCGTCCTCGATGCCCCAGTGGGCCTCGTGCTCGCGATTTGAGTCGCGGAGGGTGGGAAGGAAATGTGGGGATGGCATGGACTCGCCGGCGGCGTCGGTGGCAGTGGGCGTTGTGGACCCTGCGGGACCTTGGGTCATGCTGCTCTCTGCTAAGCGGTTCAGAGACATGCCAGCATACTCTGAGGATATATCTTTCGTCATTTGGTAATAGGTCGTAAAGGCGCCCGGGTGTTCGCAAAGTTGGCTCACAAGAACACCCAGCTCATGGGCGATATGTTGGAGCACCTTGCTCTGCCATGGCGGCGTATCATTATACTCTGGCTCTGGTTCACGAGCCAGGACCGTTTCCATATTGAGAGGGTCTTCCTTGGCGTCCGTCTGCGGGTCGGGAAGCAACGACTCCCCTAATATAACTGATAGCAGCTCATCGTCAATCCCGATGAGGTCACGAATCACCTTGCGTGTGATACGACGCCAGAATGACTCTTCTTCCTCTGATACGCCTTCCGGCGGCGTTTTGGGGCGGGATACTTCGATGTCATCTGTAGAGATGGTTGGGACAACAGATCGATCGACGGAGCGGTCAACGCTCAAGCGGCTCGTTCGACTGTTCCGTCGCTGACGGGTCTCTCGTTCGATCTCTTGGAACAAAGCCCGGCTTTGATCCATGCGCCATTCTTCGATTCTCTGCCAACGCTCCCGTTCCACATTTGCTTCCCTTGCTTCGACGGTGTCCATGTGTCTTTGTACACTCGAGTGACGACGGTGCTCGAGGTGGGCGTAGGACAGCCTCTGCGGGTTATACTGTTCATGCTGCCATAACTGTTCCTGGACGGCCTGGCTAGAGGCTTGGAAGCTCCCTAATCCGTCATGGGCTGGGAGTAAGGCTGGTGGACCCTGATCCACCCGCGTGGGGGAGGTTGGGCCCAGCGAGGGAGCCCGAAAGGCGTGCAGTCCCTCATCCAGGCTGTCCAGCTCAGTTCCGTCCTCATCTAGCTGGTCTTCGAGGGCGTCGGACTCCTCGCCGTCCACTCCAGTTGCGGACCGAGTCGCCGCGAATGAGCCGAAGTCACTTAATCGAGTGGCTCCTACGGTGCGAGTACGTTCGGTCGAGGTCGTGTGCGTGCGGGCGGTCGGTGAGAACAGAACCCATTGTGCGGTATCATCGTCAGGTTGTGCCTTCGAGGACGTAGGTATCTGGAGGATTGGCGGCTGGGGACTCGGATAGGAGGTCCTGCGGCGAGGAACGTGCGGGACCTGGAAGGCCATCTTGTTCCTGATCTGGTGGCAAAATCGAAGCGCTTAACGGTGGACCCACGAGAGATCACAGCCGTTGAAGGGGTAAATGAATATGTAGAAGAGGAGTAGAATAGTACAGAATAGAGGACCCCCAAGGAGTAAACAGGGAAGAAAAAGAAAGGAAACGCGAGACAGTGATGATACGTCGAGATTAGCTGATAAGCGGAAGACGCAGCCCGACAGATCAGATCGATGATGCAACCGGTATCGGAATGAGGCCACCTTCAGCATTTGCTCGCTTTACTATTGACTATTTGCTATTGACTATTTACTATTGTACTGTACTATACTTACAGTAGCTCATACGCTGGCTCACTCATACTGACCACATCACCCGACTGGGGTCATCGGGATCGACGCTGTGACGTGTGAGTCTCACTAGTACGGAGTATACTAGGAGAGGACTGGACCAGCACTGGTATGGTTTATAGTATTTGAGAAACAACATTTGAGCCTTGGAAACATAACATGTAGGCTCTCACACTCGACTGAAATCACCAGGGTCGCAGATTGTATACATCAAACATTGGAACAGTGGACCGCCAAGCTTCTCGTTCACCGGAGCCTCGAGTCCCGAGATGCGCTGTAGACCCTCTGGGTAGCCTGACAATCTCCTGATCACTGCTCACCACAATAATCAAGGGAAAACAAATTCCTCCAGTGATGGATTTGCTGGCTTATGGAACAAACAGTCGGTCTCAGTGTCCTGCTGGTGCCACTGCCAGCGCAGTTCCCGTCCCACCCTTGTCAACGTCAACTTCTGCAGCGGTGTCAAACAAAGCCTGATCGATCTCATTACTGCCTTGGTCGACAACATGGTGCATTGCATCGCGATTCTGTCCCATGGTACATAATATAGGGGCAGCCCCTGCGTTCAGCAAAGTTCGAATCAGTGCCTTGCTTCTGTTTGACGAGCGAATGGCAGCCATTAGAGCAGTGCCATAATCGCCTCCCACTATGTCGATAGATGCGCCACCTAAAGGCAGTTCTTCAACTACCCATACGAGTAGACCGCCACGGTAGACTGCTGCATGGAGCGCAGTCCCGAATCCCCCACCGCATGTCCGCCCACTAGCCCCGAGGGCGAGAAGTAGATTGACCATCTCGCTATGGCTGGTGGCTATGGATCGCCAAAATTCGTTAAGCAGTGCCGAGATCATCGCTCGGGGGCATGCGACCAGCAATTTCGTCATTCGCAGCAAGCTCAGCAAGTTCAAGGAGGTTATACTCGACAAGAACATTTATTAATGTGGTCTGTGGGCCACGAATCTCAGTTTCGCGGAAGTTGCTCTCCAAGTTGCAATAAAATCTCCAAGTCGAGAAGACAGATTGAAGGGGCTTAATCCAAGTCTAAATGAGGAATTGAATGGATGTTATATCCAACCAGCGGCGCGTGTCTCTAGTGGAGCGAATCGCACATTCGACATGGGGGAAGAGAGACTCGATGCAATATTGCAGCAATGGGAACTTGTCGCCCATGTCACGCATTATGCGATGAGCTTCAGCGGAGCCCAAGTCAGCCTCGGATGTATATCTGGCGATGTTACCAAAATGTGGAACCTGCAAGTACTTGAAACAAAGCTGAGCCAGGTCTTTATGGTCCAACGTTAGCTGGTCCTGGGGCACGAAGGGCCCATGAAAGCGATAGTTCCCATGGTGGACAAAGTCATCTTGCCGATTTTCTGCCTCCGGTAGTGCGAATCTGGGGCTCGTTGTGCCGATGACTCGCTGGTAGCGTCTGTGTTCAGCTATGTTGGGTTCGTTCTCAAAACGGCCATTCCCTGTCTGTTGCCCAGAACTGGGATCCTTGCGCATTACTCTGTCGTCTAATATCTCGAGCGTGGTGGCCGATCCTCCCCTAGCCACTGAATGGAGTGGAAACTTGGATAGTCGAAGCGCACAGTGTAGTTCTCGGGCAGTCATCGGTCGAGTCACAGATATCCATAGCTCGAACGATCGACCAGTGGGTGGGGGCATGGGTCCTAGACCGCGATAGTTTCAGTACAGAAACACTTTACCATGAGCCAAGATGGTTGAGATGCATACCTCGGTTCTCAGGCCTCCAGAGCTGGATCAGTTGGTCGACTTCGACGAGCTCCATTTAGGTGGGTACCTAGGTATGGTTGAGTAACAGACAGAGAATTGGAAGAATGCACTGTGTTTCGTAGAGTGAAATGCCTTTTATAGGAATCTTCTCTGCGCGCCTCGATCGTTGTTGCACTCTGAAAATAGTCGCGCCGGGGAAGGAGCTTATGATTAACATCTCGACATATTGACCCCAGAAGCTATCCCAAGGAAAAAGACGGTAGGCTGGCATTGTCTGTTCGAAGTTCCAGTTGACTTCAGTCACACCAACGGCGACAACAGACACAAGCATATCGTTTCAACAGTACTCACCCAGTCTTCACCATTAGAAACGGCCACGATATGGCCAATTGTACCAGCGATAATGGAAGACTAGATCCAATAGGCAAAAACACAGGAGTTAAAAACCTAGCCAGGCAGACTGAGGAAATGTGTATCATGATGGCGCTAAGCAGCAGGGGTATATTGTCTATGATATAGGGTATTCTAGCCTGTTAATCAGAACCAGCCAGTGCCTCACCCACCCAATCCATTTGCACCGCACTGACACCACGTGCGTAACTGCGATTCGTGAACACGAATTCGTTGTACATGATCGCCTCGACCTTCTTGCCGTACAGGACACTCGAAGGGTGAATGGCGACAGTCTGGTTTCCGACAACCGTGCGATAGCTGCCATCTGGAACGAGGCGCGCGGTGTTGGTCGCAAATCCAGCGAGGAAACTGCGGAGGATGAGAATGGGCGAGGGATCGTGTAGTGACTTGGATTCAAGATCCTTTGCTGTGAGGAGCTTAACTTGGCGACATTGGGTGCGCAGTTGTTTGCGGACATCCTGTTGGATCGTTGTTAGCTTGATAAGGCTCTAAAGGAATGATTAGTAGATACTCACCATGACTGACTGCATGGCTCGATGTGAGACCAGATGGCGCTCTGCCCACGCCTTGCGATCTGCGTGCTCGGCGGCGTAGACTCGGACGGTTGTCATCATTGTCAGGTGGTCTCCTTCGCGTCGGTAGAGATCACGACGCGCGGTCTCTGCTGCTTCTTTCTTTTCCTCCGAAGTGGTATTGAGGAAAATGTTTTCCACACTGAGACAAGAAATGATGTCGATGACATCGATCAGACATTCTGGGCCGTTCTCAGCAGCAGCCAGAAGCACGCGTCCCAGAGTTGGCGTCAGGGGTAACTTGGCGATATGTAAACCGACAGCACTGATCGACCCGGTTTCCTCGAGTGCGTTAATATTCAGAAGCTGCAGGAGAGCCTTTTCCAGTGCCTCGCGCGGTGGCCGAGTCAGGAATGGGAATCGAACAATGTCATCAACGCCACGGGCCTTCATATTGAGTAGTGCTTGGCTGAGGTCACATCGAAGGATCTCAGGGGTATTGGTCTCATCCAGAGCCAGGTAATCCTTCTCAGTATACAACCTGAAACATTGTCCAGGCGCCTCACGACCAGCTCGACCCTTTCTCTGGATCGCGGCAGACTTGGAAATAGGCTTGACCAGGAGCGAATCTAACCCAAGGCGAGAGCGGAACTGCTTGACCTTGGCCTTGCCACAGTCAATGACATGTCGAACACCGGAGACAGTAACGGATGTCTCAGCAATGTTGGTAGAAAGCACGATTTTGCGAGTTCGTGGCGGAGCAGGCGCAAAGACACGCTGTTGAGCTGCTTGTGGTAGCGCAGCAAACAGAGGAAGGACCAGGATCTTGGGGAGTGATGGATCCATTCCCATAGCATACTCGTTCACGAGGTGCTCCAATGCTTCCACTGTTTCTTGACCAGTCAGGAAAACAAGAATGTCACCGGGCATCGGCTCCTTTTGGTGAATCTGGAAAATAGTCTTCAATGCCGCGTCCACAAAGTCATGTACTGGCGCAGGCGAATAGATTGTTTTGACTGGGAACTGTCGACCTTTAATGTGACAGATGGAGATTGTCTTCGAGCTCGAAGTCTCCATTTTTTCACCCTCGTCTCCATTCTCAATGGCCTTCTTTTCATCCTCAACGAGTTTGTATCCATCTTGGAAGAAGCCAGTCAGGCTTTCCATGTCCGCAGTGGCACTCATGACCACTACCTTGAGCGGCACACCACCACGGCCTTCAAGGGTCCCAGAAACAAGATTTCGCAAAAATCCAAGAGTCAGATCGACATTGATACCACGTTCGTGAACCTCATCAACCACAATGGCGCTGTACTTCGTCAAGTAAGGATCATGCAACATCTCCTGAAGCAGCATACCCTCAGTCAAGAACTTGACGCGGGTACTAGGCGACACGGAAGTATCAAATCGAACCGAGTAACCAACTTTGCTGGCCGGCGAGTGCGACCCAAGTGGTGTGCCCATCTCCTCCGCAACACGACGAGCCAGCGAAATAGCAGCGACACGTCGAGGCTGTGTGATAGCAATGCACCCACCGACCGTCTTCTTCTCTATCTTTCCATCCCGAGTGACTTCCGTAGGCACAGGCCGACACCAAAACTCGTCAACCAGAAACTGGGGAATCTGGGTACTCTTTCCACTACCCGTTTCACCAACCAAGAGCATCACATCTTGTTCTCTGAGATTGTTTCGAATCAGGTCGGCATTTTCAAAGACAGGGAGTTTGCGCCGTACTTCGAGTAAGGCCTTAGCCTTTTCGCGTAGGGGCGTGAAATTGGTTTTGGTATCTGCGAAGGGCTTCGATTTCGGCCTCGGATGAGGCTTCGAAACTGGGGCACTGGTTGGACGAGGCGCGCTATTTTCTGGGATTTGCGTGACGGGCTCGGGGGTGTCGACTTGCTTCACAGGTGGTGCGGTCTCGGTGGCCTCCCGATCGGCGACCTTGGGGGCCTCGGGCTCATCGAGCTTGCGCTTCTTGCTCCGCTTCTTCTTGCGGGCGGGCTCTTCTGAGGGTGGTGCGACGACCTTTTTCTCCACCTTCTCGTCGTCCGAGTCGGCGAACACGGTTCGGACCTTCTCCGGCATTTCGTGGGGTAGGCAATGTTGTCACAGGCCGAAACTCGAGAAACATCGTGAAATTTTTCCGGTGTTATCGATATGCGATAGTGCGATAAGCTTATCGCGATCTGGTGGTCACATGACTGCTAGCTGCAGGTGGATCCTGTGGTCAACTGGTCAACTTGTATTCCGCTTGGTGTCACTTGGAATTTCTCTAGCGTCGCGGGTGGCCTCTATGCTTGATACTGGTCGTACTTGAAATTGCAGGATATGATCAACCATGCCTGTGGACCCAATTTTTCCTCGAGGGGCCGCCATAGTCTCCATGTCGACGGTCGAGTAGAGGCGGAACGGTGGACAACAGTAGCACAGGATAGTATGAGCCCAGGAGTACAGAGCTGTACAGTTTATTTCGAGGAATAGCCCGCATGCAACGCGTGAGCATTGGATTCGAAGGCACAAACAAATGGGAATATTATAAAGAACAGACTTCTGCACAGTGCACACTACGCTACGGAGTACGCTACACTAGAGAATACACATGTATCTTGTGGGTAGCAGGCGCAAGATCAACAAGGTTCGGGACGTCTCCCTACTACCTTCACCTGCTCGCCGACTCGCACAAGACTGAAATTGATCTTGACCACAAGCCCACGGACCCCTGTCGGGATCCGAATGCAAACGTCTGTGACCTGCGAGGGGGAGTTTTGCAACCAATTCAGGATTTTCTACTGGGAAAGTGAAGAGAGAGAAAGAGAGAGGAGAGGAGAAGAGAAAGGAAGGATGGGATGTTTATACTATGTAAGTATGAGGCCCGTTATCTGCAGAACTTGGTTTTCAGTGGAATATGGCTGTCCAATACACGGCGCGAGATAGAGAGTTTAGCGGACAAGTTGTTGAAATAGCTCGAAGTCGTTATCATCCACAAGCGTAATTGTACATCATTCATACTACCCAGTATCCCATCACTTCGTATCTGCCTTACAAACAAGCTTGTGCTCCTTCCAATCCGCCCTCTGGCAATCCCTAGAACAATACTTGGCCGTGTGGCAGCGTGAGCAATTCATCAAGTCCGAGCCATCTGGCTTGCAAGCATTGTCACAAACCCGACAGCCATCCTTCTTTTCACCAGGAGGCTTGGCAGCAAACCCAGAGCTGGACAGATCAAGAGGACCCTCAACGAGCGCCGAAGTGAAAGCAGGAGAAATGGAGACCCGAACAGCATGCTTTGAAAGAGCCTTCCACCCCGGGAAATCTGGCATGAAACCAGGAGGCAACTGTCCCTCGCCACAAGAGCACAGAATTCGAGCGCCAAAACCAATTGAGAGCGGGATCGTACCCTTGGAACGGTATTCGCAGCTGGGCTTATGGGACCAAGATCGGCCACGCTCAGCCCAGGCCGGAATTGATTCTTTCCAAAGTCGAAGCTCTGTACTGGGAACAGCGATGGCTGCGGGTGCATGATCGCTCTGTGACATTGCTTGTAGGTGTGGGAGAATATCTGACATCAGGTCGAGGCGTAGTGGCAGGACTGCTCCGTCGAGAACGGGGGTTCGGTTTGATAGGTCCAGTCGCATCTCTGAGAGGAAGAACACCATTTGGACGCCCTGTTCCTCTGCGCAGTTGATTGCGAATACGGAGGCATGTTTTCCCTGAACTCCGGTGAATCCAATGAACATGTGATACAGTGAGTCTTTGAACTCGGTCTTGGCACGCATATTAGGAGTTGCGGGCAATGAGGGATTGAACTTTAGTGCACTTTCTTTCGATGACCACATGGTTGGCAAGTAGTATCTGAGCCAATCTAGTCGTGGTGACGATGTGTTTTCAAGATCGATCTTTGGGAGAGATGCAACATTCAGATGAGGCATGTTCCAGGTCGCGGGCGATCCGTTGTCCATGTAGACAGGGTACATGAATGATTGGAGATTAGGCCAGTCCTTCGATTTTGCGACGTCGACCACAAGTTCAAGGAATGATGACTTGCGGGCAACTTTGATCTTGGCGGATGAGCTTAGGACGGGGGCAGGGAAGTTGGCTTTGTACTTCGGGCCTCCCTCAAGATACAGAGTATGATTGAATGGCGATCTCATCGACTGGGTGACTTTAGCACCGTCCTTCAAGATGGTTTGGGCTCCCTCGGAGAGCACCTGAACGCGGCTGGTGAATGATGAGATGCGGCCAGAGGACTTGTCCACACTAGCCGTCACCATAGACTCGGAGCCTCCATTGTGATCAACTTCGTCCTTTGCACTTTCAGAGGTGAAACCATTGATGGAAATGACCTTGCTCAGGTTTGGCAAGGTTTTAGTGATGTGCACATGTTCAAGGTCCTTCTGCTGCGCGGTGAAGACACTTAGGGTTGGTCCCAAGATGCTAGAGAACACAGCCACTGTGTGAGGAGAGTGAGGGAGTGATAGCGACACGCTGGCCGTTTGAGGCTCCTGGAGCAAAATCCAAGTGGGAACGTAGAAAGAAAGTAGCATTGACGACTGTCCAGACCATCCCAGGCCATCCTCGTCAATATCGACCTCGTACAGGTCGCTGGATTGTGCTCCCTTGGTTTTCAAACGGCCAAATGCAACCTGGGTGGCAGCGAACATGTTTTGCCATTGGTTTGCCGCGTCAGGTGAGGATTGTACAGATCCTTGGATCGCAGAAGTGAAGCCCTTCTTCATCGACTCTTTGATGAAAGGATCCAGTCTGCTTCTTGGGATCTGAAGTGTCACACCAACCACCTCAGGGATGTTATCCCATTTCTGAAGGGGCGATGCGTCCTGAGAGATGCCTGGCCCGCTGGGTGGACTTCGCAGGATGTCGACTGAGTAGAGACCCATCATATGCATCCAAAGATTGAGCTCTTGCATGTAAGTATGAGAGAATGCGAGCTTCTCGTCTCCGTCTATGTGCTCCATGAATGCAGTCATCGTTTGATTCCAATCAGTCTTGACTCGAGACTTCACAAGACAGAGAAGAGCGACGAAGCTTGCCCGATGATAAGTTGGGACCGAGGGCCGTTGGTTCTTTTCGCCCATCTTAGCGAGTAGCTGTGTGACGTCCTCGTCAGCAAACATCTTCATGTAGATCTTTTGAAGAGCATTTGCCAGATGAGCAGGGTCAAAATGGAGTAGTGGTAGAACTTTCTCCGCTTCGTCAGAAGGGTTCATCGGTCTTTTCCATGCGATTCTGGCAAACAACTGCAGTCCCTGCTTGGCATCTGACACAATTGATTCATCGCCCGAGGAGGAGGAAGCCGTATTTGTTACGACCTCAACGGGTGTTAAGGCAAGAAGTGAGGACACAGTAGTCAAGTCGCCACAAAGTATGTTCTCGAGAAGCTCTGTGTGGTCTCCATGTGTCTTAACGAGCTTTTCAGTGAACAGTGTGGACGAGAATGTGTTTCGAAGAAGTGGCGAAGTAGCTACCAGGATGTTCAAGGCTCCTAGGTGATCGATGAGATTGGAAGTGTCAACTACATCAAACACGCAAGGTGCAGAACCACTGGAGTATTCGTCGTCACTCAGCTCCAACGGCTCAAAGTGGTATCTATCACGATACCAATTGGCTTGCTTTGATGAACCAGTGCTATGCACATGTTGTAGCGCGTATGCAAGAGCTACTGCGTCGCCAACAAAAAAGCGCAGTTTCACCAATCCAGCAACACAATGAGCCCGGAATGATTCCATCCAGGTGCTGAACTCCTTCCGCACAGTCCTGACAATCTCATCCGCAGTAGGCTTTTGCATGGATGAGTTTGGTGAGGGCGACGCTGTCTTAAGAGCAACGTAAGCGGCTGCAAGATGGAATCCTGACATCGGATCGGTGCCGTAGTGCAAAAACATGTTGCCATCCTGAGGAGCGAACATGGGATTGTATTCATTGGCATTCGATCGAGCAGTTGGATCGGTGTCGGTAGTGCCAAACTCCCAATAGTCGTTGTACAAGCCACCAACATCAACCATCGCATCCAGACAAGCAGGCGAGGCCGCACGTGCGCTGGACAACGCGTTAACGGACTTGCCTCCAAAGATTGACTTCTTGTATTCGTGTGACTTGCGGATGCCGGACTCCACCTTCGCCTTGAAGTTGGAGAGGTCATCATCTTCTCTCTTGGTCCCATAGAAGCCCCACATGCCTCGCACCCGATCAAGGGAGATGCGATCGCAGATTCTGACGTGCTGACCATATTGACTGGCGTGCCATGACTCTAATGACTTGGACAGCGATAACAGCTTGGCTGTCTGAGTCTGCAATAGCTCAAGTGAGTGTTTGTCGACGCGGAAGTGATAGAATAGATTCCAAATGGTGTCCTTGTTGTCCCCATTTACGTCATCCAGAATCAAGGATAGCAAGATAATATTGCGGGCTGTTTTCACGAGTCAGTATCTCCATTCCAAATTGTAGAGAACATCGTACCTGTCACAGCGGTATCCACATCACAGCAAGTGAAGTCCAAGCGACGCTGATCACGGACCTCCTGCTCATTGTTGATCGTGAAAAGGATGTGACGAAGATCTCCACAGCCTAGAAGAAGTAGGTCGGCTTTTTCTCTCGCTGGTAAATCCTGGGTGAGTGAGACCGCCGGGGTGTTTCCGACAGGATAGAAGAATTGCACCAGGTTGGCAATCACCGGTGCCAACATGATGAAGTTTGGGGTGATTGATGGAAGATGCTTAAGCCTCAGACGCGTGAGGTCGGAGTATTTCGCCTGGTGAAGGGGAGAGGATAGGAATTGGCGGTCCCCCGCCAGTGGGTCTGCAAACGCGGGTGCAGAAACGAGATTACAGGCACATTTCTCTCGACATCTATACCTGAACGACCTAAAGTGATTTAGAGTGGGGAGATTTTGAGCCCCAAGCTAATCTTTAATTCTTCATGCGGGTACCTTGAGGCTTGGACCAGTGGACTCCTTCTACGGTGACTTATTAGCCATGTTGACGACTTTCATAGATATTATCTTCGACGCGACAAGCTTTTTTTTTCTTCTAATAAAAGCAGTGCTAATATATTTTGTTAAATTTCTTGCGACACGGTGGTTTGGCCCTTCTCTCAGATCCGGAATTCCAGATCAATTGATAGCAACTTTTCTTAATTGCTCAAACATGCCAACAGAAATACATACCTAGTAGTACTGGTATATCGGCCTCGTGTACCTGGCTGCTGCGCGCCGGTGAGCACCAAGCATATAAGCCGCAGTGGAACTGACTGCGCTAAGATCGACGAAATTGTCCGTTTTGGCCCCCAGCAGCCCGTGTCAGCCTCGTGGACCAAGCTCACAGCACGTAAAAAGCCTTCACCCTGCATTCTCCGCGACTAAGCATTGCGCAATGTCCACAGAGAAGAACAAATACGCCCGGGGGAGGTCTATACACAACCCACTCCCGGCCTCGTTGGCTAGTGCGTGCCTCCCCGCTTTCGCTTGAACGTGCTAACATCCGCAGGCGAATGCGAGAAGGCCGCCCAGATCTTGGACTCCTTTGTCAATCCGCGCCTCGTGGGGTTCGACGTAGTTGTTCCACATAAGATTCTTGCTCGTGCAAAGGTCAGCTCAAATCGGGTGTCTGCCGTCCATTTTGAATCCTCAATTGATGTGTGTAGGGCCTTGCCATCATTACCTCCTTTCGAGCTGGCTTCCTGGGGTCTTGTCGCGTGGGCTCAGGGCTGATTGTCGCCCGCCTCCCCGATGGCAGCTGGTCTAGTCCATCTGCTCTGGCGATGGGCGGCCTTGGCTTTGGAGGGCTCATAGGCTTTGAGCTCACCGATTTTGTATTTGTGCTCACCAGCACCGAAGCTGTGAAGCACCTTGCGAGAGCTGGATCCCTTACGCTGGGTGGAAATGTTTCGTGTGCTGTTGGTCCTGTTGGGCGTAGCGTCGAGGCAGCCGGTACCGCCAACAAAAAAGGAGTGGCGGGCATGCTCTCTTATGCCAAAAGCCGAGGTTTGTATGGCGGGGCTTCACTCGAAGGTGGAATCCTTGCTGAGCGGGCTGATGCGAACAAGAAAATGTATGGACGCAAAGTCAGTGCGAAGGAGTTGCTCCGGGGAGATATTTCGCCGCCTCCAGAAGCTGCATCGCTCATGCAGATGCTGAGCTCACCTTTGGTCTCCCCCAATTCCCCCGTTGTGTCTCCGGCTGGATCCATCGCGGCACGATCTGCAGATCCTCCACGCGAGGAGCGAGCAGAAATGCCTTCTCAGCGGCCGAACGAGCCGCCACAAGGCATCCCCGAACTCGCTCCTGAGGTCTCTACCCAGAGGGCAGAAATGGACACGGGCGCTGATCATGAGATTTTCGAATTGCCTGCTAATGTGCCGGAATCATCTCATGAATTGGATTCTGCTGTCTCCCCTTCGTCGCAGTATTTGTCGCATCATACTAGTGATGGTTCGACGCGGATAGTCTCACCACTATCTGCAACGGAGCAGTCTGAGCCACGAGCCACTGCGACAGGAGACGGAAAATAAGAGCAGCGGCATATATCCCAAATCACATTTCTTTCTTTCTTTCTTTTTCGAATGTTCAGCTTGCGTTGTACATAGGCATGCAAGCAATACGGAGTTCCAATATATATCCCAGACGCGCGGATAGACGATAACGCCGTACGCCATACATGACACGAACACCTGGGCAGCTTGTATCCACTTGGGCACGAATAGACTCCAGAATTTCCATAGCCTGCCATCTTCCAGTGGAAATATGCAGTTGAACCAGAGTGGCTGAGCATTCAGGACTTTCACATCCACTTCACATCCTGGGCACTTACTTCCCGGACATGCACCCTCGGATATCAATATCCAGCCGCGGAGACGCAGTAACGCGACCCACTTGGTGTTAGCGAGAAATGACAGAAACGGGTGCTATTGCCTGTGCGTCAACAAAGCTGATCAGTTCCCCGCTGTCAAGTCTAGATCGGAGCTCTGAAATGGAAATGTCGAGAGCCAAAAAGAAGTGGAGATGTGCTCAGACCTCGAAAAAAAGGGGAAGCACAGCGAACCATAAGCCTTTTTGCGACCAAATTGTATCCGCATCCAATGGCAATGGACACGTCGAAATAAAGATCCCGAGATTGAGGTTCATAGCCCTAAGGTCAATAGGCCGTCGATCCACGAACGTCAAGCGAACCTTGACCCCCTTTGAGCCCATCTGCCTGCACAATTGCATCACCGGCCTCAACGTGATCCCGATCGCGGGGGATTTGACCGCAAACCATCGATCGATCGATCTGCATGCTTCTTTGTGACCTCCCACATTGCCTTTGTTGGTACTTTTGACAATGGGTGTTCCTACGTGGTTCGTACAAGAAAAACGCCGTGGGGAGCTGATCAGTCGATGCATCACTCTCAATTAGAAAATGAGGGAAAAGACTTCCAGGAACTCTGTATTAAAGTCCAGGTCTTTGTGCGCTCTGAACCTGGCGCAAGTCTTTATTCTTTCCAATGTTGACCATGGCGCCCATAGATCTTCACCAGGGCATCACCAGCCCCGACGCCGAGTCTTTGCGCTCGTTCTCGGAAACACTCCCAGAAGAATATCACGACTGGATGAGTGTGAGTGAATCGGGGAGATCTTCAAGGTAAAATAAAATCAACTTTCCAATCGCGCGCAATTGGCTCACCAAAGTAGAGGCGAGAAATTGCTGGATGATTTCCCTCAACCACCGCGAACGATGAATCTAGATTCCATCTTTGAGGAACAAGTGTATCCAACACCAAAGCCTTCAATCAAGAACTTGCGACGACATGCCACTGCCACCGAGCTTCCGCTGCTCCAGCAACTGAATCCGAACGAGGGCGCCCCGGAGTTCAACCCGGTGCATGAAAACGAAGAAAGCGGGTCCTACGATCTCATCGCGCCCTACGAGGGCGGCGATCTACCACTCCACAAGCTGGAGAGACTGGCCGACATCATGTTCTCGTCCGAGCACATGCTCACTATCCTGAACAATCCGCGATATCTAACTCGATTCCGTGAATTCCTGCTCGAAGAGCGCCCGCGCTCGATATCCACCCTCACATACTATCTCAATGCCGCGAAAGCGCTTAAGGCCATTCAATATGCCAATGCGCTGGTGAGGCTTTCTGTTGACGTCCCTCCCCCGGCGGTGCACACAGACGAGGAAACTGTCGGGGTGACGGCGAATCGGGTTTTGGAACAACGGGTCATAGATGGGTTGCTGGCGCTGACTGCCGAAGAGCTTCCAGCATTCATCACCTCAAGGTGTATCACAATCACCAGCAAGATTGTGGAGGAGCGTGTTCGAGGGACCCTCCCCATGAAGTTCCGGGGTACTTCGAATGCGCTAGCAGAGGTTTTCTGTCTGACAGATCCCTCGCGCCCAGATAACCCAATCATTTTCGCATCGGAGGGTATGTTATGGCTTTGGTCTTCATTTTCTTTGTGCAAGACTGACCAGGCTAGAATTCCATCGGACAACACAGTATGGAATGGACTATGTGCTTGGTCGAAACTGTCGATTCTTGCAAGGGCCGAAGACAAATGCGAACAGTGTTCGTCGCATTCGTGAGGCAATCCACGCAGGTCGACACCACTCGGAGATGTTCTTGAACTAGTGCGTTCGATGCCAGCTACCCTTTGTTATGATATCGCTTACTTACTTTATTAGTCGCCGGGATGGCTCTCCGTTCATGAACCTCCTACAATGTGCTCCCCTATGCGACAGCCATGGCCGTGTCAAATACTTCATCGGTGCGCAGATCGATGTATCAGGCCTTGCAATGGAGGGTGCTTCAATGGAGTCCTTGATGGAACTCCAAACCAAATACCACGACCCCGAGGATGGAAGCATCATGGAGCCTCCACCACCAGAAGAGAAAGACGAGTTCCAAGAACTGAACGAGCTGTTCAGTCCTCGTGAGCTTTCCTCCGTGCAAGAGCACGGTGGACACTTATTCCAACCTATCAAGAGCATGGGATCGCCCCAGACCCCCCGATCCTGGCTGCAGCGTGGCACATCACTCGAGAGCGAGACCGAAGCCATTCGCCTGCGCGATATGAAATCACCATTCTTCCGAATGTCCCTGGCTGGCGTCTATGAAAATGTAAGAATCTACCCACTTCCTTCGAGCATGCCATTTCTAACCAATGCAGTACCTCCTTGTTCGACCGTACCCCTCTCTCCGGATTTTATTCACTTCGCCCGCGCTCCAGATTCCAGGCATGCTGCAATCACCCTTCCTATCGCGCATTGGTAGCTCCTCGGCTGTGAAAGAAGACCTGCTCCAGGCTATGATGGTTGGCCGCAGTGTGACTGCTCGGATCAAGTGGGTCACGCGGACGAATCCTGAAGGACGCAGTCGCTGGGTTCATTGCACACCTCTCATGGCGAGTAATGGTCAGGTTGGGGTGTGGATGGTGGTGGTGGTGGACGATGACGACGAGAAACCAATAAACTGGCGCGCCTAGGTTAATAGCTCCACATTATCTTGCATGTACATAGTTGTAGATATAGATCCAAAGTAATCCCCGTTTTTTCTTCAGCTCTCCTGCGCACTCCTATACTTAGATCGGCGTTGCATCTACCCGACGTTCCTGTGGATCTCAGCCGCACTATGCAGTATCAAAAGTACGGTCTCGGTCTGCTAATTGATGAATCGAAAGGACTTGTCACTATTTTTCCGAGAGAGCGTTATTGAAAACATCTTGGATTTAAGATCTTTTAAAGATCAATAAAAGCTCGTGCCATGGGAAGTTTATGTCTCACGTGAGACTGCACGAATGGGCGGATTATTTCTCCAGTGAGCTGCAGCTTGTTATCACATACGGTGAGGAGACAGGTCAGATTCCCACAATCTCAGAGTTCCATTTCCTTCTTTTTCCCATTTCCCCTTAAAGTGACAGCTTCGGGAATCCCACCGGTTTCCCCGATAGATTCAACGCCATCACCGTTGCCGATCCAAACAGTGACCCGCAGAGCGATACGCTAGTTGCGCCTATTCCAAATCAAGAGAATGGTAGCTGCACCCGTCTCAAACAGGCTTCCCCGTACAGGGGTCGCGACTCTGCTGGCAGGACTCGACACACCGGGAGAGATACAGCTACCTGATGGCTCAATTGTGGCGGTTGGGTCGGGTGAACCAGTGTATCGGGTCGTCTTTCACTCAAAGCGAGCATTGAATACCCCTATGACTGAGATTGGGATTGGCCAGGCCTATCTGGAGGGCGAAATCGAGGTACAGGGCGATTTTTGCGCCTTGTTGGATGCGCGCCAGAAGCTACCGGATAAGGTGCCATTGCGGCAGAAGTTCCAGTTCGTGTATGACTTCTTGCGCACCTCGTCCAAGATGAATGCCAAAGTCGTTGGCGACCACTATGGTCTCGGGGACGATTTTTATCTCACTTTCCTTGATAAACGGTTCAGATTCTATACCCATGGGTTGTTCAAAACCCCAGAAGACACCATTGAGGAGGCATCTGAGCGGAAATTGGAGACGATGTTCGCTGCACTCGACCTCAAGCCGGGCATGAGGCTCCTGGACATTGGAGGTGGTTGGGGTGCCGTGACACAATACTGCGGCGAGCGAGGCGTGCATGTAACCACTCTCACTCTCACGCACGACAGTGCTCGCTTCATCGGACGCATCCTAGAACTAAACGACTATCCCGGTGAAGTGTTCTTGCAAGATTTCCTTCTACACACACCCGAAGAACCCTATGATCATGTGGTCAATTTGGGCTTGATCGAACACATCCCGAACTATCGCAGGTTCGCGTCCAAGATGTGGGAGGTCCTCAAGCCCGGTGGCCGAATGTATCTTGATGCTTCAGCGGCTGTTGAGAAATTTGCTGTGAGCTCTTTCACGCGGGACTATATCTGGGGTGGAACCCATACATTTATGACCCTTCAGGATGTCCTGGCGGAGTTCCTATTCCATGGATTTTCGATCTTGGATGTTGCGAATGAGACTCGGGATTATGAGCTAACAATGTTGGAATGGGCTAAGCGGTTCGAGGCCGCTAAAGATAGCATCATCGCTGGCTGGGGGGAGCACAATTACCGGGTCTTCCGCTTGTTCTTGTGGGGTGGAACACACGCTTTCAAAACCAATGCATTGCAGGCTTATCATGTAGTTGCTGAAAGAACTTCATCGTCGGGTCCGCGCCCTTCTGTTCCCCGGCGGTTCAAGCAGTTCTTGGGAAATTTGCGCTGATCGCGCCAGCGAGTGAACAGGGAATGGACGCCACCCGGGCGAGAAGGTCGACTTTCTAACCATCTTTGGCTGGGTGTATATACATGCTGAAAGTTCCGCCTTTCTTTTCGGGTTGATGATTATATACAGTTTAGAAATTACATAGTATGCCCAAATCCTCGACAATTGACAAACTTCATGGTTATCACAACGATTCAGAACCAGGTGGCTCGTAGGAGCCGACGCAGCGGATGGAACATTGAGAGCGACTATTCCGCAAAACATATCGGAGTAGTCAGACCAAGAGTCCACTTCAAGCTCCCAATTTCCACAACCAGCGCACAGTATGCCACAACGATGGATATCAATCCATAAAGATATGCATGGCGCCTGCGTAGGCCCGAAAGCTCCAACACCCATGTACTGACAGTTGTCAGACACCCGCAAAAGCCATCCATGATGCCCTGTAGAACTTGACATCCATTGACACTTCCGCCGCCAAGTGAGGAGACGCTGATCGAAGCATGTTGCAAGGAATATGCCATCCCCAGGACCATGGTGCCGGCGACATTTGCCACGAAAGTTCCGAGAGGGAATGAAGGAATTCTCGCGTTGAGTTTGAGTGAAAGGAAGAACCGGGCCAGGCAGCCGATGGGAGCAAACACCAGGGAAAATAGCACTGGGCCCCTCCATAACTCGGCGCTCCAGATTGTGCTATCTCGGCCGTAGTGAGGGAGCAGAATAACGAGACAGATAACTGCCACCCACGAAAGGATAGCCAAGATGAGGATTAAAGGATTCAGCATATTCAGAAGTTTCCTCGGGAGACTTGGAGTCCATGGCGATAGACCGATAGCGAGATGTGCACCAAGGAACAATCCAGCAAGCGAAAGTCCAATTTCAGTAAACAGTACAGCAAGGATAGCCATGAAGCTGTGACCTCCATTTGGAGCCCGGGCCATAGCTGGAGGCGATTTAAACAGCGATATGGCCGAGTATTTCCCAAGAGGCGCAGGCACGGAGTTGATAGTTGCCAGAAAGATATCTCGAATGAAGGTAGAGAATGATGTGAAGCTTCCGCAAAAGCCTGTGGTCAACCCAACATAAAGGGGGATTGTCTTTTTTGGTGGACTGTCAACTTCTTGCTGAAATGTCTCATCGTCGGTCTTTTTCGGGCCGGGCTTCTTGATCGTGAAGAGATTCTTGTCTTCACTCAGGAACCCCATGACCATGCTTCCCCCGACGTTGGCCCAGAGTACACTTGTCGCAATGGGCGCGCCAGGGTAGAATGTTAGACACTCCACGGCAATTCGAAGAAGTGTGCCGAGAAACGAGAATAATGTAAGATGGCCGATGATGTATATGTTGCGCCAAATCTCAGAGGTGTGATCTCCACCCCGGGACTTTGCCTTGGGGGGTGGGTGTGATTCTTCATCCTCGTTGGTATGCCGAGTCTCCAGATCATGATCTGGGTGATGACGGATAGGCGGTGGTGCAGCGACCTCGTCCAGTTCGGCTTGAGAATTTGACATCACGAAGCTAGGGGCGACGAATTTGGAGTGTCGCGCGGGATCTTGAGATGGAGCCTGCCAAGACACCAAGCTTTTACAGCTTTTGTCAAGATTGACGGCTCTGAATGGTACCTTCAGATCAATAACAGCGTAACTTGCGATATCATGCCATTGTTTCAGGTCGATTTGTCTGCCATGAAGTTCAAGGAAATGGAAATTTCGCGTCAACGGGCGGAATGTCGCTGCCCAGGTGGGTTACCGGAATGACATAACCGTGTTACCCGGGCTTACCGTCTTACCCGCCTCTTCCTGAATCACCTCGATCACCCAACATGAAGCGCCGGCGAGTTGGCATTGCGTGCATCAAGTGTCGGGAGCTAAAAGCCAAGGTAAAAAGCTCATAAAAGGGGTTGATCTGCTCTAACCACTACTAGTGCGATGGGCAACTACCATTGTGTTCGCGATGCGAAGGATATGGGTATGAATGCGTTTGGCCCACGGAAACGAGAAAAGGGAAAAGAAGAACAATCACAACCGACACAGACACTGGTGTCTCAGCGGCAAACCGACAGCCTTCTTATCTAGCACCTAGGTCCAACACTGAACGCATTTCGCCCACGTACCCAAGAGCGGTAGAGTCATACGAAAGCCTGATATCTTCCATCAGGGCAAACTTGAGTAGCTCACACCAAGAGGCAATTGATTCGAGTCTTCGGAGCATTCGAGCTCTGGATTCAAGGCAGCCCCAAGAACCCATCGAAGTCGACCATGCCCGTCATACTGCTGTCGCTCCATCCCCAACCTACGTGGGGAAGGCAAGTGACATACACTTCATCCATAGCGTCAACAGATGCGTGAATGGACGCGAATATTTGTCTGATGATATTGCCACTCAAAACTATAGCCAAACGCACATTTCACAAAGCCCAGTGACTTTGAGAGATCCACCACTGCTACCATCGAAGGATGAAGCTGATATGTTTATGCGTGTATACCTTTCCACCATTCATATTGCTTATCCATTTCTACCAAAGACTCCTCTTTTGGAGGGATTTGAGATTTTGCAATCTGGAGATATTCAGAAGCCTGAAATACGCCCATGGCTAGCAATCTTCAGTTAGTCACTCTGACTCTCGCTGGGCAGTCATCTTTGATTCCTTACTGATATTGCTTAGACTTCATATTCGCCATCGGCTCATATTATACGCTATTCCCTCGAGGAAAGAGCTCCAATGATCGATCTTATTTCCGTTACTACGAGCAAGGTCTTTACTATTCACATGAGCTCAGCGCCGAATCATCTCTCTTGGGAGTCTGCGCTCTACTGACACAGTGTTTCTTCCTACTTGCAGTGTGTCTCACGGACAGGTACTTGATACTCAATCTTCTAGCTCAACAAGCGATACAAAGCTGACTTGTGATACAGGTGCTGGAATGTCCTAGGCTTTGCCATTCGGATGGGTCAAAGCATTGGGCTTCACGTTGAAGCTTCAGCTGAACAAGGCAAACCTGGCTCGTGGACAATGGATCGGACTCACTGGCGACGTACCTGGTATTCGATGTATGTTTTGGATCGATTGCTTGCTCTCCAGCTTGGTCGGCCGATGGCGATTCACGAGGAGGATTTTCAAGTCCAATTACCTCTGCAAACGGATCTGTCGCCTTTCACTTCACCAGGATATGACGAGCCTGCGCCAGTCAACGCGACAGAATCCAATTGCATGATGGATTATTTTCTGGGTGTGATTGGCTTCTCTCATATCCTGGGATCTGTCATACGTTCTCTCTACCGGCCATCCCAAGTTGACTCATCTCCAGACCAGATGCTTCATAATGCATCAGAGCTGGATTCCCGTTTAATGGAGTGGAAAGCTACCTTACCACGTCATCTACGGTTTGACTTAGGGCACACATTTGAGAAGTCGATATCTTTCAAGCGCCAGGTGAGCTCACCCCGGAATGAGGCTCAGCACGCTAGCAAATGTGATTTACTGACATCATTAGCGTAACATGCTTGCCGTGAAGTTTCATCACCTACGTGCACTCATCCATCGGCCATTCTTATGCCTTCCGCTTCTGCAGATAAACAACCAATCTTTCATCGATTTACTTGCTCGAGATAAGGAAAGAATCACGGAGGCAGAATGGATCTGCATACATGAAGCACAGCAGACTGCTCAACTACTTCACAATGTCACGGACGAGAGAAGCCTAGTACACGATTTCCCATGGTGGCAGATGATATCATGTCTGATATGCGCCAGCTCTATTCTGTTTGTTGCGGAAAGTTTCTACACCAGAGACAGCATGGTTCATACCAAATCATCTGCGCAGAATTTACGAGATGACGCCGAAACATGTCTCAAAGTCTTTGAAGCGTTGAGTGCAAACTCGGCGGCGGCGCAAAAGGCAGCAGACATACTACAGGGACTTTCGCGTATGTATCGAGGAACGGGAAAATGTAAGCTTTTGATCTCTCTTCACTGCAACAATTCTGACTTAGGGTTTCTTTAGCAGCTGCCTCGAATTCAGCGCCACATCAGCATCCATCGGGCTCGACCAGTGCGTCTGTTCACACCGACTCGGAGGCACCTTTCAATCCTGGGAATCAATTACTGCCTGATCAGCTGTCCGATGACGTGTTTCCACTTTGGGAATGGCCCAGTGAGATCTCAAGTTCGATGGAGTGGTCGCTTCGCTTTCTCGGTTGCCCACAGACTCCGCCTGATTTAACTGCATCGGAGTAGCGGCTCTCATCGATCGAGAATGCCCAGGTGTAGCAGTTGAATGTTACAGTAGGACTGTAAAAGCAGTAGCATTTTCTCTGAAATTCACCCTTGCATATTTGCAAAGAAGTGATCCAAGTAGGGAGTACGAGCAAGCAAGCTAGAAGTACATATCTCGAATGTGCGCCGTACCAAGCCACTACTTACCGCTCATCTTGACTACAGCATCCCAAGATTCTTCACTGGTAGCGATCGCCGACATGATCCACACCACAATCAGAGCACATCGCAGTGAATTTTGATCATCCAATCAACGACTGTGATCTAGCTGGATCAGATGCAACATTATCTGCTGCATGAAAAGTGTGGGGATCTGTGCTCTACATACTGCACATACATATCCCTTTCGCAGGAGTGATGCCATGCATTGAGCCCGAGGTCTCGATGGGTTCAAGCCGGATCGAAGTGTTTCCGATCTCGATCCGATCGATCGATGGTGCCCAGGTGGACCCTCATGAGGTCCGTACGGAATAGCGTGAAACTTGTGTCTCGATTCTCGAGGGAATCTTTCAAGCAATCGCTAGAGGCCTCGACCGAAGCGCATATGCCAGGTGTGGATATAACCATGCAGTTGTTCCGAACTCACACGCCATTACCTGTGGGCAGTTCTGAGAGTCGGTGAACTTTGCTGATCTGGATGGAATCGAGACTCGGGGTTTGAACTTTGTCACTTGTAGCCTCTAACATGATCTTACTACTTAAAGTGCCAAAAAGCCCCTCAATATATGATGAGTCAGTATGGCCGAGTGGTTAAGGCGCTAGACTTGAATTACCTCTTTCGATATCTAGTTCATTCGTGATCCTAGGTTCGAACCCTAGTGCTGACGATCTTTCTTTTTGGCTTTTTGCTCCCCGCACCCAAAGCGAAATCCAGGAAATATTTATCGTCTGTTGTTCTTTTCAAGATTTCTTTTCAAGCAATACGACCAACTAAAGATGGAAGCGCGAGTCGGAGATCTTGTCATCACGAGGGCAAAGAATGGTACGGATCTTTATACTTGGCTTGCGGCTGTTGCTCTGCATCCTAACCTCTTCATCAGGGCAAGTTATTAAAGGAAAAATCACAGAAGTGCGAGGCCGCGACGGAGTAGCCCCATACCTTGTATGTGCTGTAGTTCATTGTTCAAATGTGCAGATGGATATACTAAGTCTGGAGCCAGGTTCGGTTTGAAGATGGACATGAGACATTGGTTTACCCTGGGCCTGAGACGGAGGTGGTTCCTGCGCCCAGATGACCCGGGTGGAGATGCAAGAGGAAACTATCTATTTAAAAAATGGTTATGTCCATGATCATTTCTATTGAATCTTTAAGCTGTTCAGTAAATCGTGCAAATGTAGATCATCAATCATGTCACTCAAGTCCCCAACCGCGCACTCGTCGGAACACATATGCTCTATCGTTGGGGATACCGAACTCGCCCCATTCTTCAGATATTTTGTTGTAGCTCCAGAAGCCCTTCCAGGCCAGCTTGGTATTTTTTGATGGATTGGGTGGAGCAGGGCTAGCCTGTGCAGCCTTGGGGATGGTCGAGGAGCGTAGAGATAAATGCATGGTGTTTACATATCTGGAGTCGACGCCTTCGGTCTCAATAATAATGTCTCTCTGATCGGAGAGCAGAGGCTTTTCGGTGGCCCCAGATTCAGGCTTCCAGGCCGAATCAGATGGCTCAGGCGTGTTGGTGGGCGAGGCCAGGTGCCAACGGCCTCTGCGAGCATGCTTCAATGCATTCGAAGCAACGGCTGGCAAAGGATCGGCCGCCCCGGATAAGGATTGACCATGGTCAGACGCGTTGCGCTTATGTTTGCGGTTCGCCGGAGTAAGCGCTGCTGCCACGTTCTCTCTGCTGATATACGGGACGACATCGACCGGCTCGGTGGATGTGAGAAGTGATATGACTGAGCCGTCTGGGTAGAACCGTAGGTAGCGATAGTAAGTCACAATGTGGATGGGGCTGTTCCACGACACATTCGAGTACGCAGCGGTAGCACCGGGCCGAGTGTAGTTGACAGTGCTGATGTAGACACCCGTGTACCGAATTCGAGGTAGGGACTGGAAAACCTGGCGCCACGAAGACAGTGGTGGGGGAACTTCTACAGGCTCGTCTTTCGGGAATGGGGTGTATCGAGAGCCAAGAGTGTAGATTGGAAGCCCGAGCACGTCGCACGCGAAGTCGTAATGCATTCCCCCAAAGCCGAACTTTGAAGCTTGACAGAGTCCCTTCCAGGTCGGTTGGTCATGGGCGAAGTGGTAGGCCATCCGTTTACAGACCAGTGCCATACGAGCAAATGTTGACGGATCGTCAAGAGCCACATGATTGAGGATTTCTGCTATCACTTCCGACGGCATGGCAGCAATCGGACATGGGGGCGGCGGCGTGTTCTCGATGATTGACTCGGCTTGTGGGATTGGAAGATGCGCGAACGATGCAATGAGTTCCTGCGTCGGTACGGTCTCTACCTCGGCAGCTTGTAGTTGGGTCGTTGTCGCCTGAGCGGGCGTCGGCTGGTTTGGTCTCTTCCATACGTGGGAATAATGCTTGTTACGGTAGGATTTATCAACAGCAGAGTCAAGCTAGATTAGGGTCAGCTTGGTAGGAACGACAGCAGTGAGTGGTGAGGCTCACCCTGTAAGCTTTCCGGTAATGCGTGAGACTGTCACCCAAGTTGCCCTCCGCCTCCTTTTCAACCGCCCGTTCAAAATGCTCCAAGGCAGAGGTTGGTTCTACCGCCTCTCGACGAGAGAAGTCCTCCTCTGCAGGCTGCACGCTCAGCTCCCCAACCTGTTGGGCCAGCTCATCGGGATCGAAGGAAGCCAGTGGAGGGCCCTCCTCCTCGACCTCATTGCGGTGAGCGGCCTCATGGCGTGTGGGCGGAAGACGAGACAAAGGCGGGGCAGTCGGCGTCGGAGCCGGAGGGGTCCCAGTCTTGGGTTTTGATCGACGAGTGACCTCCTCGCGCCACTGTCGGCGGAAGGACTCGAGCTCGGCGTTGTCTTCCATGGCGGGGGTCCGACCTCGGAGATCAGATTGATAAGCCCAGATGTAAACCTTGGAAAAGATGAAAGAAACCTAGCATTCGAAACAGCACGCCAGATCTCACACCATTGACCGAATTGCTGAGTCGTTGCAGAGTCCAAGTCGTAAAGCGTCGCCAAAAGGCTTATCTCCGCCCGCCGCCACCCGTCAAACCCCGAAAACCTGCCAAATTCCCTTTCGATCTTCTTTTGCAACTTCCCGGAAACACCGTTCTCTGTGATCTCATTGTATTACTTGATGCCGACCGGCTCGAGCTTCACCTCCAACCCCGCGAGCGAATTCAGTCACAATACCTCTCTAGGGGCGTCATGGGCGTCACAGCTTGACGATTCTACAATGGCTACCTCAGGGACAGCCACTCCTGCGCCCAGCGCGCAGGCCCCGGTCGACAATATCACTCCGGGGCAGCGAATGGTGTCTGCGACCGCCGGCAATATCTTGACCGGATTACTAGGTGAGTGGAGGAGAAGAGCGTTCCCCGATCCAGCAGCTAACGGTGTCAGTCACGCCTCTGGACGTCGTGCGAGTCCGTCTACAATCCCAATCTCAAATCCAAAATACCTCACCCTTCACCTCTCACACCACACAAACATTGAGAAACCTCCCTCCAAATCTTGGCATCACCTCCTGCTGTCGCGAGGTCTTCTGGGTCGGCAACGATGCGCAGATGTGCATGCTAGGACCCCAGGCCGCGGCAGTGGGAAGTCGCCCACACCCAGCAATCGATTGTGCGATCGAAGAATCCCAGCGAAGAACATTTACCTCGACCCTCGACGGGCTCCGAAAGATCGCGCGCAATGAAGGAACATTGACACTGTGGCGAGGGCTTAGCCCGACCTTAATGATGGGAATCCCGGCCAACATCATCTATTTCGCCGGATACGACTGGCTGCGCACAGACGACCGGAGCCTCATCAAGCAGCGCGTTGCCCCGGCGTATGCGCCGTTGATCGCAGGGTCCGTCGCCCGGGTCGCAGCCGCTGCGGCAACTAGTCCATTGGAAATGTTCCGTACTAGGCTCCAGGCAACCCCGGGCACGGGAGCGGGCCATTTTAAGAACACCATCAAAGACCTCCACCGGATGACTCAATCCAAGGGTTACAGTTCGCTTTGGCGCGGGTTTACTCTGACGATGTGGCGCGACGTGCCTTTCTCCGGTCTCTATTGGTGGGGATACGAGGAAGTCAAGAAGGTGCTGATTGCGACGCGCCCACGGGCGCACCACCTGAGCGAAGATACCACCGGGCAGGCTTTCGTGGATAGTTTCGTTGCTGGAGCCGTGTCCGGGTCTGTCGCAGCACTTGTCACCACTCCATTTGACGTGGGAAAGACGCGTCAACAGGTTTTCCGACATATGGATGACCATGTTCCCACTGGCCCTCCTCCCCGCACGTCTCTCCCCCCGGGCATTTTAGCGCCGGAGCAGCTCTCCTTGCCAAAGTTCCTCATGCATATCTTCCGGGAAGAAGGCACAGCCGGTCTCTTCCGTGGCTGGACGGCTCGCTGTCTCAAGGTTGCCCCGGCCTGTGCGATCATGATCTCCACCTACGAACTAGGCAAACGTATGGCCCGAGAAGTCAACGAACGGCGACACTCTGACGATTAATTTTGTATCATATTGCATGCGATCTTCCGGTCGCTTTCTCTCTCACCTCTGGGCGTTTTCTTTTACTGTTTTAATGATCATGAGCCGAGTCATAGAGCATTTTACCTAGGTATTCTGTACATAATAAATCAAAAAGACATCTCTTTCGATTTGACACAGCCCGATGATCAGACCCCCCGCAGATGATCACTTTCAGGGCTGGGCAGATGAGGCTCTCGTGATTTAAAAAGGGCTGGCCCCCAATGCGAAACCCCCAAACTCGACATGACTTCGCGACCCCCCGTCGAGCGCAAGCGTCCATGGTTTGAACATGTCGCGGTCGCAAAAGACACAAATGTTGAGTATGTTTATTTCCCATGCGCCGAACTGCGATCTAATGCAGCTCCAGTATTGTCGCTGTTCCGCCCATCGGCGCGCAGCATCGTAAGACATGGACAGCCCACGGGGCGCACTCCTCCTGGTTCGATACACACCTGCTCCAACACTTACCCCAGGCCCGAGTCCTGTTGTACAACTATGGAGAGCTAGGCGAGGATAAAATCGATACCCTGGGCCAGCGGCTCCTCAACCAACTACTCGACGAGCGAAAGCATGATGTACATCTCTGCCTGGCCTGCTTACTGTGGTCTTGCTGACCGTCAGTAGAAACCCCGACGCCCGATCTTCTTCGTCTGCCACAGCACTGGCGGTCTCGTCGTGAAAGCAGCCCTGGCCCTGGCGTCGCGGGCCGAGCCGAGCCAGTCCATCCTTAACGGCTGCCATGGCATTGCCTTCTTCGCGACCCCTCATCAGGGATCAACGTATCTCTCCGCCGACGAGTATGCCACCAGCATTCGTCATCTGCTCCATCTGGAGCGGGAGACCCCCGTAGCACTCCGCAGGCAATTTCGCCCCCGTCAAGAACGCCTGTGGCATCTGTCCAACCAGTTCAAAACTCTCTCCGCGGACATGAAAGTATGGTCTTTTCTGGAGACAGTGGACTCGACTATGCATGTCATTGATGCCGAGACAAACAACATCCTAGAGTTCCATGTCCCCGTCACCTCTATCCGATCTGGATTACTTGACATTGAACACGAGACAGAACTACCTTTGGCAACTGATCATGCAGGCACAGCAACATTTCACGGTCAAGATACAACACGTGAAAGATTCTTAAGAGAGCTGAGTAGCGCTGTGAACATGGCCGTTGACTTGTCTGAGCGCGAGGACACGCCTTTAGGTGTCGAGCAAAAGGTGATGGTTCAGATAAATGGCTTCTTCGAAGACACAGCTCTGGGTGTCAGTGATGAAAGTCCACTGAAGCTCTGGTCAACAAAAGTCACCTTGGACGAGTACCTCTCGCGAGGGCCATCAATATGTCTTCGCGAGAGACTGGGACGAGTACAGCCTAGTGGTTTGGACGATTCCTCAATTAGCAGTTTCGATAGTCCACGTTCGTCCTATATCGCTCCTAACTCGGACTCTCATAACCACGAGACCCATGTCGACGAGAAGCCCCGGCCTCTACGGCCTCCACTCCCATATCGTCCAAGCTTCGAGGATGGCTCTGGTCCCTCTCCACGGATCCACATTACTGAAGCAGATATGGACGAGTACTTTAATGAGCCACCGAGCGAGAGTCCACCGCCGCCAAAAGAAACAAAACGCAAGAATACAATCTCAAAAGCACTCGGCTTGATCCCGCTCAAGCGATCCCACAGACGAAGTGCCTCTGAGAGTAGTTCGCAGGGTAGTGGCTCGCGGCCAACTTCGTAAGCTATCACCCTCTTGTTCAACATTTCGGCTACAACTCACACTATACCAGGAGTTCCACATTACAGCAGGCGCAGAATGCTTTCTTGAATATTCCAAAGTCCACGCGCGATCGCATCAGTCAGCATGCAGAGACTTCCGACATCCCTCGAGCAGTTCCGCGTTTCGACCGACCTGACCCGGAGAGTGAGAAGCTCATGTGGATCCATGTACCCTACACGCATACCGGATGGGTATCACAGGTTATCCGTCGAGCCTGCCAGGATACAAAGGAGCCAAATTTGTAACACACCTCGCACACTTCATGTTCCGTACGGTGAAGCTAATCTAATCCTAGTGTCCGAAAGTTCATCAATGACGAGAATTGGTATCTTCGGCTCAACAGGGCACGTCACCTTGAACCTCATGCGCGGTTTGTGAGGCCTGCATGCATTCATTCTAGACACATGGACAATCCACAGGGCACACCGAGTATTTCTGATGATCCACAGCTTGCATTATATGTATGCCCCCGTATCTTTCCTCTGTTGTCACTCCAGTCTAACGAATATCACAGGCCCCTTATGTCAGTATCAAACATCTACACAAACCTGCTTGAAGCGATATACTAACCAAAACAGCTACACTGGGACACATATCGGAACCTAATCCAACGACGAAAAGTAGTCGAAGACAGACTCCGCCAAGGCCGCTCAAGACCCATACCAAGTCGAATATCCAAAGCTAGCCTGGAAGCCCAACTTATCTGGACATATCTAGGCTGCGAACCACCGGTGCATTTCCGCCGCACTCTAGACCAATATGGGTATCCGAACTTGCGATCAACTGTTGCAAGAGACGATGATCAGATGCTTTGGAAAAGAACTCGCAGACCGGGTCATATCGACGAACAGCTGAATGAGTATTTGGACTCTGCGCAGGATGATACTGATCCTGATAATGTTGAACATTGCGAGTTCATGGATGGGAATGTCTTGATGGTTGATCAGCTGTGGTTGTGGATTGTTGACGAGAAGACTGTGATTACGTTTTTCCCTAATCAAGAGGCCACGACTTCGGAAGGGAAGTTGTTCGAGCAATCGAATCTGCATAGCAGTATCTATAACGAGTTGAATGGGGATTTGGCTCGTCGGTTTGAAACGGCCGGTGACCTCGCTGCTCTGATTGTGTTGCATGCTACGACTGTTCTTCTGGATAAGACTCTGCATCACGACTTGCAAGTCTTGCGCATATTTGAGGAGTCGATCAGCATTTTGGTGAGTCTGGATTGTTTGTCATATCTCTGGAACTGCGTTAACAACAGCAGACCGAATCTGTAACGAAATCCTTCAAACGATTCCGAAATCGAGGATTCACCAACCGCCCTGCAGATCACGACCGCGCACCAGACGGGAAGATAATGACAGCCGCCCAAAGAGAGTATCGAGAGCGCCAAGTTGCCCGAAGAAATCGAGAAGATCTCTCTGTCCTACTTGAGTTGCGCGACATTGAGGACGAGCTTGGGACGATCCTCAAGCTACTTGATCAGCAAGACGGTGTGATACAAAGTATGACAAAGTATTTCGACAATAGAGGCGACGGAAAGTCATTCCTTGATTTGTCCCAGGCACGGATCGAAGAGTATCGATCCCAGATCACTGAAATGAAGGAAAACAGCCACTTGGCTCAGAAAGCTGTATGTCCTATCTAGCAGAGACATCAGGACCATACTGACGCCGATACCAGGTTGAAACTCTCCTTGACCTCAAACAGAAGCAAGCAAATGTCGACGAAGCCAAAATGGCAAGGTGGCAAGCAGAAGTCACTCAGACCCAGTCTCGGGCAGTGATGGTGTTCACTATATTTAGTGTCGTGTAAGTGTATATCCATCAACATCCCATGAAGCCTTGCTCATCTCTCCAGTTTCTTACCTCTATCATTCTTCACGTCTCTTTTCGGAATCAACGCCCGCGAATGGAGCGGAGAGCCCACTAACCCGACGTTGGGCCAAATGCTCGAGATAGCCGGTTCGATTCCTCTCCCATCCCACCGTATCTCATCATACTGACTGTATCCAGCTCCATCGTCGTTCGCCATCATATTTCTATCCCTGTTGCTGGCATTCAGCGAGAAACTGCGCGAGATAGTATCGAAATCTCACAAAGTCAGTGTGGGGTTCATGAAAGAATTCATCTTTCATCCCATCCGGACAATCCTTCACTGGGATGATATAACAAGCAGGATGCCCACTAATTTCGTCCCCGAGGATTCAAACATGCGAAAACGACTGGATGATTACCTTGGCTATCGGCGACGGAATATGCAGCTTGACGATGATCTCTGGAAGCGGTGGCAGGTTAATCCCCATTCGCTTGTGCGGGAGCATAAGGGGAAGAAGAAGGGGAAAGATCGCGCGAATCGAGGGGATCGGACTGGGGAGGTTTAGACGTCCGAGTGGGATTGGTCATCTGATTCCTCCTGAGGGTACATCCATGGATGTGATGGATTGAATTTTGATGCACTGAGCTTGAATGGCTGAATGCTCTGCTCGTCGCTGCGAGCAGGTTTTATCGAACTGCGCAAGTGGCTCAGCGGTTTCAAGGTCAAAGCTGGCTGCATGGTGTATAATATCAGAACATGGATCATACTGAATTTACGGACAGTGATATCACTACAAACGTCCTATAACAGGTAGGGCTGCCACAACCTTGAACCTTGGGAGAGGTAAACGGAATGTACTTCGAGTCGTGATACTATAAGGCAAACACCGAGAAAAGAGAAATGAGACAGAGTATTTGACCGTAAGAAAACATGAGAACGAACTGCTGGACAGGTAGGGGTATTTGGTATTTAAAGAAACGTGAATCCAGAAAGCGATTTGCCTCCGAAGTGCTGGAAGGACTTTCCAATGCTTATGGCTAACGAGCAGGAAAGTGACGAAAAGAGCCAGAAGAACGGATGAAAACCGGGTAAGTCAAATGCCAATGAACAAGACCCAGGTATTCACAATCGCGACGGAACTTCATAAGTCAAGACCAGGCTTGAATGTTTAGCTCGTGATATTCAGGCTAGTCACTGGTGTGCAAATTGGCTCTGAGTCCTCAATGGCAGATAATGAGGGGATGTTCATAGCCGAACAATCCATGATCGTTTGCATCATGCGACTGGAATCCAATGGTTTGGAAAGATAGTCATCCATGCCGGCTGAGATGCACTTGTCGCGGTCGCCTAGCATGGCATGCGCAGTGAGAGCAATGATGGGCGTGCGAGGAAGACCGTTTATCTTCTCGTATTGTCTGATATTTCCTGTCGCTTCAAATCCACCCATGACGGGCATTTGGACATCCATCAAAATCACATCATAACGATGGAGTTCAACCTCTCTCACGGCTTGAAGCCCATTCTCCACAACGGTGACGGTATGGTTGAACTTTTCAAGTATGCGCACAGCGACTTTTTGATTGACGTCGTTGTCTTCTGCCAGGAGAATGGCAAGTGATCGTGTATAACCGGATGGCGTGCGAGTGGCGCGGTTTCCAAGCGCGGGCAGAATACCGTTCCAAAGGTCAATGGGACGACAGGGTACTGTGATATAGGAAGTGATGCCCAGCTCCCCTGCAGCTCTGAGTGCTATGGAGACCGTGTTCGAGGTAATGACTAAAGGGATTGGCTGCAGGCTTGTACAAGCTCGAAGCTTGACTGCTGTTTCCAAGTTCTCGACGAGGATAGCATCAAAGGCGCACGCCCAGTCACTTTGGAATTGGCCACATTCCAGCTGCTCTTCCGTAACAATCATAGGGTCCAGACCGAGCTCCGTCAGCACCGAGATTATCGGGAAACTTTTTGACAGGCCGTGATCCAGGAAGAGAACTCGTCTACCGCGATAGGGGAGAATCTGGTCCGCGAAGCCCGTCGGGGGTTGGGCTAGCTTTACCCGGCAGGTAAATGTGAATGTACTTCCCTCTCCCATGTTCGAGGACACCCAGATATCCCCGCCCATGGCGGAAACGAGCCTCTTTGAAATCGCTAGTCCTAGTCCCGTGCCGCCAAAGCGACGGGTCATTGATCCGTCGGCTTGCTGGAACTTATCAAAGATCATGCCCAGCTTGCTCTGGTCGATACCAATGCCGGGATCTGAGACGGAAAACTGGAATGCAGTTTCGTCGGCAGCACACTTTTCATCGATGGCTCGTTTGATTTGAACCTTGATGTCGCCATGGTCTGTGAATTTGACCGCATTTCCGACGAGGTTGAGCATCACTTGTCTTAATCGATATGCGTCCCCGATCAAGAAGTCAGGGACTTCGCCATCGACTGTATAGATCAACCCCAATGCTTTCTCGTTGGTTTCGACCGAAAGGGCCTTCAGCACACTGAACACTGTTGTGCCGAGACTAAATGGTGTCTTTTCAATCATCAACTTGTTTGCCTCGATTTTCGAAATGTCAAGTATATCATCAATAATGGTCAGGAGACTGATGGCAAGGTTATGGACCATATTCAGAGTCTCTCTGACAGGCGCCTGGAGCTCATCGGTGTCAAGCGCCAGACTCGAGAGGCCGATGATCCCATTCATTGGAGTCCTGATCTCATGGCTACGTCTATGTTAGCATAATACGATGAATGAAAGGGAGATATCTCTGGAAAGCAAAATGGCGCACCTCATATTGGCTAGGAATTCGGATTTGCTGCGGTTAGCCAGCTCTGCCGCTTCGCGAGCTGCGGTATTCCGCTGGATGCTGTCGCGCAGACTCGAGATCATTTTGTTGATCTTTTGTTTCAAGTCATCCATCTCGCCGGAGGCGGAGACAGTGATCAACTTGCTGAAGTCACCACTCATCGCTGCTTCGGTGATCTCACCAAAGGCACGGACTTGTGAAGTCAGGTTCTCTGCCATTGTATTGACATCTTCGCTGATCGATCGCCAGATTCCGTGAGATCCAGCAACATTTGCTTGCCCGCCAAGTTTACCATTGACGCCGACGTCCTGGGCTACTCCTTTGAGTTCTCGTGCAAATTCTCCTAAACCATCTACCATGCTGTTGATCGTTTCTTTAAGGGTCAAGATCTCACCCTGAGCATGAACCTCGATTTTGGTACTGAGATCACCGCGCGCAATAGCCTGCGTCACGTTAGAGATCTGCCGGACCTGTAGAGTCAGGTTTTGAGCCATGGTGTTGACGTTGTCGGTCAAATCTCGCCAGCGACCCTCGACATTCTCAACCTGTGCTTGTCCACCCAACGTGCCATCGGTTCCTACTTCCCGGGCCATTCGGCTGACCTCGAACGCAAACTGGTTCAATCGGTCGACCATCGAATTTATCGTAAGCTTCAGATCCAAGATTTCGCCCTTCACGTCTGCGGTCACTTTCTTCGTGAGATCGCCTTTTGCGACGGCGGTGGTCACATCGGCGATTTCTCGAACCTGCTGCGTGAGATTCGAGGCCATGCGATTCACATTCTCGGTGAGGTTCTTCCACGTCCCCTCTACCCCGTGCACGACGGCCTGACCACCCAGCACGCCGTCGGAGCCGACCTCACGGGCTACTCGGCTCACCTCGAACGCGAACTCTCGGAGCTGATCGACCATGGAGTTGATGATGTTCTTCAGTAGCAGGATCTCGCCCTTGCAATCCGCTTGCACTTTGCGCTGCAGGTCTCCCTTCGCAACTGCCGTGGTGACGGTCGTGATGTCGCGGACCTGGGCCGTGAGGTTGTTGGCCATAGCATTCACATTCACTGTCAGCTCATGCCATATGCCCTGAATTCCTTCGATCTTCGCCTGACCACCCAAGACACCCTCAGTGCCAACCTCCCTAGCAACCTTCGAGACCTCCTGACTGAAGACCTGCAACTGGTCCATCATAGTATTAATCGTCTGTTTGAAGGTCGCGATATCCGGAGACATCTCCAGCGGATGCATCCGGGCGCGCTGGGACAAATCGCCATGAGCGACCTGGGTGATGATCTCGCCGATCTCCCGCAACTCCTTCTGGAATGCTTCATTGATATGGGTGTGTTTGCGAAGTTCTTTCCGGAGATGTGAGCATTCATGTTCGAGTATAGCGATCGGGGAGTGTGCATCGCGACGGAAAATGAGTTCTTCGACGATGAGGGAGATGAATTCGCGGGGGACGGAGATTTCGCTGGACTGTTGGTGCTGGAGGGCGGCTCGTGCTTGCATCAGATCTGCATCGCTCACCATCGCCGGGCGAGCGGCGTCGACCATCGCCATGGTGTAGTGAGAGGGAAGACAGTCACTACTGGATTAGCGATAAAGTTGGACTAGAGAGACATGCTCGTACCGAATCGAGGCTCACAGGAGTGCATTCCCCTCAATAATGTCAAGGTGATCCGGTGACACCGGGCGGAGTTGAGAAAAGAAGAGACGTCAGGTTTCCCGCCCTGTAAGCCTAATTGGAACAATTCTTTGTCCACTCACACATACTTGGACTTTTCTTCTAGGCCTTGGGTGGCTGACCCCTTGGTAACATTAGCCGAGCCGTTAGGACACATTGTCTGCGCAATACATACTGGACTGCGTACTCAAAGTGTCAACTGTCGATCTTCAGGTCGATCCCGTCGATCCACTGGCCAAAGTTTGGTACGGTTATCAGTCTGGAATATAGTAGAGCAGTAAGGTAGTTGGACAGTAGTTAATCAGGTTACGGAAATATTGAGACAATACGTGGGACACGTTAAATTGCATCAAACGACAGAAATACATATATGGTACATAGGAGCCTTTTGGGGAGAAACTCCAGGAGGGGAGAGATCAAAAGAGTCCGAAAAAATACAGGTATAGGAAACAAAAAACACCGTAGAGACACAAAGAAAAGACATTACGCAATCCGAGTATCAGAACAGGCTGGGATGCAAAGAAGGATGTCAGGGGAGAGGGTCAGAGGCTCTAGAACATGCCACCGCCCATACCACCCATACCACCCATGCCGCCCATGCCACCGGCAGGGGCAGCGGGGCCCTTCTCCTCAGGGGCCTCGACGATGGCAACCTCGGTGGTACCGAGGAGGGAGGCGACACCGCTGGCGTCAACCAGAGCGGTGCGGACAACCTTGAGAGGGTCGACGATACCGGCAGCGATCATGTCAACGTACTGGCTGGAGGAGCTGTCGTAACCGCGGTTGAAGTCCTTGGCGTACTCGTCGGTGAGCTTACCGACGATGACGGAGCCCTCGAGACCGGCGTTCTCGACGATGGTGCGGGCAGGGCGGGTGATAGCGCTCTTGATGATGCTGACACCGAGCTGCTGGTCGAAGTTGCTGGGCTTGACGCCGTCAAGGCCGTTGGCGGCGGCCTTGAGGAGGGCGGTACCACCACCGGGGAGGATACCCTCCTCAACGGCAGCGCGGGTGGCGTTCAGGGCGTCAACGACACGGTCCTTCTTCTCACCGACCTCAACCTCGGAGGCACCGCCAACCTTGATGACGGCGACACCACCGGAGAGCTTGGCAAGACGCTCCTGGAGCTTCTCCTTCTCGTACTCGGAGGTGTTGGGGTCAGCGATGTAACCGCGGATCTGCTCGCAGCGCTGGGAGATGTTGTCCTTGCTGCCCTCACCGTTGAGGACAATGGTGTCCTCCTTGGTGATGGTGATGGAGCCGGTGGAGCCGAGCATCTCGGGGGTAAGCTTCTCGAGCTTGATGTCGAGCTCATCGGTGAACACGGTACCGTTGGTGAGGATGGCAAGGTCGCCAAGAATGCTCTTGCGGTTGTCACCGAAGCCGGGGGCCTTGACGGCGGCGACCTGGAGTTGACCACGGAGCTTGTTCAGGATGCAGACGGCGAGAGCCTCACCCTCAATGTCCTCAGCGATGATGACGAGGGGACGGCGCAGAGTGGTGGAGGCCTCGAGGGCGGGGAGGATGTCCTGGACGGCGGAGATCTTCTTCTCGGAGAGAAGGATGAGAGGCTTCTCAAACTCGACCTTCTGGGACTTGGGGTCGGTGATGAAGTAGGGGGAGGTGTAGCCACGGTCGAAGCGCATACCCTCGGTGACCTCGAGCTCGTCCTCAAGGGTCTTGCCCTCCTTGACGGTGATGACACCCTCCTTGCCGACCTTCTCCATGGCGGTGGAGATGAGCTTGCCGACGTGAGTGTCACCGTTGGCGGAGATGGTAGCCACCTGGGCGATCTCCTCACCGGTGGTGATGGGGCGCTTGTTCTCCTGGAGGTAGTTCACAACGGCCTCGACGGCGGCCTGGATACCACGGCGGAGGTCCATGGGGTTGCAACCAGCAGCGACGTTCTTGACGGTCTCGGAGAAGATGGCACGGGCAAGGCAGGTCGCGGTGGTGGTACCGTCACCAGCGAGCTCGTTGGTCTTGGAGGCGACGTCCTGGAGGAGGCGGGCACCGAGGTTCTCGAACTTGTCCTGAAGCACGATGGCCTTGGCGACAGTTACACCATCTAATGCGCGTTAGCGTTGGTCCTCATTTCCTGTGGTTCTCGGGTCCTGCTTCGTGAAACTTACCCTTGGTGATCTTGGGGGAGCCGTAGGGGGAGTCAATGAGGACATTGCGACCCTTGGGACCGAGAGTAGAGGTAACAGCCTTAGCAAGAGTGTCGACACCCTTGAGCAGACCGGCACGAGCCTCAACGCCGAACTTGAGCTCCTAGTTGCTGTTAGCATGCTGGTCCACGCATTGCGTCGGGATCCACGGAAGAGGATGCCAATGATGAGCATCCCTAATTCCGCACCCAATTGACCAAGAAACGTACCTTGTGAGCAAAGCGCTGCTGCTGGAGGTTCAGAGTTGAGCGGGTGAAAGGGGCACGCTTGGAAGCGGCGGAGAGGACCGAAGTCCGGGAAGAGAGAGCGCGCTGCATGGCTATGGAAACAAATTAAAAAAGGATTAAAGGAAGAGATAAACAAACAACCCAGGAGCAAGACGGGTTGAAGAGAAAGGATGGAGAAAGCTGGAGAGAGATGAAGCCAAAGCAAATTTGCGTCCCCAGATCGGAGAAGGAGCTAGAATACCCGTGTCACGTGCCCCGTCCCGAGGGTATCGGGGAAACGGCTACTTCGACACTTTGTTTTACACTTGTTTCTACACTGTACTCTTCAGAGATCATCTTTGGTGTCTTCCGTAGTTATACGGAGAATGAAAGGCAACATAAGATGCCCATCCTATGTTATCAACATGTACCTGTGAACCAGCTTTTGTTTGTATACTACGGAGTGCGGACGGATGCTCCGGCGTTCGGCAGACATCCGTACATGCGGCAATTTTTGGCGATGCTCAACCTTCCCTCCAGGGCTTTTCCTTCATACAAACTGATCCTGTAGTTCCATGAACAATCCTAATGTCAAAACCAACACTTGATCAAGCCTGGATAGTCTCTTCAATATGACACTGTCTGGTGTTCAGCCCCACAGTCCTGCATGCTGCTTATTTATATCACTCATTTGAAATCCAGGCTCACTTCCCTTAGGTACTTCCGTTAATATTCGGCGGAAGTTGAGCTTAATGACGGTTCTATTCATCCAAGCTGTTCAATCTTGATGCAACTGACGTGGATTCAATTCACATACAGGCCAAATCTATACTGAGTCCGCAATCCTATAGATCATCGGAATGGCCTTTGACTTCTAACCTTGGAACCTTGAAAAGGTTCTCACCTGTGCATCTGGTCCCCCGTAATAGGAATGCCTACACCATACTTTGATATCAACCTTCTATGGTTATCTGAGGTCGACTACACTTACTTTATCAATGACTTTACCTCTACGGAGTACTGAGCACAGCGAAACGAAAACGAAATCTCATTGTGCCCGTCGCCTCTCATTTCGAGGACCGACGTGCTCTGCTCCCTCTGCCCCCTCTGCCTCCGTCAACCGGGTAATCCCCTCTCCCCTAGTCCATGACACAACGCCAAGAAGTACATAGGAGAGAGAGGACAATGATCGGGATCAGGGCTCACCCCCCTCCCCCGACCACCCCCAGTTGACGGAGCAATCGACAGAAATCTGAAACAAGAAAAAAAGGAAAAAGGAAAATCTGAAAACACAATCTGGAAAAAAAGAAAAGAAGCAAAAACACAGTCTGAAAAAAGAAAGAAAGAAAACGACACCGAAGTGTCCACATTCTCAGAGGTCCAAGTTCCACTCCTCGTCCTCCTCCAACACGAAGTCCGCGGCCTCCTTCGTCAACTCGGCCGCCAGATCTTCCTCCCCGAATTCCGGGATCCCCAAGAATGGGGCGCCGGGAGTTTGGCTCTCACCGGCAGCCTCCACCTTGAGGGCGGAATCGGGGGCCTCCTCTTCGCAGAGATGGAGCTCCGGAGGAGACTCCATATGGGGCCAGTGGGTCTGGCCGCCATGAGACCGCATCTCCTGCCCAGGTCCGGGAACCTGAGCAGGGAGAGCGAGGAAGTCCGGGTCTATGAAACCGAGGTCGTTGGCGTCCGGCATGTTCAAGGGCCCTTGTGCAGCCAGCAATCCGGCGTTGGCGAATGGACTGGGCCCATTCGATGGCCAGTATGGGAGGCGCTGGAACCCCTCATCCATGTAGGAAACGACCGGAGCGAAGGCATCCAAGCTGGGGACGAATGTTGGGTGCAGCAGTGGAGCCTGGTGCTGGAATTCCCGAGAAACGTCAGGAGGGGTGGCGGAGTAGTAAGGGCCAGGTGAAGTGTCATCGGAGCTCAGAGCATGCTGACTGTCATCTCCGAAAGGGGCCAGCCGCTCAGAACTGAGACGCAGGGTGACCAGTCTGCTTTGCCGAGGTTCCGCAATGCTGGATCCGCTTGAAGGAAGAGTGAAATCATCGAAGCTTTCATTTGGTGAGGGTGAAAAGTCCTCACCGAATCCGGTGGTCTGCACTTGGGACTTGCTCTTCTGATACGCCGCTCTGTGCTTTGCTTCCTGCCCAGTGATATAGGCTTTGACCCAGCGGAGTTGCTCTCGACCCAGAGTGAAATCATCCTCATCGTCTTCGTCTTCGTCGTCTTCATCACTGCTTCCCATGGTGATTGAAGAACTGGACGATTCACGACGAGTGTTGCGGCTCTGGCGAGAGGTTGGGCGTTTGATGCCCCGAGTGGCTCTCTGAGGTGACTCGTTGTCATCCTCGATGAACTCAATTTCTTCGTCTCCAGGCTCTCGGAGGTATCCTTCGGCCTCCGTATCTTCAGCGCTACCACCTTCCTCGGCAGCCTTCTTCTTCTCGTCCTCCTTCTTCTTGGCGATTCTCGCACGGAGCTTGGTCAGGTGCTGAGTGATTGCACCCTCCGTGAAAAGGGGTCCCATGGAACGAGCAACGTCCCCGTAGGGAATCTTGGTGCTCGAGCCCTTCAGACCACAGACGTGAGTGATTGCCAGCAGGAGATCGATATCATGGTCAACTGTGTCGATCCAAAGGTCAGCATTGTCTAACAGCAATGTGTTCAAAATGCAAGTAGATGACGGCATCCATCCATGCATGATCCATGATTCGACCACATTCATATTTGCCTGCAACAAACGAGCGTCCGAACAAAACGGACAGAGAGAGAAAAAAAAAAAAAAAAAAAAAAAAGAGAAAAAAGAGCTCCGACGTACCATTCCAGCGGACTAGCTTGCGAGCACGGCGGCTAGATGGGGCTGCTGATTCTTCGTCCCTGTCTCCATGTTCGAGGCGAGCTTTTTCTACCTCGAGCTGAGCCTTCTCGCGGTTGGCAACTTCAAGCTGACGGCGAAGCTCTGCAAGTTCTGCCTCCTTGTCATCTTCGTCGGCAGGGTTCTTGCGCTTCTTAGAATTCGCGGCTTTCTTCTTGGGAGGCATGTTTGATACGCCTGCAATCGGATTGGCGGTTAGCTTCTTTCGACGAGTCCAGTCATTGTTACGGACAGGTGCATGAAAGGCTTTGTGTGGTATGGAGGGACGATGCATTGTTCATGCCAGAGATGTCTTTGTGTGGGGTATGGTTTCGTTGCCAGAAAATGCAGTGCTTGAGCAGGAAGAGGGAAATTGCAACAAGAGGATGGTATATATGAGAGGGCTTTCAGATGCTGGCTCTTTTTGGGACGAGCAAGCCCGATCGAAGATGATCGTCGATCGCAAAAAGGCACCATCCTCAGATCAAATGGAGCACTTGAAATGAGATCGGCTTGATGCTCCCTGGATCAACTGGACAACGAGGCAGATTGATCACAGTATGCATGGCCGACAAATCAGAGCGAAACCCACTAGCAACTTCTAGATGGATGAGGGCGGTGCCCCGACAAGCTGCTCCAAAGAGACAAACTTCATCGCTTCTTGAAGATGCCTCTGGTGGGGTAGAGCCTCTCACGAAGGTATAGTGCAGAGGACACCGACTCATCGCTGAGCGGCTTTCACCGATGTGAAACGTCAAGTGTGCCCCAGTGACAGAAGCCAACCGGAGTCACTGACTCTCAGCACGGTGATACCAAGCAATGGGCCAGGTCCTGCTAGCACCCGATTGGATGTGGGATGTGGGGTGTGCAGGCCGAGATGATGTGGGGGGAATTGTGGGTCTTTTGAGATGCTTCAGAACATACCTGTTTGGTATCAAACCTTTCTGGATGAGAGATGGTCTTCGGATTCAAAGGATCGATGGTTCGGGTGAGAGAACTATCGATGGCAAAGCTTTGAGTTGAGAAAGACGAGTGAGAGAAGACCGATCGATGGTGAGTGTTGAGAGGTGAGAAGGAGAGAAGGAAAGAAGGGGAAAGAGCGTGCCCTTTAAGCGAGTTCGACGAGCTCCGGAAAGCTCGATTGGGAACTTGAATGGGTGATTTTGGAAACCTGAATAGCCTTGACGGTCCCAAGTCTGAATTGGCCAGTCATCCCAAGCGCTTAGATGGTGTCTACGCGTTTCATGAAGAGGCTGTGAGTACGATTTTCACACTCGATGCCATACAAACGAGATTTTCATGCTCTTGTGTCAAGAAAAGGCCACTGATTGATTGAGAAGAGCTCTAGACTACCCTCCAAGCGGTGGCTTGCGACTTCCAACACGGGAGGATTCTACGATGACATCGTCCGTCAAACGTGAGGGGCGTTTGTCTCAAGCCACGCAGAAAAAGCAGGCCTAATTCTATCACCATCGTGGTAATCTTGGATCCTTCATCCTTTCCGCCGTCAATGGGATCTTTTGATCCTTCACCATTGTTGGTGTACCTCGGACGATGGTTTTATACTTCGGACGAACCCATTCTCCGCACCCGGCATGAGCTCTGATTGGACAATGCTCATTGATTCAAGATGCTGGCTCATACTCCTAGGTTGATTGACGAATATCTGAAGAGAGTCTGAAGACAAACTGACGAGAGTTCAATTAGATCCCGTCGGCAATCTGACGAGAATCCGACGAGAATTTGACGGCAACACGGCGAGACCTCGAGAACCCTCTGACAAGAATCCAAATACCCTTTTACGAGAGATTAAACGGAATTCGACGACAATTTGAGCTCCTGTGAAGCTATTTCGAGCGTGCAATCGCTCTCCATCTACTGGAATATCTTCAACCAAGTCAGAGACCTCAAGGAACTGTGTGGTTGATCATATTGACCAGGGTTCTCCGCGCAGCGGAAGGTCCTAGCAACTTGCGTGGTGTTATCGTGGCTGGCAAGACAGTTCACACCTTGGATTCGGCTCTTTTTGACACCGCGCAAGCTCTGATTCGGTTTTACTCGTTCATATGAAGAGTTGATCCATATAACGGTGCCAATAAAGCGCCATCCTATGCAAGTTCGATGGAAACACGACACCGGGTTGATGAGAATACGGGTGTACCTCCAACATAGTCTGTTGGCATTTGGATGAGACTTGACGGCACCTGCAGAGGAACAACAGGATTGTGCAGCAAGGGTTGAAGGGTAAGTTGACGACAATTCCAACTTGGGTTACATTGGTCGATGGCTCGAGGCTTCTTCGAATCACCTGTGCTAATTTTCACCTGGCCCAGGAATTCGACAGATTTGGCGGCGTATTGTTTCCAGCGTGATTATCTCATGGGATACACAACGTACTAATTATCAATGGTTGTTGCCCAGAGGCTTCTCATAATGCACTGACATTGAATAAAGAGCTTTGCAAGAAAACTGACACTCTCTTCGGCAGCCCATGGAAAACCATGATGATTTATCCGCACTTTGCGAAGTCCAAAATTATCATTTTTAGACTGAAGAAATAGCTAAAGGGGTTGCGGCTAATTCCTTTGCAAGGGTGAGGTTTGGCTACATGGGGACTAAGCCAGACACTTCTCCCCAGGGATAAAAACTAAAAGGATAGCTCTGACGTAGGAATCATGAGCGCGGCAGTCAAATTGACCATCAAGTACCAGACACCAAGGGAAATAAAAGCAAGACAGTAGGTGGTTTCAACTGGGGTGGGCTTTTGTACATTCATTGAATGGCGTGGGAAAAAAGCTTATGAATGGCGCTTATATCAACGATGGAACCAAGAGATGGTCCCGATATTTGAACACCAAGAGGGTCTCCATGGGAGCTTTTCCATGTCGTGTCAGTATCTTCTCGTTGGTGGTTATTAGCTCTCAGTACACCTTGCTTTGTGTTCTTTGAAGTTGGATGGTTTGATTTCTGCTTCTATTCGGGGCGACCCATTTCCTGTTGCTCGCGCAACATGAGCCCCAACTTCTGCCCAGGTGTCAAACATGCAGACATTCCCACCTCCAGGGCTCCGTCTCAACATTTCCGATCACTCGGCGCTTATAAGCCAGCCATTTTCAAGGTAAACCACCCAAAATAAATGGAAATAAAATGCATGTGCTCGAAATATGTGATCCTGATAACAAGCCGTGGTTCATGAATGGTGCGGAGACGTTGTAAGGTCCAGGGATTCCACCTACGCCTTATCTACGTCCTAAAGAGCACTGAATTATAGACCAGGATATAATGCGCCCTAGAATAATTGGAACAGTAGTTACGTGTATACATATATGATTTTTGTACCAACCTTGGAAGACATTCAATGTTGTGTCTTCGATGCGCAGTATGACAGACACAGAATCCATTCCAACTTGCCACGAGCACAGATAGAACAGACCATGTACTTTCTAAGTTTATATTGACTGTGATCAAATCCTTTGTAAGATCAGATATGCACGGTAACCTTCCACAGCCCATTTCCCTCCTGTTACTGCGGGCTGTCGGACTTGCAAGGTCAAATTCGGTTGGCGGAATCATAGGATCTGCACAAATTTTGTCAATGCAGCTAGATTAATCATTCTTGAGAACTGCAAGATCTTCAAATCCAATCTTTACATGGATGGTAAGGCTAAACCTTGGAAGCTTCACGTTCTCTAGGGCTGCCTGCAGTCACAGATACTTACTAAGCATCATCGGGTCAACCCTGTTCCAGCCCGGGCGTTGATGGAAAGTCACGTGAGTGCGAACATCGAACTCCCGAATCTCCGGGTCGAATGTCGAAACCCGTATCGTTTTCACCCCCTTCAATCAAACCAAATCCCCCACCCGCACTTCAAAATGACTGCCGCCTGGAAAGCCGCCGGTTTGACGTACGAACCTCCGACCTGACTTACCGTCCAATGCTAACCGCGATCTCCAGCTACAACCGCTACCTGGCCATCGCCGCTCGCACCGTGCGCCGTTCCCTGAAGGACGGTCCCCGTCTCGCCTCCGAGCGCCGCGGTCAGATGGATCTCCGTTTCGCCAAGTGGGAGGTTAGTGACTAGTTCAGCTTCCGTGAGCTGTCGAATTTTGGCTAACGAGTGGATGTTATGACAAACAGAACGGCAAGCAGGGTGAGGTCCGCTCGCTCGCCCAGGCCAACAACGAGGCCCTTGCCCAGGCCGCTGAGAAATAAGCTACTTTCGCCCATATCCTGAGATAATCGAATTTGGAGAAATGCAGCATCCGCGTGTGACGGGCTTGAGCGATTTCCAGGCCCGGGGAGCAATTGAAATGTACATGTGTAGCAATACAAGCCTGTCTGGTTGGGCAGCGCCTTAGAATCGCACTCATCTTTGTTTTCATCCGACGCATAGCATCATAATTAGCACTTGGTCGTAAGAATTCACATACTGCCCGAGAGCCGGTCAGATGTTGCACGTCACCTCTGGGTCCGAGCAGACTGCCCGAATCGCTTTTTCCTCCGCCCTCCTCCCCCGCCCTCCCCCCTCGACTCGCCGAGATCTTCGAATCAAGCCCGCGGAGCTTTATAAATTGCTTGAACCGTTTCAGCAAACCGGCGCTGGACTGTAGGACCTCGGCTTCTTTTGTTATGCTGCCGAATAATGAGGTTCGCGTTCCCCGTCCGCGGGTCGGGCAGCCCGCAGTGCCGCGCGACATTACAGCTGAGTTTACGGAAGCTGCCTCAAGTAAGCTTGCCGCTTCCGAAGCTCGACCAGAGGACTGACATTGGGAATCGCAGAATTGAACACTGGACAACTCGTGAAAGATGAGGCGTTCACGCTATTCGAAGCCGTGGGCGCATTGGAGGTGCGTCAGCTTTCTGGTCGTGAGACGTGCCACGAAACATACGGCTAACGACGACCGACGCGATACAGATCATGGATTCGAAGATGGATAGCGGCTACATAGCCCCTGGAGAAAATCTGGAGCAGGCGCTGGAAGACGACTATGATGTGCGGCAGCCATTGGCGCCAGAAGAAATCGTGGGCTTGATGGATCAGCTGCTATGCCATGAGGTTCGAGACAGAATGCGTCTACAAAATGTGCCACGCATTGCTAACAATATTGCAGGTGGCATGGCATAAGGGCCACCCTCTTTCGCAAACCCTGTTTACATCAATTTATCTCGACAGACTATTGTGGCCAGTGCCAAGAACTATAGAGGATGCTAGGTTCGACCGTGTACCAAGCGACTCGCCTATGATCAGCCTTGTACTACGAGCTTATTGTCTTGCATTGGTCAAAGCATGTGATCTTGTCCATGCCCGAGTGGCCACTGAATACTATTACGAAGTCAGTTATGTTCGTTGTGGATCGCGAGATGCCCCGTCTAACTTTTGAACAGGAAGAGGACTTTGTCAGTCATCTATACAACCGCAATCTGCTTTCTGCATTTGATCTGTCCCACTTTCATCGTCTGCTGGACCAGGCGACTGCCTGGGTCGCCGAACAAACCGACATCGACCAGAATCTCAAAGAAGCTATTCGTTGCAGACTTGCATTCCGCCATCAATTCCTGTCTGCGTTAGATCAAGATCTTGAGGTCCTTGAAACGAGATCTACGGAGAATTTCGAGTCTTGTCTGTCTGAACTCGGACCTCTAACGCAATCAGTCTCACTGGGGAAGCCAGTGCCAGAAGCCTTTAGCTTGAAAATCCAGCGAAAGTTGGCTAGCACAGTACCCCCTCGCCCGATGGTTCATCTAAGCTCTGATGATGCGCTGGCACATCTCAAGCGATTGTGCCAAGACGCAATAGATATGCAACAGATGCTTGACTACACCGGCCCAAATAACTTCAAGGTGTGTTCTTGCTGAACTCGAATCATCCTGATTGGCTTGTGCTAACCAACATGACAGACCGCTGTGTGGACTCTGCTGTCTCGAAAGCCGCAACCGTCGATCTACATCAGATGTCTTCTCCAAGCATTGATTGTCTGCAATTTTAACATCCTTGGGACGGTTCCTGTCAAGGATTTCTTATATGGAGAGCTGGCGGAATTGGTTCTTCCTGCTAGTGTACTGCTTGAGGCAAACATTGACGAGGTTGAAGTCCCATCCGACCCTCGCTTCCAGATTGCGCAGAAGATGGATGGCTTCGTGAAGCGATTCTCCCAGGTTAGTTCATCTCTCATCATAAATAACCCCAATCTTGCTAACATTCGTAGCCATTTGTTGATACAGTAAGATGCGCCTGCCTCAATCGCTGTCGCCTTCGCCGAACACTCTGCCACACTATTCTTGACTGGGACAATTTGCAGATGGAGGTGAGTCTATCTCCGCGCCGACATCGTAAAGGTTTCGGATTCGCACTTTTGATTCTAACTTTCCATAGGCCGAGGAACTTGATCTAGAGCTCCGTGTGCTGAGCGCAGAGCCACCAATGCATCTCACAGGTGGCGAACCCACCTGGTCCTTCCCTCTGAGCAGTTGGGCCTATCACCAAAAGCTTGTTCATTTCCGACTCATCATTCAAATGGGCTTCGAGTTGTCGATTTACTCCCCAGAAGAATTGCCCGGAATGTATTGGTATCTGTCCCATATTGCCTCCACGCACCTTGGTCACATCGACCGCATTCGCACATTTACTGTGGCCGCGCGCAAACGCGATCTGATGACTCCAGACCCCCGGGCTGGGAAAGCCGCTCAGAAGGCATCTGCGTTCCATCGGTCGTTCCACACACTGGAGCGACTCACGACGCACATCATTGGAGTCGATGCCTTTGCAATTGCTCTCCATGCCTTGTATGTGGTGTTGGCTCGGCATAAAATTCTTCCTACGGCTTCCTCTCCTCAAGCATATTCTACCGACAGGTTGCGGTATGAAATCCGCATGAAGCCATTTATTCCGATCACGTTGCCTGAACTGGTACCGTATGATGACTACCAGCGCGAGGCTGCGCTGGAAGGAGACTCGGACGCCACAGTCTTGGAGCGCGCCTCCAAGGCGATTGCCGAAGCCCGAAAGGCTTGGGAAGGTACTCTTGCTAATGGGGCTTTCATCGAAGATCCATCCGGCCCCAGCTCGGTCAACCCCAAAGCCATTCAGGAGGACTGGAACCGTGACGCCAAGGACATTATGCGTGCGTGCATTGGCACCAGTCTTGCTATTGAGATGGTCAAAAAGGGGTTGGCTGCCGCGAATGGCAAGGCCCTTGACTTGGAAGTGACTGTCCCCGAGGTTGGTACCAAAGCTCGTTGGCATGATTGGTGGGTGGTACCGCAAGTCTCGGAGAAGAAGAAGGCTTGAAAGTGTGTTGCTTTTATTTATTATCCGTGATACCTATAGAAATGATCATGACGTGCTATGGCATTGGCTGATATCGAGGGTAGAATTTGTAGTCCACTAGTAAGTCAGAATTTTAGGCTGGACACAGAGATCTCACTGATCGACTGTCAATGGGCCAAAAGTGGAAGTTAGCTTCCAACCCCAGGATCGTTTCATATAGAAGAACCAAAATCAAGCATAATCTTATAGTCTTCACCCCTGACTAGTGAACATATTGCTCGCTAAAACGGCGCGAAAATCTGGGGATTTTTGGTTATGAAATCATCCGCACCTGGGCTCAACAACTCTCCCCTCACACTTTTGGACTCGTCACATCAATGTTGACGATCCAAGCAGCTCACGAACTTCTGATAGCCTCCGGGGTCTTTTGTACCGATTCGCTACTAGCCTACTGAGAGCTATCGATTTTCTACCCGTCTACGCATGCCGCTCCCTCTTATTATCCGGTCGCAGGGTCCTATCTTTCCATTGTCGATCGCGGGGCCCCAGAGATCCTACAAAAGATAGGAAAGCTCACTATGCCAACCTATCCAATCCGTCGCCGACCGCGCGAATGCAAAACCTGTCTACCGTGCCGAGCGAGCAAAGTCCGCTGCGATCGCAACGTCCCGTGTGGAAACTGCACCAAGCGCAACTTCACCTGTTCCTACGGCCGTCCATCCTCCTCCAAGATCCCCAATCCAGCTGCCGTCACAGCCTCGTCCACTCCTCTACAATCAACCTTCATCTCCCCCACAATCCCGCCCTATGCCCACTCGGCTCCCACCCGCGATGGTTCGTACCCGACCGATCATCCCTCTAGCACGAGCGCCGATCCCGATCTCTCGGACGTTATCGACCTCTCCCAGGCGGAGTGGGACGAGATCAACGTCAAGATGGTCGCAATGGAACAAACGATTGGAAGCCTGCACTCGCTCTTCCAGGCGCACTCGGCGCGGAAGCCCCCAGAGCCGGAGCCGATCGAACGAAAACATTCCACAAGGTCCGAGGGTGTATACGGGTCGAATGTGTTGAAGACAGGTGCTGTCCACCTGGGCTCGCGGTCGGCTTTGGTGGATATCTTGGATAAATCGAAGAGGTCAGATGATACAGCGCAGGCACTGCCTCAGGAGGACCTCCTTGCTGAACTTGCATTGGGTAATGAGTCGGCGGCATATCCCTTCGTCGATCTTTGGTCGTCGGATCCGTACACATTCAATATCGCGGGTGTGTGCGCGGTTCTCCCGGATGACGATCAATGTTATGAGTAAGTCGCATTTGCGCCGGGCTGTGATGCATGCTAATCGCGAGCCTCAGGCTATTGAAGTTTTATCAAGATATCGGAGCGGTCTTGTATCCTGTCCTTTCGAATCTTCCTCAATTAAAACGAAGTGCAAAGCAGCTGCTCGAGAATCGAAGACGAGCAGGCGGTGTTTATAAACCCGATGCCAATGGGTTGGTCAAGCCATTTGGCATGGACTTGGCTTTTCTCAGTCTCCTCTTTGCGGTTCTCGCATCAGGGAGTCAGCTGTCCGACAAGCCGGAAAGCGAGCGTGAGCTGACTTCGTGGGTATACGGTGCGTCACACTTGACCATTGCGAGGGCCTTGCTGACTTTTCTCCAGTTTCCTGTGCGTATCAATGTCTCCGGATGTTGAATTATGTATCGCAACCCAGCGTAGAAGTAATCCAGATCCTGCTGATCATTAGTAATGTCCTTTCATACAACATGAATGCGGGTGCATCTTATACTTTACTTGGTATGTGTTTGGGCGTGTTGATGAGAGATTCAAGCTAACCCGGCAAGGCATGACGGAACGCATGTGTCTAGTCCTCGGACTTCACGTTGAGTCAACAGGATTCTCACTTGAAGATCAAGAAGTGCGAAGGCGTGTCTGGTATGTTGTGTTCTGCAATCCATTCGAAAACATCACTAACCTGATACAGGTGGGCAATGGCCTTTCAGAACAGTCATTTCTCGCTGGCCTATGATCGACCATCTATCACGATGGTCAGCCAACCGGAGATCCCATTCGATCCCAAATCAATGCCGGGACATCGCTCATATTTCGAAACTCTCTGTCGAATTGTTTCCTCGGCATTGGAGCTTCTGCGGTCACGCATGTATCCTGAATCTTCCCATTCGCGGGTTCATGACATCAAAGAGTACAAGCAACAGATCCAGCGCATGCTTGTCGAAGCAACGCCCCACCTGCGGTACGTCGAGAGCTGCCATTCTCTCGCGGACCATATCGAGCGCACAGAATTGCGACTGCACTCCTCATATCTTCTCTCCGTCCTGTGCCGAGTCTCACTCGACCCTTATGCCCATCTTGACGACCATCGACGGGCAATTATCCGCGAAGACTGTATCAGCAGCCTGATGAACACCATCGATGCCTTTGTCGAGCTGCACGAAATCAATTCGCACTGCTCACGGTCCTGGATCAGTCTGCAGCGAACCATCGCATCTGCATTTCTTCTCGTCGCCAACGACGACGGTCCACGGACTTGGCAGTTGATCGACAGGCTAGAGGTGGTGCTCGCGGACCATGTCTATGCCGACGGTGACAAGGACCAAAATAATCGCACCGATTCAGCCAAGCACGTCTCATCCTCCCTCCGAGCTCTGCGCGAAATCCGCGAGGCCTTCAGTGCCCGCAAGGGCGCGCCATCCACATCCAATTCCGGCGAGAGTTACTCGCCTCTTGATCTGCCCTCTCCTCCCTCCCTTGAATCCAGTCCCAATGTCCCCTCTTTTGTCGCCCCTAGCTCTGTTCCGCAGCCCGTGGAGGGGCCCAGCATGCGGAATATTCTGGGTCGCGTGTCTGACGTGATGTTGTTCCCTAGCATGAGCGGAGACAAACCGGTAGCATAGTTTCTGGTGTTGTCCTTTTCAGGGGTTTTTTTCTTTTCTTTCTCGTTTTGTCTCTATGCACAGGCGTTCAGGGGACCATGGGATCTCAGGCTATATAAACCACCCGCACTTGTCCTGTAGGGTTAACCATTTTTGCGCCACATACATACCGCATAGCTCGAAAGCATACTTTTAAATAACCTCGAATGATGAGAAGGCATAACTCCTTGCTTTTTTTTTTCTCCTTTTTTTGCTTTTTTGCATTGCTTTGTCCCGTCGAGTGTGAAAGAAAGAGAAAAGTCATCCGTCTCAGGGGGTCCAACATAGAAAGAAAAAAATGACCCAGGTCCGACAAACCCGACTCAGAGGCTCGGCCTGCAAGTCCTACTTGGTCTACTTGTCGGATGCGGATGCGGTTCGGCCGACCGAGATTTCCCCGACTCCAGCCCTGCAAGTATTAAATCTCTATCTATTAGCCCTGGAGAACAATGGCTATCAATGCACTAGCATCTGCAGCTTGAACCCTTGAAACAATTAATTGGAAACACACGTGGGAACGTGAACGTGCGTGTACAGTACTCCGTAAGGGCTCGAGGGCTCCAGTTCATATCTGATATGAGATTTCGGCCCTCGGGATCTACTTTCTGAGAGCCCGAAATCCCTTCCTTTCCCTTGCAATACATGGCCAACGGCCATACTACTACTACAGTACTAGGTAACTATCTAGTGCTTCGTAGTTCACACGGCCGAATGTCGTCTGATCGACCGTGCTTATTCGAGGTCCACTTTTTTTCCACCGGTTTCAAGCCGCGCACTTAGCGCGGGGAATGTTTCAACCGGATCATTCATGGAACTGGGTCTGGGCTGGATACATCAGATTTGACCTGTAGTATACTTATAGTCCTGCACTCTTGATGTATGTACCCATCGGACGTCCACATGGGCACATGGAAGACCCAACTATGCTCAGGTGTCCTTTCCTTGGATTGTGACTTGAATTCGAGTATCCTGTACTAGCAGTGGTCATCACTGCCACAAGAGATACCTAGGTACTTCAAGCTGGAGGTTCTAGGGTCACTAGGTACGTGCTCTATCCCTTTGGACTGATATTAATGCCGCTTGGATCCTTTCGCGATGTCCATGGGCCCATACACTGATAGACCGGTGAGATGGCCTGACATTCCAGGGATGGGGGCGAAGACGTGGTCGGTGTTGTTAGGCTAGACAGGGTATAACTTGGACAGTGCATCCATGATGGAGATATATATGCGGTACCTAGGTAATCTCCAGGGCTTGGTCGAGCTGGCACTGGCCAGTACCTAGGTAATGACAGGATGTTCCTAGTATGAGTTGGCTGGGGATCTAAGCTGTAAATTCGCAATATATATTCCCAAAGAGTGACCCGAGAAAGGGGCATTGCTCAATATGGCACGATTCTACTTGTCAGGATGGTACCTATGACCCATTGAGACTGCCACCCCATCTATCAGAGTGGACTGGATGCCCATAGACGGCCGGGCTGGTACTGATTCCCGTTTATTTGGGTGTTCAATTCACTACAGAGTACGGAGTACCTAGTAGGTGCCGGGTTTAAGCCAGGCGAAAGTATGGAGTAGTATACAGACCTTGGGCATGTTCTGGCCAAGCTAGGATAGGAGCTGGGATGACCAATAGCCTTGAACATCCCCTGATAATGAGCAGATTACCTCGGTGTTTTCATGACTTGTGAACTGAGAGGCGGACTGACGAGCAATGGAATTGCCGAGTGCTTTCTAAAAAGCAATATCGGCCAAGGCAAACTTCCAGGATGACGGTTAGGTACACATCTATACCCGAGCTCTCAGGACAAACAGGAAAAAGAAAAGAAAAAGAGCACCCCTGAGCTTCGCGAATGAAGCCAATTCAAGAAACATGTCCTCTCTACACCTATCACCCACCCCTGATAGCAGAGAGGCAGAGAATTTGTCAATCTCTCACTGCATGACTCCGAGTCTGATTGCGCCTGGGCGCCCTAAGAAGTGTAGTAAGCGCAATGGGAATCTGCGAGAACCCTCAGGTGCCATTCATGATACCCCTGCCAGTGCTTGGAATGCTTACACACTGCCGGTCTAGCCAGTCTACAGTTGGGCATTGTAAGAAAAACTGGGTGATTCTACGTACAGCTAGGCGAACTGATTTCCAAAGTTTAAATATGGAACATTTCTTCACCGAGAGAGTGAGATTCCCCCGTAGACACAGACGGCACGTATATAAGTAGGCGTACTGTAGTTTCTGAGATTGCCTGAGGCCTGAAGTGTCGAAAAGTCTCAATATGGGGCCAGATTCGTGAATCGTGCCCCGGTGATCATGCCATTCGCAATTGGCCAATTGTACTTTGTTTAATTCCAAGGTGGTATTGGGGAGCGAATACCAAACGATGGAACAATTTTAGCATTCGGCATTTCCACAGATGCAATAGGAGCCAGAAAGTTGATAATTAGTGGGCCATCCGGCCAACGATCATCTGCTTCAACAGACCCAATTTTGCTATTGGAATTCTTTTCCTACCTGTCCATCCAAGTAATAGCGCATGTCATGTCCACGGGTCCCAAAATCCGATTTCCAAATCAATTAGAAGACAGGAAAGGTGAAGCGAGCTTGGAGAGCTCCAACGGCTCTTACTTAGACTCCGTCCTCGTACCTTGCAATTAATATAGCCAAGGGCCATAGCGCAGAGAAAGGTACCGAGCAAGCTTGTGATTCTCGGTTGAACCTCAGATCGGCCAGGGCCGTTTGATGAGTCTACGCGAACAATGACTCCCCCGCAAGGGCTGCGCCTCCGGGGCCCGGGGATTAAAGCGGCACATTGCACATCGATGAGGTCATTTACTCGGAAATCCCACGCCGCGCTCGCTAATATTTACGATCGTCATTTAAAGCTTTCTGGGGAAATGAGATCTGGCATAGACCGAGGATGTGACGAGGTTCCACTCGCTTAGCAAGCCCACGGTTGGTGTTGGAGACTATCAATGATGCCAAGATCATATTCAGTCGTCAATACGAGCACAGTCACGGGAGATAGAATGTGATGGAAGTCCAGTACAGTATAGTACTGCTAGTGCTTAGCACTACTGTAGCATAAGTTGCAGCACTGAAGGACCTAGCTGTGAAAAGTCCATGTGCCCAAACGAGCAGTGATATTATCCCGGTCAGCATTTGCCTGGACCCTCGGGCTGAAGGAAGCATCCAGGCAAGATCTGCCCCAGAGCTCAAGGGAAACATAGCCAATCACGAGAGTCACAAACCAGTGTCAATTCCCAAGGGTCTCTTGGAAGTTGGACGTTGGACCAGGGCTCTATAAACATTAAATGCGATGGAGTAAAAGTCTTAAGGAGCTAAAAAAGAGATTTCTCAATGCCAATCATTCAGAATGGTGTTCGAGAGCTATGAAAGAGAGAAAAAGAAAAAGAAAAAAGACGAGTCCAAGTCCGAAAAGAGGCACGCTTAAGCTTTCCAGTCCAGGTTAAGCCATTGGTCGATCTCCTACGTAGCATTCGGCTTGTCCACCACAGTACTAGCACAGTACTCCATATTCTACTCAGTACGAAGTACGTATACGAAGGATGAAGTACGAGACACGATGCTATTCCATCTTGAAACTATTCCCAAAATTCAAATGGTCCTGGTCAAAATGAGTGCCAAATCGACAATTGAGTCGAGGGAAAAAGGGGAATGGAACTGGCAGAAAAGAGTAATGATCGATGGGGCCTTTACCGCTTTGGGGGCAGGGCCCGAACCTCCCCTCATTCTTGTTTTTGGTTTCCGGTTCTCTTCTTCTACGATCCCCTTTAGGAATTTTTTCGAGTCCATCATTGGCCCAGGATCTGCTCTTGGGCCCCATTTCCCTTCTTTGCACTCCATCTCGACTCCATCACGCCTTCGCCACCAGCCAATGCGAACACCCCAATTGCTGATGTGGGGAAATAGGCCTATCCCCGCTCCCGCTCGTCTTAGCCCCAATTCCCGCATAATGTGGCTCCAATACGCCAATATACGCAGGTTCACGCCTTGACACTGCGCGAGATGGGGAATGCCCAGGCTCGTTAACAACTGGCAAACGCATGTGCCTGATACCTCGGGACTGGAAAGCCTTGGCCTGCTGCCCTGCAGGTCATAGTGCCGATCATTACTCGTACCTAGTCCTCCCAGGCACGGATAGACAGCGACTAGGCTCTCTCGCGAGTGGAGTTGTGACGAGAACTGCCCATCACATGGGTACTACTCTATCTTCTGCCTCGGTGTCGATCCCCATCTCCTCGGACAAGATGGGGCCGCTCCAAATTTTCGGACTTAGTGCCATTAGACTCACAATTGCGGTTAGCGGGGATGCTGGAGAACCGTGTCTGGGACTCAGTGATCGGCGCCGCCTGCTTTGTAAATAAAGTCTTGCCTGCGCGCTCTGGGGAAGGGTCTTTTTCCGGATCTCCCTCAAGGCTCTTCCTGTTCCGCAACAAACCTTTGAACGACAGGTTTGGGGAATTGACGCCTCTTCGGTTGGTCGGTCAAGAAATCACTGTAGAGAAAGCACTGCCAGCTTGGCCCATCTGCCACCATGCGTTTTATGTCGACTTTTGTGACGGCACTCCTGTTCACGGTGAACGTGACAGGAGCCAGCCCAGCAGCCCAATCAGCCTCCGCGGGCACCGTCGCACCTGTTGCGAATGGCCCAGAGCAAGCTGCAGCTACTACAGCCGCCGCCGCCCCTACCACCGAGCAACAGGCGGATACGAACCAAGGCAATGCTAATGCCAATGTCAACGCCGCCAACACCCCTGCGGCGGACCCTACTACCGCCGCAGCGGACACCGCGACTGCGGTGAACCATGCCGCCAACACCGCGGCCGCTGCCCCAGAGGAGGAAGATACTGCCACTGCTCAGGGCAACACTAACGCCGCCCCTACCACGACGTCCAATGGTAACCTTGTTGGAAACTTGGTGGGCGGTGTTGAGACTGCCCTCGGCGGTGGTGCTTCCTCTTCATCGGAGTCCGAGAGTGGCCCCAGCCAGACAACCTCTGCTTCCACATCATCCAGCACCTCAGGCACCAAGTCTGGCAGCTCATCTGACTCTGACTCTGACTCCGACTCCGACTCTAGCTCCTCCAGCTCTAACTCCGCCGCAACGGACAAGACCAACAATCTTCTGTCCGGCCTGGAAAAGACGCTCGGAGGCCTGCTTGGTGGAAACGGAAATGGCGGTCTTGGTGATCTTATTGGCGGACTCGAGGGTCTTCTCAACCCCGGTTTCTTGAAGACAGTGACCGACACTTTCGAATACCTGTCCACCAGTTTGGCCCCTCCTGTCGACCATGACATTCGGAGCTTGGTGGCGAATGCCAACAACCTCTTGACCGCAGACTTCTCCAAGAAGGTTGGTGGTCTGATTGACAATGCCAACGATCTCTTGACCAAGAAGAACACTCAAGAGATCATGTCTTTGATCAACAACGCCAACGACCTGCTGTCCTCCGACTTCATCAAGAAGGTTGACAACTTGATTGACAACGCTGCCCTGCTCTTGACCCCCGAGGACACCAAGGCCATCATCAGCCTGGTCAACAACGGCAACAAGTTGCTCACCCCCAACTTTGTCAAGGAGACCAACAACCTCATCTCCAAGGCCAGCCCTCTTATCGACCAGGCCAGCGGTCTTCTCACCGAGGGCAATGTCCACGAGATCGAATCCCTACTGTCCAACGCCAACAAGCTGCTTACCCCCAGCTTCATCGATACCACTGGCAAGCTTATCAAGCAGGCTGGTCCTCTCATCAACAAGGCCAGCGGTCTGCTCACCGAGGAGAACGTCAAGGAGATCGAGTCGCTGTTGTCCAACGCCAACAAGCTGCTTACCCCCAGCTTTATCGATACCACCGGCAAGCTCATCAAGCAGGCCGGTCCTCTCATCGACAAGGCCAGCAAGCTACTCACCGATGGAAATGTCAAGGAGATCGAAAGCTTGCTCTCGGCCGCCAACAAGCTGCTTACCCCAGGCTTCATCGACACCACCAGCAAGCTCATCAAGCAGGCTGGTCCTCTCATCAGCCAGGCCGGTCCTCTCATCGACAAGGCCAGCAAGCTTCTCACCGATGGAAATGTCCACGAGATCGAGTCACTACTGGGCAATGCCAACGATCTTCTCACTGGCAGCTTCGTGAACCAGACCTCTCTCTTGGTTGAGGAGGCCAGCGAGCTTCTGACCCCGGGAACCATCAAGGTCATCAAGGGACTGCTCGACCAGATCTCTCCCTTGCTGCCCGAGCTCAAGGGACTCCTCAAGCCCACTCTGATCTCCGAGATCGAGCACGTTCTGAACGCCGCCAACAAGCTGCTTACCGACGACTTTGTCAAGGAAACTACCAGCCTTGTCAGCGAGGCCGACAGTCTGCTTACTCCGGAGCTCACCAAGAGCCTGAAGTCGATCCTCAACGAGGTTATTCCTTTGCTGCCGGAGATCAAGTCTCTCCTCAACAAGGGAATGATCAGCTCGATCGAGAACCTCCTCACCAACGCCGAGCACCTGCTGACCCCGAAGTTCGTCAACGAGACCATGAGCTTGGTTGGCGAGGCCGACAGCCTTCTGACCCCCGACCTCACCTCTGGATTGAAGTCTATCCTCAGCGCTGTTGTTCCTCTCCTCCCCGAGATCAAGCACCTCTTGACCAAGAACACCATCGACGCCGTCGGATCTCTCTTGACCAACGCCAACACCCTCCTGACCCCCAAGTTCGTCAACGAGACCATGAGCTTGGTTGGCGAGGCCGACAGCCTTCTGACCCCCGACCTCACCTCTGGATTGAAGTCTATCCTCAGCGCTGTTGTTCCTCTCCTCCCCGAGATCAAGCACCTCTTGACCAAGAACACCATCGACGCCGTCGGATCTCTCTTGACCAACGCCAACAACCTCCTGACCCCCAAGTTCGTCAACGAGACCACCGGCCTCGTCGACAGCGCCGACGACCTCCTCAGCCCCACCATCGTCCACGGACTGAAGGACCTCCTCGGAGACGTCATCCCCTTGATCCCCACCCTCGAAAGGTCTCTGCTCAACACCACAATTATCACCGACTTGGGTTACATTGTGACCAACGCTACCAACCTGCTTACTCCCCACTTCGTCGACGAGACCTCAGGTCTGGTGGACACCGCGGACGACCTCCTGAGTCCCAAGTTGGTTAGCTCCCTCAAGGACATCGTTGGGTACCTGCCGGAGATCATGCCGGAAGTCAAGAAGCTGCTCAAGCCTAAGACCATTACGGAGATCGGCTCGCTCTTGGATAATGCCAGCGATCTTCTCACTCCTAAGTTCGTCAATGAGACAACACTCCTGATTGACGATGTCACTGGCTTCTTGCCTTTGGTTCAGGAATTGCTCAAGGCGCTGTGAGGTTATTTTATGATTTTCCTATATTGCCACGGATGCAATTATGATATTTAATGTGCTTTAATGATAATAGACGCTGTCTACTTATGCTTCATTTTCACTTGTAGCACATCAGAGTCAGAGTAGCCATGGTCCGAAGCCAGGGGTGTACTGTAGCTAACTATAGTATGCACTACGCAACAGTAGAGAACTGTTGAAAAGATCCTTCAAGCACATGATGTCAATCGCGAAGGCAGTTGAACTCCTAGTCTTTAGCCCCTGTCGATCATTAGCCCCCACCTTGGCACTAGATCAGAAACACACTGCAATTGCCAAATTCATCAAGTTCCTGGACGATCACATATCTCATATAAAATTCTATGTTCGGAAACCTCAGTGCGAGCATCTGCTACATGGATCCCTGCTTAACGTCGTAGATTTGAAAGGCTACCATCGGCCATCAGATTCTTGATCGATACAACGTAGGATAAATTAAATCGAGAAGAAGCCATCCAGGCCTTTCATCTCAATCCAACTGCAAACTGTAACTCGACTGTAGGGCCAGTTTCCTGATCAGGAAATTCCTCAACTCAATATCTACTCGCGAGTTTCAGATCATCCAGATCACCACTGGAAAATATGGCTCATATCCCGAGTCGAGGCATACAAAGACTGTCTATTCATGGCCTAGTGTGACATGAACAAGATATTTAACCCAGGCACAATCCCCTACAGTCCAGTAACAACATTATTATCCCCAATCCCGCAAAGATGGGAATAGTCGCCAACCTCGCCGCCCTCACCACCCTAGCAAGTCTAGCCACCGCCTGGCTCCCAGAAGACAACAAATCCATCAACTCAACCGATGGAACCAACCTCTTCGAATCCTCCAGCAAAATCCGCGGCGTGAACCTCGGCACGCAATTCATCTTCGAGCCCTGGATCGCCCAAAACGCATGGAGCTCCATGGGGTGCAAGGACCAAGCCTCTGAATTCGACTGCGTCTCTTCCCTCGGACAAGACGCTGCCGATTCCGCTTTCGCCAAACACTGGGATTCATGGACTACGCAGGATGATATCGCTGAGATAGTCAGTTATGGACTGAACACGATCCGCATCCCGGTTGGATACTGGATGCTTGAGGAACTGGTTGATGAGTCTGAACATTTCCCGCGCGGTGGATTGGAGTATTTGAAGAAGATATGTGGGTGGGCTAGTGATGCGGGTTTATACATTATTGTGGATTTGCATGGTGCGCCTGGTGCGCAGACTCCGTCTAATGCTTTCACGGGACAGAATGCTGCCAAGCCGGGTTTTTATTCGGAGTATAACTATGAGCGTGCGCTGAAGTGGTTGGATTGGATGGTTGAGCTTGTTTATACGGTTGATGAGATGAGGAATGTTGGGATGGTGGAGGTTGTTAATGAGCCTGTGCAGGATGATGGGATGGCTTCTTCTATGCGTGAGAAGTATTATCCGCAGGCTGTGGAGGTGAGTTTCATTTTCCCATAGGTTCCGATCTGGGATGGAATACTAATGAAGAGAAGCGTGTTCGGGCTGTTGAGAAGAAGCTCAATATCAACAAGAATGACAATCTGCATATTCAGATGATGGATGAGTCTTGGGGCTCGGGAAATCCAAATGAATACCTTGATGACTTGACTTATATGGCATATGATGATCACCGCTACTTGAAGTGGGATACTAGTGTCGATGTCTCACACGAGAGCTACATCAGCACATCCTGTGGCGACAGGCGGGATAGCAACTCGCCGAACATCGTGGGAGAATGGAGTCTGGCTGTTCCTGATGATGTGGAGCAGTCTTCGGACTGGGATCCGAGTTCGAACACCGAGTTCTATGCCAAGTGGTTTGCGGCTCAGGTGCATTCTTATGAGAAGCAGCAGGGATGGGTCTTTTGGACTTGGAAGGCTCAGTTGGATGACTATAGATGGTCTTACCAGGGTGAGTATCTTTTCTCAAGTTGATGAATACGGCTAACTCGCCATAGATGCTGTCAAGGCTGGTGTTATTCCAAAGGATTTGAGCACCTTGCAGAATCCATGCAGCTGAAGATGGGGTGCTAGAGTTACTAGGTAGTTCTGAGATCTGCCACGCCGGGGGTGGTTATTGAGTGTCCATATTGATCAATGGATGGACTTTACAATTTAGAGACCGGTCTCATGAACTTTTTCTTTTCAAGGAAATATGCTACTAGGTACCAAACCTCAAAGATGAAAGTACTATGTTCAAGGTTGCACAACTGTGTGCATTCAGACTAATTATATCCAAGCTTAGACTACGGGCAACGAAAAATATAAAGGACAAGACTAGGGATCTCAAGAGTCAATACGTGACCTCGGCCACCAAACCATTGCCCACAGGGGAATTCCCGTCCCACCAGACCGTATAGTAGCATCAGCAGCCACCTTTCCTTTCCCAAGCACAATCTCTTCGACTTGTTCGAAACCCATGGATAGATACAAGGCACGCGAACCAGGCGTTGTAGCCTCCAGCCAAATCGGCAGATTCGCAGCTTGGGCAGTCTGCTGATGATCTCGGAGAATGCTTCTAGCAAGACCTGTAAGTCATTTAGTCAAGAGCTCAGATGAAGGTCAAGTCCAACGGATACATCGATGTACCTTTACCGCGGTGTTCAAGTTCCGTTCCGATGCTGAAAAGATAGTAGTACCGCTTTTGTCCTCGAAGGCCTATCCTCTTCGCATTGTCGGTCATTCCGGAGAAATCGGACCAAAGACGCTGAAGATCGGTTAAATATGAGGACCAAGTGCGAGACACCTCATACCTTGAGGCCTGAAAATCCAAGCCGCCACAAGACGCCTAAGAATCCCGCACACACCAGCGTCCAGGGATCATCGAAGCATTGCCCTGGGGGTAGTAAGACTGATGCTGCTTTCCAGCCATCGGCTTCGGTGATGATTGCGTCATTGAGCAGGGCCGACTTGATCAGCGTTTCCCAGTATGTGGGTAGGTATGCTAGTCTTTCTTCCTGGGGCAGGTCTAGGAGCATATAGGTGATGACGGGGTCGGTGCTAAAGGCGCGGCCGTTCAATTCTGCTACTGAGCGTAGCATATCTAGGCTCGTGTTAGTCTCTTCTATGCGGTTGTGAACGTACTCACTGTCGCCGCCGTGGGTGATCGAGACCGACTTTGCCATTGTTAGGTGGAGGGCAATGCCAGGTCTGGCTTGGAGGCATGAAACGAAGTAAAGATACACGAAGGTCTAAAGAGTCGACGTCCACGGGGTCTCCGGGCATATCCATGGCACCTGGGCATACACCTGTTATGTAAGCCATGCTCCTACATAAGTTGACTGCTTCGAGATATTGTGATTTATATGAAGAGCTATTCACATGCGAAAGCATCACGAGTCACTCGATTCACATTGTCAAGGAGAGTGTGAGGTCGAACTGGAGAGAGACCGTGATCCCGGTACCGGGATCAAAATGCCGGAAACGCTCAACTCCCATCTGAAATCAACTTCACAACTCATCTCTCTTCTTTCCACAACCTCAAAAAGCATTTTCCAAAATGGCAACCGTGCTTCTCATCCTCGACGTTCAAAACGGGGTGATCAACCGCCTCGAGAACACAGCACCCTATCTCGACCGTCTGGCATCAACCGTCAACAAAGCCCGCAAAGCAAACATCCAAGTCATCCATGTCGTGACCGCATTCCGACCAGGCTACCCAGAGAACAACCCAAACAACTCATCTGTTCCTGCTGTTGTTGCACGCGGCGAATACCTCGAGGGCGACGACTCGGTCCAAGTGCACCCACTGATTGCACCAATCAACAACGAAGTCACTCTCACCAAGTGTCGGGTCTCTGCGTTCTTCTCTACGGAATTGGATATGCTACTGCGTTGTGCCAAGGCGGAGACTATCGTTGTTGCTGGCCTGATTACTAGTGGCGCGGTATTATCGACTGTGCGTCAGGCTATGGATTTGGATTACCGTACCACGATCCTGGAGGACTGTTGCATGGATCGGGATGAGGAGGTTCACCGGGTTTTGATGGAGAAGGTGTTTGCGCGGAAGGCTGAGATTGTTTCTGGGGAGGAATGGGCCAATGGTCTTGCGAAATAGGCATGGGGTTTCAAGCCCGTAGCCCTGCAGGTATTTCTTATTGCATTCTTCTCCCTGTCTGATATACTGATGTTGATGAAAGGATCGAACAGAAAGACCTGCAAGACAGCATGGCCATGAAAACTAAGCAATACCGCTTCTGGCTTCATAGTCCCATATGCGAGGCGAGTCTTGGAAACCATGGGTTGCCCAATCTTATGCACCGTGAATCAAAATATCCTGTGTGGCCTGCGTTAGTATCAAACCCTCTGGAATCAGAGCTTGATACTACCGGACTTCTGAGTTATGTATCGGGTCTCTTCTATCCTAGCTTTGCTCTACTATGTTACCTTTTCTTCATCTCTTCCTATCCTTATTTTTCTCCCTCCTGGCGATATGACAAGTCGCCGATCAAAATAATACCCCCGCAGCCATTGGTTTGATGTCCAACATTCCCATTGCCGGCGCATTCACAACCTAGAGATTCCAAGATCCAGCCAAAATGAGTAAAGGTCATACTCTCCATGACTAGTGTGTTGAGTGTCTGATTCAAAACCTGACTCGCAACCTGACTCAGAGTGGATTCAACCGGTTCCATTTCCTGACTCAATCTGAAGCTCCGAAGTCGGGTAATTCTGTTCCTGAATCGAGCTTTTTTGTCAACCTCGAATTCGCTCCCTCATACCGACAATTCAATCTCAAAATGGTCACTCAAACTTCCGCCTGGGTCTTGAATGATCAGCACGGTATCGACAGTCTCCAACTAGTCGGTGACCACCCAATCCGCACCCTGAACGACGACGAAGTCCTAGTCAAAATAAACGCAGCCTCACTAAATTATAGAGACATAGTGATCGCAAAGGTAGGCTCAAAACACACAGAAGCAGTAAACCAAAGCACAACGAATATTCACCAAAACCAGGGCGAACCACAACTGCCATTCTTCACACCCGGCGTAACTCCAGGATCCGACGGAGCCGGAACAGTCGAAGCAGTCGGATCCAATGTGAAGACGTTCAAAGCAGGCGATCGAGTCTGCACACATCTCGTCTCACAATTGCCTTCGTCTGAGGCACCGGGTTTCTCAAATATCAATACTGGCCTCGGGCAACATCTTGACGGGACTCTCCGCAATCATGGCATTTTTCACGAATCGGCTCTTGTGCCAATGCCGGATTTGAGTTTTCTTGAAGCATGTACCTTGACTTGTTCGGGGCTTACGGCTTGGAATGCCCTCTTTGGACTTTCGGATCATGCGCCCGGGAAGGGGTCGACTGTTCTCGTTCAGGGGACGGGTGGTGTCTCTATTGCTGCGTTGCAGGTATGTACTCGGAATCTTCCAATATTTTTGGTGTGTGAATGCTGAGACGAAGTTGGTAGTTTGCTCTTGCGGCTGGTGCGACTGTTATCGCAACGACTAGTTCGGAAGTTAAGGCTGAGCGGTTGAGATCGCTCGGTGCTCACCATGTTATCAATTACCGCTCTAGTCATGCTTGGGGAGATGTTGCTAAGAGTCTCACGGCAGAGAGTAATGGTGTTGACATTGTTGTTGATGTGGGTGGTCTGTCGACTCTTCCTCAGTCATTCAAGGCTGTGCGCAAAAATGGTGTCATCGCTGTGACGGGACTCCTCGGTCAAGCGGAGGACCAGGCTGCTATTCCTTCGATCATGGATTGTTTGATGAATGTGTGTACGGCGAGGGGGATTCTCCTCGGCACCCGGGACCAGTTCCATGATATGAACCGGTTCATCACTGAGAAGGGCATCAAACCGGTTGTCGATGATAAGGTGTTTGGCTTCCAGGAGACTAAAGAAGCGTACCAATACCTGCAACAGCAAAAGCATTTCTCCAAAGTGTGCATTGGACTAGAATAAATTTGATATTTTCTGTTCTCTAGCCTTGCTCAATAGACTGGAAATGTTGGAGGTGGTCAACAGCTGATCTACAACTTCACCTGTCCCCGCTCCTGAGGAGCGGCACAGCAAGCCGGCTCGGGGTGCTCGGTCGACTTGTTGAAAGACTGGGTAGACGCTGGGACATCCAGCGCGGGGTTCTTGGTGAAGAAACCATCCGGCTTGAGCATCACGCTGACTCGCTCCATGGGCATAACAGGGAAATCCTCAATACGGGGGTTGTGGGTGAGACCGAAAGCTGGTACACGATTAGCTAAATTCACGAACAGAGGAAGAACAACTCACTATGCCAAAGAACAAGGTCCTCATTCTCGACTGCATCATTGCGATCGGCCCAGACCTCAACACCATCAGATTCCTTGCTCTGGTTCGTGAATTCACCGGCGGCGAAGAGCTCTCCATCTTGGTACTTGGTGACCCAGATAGGACGAGTCGCAAAGCGAGCACGCTTTGTGGAGAAAGACTTGGGTGAAGCCAAGATCATCTGGCTTGGTGAGGTCTGCAACTTGTACGCGATCGGGTGGTGGGTAATAGGGTTGATGATGGAGTCGTTACGGATCTTGAACACGCGGTTGCGATCAACGCTTGTGAAAGCACTGCCACTGGATTTCATCACATTTTGCTCTGTGGTATATCCAACGAGCCAGGGGTTGTTATCATCCTCGGGCATGGGCACGCTGTCTTCATAGTAGACTGTGTTTTTGAACCCGTCCAGGGCCGGATCGATACGAAGAGAAAACATGTGCTGGTGGTATGGAGCCATCACACCGGGTCCAACGTTGGTGCCCCATGGGACGGTCTGTCCGTTCTGGTTGTCGAAGGGAACGGTGGACAGAATACCGGTTGCTCGTACCTCAAGCTCAATGTTGGCTGCTTGGTCGAGAATGAAAGCGAAGATGTACTCGTAGTTGGCAACTGTACAGATCATCTGGACAACGAGCTGGCGGTTGCGGACAACCGTTGCCTCGCCACTGCGGTAGTTGGTGTGCTTGTGTTGGAGGCCATTATCCTGCTCGTGCATACAAATGACGTTCTTGAGCTGGATGGGCGCTCCCTGTGCATCTGTGCGGTAACCGTCGAAATATTTGATGTGACCAAGACAGTCGCAGCCAAGGGTCAACTGGTTGGCTGTAATACCGAAACCGACATCACCAACATCGAAGGCTTGCTTGCGGTGGTATGGGGCGCGGGGGTCTAGGATATGTTAGACAAGGTACTCAAGAGAGACCGAAGGACATACCAGCGTAAGGGACTGTCATCTCGGAGAATGATAGACGGTAGAAGGTGTTGCGGCCGTCATATGTCACATTATGAAGCACTAGGCCTTCTCGGTTGTTAAAGCCTACTCTGAAACGCCACTTCTGCCAGGAGACAGCATTTCCAATGACGTTGAAAGACGCCCCCTCTGGTTGCTGGACAATATAAGGCTTCAAGTCCGTGCGAAGGGGTTCGTCCAACAAGTCATGTGCATATTGAATAGTGGGAACCGGTTTCCAAGGTTGCGTCTCGGTGCTCTGAGTGTCAGCGCCACCAGGCAAGTAATCCATGCGGACCAACTGGCGGGTGATACCATCGAACACCGGAGAGAATTGGCATGGGAGCGAGTACTGATTGTTCTGGGGGTGATCCGTGGCCACAATGTACATGTAGCACTGGAAAAGCCGGCGGGTCTCCTTAGCATCATCTGTGCCATAGATCCAGGGGTCCATGCAGACAGTGTGACCGGTTGGTAGTTTCAATTTCTCAACCTCGGCCTTCACTGCTGGATGACCGAGACAAAGCTCTTCAATCTCCAGCATCTCGTCCACGTCCACGGGTCCCTGGACATCTTTGGGAAGCTCTTTGGCGGACACGATGGACTTGGTGTCGGCGTTGATGAGGGCCTTGAAGAAAGAACCATTGTCCAATCGATGGAAAAGCGCCATCAACAGACGTGCCGGCTTGCGGGGACGCACTTCCCCCCGACGCTCGGCCTCGAGGTACGGAACTACCTCATGCTTGGCAGGTTCCTGGAGATCGATACGCTTGTAACGTAGCTTGACTCCGGGGAAGGCAGGCTCCAGAACGGAGACCGCTAATTGGATTTCTCCGGGGGTAATTGGGTCAAGGGGGTGAAGACTGGCCATTTTGTTTGGACTCAGTCTGGGGAATGGCGGTGCATTTATGCTTCCCTCGTTCCCCCAGGCTCATGAAAGTACCCGATCAAGTAGTGATTTTGTGCTGTCCGGGATCATCTCATTGGCTGTGAAGTCCCACCCGGCGCAAACTTCCCCCCAAGGGGCTTAGCGTCTATCATGCCGATAAGCACCGTGTGGGGGTGTCATTGGCGACTGTGGACGTTGGGAAAGTTGCCCGGGCGGGAAGGTGGAGAAGTTGATACGGACTGCTGTGCGAGGGGAAAGTCTGTGTGAGGAGAAAACAAGATACCCAAATGAAAAGATGAAAAGTATTTGTTACTGCCTTGTGGCCTTGGGCCCTGAACTATCAGGCCTAAGTGGTCCGTGCTTCACCCTTGCTTGCCGATGAACACCGTTGCTCTTGAGTCTTGAACCTAACATACAGACCATCATTCGATCTTGAATATATTCTCGCTAACAGTGCTATGATAAGAATTCTTGATTGCAAGACTCAAGTTCCTTCGCCTGTAATGATGACAGCTGGAGCAACGGACGTTACACCAACGATGCACTTGAATATGGTCGTATCAAACCTTGAAATCTCCGAGAGTCTGTGTTGCATGACGATCAGCGTTTGATGATATCTAAGTTGAGGCGCGAACTCTGCTGGCGTGTGTCCAAATTCCGGAGCTACCATGCAAACCTTCGGCTCTTCATGGATCTCTCTCCCAGGGATACTTGGCATATCGGGGCTCCTCGGGAGGACCGAAGATGGGACCCAGCGCTGGATCTCTCAACCCATAATTCTCATCAAATGGATCAGAATCCATCACCCAGTCCTGATCAAGCAGATCATATTCGGTGCCCTTGTTGTGGAATTGTAGCGGTATCAGGCGCTTGCGATACTCAATATCCCACTCCGGGGTTCCCTTAACAGGGCGAGGGGGACGTGGTGGGCGTGGACGCTCTGGCTCAATAGCCTCACCCTGATTTGCCGCCTCTCTCTGGGCGTTTATATTCGACTGGACTGTTCTTCGCGCATGAGTACCTTTGGATCTCATGGCGGGCATAGGGAGACGTGAGATACGGTCAATACGAGCGGTCCTCGAGCGCGGTACCGCCGGTTCAGTACGATTCGGTCGAGTTTCTTTCTCTGGTTGGACATTTGCATTTGACCGGACTGCCGTTTTTGGGGTTGTGCCTCTGGGTGTCATGGCAGGCAAAGAGGGGAGGGCAGCAGGGGTAGTAGGAGTCTTTCGCGAGCGCGGTGCCGCCGACTCGATCTCTGGCTTGTGTTCTGTGTTTTGCCGGACATTATCATTTGGCTTGACTGCCCATGCTTTTTTCTCACTTCGGGGTCTCGTGGCAGATGAAGAGGCACGGGCAGCAGGAACAGTACGAGGTGTTTGCGGGAGTGGCGCCGCCGGCTCGCTACGCTTTGGTTGATGCTCCGTTGCTGGCTGGGCATTTGCATTTGACTTGACTGTCCTTCCTACTTTCGCATCCCTGGTCTTTGTGGCCTGCGCAGGGGAACGGGCAGCAGGGATAGCCTGAGTTGCGTCCGGGCGTTGAGGATTTGGCTTCTTCTGCATCAGATCCTTCAGTCGACACTCTTGCCCTGGTGGTCTGGACACATTGGAACGCGCCGCTGGCTTCTTGAACTGGGGCTGTTCAACCGGGCCCGAGGAGTTAGTAGCAGGAGCAGGCAGTGATTTGCGGGGCGAGACACGAAGCATTTGAGGGCGACGAGGAGGCTCAGATCCAGGACTACGCAGAGTGAGGCGCAGACCTGTTGGAGGCACGGGGGCCGAATCGCCCGAAGAGGGAGGGTGAGGGGTGGGAGTACGAGGGGAGACTCGTTGGGCGATAGAGACATGACTCGAGCCTCGAAGAAGCGGACCGCTGGGAGAAGAGCTGTTCGGGTTGTTTACACTCCTCGGTGTGTTTTTTCGCTGCATGGCAGGGGCCAGATCGCTCTGTCTTTTCATCTTGTTGGAACCCCGAGGAAGCTCCATGTGCTGCAACCATGTGCTATCTGTGCTCAACGAGTACCTCAGCACGTCGTAGATCAATCCGACGAGCTTCTCACGATCTGGCTCATGGTTTCTGATGGCCTCTGGCAGCTGCCCGAGTCTGTCCCTGCATCCTTGTTGAAACTCATCCCTGAATGCTTTCGATTTCAGTATGCCACTGGCATCTTCGAGGCCTCTAGTCAGGAGATAGTCGTTGAGCAGAGGGGCGTAGACTTGTTTTATCAGGCGTATGACGGGCGCTTGAGAGCGGGAATGTGTTGGGTTGATGCCGAGAGGCGGCCAGCAATTGTAGCCGGCGCTTCGGATGTCAGGTCGCCGTCGCTTCTTGTCACTCATCTTGAGATCTGTATTTGAGTAGCGATGAATGGGTGCCGTGGTTTGTCGCGGTGGTGGGTGAGCGATCAAGAGTTAGGTTGGAAGTTGGAAGTTGCAAGTGCCTAAGGTGCGAGCTGATCCTACTCAGTGAGTTGGTCCAAGGTGAGAGTGCTGGGCTTTACTTCTACATCACTTCTAAGGTTCACCTTAATGAACGCAGCAATTTCGAGTTCCTGACTGTTGTGCTCTACCAATGTTCCATGACTACTTCAGACCTTTCATTCCCGGTACTGAGCGCTGCGAGATAATGAACTCCGTTGGAATCCTCAGACGTTTTGGTCATTAACTGCAACTTCCGTTCTTTCTCCTTTCTATTTTCTCTTGAGAAAGGAACCTCGCAATGGTACTGAAATATACTCTTTCAAAGTTTTTTATTCTCACGTTTTTGGTAGACTACTCCGGGGTGATCCCGGTACCTCCATTCGACACCGGACTGGAGGACGAGTTTCATCTGATCTAACGAGTCTCAATTCCAACGTCACAGACTCAATATCCGACGTATGGCCTAGTTGGAAAGAATCATTGATCCAGAGTGGATATTGCTATAACCTCAGAAATCCCCAGAAATCCCCCACATCCCAATGATGCCGAGACATGATATAGATCAGCTGGGCGCAAGAGGCTCCAAAGTCGAAAATGTGGGGTTCGGAGATATGCGCCTAAGGAGCGAGGCTCGTATTCCAAGACCAACACTCGGCAATGTCTTAGAGACACTGTCAACCCTGGATGCCTGATTCGTATTGGGGCATTGTAGTGCGTCATAACACTTTACAGTCCACTTTGCCTGCATTTCAGTCCCTTTGCAGTCCCCCGATCAAGGAACTTGGGATGTCGGCGTTGAGCGACACTATATTTAGTCCCCGGCAGTAACCATGGAACTCCGAGTGGAACGGGCACAACTCATCTCAAAATGGAATACGAAGCCATTTACCATTGGACAACCCCCCGCCACTAGACACTCAGCCATGGATCGTGCTGACAGCTGACATACGACCCAAGCCTGGAGGTCTTCGAGTATACACTTGTTGAACCTCGTAGACACCATATGGAAGACATCATTGCGCCACCCTCACTGCTGGCAGGACCTCGTACTCCAATTTTAGCCCGAAATCTGCTCAGGCGTAAGAGGAGAGTCTATATAAATGGCCTGGTTATCCCGCTGAAAGGACATAATCTAGTCTACAACACAATCCACTACTTCTATACGCCAATTCCAATCATCCATATACAACATGAAGGCCTGCACCATCGTCAGTCTTTGCGCCGTCGCCGCAGTTGCGAGTGCCATCCCAGTGAAGCGTGATGATGTCGATATCACCTTCATCGGTGCAGCTGATGCTCAATTCACTTGGAGCTTCCCAAGCGACGGATCGGTCGTCACGATTAGTATGCACCCATGTCCATCTGTCCAATGCCATGAACTCTCTCTAACTTCAACAGGCAACCCTCTGAGCATCTCTCACATTTCATCCAACGTAAATGGTGTTCAGTGCACCTTCAATGGCATCGACCACAGTGTCACCACCGTCAGCGGTGTTCAGACAGTCGATGTTGGCCCACCACAGACCCAGTTGACTGGATCCTGCCACCGTGTGAACGATCACCCTGCCAGAGGTCTGGCCTGGGTTACTTTCATTGGTGCTGCCGATGCCAAGTTCAGCCAAGGCTTCCCTACTGACGGTGAATGGGTTCAAATCAGTAAGTTTACCCTGAAATATTGCTTGGAAGTCAATGGCTAACCTCTGTAGCCAACCCCTTGAGCATCTCGCACATCGAATCGACCGCAGCAGGTGTGACTTGTGTGTTCAATGGCATCGACAAGAGTGTCACCAGAGTGAGCGGTGGATTGGTTGATGTTGGACCTCCCCAGACCCAAGTCTCGGGCTCTTGCTTCTTCTAAATTCACGGAAGTTGCAGCGGCTTGCCGCACAGTCCGCATATGAGCATACCATCTCGGAGAGGAAGACAGCTATGATGGCACATCCATTGATGTCTCCTTGTTTGTCTCTGTTACTTTTGTCATCTTTCGTTCTACGACATATTACTACCTATACTATTCAACTAATATCACGCTCCTTCACTGCACTCTTTAATTATTTCAATTCAGGGTTTTAGTTATTCGTGCCAAGTCAGCCGGCACGTCCGCCCGGGCAGATATATACCTATTCATCAACCTTCTACTGTGTGCAATTTGGGCAACCAGAGCCCTCGATATATATCAGCCATTCCGGGGTTATTCCAAGTCGTCTGATACCTAAAAAGCCCTTTTCCAAGTTTACCTACCTACCTACACATCATCTATTCAATCAAACTTCCAATGTTGGGGCTGGGCATATGTGGAACCCTGAACCCTCCGAAGTTCGAATTATCTATGCCCTGATGCAACCTTGAACACAACATCATGGATCCGTGGAGGCAAATTTTTACCATTTTGTATCCCAAACCTTGAATATACCTAGGTACGAGTCAGACTTCGGTTACTGTTCATAACACTTTCCACATTCCCTGAAAGTGTAATACTAGGTAGCAACCTTGGGAACATCAATGATCAAAACGCGCTGACTGGATCATGGATGAGCCCCTTGCTAAGACAATTTATCGAAGTGGCGCATTGAGGGATGATTTCAGGAACTTTCCAAGGTTGGAATTCCTACACGCGATTCCATACCCCAGCCTTAGCAAAAAGAATAGATCTAGTCCCATCTATGCGGGGCTGACAAACTTGACAAGGGACGTATGTATGCCAGGTGTGATTCAGGGCCGGAATGCGACGCGAGGGGCTACACCCGTACCTGCAGGACATCTATCGAGCCGACTTCGCCATTGATAAACATTGCTTAAATGTTGAAATCATAGATTAAATCCAGATCACTATAGTACTCGAGTACACTATATTGATTTGCTCAAGAGAAAAGAGAATGGGTCAGTTGAGAATCTTGGCCAAGGAGCCCCGGAATTCAGGGCTGGTCGCGAACCCTTCGCAAAGCCAAGCGTGGGAGGACATTCCAGAAAACAGGTCCAGATCATGGTATCTTAAGGGCCATACTTAAGCAAGTCGCGTTCGCTCATCGCGTGTCGGGTCATCCTCACACCTTCGACAACATGCATGCGACTACTAACTGAGCAGCTGGATTTTTTTTTTTTTTTTTTTTTGAACGATATTCTATTGACTTTGAATGTCAATTGATTTGATACCATACAAGTGAAATTATCACCAATTGCTTGGAATTTGCAATGCGCTGGGGCGTTTCTGTATCGCTCCTGGTAGCAGGACTGGTTGGAGACGTGTTTGCGGGTGTTCACCACTACCATGCCCATCGCCATCGCCATCACTTGATACAGCATGGCACAAAGCTGGAGTCAAGGGACGCGACCGAGCATAATGTGCAGGACATTCCTGAGGATGTAGTGGTTGAATCTACCACCATGACAACCACCACGACTGTTTACGGAAAATGCATGCCAACCAAGACCGTCTTCACGACACTGGATATCTTCACCACGAAGACTCAGCAAGCACAAGTGACACCGGAGCATGAACACCCTCAACCGCTATGGAATCAGTTTGGGGCAAAGACAGAATCGACGAGCACACTGTCCCAGATCCCGGAACCAGAGCCTACATCAACGACCTTTATAACCAGGACGATTCACAAAACAGCGACAAACACAGTCGTTGTCACGGAATACCCAGAGGATAACCACACACCGTTGCCTCACACACCACCGGGACCCTCAGAAAAGATCGCACTGGCAAATACTCTTCCCAAAGATACCACCTCCGAAGAGAAAGCCATGCCAGAAAAACAACCTCCTCCCAAACCCACCCAACCAAACGGAGACCCCATCCACGCCGTCCTAGACCTCCCAGGCCAAGTCCTGCCCGAAATCCCAGTCGTCAACCAAATCCTCCCAGGCCAAAAGCCCAAACCACACCCACCAACCCCAGTCGATTGGACAGCCACAGCGAAAGGCGATTTCTCCATCAAAGGCTTCGGCGGACGCACACCAGGCTCAGGGAAAGAAATCCACTACCACGGCAACACCGGCAAGCCATGGGGCAGCAACATCAAAATGATAGAAGAATACGAAGCCCACCGCTACAAATACGTTACGCGATTCAGGGGCTCGAACGAAAAGCCCTGGAAGGTCATTGTGTGGAATAAGTTCGGACCTGATGGAAAGATGGATGGGTGGTACGGTCACTCTGCTGTAACGTTCACTCTTCCGCCCGGTGAGACGAGGTACGTCGCGTTCGACGAGGACTCGGAGGGTGCGTGGGGTGCTGCGCCGGGTGAGCATTTGCCGAAAGATAAATGGGGTGGATACTCGTCTACGTGGGGTGAGTTTTCTTTTGGAGATGGTGAGAATAATGGGTGGTCTGGTTGGGATGTTTCTGCTATCCAGGCTCAGATTGCCAAGCAGGATGTGCAGGGGATGTCGATTTGTCAGGCTGATGGGAAGGGATGTTCGATTATTACGCCTGGGGCGAAGAGAGTGGTCGATGCTTATACGGAGTCGATTAAGCATAAGGATGGTATTGGGGGTGCGGCGCCTCCTGGCCCTGTGAGGTTGGATGTTTTGCTTGATTATCGTGGGTAGTGATTCAAGGATGCTCTTTTGTTGTATATATGCACGTCTTTGGAGTCGAACTATACACGCGTTTCGATTATTTCTATATACAGTCTCCGTGTCGTGCCTTGCGTTGGGATCTTGTCTCGGCGAGCGTGAGTGACGGCATTTGTAGATTTGTAGACATCCCTCCCCTATCATACATCTTAACTCGACGGATCATCGCTTACTGCATGGCAGGGATGTTGATCTCGGCGATGGTCCAGACCTTGCCGCCCTGGCTGGAGGTGAGTCCGCTGTAAGTGGCACCGGCAGCCTTGGAGATGGTGGAGCCGAAGGTGGTATCAGCCTCAGCAAGAGTGATAACAGTGTCCTTGTACTTCTGGGCAGCAACGGTGCCAGTGCAGCCATCGTTGCACTCAGTTCCGGTACCGTATCTATTAGAAGTTAGCATAATTCCAGAAATTTCTTCATGAAAGAACGTACCCGCGCATGTAAGGTCCGGAAGCGTGAGAGAAGGAAGAAAGAAGATCACCAGTCTCGCCGTTGGTGACGGTCCTGTGCCCGTTAGTTTATGGCTACCACGATTTTCTTGCCAAACATACTGCTTCCAGGTCTGTCCATCAGACTCCAAGTTGTACTCGATGCGGACCTGGTCGGTTCCGCTGACGGCGGAGCTGTCGCCATCAAGCTGGCCGAAGCTGCCGAAGAGACTGGCGCGCACGCACCACTGGCCGGAGGAGGCACCGCACCAGGAGTTGTCGGCCCAGCTCTCAAGGGTGGTCTGGACGAGATCACCGGTTCCGTTGGACATCTACACGAGTTAGCATTGGAAGCTGAAGGTCCAGCGCAGTACTCACACCAGGCCACAGGAAGAGAACGCCGTTCTGGGTGGGGGGAGCAGCTCCAGGAATCAGAGTGGTGACTGCGTTGGTGATGGTCGACTTGGTGGGACCGAGGGAGACACTTCCACCCCAGGTATCCTCTCTCTTCTCGATGGTCTCGTAAAGACCAGCGCTGACAACGCCAGCGGCGGCAAGGAGGGGAATAGTGAAACGCATGATGGAAAGAAGAGTTGATCCTGGCGCAGAACTGTCAATGATCGACGAAACAGCCAGGCTTTATATCCTTCAGCATCGCGCTCTCGAGTGGTCGAGTGGGTCGGATTGACTAGATACGGAGGTTCTCCCGAAGACCCGCGTTCCTGGATGTTTCACGTTAAAACCAGTCTAACGGGCGGAATACATGGTGAAACGGGCCTCAAATAGTCTTAGCATCCCATTGGTGCCTTAGGTATTTCTTTCTCCCGCGGTCAAGTTTAGAGTGCAGTGTTTCTCCGCAATATGCGTCAGGGCAGGGTCTACTGAGCCATTAACACTACCGACCTAGGTTTGGCAGCAATATGGCCGCACTATAAAGTGGAGAAAAAGCCCCGAATGGTGGAGAAAAAAAGACCATAAGGCTGTTTCGCATATCAACCGACTTCTCTCGGCATCATCAGACTGATACATATAGGGGTTATTCCGGGTCGAGCCATCTCATTCCAAATAGGCGCCCTGAGTCTCTGCGTGGATCACATCAAATAGAGGCTTTGCGCTGAACCATCCGGCCTTCGGAGTTCCCACCGTCTTGTACGTGAATGCCGCATCGGCTTCATCAATCTTGACAGTCTGTCCACCACGCCCGGCAGCAGCCGCATCGGCCAGGAGCTGTGCGTAGCAGCATTTCTCCAGACTCACGAACCAAAAGACCGTCTCTTCGATTGTTCCACCAACAGTCAAGAGCCCGTGGTTCTGCAGAAGCGCCGCTTTCTTATTCCCCAACGCCGTGGCGATATTCTGTCCTTCTTCCTCGGCCAGCACGACGCCTTTGAAAGAATCGTATAGTGCGAGATCCTAACCTCATCAGCTCCGATCGACACATCCAAATGGGAATACTTACATTGTGGAACGCACAGGAATCCTGGGAGATGATATCGAGCGGTCGGCCCAGCGAGCAGAACGCCCGTCCATGCAGACTATGACTATGCGCCGCGCAGTTGACATCTGGTCGTGCGGCGTGAATGGCTGAATGGATCATGAAGGCCGCGGCATTGAGCATCCGGTTCGGGCCTCCTGCAATCACCTTTCCGCTGTGGTCGACTTGAATCAAGTCCGATGCTTTCATTAATTTGAATGCGGTGCCGAATGGATTGACCCAGAATGTTGATGGGTCTACTGGATCTCGGACTGTGATGTGTCCCGCTACGCCTGTTGCTTGTTAGCAGAGACTCGGCGGACGGAGACGGTACACATGCCCTCGTCGTATCCCTTGTCACCGAAGATTCGGAATGCAGCGGCTAAGCGGCCTTTCAGGTATTCTCGCTCTTTCATCTTATCGTCGAAAACTGGCATTGTTGGCATTTGCATCTTGACGGTTGCTTTCTCGGCACCGACTGTTTGAGATGATTGTTTGCTGTGAGTAACAGTCTCGGTAGCAGTTGGGGGCGCCATGATTGTCTGGATGATGATGGATGAAATTGAGCAACTACCTAGGTACGAAGGAAACAGGGAGATAAGTAGCTGCAGATCACAGTCAATTGCGGGGTTGCTGATCAATAGCGAGAGAGTGAGAGGCCGAGGTTGGACTTATCCGAATGGCCACCGCTCTTCACTCCGCACAGCTCTCAGGAAAGAATGCCGATATCTTTATGGATTGCTAAACCCCCGACATTGGCCACCTAGATCGTGAATACATGAATACATTAAGTCGTGAAAATCGCCCAATATCATCCGCCTATAGAGGAAACAAAGGTCCTCGTTGTACCTCTGCCATCAACGCCTCGAATAGTCTACCGTCGGTCGGAGCGAGGCTTTCACTGATAGCCACGGCTGCGTCGGGAGTCCCTACCAAGGGCTTCAGGTCAGCCTGGCAGAGTGTGCCTTCGCTTGGAAGTTGGCCTGTCTGGAAATAGTGGCGGATAGCCTTGGCCACGCAGACCGATGGTGCGGCAAGGGTGGTGTGCTGCATGGTCAACAACAGATAAAAATTGAGATTGGGATTCACTCACCCCTTCTGATTCTTGCTGGAGGAGTCCAGATCCAGGGAAAATGTGAGACATGTGTTTGGCACTGGCGTATTTAGCGTCGATAGTTCCATTTCCATCACGGACGAGAACCTACCTGGTCAAGGGGGTGACTGGGTCCAATGTATTCGATACAAAGAGCATAGGATGGGCAGTTGTAGTACCCCATGGTCCTAAAGGGGTCAGCCTAGGAAAAACCAATCTGGAAGGATACGTACCAGTGAATGGATACTTGGCTTTCGTCTTCCACCCCACACAGCTCAAGTGTAACTGTGCCCAGTAATCACCCAAGGTGTCGCTGTCTGCTCTAAGGCTATCCCAGATGGCCCGGAACTCCTGCATATTAAGAGTTGTCATGTGTTCCGCGTCCGAGGACATGATGGCGGCCATCGCATAGAGCATGTTATCCTGTGAGGTCGCACAATCCGGGGACCACGGTCCCGCACGAGAACACTTGTTCGACGGACATGCTCCAAAGTGACTGCCGTGTTTGAAGTCAGCCATCGGGACCGGATTCCCCTTCGCCAACTCGGTCATTCGATCGGCCAGTACAGGGAACGCCAGCAGTGGTTGGTAAATGGCAACACGTTGGATGGCCTTGATGTCCGTCCAGGTAACCACTTCAGGTCCGCGTGTGGCAGATGCCATCACGGGTATGGAAACGTTGAGAATCTGCTGCTCCAGCTCCCAGTATGCGGCTTTGATTGCCTCGGCACCGCCGTCTATATAGAACGGACATCCGATCGGGCCGGCTGCATTGCAGTATTGACCGAAACGCTCGAATATAGCATCTGCATCGGCGATAGCACTTGGCCCAATGCCTTTATAGTACTTGACCATATCGACGACGCCATCGAGAACCGCGCGCGTGACTCGATCTGGATAGAGGGACGCAAAGGTCATGCCTAGGAGAGTTCCATACGAACGACCCCAGTATAAAAGCTCTTCTTCCCCACGACGCCATCGAGTACGCTCCAGCGCTTCATCCGATACATGACAAGAAGTAAGCGCAATATTCCGCGCCTCCTTCTCCCGCCATTCCCCATGCCGCTCGATAATAGTCACCAGATCCCTCGCGACCATTCGCGTATTCAGAAACGACATCATCTGCTCCTCCGACCCCAGACTCGACATATCATACACCGAACACCCGGAATTCAAGGCTTCAGTTCGCTGCCAGTTCCGCAGTAGCGAACCCGCCCCACTTCCCAACATACCCTCCACCGAGACTTGCAGCTCCCAGTTGCGTTGGGAGACCGGGTCCGGAAAACACATGACTGGCGGCGTGGTGGATCCAACACCCCGGGGATCGAACCCGATGATATCGAAATACTTGCCTGTTCCATTTGGCTCTGCGTCCACGATCAGTTGGAGATTGCGCCCGGATACAAAGGCTTGCATGGTCCCCGGGCCTCCGGGACCCCCTGTTTCTCATTAGCGTGTGTGGGTCCCAGGCTCCGATGGAAATACCGGGATTGATCAGTACGGCGCCCCCGTATCTGGGATCGGTGACTGGGACCTTGGCGGGGAGTCGCACGATGGCTAGGGCGATGGTGCGGCCCTTCCCGTCTGTCCGGTTATAGTCCATGGGGACTTGGAGGCGGGCGCATTGGAATTCATCCCCGCAATTGTGATAGGTGAGTGTTTGGGAGGGGATGATCTGGTCCCAGGTGACAGGTGTATCGTTGGGCATACGTAGAGGCTGCAGCTGAGGCAGGGATTGCAATGGCCATGTCCACAGTGTCCACGTCAGAAGGGCAATTAATAGCAGCCATCGTGGGAGTTTCTCCATCACATCGATGAAGTAGGGAAGATGCTAAACATCAGTTCCATGGGTTGATAAGTGGGCATTTTTAGTCTACCCGACACCGTCTGTGATTCGTTCGATAACTTGACGCATAATGTCAAATCTATTGGTGAGAAAACAATAGTCTTTCTAAATGTAGGATGCCCAGGTGTATGAATTGTCATGTATAATGAGGCAACAACTGCTTTGTGTCAACCTGTGACACAACGCAGCCCAGTTGGCAGCCTCAAAGGCTCTCCACTAGGACATATAAACAGATGCTGAGATCCTAACTACTTGTTGTATACTACTCTCTCCTCTCTCCGGACTATACCAACACCACCATGTCCCTCCAAGACCAAATAAACTCCCTCACCACCCTCCCCCTTGCACAAGCCATCCAAAAGATCGCCGACCTCACACCCCGTCTGACCGCCACCTTCCTCCCCAAATATGGCTACTGGGTACACCACCCCGCCTACCACGGCGAAGGCAACCTAAACGACCTCGGACGCATCTGGCTCCAACTCGGACGCAAATGCTACAGCGAACACGCACCCCTTCAAATCCGACTCGTCCACCAATCCATGGACGACGTCTTTTTCCAAATCTACGGAGCAACCTACGACATTTTGAAAAAGGGCCTGGCAGACGGGACGATTCCAAAACCCGAGGTCGACGAAAATCTAGGATGTGCATGCTGTCGCGGTGAGCCAGATGCGACGATTCTGGCGGGTTTCCATGAGAATGAGGCGCTGTACTTTGATCGGGAGGAGTATTGGGCGCTGTGGGGGGAGCAGCCGAATATTGGGGAGAGACATGGGGCAGACATGCATGCTTTTGCGGCGAGTAGGGCGCAGGTGGTGGAGGCTATTGCGAGGTCGGAGGCGGGCATCATTAGCATGCTGTAGATTGTACGGAGTACTTAATGGCATTTGGTATTGGCGTTTCGTACTGCCCTGGAATATTCGTAATTGAATGCATTGGCTAACCTAGGAACGCACTGTAAAACTCCTTGAAACTCGGGATTAAACCCATATGAGGCTTCAATCCAAATCCCGCGATCGCTTCCGGGGATTATTATCCCTCCCACGACCAAGCGACTCCTGACGACTCTCAATCGAATCCTCCACACGCTGCAAATACTGCACAAACTCATGATAGTGATCGAAATCCAAATGCGTCTTCTCAGACTCATTCTGCACCCGTCTCATAGTATGCTCGAAGAGATGACGCATCCGATCCCGCTCCGAGTCCCTGTTCGGAAAGTGTGTAGGCCACTGCATCATCCAGTTCGAGAAATCAGTGACCGACTGCGCAGTCCGTTGGTAGCTCTCGTAATACCGGGCCTTGGCCGTCTCGGGCCGGATGCCCTTCTGCAGCTGGGAGATCATGAAAGTGCAGAAATCGAGATAGGTATTCTTGTTGGCTGATTCGGTGCGGATGTATTGCTTCCATTCGTGCTCGAGTGGGAGGGAGACGTGTTTCAGGGCCCGTGTCACTTTGTTCTCTTCGTTGCGGTACCAGTCTGGGTATTTGCCGAAATGCCGCTCCAGGCCTAGCGTGTAGTTCTTGAACTCACCCAGTGCTCGGCCATGGTATACGGCTACATTGGGCACTGGGGGTTGGTTGATGGGCTTGCTGGCGGACGCGGGCTGGGTCGGTGGGTTGGGTGCTTTTACCGGGGTGGGAGTGGGCGACGGTTGTGAGTTCGGTCCCTTGCCCCTTAGGGTTGCGGCTGCGAGAGCTCGCAGTTCCTGAAGGGAAAGCGAGGAGGTGTTGTGTTTAGAGCCCTGGGGTGAAGGCTGGGGTGCCGGCTGAGGGGGCTGGGAATGGGTCTCCTTCGGGGCCTGCGGAGGTGTCGGTTGAGGAGCCTGTGGAGGAGCCTGTGGAGGAGCCTGTGGAGGAGCCTGTGGAGGCGCCGCCTTGGGACCTTGGGGAGGAGTTTGTTTAGGGGCCTGTGGAAGTGCCACTTTAGGCTGCTTGGGTGCTTGTTTCGCTTGAGGCTTCGCAGGAACCTTCGCTGGGGGGTTTTTAGCAGCTTGTTTCGGTTGAGGAGTCTTCTGAGGGGGTTTGGGCTGGGCGGGCTTCGCTTGGGGACGGGGAGTCGAGGGCTCAGGGATCCGGCGTGAAGGATGTATGTTTGCCGGACCGGTCGGTGGTTCACGCGCAATACATTGCTTCTTCTGGGGCCCCTGCCCTTGAGATCCGCGGTCCCAAGCGTTCGCCCGCGGGTCTTCTTTGAACGCGGAAGGAGGAGGACTAGCTGCACTGGTTATAGCTGAAAGTCTGTTCCGAGCCAATTCGAGATCCCTGGTTTCTTCTGCCACTTTCTGTTGGATATCAATGAGCTCGCGTTGCTTCTTGAGCTGTGCGAGTTGGGCCTGGGCCTCGCGAATCTGCCCTTCCAGGTCGGATGGGCCTGAGTCATGCATCTCTGTCTTAGGAAACATTGTTTTCAAGGATTCCCATTGCTGTCGAATTGGAGTGAAGGGGGAGTCAAGTTTCAAGGACCCCACGTCCATGTCCAAAGTTTTTCTGTGCCTGACGATAAGGTGATAAGCCAGATTAAGTGGAGCGCCGTGCAGGGAGCGGTCAGAGGATGCTGCAGAAGTGAGCAGCGAGACAAATGTGAGAGGGAAGAGGTGGGATTTGATCTTCCGTTGTTTGCATTCCAATTCAAACGCGACAGGTCAATTGGCAACTGCGGATAATGACATACCGGTTGGAGAATACGGAGTGTGACTTCATTGACTAGCGGTCAGAGTCGGCTCGTGTGTTTCAACAGAACTACGTTTGAAGTGCTGGAGTTAAGAAAATAAAGATCACTGCACTGTGGGCCTTGATCAGAGAATGCTTCACCCCACAGGAATTTTGCGGCGTCATACACCCTACCGAGTACCTACGTCCTGAACCATCATTCGGAGAAAATTCGGGGCCCATATACAGAGCAAAGCGACTAGAAAAATACACGATGAGGCTGTGAGCTGTCATGCAGTGTGACCGGCTGGGCGCATGTGCAAACCCTCCAAGGTCACACAGATCGGAGGTTGGAGGCTGTTCTGCATCAAGATCCGACGGACATACCAGAATGAGCAAACGAAGACGCAGATGAAAGAAGTAAGCTCCTCAATGGAAGATTAGGTATTAAATAAAGCTATATTAATGTACAGGAACTTTCACTTGGGCTGTGTGAAGAGCACCCTATTTACCAGGAGATCCGAGCAGACAGACAAACTTCCTGTCGGGGGTGTCATCCAGGACATTGCGGACCAAGTGCCAGACGTTCAAGTCGTACGCCTCGCCGATGTGGCCGACAGGGTCAAGAGGGCAGGTATCTTGGATCCAGGTGTTGGAGACAGCATCTTCATCAATGAAAGATGTCTTGGGAGGAGTGACCAGCTCATCGTACTTGGAGGCGATGATGGTGATCTTGTTGCCGGGCTGAGCAATGGGCTTGCCGTCATTGAGACGCTTGACGGCAGCGCCGTCAGGACCCACGTCGTCGCAAGCAGGGCAACCGACGAGGTGGAGGACCTCGCTAACTGCAGTGCGCGAGGAGTTACCGAAGAGGTAGGCAATGTCATAGATGTGCGCAAAGGCAGTGGCATGGGTGGGAGGAGCGATGGCGGCGATCTTGTCGACGAGGTGTGAGACGCCCTCGAACTTGGGGACGTAGAGGGCCTGGAAGGCGCCCTCGGAGTGGCCGACCAGGTCGACCTTGGCCTTGCCGGTCTTCTCGGTCACTTCCTTGATGTAGGAGGCGATCTCGGGAGCACTCTCGTTGATGGCCTTCAGACCACCGACGAGAGGGAATCCATCATAAGCACCGTAGGTCTTGGCATATGTGCAGTAGCCCTTGGACTGCAGCCAGTACTGCATGAAGTTCAGGTCTTCATAGTAGGTGGCGCCCAGACCGTGCAGGAAGATGACGGGGTTGGAAGAGCTTTCACACGAGAAATCGTTGATGCCCGTGGCAATGGCAGCAGTGGCCGCGAGGGCTGAGAGAGCCAAACGAGTGAATGAAGGCATGCTGGAATTGTGACAGCTGCACAAAAACGGTCGGTACCAAAGATCTTATAACTCCGTCAGGTACGGAGTAGACCTCCCTGTTTTTCTTTTTCCCCATCAGCTCTCCATCAGCTCCATCAGTTCCGAACTATCGATTATTGATCGATCTATCGGATCGTGATTGGTTAGTGCGGTGGGCCAGCGACAAGATCCTTGTCGAGTTTGGTCAAGATCCATCGCCGATCGCTCGATCCCGACCAATGGATGTTCGTCTGACAGATTGCTTCTGGATACATCAATTTCCGCTGTGCAGCTCGTTTCAATTAATCCAAATCCAGAGAAAAAATCAATCTCTATCGGTGATATTCTCCGAGCTGAAGAAGTGGGGAGAGCTGATGTTTTCCTCTTCCAAATCGTCACCAAAAATTGGGATTGTGTCTAACTCGCTGATTTCGACTTCAATTCTGCATCACATCCACTTTACGGACTACCCGTGTTTAGTGGTGAAGATTCTCGCGTCGATAGCTCGGGCATGGCACTGCCCCAGAGCCCCAGGGAATGCCGCTTCTCAACCAGGTGGAGCACTTCAATCATAAACTGGCGCTCGGGGCCTCCGTCAGGGAACGCTTCCCAAGCCACCCGCGTAGGGAACGCAAGGCGGTTAATCATGTTGCCTGGTGCAGTGAGGATGTAGAATTCCAGTGAACGGCAAATTCCACAACCCAGCTCATACTGCTCCATGGGCGACACGCGATCGTGAGGTCGGTTGTCCACTGAAGATAGAATGAGGCGGAAAGAGTAATAGAGACACATGGTCTGCGCCATGAGGAGGTTCGGATGGGCAAAGCGGGTCGGGGTAAAAGTAGCCCCAGTACGGAGATCACGCCGGCGGAATATAGGGAATCCTTGGTCTCCCGTTTGTTCGACCTCTTGTGGTGGCCCATCGGGGTATGTGAGCACCCAATCCTCGTACCATTGTTGGAACTTGTATGTTAGTTCACCGATACCATTCCACATCGTAGATTGTTTGACGGCCATTTCCTGTGCGCCCATGACGGACGTCTTTTGTGTGTTTTTGAAGGCATCGGAGAGCGCGAGGTAGCCGGGAACATCGGCTGCAAGATCGAGCAAGTGGTGGAGGAAATCCTTCTTAGTCGTACCGGCCGACCAGGGAATGGTTTTCCACTCTTCACGAGCGAGGAATGAGGGTTGTCGGGCAGCCAAAGCGCCACCAATCTGAACGGTTAGCTTGGATATGCGTTTTGAGAAGACTGCCAGCTTACCCAGTATGGTCGGAGTTCAGTGAACAAGAGATGCTCAACTCCGTACATGTGATTTTCCGGTCCACGATGTTCAATCAACCGCACTGCTCCTCGAACGTGGGCTGAAACGCCGCTTTGAGTTGTGCGTTCGACACTCTATTGAAATCAGTATTGAGCCATATAGAACGCAAGGTGGGGCACTCACTTCAAATGCCAGCAGAAGGATCACAGTGACCAGTGTTGACTCGGCATTGCACTTTTCCGGGTCTACCAATGCGTCTTGCAACCCACGTAGAACGCGGGGATACAGCCGGAACCCAGACGCTTCAATCTGTTTGTTCTGCACGGAACGACCAAAGAAGGCCACCGAGACAGCCTCAAAAGCATCTGTGATAAGTGGTGAGAACATGCGAATCCCAGCCGCAGCTCGCAAAGCACCCGCTCGTCCGGACTTCACGTCCACCTCGGGACTGAACGCATCTACGAATCTCTCCACGAAGATATCAACAGCTGGCCGCTGCATACTCATTATGGAGATCGTCCCAGAGGAGTCGGAGCCACTGTTACTGCCACTGCCCACCGACATGACCTCCAAGCTGTCATCGTCATCGTCACCTGGCAGCGTATTGAAGTCTTCGACGGGCGAGTTTATCAACAGTCGAGTTCGACTCGGCAGCACGGCCGAATTGGGCGAAGGATATGATTCGTACGCTAGCCATGTGAGTCGCCATTCCCACGCCGATAAAGATCTCCTTACCTTCTGTTCCTTCCCATGGCCCCACAGGCACCAGGTCGTTCTTGAGACCGACATGTGCGGATCGGATATCGCGAACCAGGTCATCGACTGTTTGTATGGGTGCCGAGCGAATAGACTCAAACAAGCTCTCGAGCCGATCTAGCCGTTGGAGATCTTGGACCCCATCATCTGCCAGTGTATCAGCCACCGTTCCAATCTCCACCTTCGCCACGATCGAGCAAGCGGGTCCAGGACTGCATACCACCCTGTCTCTCGTCTATCCGCGAGCGTAAATCCCGGATCTCCGATCGCAAATTGCGGATCTCCTCGGCCTGACTGATGGGACGGGCCTCGTCCTCGAGGGTCTCATAGACGCATTTTGAGGGGTAGCCGTGGGCGCAGCATGCGTGGCAGGGCTTGACACGATCGCACTGTGGCCGTTAGCTTGTGACGCATGGTGGGACGCATGAAATGGAGCGTGCCGAAGCGATCTGAGCACTGAAACGGACCTTGACTTTGCGGAGCCGGCAGACCTTGCAGGACCGTGACTGGCGGTTCGGAGCCTTCCTGGCTCGCGTATCGAGAAATCGCGTATCACCCATGGCGTGGGAGGTGGGAAGGAGCCAACGGCACGACAGGATTTAGGCGAGTGAGATTTCCGAGGGGGAGTCCGAGATCTGCCAGCGCAAAGGTGGGGCCCATCGTTTCTCAGAGGCCGTTGCTCCTGACTAGTCGCCGTTAGCTTCGTGGGTGAGCTTTGTGATTGGTGAATCACTCAGGGTATGGGTCTCTCTCCACTTCTCTGAATCTTGGTCTGCTTGTGGGGTCTGCCATTGGACGGGACCTCGGCAACGCAACCTTGGAACAGTGGTCAACTCAGTATAGGGTGTCTACATAACTACCTAGGTACCTACCTAGGTAGGTAGAAGTCCGTCAAATGTACCAGTAGTACGAAATCCCAGGTATCATGATTGCCCTCACAGCCACAAGTCCCAAAATTAACAGGTTTGGCGAGAATCCAATAGTCCCCTGAAACGAGCTGCGGGAAATTTCAATCTTGACTAGCACCTGTACTAGTAAAACCTATCGAGGGACCGAAGAGTAGGCAATGATACTACGTAGTACTATACTCCCTGACAAAAGCCTTAATCTTACTAACGTGCTGGAAGACACGTCGATCGCGCCAAAGACCAGCAGACCAAATTGATATGCCACGGGCGCATCTACCAACTTCTGTGCTCGTCTTCATCTGTTTGTATTTATTTTCAACGCCACATCCCCAGAAACGAGACAGAATGCATTATCACCCGACAGCGGCAATGTAACCTCACCCTCCAACTGCCTCACATCCACAAGAGGACAATTCCTACTCAAGGACTCGATGGAGGCGGCTGTGAATCTCTCGACATCACACCCGATGCAATCGGTCTTTGTCTGGGCAGTTTCTTGGAAACTAAAATAGACTCGAAGAGAGCCCGCGACCTCAAAACAAATAGGCTGATTGTATTTTACAAAGTGTTTGGTCGCCTCCCCCTCGGACAAGTAAACGGTACGTATCGAACTGCACGATAGGCTCTGTTCGTTTGCAGGGTTGACTGGCGACAATGATCCATACTCCGGAGGATCGCCGGACAAAGTGACAGACGAATCATCTGAGGAACTAGCCCCGACAGAGCTCTCCGACATACGCTCCGGTACGCTCGTTGCCGTTCCCGAGTTTGATGAAGTGAGAATGTTGCTCTCATTCGGACACGGATGAATAGACAGCTTCCCATGAGCTAAACCAAATGAGACAGTCTTCTGCAAACCCTCGAGGAGTTTCTTATTGAGTCTCTGCTGCAGCATTTCCAACTGCGGTAGATTCGGCAGTCTCCAGCCTGGATACAGCCGACCATGGCCTCTCGGGGTGTGGATGCGCCCGTATAGCTGAATGAAGCTGTTGCAAAGAAAGCATGCATCCTTACTCGAGCTGACTGTTCGCGGAAATAGCTTTGGAGCTTGCATCTCGCAAAATGCGATGATTTGGATTTCAGCGTGGATTTTGGGTGCTGAAAGAGCCTTCTTGGCTTCTTCATACCTGGCGCGGGCGGCCGATTCGTTAATTCTCAGATTCTGACAGAGCCGAGAGACATCATTCTGCTGCTTTTTGGCAATACCAAGTCTGTATAGACCTGAATCTAAATTGAATTTATCGCTGGAGGCAGTTTGTCCCTCGAACGCTTGCTCAGGCAGGCAGGCTGGTTGAACCTTCATGTCCCGCACTAACGGGTACTTCTTGGCTGCTCGATGAAGTTGTCTTGCGGCTGTCCAGTATCTGGAGACCTTTCTTATGATGTTCAGTAAACTGGACCTGGAGCTAGGATCCATGTGCTGATTCGAGATGAGATCTAACAAGGTGTGGAATCGCGGCGTTGTCTGTTTGAAGTGATGTATTCCCTCCACAAGATCACCTAGCTTGTCCGGGGTCTGGTGATTTGTCCATCGGTCAACGAGTTGCATCACACTTTTTGCCTCGGTGGTGAACGTTGACGATGCAATCGACAAGTCTCTACTGGCGAGCTTCTCTGAATCAATGCGTTGGATCCCAAAAATGGCCTCTTTTAGCAGAGTTTGGATGGACTTTTTGTCTTTTCCCCTCTTTAGCCTGAGCCGGCACAGTATTCGCAATGAGCACATTTTTATGATTGAGCTGAAGATCTTCCTCGGTGCCTCATCATCGTCTGTATCTGAAATGGTCAACTTTGAACCCTCCATGCAATTTTGTTGACACCGACCGTGGTTCAGACTTTGAATCACTCTGAAAACCTCCTCGAAGTTATTCTTCAGTCTTTGTAGAATGACATCTCCATCATGGTAACTCTTCTTATTGATTGCTATGATGACAGTCATAGAAGTGCCGAGCGGGTCTTGTTGTAGACAGACAGCAGGAATATGAGTCCACCCATCCGTGGTTTTTGCCAGAAATGCAAGGACTTCGGTCAGCCTGCGCTCTTCGGAGAAAGGTAAAATAGAATCTTGTTGGAGTGAAGAATTATCGAATGTATTTCGAGCGACGGGAACGGGAACCTGATGAAAGAAGTAATTCAGAGATATAAGCTCAGCACAAGCTGTTGCCGGGGGTTGGGTTCTCTCGGCCATGGAAGTCGATATACTGTCCTGGTATGTGGTCCTGTCAAAGAGGAAAGTGATTATGTAGATTGGTAGGACACCCCGGGTGATGCAGGACTTCGAGTGGCCTCGTAGGATACCCCTGGAGGTACTGGAAGTCAGGGTGGCTACCTGAGCATGTACGACTCGACATACCTAGGTACTGTTGGTGAGGGGCTACATGAGATGCAAAGTACTATACTAATCATGCATACTTCCTACGCAACATTCTGCATTTCGCGTTTGCTGGGAGCAATCTTGGAAATTGCGGCGCTGAAGCTATGAATTGAATACCAAATCTGGGTTCAAATCGCTCGATAGCTTCTAGTATCATAGATCACGCTTAACTCCCGGCCACCGAAGCGAACCACTTGTAGGCGCTAGTCCGCCTTCCAAGGTTTGCCAGGTAGAAAGTACCTGAGCAGGACAAACACCCCTCGACACCCCGGGCGGCCAGCGAAGCGCCTACTTCCTGTTTGGGATTAGCTTAGATATCAATGGTCAAATTACTTCGTAGTATACAAGCCCTGGTATCTTCTTCTTATCTCCTGAGGTTTGGTTTCATCCGTTTGGGTGATTAACAAAGACCCCTGAGGTCCAAGTTCAAGATCGATGTTCACGCCACTCTGTCCAATGTCATTTCTGGGGGTATACATGGATTTTGTGACAAGGAAACCTTTTACGAGCACTCAAGCACAAATGATTCCATCCAACGCAGACATTCAAAATCAATGGGCAACGGAAAGAGGCGGCAACTGAAACGATGCGATCTGACAAGAGAAGAGATTTCTTGGATTTTATAGTTTTAATAGAAATAAAGTCGGTAGGAAAAATATTGAAAAGAATAAATCATAACATTCGTTGGTATCACTTTTAATCATAAACTTGGCACATGCGCTTTTCACATCTCACTTATTATCTGAAAACAAACCGTCCTCGCGACTTCCCCTTTCTTACTGGCGCGCTCCATCTCATACAAAGCCTGATCAAGAGCCTCCATATCCCAAGCCGAACGGGACGTCGGCTCAGACACCACCTCTTCATGTTCCCAGGCTTCATCTGCACCGGGCAGAATTGGGAATCGAGCCCTCCTGCTCTCCAGTATGTCAACCTGGTGGAGGAGATCATCGTGGACGGCGCTGGAAACGCTCTTTTGCATTGAGATTCCAGCAATGACGTGTCGCAGATCTGGTTCGGCAGCGTGTGCCTCTTTGCGGATCTTTTTGAGGGACAGCTCGTAGAGTCTGTATGGTAGACGTTCGGAGTCAATGGTGGGGTTGGAGGTTGGCAGGGAGCCAACGAGTGTGACGTGTGGGTTTTGTAATTGGCGGCGCCTCCTCACTTGAGGGATGTTTCGTGTGAGGAGTCTGGTACATTGCGTTGTAGACATTGTGGGTTTTGGGATTGTGAATTGGGAATTGTAGATTGGTGAATCTAGGGATGTTATATGGAATTTGTTGAAGCGGTCTACTCACAAAAATGGCCTCAGTCACTTCGACGTCAGCTGGCTCCCATCATGCCACTCAATTTTCAGATCGCAGATGCTCGTTCGGGTGCTTTCGCTGCGGAGGTGCATCGGCCGGGTGGCGAGGCGCGTCATGCCACCGATCGCCCTTGAGACCCCCATACGCTACACACAGGCTATTTCTTAAGTACCCTGATCTGCCGGGATTCAGAATAAATACCGAGCTAGAGATTTTACATAGATCACTTCTGTGGTGATGGCAGGAAATTCCACCCGAATGTCGGGATGTGCTCCGACGAAGATCACTTCGCCCGCGAAGGTCTCGCAGATGATATCGACTAGGAGACCAGGGCCAGTTGGGCGGCTTACCAGATCCGGCATATCGATCCCTCTCGATTCGTATCTTTGACCAGAGGAATGCAAATACTCGTACTCCGTACTCTGCTAGGATTCCCCAAGTAATGAGAGTCGGGAACCCAAACCGACATGTCCCCCACTATCACTAATGCAAGCCAATGCCCTCATGACTCACTACCCACAATATGAAAGGGTCTTTCTGGGGTAATCCACTCGAAGATTGTTCAACTATCTACTGTTCCCATTGAAATCGACATGCAAAAGTCGGGCGCATCTGTCCAGGAACAAACATGGCAATCGGCAGCGACCAGCGTCTCCGACCTTCCGACTGGTCGCAACGCAAACTTTGATGAAGAGGCACCACGATCGGCTTTCTCGGTCGTCGAAGCGCCCGCCGACTTGTCCACACTCACAACCCATCTCACGGGCCATAGTGTCGATGACACCTTTCCAGATGGAGGACTGCGCTCATGGAGTGTGGTCGTTGGCTCATTCTTTCTTCTCATGAGTACCTTTGGTGTGATGAACACCACGGGAATTCTGCAGAGTTATCTCACGACTCATCAATTGTCGAAGTACTCACCCAGTGCTGTCGGGTGGATTCCGGGATTATTCACATTCTTTGGCCTGAGCATCTCCGTCCAGGTCGGTCCGATGTTCGATCGATATGGGCCGAGGTATATCCTCATGGCTGGAACGGCATGCTATATTGCGGGCCTTCTTCTCATGGCCGAGAGCTATCTCTATTGGCACTTTGTCCTGACTTTGGGTGTGCTCGCTGGAACTGGGACGGCCTTCTTGAGCACAGTCGCATTAGCCAGTGTGCCTCAATGGTTCGATCGCAAAGCAGGTCTTGCGCTTGGTATTTCGATGGCCGGCGGAGGTCTTGGTGGTGCCGTCTTCCCATTCATGCTGAGAGCTGGCTTCACTAGGTTTGGTTATAAATGGACCATTCGGTTGTTGGCGCTGGTGATCCTGATAATGTGCAGCGTTGGGATTGTTCTGGTCAAGGCTCGTCTCCCCAAGGGCAGAAGCAAGTCTACGATCAATTTGAAGGCTTTCAAGGACGCACGATTCACCTGGTTGACACTAGGGATGTTCGGTTAGTTGAGAACGCTTGCTCAGTCTGGAATCATTGCTGACGAGAAGATAGGACTTGAGCTCAATGTCTTCGCTGGCCTTGGTCTTTATCCGACCTATGTCGTTATGCAGGGATTTTCAACCAACGACAGTGTGTACCTCCTCGCAGTTTTGAGCATGTAAGTTTGAACATCTCAGAGCTTATGAGTTGATACTCACAGATCTGTCACAGTTGCTCCACGATCGGTCGCCTAGTTGCTGGAGGTGTCGCCGATCGCTACGGCAGGATCAACACCCAGGCTGCTCTCATCGCCCTAGGCGTCTTTGCAGTGTTTGTGATCTGGCTGCCCTTCGGAAACACCCTGCCAGGACTGTACATGTTCTCCAGTATCTTCGGTCTGGCCTCGGGATCCTTCTTGAGTCTGGCTCCAGCCTGCATCGGCCAAATCTCCAAAGCCAGCGAGGTCGGTGGAAGATTCGGACTCACATACTCAATCGTCAGCATCGCGTAAGTCATAACTGAGCTTGATGGTTGTGGCTCTCACTGACAAGATCCCAGGACCTTGATCTGTATCCCCACCGGCGGGGAGATGCTCGACAAAGTAGGAAAACGAGCCATGGTCGCATATCTCGGAGGCGTTTTGATTGTCGCCTTTGGACTGTTTATTATGGCCAGATGGGCCTGTCTGAGCTATCGGTGGAGATGGCATGCCAAGATCTAAACCAGGTGGAGAACAAGCCTAGACAGATGTCGCAAAAGTGAAAACAGTGCTTTCATTTCATCGTAACTTCAGATTGGAATATTGAATAAAACCGAACTTTCAGAAAAGAGGACCCTGAACAGCATTGAATACGGTCATTTTGGCAATCGCTTTGGAAGTATTCGACCGTATCATTCGAATTGAACGGGACAGTCCGATGATGGACTTAGTTTTGTTCCCCGCCTTGACTCTTTGCAAATTCATCCCTGCGACAGGTTAGCTAAATGGTGATTACTCTCTGCAACAAGTCATGCCCTACAGATGTTTGTCCAATTCATCCATATGCTTCCGCTGTTCCTTCATCTTTTCTCGGAGACGTTGTAGCCTATCGCCACGTTAGGCGCAGCCATATATCCCTTCAATTGTAACTCACTTATCCATTTCGAGTTGCTTAATGTATATGCCCTCGTGGGCAGCCTCACGCTTGGTGAACGAGTCTTTCCTGCGGCCGGTTAGCTGTGTATGACGTCATCACTCAAAGTGCGTACTCGGCCATGAAGCCCCGCGGCTTTGTAGATCCCAGATCACCGGCAGCCATGATAGAGGGAGAAACAGAGAAACACCGTAGCAGGGAGGGGTTGGTTGTTACACGGAGGATCGGTCGTGAGAGGGATTGCATGATGCCGATCAGTGAGTTGATGCGACGCGTAATCTGTGTCAAGTGCAAGTGATGTGCATTCAGACTTAATGAGAATTAGCGAAAATCAGAAGAGGCGACGGTCTAATTAAATGAAATATGGATGACCTCAGAGTCAGGTGACAATGGGTTGATGCGGGATCTGGTGATTGGACACATCTTACGGTGCAACCTCCAAGACTCCTGGGTCTGGTGGCATGCTATAGACTACTTGGGGACTCGCATCTTTAGCTCGTTGGTGGCTGGATACTGAGCTCCAACACTACCTTGGAAATCTATACTACGAACTATGAGAACCAATTTGGAAGCAATGAAATGGACCGTTCATATAATCGATACTACTACAAAGTGTAGCGGAATCCCTTCTGCAACCGTCTAGCCGCAGCAATGTCGATACCCTCCACATCAGCGGTAGCCTGCAACCGACGGATGTCCTTCTCGCTGAGCTGCACTTCCTCATTCTCAAGACGCTCCTGGCGCTTGTTGAGCATCCGCAGATTGAAGTACAGGAACACAGCCATCAGCCCTCCAATTGCCTGGAGAGCGATACACACAGCCATTGCAGTGTGATAGCCGTTGTGCGCCTCCTTCTCCAGATACGTATATGGCGTCCAGATGGAAGCACTGTTGCCGAGGGAGTTGAAGAACGCAAAAGCTGTTTCAGTTAGCGGAGTCCGGAAATATGGAGACATGAAAGCGTGACTTACCGACAGCACGCTTGGCAGGTGGACGGGGGATGGAACTAGCCAGCCAAGAGTATAGAGTTCCGTTCTGAGCGAAGACAAAGACCATCAGGAAGAACGAGAAGTATCTTGGACCGAACGAGGTTGTAGTCATGTAGATGATGAACCCGACAATGGTGACTGGGATCGGGTAGATGAAGAACCAGAATCGCTTCTCCAACCTGTCCGACATCAGGGAATGACAGAGAGAATACACGACCATGAACAGGTAAGGAGGTGCCACGAGGACAAGTGAGATAGTCTCATTGTAGTCGAGACTGTTCTTCACCAGCGAGGGGAAGAAGTTCTGGAATCCCGCCGCTCCAGTAATGCACATGTATGCGATAGCGAAAGCATAGGTTTTGATATCGGTCATGGCCAACTTCAGTCCCTTCAGTTGACTCTTACCACCGCCTTCATCCACATCGGTTTCGCCAGCCTCGATAGCAAGACGCCGCTGGGCAACATGTCGCATCTCCGGGGAAAGGAGTTTCCATGTTTCCGGGAAATCGGGCAGAATGAAGCAAATCGCCAAACCGATGGCACACGTGATTGAGCCTTCAATGATATAGAGCCACTGCCAGGCCGTGAGACCACGCTGTCCCTTCAGTCCGTTGAGAATACCCGCTGCAATGAGGTTTCCAAACGCGCCCGACAGCAGAGAGCCGGAGTAGAAGATACTCATGCGCAGAGCCAGCTCTTGCTTGGTGTACCACTTGGACAGGTAGAATAGGATGGCACAAAAGAACGGCGCCTCGACGAGACCGAGGATGAATCGACATGCGACAATTCCTCCGTAGGTTGAGACTTGACTGGTCAATGCAGATACCAGTCCCCAGGCGCAGACAAAGAAGCCAATGTACCAAGACGGTCGGCCCATGTAGTTGAGTAGCATGTTTGATGGCACTTGCATGAGAATGTAACCGACGAATAGCACGGAGAGACCGGTCTGGTATTTTGTGTCGTCCAAGTTGAGATCTTCTTCCAATCCCTGCAGTTTGGCCGCGGCATAGTTGTTGCTTTGAGGAATTAGCAATTTGCGAGATAATGTTATGATGTGAAGCAACTCACCGGTCGATATAGTTCATCAAGTAAACGAGGATAGCCAATGGCATGATCAGAGCGTCGATGCGCTTGCGCAGCTGCTTCTCCACGACTTTCTCCTCGTCCGTCAATTGGGCCATATGGACGACCTCCTCATGGGACAAGTCGACCTTCTCCCCCAAGTCTGCATCGCTGATGACATTTTTTGTGTCGGTCATGTTGTCCAGTGTCCAAAGTCAGACAGAACTGAAAGGACAAGGGGTCTCGACTGGGGATGTCCATCATTTATGTTGAGCGGGGATCAGCATGGACCAGTGCGAGACCTACTCGTATACAAAGGAGCAATAACCAAGTCGCATTTACGTGAATTCTGGGGAAAACGTGGGGGGCTAGCGGGCCGCCAATCATTTTGCGGGGAAGCAAATGCGGAGAATCAGCAGTCCACTGCCCAAGGTTGCCGGACTGTGTCATGACTTCCCTCCCCTGCTCTGATAGGCTGGATGTGCACCATCCCGACCCCCCACGGAGGCAAACCGGCTGAATGAGGACTTAAGTTTAAAGCTGTGGAGTATCCCGAGTCTCTTTGCAGCGCTTATTCGGCCGCCAAGGCCTGTTTCTCGGGCTCCAGCCTCGTCATCCGTGCCTCTTCTTTGGTCTCTCGGACAAAGTCCGTGCCGTCTGCCCATGCTTGCTTAGTTCTATTGAATGTGGGAACTGAATCCCGATGTACATCCTACACCGTTTGTCACTTTCATCATGCAACTCGGCGCATTCTCCTCCGTACGCGGATGTTGCAAGGGGTGAATGCGTACCTTTGACTTCGGCACCGTGCATTTCAACTCTGCCAATATCTTGGAGTCTTCTCGTACCCCTTTTATTATCTTCTTGGTGTTGGAATTCCAACTGACCGGCCTTGGCGTAGGCTTCGCACTTCCTCCGTGTTACCTATCCAAAAGATCTTGGTCGGCGTAACTCCTATCTTGCACGGCTCGGTCTTTCCCTTTCCATCGACATAACCTCGGTGTTGCCATCATACGACATGACTGTGCCGCCCCGTTTGCTGGTCACCACTTGCTCCACAGGGGTTGTAGTTGTAGAATTTGAAATTGACCGTTTGCAACATATCTCAACACTCTGCACTCTGGATATTGACCTACCAATGATTTATCTCAGTGGTCTCTACACATTCTACCCTGAATATCCCCAAAAAAAATTCTACCAAGCCCCGAGTTGCTCAGGTGATCATGGCACATACCCGTGGACGGCCTCGGGAACTTGGGCCAGCACGCCACCTGTGGACTAAAGGAATCTATCAATCTGCGATTGAGAAAGTAGCGAGATACCCGGCAACTAGTTGGTCCGCGTGTTACAGGGGGAGGGCCATCGCTGTTATTATACCCGCTGCCTAGGCAAGACAACCCCAAACTTTTGCTTTGCGTATTGAGCCCGACTTAGGGGCACGAGGCCCCGGGTCATCAACCTTGTAAGCGTAGCCAACTACCTACCTAGTAGTAGTTTGTTTTCCATTTTTCCATTTTTGCATTCCAAGGTTCTTTTCGTGGTTTGAAAGCTACCTGGGCAGGCAGCGAGCCTCTTTGGAATATAGTTCGCGCTTTGTACTTCGTACATCATGGATGTAGATTAGTCAATATTGAACAACCTTGGAATTAAAATAATATTCGAGCGGAGTAGATAGATAGTCTAAAATCTAACATGGAGCCTTCATGCTTTTGAACATTGTCATATAGTCGAAAACGACAAACAAAACATAAGTCACGGGCGAAGAAAAGAGTCAAATGCGATCGGTCGGGTGACTTCCCGGGACCTTTGAAATTGGTAAATAATCACTCAGCCTTCTTAGAAGCCTTCGTCCTCAACTTCATGAGTCCGAAGACCAGACCGTACGAGCTGATGACGAAAAGAGCCACAATTCCAGTGTCTCTCCAGCCGTAGTAATAATCATTGAGGTTGACAGTCACCAGATAGTCGGATCCGCGGGTATATTGACACACGCGGCAGTCGAAGGTTGCATCGGGGTTGACGAGGTTCATGCGAGCACCAATCGTCTGCATGTAATCGCCGAGATACTCGATACAGGTTGATCCGTTGGGTGGGCTGAACAAGGCGTATTCCTGGTCCGTGCATTCGACGTTGCGGTCGAAGAGGCCGAATACAAGCATGCTACCCATTAGGTAGTTGAAGGGGTTCAGCCAGTAGATCCAGTAACGCCAGAAGCTGACGATTTGGGCGTAGGGAACCAAGACACCACAGAATGAGATCATTGTCTAAGAGCGCGTTAGTTGGGAGCTTGCTGGGATGGAAAGGGAAACATACACCCAGAATCAAAGGGTTGATCATGGCGGCCATGTTGGCATTGGGCGCGTAAGCAGCGACGAATTGACCTGGATGTGCGTTAGCATTATTTGAAGAAGAAGAAAAGAGAGGGTAGCTTCAAACTCACCGATACCAGTGTAGAGGAACTCGTAGAGGAAGAAGACAAAGAACATGCTGCCACTCTTGCTGGAATCCACGGCCATGCCAGCGGTCCAGTACCAGCAGTTGAAGAACAGAGCGGCACAGACAACCAGGTATGGGAATTCGGAGACAACGAGAGCAATGGTGAATGCCTTCCATGAGTACATCTTAGCCTTCTTCTCACGAGCTTCGAACAAGTCACGACGCTCAAGGAAAGTCGGTTGCAATTGGTTAATCACACCGGGGGCGACGAAGATGGCGTTGAAGATGAAGAATAGGACACTCTGCAGATCGGCGACGGATTCTCCAATCATCCAGAAACTGAAGCCAACAAACAGACCGGACGAAATATGAAGAGCAAATTTGTTGTTGATGTAATCGGAGTTTCGGTACAGGGCAGTGGAAGTACGCTTCAAGACAAGCATGGTCTGCTCCCACAGTGTGCAAGCAAACTCACGGCCATCGTCGTGCGTAGCTTCAGGCTTGGCAGCAGCAGTTGAGATAATCTCGTCAAGCTCCTTGCGCATGGCAGTGTGTTCTGGGGACTCCAGCCAAACTTGGTTCCAGTCTTTGCCTTGGCTCAGTTGGCCAGACACGACGTCAATCATATGCTCGGCAGGGTTAGTCTCGGGAGGGCAGGGCGCTCCGTAACGTGAGAAATAAGTCTTGATCTCAGAGGAGTTCTCTCCGATGGGACCGAAGTAAACGGTTTTACCGCCCTTGGCAAGGAGAAGAAGTTGATCGAATTCGGCGAACAGCTGGGCAGATGGCTGGTGAACAGTGACCAGGACAGCTTGGCCTGCATCTGCAAGTCTGCGCAAGAATCGAACGGTGTTGTAAGCACTTTGGCCGTCGAGACCACTGGTGGGCTCGTCAAGGAAAATAAGGATGCTGGGCTTGGAAACAAGCTCGACACCAATAGTAACACGCTTGCGCTGTTCAACGCTCAATCCAGCTCCGACGCTTCCGATCATGGTATCGGCCAGGTCATGGAGTTCCAGTAGGTCAATAATAACGTCGACGTAGGCGAGCTTCTCTTCGCGAGGTGTGGTCGCAGGCTGGCGAAGCAAGGCGGAGAATTCCAAGGACTCACGGACAGTCGCCATGCGCTCGTGGATGTCGAGCTGCTCGACGTAGCCGGCTGAGCGTTGGAATGAGACGGGGAGTGGGCGACCATCGACCATGATGGAGCCATTGATGGTTCCTTCGGTCTTGCGTTGGGCGAGAACATCAAGCAGGGTAGTCTTACCGGCGCCAGATGAACCCATCAGAGCGCCCAACATACCGGGCTTAACCCATCCTTGCACGTTGTCAAGAAGCAATCGGTCACCAGTCGGGGTGGAAACAGTGTAAGACAGATCCTTCCAGGTAAAGACCGAGGTGTTGCGAACAAGCTGGTTGTCGAGATTGTCAGGCTCCTCGCTCTTACCCTCGGTGACCTTTTTATCGGAGACTTGGCCCTCTTCGTCCTTCGGTTGGTTTTTGAGATGTCTGTGAAGGTATTCCCGAGGAATAACCAAGGTGTTACCGGATTCGGAGGGAGACTTCCACCGAGTGGTGGCGACGATAGTGAGGAAGACGAACAACGCCCACCAAGCCCAGTTGATGCCAAGGTTGCGCCACACGTGAGAGTGGCTGTATGACAGAGCTGACAGGTAGTTATCACCAGTGACAAAGTTCTGACCTTGAATAGCACCCTTCACACCGGCGCAGGACTGGTGTGCTTGGACGTTTTCATAGCCGGGGCCAGTTGGGATCAAGTTGTTGCCGACGCATGGAATGACATCCTTTCCGTGGAATTCGATGCTCAGTAAAGCTTCGAATCCATAGGCAATCGGATCAATCCAGAAGATCCATCCTAGCCAAGGGTGCATGGTTGGCTTGGGAATCATATATCCACTGTAGAGAACAGTGCACATAATGAGTAAACCGGAGACCTTGGATGCACCATCAAACGTGGAGAAGACAGCACCGACCGCACGGAACAGCGCAGTCATGGCCTGTATGTGTATTAGTTTGTTGTTCATTCAGCTTTGAAAAGAGAGAGATACCATTGTAGTCGTGAAGATGATGATCCAGTAAGAAAAGAATGCCGAAGCCGACATAGTAAGTCCCACCATGAAGTAGACGATGAGACCGAAGATCGAGATTTGGAAAAGCAGAACTGGAATATCTGCAGCAATTTGGGCGAGACAGAAGGCAGCGGGGTGGAAGTAGGCGAATCCCTTGTGTTTAATGAGAACTGGTCTGCCAGAGAAGGACTCGGTCACTTCACTCATGGCAAGCAAACTTTGGTAGAGAAGAGAAAAAAAGAGGGCACCAGATTTGACGAACAAACCGCCAGAGTTATCAGGGGCACTGTAGAACAGAGAACCAGCAATCAAAGCCTGGGCTAGTGTGGCCACCTGCTTGATGATGAAGGTGGCTTTGTCACCCCACAGAATCTGATATTGACGCTCCACACAAATCTTCACTTGATCAACGAATCCGACAGTGAAGGGACTGTTTTTGGGGAGATTCTTCGCAGTCTCAAAGGCAACACCTTGTTTGAACTCCTCGGTGCGTGCGCGGGCAACATCCGAGTCGGGGTAGGAGTACTCGGCAACCATCTCGGCGTGGATAGCAGACTTTTCGTATTCAATTCTGAGGGCCTCGCCGTTGCGAGGGAATCGGTTTTCGTAGCCGGTGCGGATCTTACGCTCCGTGGGGACAGTGACACCAGTGAGATAATCGGCAACGTTAGAGCCCTCAAGGCACTTGAAGCCTGCAGCCTCCATGAATGGTCGTGCCTGTTCTCTGGGACCGTAGTAGATTTGCTCTCCTTCATCGAGAACCAGGACCTTGTCGAATAGGTCGTAGATTCCGTTACCAGCTTGGTAGAGGGTGACGACGGTCGAGAGGTTAAGGGTATCGGTCATGGCGCGAATGGCCTTGGTCCACTCAAGAGCGGTAGAAGCGTCCAATCCTCGGGTCGATTGATCCCAGCAGAAGACGGAGCCGCGAGTGGCCATGGTTTCGATGATAGAGACACGTTTGCGTTCACCGCCACTGACTCCACGGACATACTCGTTACCGACCTTGGTGTTTTCGGTGTGTGAAATTCCGACCGATTCGAGGAGGAACTTCTTGGAGGCTTCCTGGTACTCGGCGGGGGTCATACCGTCAGGAAGGTGAAAGGGAACCTTAAGGCGGGTGGCGAAATCCATGGTTTGGCCAACAGTCAGGGTTGGGAAGAAGATTTCCTCTTCGGTGTTCATGACGATTTGGCCACGGAAGGCTTCGGCCTCCTTAGGTTGCATGGAGCCAAACCGCACATCACCTTCCACCGACTTGTATCCTCCTCGTCTGTTTGCAAGCATCTTCAACAAGGTGGTGCAGCCGGCGCCGGGGCGGCCCAAGACAAGCAGCATCTCACCGGGCTTGACGCAGCCATGGCTTTTGTTGAGGATGGTGCGGAGAGGGGGCTTTTGTCGACTTTCTTTGATCTTGGTCGGAATGTTGTACTGTGAGAGCACGGTCTCGTTAACTGCAGCTTCAGAGCTCACAACCTGCACGGAGAGGTCCTTCCATGTAACGCCCAGCTCCTGTTTCTTGAACCCAGCTGCGAGGGCACGATCGTTGTCATCCTGGAGCTTGGACAGCATGCCCCAGTCATTCGCTTTGTTAGGGCTTTCGTTGCGGGGTGTTTCATCGCCCATGATGGTCATTGCACTTTCGGTGTCATACTGGCGTTCTTCGCCACCGGAAGACTTCTCCGATCCTGCCATGTTGGCGAGTGGGAAGGAGATATGGTGAAGAACAAAAGTGACGGAGGATCACCAAATACTGCAGATCGTCTCAGAGTGCGGAATTCCCTCTTCTTATGAAACTGCACTCAGGGATGTGATAATACACCATAGTGGGTCCATGGATTGACGCGCTGGCCGAAAGCCCGAGGCCGACATGGACGGGGATCTGTCATTGGCGGCTCCCGTGGTTTATTACGGAGTCCAACGCAGAAAATGACTGCCATTGACTAACCAAGCTCTAGATCTTCGTGTTTGAGAAAAAGATTTCGGACAAACAAAGTGGCCGCCCCACCGTTTAGTCTCTCGGTCGTTACTTTGTCAACGCCGCTTCCGCTGACTCATCGGGTTTTTGTTCCAAGCGGGTCCTGCTCATTGGACTAGCAGCACACTGCAGCATCATTCGCACTAGTATTCACTATTGCGAGAATGCCATGGATCGATTTGATAAATCTTATGTCCAAATTCGACATTTGAAGTCTCATACTTTGATACACATCTATCTCTGTCCAGATCATGAATTCAACCATACTTCAAGTTGGAATCACCAAATCGACCTGTCCACGGACGCCAAGACGTGGCGTTGTCCCGAGCAGCCAATCGGCGGTCGGACTCTGCGCCCCCGTCAAAAGTTCCGCTGACATGAGCAGAACTTGTTCCGAACCCTGGAACATCCTCGGGAAGTTCCCACTTAGGTCTCATGTGCCCAGTGGTGAAACGTGGAATGCCTAAAAGCCATGTGCTTGAGATCGGTATTTTTAATCGGCGATAGGCTCTTAGCTGCAACTACACGGACCTCGGGGCAGAATAGCCATGGAATTTCCGTCCGGTTGACTCATCCCTCCCGAACACTTGAGCTCGATCCCTATTGTTGACAAATCTGACCTACAGCCGCGGGCCCGTGGGTCCAGAGCACAGGATGGGAACTCGTTTGGGGAGCACATGCATTCCCATTAGGCTATCCATCTATTTGCAGCGATCCCTTGCATATGTGGAGGAGCCAGAGCATGTTTCTTCATAGGGCACAATCCATCCAAGTGCCCTATTCGGGGTAGCGCCTAATCTAAACACGTATGGCGCCTTATTTGCAACACTGTACTCTTTGTACTCCCACTTAATACGACAATGTTCCAATCCCGTTGCACGATCCTTGGAACGAGCAATTGCCTAAAAGAGATCAGATCAATATGCCCAGCTGTACGGAGTAGAAGCTCAGTCTTTTAGTGCTCGTGCTCTTGGAATATCTCGTTGGCGACCTTGAAAGACAAATCAATCAATGACTTCGCCAAAATTTCCAGAATAGGAATCGTGCATGCCATCGACCTGAAAATCCAATCCCGCAACTCAATAGCGACATGCGAGTCGACACCATACTCTGATACCCGATTTGATGAATCGATGTTTTCCACGGGTATAGAAAGATGCGTGGCCAGCTTCTTACTGATTGCTTCACATATTAGTGCAGCCGCCTGATCGGTGGTCCTGGCTGAACTCAGCTCGGCCTTCAGTAGCTCCGAGGATGTTTGCGAAGAAGGATCGCCATGACCGCCGGATTGATATCGGAAATGCGAAAACATTGGCTCGTCAAAGTTGCCCAGAGATTCCCCTTCTTTCCAGCGACCCAGGCCGGTGATCATCTGGGTTCTTTCGCCACGCAGCTCTGATATAGCGACCTCAATCAAGCCAAGAAGTCTTTTTGAATCCATACCTTGAAATCCCTGTCGTTTCATTTTCTGGGCCAATTCTTTATTCTCCGCCAAATATCCTGCGTCGCTGATAACCCCGAGATCTAGTGATACTGCAGCAAGGCCTAGACTTTGCCTGTAGGCTGCAAAGAAATCCTGGAACGCGCAACCAGAGGCATATGCAGACTGAGTGGCGTTTCCAATGACACCGCTGATGGAAGAAAGCATCACAAAGAAGTCAAGATCGGATGGGAGGTTTCGATGTAGATTCCAGGTGCCTTGATACTTGGGTTTCAATACTCCCAAGTAATCCTCGGACTGCATGTTCTCGATGTGAATGTCCTTGAGCATCATAGCTGCCTGGATGATTCCTCGTATTGGAGGCACGCATTTTGACACTTCGCCAAGAACGCGGCTCACGCTCGGCTCATCGGATATATCACAGATTCGGATAGTCACTTGAACGCCACACTCCATCAGCTCGTTCACTGTGGCTTTGGCCTTTTCTTTTAATGAACCGCTTCGATTGATGAAAATTAGGCTCTTGACCCCATTGTGTGCCATCCAAAGAGCGATTTCTTGTCCAATTCCGCCGAGTCCACCAACGAGCAGGTAAGAGGCATCTTCGTGGAACAACCTTTGGGGCATTTTGGGTAAAGTAACCTAAGATTCATGATTTTGGGTTTTTCAATTTCATGTGGGACATACTCACGTTGACTGCGTCGGCTGGTTTAGCGGAGACAACAACATAATGGTGATCGGAAATAGCATCCATCGCCTCTCCAACAGATGAGACTGGGTATGCTCGAATTGAAGATGGCCCATTGAGGCGCTGTTCCAAGAATAGTTGCCCTACCTCGGACCATTTTTTTTTCCACCACTTCTTTATTGTCTCTCTGCAGTTCAAATATGTTGAAAATTGAAGTTGTGATGTTTCGCGGGCAACTCCAGACGTTTGGCTTGTGGAATTCAGTGCGAAGCTGGATAAATCGGCCAAATGGCGCGGCGCAGTTTCGAAGACTCTCCTGTGAGGTGTCAAAAGCAAATACTGCGCTCGCCTTTCTGCCATCCGTCAGACGAAGCAAACCCTTTACAGCATCGATCTCCCCGGTATGGAACATGTTCACCTCGGGGAGCCCATATGTCGAAGCCAAGGTCGTGCTTTCATGGCTATTTTGGACAAACGCAAACACCCGAGCATGCTTGAACAAGCACAATTCAACAATGGCTTGTCCGAAATAACTACCCGCATCATCAACTAAGACGATGTCATTTCGCTCAACATGAGCCAAATGATTCACAACATAAAATGCTGTTGTATATGCCAAAGGCAACGATGCGGCTAGCTCGAATGCAAGGTCGTCACGGATCTTTTGGAATTTCGTGACTCGATCCTCATAGAAACTTCTCGCAGTTCCAACTCCAAGGCATGCAACGTGGTCGCCGACTGCTAGTCCCTGAACTTCGCTGCCTACCTGACAAACGATGCCACTGCATCCCATGCCAACTGTGTCATCCTGCTCCCAATACCCAGCGTCTTGCAAAATATCTTCTCGCGGCAAGCCGAATGAGAATACTCTGATTCTGACATGATCAGCCGGGAGATCTGGAGTTTTTATGTCGAGGATATAGGTGGACGCGTTGTTTCTTCCAGAAAGCCTCAACGGCTGATCCGGGTTTTGGAAGAGCTGGGTTGATACGATTTCAGCCTGGCTAACCCCTTCCATGGCCGTAGTGGTCTTCGTATCTTTGACCACGCGTGGAACATAAAGAACTCCATCTCTCTCTGCATATTCCGTATCAGAGCCAGGATTCTTGCAAAGAAATTGTGTAACCAGTAGCTTCGAAATCAACTCCACACTTCGTGAATCAGAGAGTGGATTTCGAGAGTTCAAGTCCAGAGTAATGATCGGTTTGACGCCAGATTCCGCGCGAGCCGTTCTTGCAAACCCAGAAGCCAGCCCGGCATCTGGGTTAATGGGGTCGAGTATGCCACCTCTAGTGACCCAAAGAACTCCTGCGCTGTGCATGAAAATAGCTTTGATCTTTTTCAGTGTCATCTCATCTGGTTGCATGAGAAGCGAAGTCTTTGCGGTGTCCATGACCAGGCATATTTTGCCCTCTGGGTCTAAATCCATAAGTTCAGTCAATGCGACCTTCGAGCATCTCTTTTGAAGGCAGTTGATGAGTTTATTCGCATCAGTACCGGAATTCCTTCCGTCAACGATCGCGAACTTTGCGCCGCTCCCAGCCATGATCTCTGGGGTTTGCTTCTTCGCCACGATGAATTGGTGGCTTTTGTGAGACTCTTGCTCCGTAAATATATCGACGGCGATGAATTTTGCATCGCTCAGTATTTCCGTCCATTGTCCTTCTGTCCAACCACTTTGGCCCAAGCAGAGCTCATCTGCCGATAAGCAGTGCAAAGCACCGAACAAGACACTCTTCAGAACACTTTCCTTTGGGTCAAAGGGATTGATTGCGATCAAGCAGCCAGATGGAGTCAAAAGGTCGTGTATCTTGTGAAGAGCATCCTGCTCACATCGGGCGGTACACAGGCCGTGTGGCAGGATGATGACATCGAATGATCCCGGATTCACCCCTTGCTGGGAGAAGTCGGCACGTAGATCAAGGAGTTTGCACTCTACCCAATCCTGCCATTGCTCTAACTGTCTGGAAGTTTGATCCAGTACCAATTCACTTTCGTGGGCAAATGTATATTTTGCACAACGTGGCGGTCCCTCAGGCTGGGTGAGGTGTTTCAGAAATATCTCAGCGATCTGGCCGGTGCCAACTCCGAATTCGAGAATTGATATCGCTGGGTTCTGATGGCATAGTAATCCGATATAGTTTGCCGCAGCTTGATATGCTTTGTCCGCGGCGAACATTTTCCAATACTCAAGGAGAGAGCCCTCATCCTCAATAACGGCAGAGTATTCGACTTGGTTTCGTATGATTGACACAAGATTCGAACCAACAGTATTCAAAAGGTATCCGATTTGAGCAGGGTGGGGACGATCCAGGTATGAAGCCGTTTGCGAATCTTCACTGTCATATCTCTCAAGCACATCTTGAAGATAACACCAGAGCCTGCGATGGGAGATATCGAGATTTATCGCCTCTTCTGGGCCAACTTCTCTCAACGCAGCTCGTATGAACTCGGCGGCATGATGTTCGCTTTCATTAAGATCCAGCGACCTTTCTTGTAGATCACTCATAGTAAGTAGGACAGAAGAATTCTCGGGCTCAAGGAAATTGGGATCTGGTCTCCAGTCGATCCGATATATAGTCCCAGTTTCCTCCGTTGTTGATGGAACCTCACGGCGACTGAGCCGCGCACACTGTAATCCGCGAATTGAGATACTGGGATCCATCTCGAACTTCTTATTGTAGTCCACCGCCGCTATGCACGCAGTGACATCTTTGCCTGAACTCGGCCGGACATGCGTGCAAATGCTCATCAGCTCCCCAGCCAAGCATTTCAAACGAGAAGAGACGACCATTTCTTCGATTGAAACAGGTATGACAGGTCCTTCCTCGACCCCCATACCCGCTGGAAGCGCAGCGAGGATAGTATGGAAGATGCTGTCAAGAGTGCAGGGATGAATCAAAAGATCATACTGAAACGATGCTGGCATCACGGATCCGGTATCAGGAACCGTGATATCCGCAAAGCAGGCTCCGTCCTGGGTAACCCGCGCTTCTTCTAGGTTGGCAAAGCATGGACCGTACTCTAGTCCGGAATCACGAAGCTCCGTGTAAAAATTGGCGATGTCAACCACTGATATACCGTGAACCTCTGTCCCAAGAGGAACCATAACATATCCTTCGGCGTCTTCGGTGCCTTCTTTCGAATTGCCGAAGCTTTTCTGTCCCCCAATCATCCCGGTGCAGTGCTCTGTCCATTTATTGTCTTCAGTGACTGAATAAATGTGGAAATTGTAGAAGTGACTTTGATGCGAGGGCTTCGAAAGTGACGTCATAACCTCGACGGCGGATGTTTCGTTGAGCACCAGGGCGGATTTGATCTCGATATCTTGCAGAACATACGTTTCAAAGTCATCTCCATCGGTCATCAGCTGTTTTGCAGCTTCAATTGCCATCGTCAGGTATCCCGCTGCTGGGAAAATGATGCTTCCTTGAATCTTGTGATCCTGAAGCCAAGGTAGCTCCGAAGTACGTAGATGATTTCTCCACCGAGGCTCAAACGGACATGATGTGTTATCCGGTGCGCCTATCAGATCCATTCTTGGCGAACTTCTATTGCGATACATCTTGCTCAGCCTTGGCTCAGCCCAGTATGTCCTCGTGTGATCCCAGGAGTATGGTGGGAGATCGACAAGTATTGCTGGCGTCTCTTGCTCCATTGTATCATTGGGTCTGTTGATCGCTTTGAAGTTTACTGGATAGTTCAACGATGCTATTGTTGCAGCTGCGTCCAGTGCAGTCGTCACTGCACTCTTGTTGCGAGTCAACATGTTGATGTAGACTATTTCAGCGGAGTTGAGCTTGGTATCAGCACGGAGAATCTGTTTGATAGGTCCAGCAAGTGCCGAGTGTGGGCCTATCTCAAGGAGGCAGTCCACAGATGGCTTCTTTGCAGACCTGGTCTTCTTATTTTTCCCGGATCCCACACAGTTTGACCGTTGGGCCAGAGTCTCAAAGCACAATGTCTTGAGCGAGCCGGCAAAATTCACTTGTCCTGTCAAGTTCGAGACCCAATAGTGGTAGGTGAGCTCATTTGAATGCAGGTATTCTCCAGAAACCGAGGAAAAGAACCTTGGGGTTGCCACCTTGGGTGTGCTCTCTTTCACACTGGCCGTCTCAGGGCCTGCAATATGATCTATAAGACTGCGATACTGCTCAGCCACCTTCTGCATATGAGGTGAATGATATGCAACCCCAACGTCTAGGCGCCTGGTGAAAATCGATTTTTCCTTCAGTATGTTTTCGAGTCTTTCGATTGCCTTTGTATCGCCTGATATGGTCACACTTGATGGGCTGTTGATACACCCTACGACCATCTCCCCAGAAGGAAGAAGGTCTAGGTATTGTTGAACTTCTTCAACAGAGAGCCCAACAGCCATCATAGTACCTGGAATGGGGTCATCCAAGAGTTGGCTTGCCAAAAGTCCGCGATGCAGTGCCACTGACATTGCATCCTTCATGCTCAACGAACCGGCAGCATAGGCAGCAGCGATCTCTCCACTCGAATGGCCAGTCACTGAGTCGGGGTAAATTTCCCACGATATGAGTAGATCAACTAACGCAATCTGCAAAGCAGTGCAGACAGTCTGGCTGAGGCTTGGATGATTCAGATCGGAGACCTCGGGTGACTTCATGATCTCATCTGTTTCAATACATGTCAGCTCATATAGACCCCGGGATAACATTTGACAAACCTAACGCACTGATGCCACTCCCGATGTTCCTCAAATATTGATCGATCTTCAATATTGAATCTTTAAAGACAGGGTATACCTGGAGCAGCTCTTGACCCATTCCTGCCCACTGTGCACCTTGTCCGGTGAAAACAAACCCGATTCTCGGTTTCCGAATTGCGCTTCTGGCCTTTACCTTTTGAGAGAGTGACGCAGCAAGGCTTTCCAAGCTATCTCCAACAACGGCCACTTTCCATGGGAATGGTGTGCGTCGCTCGTTGACTGTGAAGGCTAAACTGTCCATGAATTTATCGTCGACGCCTTGACTGTTCTTGTTAAGGACATAATTGCTTAAACTTTCCATTTGTCGGGAACATGAGGCTTCATCAAACCCTGACAGGAGATAGATTCTGGAACCTTGAATTCGCGGGTTCGGCCGCAATCCATTTATGGGCTCGTCACACAGTACCCACGGAGGTCCTTGCATATCGAGACCAAGACTTGAAAGGCAACTCTGGGTTTCTTCAAGTATTGCATGGGCGTTGCTTCCTCCATAGCCGAAGCTGTTGACGGAGACTCTGCGAGGCCCTGTTGTCTGCCAGGCCTCGGTAGATAGTTGAATCTTCTAGCATTAGCTGTTGCACTTCAGTCAAAGCAAGCCTCCATACCTTGATGCTCCATTGGTCTAGAAGGATATGAGGATTGATCCGTTTAAAGTTCCGATTTGGTAAAAAGACCCGATTCTCCAGCATGAAGATTGCCTTAATGACACCAGCGACTCCGCTTGCACCTTCTAAATGACCGACATTGGTCTTGATAGACCCGATGCGCACAGGGTTGTCAGCAGAACGTCTAGCCCCAAAGACTTGGGAAATAGCCTTTGTTTCAAGAGGGTCACCAGCCTGTGTTCCAGTGCCGTGTGCCTCCACGAAGTCGGTTTCTGCCGGGTCCAATCCAGTGCGCCGATAAACGCTTCGAATCAAGTTTTCCTGTGCGACCCGATTCGGCAATGCAATTCCAGCAGTGCGACCGTCCTGGTTGGACCCGGTCCCTCGTATCACGGCTCGGATCGTGTCCCCGTCGTGTAATGCCTTGGCCAGAGGTTTAAGAATGAGACAACCCACCGCTTCACCCCGGGCGTATCCATTTGCTTTTTCGTCGAAAGTATGGCATCTTCCGTCGGGTGAGAGGAATCTGTCGCTGAGTTAGCGTGGTCGCTAGTGGGGGATTTATACTGACCTCATCATACTCATAGTTGACATGAACTCGTGGCTGAGGATTAGGTTGACGCCCGCTGCTATTGCAGTTGACGCGTCGCCGGTCTGGATGCTCTGGCATGCCAAATGCAGAGCGACAAGACTGCCCGAGCATGCTGTGTCAACCGTGACACTTGGACCTTTCAGGTCGAAGAAATAGGACAGCCGGTTCGCTGTCATCGCGCGAGATTGCCCGGCATTTGTGCACTGATACATTGGTACACAATCAGGATCTCGGAGAAGCAGATCAGTGTAATCTGCAGAGAAAGATCCCACGAAGCAAGATGTGTTTGTTCCGGCAATCTTGCCTAACGGGATGCCCGCTGCGCCTTGTGAGCAACGCGAATCGACGAAAGGAAGAGAAAGAAGCCACTGACCATTCTCAAGACCTTCATACGCCACTTCCAGCAAGAGCCTCTGCTGGGGGTCCATCGCCTGATTCTGCAATTAGACCAATTTTCCACAAATTTGTGACCAACCTACTGCTGCTTCATCGCCTGTCATATTGAAAAACGGCGCATCGAACGCCGATATGTCCCCCTCGAGAAAATGACCACCCTTCACATTGATCTACAAAATGTCGCCAATCAGTCAGAAAACCTTCAACAACCGCCTTCATTTTCAACTCACAGATCCATGACGGGCGTTGTCCGGATGGTAAAACGCCTCGTTATTCCATCTTCTCGCTGGTATAGGAGTATAGCCCTCCCTGCCAGCCACGATCATTTCCCACAGCCTGTTCGCATCGGTGGCCTCAGCCGGACCCCGAAAGCTTAGCCCCACGATGGCTATCGGAGTACAGGATGTAGATGCCAACCCTGCCAGAACATCATCCGAGCCTCTCTTCCTAGAATCGCTGATGTGAATCGACATTGTGGTTTTTGTTTTTCTCATCAGCTAGGAAGAGTGGCTAGGTATATACTTCACGCCACGCAAGATACAATCGAAACCGAAACTCTCAGCGCTTTTTCTAGATCAACTCTACCTAGTACAGATGTGTCTCTAGTCATCGGTGCAACCGTCTCGCGATTTCGTAGGTTTCACCTCACTCGCAGCGAGGTTAGTGTCCGGGTGCAACCCTCAGCGGTGAAACCCTAGCAATAAACCTAAATGCCTCGTTCTGAAACCACTTTTGCTGCGTTCCTCATGGATCGAGATATATGATCCTACAATGATCCAGCATGCTGTACTACATCTGCATGCCTACTACACCCCTTCCAGGGGGTTCCCTCTAACGGAGACCCAGAGAGGACCTTTGAGAAACAGAGTTGTACGCCCAGAAGGTCTTGCCTGTTCGGTTCGGTTTCACCAGATCTGACTGAACAACTTGCGAATGGCAGTGGCGATAATGACGACGTTCTTTTGATCACAGGGAACATCATGCCCCTTTCCGTGCACTGCAAAGGTCGCATGGTGGGCCGCACATATGCGATGCAGGGCGAGAGAATAATCAAATAGTGGGTCTTGGGCACCGGCGATATGCACACTGGGAATCGAGATGTATCCCTCCAGACCCTCCTCTACGATGGGACGTTCGCCAGGGTCCATGCGGAAGGGGGGCAGGGAATTGATGAAGATCGCACATCTGAACAGGGCGGGTTCGTCCGGATACATCTTCGCGTGGTGGATCATGAAGCCGGCGGCTAAGGTGCCGCCATGGGAGAAGCCTAGAATTCCATCGAACGGACCTTCCAACGCAACAGTCTCATTGAGTTGTTCGTACGCCTCCAGGATGTCCGAGTCATCATTGTCTTCGAGGGCAAAAGTGCGTGGAAATCGGTAATAGCTGTAGTACGGGCCGTCATAGTAGCCGGCGATGCCGGGGCCAGGATCGGAGTCAATATCCCCCTCGAGGAAAGTGAAGGTTGCGGTATTGTCCCGTTGGAGCTCGTGCATCAGCCCACCTGTGCTGGGGATTAGAGTTTTTGTCTCGCCATGGCAGAAGAGGCCATACTCAGTTGCGACTGTAGAATCTGCTGGGAGATGAGTCTGTGTCCAATCACCACAGTCGGTGGCTTGCCTTTTGATTCGTGCCCCAGCCATGGAGACACAATAGTCGCAGGGGCATAGTTGCGGTGAATAAAAGGAGCAGAAGCAATGGTCTTTCCCTGTCTTCCCTGTTCTTGGAATTGCTCCAGCCGCGATTGCCGTGTGCCATCCACATTTTATAGCCCCAGCAGAAGCAAGCACTTGAGGACCTTCAATTCGCATGCAGGACTGACCAGGGACCCTTGATATTCGCCGTCCGAGATAAGCATTCCTCAACTGGCTGTTGCACAGACGTGTCGATCTCATGTCAATTTCTTTGGGAACCGGTCTCCTTAGTCCCACTTGGCACATTTCGCACATTTCGCACATCATGTTGCCATTCTGCACTTACGATTGCCCGCATTGCAATGCATATATCAGAAAAGACAACTGTACTCGTAAACTGTACAGTACAAAAACAGAAAACAAATATCTCGGCTATTAATTCTGCCGAGCAAACGTGATGGCGTTGCCAAGGAGGGAATGACGTAGCGCAATCGATCGATCTCCCTACAGCTTCACTGCCTCTTCCCTCCCTTTTCATTTTTCAAAAAAGAAACCCAAAACACGTTTCAGGATGCCTTGGTCTCTCGCTTTGCCCCATGTGATTCTCACCAACCCCTATCTGGCGGTTGCGACTCCAATCACCGCAGGGACCGCCGTAGCTCTCTTGACCAATCGTAAGGCGCCCTGATGACGATGATTCCAGGACTATCACTGACGACTCTGCAGGCAAGCAAACTCGCGGAACCTACACGGAGCTCCAGCAGCCGCCGCTCAGCCCGCCGGGCTGGCTCTTCGGGCCGGCGTGGACCGTCCTCTACGGATTGATGGGCTACGCATCCCACCACGCCACCACGACCGCGTCGCAGTCGTTCTCCCTGGCGGTTCGCGATGCCAATGCCGCCGGCCAGACCCTCTACACGACGCAACTGGCCCTGAACTTCCTCTGGATGCCCCTCTTCTTTGGCCTGGGTCGTCCCGCCCTGGCATTGGGTGATCTGACCCTCTTGGCTGGCAACGTGGGCGCTTTAATGGTCCAATGGTGGACGGCCGATCGGACCGCGTTCTGGTGTCTGGTCCCGTACGCGGCATGGCTGGGATACGCCGGGTATCTCAACGCCGGGTGTGGGATCTTGAATCGCTGGACGGTTCCTACCGGAAAGCAGCGGTCAGAGTAGATGTTGATACACTGTACATATGACCCCTATGCATATCCCGGTTGCGCCATGCTCATGGAGTCTAGCCCAGGGTTTCGGCTCCACCGGAGTGGCGTGGGCTGTAAGCTCTCGGCGATTCGTAATGTGCATCATCCTGTGTGGGTCCCGTTTTCTATCTATAAATCTGGCGTTGGTCTGTTCGCTTTGATACAGTTACCCACTGATGTGCCCCCCTTGTCAAGGCAGCTCTTATCACACTGCGGATCGTTGCTCCTGTGAGCGCCTGTCACTCCACTCCCCATCAGGGGCTGCGCTAAGGTGGTTTTCTCGGCCTGACGGCCTAAGGGGTTCGGAGATTTGTATTAGATATGCATGATAAGGTGTGAAAGAAAAGTCTGCAAAGGAAAAGCCAAAGGAAAAGTCTGATGCAAAGCCAAAGCCAAAGGAAAAGCAAAAGCAAAACAAAGCACAAAGCACTAAAAATCAATTCCTTAGTGGGCGAACCACTGTCAACACGATCGCCACCTTGACCCACCTTGGCCTGGCAAAGATACGATGATATTCTCCGTACTGTCTGTATGTAGTGTGTGTACAGTGCTAGTCTGTTAGAGCAAGAAATCAGAGATCAGAAAGCAGAGAGATGCATACGTGTTGCAGTAGAGTAATGGAGTAGGAGTATAAAAATGAAATCATCTCGCGTTATAGATCTAGACTCTTGTAACTCTCTTTTTTCTTGGGTTTTTTGTGTCTCCGCTTAAATTGTTCTAGTCCTTCTAGCTCTGGTCTTTCTTCTTATTTTCCTTATTTTCCTGATGATCCTGTTTTTCACTTTGTTTTCTCCCAGTCCTTCGTTATACTGTGCCTTGCATAAGCTCGGTTAAGATTCTCCGGGAGCCACAAGCTCACACCCGATTTCCTTCATGTCGGGCATCACCAACCCACACCCCAGTCCCAATGAAGAATACACCGAATACCCGCTACCAATCATCGTCACAGGCGATCGGCAGAGCCTCGAGCGTGAAGCCACAGCCGACGCACACCAATACGATGTCGGCCTAGAGAGCATCCAGCCCGGGCCCGAACCCGAGCGCGAGAGTCGCATCCGACCCTCCCACCGCGTCCGATTCCGTTCCTTGAGCCTGCGTCGAAATGAACATCCAGAAGACCCCTCCGAACGTCCATTGTTGCCGCCCGCAGATGTCGATGTCCCGTATCCCGGCACCATCACCCCGCCGGCCCCCGCACATTCCCGCCAAGGCTCCGGCCTGTCCAACTCACGCACACCAGATGAGTTCGGCGAGTCGGAAAAGCAGGACTTCGCGGCCCCAATGGATAGATCGACCTCTGCCAGGGAACGCTTCAGGGCCGCTGGACACCTCTTGCATGAGAAAACTGTCCGCTTGACGGAGCGTCTCGGTCGCCCGCCTGACCATGGCGAGGCCTTGAACGCATCGTACATTCCGGACGATTTTGACAGCGGCATTCCCCTCGAGGAACTGCAAGCTCGTCGCGCAAAGCACGATGCCGACCGTGTGCGCGCCCTCGAGAACGGCGAGGATCTGATCGAGCCTCCGGCTAGTGCCGAGGCTCATCGCCTCGTCCGCCAGATGACCATGGTCCAAGACCAATTGCGCAAGCGCAAGCCTCAGAGCGCCTACCAGCGCTCTGGGCAGACCACTCCCGAAGGCTTTATCAAGGGCTTCGCGCAGCGCCGCCGATCCAGCGGCCTGAGTGGAGGAAGTGGCATTCTGTCCCAGTTGTTGAAACTCCAGGCCACGCAGACGGGGAGCTCGTCGCGAGCTGAAAGTGTTATCACCGATGACTCGGACAGTGAGACACAGGTCTCCAGTGGCACCAATACACCCAGGAAGGGCTCCCTGTCTCCCCTGATTCCTCCGTCTGCGCCTACCTCGGGCTCTGCCACGCCGCGCCGCGAAAAGCTGAAGTGGTACAAGAAGCCTAACCACCACTCCACCGCGTCCCTTGTCAACGCGTCCATGAACCTCAGCAGTGCGAGTTTGCCGGGCGCGGTGGACGCCGCGGCCGGATTGCCGAGCAAGCGCAAGAGGAATAAGCGCAAGACTCGTTTGGAGGATGAGATTCGTGTCACGGTGCACATTGCCGAAATCATCGCGCGCCAGCGATACATCATGCAGTTGTGTCGGGCGCTGATGCGATATGGAGCCCCGACGCACCGTCTCGAGGAGTACATGCAGATGACGGCGCGGGTGTTGGAGGTCTCTGGGCAGTTCCTGTATCTGCCTGGGTGTATGATCATGTCGTTTGACGACCCGACCACGCGCACTGCTGAGGTCAAGCTGGTGCGAATGGTGCAAGGTGTTGACCTTGGTCGATTGGCGGATACGCACAATGTTTACAAGAATGTCGTGCATGATCTTATTGGTGTTGAGGAAGCGACTCATGAGCTTGATGAGATCATGCAGCGCAAGCCTCGCTTCAATAAATGGATTCTGGTTCTGATGTATGGCTTGGCTAGCTCGGCTGTTGGCCCCTTTGCCTTCCAGGCTCGCCCGATTGATATGCCCCTCATCTTCTGCTTGGGCTGTATTGTCGGCCTGATGCAACATGTCCTCGCTCCCCGTTCTACCCTCTACTCCAACGTTTTCGAAGTCACCGCCGCAGTCCTAACATCCTTCCTTGCCCGCGCACTCGGCAGTATCAAAGTCACGCGTGGCGGCGAATCCCAAGAACTCTTCTGTTTCTCCGCCATGGCCCAATCCTCCATCGCCCTGATTCTCCCTGGATTCATGGTCCTCTGCAGTAGTCTAGAACTACAATCCCACCAAATGATCGCCGGCTCCATCCGCATGGTCTACGCCATCATCTACTCCCTCTTCCTCGGCTACGGCATAACAGTCGGAACAACCATCTACGGACTCATGGACGCTAACGCCACATCCCAAACATCCTGCAAAGGCCTCGACGTATACGGATCAACATATCTACGCCAATTCCCTTTCGTCGCCATCTACGCCGTCTTCCTTGCAATCGTCAACCACGGCAAATGGAAACAAATGCCAGTCATGGTCTTCATCGCCGTCTCCGGCTACATAGCCAATTACTTCAGCACCACCAAGCTGGGCTCGCAGTCCGAAGTCGCCAATACCGTCGGCGCTTTTACAATTGGTGTCTTGGGTAATTTGTACAGTCGCGTGTGGCACGGTCATGCGGCCACTGCTATTCTCCCCGGTATCTTTGTTCTCGTTCCATCCGGCCTTGCATCCAGTGGATCTTTGATTGCTGGTGTCAAGTATGCCGACGAGGTTCGACAGAATCTGGCAAATAATGGAACAAGTACTACTTCCAGTGGTGCGCTTTCGGGGACTTCCGTTGCGAGCTTGGGTTTCGGCATGATTCAAGTCGCTATTGGAATTACTGTTGGTCTCTTTATTGCTGCTTTGGTGGTTTATCCATACGGCAAGAAGAGGACTGGCTTGTTCAGCTTCTGAGCTGTTCATTTTGCATTTGCCATTTCATTTTCATTTTCATTCTCATTTCAATTTTCACATATTTGTTCTCTGTTGTACATTGTTGGTTTATGGCTATCTTTTCTCGAGTTTTCAGCGATGTGATTTTTCAGCGTGTTGGATCCATGGTGGATCCGTGGTGCATTTTTGTTAGATTTTAAAATGGGGCGTTCTTTAGCGACTTTTTCTTTAGACATACATACGATACAGGACGACAAAACGACAGATTCACTCCGATCTCTCCTTAGACTATTGAAAAAACTCTTCATGACAGTGTGACCTTTCTCGCATGGGCGTTTCGCGGCATTGCGGCCCAATATGGATACTCTTTTGTAAGTCTGCCCTTGGCAAGGTCCATTTGCTATTGCTTTAAGAAAGGGGGCGTCATTTATCAAGAGCAACAACCTTGGAAGTGGAGACGAATCAAAATGAGAGCCCAACACGGGGCTGTGTCGCAGCATTGTGGCGTACGATCATCAAATGTGGATAGCTCCAAGCTCCAAGCTACTCGAGCTCGAGCTATAGCTCCAATCTCACGTTTCAGAGCTCCCCTGGTCGATAGCTTCGCCAGGTCTGGAAGCCGACCTGCTCATACCAGCCGTCCAGAGCTACCCAATCGACGAATACGCCTTCGATGCCTCGCTTCTTCATGTTCTCCACTGCGTGACAGATCATCGCCAGTCCAATGCCGGACTTGCGGTAAGGCTCGTCGATCCCGACGGCGCCTATCAATCCCGTCTTCGGGCCACACGTTTGTGGAAATGCCCACGTCGTGTTGAGGGTTTCTGATGGTCCCAGCATTAATGTCCAGCCGACTTGTTTCCCTTCAGAATCGAATGCTGTCATGATGCTATCGGGGTACTGCTCGGGGAGTAATTTGATATAGGCTTCTACCCAGCCCTGTAGAATAGGTTAGTCTGTGGATGCCAGCGCAGTTTGTTCGGTAAACCTACCGCTTTATCAGAGAAATTGCGTCGTTGACCAACGATACAAGCTTCATAATCTTCTTGTTTTAGTGGTCGGAAATGGAATCCTCGCTTTTTGGCGCGGCTGATATACTTTTCTGGTGATTGGAAGTTCCGTATGTCTTGATACAGATCAACCGATCTTGCGGTTGGAGGGCTGAGTCGGAATCCCCGGTGGATGAAGAAATGTTGCACTGTTTCTGGAAGATCTTGTGGAATACCAGGCCAGAAGCGAGGGAATGAGCTGCCCAGCTTCACACTGTTGAAGCCAAATTTCGACCGGAAGTGAGCACGGGTCTCTTCTAGAAGGGCAATTCCAACACCTTGCCGTTGATAACTGGGTAGTACGGCGAGGGCTGCAATGTGAACAGTGTTCGGGTCGCCGTGAGCATTGGTGTATGCTAGACAGAAGCCTACTACTTCCGATCCAATGCGGGCGACGAAATGGTGACCATTTGGACGCACAATCAGAGACTTCAGACTTTCTGACGGAATTATATAGCTCGGTAAAGCTTCGTTCCAGACACGGATGGTTCCGTCAAGATCATTCTGAGCGTCGAACTGTGCCAACATTGCAGACGTCTTCATCAAAGCACTAGGTCCGACCGGAAGAGCACCCGTCGGAATCAGTGTACCAAACATGATATCAGCAGCGACTGAAAAAGACTCGATGGTCGGCTCATAAGTGGTGATGTATGTTTTCACACTGGGGGCATCGAGGAAGTCATAAGGGTTGCACGCGGCGATGTGGACTAGCGATCGAACTCGCTGTGCAAGCTCGAGTCCTAGAGACTCTTGGTATGGGGACTCTCGGGCATTGAGAGAAGTAAAAATGACAACATCTGCCACGTCAATGACCTGCCATTGTTCCCCAGTCAGACCGGCGGTGCCATATCTGATCTCTGCGATGGAGTTGTTGTGCTGGCGAAGAACGTCGAGGTATTTTCTGGCGTTGAAAGATCCCTGTCTTCCCATGCCTTCGCCATCAACAGCTCCCCCTGCAGGGATTTTATCGCCAGGGAAGAGGAAGATTATTATTGAAGTCTTGGACAGCGGGAGAATATCGTTCTTGTCTCGAACGAGCGTCGTCGAGCGAGAGTATATATCCATTGTCTTCTCCGCGATCCTTGTGTTGAGCGCGCTGAGACCTGTCAGATCAGATTGTCGAAGGGCAGACTCCCATGTCAAGAATTTGTCCTTGACGGCCGCGACATGGCGATAAGCATCCGCCATTCGTGTCTGATCGATCTCTCCAGACTTGACAGCTTCGCACACCCGCTTGATCGAAGCCAACTGCACCTCGAATGTATGACAGATCATGAGACTATCGCTGCCAGCTTGCAAGGCTAGCACCGACCCTTCTTCAGTGCCGAATGTAGACCGGATGCCATCCATCTCCAGACAATCCGTGATTACCATACCATCATATGCCATATCCTTGCGCAGAATACTCAACGCCTTGGCCGAAAGCGTCGCGGGACGCGTCAGGTCAATACACGGCAACGAAATATGAGCAGTCATGACCGCCTCAATCCCCTCAGCCACAGCCCGTCGGAACGGTATCAACTCGCACCGCTCCAGTTGGTCCCTTGTCTTCGGAATCACAGGAAGCCCATAATGGGAGTCCACCGCTGTATCTCCATGGCCCGGGAAATGCTTCACGCTCGGGACGATGTTCTGCTCCCGCAGCCCCCGCGCAGCGGCACTCGCAAACCGACCCACGAACTCGGGGTCATCACCCGGGCTGCGCACCCCAATGACCGGATTCAGCGGTTCCGAGTTGATGTCGCAGACGGGCGCATAGTTCATGTTGATTCCGAAGAAACTCAACGTCTCGCCTGTGGCTTTCCCCGCACTGTAGGCACATTCCGGGTCATGCGTTGCTCCAAGAGCCATGGGCCCTGGTACTTGGGCAGCGACCGGAGGGGAGATGCGAGTCACAAATCCATTTTCTTGATCGATGCCGATTAGCAGCGGTCGCTGATGGCCCGCTAGCTTGGCCTCTTTTTGCAGATCATGTGTCAAGGTCTATTTAGAATATTAGATGAGCATTCTCGGAACTCGGGGGTTCTGGAATTCGCACCTGGATCTGTTCTGCACTTTCAAAGTTCCGTGAAAACAACACGATGCCGCCGAGATGATAGTCATGGATCAACGTCTTTATCTCGGGGCTGGGAGATAGACCATGAAAGCCCACTGCGAAGAGCTGCGACGATCAATCCCTGCATTCCACGGCATGGGCGGATCTTACCTGGCCGACCTGTTTGTGTATTGAAGTCATGATGGGGTGTGAAGGTTGAAAAGAGCGGGAGTCGATGTCCCCGCGGGGTCCACTTTAATGCAGTCGAGTGCTTCGTCTACTCCCGAGGTCTTGTTGCATTGCGCAGGTGCGAGTTAAGCCCCTTCCGCATAGCGGGGTAGTCTCTCTGCTATCATCTTGTGCTATATGTTGCCTCCACCTATTCACTATGGCAGATGTTGATAATGCGGGGAATACTACTTCACCCACTCATCCCAGCTTAGTGGAATATGAACGACTCTTCGGGGTGGATGAGGATGCCTACGATCAGCCAACCACGACCAGAAGGGAGTTGTGGTCGTATTACCTCTACTACAACGGTAAGGAATACCTTGCATAGTCTGACAGAATGCAGGGCAAAAGTGATCTAACAGGCTGGATCTGCCAGGAGACAACGGCGTGGGTCCAGGATCGTACAGCCAAGCCCTGTAAGCAGCCCCAAAATATACGAGCCGTCGAACCTGACCTCTAACACATACAGCTTCCAATGGGCACTGAATGGTGCCGGTCATCAGCCCGACACAAATCCACCACGGGCATGTACCGATTCGTCTGCGTGTGTCGTACCCTGGGCAGGAGGCACGCGGTCCGTGTCCTCGGTGGTTCTCATCGCCAACGGTCTTTGTTTCACGTTCATGACCGTCATCTTTGTATGGCTGGGGAGTGCTGCTGATTATGGCACTTTCGGCAGGTGGCAGCTCTTGTCATTAACGGTGGTTTGTTGGGCGCTGCAGTATGGCATGCTGTCGATCCGACATCCGAATCAATGGCCGGCAGCAATGGCGATGTACGTGGTAGCATATATCGCCTACGGCGCGACCTTGGTTTTCTATGCGGCCGTCTTCCCTCGGCTTGCACGTTACACGCCGCATGTGCGCAAGGCACGAGAGGAAGATCTGAGAGACGGCACAATTGACCAAGAAGAGTATGATGCTATAGAATCATTGGAGAGAAACCACATCAGGTAAGGTTAGTGAATCATTTTGATTTCTGTGTTGCTGATTTTCGTAGCACCATCTCAACAGCCCATAGCAACATCGGGTATCTACTCACGCTTGTACTCAACCTGAGCGTTCTGCTTCCTCTGAAGGGAAACAATTTCTCAAATAACTTGGCACTTTGCCTAACAAATTCATGTAAGCCTTACACCCTAGAGATGCAAAGACTTGCGTGACTTAGCCTTAATCCTTTTGCAGACTGGGTCGTCCTCGGTATATGGTGGTTCATTTTCCAGCAAAAGAGGCCGGGTCCTAAAATTCCCAAAGGCTCAAGCTATGCGACCATCGGGTTCAAACAGATATGGCTTGCAATTCGGGAGATCAGGTCCCTGTCCCAGACATTCTTATATTTTCTCGCCTACTTCCTCCTTGCTGACGGCTTGAACACAACCGGTGGGTGAGCTTACAATATTTATACTGTCGCCATGCTGACTCCAATAGGTACACTGGTCACTATTATTCAGAATGACGCTGTGTCATTCTCATTTCTGCAAATTACATACCTCGGCATTACACAGGCTGCCTGTTCTATAACTTCGACGTTCGGATTTTGGTATATCCAACGCTACTTCAAATTCAAAACAAAGACCATGTTCTTGTTCACCAACTTCTTCAGTGTTCTGATTCCTTTATGGGGTATGCTAGGCTTGTGGACCAAGCGCATCGGGTACCACAACCAAGTAAGTATCAAATCTGCAGTCACACCCCCTTCAAGGCTAATAAGAATGCAGTGGGAGTTCTTTTTTTACAATGTCATATTCGGTCTTTTCCAAGCCCCATACTACGCTGTAGGTCGACCTTCACATTTTCCCACTTCCGATGTGGCATCTGACCACCGCATAGTACGCCCAAACCATGATCAGTGAGCTTATGCCGCGTGGTTACGATAACATGTTCTTTGCTCTATTCGGAATCACTAATCGTGCAGTAAGATCCCGTCTTGATTTTCGTATGTTCTCGCTAATCTCTCAGTCTTCAATTATCGGCCCCAATGTCATCCAGGCAATTATTAATAGCACTCGCAATAATTGGATGGGGTTCCCATTTTTGTTTGCGATATGCCTTGGAGCTATGGTTGCCATCTTTTTTGTGGATGTCGAGAAGGGTCGCGAGGATTGCAGGAAGTTTACTGAACAGCGCAAGGTTGCTCGCGTTTCAGCAGAGAGTGGGTTAGATGCCAACGATCTTGCTAAAGGGATACAATCTGTTGGTACTGAAGATGCTGAGCGATTGGCAAGCGCGAGTGCTACAACCTCTGGGAGGGATTAGGGTCATCACACTCTTCGTTCATCCCAGAAAGAGATGATATGGCTCTACGTGATATTGTTATTCCAGGCGATGATCTTTGATTTTGTCAATTCGTTCAATTGTTCGATATTTATCATTAGCCCCTGCTTTTATTCAGACTGTCAATTTGCCCTCTTGTTGTCCGGTCTTTTTGGTATAGTGTTGGTTTCCCATAAACATCACGCATCATCATTCATTCGTGCCTTCAAGCGCCTTCATAACGGTCATGATCAGGCGAAATCTCAAGCTTCGCTCTTTTCACCTTCTTGTGGCACACTGGCCTTCTCTTCGGCTTTTCGCAGTTCCTTTTTGTCAACTTTGTCACGCCATTGATCCCCAAATACAGTGGTCAACCAGACACCGGTGCCGGATAGAATCAAGAAGATTGCACTGATAGTACTAAACCATCCCACACCAATAGCCTCAATAGCTGGAAGAACGAGCCCAGAGCCCAGAGCGCCGAGGAAGTACCGAAGCATATAGCTTCCAGCAACAACCTCGGCACTCCGGCCACTCGACTGCATAACATCCAGACTGTATGTGTTCAAACTAGGGAAGCAGAACAGTTGTGCGACACCCTGGAAGAACATAGCCAGTACTGGAACAGGAATGCCGCCGACAGCCTTCTCGATAGTCCAGCCGTATATGAGGATACAGCCAGGGATCACACCACCCAGGAAGAGAAGACAGGACTTGAGTCTGTCTTCGGGGACTCTGACGCCGCCACGCTTTCTAATCCACTTCTTTACCGTGTGGTCTGCCCATCTGCCACCCATAAATGTCCCAATCAAGTATCCACACCCCGGTGCAATGTAGAATAGACCCGATTGAATAGGACTGGTCAGGTGGAAGCGGGGGTTGAGGACGTATCGAATGGGCGTTAAGAGCGAATACTGATTCCAAACAAGAGAGCCAGCAGCAATAGCAGTGCACAATAGATTGGGGTATTTGATGAGCATGATTCCAACACGAAGTGGCGAGACACGGTGCCAAAGAAACACGGTTTTCTGCCAGAGCGTTTTCTCGCTCATGTCACTTTTCGTGAGGTGCGGATATGTCTCTGGGAAGAAGAATAACACCAGCAATGTTCCACAGCCCCCCAGTGCGGTCTGTAGCCAGAAGATGACCCTCCATGATCGGAATGTCACAATCACGCCCTGTGTTGTGTTAGAGATGCTCCGTGGTATTGTTCTAGGTGAGGCTGGGACTTACACCAAGGAATGGACCGAATGCCGGCCCGATCAAGGTCCCTGAAAGGAACCACCCTAGAGCCGTTGCTCGCGCACGCGGCTCATAAACATCACCCAACGCGGAGCTCCCGACTACCAGGAAGGAGGTTCCTTGGAATGCGGTCAACACGCGGAAGATATAGTATGCAGGCAAGTTTGGTGCCAGCGCAGTGCCAATGGAGAACGCAAAGAATAAGAAAGCGCTGACAAGGAAGACCTTTTGACAGATCAGCATGTGATCATCACATCTCATAGGGGAATACTCACCGGTCGTCTTCCCCACACCTGGCTAAATGGACCCCAGAATGGAGCTGCAATCCCCATAAAAGCCATGTATAGGGCATTGCTGGCGTTGATCACACTTCCCGTAGTGTTATATGTCTTTGCTACTTCCGGCACACCGGCCAGAATGGATGTTGAGGAGATGGGTGCCAGGAATGAGCAGAAGGACAAGACGCCGACGATGATCACTTTGCGTGCGGGTGAGAAGCGGAGGTATTGCTCTGCGTCGACCTCTTGGAAGTCATCGTTGATGGGCATGTCGTGGTGGGATACGTGGCTGTGGACATGGTCTAGCCTGTTGACGCTGCTTCGTCGTGAATACTGCGATTGGGACCTTCGGAGCTGAGTCTCATCCACCGAGGATTGAGGTCGGTCTTCCTCGCTGGAGGTTCTGGAGGCTGCAGGCATGATGGAAGTGGTTTGGATGAGGAGCACAAGATTTACCGAGTATCTCAGGTTGGTTTTGTTTTTCTTGTGATTTTTGTTGCATCAAGGAATTATCTCAATTGATCTCCCGAGGTCTTCAATGTTCGCCGTTAGTAGTATCCGGTCATGCTTGAAGCACACAACGGGATCCTTCAACCTGAAATGAACCCTAGAACTGGCAATTGAGTGGAAACGAGTAGTACGGAAGTGAAGATAGGTTCACAAAATGCATTCCGTCGTAGATTGCAGAAACGTGAGTCACGCAGAATACTGAAATCCTGGGGATCGGCGAAGAGACCAGTTCCCCGAGGGCCTGATAGGGCCAGATGGAATGCTACTCGTCTCTGCTTTAGTCCATGCCCAACCCAGAGGATTAGAGGCTTCTGATTCGGGGAGAACACCGGTATCGCAGCCGAGTAGGGCCAGGGACGGAAAAGAATCCGTGCTTGGCCAGGGTCCACGGTGGAGGTGGCGACAAGTACTAGAGCTACGTCCACAGCATCCATTGCCGTGGAAAACAGATGCGACTACGCTCCAGCATGCACCTGGGCTGCCCTGGTGATACCTACCAGATCGAGGTGAATGGATGGACATGCCAAGGGGTGTGGATATATATCTCCGGGTATGTTGGGTGTTCGAGAATATCCATGCTCAGATATCTACCTATGTAGGTATCGAGCTTCGAGATTTCATACAGAAATACTACCAGTAGTATATCACGAGTGAAAAAATGTATACAAAATGTCCAGAATATCCAGAATATGATACGGAGTACTGACACCTGAAACGATTGTGGCTGTTCAAGTCGATCATTTCCTCCTGAGACGCCATGACGTTATCCTCTGACCGCCAACGACTTTCCTCTCCCCCCACCTCCGATCTCCAAGATCTTTCTTTGCTTGTAGAATTATTTGATTTTATTTGATTTAGCAAAGATGGCGCCCCAGAGCTCCGTTCCCGCCAGCAGCAAGGGCTCATGGACAAGTTTCCTGAAGGTCAGTCGTGAGATCCCGCTTCAACATTCTCTAGGCTAACGAATTTCTCAGTCAATCGCCTCCTTTAATGGTGATCTATCCTCCTTGACTGCTCCTCCCTTCATCCTATCGACCACCTCCCTCACCGAGTACTCCGCCTACTGGGCGGAGCACCCCGCGGTCTTTGTCGCACCAGCCAAGGAGGCTGACCCGGCCAAGCGTGCTCTCCTCGTGCTCAAGTGGTTCCTCAGCACTCTCCACCAGCAATACTGCAGCCGAAGCGAGAAGCTCGGCAGTGAGAAGAAGCCCCTGAACCCCTTCCTGGGAGAGCTGTTCATCGGCAAATGGGAGGGCGATGCGGAGGTCGGCGAGACGAACTTGGTCAGTGAGCAAGTCAGGTACGCAAGGCTCTCGCTTGTAAATGGTTTTTATCACTGACTCCAGTACAGCCACCACCCTCCGGCCACTGCCTACGCTATCCGCAACGAGAAGAACGGGGTTGAGGTGGGTGAACCCTCTGGGGATTAGGCATCAGAATATAACTGACACCACTCTAGTTGCAAGGATATAACGCACAGAAAGCTTCTTTCTCCAGCACCATTCTCGTGAAGCAAATCGGCCATGCTCTGTACACCCTCACCCCTCCCGGATCGGAAGAGAAGGAGCAGTACCTGATCACGCTCCCCAACCTCCACATCGAATCTCTGATCTACGGCTCTCCCTTCGTCGAACTGGAAAAGTCCGCCAAGATCGTGAGCAGCAGCGGCTACGTTTCCAAGATCGACTTCTCCGGCAAGGGCTGGTTGAGCGGAAAGAAGAACACCTTCACCGCCAGCCTGTTCAAGGAAAGCGAGGGCGAGAAGAAGCCCTTGTACACAGTCGACGGCCAATGGTCAGACAAGTTCACCATCAAGGACGCTCGCAGCAAGGACGCCATTGACAGCTGGTCCTCCAAGGAGAACCCCGTCACCCCACTCACCCTGGCCCCTCTTGAGCAGCAGGATCTGTGGGAGAGCCGACGTGCCTGGAGCGACGTTGCCGCCAACATCCAGAAGGGTGACATGGACGCCGTGTCCGGGTACAAGTCTCGGATCGAGAATGCGCAGCGTGAGCTCCGCAGCGCGGAGAAGCAAGAGGGCCGCGAGTGGGAGCGTCGATTCTTCAACCGAATCGATGAGAGCGGTGACAGCCCGCAGACTCAGAAGCTTGCCAAGGCTGCGGATCTTGCCTTCGAGACTGATAAGACTGGTGGCATTTGGCGATTCGATGCTCAGAAGGCTGCGGGTGCCCAGCCGCCTTACCACAAGGTTGGTGGCGAGGGACTTGGGCTTACTGAGTAATTGTCAACGAGACCTTTCGTTTTTTGTTTTGCCATCTGAATCAGTCGCGGACCCTGCTTACACCACATAGAGGTTGAATTTTGGACTCTTGTTCTTGTGTACGTGTTATTGCATTTCGATTGTATATAGTTTCCAGTCCAGGTTACAGCCGACTCGCTCGCTTATATGCTTGTGCTAGGCGGCTCTACTTTTCCATCTAATGATATGGTATCTTGATTTCACAACTTCTCTATATTCCCAAGGTTCTCTATACTTAAGGCGTCACGAGGTATTCCCGAAGTCCAATGATGGGACTGAGCCAGAATGTTGATAGCGATTTTGGAACAAGAAGCCTCGGCTTCATGAATTTGGAAATAATATAGTACTAAGACAAAGAGTTTCATAGCAACCTTGAAGGTGCCATACTGGATCGTACAGGACATATATTTCATGACACTTTTAGCCCAGAACGAAACTGAGGCTTGGATCTACCTCTACCAGACCCAGTGAGCCATCCATCATAATCATCGACCGATATAGCACAAGGTAGAAAGAAGACACGAAGTAGCGGAGGGAGAAAAGAGACGTAAAGAGAAATAACCAAGCAAAATCCGTCCGAATGACACACCGGACCCAAATAGACACCGACTAGGTTGGAAAAAAAAAAAGATGAAAAGAAAAAAAAAAAAAAACAAAGCAAAGCATGACGGGCCTATAGAGGAATTGGTGGATTTAATACAGAGACCACGTCGACAGAGAACAGTGATAGCGAAAAGAAAAGCACAGTGGGGAGAAACAAAGGCCAGCAAACGTAAAGAAGACAATCCCCCAAAGTAAAGAAAACCAGCCAAGCTCCTCGAAAGAGAGTAGAGATTACACAGATGTTGAGGAGAGAAAGATGAAGAGAAATTTCTGGGTTCTGTCTGTCCTGGATGTTGACAAGACAAGCTCTGAATTCTCTTGCAGTGTGGACAAAAACCAAACCCCTTTCCAAATCACCCGCAAATGCAACGCCATATGTGTTTGGTGGGTCATTATATCTCCCCTTCGTGTCTTTTCTTTTTAGTGGCCGTAGTTACCACCCCAGCCACCGCGTCCAGTGTTTCCGTAGTAGTTGCCGAAGCCACCGCCGTAGTTACCGTAGCCGGTAGCCTGGTGAGTTTGGTTGGTGGCACCCTGGTGTCCGAGTCCACCCAGACCGCCGTATTGAGGGTTCAGCTGGGGGTAGCTGCCGAAGGCCTGCTGGCCCTGCTGGCCCTGGAGAGGGGGGAGGCCAGTCTGCGCCTGAGGCTGTCCAGGGACACTGTTGGTAGCGGATCCCGGGCGGTTCTGGGCGAGCGAAGGGCTGGGACCACCGGCCTTGGGGGCTTCGAAGCCCTTGGTCTCATCGGCGGCAACGGGAGGCTGTCCGGCGATAGGGGGGTTCTGACCGAAGCTGCCCTGAGAGCGACCGAAGACGTCCGACATTCCAGCGCCGAAGGAGTTGGCGCCAGTGGTGGACTGGCTGTCGGACTGCTGGGCGGAGCCGGTGCGGCCGTAGACGGAGTCGCGGGTGGGCATGGCCTGGCTGAAGCTGCCGGTGTTGGCGGGGGAAGACGAGTGCTGGTCGTACGAGAAGGCACCGTGGGGCTGGCCATACATGCCAGCCTTGCCGCCGTAGGGACCGTACTGGCTGGCGTAGCCGTATTGGCCGCCGTGCTGCTGCTGCTGTTGCATGTAGTGGTCCTCGTAGCGACGAGCATCGTCGTACATGGGGCGGTTACGGCCGTTGTTGTACTGCTGGGGGTTCATCTGGTTCATATAAGAAGCGTAGTGAGGGTTGTTGTAGTAGTTAGGGTAACCGTAGCCATACGCGTGCTGCGCAGTTTGGCCAGGCATGTGCTGAGCAGCGGGGGTCTGCTGGGTGATACCGGGTGCAGTGGGGTTGGGGGTGTTGTGGCCACTGTTGGTAGTGTCAATGGGGCCGTAGCGGCTGGGAGGCTGGGTGGTAGGGATTTGAGGTTGAGCCTCAGCACCGGTAACACCGAATCCAGCTCCAGCGCGGGGGCCGGTGGGGGCATCCTGGGTTTGGCCGTAGGAGCCGTAGGAGCCGTAGTAGGGGAAACGCTGCTGGTCGGCGGCGTAGAAAGGCGAGTACTCACTGCCAGTGGTGACAGCGGGCTGGACAGGAGCCTGGTTGGCGAAAGGCTCAGGGATTTGCTGCTGAGGTTGGCTGACCTGCTGGGTGAAGGGATCGAAGGGCTTCTGCTGAGGCTCGGAGTAACGGGCAAAGTCGGTGAAGGAGTCCGTAGCAGAAGCCTGAGGGACAGGAGGCAGGCCGGGAGCGGGGCGACCAGCGGCACCAGTCTCAATGGATTGGGGAGCCTGGGTAGCAGGGGGAAGAGAGGCACGGGGAGCAACGGGAGAGTGCTGAGGAGGTTGAGCACGGGTCTCTGCCTCCTCGCGGTTCTCATCGATGTCCACAGCGTCACCGTTCAGGCCCATGCTACCGAACTGAACCGCAGCGCGGTCCACAGCGTGGTTGCCGGGCATCACCACAGCCTGCTGCTGTTCCATGACACGGCGCTGCAGGCCGGGGGTGCGTCCTTGCTTGGTAGCACTAGGAGGGTAGGCGGAGGAAGGGAAGCGAGAGGGAGTACCAGCGGCGGCGGCAGCAGCCACAGGGTCAATACCACTGCCAATAGTGCTGGCGGCGGTTGCGGTGGGGGCGGGGGCGGAAACATCGGGGATCTGCTCAAGGTTCGTCTCGGTCAAATCAACCTTGGGAGTGTTGACACTGGTGTTAGGGACGGCGGGAATCACGGGTTGGGTGGGCTTTGCGACGGGAGTCTTCTGGGAGGCAGCGGGGACGGCTGGTTCGGGCGCAGTGACAGGCGGTTCCGCGACAGGTTCGGGGACAGCGGGCTTCTCGTCGGGCACAGGAGCAGGAGCGGGAACAGGAGCAGGAGCGGGAACAGGAGCAGGAGCAGCAGCAGGAGCCTGAGGCTTCTTCTGCACCGGAGGAGGGGGTGGTTTGGCGAAAAGGCTCGCCCACCCCTTCTTGGTGCCTTCAGGAATCACACTGCTCTTGGGATTTTCAACCGATTCCCAATCGCTCTCAGTTGCGGGGTCTGCGGTTGTTTCCTCTGTCTTTCCTGCGGTCGACTCAGATGTAGCAGCGGGTGTAGCAATGGGTGCCGTGGCCTCCACGACAGGCACTGTGCGAGTTCCATTTGTGGCGGCTCCTGCACGGCCACCACGACCGCCACGACCCCGGTCTGCGCGTGCACGTCCACGGCTCTCTAGTCCTCCACGTCCACGGGCTCCGCGAGTAGAAGCGGCAGTAGTTTCGGTCGAAGCGATCGGGGTCTCCTTGGGCTTAGGGCGGGTCCGGTCTGCGGTCTTCTTCTTGACCTCTCCCCACTGAGACACGTTACCTGCGAAAAAAAGAACGACCATGTCAGCATTGGTTTCATAGTGCACCAAGCAATTCCAATGCTTAAATTTCAGTCAAAAAGACTGAGGTGGCGGAGTTCGAACCTTCACTAATGCGCTCAATTGCCTCCAAGAGCTCGCCGTTCGAGTCTTCAAGTGCAAAGACCAGATCCTCATCTTTCCAGTCTGGGAACATTTCCTTAAGAGTAGGCAGAGTGTCGGAGTACTTCTTCTTCATCTGTCCAATTTCACCCTCTTCAAAGGATGAGAGGTCTGAGTTGTCATTTACAGATCTGCTGCTGCCACCACGTCCACCTCTGGAGCTGAAGCCGCCACGGCCACCACGGGCGGATACTCTGCCCCGCGAGGCTGAGGGTCGGTTCTGAATGTCGGACATATTGATGGATGAAAGATGTGTGTGGGATGGAGACGAGATTGGGGAAGGAGGTCACGATAGAGTCGCAACCGGAAGGGAGGAAAGTAAAGACGATGCACCCTCGCAAAAGAGGAACAGCACCAGGACCACAGGCACAGGGGCCAGACGAGACAAGGGAAAAGAGGAGGTAAATCGAAGAGATTAATTGGGGAATGCGCAGGCGATGGGCAAGATTGAAGAAAGGATCAAAAGCTAACGGGATCTGAGTTGCTTCTCCCAAAGTCTTGGCAGCCGCTCTCGCTTTTAGCGAGTGGCGCTTATTGGTGCTGCGGTTGCAGTATAACAAAGGGATCTACTTCAAGGGGGAGAGGATGGCATATTTACAACAGCAGGAAGAGGTTTAGTTAGAATAGGAGGCTACAGCTAGAGATGGGAGGGATATATCAATTTCGTACATTGAACAAGAATGTTCCTAAGTGCGATTTGGCTCTACTCGTCATTCATCTTGGTCCTCACCGCCCTCGCCGGGACACTTGCGCCAAACCGCACCTCACTGCTCAGTCCAACGCAACACACCGGCACCATGAAGGGCACCTCGATTTTCCAGTTCAAGTCCTGGCCCAAGATTCATCAACCCTTGCCCAGGACTCCGCGTGAGAGTCAACAACTGCTGAATGCCCTCACTTCGTCCTTCCGTCGCCAGCTAGATGGCGCATATCCCGCATCAGGCAATCCGGCGCGACCCCTCCCCAACCCCGAATCATCGGCTCATGCGACAGATCAGCATCTGCAGACTATTTTGAAAAACCCCCTGTTCCGCATCGTGCCTTCAGGGTCGAGTGGGCATGAGCAGTCTACCTTGCAACGCGTCGAGGATCAGCGGAAACTCGTCGAACAGCCCATGGCGGTGATGGACCAAATGGCTGCTGCAGGCTCATTGACTGCGACCACCATCAGAGACTGCCTGAGATACCAGCTCCTGCTTTCCAGATCGCCGGACCAAATGAAGGCGTCTCGAGCTGCATCCCGAGTTGTTGATTGGTATTGGGCATCGGATGGCGCTTCCCGGTTATCACTTCTACGTCTGCGCTCAGCAACAAGCGCGCTAGCCAAGTTCATGGTCATGGAAGGAATGCATGGCACAATGATGGAGTGGCTGCGAATGATCATGAACCATGACCTCGGCAGCCAGGACGGCCACATGGCCGACGGGATTGCCCGCCAAACGTTCAGCCATCTTCTGGTCGATTTCATAGACGCAGAGGCTTGCTATGGAAATGGCTTTGACTCTGCAATCACGCATTATCTAAATGTGTGCCAGATGCATTTCCAAAGTACATCCGTGAAGTCGAGAAACCCGATGCTGTTGGCAGCGGCTGCCCATTTGAATCGGATTTCCATTGCCAACAAGCCAACCGATGCCCAAAGATCAGCAGAAGTGAACGATCAATTCCGAGAGATGGTCTCTTTGTTGGCTCCGCGGTCCCTGTTGCTAGCTTCTGTGGCGATTTGCCATCCAGTACACCCTGACCCAAGTGTATTCGTCCACTTTGTAGCCAAGCTTTCACCGAGCGCATTCCAAAAGTGGAACAAGGCTAGACGTGATGCTTTCTTTGAGATTGGCTCAGAGGCCCTTCGGGTGCTTGTCGAACAGGACAAGTTCCGAGACATCTCTAAGCTGGAGCATTGCATCTCAAATTTGCTGCCTGCGGAGATGCCGACCCCGGCTACCGAAACCTCCCACACATCAACTGAAGAGGAGCATCTAGCACGACTGAACTTGGGTCTCACCTGATATTTGGCTTTGACCTAAAAACTGCTACATACCCCTGCCCTCGACGATGCATATGCTATCGACCCCACATCCAGTGCTGGTGAACGACCTCCTGACACAGCCCACCAACCCCACTCATATTGCTTTCCCATATGACTCCGGTCCCATATGTTCAGCTCCGACTGGAAACACACCACTGGCAATCAGGATTCGGTCCGCCGAGTTTCCAGCAAAGGCCTTACCCGAGCGAGACAGCAGTCCGCTATCTATGTTCACCATGCAGATACGCCATCTTTCTGGCACCCAATATCAGGAAACCAGCCAATCTCTTACATAAAGAATGTCGCTGGCTCGATTTACATGACATCAAGATACCCTGAGCCCACATGAATAGTCAACAACTTGGACAATCTTCTATTTAGCACCTATTGGTACGGAATACAAGACACACGTTCTCTCTATGTTATCATTACAGGCCAGTCGTAGATCTTGAATTCTGTTGAGAAATCGAGATTTCCCTATGAATTTGAGTCTCGAGCCGCAGGCTTTATTTTTGGCGTGCCTAAATGCGGGTGGCGCGGGAGTGGAGCCACCGAAGAACACGGTGAGAAATCGGAAATTTACCATGTGTCGGAGTGCACATTCAACTATCGGTAAATAGTTGGCTGATTTGATACAATCATTCAAGCTCTCCTCTGCTCAAGGTCAAAGAAGCCGTCTCCAGCGCTACGATCCATGAATGTACTTCCGAGGCTCGGGAGAGTTATATCCCGAAACGCGGGGAATTAAGCATTGTCGGCGTGAACCCTGCAGTGGCATAAATGGGAAACTCAACTTTCTGATTGGAACAATTCAAATTGAGATTTGTAGTGAGCAATCATCTACCTCCTAGTGGACTTCTTCGGATGTAGCGTTCAATGCTTCCCTCTGAGAGTTGGAGTGTCAGCACCGATTCGATCTATAGATGTAAAGAATTGCCGAGACTCTGTATACTCACAGGCGTGCAGCCTCTGAGCTGAAGATCAAGCAAACGAGCGGAAGTCATGCAGATGAAAAAAGAAACCCCCCAGAACCCCTGGGACTTGTGCTTCACCTCCCGCCAAGTCACGAAATCCTGGCAAAGGACCTCTCCCTCCAATCCCCGTTTCAACATCAAGATTCGCCTAGTCCAGGCTGCGTGCTTTGGGAAGGCGAGAGTCGACTTTCCTGTCTAATGCGTCTTGACAAGCAGCGAAATACTGTTCGACGGCCCATCTGCCATGCCTTGGCCATCTCATCGAAAATTCGACGCTTCTTTTCGGCCAGAACATACCCAGTACCCGCGGGGTACCAATTCAATATCTGAAATTCTTCGAAAAAGTCCAGATTGACCACATCACAGAACGCTTGTCTGGCGGGTATCTCTGGGATCACCCCCGCGTGTGGAGGTTCGCCGAAGACGTTAATGTTTACGATGGCCCAAATCTTGCTTTAGTTCACCAGACTGAAGTTTAGCAGAACTAGTCGGCGGTATGCCAGTCGTAGGTTCTCTTTCCGATCTTTAGGCGCCCCGCCGTCATCGACCCGGAAGGTTGCCACTGGAAAGCCATCCATCGCAGCCATGAGCTCGTCCGCGAAGATGATCTTTTTGGAATATGATAAAATATCCCTAGCAAGGTCCGGGTCGATTGAGCGTCTCAAGTAGCTGACCAGTTTCAGAGATAGATGAAACCACTGTCCGAGTTCCTTCGGAGGAAACCTCTTCGATGCCGGGTTCCTCAGGGGCTATGTCGCAAGAGAGTGCAGTGTCACATTCGTAACTGTCTGGATCGCCATGAGAAAGATCTTCCTGGGTCGCATCTTCGAGCATCGGTGCAAAAGGGGCCCTTGCATTGCGCAGGATAATTATCATATCCCCATCCGGATCTAGAACAACAGTTGAGTGGGTCATTTTGCGTCCTGGAGACTTTCTTCGTTAGTGAGAAAAGGTTGATTTCACCGACATGCAGAAGATCGGAATAAATGAATATTTTAAAAATGGTCTAGGGACATTAATATCAAGTAGCAAATGCAGACCGTAGATACGTAGGTTGCTTTCAATATTGCGTCACTAGAATATGAAATCAAGAGGAGATTGAAGTAGTGTTTCATCTTCGAAGTCAAAGGTACCTAGGTCGTTTCTTTGGATAGGTAAGAGCTTTGGTCAATGACTAGGCTCGTGACTCGATCCCACTCATGATCATGAGGGGCTCCAGGGCCTATAATAGGCTTCTGAGAAGACATACTGGATACAGTGGATGACTGAAAAAGAAAGCCTTCTCGTGATTGAGCTTTAGATAAGAAGAAAAAGAGAGGATAGAAGTAGAAAGAGAAGAGGTAGAGTGAGAGCCACAGAAATAGAAAGAAAAGAGAAATAGAGTAGGAGAGAAGCAAAGAGAATCAGAGAGAGAATTTAAAAGAAAAGTAGAAAGAGAAATAGAAAGAGCAGAGAGAGAAGTAGAGAGAGAAGAGAGGATGGGGAGTAAAAGACGGAGAAAGAGCACCTTCTTATGGGGGTGGTGTATTCGGTCAGAGTGTTGAGCCCACCAGTTAACAAGTTCTTCTGCTTCGCTCATATAGGACTCTGACTCGATGAGAGAATGCACATTTGATTAACGAATATTCCCTCCATCTACATAAAAAACAGTCTCATTTCTGAGCAGAAGCAACTACAGGTCTATTTTATCAACGACGAACAGCTTTCTGGAAGTGAATGTGGGGATTGCCTGACTACGTGTGTAATACGCAGGACATCCCGAGTTTCACGGTATGTATCAGGTAGTGTAAATGACAAATTGATTCATCCGAGGCTATAAGAGCCAGTAGCCGTGTACTCTTGGACCTTAAAATGATCACGACTAGGTATAGAAAGCCCACACAATTGTCACCATCGTTGCAGCCAAAGCTCCGAATCCCGGGTCACGAATTCGAATTGTCGGCGCACGACCACGCAGAAGAGCCAGAAGCTGCCTTGCTGGAAGCAACAATATTGACCACAGATGCATATGTCCCAGCAATCATAATGAACGTACCAGCCACAATGATCAAGATGTTCCAAGCAGATAAGAAACCCCATCTGAAGGTTGGCTTCTCCCTGCCGGCTTTCCAATTGTCATATAACCACATGCAACCCATCGGCTGGAATGACATGAATGTTCCGAGAAGGGCGCCTATGAGGGAGACAAGCTCTTGGAATATAGGTATTCCACTGGCAATGAGATAGGAAGAGGTGGTTATAGCGAAGGTGCACCCGAGCCAGGTCGCCCAGTGCTTGAAAGAGTTGGATGATAGGTGCACGGAGCCTCGTAAAATGCGAACAAAGAGATATTTGCTGGAGAACTTCATACCATCCATGGATTAGCAGGGATTAGGGCGGTGCTCCTGTATCACATCACTTACATGCAAGACCATGACTGTACTAACGACCAAGCCAGGGAGCGCAATTCCATATGAAATCTTTTTGATCAGAGTACCGGCTGATCCAAGGGCCGGCGAGGAAACGTATGAGCCACAATAAATGTAGATGACAGTCCCAATTGATAGATATATTGAGGTCACAACCAATTGGCAACCGATCAAGGATCTTGTGTACTGGGAAGGATCGCGCATTTCCGCTGCGATGGGGAAGAATCCTGGACAAGGAGTGAGGAATGGCCAGGAAGCACATCTGTTGAAGCTTGAAAACTTACCAGGAGTGCCCGCATAGGCAAATATGGTAGACGCAACAGCTGTCAATGCCTTCACAAAAGATGGGGTACCAACGATCTTGTAGTCCGACTCCCAGTTTTCAATATCAGAGGCAGCTTCGGGCCGTCCTTGCAAAGGAACCGCGATTGTCGTAATCAAAACTTGCATTCTGTAAGTCGAAATCATATAAAAGACAAGGTGTATTACTGACCAGCAACAAGAACCGTCACCACTCCAGCCCAGGCCGTCCATTTGATTTTCCCCAGTGTTTGAATACTCCCCACACTGAAGGAAGCGATTGCAGCAACTGCAACAAAGACGGCAGTACACGTTCCATGGGCCGAGACTGCATTCAATGCAATCGATGTGCTCAGTAAGCCAGAGCCGCAGGCGAAGATCCAGTCTGAGATGAAAGATTTAGTTTCCTCAGATGCAAGACAGGTCTTAACACTCACAGATGCAAACCGCGAACCCTAGGATCTCGCGTCCCACTCGACCGAACATCAAGTTTCCCGCATCGTCAATTGAGTAGACTTCAGGATGATTCAACTTGAAGGTGCCGATAACATAATTTGACCAAGTTGTTACTGCTGCGATGGCTATCACGCATATGATACCCGGGACAATCCCCAGCGAATCGAACACCTGGGGTATGGACAGAACCCCAAGTCCAAACTGAGTCTTGATCATAAGACCCATCGCTCCAAGACCACCGACCTGTCATACAGTTAGTCAGAGTTTGTTTATTGTCGAGTAAAATCCACATTTCGATAATTCGGCCCCTCTTCGGTCATAACACCAAAGACAACATCTTCAACGGGCATATCATCAAGAGATTTGCGTGGCTCTTTTGCCGAGCCAGCCCCTGCCTCAAGATAAATTGACATAATGAATCTTGCTAACAAGAGACCGTAGGGAGCCAGCAATATTGGCAATAGAATCGAGCATAGAAGAATAATGAATAGTCAATATGTACTGAAGTATGCTTTTCACGTTCCAAGACTTCTTAGGGGCAACTGCTAGCTTTATTTAAGACCTCTTCGAAGATCTGCGGCCGTTCCTACTAGCCACATATCGGAGAGGGATTCCCTTTACTGGCACTTCCGGGTAACCCCAGTGAGAATGCGGGTGGCGATTGGCTTGGAACCTTGAAATGACATAGTGGCCTGTCTCCTAGGTTAGAATAAGCGAATACACTTCGATATATTCTTGGCGGTAGATACTTTAGATTACGTTACTCACCCAATGATATAAGCCCTGGGGATAGAACAAAGATTGGAAGTGGGAGAATCTCCCGGGGCAGTTCCAGATGCACTACGGCTACTTTTCCCGAGATCTTATCACCCTGTCGCCTCAGACTGCCTCGATAGCCTGCCACAGCCTTTGCCTGAAGACCGAAAAGGAGTGATAGGTTCTGCTATACACTGGTTGTGACTAGACAGCCTGACCAAGATAACACGCTGAGTACTGTGTGTGATGTTTTCACAATTCAAGGTTCTCTTTCCTACACGATATGCCCCCGCGTATCTTGGATTGGGTGACAGAGCTTCTTTCCCGACCATGAAACTTCAATATCTTTCAATTGATGTCACTTAGTATGAACCCGAAAAGCCTTCACTACTCGCCTTCATACACATCATAATTTATCCACACACTATTTGCAAATACACCGGATCACGAGCCGCAGATCATACAGTCCGGCGTTGCAGCAACGAGAGAATCATCAAAACTCATTCGATATATTGAAGACCTCGGGATCAACGAATTCTTGCTATAAAGCATAGTAGGATTGCTCTTACTCAGCCGTCCAAGCACATATTGAACAAGCCAATGGTAGATTCTCAATGTTGCCTAATTATTGTATGACTTGGGTTGATGGGACTGCTGAATTCATCCCGGGGGACAATAAAAAATTGCTTTTGTTATCAGTCCATAACTCCTTCTGACTCTTCAGGCAGCTTCTCTGCCTGAAGCCAGATTCAACGCCGAGAAACCTTTATACTGGGGGGCCAGTCACCCATCCTACCTCCAAAGATCAGATTGATACCGATGCATGCCGAAAGACGTATAATTTCGGATATTACCTGACTTTCCCGAAGGGAAAGGCATGGATTCAAGGTCACTTTGGCAGTGAGCAATATACCTTGCATCAATGCTCATTTCGAGGTTAATCACTGTCGACCCGTGAGGCCTGTGGTCACATGTCCACAGGAGAGGACCCATTATGAAAGTTGATACATGTATCTCTCCAGTCTTTTTCCCTGCCTTCTTCCTCTCTTTCATTTCTCTCAACTTTCTCTTCTCTCCCAATTGGAGAGTTCGGCTCATCAACCTAGCATTTGTCCATTCAATGCCAATTGCCACATTTGCCCTTTCACAGGCGTACGTTTTAATTCTACTTGCAACGTATAGTTTGGGAAACCAACGGAGCCCTGGATGATCAGATTTGTTCTCGCCGTTCGAAATGAGGCCTAGAGGCCTAGAAAATCGGAATGGAATACCAAGATCACCACGAGTGCGGGGTACAGGGGATAACCTGCTCGAAGGGGAAGCCTGCCCTGAGAAGAAACCTTGCACAAGGCATCGGTTGACATGCCGACTAGAACACTTCTCTTTCCCCCTCCCTGGTCATACTTTCTGGTCTCAATTTCCCGGCTCCTCATTCCCGCAACAACCTCGCATCCCCAACCGGGCCAGGGCGCGCGACGGCCATCCACGCGCAAGTAACCCCAATCCAAGCCATCCTTCCATCCTGTGATGAGAACCTTTTGCTACTCTAGCAGTGCAAATTCGATTGAAGTCATCTCATCTACGCGAGATGCCCATCAAGGGGAATACAGATAAGCGCGTCGCTAGGAGGAACAGACGCGCGGCTAGAGCGTTTGTTTCCTCCACCCTTGAACGACCTTCCAGACATGAAATTGATTGAGATTACAGCTGTGGAAGATGTCGTGATCAAAAGATCAGATGCACAGGCTCGCAACCGTGTGACCAATGCAGCAAGCGGGATTATGATTGTCATTTTGACAGCATGTCAGAAAGGGTTTTGGTGACACGGAGGCAAGAAGAGCCCTGGAGAACTTTCCGAGTCATCGCAAATCTAACTCAGCATCGAATTCAGATATATCAATGATCTCCACGAGCGAGTCGCCTCTCTCCAATTCCGAGTCAACCGATCTTCCCATTCGGAGTCTGGTGAGAAGGATGCCATCACTGATCCGCAAGGCTTAGCGCAACAAATCAGTGAAGTCTACGAGGCCAAGTCACTGAACTATCCAGGCGAGGGCGGCAATACCATGCTAGCATTAGATGTGGATGAAAGTCCAAATCCGTCTCCTGGACAGCCTATTGCGACATACGGCACCCAGGTTGGAGCGGAGGCAACAGCACCCCTAACAAATCCATTGGCCTTCCACGTCACAGATTGGGTACAAGGCCCGGGTGGGGTTCCATGTAAGGATATCAAATCAGGGAAACTACCGAAGAAGATCGTTGCTGACTGCAAAATTAGTTTTCATGGGCACCTCATCCAGTTGGTCCTTTAGTCGCCGTATACTAGGAATGACCCATTTGAAACTAACAGGAGCTCCTCTCTTACCCGATCTCGAGACTCAACTATTCGATTCCTATGTATACGACCTCAAATGGGACGGCAGTAGAGCAAATCATCATGACATTTTCGATGTTTCCAACTTGCCAACTGCAGACTTCGCCAAATATCTCATTAGTTCGGTCAAATTTCATTGCGGACAATTACTCTACCTTTTTGACGAGGATCGCTTTATGCAAAAGCTTGAAAATTTCTATCGAGATCCAGCAAAAGAGGCTCGCGCCTCGCCTCTATGGTTCTGTCACTATCTTTTTATTCTGGCATTCGGAAAGATCTTTGTTCTCCAATCATCCAAAAAAGAAGGCCCCGCAGGGGTAGAGCATTTTCTCCAAGCTATGCAATGCATGCCGGATCTTAATTTCTTTGACGCTGAAGCAATCGAAAAAATACAAGTCCTGTGCTGTGGTGCATTATATCTGCACTCAATCCATCACCGTCTCCCGGCTTACCAGATGGTACTGCAAAATTCGTTCGATTTTGATGAAATTCAGCACTAACTTCTCTAGATCGGGAACGCTCTTCGGGTAGCCCTGTGGAAAGGGATGTACACTGAAATGCACAGCAGCTGCCTTGATGAAGAATATGTGCAGCGATGTAATCTCGCTTGGTGGACGGTCTACATTCTCGAGCGTCGGATGACTTCTCTAGTAGGGTTGCCAATGGGAATCTCCGAAGAGAGCATCAGTGTTCGCTACCCTTCTATCGTGACTCGAGACGAGACTTCGAATGTCATGGATATGCAAGTTAAACTATGCCAGATATTGGCAAAGGTTGATTTGAGTATGTTGCTTTGCCGTTCGTGATTTGATGATTCCCTAACCAGAGCGTAGCTGTATATGGCTCTGAAGGAAAAGTTGACAGTCGCTATCTGAGCGCTACCCAGTCTGTCCTACGAGATATTGCCAAAGTTACCGAGCGATTGAATACCTCTTTTGACTTGTACACGAACGGATCAATGAGCGGCACTTCCCGAATCTCGGCACACTTGCATATTTTGGAACATCAGGTACGACAATCCAATGAGTTGCCTGAAAAGGAAGCTCTCGAATATCCCGAAGAGTACTAATATCACTATAGTGTATCATTCTCACCACGCGCCCGCTACTATACATTTTTCTGCAATCCAAATTGGGCCAATCCGATCCTGCCCTCTTAAAATGGCTCCAGTCTGAGACTGTCAAGGCCCTTCTACACATATGCGTCGAGTCCGCTCAACAGATTTTGAGAATTCTATCAAGTCTACTGGAGCAAGGAATTCTGGGTAAGTCGTTCGATGGAAAATTTCAAGAGGGCTTTTTGTGCTAACCAACGCAGAAACCTTTTTGCCCTTCGACATGGACGCCGCATCCACTTCCACAATATCTCTTTTGGTAGCCGCCGCAATCGACCCATCTCTCCTCAAAGACCATTCACCATGGTCGCAACGTGCACATAAAATATTTGACCAGATGATACTGCGCGGCAACCACTCAGCCAAGTTGGTTCAGATGGAGTTGAAGCAACTGGATGACGAGCTGGCCCAATTAGCAATGAAAGGAGTGATGGAAAATGTTCTGCCGAGAGATAACTATTCCCAATTTGTGGAATATGTCCCCCCGGTTGCAGCTAGTGGACATAACTCCTTGGAGCTGGACTTCGATGAAAGCTTTGGGCAACATTATGAGTTGAGCCCAGATCAAATGATGGAATTGGCCAACTCTCTAGATCTCAACAGTCTGAGCTGGCCTCTTTCTTCTATCCATGATAGCTCTGGCCTCGCGATCTGAGTCGTTGTGTGTATTAGTGGTTTTTATCTGGAAATTCTTCTCTTCTACGATCTTTGCCGCCGCATTTTCACTCAACGGATTCATAATAGAACTGCGAATATCGAAATCCTCTTTGAACAGTTGGTTCGAATAGCTTGACTCCATTGTAAATAATTCTATCTACGTGCGGGCGCAATTGATATTTACCCCGGTCAATTTTCGCATGATGGCTCCATTAGTAGTCTCCTATCCTGGAGTTGTTAAAATCCACGATAGCTCCCGTATGATATGCAACTAGGTAGCGCTATGAAGTAAATTGATCCAATCAAACCGTGCACTCGGGTGAAAAGGCCGTAGTGCGGTTGACTTCCCGGTAAAGCCGGGGCTTGAGATGCGGGGATGGCTTCGGCTTCGACGGTTTGCTCGAAACGGCGCATCAATGCGCGCATCATTCATGAATCTGCACGATTATTGAAGATATGCAATTTTCAATGGGTTTCTCTCCTCCGAAACTGCCGGGGGAAAGGGTTTCCGATGAATATCTCAAGGGGATATAAGTATGGCGTTTGAGGACGTCCCTATGATATCCATCTCAGAGCATTCAAAACATACCAGCATTGAAACTCCCACATCCTACTCTTCATTCAATTCCTCATCATTCTTTTTTCATCACTCAACATGGCAATTGAGCGATTCGACGTCGCAGTTGTTGGCCTCGGTGCCCTCGGAAGCGGAGCTGCATACCAAGCAGCTGTCAAAGGGGCCAAAGTCATTGGATTCGAGCAGTTCGAGCTAGGCCATGTACGCGGAGCCTCGCACGACACATCCCGGATCGTTCGGACGTCATATGGCTCCCCTGAGTTCGTCGCACTCGCCCGATCAGCCTATAAAGACTGGGCCGAGTTGGAAAGACGATCCGGTTTGCAGATGTTGAACATCACCGGTGGTGTTGTCCTCATGCCGCGGGGAGGACCTACTCCCTCCAGCGATTTCACAAAGAGTTTGGACGCCAATGGCGTTCCCTATGAGCTTCTTGATTCGACAGAGATCAACAAGCGCTGGCCTGGGTTCAAAGTCCCCGATAACGTCGATGCTGTCTACACAGCAGACACGGGTATTGCTCACGCCTCGAAATCAGTCACTACCATGCAATATCAGGCGCGCGCCAACGGAGCCGTGCTCAGAGAAAAGACTCGCGTCGATCGCGTCACCCCAGACGCGGATGGTGTGGTCATCGAAACATCCAATGGCCCAGTCCGGGCTGGCAAGGTCATCATTGCAGCTGATGCCTGGATCAACAAGCTGCTGAAGCCCCTGGGCGTCGAAATCCCATTGACTGTCATGCAGGAGCAAATCACCTACTTCAAGCCAAAGGATCCAGCTCGCTATGACCCCGAGCGATTCCCAGTGTGGATTTGGGCAGGTGAAACTTGGTTCTATGGATTCCCGACCTACGGCGAGCCCACAATCAAGGCAGGTCAGGATGCTCAGCAGAACATCATGTCTCCCGATGACCGTACCTTTGTTCAATCACCCGAACTCGTCAAGAAACTGACCAGCTTCATGGACACTATCATACCCGAGCATGGCCAAGAACTTCGAACGGTGACCTGCCAGTATGCCATCACTCCGGATCGGCAATTCATCATTAGCCCACTTCCAAATCACCCAGATATTATCATTGCTCTCGGCAATGGTCACGCATTCAAGTTCGCCCCTGCAATTGGTCGAGTGGTTGCAGAACTTGCGATTGATGGGAAGACAACTGACGACATCTCGAAATTCCCTATTCAAAACGCCCTCAGTACCAGCAAGCTCTAGTGTAGCTTCTTTGTTTGAGATCTTGGGAATCTGCACCTGGATATATGCAAATAGAAATACAGACAAATGGGTGATCGAATGAACGATGTGCTACAACTTATGCTTAGTGTCTTAAATAACCCTCATACTAGGTAGGCTCTCATATCTAGAACGTAAGTGAAACTCTCAGCTCGTCTTAAGGGTAGAGATTTACTTTAGTATGTTGTGGAGAGCATAGCCTGTGACTCGCCTTCTGTATGTGAGAGTAGAGGCCTGCAGATTCCGTTGTTGCTTCTTCTCCTTTTCCCTCTCTCTCTCTCTCTCCTTTTCTTTTTCTTCTTTCTCTTTCTCTTTCTCTTTCACCTGCGGGCACTCCCATCTTCTTTCTTCTCCGAAACAGTCAAGTGTTGTTTTCACCTCTTTTCCAGCACTCTTCCATCCCGCGGCTGGACTCAACTCTACACAACATCCCCCGTGAGAACACTACATATTCCTTCAGCGTGCTTTTACGTGTGACCAGTCGCCCTCCGGCGCGAGTCCTGACCCCCATGGCTTACCGCCTCTGGCTTCCCATCTGGCTGTTCAACAGTTCCGTCGTGTTGCTTCGTGCAAGGGATTACCTGAGCCCTGTCCCAAGCTTTAGCGCCATATGCGGGTTATTCGGCTGCCTCTTCCTGCTCCACGCAACCTGCATTTTCGGCAACGATCTGGTCGTATATCTCAACCTCTATCCTCTACGGAGCTCGGCACACAAGCTCGGGTCACCTCTGCGTCCACGAGTTCCCTTGCACGTTCTTGATTCAGGGATCTCGACTCCTCGATCAATGAACAGACTTGAGCTGCTCGGTAAACAGTTACTCGAAGAATCCATGCTCTACACGCTTCGAATCTGTGTAACCCTACTGGTTGCGTACCCGACTATCATCTTCTTTGAGGAGGATTCTCAACGAGAGCATTTAACTTGCCTCCGAGGATTCATTTGGTTGGGCTACGCACCGCCCATTACTGCTCATGAATTCATATGCCACTTCTTCCTGACCTATGCCTGGATTGCAACTTCATACCAGTTGCTGGGAATCTGCCGTTTCATACTCTCGATATTCTTTGTTTGGGTTCTGGAAATCGATTTCCCTCAGCAAAAACGCTCTGTGTTTGTCAACGCACAAGACCTTGCTCGAAAGTTACTGCCCTTGAGGCCCGCTTCACCCCTTGAGGATTCCTACATCGCGCTATGGACGTTCATCTTGTCTATCATGTGCCAGTCTATCGTGGATTCGGCAGTTGGACATCCATACAACCCAACAGGGCATGTGATCTTTTTACTTGGAAATTTCACGGCGATCTCGATTGAGGTATTTTTCGAATGCCTCGATGGTCGAGGCTGGGCACAGAAGGGCGGTGATCGGGTGTCTCTGAACTCTGGCATTGAGTTGAGACACAAGTTGCTGGGGCTCATTTGGCTTCGTGCTTTGTTTCTTCTGTGTCGAATCCAAATAACCTGAGATCCCAAGGCATGTGGTTTCGCTACACCCTCTTACTCCCGCAACGGCCCTCGGGCGGTCGACTTGAGTGCAAACCCTGCATTCGTTTACATCACAGTGCTTACCGAAAAACGAGGATACGGTGAAAATTTAACAGAATTGGAAACGTCCCAGAAGTTCTGCAAATGAAACAGTGACGAGTCTCGTGTTGAAGGCCCTGTTCCACAACAAGTTCTCAGACTGTCTGCTCATAAGTGAAAGCTGGACGCGGATGCATCACAGACAGTTTTTTATGTTTGAAGGCTTGAAAGTTTCATGAAATTGTCTATTGACTGTGAGAGTGAAATCCCCCGAAGCCCTTCAATCAAGAGCCGAATGACTTTATGCTTTATTTATTCAACGTAGAAAATACCAGTAGTCACACCCCCGATTTCAGGAATCAGGGTGTTCTTACAGGACCCGTCCAAATTGGCACTGTATAGACCACCTCCAAGATCACCAAAGAACATGCGGCCGTTTTGGAGGTCCAGGGAGATTCCAATCCCTTCATGGAGCTTGCGAACCAAGACCTTCGGCTGCAGCTTGGCATCTGCGTGTAGGACCACAGAGTTCACAGTGTTTCCATTGGGAGGATCACCGCGATCAGTCCAGTAGAGTGTTTGCGACCCAGTATCCAGTTCCAGGTCAATGGGCTCTGGAAGGCCCTCCAAAATACACTGGACATCCGTTCTGCGGTCCGCTGATTCTCCGGCATTCATTTCAATGTTCATTCGGAAGATTCGTCCTTGCCCTGCCCGGGGAGGCCCTTTCTGGGACCAATAGACAGACCCACCCTCTTCATCCACGGTGATGCCCACACACCAGTTGAGGGTGCATTGTTTGTCGGAGTCGGCTGGAGCAGATCGGTGTAGTACTTCGATGTCACTGCCATCCATGTTCGCCCGCATGACGCACATGCCTTCACGATCGGACCAGTACAGCTTTTGTGACTTGTGTGCAATGGTCATTTGTTTAGGGGTGTGGGTTTGACCTTTGGGAACGATAGTCACAATGTTGTTTCCGGATAGGTCGCACCGTTGAATGGACCCGTCATTGGCGGATGGTACTCCCATATTCGTCCAGTAAATGTGTTGGCGGTCTGAGTCGACAGCAATTCCATCAGGAAGTGTCTTTATTTGGGTGACCAGCTCGCGGACGTCAGAGCCATCCGGTTTGCAGGTGATGATGCGGCCATTGGGATCTGGGTATGTCGAAAGACCAATGTCAAGGAAATATATCCGGCCGGTAGCCGCTGTTGTTGAGGGTGGTGTTACACGAGTCATGTTGAAATCGTGAAATCCAAGGAGGTAGAGGAGATATTACTGGTAGATGTTGGAAAAGAGCAAGGTCCAAAGGCTGTGTTGTTGGGACGCATACACCATAAATAGTACCCTCAAACTCTTGCGAGCTACCAAATAAAGAATATGCGATCGACATCATAGAATGTTCGGCACCTTCGATCCGACATGATCATCCGAGTGAAATCCGTCCTGCTTCTTGAATCCAAAGCCTTCGATCACGGAACCAGCATCGTCTAGCCCGATTAGGCGTTCCGAAGGCCGGGATGTTGCTGACGTAAACGGGTGGGTCCGCGGAACCGCCCAGGAATGGAAACTTCGGACGTCGGAAGTCTTCTCTTTACCCAAATCGCCCACCATGATGTTCTCGTTCCAATCGGATGCTTCCAGAGAGCCTCCGGAACCAAAGCAGAAACGCGCCAAGATCAGCATTGCCTGTAACGTCTGCAAGGCGAGAAAAACGAAATGCGATGGCGCCAGGCCTGGTATGCATGGCGCTTGACAGGCATTAGAGTCGTGCTGATCATTACCCTTTTAGTATGCGGACCTTGTACGAAGAAGCAACGTTCACAGCCATGTGCATACCGCGAAACTGATCAATTCTCTCCTTCGCCTGTGGAGCAGTAAGTCAATCAGAAAACCACACGGTCACTGTAACGTGTCTGGAAATCAACGGGGATAGATAATTGGCTTACGCATAACACCCAATATAGCCCAAGTGTTGTTCGAGATACTTCCACAGTCACGAGTGAACCAGGAAGGTATAGGGATGAACACCAGCTGAGGTCTCACTCAGTCGACGGGGATGACAATGCTCTTTTATACAGCGAAGTCATCCCGACTGGCAGTCTATTTGGGGCATCCAGTGGAGCCCACATCTTACGCGATGTTGGAGGCATGACAGACCCAAACAGCACGAGTTCAAACAAGAGACAGAGATTGAGTCATACTGTGACTCCGCCACTCAAGAGGCTGCCAAAGCTGCAGACCAAAGAGAGCGAAAAACAACCTTCTGAAATGCAGTTCGCGATTCCAACTCGAAAAGTGGCCGACCATCTGTTGAATCTGTATTGGGATTTCGTCGATAGCGCCTATCCCTGGCTTGACAGGCCTTCGATTGAGGCCGCGTACGAAACACTGTGGACCAAGAACGCTCAGTTGTCTATGAATGAGAAAGCCCTGCATTGCATCCTCAATCTGATGTTTGCTACATCTTGTGTAGCTTCACAGGGACAACCGCCTCTCTCCCGATATCAATCTTCGGTGGAGTTCTTTGAAAGAGCTCAAGAGCTGATGTCCTATGAGCTTATGGATGTCTACAATTTTGAGATAATTCAAATCCTGCTACTGACGGCAGTGTATCTGCAGCATGACAAGATGCCTCAAAAATGTTTTCGAAATATCAGCACTGCAATTCATATCGCCCAAGAACTTGGGTTGCATATTCCTGAAAACATTGAAGTGATTCAAGATTCGCGCGAGCGCGATCTTGCTCGCCAGGTCTGGAACGGATGTGTTATCATGGATAGGTATGACAGCCGAAAATCACGACACAGCTCGCATGAACTAAAAGCATATAGAATCGCGTCTATGACATTTGGGTGTGATTTGAAAGTACCACAATCCGTGGCAAAACAGGGATTAAACTCACTTGTTCTCAATACGACTGCTGCTAACGCTGGCAATACCTCTCTGCCCTCGAAAGTGAACTTCTACATATCGTTCTGTCGATTGCATCATATAATCGGAGAAGTGTTGGAAACTTTCTATATCTCCAAAGAAGCTTCAACGTCTCCTGGCTCGACCAAAGGAGCCAGTGGAGTCGCGGCAAATTCAATCCCTTTCGACAAATTTGCAAGCTTGTTGAGGATCGAGTCTGATCTGAAGGATTGGGCCGGTAACCTTCATCCATTCTTCAAAATGCCGTCAGACTTCGACGATCAAACACCAACAAAACACATCACACGCGAGGCCAATGTACTACGTGCTAGGTTAGTGATAACAGCTGTTTGAACCTGAAGACGAGCTGACCTCTGATTTACGTGTCTCAACAGATATCTTTCCGTCCGTCTACTCCTTTTTAGGCCCTTTCTTCTACATATGAATCATCAAAATTCCAAGGTTCCCTGTGAGCGCAGTTTGTACTCGGATGGCCAAATCATGCAACATGTCGTTTCGCACTGTCAGATTCAATGCACGCAAGCTGCAGCGGATATCATTGAGTTCATCACCATGAACCTACCCGGGCAAACAGAAGCATACATTCTCCCGTCAAACTGGTACACTGTATCATGTGAGTCGTCTGGAATATTTCGACACCCTTGTTCCGTTGCTGACAATGAAAGATGTGTACATGGCTGTTACGATTCTTCTAGCAGCTCAAACATCAAAGCAAATAGTCGAACATTTCTCTGCGAATCGTTTGAGGCAAATTTTGCACAATGCTCGTGATATTCTGAAAGCATATGAGAGCCATACTACTCTAGCCTCGCGGTGCGGTTCTGTGCTTAGATTGATCGAAGATAATATTGATACGCATGACTCGCTGATGGCAACCGCGGCTGAAGTGCCGAGTGAGCCATATCGCGACGAAAATTCAATGCCAAAAGAGCCTATGGAAAGACAGAATCCGCGAAAGCATTCGCTGGATTTGGCGTGGGTGGATAACTATACATTTGACTGGAATGAGTGGCCGATGTTCTTTGCGCAGCTAGACTAGTTTCGTCAAGCTCGAAAGTTTAGCATTGCATTAAGCGACTTGATTTTTTCTGCTTATGTTCTATTGAATATTTTCGCTCAAACATGACTATACTTCCAAAAGGAGCCCATTTCTAAAGCCATTTGATATCCTGAGGGTGGTGACAGAATGGCACAGATGGTGTCAACCAGCGAGGTGTCACGTTGGAATCACTCAACTGCACAACAGGCTTAAGGTTCTCCATCTTGCCGAAAGGACTTTCCTCGAACTCAGTCATGAGCGACTGGGGGCCGGACTCAAAGTATTGCGGGAAGCCCCTCTTCCATCCATCCATGACGACGTTAAGGATCTCCAGCACAAACTGCTCAGGACCAATATGTCCCCATTTGAACACCTGCTTGCTCTTTTCGACAATCTCGGGGGAGTAGAGACCGATCTCAGGCTCCAATGCAATGGCATCCGCCTTCACCAATGAGCTGGTCACGCGGTACGAGCCACCGAGGCGAGCGCGGTCACGAAGAGCCAGAAGTGTGCCCAACGCACCGACCAGTCCGGTCGTCATATCGGAGATGGGAAGCGGGGGGAGAACACTGGTGCCGTCGTTGAAGCCCAGGGAGCGACCCATCACATGGGATGAACCTGAAGCGGCATCTCCGATCTGCTGCCATCCAGGTCGCTCATGGTAGGGACCATCGGGACCGTAGCAGTTCTCTTCAACGTAGACAATACCCTTGCCACGGTTTCCGGCCATCTCAAGGAGCTCGTTGGCTCCGAATCCCTTTCTCGCAATGGCGTTGGGACGGAATCCTTGGACGAAGACATCGGCATCCTGGATGAGTTCGCGCAGGCGCGCCTTGTCTGCCTCCTTGGTCAGGTCAATGTCGATCGTGCGTTTGCCGGTGTTCAGAGTCAACTGCAGAGCCTGTATAGTACAAGTTAGCGCAGATCAATGCATGCAGCATATAGTAAAGGTGGAGACATACATTGAGATCGACCAATCGGCTGCAGTTGACGCGAATGACGTCGGCACCGAGGGCAGCCAAAGTGCATCCAATGACAGGACCGGCGATGATGCGAACGAGCTCCACAACCTTCACGCCGGCCAAGGGGCGGCGATCATTGGGGGTCTTGGGGGAGGGGACAGGAGGCGTGGGGATTGCGTGGGATTGCCGAGCATAACCGACTAGGGGGTGATCCGCCAATCTCTTTCCCATCAAGGTTTCAGACCATCCCTTAGGAGTGAAGCAGATGCTGCCGCAGAAGCCATTCTTGACATTGTGCATTTCCAACTCATCGGCCGTCCATTGCTCCATATGACGGCTAATGTACTGGTAGGCATCGTCCAAGTCCTTGGCTGGGTAGTCAGGGTCCATACCCATTGACCGCAAGACTGGGCTAGCATCAAGAGAACCGTGAAGCTGATACCAGACGCCGGGGGTCTTGGTTTTGTAAATGGCAGTAGATCGGTTGTTGACAGCTGTGCCCATCCAGCCCTGTTGGAAATCTTTCTTGAAAAGTGCGGAGAGTTGGCGGTTTCGGCCGAGCTCATCAATGCTCTTGCCTTCGACTGAACCCGCGTAGATAGTTCCGAGCCAGATAGCGGCGTGGTCGGTGTTGATTGAGACTTGCTGGCTGGTGGCGGGCGTTCCGTCGCGATCTTCAACAATTTCATGTGCGACGATACCACACATGGCATGCACGGCAGCTGCCACGAGCGGGGCCTTGAAAGGACCCGGAATGACGGGAAGCTCAGATCCCTCGAACTTGACTGTTTTCAAGAGTTCTGGATCTTGTGTGAAGCCGGGAGTACGCTTGGCGATATATTGGAGGATGCGAGCGGCATCCTGGGGAGCTGGGACAAATTCCTTGTCCACAAAACTTCCAGGGCCGTAGATGGCATCGCTGGGTACAGTCTCATGTTGAGCCGACATTATGAAATATGGTGTGAAATTGACGTTTATGATCAAGATCGGATGGATGAGGGGGAAGGAGATATAAGGTTGAAGTTGAAGGCAAGGGATTTGCAGATCGCTGGTGACCAACACCGACTTTTTGCCGAATGCTTTATATTTCCACGCTGAAACATGATCTTCATCACGTCAAGTGGCGTGGAAAAAGCTTCGGAGGCCCGGGTTCCCGGGTCGTCGGCGTCCCGAAACCTCGGAAGGGCTTCGGAATCGCCCAAAGTGGTAATCTGCTTTCCTCAACGGCTTTCAGTGCCTGATCTGGGACCCAGACGGGCCGAGAAATCGAATGTTCAGTCGAGGAATCGGCCCGAAATCTGTAAAATTGCCTAGCTAATGTCTCAAACGAAAATTCTGGAACTTGTGCCGTTGGTTCCTGCATTTGCCATCGTCATAAAGCCCGTACATACTTATTGACCTATTCTCCGTTTACATTCTTTGGAATTAATCAAACATCACAAGTGTGACTCTTGCACAATAATGGCTCCCGTCCCAATTCGAACTGTCGGCATCATCGGCACAGGTGTCATCGGCGCCAGCTGGGCAGCGTTATTCCTGGCCAAAGGCTTGAAGGTCATAGTAACGGATCCAGCACCAGGTGCTGAAGTCAAGCTTCGAAAATACCTGCAAAGCCATTGCTCAGAAGTGCCCAACTCCCACGTTTCGCCTGAAGCTTGCTTGGAAAATCTTACATTTGTGAATGAGCTCGATGCTCTTCTTGGCAAGGTGGACCTTATCCAAGAGGTGAGTTTCGCATTTCAAGATGCACGTTTGGCCGGTGACTGATCAGCAAGCAGAATGGACCCGAGAGATTGGATTTCAAGCGTAAACTCTTTGCTCACTTGGATGAGAATACGCCCGAGCACGTCCTGATAGCATCTTCTTCATCTGGTCTCCCCTCATCTGAATTCGTCACCGACTGCAAGAAGAACCCTGCACGTATCTTGATCGGGCATCCCTTCAACCCACCACACTTGGTGCCACTGGTAGAGGTTGTCCCTCACCCAGCAACGGGTAGTGAATACGTGGACGCTGCATGCCAATTCTACAAGAGTCTGGACAAGGAGCCAGTGCTCGTCAAGCAGGAGACACCAGGCTTTATTGCCAACCGATTACAAGCTGCGGTGTGCGCCGAGGCCTACAGCCTGATTTCGAGAGGTGTTGTTTCTGCTGAAGATCTTGGTGAGTTTTGCCCGAGGCCCTTGTACAACATCAACTGACTGGAATAGACAAAACTATGACATCTGGCCTTGGTCTTCGATGGGCATTGACAGGTCCGATCATGACCAACACTCTCGGCGGAGGTGCCAATTTCTCGCATTTCATGGACCACCTGGGACCGGCTTTGCAAGGGTGGCTGGGAGATATGGAAAAGCACAAGTTTGACTTCAGTCCTCAACAGGTCGATTCTGTCAAGGACAAAGTCAACGATTGGGTATCACAGCTCGATTTGAAAGAGATCGAAGCCAATCGGGATGAAGCTTTGGGAAAGTTTGTCGAAGATCAGCAGCATTAATATACTAGTACACTATAGACCACCTAATAGAATATCACCATAGAGATTCCAACGTTCATTATCAAACCAGGTTGTATTTTTAAACATTAATTCCCAAATTAAGATGTAATGGCAAATTCAATAAAGGCAGCGCGATCTTTTGGTATAGTTCTCTCCCCGTGTCTTACCGGCCTCTCTACTCAGCTTCCTCCTCCTCCTTGCTTGCAGCCAAGCAGAACCGGCCCTTTTGCTCGCCATGTTCTTCATATTCAATGGTGAGGCGAGACAAATGGGCAAGGAAATTCTCCATCTTGATCTCTCCCTTGTCACGCTGGACTCGGCCCAGGTTGTCCAGCCATTTTATTTTGTTCAAGATGAAGTAAACACACGCGATGACAATCTCCACGCCGAGAGAATAGCCCCAAATGCGTACAACAGTCACAATGTCTGTCCAGCCATTTGTGGTTTCAACGAACTTATCGGCGGGCTTGGTCTTCATGTTCTCGTTAGAGAACCAACCGAATAAGCAGAAGATGGTTGCCAGGACATCCACACCCAGAATTGCAGTGACCAAGTGAATGGAAGGCCAGGTATCGGCACCACGAGTGACAAATATCAGCCAATTCTCTGTCAGTGCCACTTCCAAAAACAGAACTTCTTGGATGGCACCCCAGTTTTGAATGATACCTCCGGATCTCAGGAACATCGTGCCTCGCACCACCCAGGTGCCCAATGCGAGTAGAACACCTAACAGACTGGAAATGAACCAGATTTTCGGGAGTTGCCATTCCACTGGGCGAAGCTCAAACGAGGCATTGTCATAAGCAACAGCAACCGTTGCAAGATCTGCAAACAATGCCAGGAAGACGATCAGCTCGACTCGAATGCTCTCGTTGAGAATAAGCATTGAGGTCACGAGGTATATTTCCAGGTGCAAACAGAGTGCAATACGATACTGGATGTAAGCCTTCATGCGGTGGAAGATTTGCCGTGCAACCTTGATCGAGTCAATGATTGTCGACAGTCCAGGCTCGAGAAAAACAATGTCAGATGCGGATTGAGCAGCTTCGGAAGCGCCTTCGACGGCAATTCCGCAGTCAGCCTTTTTGAGAGAGGGTGCATCATTCACACCATCGCCTGTCATCGCGGTGAGATGGCCTCGTTCTTGAAGCATTTGCACAACTTGGTATTTATGCTCCGGGAAGACTTCCGCAAACCCATCTGCCTTCTCGACAAGGTCACTAGCCATAGCTCCGCTCAATCCACCGTGTATTAATTTGTCCGAGTTGTAGACCTTGGTGCCCAGGGCGAGCATTTGGCATGTTTCTTTCGCAATGGCAATAGCATCACCCGTCAACATCTTCACGCTGATACCAAGATTCTGCGCTTCGCTGATCGTTTGAGCAGTGTCCTCACGAGGTGGGTCAAACATTGGCAGCATCCCAAGCAAAGCCCAATCTTCGCCTTCCTTTTGGACAGCCACACCCAGGGAGCGGAAGCCTCGGTGCGCAAACTCTTGCGCTTTTGCTTTGTATAAATCAGCAGTCTCTTGCGAACAGCTGGTCAATTGTAGCACCGCTTTAGGTGCACCTTTTGTGCAAGTATACCGAATCCCATCACAGGTTGCTACTGTCACAATTCGTTTGGAAACAGGGTCAAAAGGTGTAAACTTCTCTGTTTTCCAGCCACGACGCATGATCTCCCGAGCTCTTGGATATTGGCGTAGTGTCAAAACAGTGACTTTGTCGATTGGATCCAATGACTCGATATTGTGTGAGGAAGCAAGTGCAGCAACTGCAAACATCCAGTCGACGTCGACGCCTTCCGCAACGTAGGGATCACGAATGCTCAGTTTGTTGGCTGTCAGCGTGCCCGTTTTATCTGAACAAAGTATATCGACGCCCTGTTCTCTTGTTAGATCATGGTTGATAGTTTCGTGTAATAACTCCTTACAGCTAGCGATTCAATCGCTGTCAACTTCTGGACGATGGCTTTCTTTTTGGCCAGATACGCAGCACCCACAGCCATAGTGGTGGTCGTCACAACCGGCAGACCGACTGGAACACCAACAATCAACAGTGAGAGGGTATAATGAAGCAGTGTTTGCTGGCGAGGCGACGCAATTGGGATATGTCGGAAGAATCCCCCAATCCATGCCACAAGAATCCAAGCCATCACCAGTACCAACAGGCTTGTGCCAATGTTGTCCATAACGAGCTCGAAATGGCCCGCGCCCTTGGCCGATTGCACCATAGTCGCAGTGCGGCCAACGAACGAGGTTTTTGCGCCAGTTTGGACAACTGCAAAAGCTTTGCCGCGCTTGCAACCAGTTGTATAGAAGATCATATCTCCCATGTATCGATCCACAGCGAGAGACTCTCCCGTTATGGCGGAATGATCACACGCCAGGATAGGGTAGCCGCGCCTGCGAGGCTGGACTGCCGGCTTTTCTTCGCCATCCTCGTCATGGCCGTCTGCTTCCGCTGCTTTTCCATCACCATGATCCTCTTTTTCACCTTTGGTGGGGTCATCATCGTCGGAATCCGAGCCACCGCCAAGCATGCCTTGCTCCTCAAGCTGATTGAACTCTTCCCAGCCGTGGGAATCCTTGAAATCACAGATGACTCTGCAATCAGCGGGCACTACCTGGCCCTCGCCGATGATGACCTAGTTGGCTAGTAAGCAGTTGAGATGGAAGTCATTGAGAGATTTTGACGTACCACATCGCCAGGAACCAACTCTCGTGCAAGGCACTCTTGTTGAGCACTGTCCCGTATAACCTGAGCTCGCAGAGCAATATCTCCCTTGAGACTCGCAACCACATCTGCAGCCTGCTTCTCTTGATACCAACCAACTGCTGCATTCAAACAAAGAATTCCGATAATCACACCAAAGTCGACCCAGTCTTCAAGACCACCGGCAAGCAAAACAGCCAGCTCCATCACTGTATCCAGGTCAGACACCAACACCACAGGCCAGTCACATCCACTCACCATAAAGAATTGGACCTTGGAAGTATGATAGAATCTTTGCAATCGGATTCTCCTTCTCGGACGTCAACTCATTCCACCCAGCTCGACGACGACGCAAAGGAATTTCTTCGCTCGAAAGACCTTCCCGGATATCGGTGATCTTCCATTCATCTGGATACTTGCCAGTTTGGCCTTCAAGCTTCTTCATCCGCACCTTGCGTTTCTTCCACGGGGCATACCACATTCGCTTCTCTACGATCTCTCCCGGCTCTTCATCGCCGGCGTTGGCATCCTTGAAAGTGGACACGTACTTGACAAGCTTGCCGTATTCGTCGAGGTTAGACCAGTCACCACTCAACGAGGCTCGGGAGATTCGCGAGCTCCGGCGTCGAGTAGCGGCACGCTCGGTGTTAACCCTTTCGGTTGGTTCGGCCATGATCGATTGCTACAACCACAGAGTCAGACTGTAAGACTCGGCAACAACATTGATAGGGGCTCACCTACCAGGATGGTATCGGGTTTGCTGGAAGTGGCTGAAACTCGAATAATCGTCTATTTTGTCTTCCCTTACGCCTGCAGGTCGAAGCAATAAGAATGGTGGTTTTGAGCAATTCCAGTGCAAGCTTTTGTGTGATGTCCGAGTCGAACCGACAAGAGAAGAAAGGAATCATCAACTGCATCAGACTTTCACTCTTCAAAGACAATCATGCTGACGTCGAAGCAGAAATTCCTCGCCCGGGAATCTCATGCTTCAACACTGGGACTCGGTTGTTTTGGTCACTGTTTATAGCGCTTGACATGAGCCAGGTCTATGATGAGATGAGCCACGGACGACTCGACACTCTGCCGAGGGGACTGAGCAGTCAATGGTTGGGTTCGGCCTATTGCAATGCACTGTTCAACGGGCACAGTCTTTCGATTCGCTGTCCATTGCGAATGCCAATGTTCATTTCAACAGGTACATGTTTTAGCTTGGAGCTAACGACGCTCGTCCACGGTCTTATAGACTTGTTCCATCGGCCACGCTTTGGAATGGTAAATACCCAGAATGACCGCAAGGTCAAGGCCGTGTCTGGGCCTCTTCGCCCTGGCCTCCACATTGCTCAAATTGACAGATCCTGCCATCACCGGACAGTTTCAGCAGATGGCAATCCTTTATATTTGAGAGCTGGCACAACAATCGCTGGCACTCGACCCAGAGCCAAGCTGTCCTAATCCCTTTTATGAGAGAAGGCTAGGTTTGGGGTACCAGATCCTGTTCCTGGCTGAGCGGCTCGCCGGATATCAGCAAGACGCATGGGGTTGGTCCTCGACGTCAGATTGTCCCGTTCCGCCAACAGCCGGTGAGCGGACTTGAGATCCTTTCCACTCAGGTATGATTCACCTAAAGATTTGCATTAGCCGAAATTGAGAGGTACGTGAGGGAATGTTCTGAGAGCAACCACAAACAGTCAGGGCACAGGAACCAAGCGTGATGTACTTCCCACAAGGGCCCGATGCCACACCTGTGCCTGGATCCATTTCCTAGAATTTGCAGGCCATGCTATACTCAACATCTTCGTCCGGCTAAAGTCGAGACGGCCCAAGAAGTCTTGCACTGATGAGTTGACTGGATGAAAGCGTACGGCGGTCGCTATAGTAGCTGTGTTGATGATTTCGGTCTACATATGTGCGTATTTGCATATTTGCAAAAGGCAGCAATAACATGTATACAAGTAGATCATGGAATCATGTATATTGTTCACTTTTAGATCAATCATAAACCATACATCGCATAGATCATATCAACCCGCAGATTGCAAGCTTATTTGGTCTTTCCAGAGGGAATGTTGAAGAAGACAGCAGGCGAGCCAGGGCTGTAAGCCCGGTCAACGCGGTAGTAGCCCTTACGATCGAACTGAATGATGTCGTTCTCCTTCAAGTCAGCCACGTTGCAATCGGCGACACCGGCCTCGCGGAACTCGGTGTGCTTGTTCAGGCAGTCCTCGAGGACATCATCCTCGGTCATGGAGTCCTTGTTGAGCAGGTGGTCGAAGTCAACGAGTTCAACGGGGACGAGATCCTGACCCTCCTCGGCGAGCCAGGTGACCTTCTTCTCGGTCTTCTTGACATCACCGGTGGGGTTAAGCTCGACTTCGAGGTTGGTGATGACACCGGTCTCGGCGTTGGTGCTGATCTTGCGGACGAAGGCGTTACCCCAGTTCATGAGGGTAATCTCCTCGTCGGGCTTGAAGAGCTTCACATCTTCCTGCTCGAGGAGGATGGAGCTGCTGTAAACAACCTTCTTGTTACCGACGGCAGCGTTCTTGGCGTGCTTGGGCTTCTCCTCGGTGTAGGGTGCGGCGGGACCTCCAATGACGGTGGTCTTGACGGCATCCTTGGAGAAGATGGTGGTGTGACGGCCAGCGATAGGGTCAATGTACTTCTTGTTGGTGGCCCAAATGAGAGCCCAATCGAAGTTGGTGACGTTCTTGGAAGGACCCTGCTTCAGGATGAACTCGCGGAGAGCAGGAATGGTCATACCACGGCGGCGAATACCACGGATGGTGGGGAAGCGGGGATCATCCCAACCCCAGACGGCTCCAGACTCAACAAGCTTGGTCAGCTTACGCTTGGAGAGGAGGGTCTTGATGAAGTTCATGCGAGCGAAATCCCAGACCTGCACGGTGCGGAGCTTCATGGTGTCCAGCATCCACTGGTACTGGGGGTTGCGGTCACGGTACTCGATGGTACGGAGAGCGTGGGTAACGCCCTCCATCGAGTCAACGATGGGGCAAGCAAAGTCATAGGTGGGGTAGATCTTCCACTTGCTGCCGGTGCGGTGGTGGGGAGCCGGGTTGCAGCGGTAGATAACGGGATCACGCATGGCCTTGTTGAGGCAGTCGAAGGAGATCTTGGCACGGATGCACCAACGGAGGCCCTCTGGGGTACCCTTCTTCATCTCTTCGAGGTGAGCCAAGCTCTCCTCGGGTGCCATCTCGCGGCGTGCGCTGGCAAGGCCATCGAATCGCTGCTTTTGCATGGTTTCCTTGTCAGTGTCATCAGCGTAGGCGTCTCCCTGCTTGATGATCTTGACACAGTAGTCGTAGAGCTCATCGAAGTAGTCACTGGTGTAGGTCATCTTGTTGGGCTGGATGCCCATAAGAGCAAGGTCCTCAATGATAGCATCCTGGAACTCCTGCTTCTCGTTGGAGGGGTTGGTGTCATCGAAACTAGACCATGTCAGCTTGAAATTTCTTCTGAGACATACGGAGCTATCCTACCGGAGGAGAAGAGTGCCGTTGTACTTCTCGTGCGCGAAGTAGTCGTTCAGCAGGGCGGCCTTAGCATGACCGATGTGGAGGTATCCACTATAAGATGGTGTCAGTCTCTAGTTTCAAGGCCACAATGCAGGCGGCGGGACTTACGAGGGCTCAGGGGGGAAACGGGTGACGACACCGTTCTCGGTACCCTTGAGGGCAATGTCGTAGTTGGCACCCTCCTTGGCCTTGGCGTTCTTCTTCTCCTTAGCAGCTGCGCTCATGGACTCAACGGCGCCATTGGTCCAGGGGCAAAGCTCCTCCAGGAACCGGTACCACCGGGTGAAGTTGACCAGCGAGCCCTTCTTCAGAGCCGCGACGGCAACACGGTTACCACGGAGAGCACCCCAGATAGCAATGTCGGGAGTGGACAGAGAGTATCCGACGATGAACGAGCGCAGAAGGAGGTGGGTGTCAATGCGCTGGAGGATGGGATCAAGGGCCTTGAAGTCGAGAGTGGTCAAGGAGTCCAGTTGAGAGAGCCATTCAGCTTCCTAGAGGCATTGTCAGAATCGATGTATATTTGGTGAATCCCGCGGGGTAATGACTCACCACCTTAGCATCCTTGCCGGTCAAGAAGGGGAAGTGCTCGGTGAGCTCCTTGATGACTTCGGTGGTACCAAAGACAGACTTGCTACCAGCGACAAGCTGCACAATAGCCTTGTCACCATCCTGGAGAAGCGCGGTGTCCTGGTAGGAGATGTTGATCACCGGGGTGGGACGAGCCTCGTTGATTGAGGTAGCGATGAGAACCACGGGCAGGAGAGCCGCGTGGTTAGCGCGAGTGGCCACGTTCAGATCGAATGACTGAGACATGTTTGGTATCGAACGTGAAGAAGACATTATTTTCTGGAGGGGTTCGACTCACTATCTCCAGACCCACCACGGACCTCTGTTTCTCCGGACCCGGCAGAAATTCATCCAGGACAGTCAGCTCGCCGCGGTCACGTCAATCAAAATATAGTCATGTCGTCTTACGGGGTTCTGCCCACCGCGGCGCGCGGAATTCTCTCATCATGCAGGGCTCCCCTCAGAGATGCCTCAATGGCACCGACCTTGTCGACTTTCCAGCAGGTCCGAGGTCTGAAGGTCAAGACAAAGGGCAAGGGGAAAAACGCCCAGCCTGGAAAGAAAAGCAGAGGTCCCTCAGAATACGTGCAGAAGAACCTGAAGGATATGCCACAATGGGCTCTGTGTGATGCCATGCGGTGCGTTTTCAACCGGATCTCTTCGAGCCATTCATCGGCTCATCAACTGACTGTTTGGACAGATTCATCCGAGCCACCGAAGTCGGCCGTGAGCCCACCCTCCAAAAATACGAGCTGCACGTCCGCCTGCGCACGAAGAGAGACGGCCCCGTCATCCGTAACATGCTCCGTTTCCCACACGCCGTTCAGACCGAATCCCGCATCTGTGTTATCTGTCCCCCCAACTCCAAGGCGGCGAAGGAAGCTCTCGCTGCTGGTGCTGTTCTTGTCGGTGAAGACGAGGTCTTCGAGGCTGTCAAGGCCGGCAAGATTGAGTTCGATCGCTGTCTCGCTCACCCGGACAGTGTGCCTGCGCTTAACAAGGCCGCGCTCGGCCGTATCCTCGGTCCCCGTGGTTTGATGCCCAGTGCGAAGACCGGTACCGTGGTGGAAGACGTGGCTTCGCGTGTCGAGATGCTCCGCGGAGGTACTGTATACCGCGAGCGTGATGCTGTGATCCGTCTCCCGATCGGACAGCTTGGTTTCTCTCCGGAGCAACTGCGTGACAACTTGCGCGTGACTCTGGGCCAAATCCGAAAGGACGCGAGTGGTCTGGCTGACCGTGTGAACAAGGAGATCTACGAAGTGGTGAGTGTTTCGATATCGAGTCAATCGGGCCCCCAGCTAACGTTCTCATCAGGTGCTGAGCTCCACCAACGGACCCGGTTTCTCACTGAACGGTGAATTCAGCTCCGAAGACTCCCCCGATACCTCTCTGATGAGAGGCGTGTAACATACTCTGTTTCTTTTATATCCTTTGGCGTGTACAAATCTATTGTTTTACTAGGAGAACTTGGTGTATCATTGTGAAATTAGAGACTTTATTAAACCAAACGCCGACGCTATGTATGCAACCATGCATATCCCACACTGAGTCCAAAGCATATTATTACAGCTTGAGGTTCTTCAACGCAGCGACAGCGCTGACATCCTCGCCCATCAAATCGTAGAGCCGCAGAACAGCCATGGTGCGAGCATCCCGTTTGCCGCCTTTCCCACCCGCAGTCGCCTGTTCCAAAGCAGTCTTAAGATCCAGAAGTACCGTCGACTTGATTTTCGAGACTCGAGGCTGCTGCGCAAGTAGGAATGGGTGGGTGTCACCCACCCGGGAAGCTATCGAAGTCAGGTAGACGAATTTCTGGGCATGTCGTTCGAGTCTCGCTAATGACATCGCGGGTGTGCCATCTGCCAGCTCTTCGTCGTCGCTCTCGTCCTCCTCGCTGTACATATCGGACTCTGAATCCGACTCGCTGGAGTGGGCATTCTCTTCCGACGCTTTGTCGCCAATCATCAATCGGTGTTCAAGTTCCTCGACCCGTTCCGCATAGTCCAGCAGGTCCTTGCCAATGTCGGCCGTGGACCGCAATCGCCGCTTCTCATTCAGCAACTCTTCGACTTCCTGTCGGCGCGCTTCGACTTTGTCTCGAATTGCTTGCACATCGCGCTGGAAGGAGAGTACCCCGACTTTGACACCCTCAACCTTCTCCTCGCCTCCGCGCAGCGCAGTCCCAAGTGACAGGAAATCCTGGTAATTCTCATTAACCAGATCCAATAGCTCTTTGTTCAAAGCTTGCTCTAGACTCCGCAGCTCCTGGCGCAGGTCCTCGAGGCTCTGGTGGCGATTCGTCAGGGACGAGAGGAAAGTGGACGGATCAAAGCCAGGGGTCAGGAACGAAACGCGGGACAGCGGTTCAGGGAAGGGAAGGCCGGAGGGGTCATCGTCTAAGTCGGACGCAGACCCGTCAGAGCCGCCAAACTAGAATCAATTAGACAAGATGCTCCAATGCGCTGCAGCTCTCACATACCTGGAACTGATTCATGGTGGGCAAAGTGTGGAAGGTCAACAGGCGCAGTCGAGAACAGATCGAACCGTAGTGCGGGTCTTGGCAAGTATACAACGTTCACTCTACTCTCCGTATTCCCCGACAATATCCAATCCCTATTAAAATCCAGATGCCAGCCGTTCAAATCTTCAGCTGTCACCGCACACCCATGCGCGCATGCACACGCTAAGCCCCAAGCCCCAAAACCAACCCCCCCGAGCGGGGTCTTCTGTGTTGTCCTCACCTTCATGATGAAATCAACCACGTTACCATGGCCCCGAGCGTCTGCATCTGCGTCTACGACCTCCAGCGCGCTTGCCGGCCCAGACAACCAGCGCCACGCTGTACGCAACCCAACCTCTTCCCAACCTGACCCTCCAAGACCTACGCAGCCCGTGCTGGTAAGAGCGTATTCAGGAAATGTCGACACTACCATGTCCTCTCGTCGATTCTTCCCATTCTCCAGCTCCAGCTCCAGATCCACGGCATCCACGCCCGCGCCTATACCTCAGCCCGTGATTCCCCTCCCCTCCGATAAAGACTTTAGTATCGAGAGTATACTCCAGGCCATCGAGCCTGATATCCGTGGAACTCTAGACTCGATCGCCGAGATTTGCGGCCGTAGCAAACTCAGCTTGGCGAACGAGTACGGGAGTCATATTGCGCCTCTGGGGGAGATTACTGCTCCGCCAGGCTTGATGCCCGTCGAAGAGGCGTATGAGCCTGACCGCGTCGATATAGACGATGACCCCGATACAACGCTTGATATGCATCCGTTCTCGTTCCACCGATACCTCGAGAATCTCAGACATACCGCCTCAATGCTACAGGACTCTGGTCGTCGACCAGGATCGCCGCGATCACCGGGTATGAACTCCGATGCCGAGACGGTATTCGCGATAGCGCCCGATCCGGTATCCTCGACGCCTTTGGTGCGAGAGTTTGCTTCTAGACCCAACCATACGGGCTCTCAGCTCTTGGCTAAGAATGCTACGACTCGCGAGTCGAACATGGTCACTGCTGCTGTGGTCTCGGAGGTTCATCTGGATGCTAGTGCTGATGAAGGGGAAGCTGAGCTTCTTCCTAAGGCTGCTCTTGTGACTGATGGGCCTGATGCAGATCATCATGGACCAGAAATCGTCCAGCAATTACTTGGGTGGTTGAATTTCACTGCGAGAGCTGCTGGAGACTCGGCTCCGTCTTTACAGTCGGCTGAAGAACGGCTGAGGGCTACGCTGAGGGCGGATCACAAGGACCCTAGTCTGGCTACTGCTTAGTGTTTCTCGATGAATTTAATGCGATACGACCATGATGTTTGATGATTCTGGACTACCATTTCAACTGTGTACCTTTCTTACTGTTAAAATACCTCAAGCGATTATACGAATGCAATGCTACCTTCAAAGATACGATGAGAATACATTGGTCAATACAGTTGATGATTGTATTCAAGACTTCTGTTCGAGCCTACATTGTTAAAGAATGAACCCTGGACATCGCACAAGCTACCTAGGTATATTCCAACCTAAGCGGAAGCCTTGACCTCAGCGCCGACCTCAAGACGCTTGTAACCACCACCAGCAGCAACCTCCTTCTGCAACGCAGCCATGCGCTTCTGGTCACCAGTAGGATCAGTGGAGTCAGCATCCAAAGTCCAGCCCAGGAAGTCATTAGTGTAGTTCGAGACGAAAGACTCATCAAGAATACCCAGACGCTTTCCATAGTTAGTGACCTTAGTCCAATCACGCTGGACATTCTTCAAGTCTCGCGAGAAGTAAGCGAAGGAACGCTCGAAGATCTTGCGGTTAACAGGTGTAGCCATGATAGGCTTAACGTCAATGTATTCCTTGTATGCGGCAGCAGGGTCTGCAAGAACGGCATCGGTGCCGCGCTTGACGGCGCGCATGAAGGCCTTCACTTTCTCCGGGTTTGCGGCAATGAAGGCATCGTTGGCAATGTAGAGGATTGAGCAGAAGCAGCAGCAGCCTAGCTCGGCGAGCTGGTCAATGCGGAGCATTTGGACGTCGCTGCGGGGTCGGTTCTGCTCCGCCAGCCACTCTTCCAGCTCGACCATTTGGACGTTCTCGAGTCCAATGCCGGCGTCGATGTCGCCTTGGATGATCGCCTTGGTGACGTTCATGCCGCACCGGACGGCTGTGTAGTCGTCTGTGGTCATGCCGTAGTACTTGGTGAGCTCGTCGATTTGGATCTTGAATCATTAGGATTTGTGCTTTTAAGACGCCTGAGTGAAGCTCACCTTGCCGAACTCGCCAACGTATCCGATCTTCTTGCCCTTGAGGGAGCGGAACTCCTCGGTGATACCACTAGACTTGAGGTACACGACACCGGTGAAAGGCTCGTCGAGGAGCGAGCCGATGGAGGTGACGGGGAAGTCACGAGCCTTGGCCTAGAGGACATCAGTCATGTGCAGAGTCAAACACTATGGAGGGCAACGCACAGCCAGGGTGTGGATCATGGCCTTGAAGCCCATGTCGACCTTGCCGCTACCGATGATCTCAGTCACATCGGAGGGGTCATTGGGCTCAAGCAGAGCCACCTTCAGGCCTTCATCCTTGAAGTAGCCTCTGCTCTGGGCGAGGTAGAGGGGGGCGTGGTACGGGGTTGCGTGCCTGCAAACACTTAGCCAATTGATCTACTATGTGCTCTGTGAACTGTTAGCATACCAGTTGGTCAGGAAAGTGATCTTGTCGGTAGACATGATGAACTTCTTCAAGCTGGTATTTCTAGTGCTTCAATGGAGTCAGTATGTCCAATGACGGTATCTGGCCCATGAGTTCTGTCGTCTGGAAACAAGGGCCCAGGGACAGAAAGATGAGCCAGATACAAAACAAAAGGGGAATCAGAGTCACGCATGTCCTTTCGCTAGTATTGTCTAGATCAAGTTTTGACAGTATAATCTCAGAACGGTCAGCCAGGATGATTGAGAATCAACCGTCCTGGCTGGGCCGAACACCTGTCATGCGTGTGCAACGACTATTATACAAGAGCAAATACCTTGATCCTTCTCAAGCGAGGACACAGTCCTGCAACCCCGCAGGGTAGAGGTTCGCGACTCCATAGGAGCGTCGTACCGTTGAGTATCGTAGAATGTAGGAGAGTGTGTTGAGGAAGAGAAGAGGTGGGAGGAGAGGGGTAGAAATAGTCCAGCAATACCCCGCCGTGATCTTCGTGAGCCAATGGCCCCAAAAGTACACCGGGCAGGGCCTATGATTGCCTGTTGAGTACGATGGTGGAGAGATTGGCAACTCTAAGCTCCGTCCCGCCGACATCGCCGGAGTTCATAGCTCCGAATGCTGCTTATGATCGTATAAATTTCCCCTCAAACTGATCGCGATATTAGAAAAACGGGCTTCAAATGCACTGCAAAACCAAAAAAGAACAAGAGAAAAGAGAAAAAGCAGATAGTTAAAGTACACATGACGTCAGGAACGATCCCAATACCCTCGGTTATGTATGACCAACGCCAAGAGATCCTCCTATTTCGGACTCTGAGCACGACTGCCATTGATCGATATGCTGTCCAGCGGCGACGCAGCTCGGTCTGTGGCCTTGCGGGTGCGCAGGGTGAGTGGGAAGTGCTCCTCAGGCTCCTCCTCCTCACTGTGGGGGTTAGCAAACAATATCAGAGGTGGGAGGAAAGACACTCACGGCAGCTTCCATGCAATATAATCCTCTGTGCTCAACCCCTCATGACCCTCCTGCAGGGAGGCAAAGTCGCCGGGGGTCATCATTCCGGAGCGATCCCGAGGGGATCCCGGAACAGAAAGCGGGCGGGAGATCTTCTGATCCGTTCCTCCAATGATATCGAAGTAATCTTCCTGGCCCTCGAATGAGGAGGGATAGGCTGGGGTTGTTAGTCCGTGCACCAAGCTATGACAGTATAGAAAAAAGCAAACATACCTCTCCTCAGCGCGAGCTGGCGCGCTTTGACGTATTCCATCCCCATTCGCTTCCAATCGAGCAGATCGCTCAGTCGTTCTGTACGGTTACGCTGGTTGATCCGCTGGCGACGACTCTTCTCCGTGAAGTTGAACATGAAGTCCGTCAGTTGGTTGACGGAGTCATCCACACCCTTGGAGCGTCGGTCCACGATGTAGATTCCGTAGTCGGAGGAGTTCTCAATCAGCTCCTCCATGTAGCAGCCGAATCCGGACAAGTTGGTAGTGATGCTGGGCACTCCCATCACCGTACATTCCGCTGGGGTGTATCCCCAGGGCTCGTAGTAGGAGGGGAAGACACCCAGGTGGGTGCCGCGGACAAAGTCATCGTAGTCCAGAGGCAGCACCGGGTTGGCCGAGTTGAGGAACTCCGGGTGGAAGACGACCTTGACACGGTCGGAGGAGTGGTTGAACAGCTGCACACGACGGATCTGGTTCAGAATCGGGTCCTCGTGGTCATTGTGCATGTTGTGAGTGACAATTGGGGGGAGACCGTGGCGCTTCATGCCGAAGAGACGGCGACGCAGCATCACGCGATCCTGGCTGGTGATGAGGTCCTTCTCGTCGGGCATGTTGTCGCCTTCCTTCCAGGACAGGCAGCGCTCATACATGCGCTTGCCGATACCCTTCTCGATGTTCTCGATGGTGTCGCGAAGGGACTTGACGACGGCCTGGCCCTTGAGCGACTCGACTGTCAATGACGAAGTCTGCGCAGGCATGATAATGAACGCAACCACGGTCATGGTCGATCCCGACGACTTGAGTCGGTGGTTCAGACGGGCCAGCCCTTCAATGAACATATCGACACCCTTGTTGCGGAACTCGTAGCGGCCTGCAGTGAAGAGGTAGAGAGTGTTATCCAAATCAAAGTCATTGTGTCCGTAGAAGTGTCCGCGCACGAAATCGTTGATCTTCTCCTTGGCCTGCGAGTGCAGGTTCTGGAACTCGTGCATGGCGGAGAACTTCTTCACATTCAATCCGTTCGGCAGCACGCCGTCGGGCTTGCGCTTGAGCAGATGCTCGCTCTCGAATGCGGTGATGTGCGACACCGTGGTGAACACATCACAGGCGTGAGTCGCGGCACGCTCGATGCAGTATCGGTGGTAGATTCCACGCTTTCCGGCCTCGGCGTCCACATCGAAGTACTGCAGGTTGTTGTAGAAGTCCACCGAGCCCGCACAGAGATACCGACCCAGCAAGGTGGCGTGGGTGGTGAAGACCGTGGTCAGGTCCATGTGTCGCTTCTTGGTCAGCGGCAGCGCAACACCCGCCAGCCATTCATGGAAGTGGGCAATGACCGCCCGGCGACGGTCATGGGCAATGTACTAGAGGGCGCCGTGGTCAGTTCGGTCTCGGAGCACGATCGCGGCTTGACTTACCTCTCCCAAAAACCAGGCGACCAAGTATCCAAATACAATGGCCTCGTTAGTCTCATGGTCCGCATCGGGGGAGGGAATGGCAGAGTTGGTCCACAAGTCGCCCTTCCACTCATCCAACCACCTGTAGCCTGTTCCGGTGTTGATCAGGAGCACGCGCGGGGCTCCCTCAATGAGCCAGCGACCGTAGACGATCTCAATGCCGCGCTCCTTCATGGACTGAATCGTTTCCCGCATGGCCGGGTTGGCGGGAGTGAGCTCCTCGACCTCGACGGCGGCGGAGGCCTTGTTCAGCGGCCCGATCAGTGTGTACCGCTCTCCATACTCGGCGGTGGTGACCGGAGCTTTGGACTTGAGCACGGAGTAGATACCACCCACCCGGTTGGCCACCTCGGTGGCCACCTCGAAGAGCATATGGTTGCGGACATCCCGCTTAATGGGCTCCTGTTCTTCGGCCATGATCTTTCCAAGGTTAAGAAAGAAGAAGAAGAAGAGAAGAAAAGGCAGAAATAAGAGGGGGAGCGCACGACCTTGGAAGCTCTCGGTCTGTGCGGGGAGAAGTGGGCCGTGAGTTTTGACTTGTCCTGGGGTGGCTGGGATGTTGGGGTCGGGATCTGGGGATTAACTAGCACAGTAGAGGCAAAGAGGGTTAGAGCAGGCGAAGAGCTCGTCCCTGGTCAATGCCAAACGAAGCTAGAAAATGCACGTCTCCCGTTCCTTGTCTCGGTGTGAGTTTTTTTCCGGGCTAAGGAGTAGGTGTTACCTTTGCCCCTGTCACTTCCAAGGAACTGAGTACTAGCCGGAAACGACCAGAATTCAAAGACTCTGCAGCTTCACAACAGGTAAATTGCAGTAAATTGCAGAGTCCAAAATTATCAAAATTCAAGACAAAAGAACAGAAAGAAAAGAAGAACAGAATAAAAAAGAAAAAGAAAAAGCTGTATGTTCACGGAAGTACAACGGTAAACGTAGTAGATTGCAGTGTCATCGGCCCGAAGGGCTCGGATCCCTTCGGTTTCGCCGATATTTTCTGCTCCGCTATTTTGGTTCTCGCCAGAGTCGATTCTGTAGTTTTAGGGCTATCATACGATGTACAATTGTAGTCTCAGTACGGAGTATAGGAAGTAGAGACTGAAGCTGGAGCTGACATGACATCATCGGGTATTCTCCACTGCCCTGTGGCCAACCATTTGGCACTTTCGCTGATCCGCGGGGTAGTTCGTGAGCTATGTACGGAGTAGATAAGTAGATACTATACTAGGTGCCTACTGGCTAAGTATTTTCGACACGGAAATCCAGTCCAGGATTTTCTAGGTAGCTTGTCCACCACAGGTTACTACTTAGGGCTTCCATAGAACTAACCTTCCAAGGTTGGAACCTTCCACGGTGAGAGCCTCACATATAAACGGAAGAGCCCTTGAATCCTGATACAACTTACAATACGGTCGCACACATCTAAATCTGGACCTACTAGGTACAAATCTGATTGTTGTTCAAGGCCATTTCCGAGTCGTCTACATATATATAGCAGCCACCCTATCACAGAACAGAGATCATCCCAACCTACCTACCCAATTCCGAGGAAAGACCCACAGATACATAAGACGCAAGGGAATGCACCGGAGACATTGACCTACCCAAGTGGCAATGAAACAGACCAAACGCAGAGCACAGAGCAAGCCAATGCAATATGATCAGCCACAGAGTCATCGCAAGGACGATCGCTGGGTGGCGAGGCCTCTCAGCCCAAGTCAGCAGGACCATCACCAAGATCCTGAATAAAGTCGACACCAGGCTGCGGCAACGGCTCCCCCAGCGAGAACTGGAGCAGATCGTACAACGTACCTTGGCGGCGCGCTATCCAGAGGCTTATTATCGACTGCGCAGTGACCACCGCCCCACAACGGGCCTCGCTCTGCCCTACAATGTCTCGGTCGTGGACGTGGGCCCGGCGAGAGATTCCCTCTGGCGGTGTGCCTATGATAAATGCATAGATAACTTGTGCACTTCGAGAAGTATTACTCTGGCGGTCGTGACCAAGCCAGACCCCCAGGAAGATCCTCGTAGGGCCTGGCGGGTTGGGAATGAATCGCTGAAGGTGTTGAACCCAGATGAGTGTACTGATTTGAGCAGTGATAGTGAAGAAGAGTCTCTTTCGGACTTGTGGTCGAATGGTCAACCGGCCAAGCAGCTGACTGGGAGACGCCTTGCCCTAATCGCGGCCCTTGAGGATCAATTCTTCAATCAATTGGAGTCGACCTCAGATTCTATAGATGAATGTGAGGCTTCAGCCTCGCTGAATCGTCTCATTACTGGCCTGGTCAATGAGACAATAGCCCAATCCCCAAGCCTTGAAGATCGAAGCTTCAATCAATTGGAGTCGAGTTCAAGTTCAATACCTGAACTTGAGGCTCCAGCCTCACTGGATCTGAGTTCCTGCCTGATTAGTGAAAATGCTCAACCCACTAACCCCAAACTGTCCGTTTACATCCCCGTCACTCGCCCTGGCGATCAACCTCATCGCCGCGGCGATGAGGTCTTTCACCTTCCCGTTCTGAATCCTAATCAACAAGAGTCAAAATGCTCTCTCATCTCACCGTCACTTCACCTCAACTCCTCACCTCGAGACGTCTGCATCTGCCCCTGTACAAACACGCACAGCGACGCAATGCCACGTCCAACCCTCCCATCTCCCGTCCGCGTCACCAACGACCGGACCACCACCACCACCTCCTCCTCCGCCCCCACCAAAGAGCGCCGGGGCCCGACCCCCTTCTTGCTCAGCGGGCGTGAGCCAAACAGGGAGCAGCACCTGCCCTCCCCATCCACCAACAGGGGGCTCCACCCACCCCACCCACCCCCCAAGGCCACCAAGGAGGCGACGGCCATCGTCCCTCCACGCCCCAAAAGCGCACTCAAGGCGCCACGTATTCCAGGGAGTGCACAGAAAGTGAAGAAAGTGACCTGGTCGTCACTAAAGGTTCACTTCGCAGAGGATGTCGGGGGCTTGACCGACGAGGACCGTTCTGTGGCAGCTGAAAAGCGCCCAGACGGGGGTTACGCTGTGGCAGCTGTACAGCGCCCAGATGACCAGGGCCAACCGGGACAGGCAGAGATAATGAGTAACGAGCAGCGTTACTTCAGTGAAGTTTCTCAGTCTGATCTGGATTTGTGTCTGAGTGCTGGTAATGCTGCCCGCCATGACCGTTATGTTCGGCGTGGCTTTTTTTGAAATGGCTACGGCCATGTAAATGTAATGTGCATTGTTGGAGTTTCTGTTGTTCTTTTTTCTCACAAAAATTTAAGCCATGGCGGGTCAATTGGCCATTTGGATCTGTGTGTTCCCGGTTTGCATCACGTAGACGGGTAGAGTAGATGGAGTTGCCCTGGAACCCTTCAAACTGTACGGAGTAGTCAATGCCGATGCAAGTCAAAATGCAATTGAAACAAACACTAGCATCTGGTACATTCTATTACCTTCAGAGCTCTCAGTTCCAAGGCAGTACATACGATGTCGAATCCCATGAAGTCATGATCTCCACTATGATTTCATGATGCTGTCAGCGATCGTCCTTGGAACATTTGAAGTATATAAGTCTGCTCTTTTGAACCTTTACTTCTAACTACAATCTACAATCTACCCTCTCTACCTCTATCTCTATCTCTCCTACTCTGCCCTCTACCTTCAAAATGGTCCGCGGCGCTGAATTCGACAACGGTCTTCCCCAGAGCGACAACCCCATTGAGAACGGTCCCAACAAGGCCCACGGCACTGGCGATGCTGTATGTTTCACCGATCAATTTTTCCAATTTCCCTTTGAACAATACTAACTGCCACAGCCTGCCGACCTGAGCCGCTCCCACAAGGCTGCTCCCATGCCTGAAGAGACTGGCTCTGGCCGTGACGTCTTCCCCGGCCAGGCTAGCGGTGGTTACGAAAACACCTCTGGCTCTGGAAAGGGTGGCCATGAGCCCAAGTCTACCGGTGAACAGAAGGGCCACGGTGCTCTGCCCGGTCAATAAGTGTTTCTTTGTACGATACCTGGAGTTTTGTGAATGGGTTATTGGACGACCATTGCATATACTGAATGAGACATGATATCCCTCTTCATTTTAAAACAGCCTACTTGATAACCGTAGAATAGCGTAAATAGTGTAGACTCACTGCCCACACATTGTGGTTATTGTGGCTTTTCGATGGATGCTTGATGCTTCGGCTACAGGGCTGCAAATCGATTAAATCTTCATTCCCAACGCCCGGCTCTATAATGCAATAACAGTTATGTGGTAGAAACAGAGTGACAAGTGTACAAATGCGCAGAAACTTGAAAGAAAATTATGTATGGGAATAGTAGCTCAAGACTTAGTCGACTCGGAGCTTTCCTGTGCCGTCTCGGGTTCGGGGGTTTCCGATTCGGTGGAAATGGGCTTAGCCTGTACCACTTCCAGAAGCTTGTCGCCAACAGCACTGGCGCCGTCAATCTTGCTCAACTTGGTTCGGAAGTGTTCGACATCTGCTAGCATTCTGTGATACGGTCAGTATTGGTATGCAAGGACAGGAACGGACTGGCTTACCTCTTCCTTCCAGCGTCTGTCTCCACATTGGCCTCCTCGAAGGCCTTGGTCCACTGATCGCTGTAGCTGTTGAACACTGGAACCATGATCATACCGAGTGTCATGTCGGGGAGGTGCTTGCTCAAGACACGGTGCAGGGTACCGGTCTCTTTAGCCAAGGTCTCCATGTAGGGGTTGACCGCTGGGGACGCGTCCTTGGCATCCCAATCGATCTTTTTCATCGCATTGACGTGGATAGAAGAGCGTCCACTCATGATATCCACAAGCTTCTCGTGAATTCCGCTCTGGTGCTCTTGGCATAAACGTTTCACTTTGTCGAACTCTGCCATCAGAGCATTTGCTTGGCCTGAGCGACGGACAAATTCACGCACGTAGGGTACCAGCGCAATGACGAAGCTCAGTGCCTGCGAGGACAAGGCCAGATGCTTTGTGGTGATGTTCTTCAAGCCTGCACTGCGGGTCGCACCAGCGCCGAGAATCAACTGGGATGAGCGGGAATTGAACAGTTTGAGGATATCGAGTAGATGAGGCGCAATATCTTGAATCATCGTGGGGAAGTTGGACATGAGGAACTCAAACTCTTCAATACTGCGCATCATCGCAACAGCTGAGTCTGGCAGAATGTATTTCTGCTCGTCGACAATGGCACTTCGCACCTTGGACTTATCTGTCCCATTGTTCGCCTCGTCATGATCGCCAGTTTGGTCCAGATCACTCTTCTCGACCGGATTCCATATTTTGGATGCATCCAGCCATGCATCGATATCCTTGGTGCTGGCGTCCAGGATTCGGGACAATATGGTGGTTTCGGCATCGCCGAAGTCTTGTGCGTCCCATCGGTCGGAGTCCATGACCTTCACAATTTGATGGCGCTGACCATCGCCGAAGCGGGTGATGAAATCGCGGATTTGATTGCCAACAATGGTCTTCAGTGCGGTACCACCACGGCCCGATATAGCCTCGCACTCGTCTGCGAACAGTCGGTTGAGGGTGAAGTAGCGAAGGAAATCCTCTTTCGATAAGTGAGATGTCTGTTCGGACCGAACTTTCAACACCTTTGTGATCTGAGCCTGGGCGATATCGACTGCTTGGCCAAGTAGGCTTGACATATCCAAAACCTGTAGAATCTCATCCTGGGCCATGTCCTCAGCCGTGGGCCCAGCCTGCGGAGACCTCAAGGCTTGATCCATGCTTTGCGGGTTGGGGCTTCGGGGTGGAGACCGAACACCAGAAGTTGGAGAATCACCGAGGCCACTCGCGATATCCAGTAGAATTTTGACTTGAACGCTCAAGCGTCGGAGAGACTCGCTGATTCCGGTGTAAACATTCATAAGCATCGTGTAAGCGTCCTCGGGTTCGAGGGCACGGAGGTTGCGAGCAAGGATTGAAGACTTCTCTTGCTGGCTGAGCTGGTGCCCACCGTGGGTGGACAGCGATACCATAGATTCATTATCGTCATCACTAGAGCTTGGCAGGTGCTTGCGAATCAGGCCCTTCATTTCTCGTAGAACCGCGGTCTTGAACGAAGTTGCCGCTGGCATCGTGTACCGAGCACGGGCAAGACCATTGAGCTGGGTATCCAGCTGCGTTCGCAACTCGCTATTGAAGCTCATGTAGGCCGGTGAGATGGATACTGGCCTGACGCCCCTTTGCCGCTGGAATGAAGTCCCCCAGCGCTGCAGAGTATTCTCGGATGGCACATTCTGGATGTGCTGTCGCAAGTCTCCCAAAAGGTCGTTCAAGAAACGAGTTTCGTAGCCCATGCCAATACGGTGGCGCAATTGCGCAAGATCATCAGATGCCCCTTCCAGTGCTTTGATTCCTCTGAGGTCAATGATACGCCTCGGTGAGCCGTCTTCTTCCTCGGCAGGGGCGCGATCAGAAACCTTGTCGCCAGCCATCAATTTCTCAACCTCTTCGAGGCCTTCAGCAGCTTCTTCAATCTCGCCTTGCTCCACAAGCTCCTCGCACCGGGACACTGATTCCACAACGTCGCGAAGCTGCGCGACTGCAGCTGCCAACATTCTGACGTTTTCCCGTCGTCGTCTCAAATTGACAACCTTGAGACCACCTAGAGCCATCTCTTTATCGATCTTTTGCAAGTCTCGTCGCAAGACCTGGATCCGATTGACAGAATCAGCCGCTTCCGCATGCAATTCCCGAAGTGATCCTAGGGCCGTGAAGAAGGATTTCGAGGCTGTAGAGATGGAGGAAATGAGGTGGATTTCTACAGTATCCATGTACCACGACAGTTTCTCTTGGAGGATAGCGTTTGTTGCCAACGCCTTTCTGCCTGTTTGCGTGGGCTCGGGAACCAGGCCATTGGTGTGTTTTTCGTCCTTGGTTGGAGGTCGTGGGGGCCGAACCACGTCTGATTTCTCCGATATCACGTCAAATGTGCGGGGATTCTCTAGATGGAAGTCCTCTTCGAAATAAACGGGGGGTATCGTGGACAGAGGTGTCACTGCGGGAGCACGCCCACGGCCGGTAGAAGGACGTCTTCCCCGAGTATCAAAAGGCGAAGATGATCTTGAATTGGTCGACATGACCGAAGACCTTCGTTCGGGGGACCATGGCATCAATGCATCGCGTTCTGAATCTGGTCTCGGTGACTTGGGCATCTGCCCCGGTTGGGGTTCCTCCCCGCCCTCCTTTGGTCGTTGGAATACATCGTACAGCGTCCCCACTTGCGAAAGGTATGGTTGAAAGACTTTTGCATCAACGCGGGTTATATTCGTCAGAGTCACCGGGGGGATGTCGCGGGAGGATGGGGGTTTGAAGCCGGTTGACGACGTGGCACTCTGGGCTGTCAGACCGGTGCGGATGATCGGAGGCTGCAGGAGGGTTGAAATGGCTGTATAGCTCTTAGTAAATCACCCCAGGGATTGATAGGCATGGCGTCACTTACCATTTTGATCCGACTCCGCGATTGAGTTATGATGATGAGAGGAGTCCAAAACACCTCCGATGCTCGCTATCGAGCTCGCGGTTGATCCCCTCCTCAGGGGAAACCGCTGAGGGGGCACGCGAGGAGATTCCAACTGGCTGGTTGAATAAGAGACTGAAGGCGATGATACCCCAGAGGCCAAGCTGTCAATTGACTTTCGTGGGCTGTTTGTCGACATGGCGGTCACGAGCCGGATCGGACAGCCACCGGGGAGGGTCGATCGTTGAGATACTCTGTGTTATCTGATCATGACAGTGGGTAAAGCTATTAGTAGAGCTGTCGAGGGTCGAGGGAGAGATCGCGATTGCGATCCAGTTATATCTGCGACTCGCGATTCCAATCTGAGTCTGATCTGGCCGAATGTACCTGTGATGTGGCTTTGTCTCCATCCAGCTGTTTTCCCCAATCGGCGCATGCGCCAGCAGAGCGGCCCCGGCTTTCCCCTGCTGACACATTATGCTGCCTCAGGTGTCTATACCTGCCTGAGGGATAAATTCTGCCTTGACATTGAGGCATAAGCTGAGTCAGAAACCACTTAACGCGTGAAAGAATGGACTCGACGCGACGCGTCGGTGCCACACTCAGCCAAAAGTTCTTGAAGCCTCCCTTCCGCCAAACCCACCACACCCCAACCTGCCAAATCTGCACATCATGGATAGACGCACCCCCTATTCCTTGAGCGTCCTTGCGCCGAGTACAGACGGCCCTGATGAGTCTAAGACTGTAATCCAAGGCCGCCTGAGGCAGTTTGTGCTAGAATTCCAGCTGGATAATGCTTTCGTCTACCGGTACGCATACCATGTTCGTCAGCTTGCGACAAATACTAATTGATCATATAGCGATCAATTACGACAAAATGCCCTCGTCAAGCAATACTACTGCGATATTGACATTGCCCATCTGATTTCTTACAATGAAGAATTGGCCCACAAGCTCACCACCGAGCCCGCCGAAATTATCCCTACTGTAAGAACAACATTCACCCACGACGACGCTTACGGACACTCACAATGAACAGTTTGAACAAGCGCTGAAGGAATGTACGGCCCGAATCGTCTTCCCCGGCCAGCGCGACGCTGTCCAAGCACTCCCCTCCCACCAACTTCTTCTCCACTCCTCAGCATCACACATCTCAATCCGTGACCTCAACGCCACTAATATCTCCCACCTTGTTCGCATTCCCGGAATTGTCATTGGCGCTTCTACGATATCCTCTAAATCCACTATCATTCATGTCCGCTGCAAGGGTTGCGATAATAGTCAGGATATCCACGTGGACGGTGGTTTCGCCGGTCTATCGCTGCCCCGACGTTGCGCGCGCCAGAAGCAGCCTGGTGACCAGCCCGGCGAGGATTGTCCCCTGGATCCCTATGTTGTGCACCACGAAAGGTGTCAATTCGTCGACCAGCAGGTTCTCAAGCTTCAAGAAGCCCCTGACCAGGTTCCTGTTGGTGAGCTTCCTCGCCATGTTTTGATTTCCGCAGATCGCTACCTCGCCAACCGTGTTGTTCCTGGTTCTCGTTGCACGGTTATGGGAATTTTCTCTATCTACCAACAGAAGGGTGGCAAGAAGGAGGCCGCAGTGGCTATTCGGAACCCTTACCTTCGGGCCGTCGGTATCACCTCTGACCTCGACCAAACTGCCAAGGGAAGCGCTGTGTTCTCCGAGGAGGAGGAGCAGGAGTTCTTGGAACTTAGCCGCAGGCCTGACCTGTACGATGCGCTTGCCCGCAGCATTGCCCCGTCCATTTACGGAAACGTCGATATGAAGAAGGCCATCGTGTGTCTGCTTATGGGTGGATCAAAGAAGATCCTTCCTGATGGCATGAAGCTTCGTGGAGACATCAACGTGCTCATGCTGGGTGACCCCGGTACTGCCAAGTCGCAGCTCTTGAAGTTCGTCGAGAAGGCCGCCCCCATTGCCATCTACACATCCGGAAAGGGTTCCTCTGCTGCTGGTTTGACGGCTTCCGTGCAGCGGGATGCCACCACTCGCGAGTTCTACCTTGAAGGTGGTGCCATGGTGCTTGCTGATGGTGGTGTTGTCTGTATTGATGAGTTCGATAAGATGCGTGATGAGGACCGTGTCGCCATTCACGAAGCCATGGAGCAGCAAACTATCTCTATTGCTAAGGCCGGTATCACAACGATTCTCAACTCCAGGACGTCTGTCCTGGCTGCCGCCAACCCCATCTTCGGTCGGTACGATGATCTCAAAACTCCTGGCGAGAACATCGATTTCCAAACCACTATCTTGTCTCGTTTCGATATGATCTTCATCGTTCGTGATGACCACGAGCGAGGTCGCGACGAGAAAATTGCTCGTCACGTCATGGGCGTGCACATGGGTGGCCGCGGTGTCGAAGAGCAAGTTGAGGCTGAAATCCCAGTGGAGCAGATGAAGCGATACATCAGCTACTGTCGTAGCCGATGTGCTCCTCGTCTCTCCCCCGAGGCTGCAGAGAAGCTTTCCTCCCACTTCGTTTCGATCCGTAAGCAAGTGCACCGTGCCGAGATGGAGTCGAACAGCCGATCCTCTATCCCCATCACTGTGCGTCAATTGGAGGCCATTGTCCGTATCTCCGAGTCCCTCGCTAAATTGTCTCTTTCTCCCATCGCTACCGAGGCGCACGTGGACGAGGCCATCCGTCTGTTCCTTGCATCCACTATGGACGCTATCACGCAGGGTGAGGGTCAAGGCAGCAAAGAGCTCATGGAATCAGCCAGCAAGATCGAAGATGAGCTTAAGCGCCGTCTCCCCATTGGCTGGAGCACAAGCCTGGCCACCCTTCGCCGGGACTTTGTCGATGCCAAGGGATACACTGAGCAGGCTCTCAATCGGGCGCTGGTGGTTTTGCAACGCCGTGACACCATTCAGATCCGCTCCGGTGGATCTCAGATTTACCGGAACGGAGTTTGATCTGCGACGCATTATGATTTCTACGTGTTTCTCTTGATACACCGGGTATGCTATTGATGGGGTTGATTCTGTGCATATTCTACCTCCCCTCTAGCCCTGGAGGTAGTGGGAGTTTGTCAGCGGTGTTGGGCGTGTTCGATATCAGGTTGGAGGGTACTCTCTACCAATTGCATACTTGTTTTAATTTATCTACGTTTTATGACTTCTAAGCCACGAAAGAGTACTCCGTAACCAGTATCCACTAAGCTCTTACCCCTCAACCCCGTAAGGCTGGCCTTGTCCAGCCACAGCATCCTACGCCAGTGGCTGTCACTAACTCATAAAATGGGCCGCCAAGCACTGACAACATGCGGCTGCATCCCCCGAACACAATTCAACAGCCTTGGCGCTTGGTCTAATCCACTGCCTGCACGATTCCGACTAGGCACCAGTATTTCACCGGTATTTCCCTAATTCCCTCCATACAAAGCCAAGGGGGGCCATGCGTGGCACAATTCCTGCTGTGGCTGTTGCGCGGGGCTGCGGGCACTCGGATGCTTGGCTTGCATGAGTGCAACATCAGATGTCGTTCACATTCCGATGTGGCTAGGGAGGAGATGCTCTCATGCGCCACGATGACTGGATATCAGAAGAATCACGCGCCGAGCCTTCGCGCCGGGGCATCTGGGCATCGTTTCAGCCTCGGATATTCGCCTTCTCTCTACACTATCCGGGTACTCCGTACTATGCTCCACTCTGGCAGGGGCTTTGTCTCTCCACAGTTGTACAGCGTGGACAAAACGACACAGAAGCCTGTCTAAGAGCACTCTCTACAGCGTCCCCGCTCTGCCAATACCCATCCTCGTGCCCCCCTTACCCCCTACCCCCTACCTGTGCCCCGCTGCAATGGCATCATCTAGAACGGCTGGGCAAATGGATCTAAGCCAAGTGTCGGACAAGAACCGGGGGCTTACTGCATGATTCCTACTCCGTAGAACCCGATCAGCTGGTGATTCGGCGCGTATTGGTGCTTCTGGACGGGGTATATAAAGAGGCTCTCGTCCCAGGTTTTGTTCGGCAGTTCTATGATCGATAGTCTTCACTCTCTACTTTGCATTCTTCTTTCCCAAATTCACACCATGAGCTTCCACGAGTCTTCTTCCGACATCAGCCTTGAGGATGACCATATCCTCAAGGCAAACCTCCGCAACGAGGACGGCGACGAGGTCGAGGATGAATTGGATCTGAACGCATACATCGGCAACGACAATGGTACATTCTGGGTCTACATGATCGTCTCTTGGATTCATTCAGAAGTTCTAACTTGGTGTCTTAGGTCAATTCGTGTGGGGAGGCGGCGGCTTCCAAGACAGTGCGGACGACATCAGCTTTGACAGGGAAGGAGACGATGACATTCCTGTGCTGCGAGCTAAGCTTACGGATGTTGATGGGGAGGAGCACGACGCCGATATCAATCTGGCTGAGCGCATCGGCAATGACAATGGGAAACTCATCTTCCTAGAATAAATGCATGTTTCGATTTGGGTGACAGACACCGTGTTTCATATATTCAGCAAACCAATATAAATCCATGCAAACCGATGAACATAGAGCTTTTTGCATAAATGTCTGGCTGCATCCGAGGTTAGAATAGATTACGCCTGTCGATCGGGTGTTGAGCTTGTATCCCGAAATTGTCCCTAGGTAATGACCTCTCACAGTTCTGGTGGATCAGATTCCGTGAATCATCGATTCTACCCAAGTACACTTGTGGCATCTGAGGTAGGCAAAAGGATGTGGTATTAGGAAAATGGGTTGTGGCAGGAGTAGAACCCTTTGTTTCATCCCCTTCTCCTCGTCGCCAGTTCGACCTTTCGGGCCAGACAATGACCTTCGCATCAAAATTATTGAAACAGTATACTGTTGGGCTCTTGCGATCACATCCTTACAAAGCCCACTCTATCCCCGGCCCGGCTAGGTTTATCCAGGCTTCTCAATGTGTCGAAGAAGAGCGCGCACCCAATTACAATCCCAGGCATTTTTGTCCCATCCAACTCCATTCGGTAATTGCCAACAGATATCAAGTGGCTTCTAAACTTGGGTGGGGGACCAGCTCGACAGTCTGGCTGGCTAGGGATCTTTACCAGTAAGTCCTAGATTAACACAGTATGTCCTTATGTTAACTTTCAAGGTGGCGCTGGCTTCCTCCACGTTATGTCGCGATAAAGGTCAATGCAAATAATTACAAGTCTAAAGAATACACCGAAATGGAGTTACGAATCACACAGCGTATAACCCAAACAAATGCAGCCGACGACGGCCGGTATTTTGTCCGCACTTTGCTTGACTCATTCGACTTGCAGGGGCCATACGGCGACTATATTTGCATGGTCTTTAACCCCCTCTACGAGCCTTTATGGATACTAAAACGGCGCTTTCAAGGTAGCGTTCTTCCCAACGATGTTCTAAGGACCGTCATACAGATGGTCGTAATAGGCCTTCATTATCTTCATACCCACTGTCATGTTATCCATACAGGTCTATCTAATAAATAAAGCTTCACTCATTACAAAGCTAAGAAATGGCAGATCTAAAGTCCGACAATATCCTAATGGCTCTTACATACAGACCACTCAGTACTCAACAGGATTACTCGAGATAAGATAGAGGATCCACTACCTCACAAAATTTCCGATGATCGAGCAATATATCTCTCACGCAACGACTTTGGCTTTCAAGCAGACAACGTAGGTGTGCCAGTGATCACGGATTTTGGGCTTTCGGTTTGTGGAGACAAGGGCCCTCACAAGCACTCTATTCAACCAAATGGCCCTGAAGCCCCAGAGATTATAATTGGAGCCAGTTGGGACGATAGTGTTGATATATGGAATCTAGGCGTATTGGTGAGGCTCAATGGAATTCTCCTCCTAGAGATTCTAACCTAGCTAGATCTGGGAACTGCTTTGTGGGACCGGCCCTTTCGATTGTTCAACATCATCTTCAGATTCAACTTACAGGGAAGAAAAGCATTTGGCGTCTATTATCTCCTTGATCGGCCCTCCGCCAGAGGATATGCTTAGGCGAGGAAGTCGAAGTTCGCGATATTTTAATGACGATGGTATTTTGATAAGATGTCACTGTCCAAAATTTGTCTTGCTAATTATCAAGCAGGTCAATTCAAGTTTCCCGGTCTCATTTCGAAAGAACGAGGACTTGAAACAAAGCTTACGGTCATCGAAGGGCATGAGAAGCAGATGTTTTTGAATTTTGTCTCTAGACTGCTCCAATGGCGACCAGAGGATCGAGCAACTGCAGAGGAACTACTCTCAGATCCCTGGCTGAATGAATAGGTTCTCGTTGGAATTCATAGAAATTCCACTGTGTTGGCATGAAATCAGACATAAGACCATCATATTTAGAAATGAGGGCTTTGGGTATCACTTAACAGCATCCATGTGCTGTAAAGCATGCTGTGATCATGTTGAATTTAGTTATGGATATGTCAAAGAGCATGAAAATTGAAATGGAGGGTTAAACGAAACTGGCACAAAATGAAGAACATGGTTGTAGTTTATTAAATTTTGTCCTACTTGTCTGATCAGCCAGACTGATTGCATATATCCAGTATATCAGCAAATCCATCAAGCCCCAGCTAGTCCCTATATAGCTCAGTCAGAGTCGCGAGTGCGCTGCCCGCGACGAAGGATGTTACTCAACCCGTGGGTGATACCATGAGTAACATCATTTGCCGAGCGAAGGCCACCCAGAAGACCCATGAGGTCGTTTCCGAGGATGTTACCGACCGAGTCGTTGTCGTCGTCGTCGTCGTCATCGTCGCTTGAGGGCGTGGTAGGCTCTTCGTCCGAATCGTCGTTGTCCGAGGCTTTGGTGGCAGTAGGCGCGGGGGCCGTGGTGTCTGGCTTGGCGGTCGTGGTGGGACTGGTAGGAATGGCGGTTGGTTTGACTTCGGCGGTGTTCTCAGGTTCCTTGGGCGAAGCAGTAGCAGATGAGGAGGAGGAAGATGAGAGTAAGGAGTCGGGTGCATTGGAAGATGACGATGTCGTCGTTGACGATGTATTCGGTGACGATGTCTTCGTAGAGTCAGTGGACGTGGACGGAGAAGGAGGGGGCGCCGATGGTGACGCCGAGTCGGGCGACGAACCGGAATCGGACTCATCAGCGCCTCCTAGGCTTTTCCGTACGTCCCTGATGAACCCGTCGTTGCCGTACGCCTGCGTGGCATCCCACATCATCACACCTCCGAAACTCTCGAACTTCTTCGAGTATTCAATCACGTTGTCCAACTTGGACGATGGGATGTACCCGGTGCTGGCGGCAGTGGTGTCGGCAGGGACACCGACGATGACCTTGACGTTCTTGTTCTTGGAAACTGTCTTGGCCCAGTTATCCCATTCGTCGAAGTTGTACTTGTTGCTCGAGTTGTCGGTGCTGAAGTTGTCGACACCGCAGAAGTTGTTGTAGAACTGCACCCAAATGGCATCGATGTAAACGGGGCCGTTGAGGATTTCCTTGTCTGCTTGATCTGGGTAAGGACACTGGGGTGCGGCAGTCAAGTAGAATCGCTGCTTGCTCTTGTCGGCATCCATCAGAGAGCGCAGCTCGTTGGCAAATGGAGCCATGTGCTCGACGTTGGCCTCGAAGTCGAAGTCGAATCCATCGAGAGCAGTGTCACCAAAAGGACGTAGGGCCTCTGATCCTTCCTGCTTGGGCCCAAAGGTCTCCCACATGAGATGGGCGCCCTCTTTGGCTGCTTGCTCGTCCTTGAAGCCACCTTCGCTGTAGGTGGCACCACCAATTGAGAGAAGAATTGTCTTGCCCTTCTTCTGGCAGGTTGCGATGTCCTTGCTGGGAGAGAGTCAGGCGAACACTTTGCTATAGAAAGTTATTCCACTTACCCAATCTCGGGGCAGTTCTTCAACTGTGTGCCTGGGAAGACATCGCAATCTTTACTGGTGACAGCAAAGTCGACCTCTGGTGCGCCTCCTGGGCCGTTCACCATCATGTTGAAAGCCATTGGAATTACCTGTGCGTGTCAGCTTCCTCCGTTCAGTCCATTCGTGGTTTTCTCATACATCAATATCCTTGTCTAGTAGCAATTAGGGTTAGCTCCCATTCAATGGCATTCGGACATGGTTCACTTACCATCGCAATAGTGCGCCAGCGGTTGCTGCAGCTTATCGCCTTTCCCATTGAACGAGTTTTGACCTTGTCGCATGTCAGTATCAGCTTCTCAACCCCAGACTTATAACTTACCCCAGTACACAACCAAATTCGTTGTTGAATCCAAGTCGAGTTTTGCCTGGGCTCCTCCTAATGTGGCCAACAGGACAGACCAAGACAAAGCTCCCTGGTACCCACGCATTGTGAAGTTTCGTGCCGGCTCCCCCTAGTCGTGATTAGGTATTAATTAATTATGATTATATGAAGTATCGGGTCGGCAGCGGCTGGGACGGGGCAGAACACCGTTCACGGTAGGGACCGGGCATCCAGGCTATTAAATATTGCTTTGTTATGAGCTGAGGTATTTCTCGGGATATAGTTTGCCATAACAATGCCCGTCGTTCTCCCGTGGGGATGCGTCACTTGGGGCTCTGAGCGCGTGGTATGACCCGCAACGTCCACGCCAGCATGCTATTCCACGGTGAAATCCAAGCCCGGGCTCATTCATGGACCTTGTGTAATTATATTTAGTACTCTCATTGAGCAGTGTCATTGGATGCTTGACGTTGCCCGCGCCCTGGTCTGCATTCCAGTCTTGTTGTCAGGGAACGAAGGGCAGATCCGAGAATGGAGCTGGAGAACGACAGGAAAACCAAGAGGTCTGGCCAAGTTTAATTGAGTAATTTTGACAGCCAGGCTCTTTTCTAATCTTGGAAGTCTACATAGTATGTTCGTATCTCGGTCTGTTCAAATCCCAGTGTTCAATCCCTTGATGAACTGTCCCTCACCCGTCACCTGCTCAATTTACCCAACGACAGACCTTCATACGATAGTATCATCTGGACAAAGTAGAAAACGCAAATTGATTCACTGGTGCATGAAACTATGCTATAGACCAATTGAGGTTTTAGCAAGTAGCCTTTTAGCTAGAGAAACATTACTCCCGAGGTTATACATAGCATCTGGGCAGGACACCTGGGCATACTTCCCGGATATGTATATCCTAGGTGGGCATGCAATCAATCAGTTGCCTATACTAGTACTAGTACTCTATACATAGCATTTCGTAGACACACCAGCTCGGTTGAGACTGATTTCCTCGGGACTAATGCTCAGCGTATCGCATGCCGGAAGTCTGACATTTGTTGCAACGTGCAAGGGGGAACTCGTTAAATTGGAATGCAGGCCCCCTTCCGGTCCGTCAAGGACAAGGTAGCCGAACACCCGATACCTAGGTACGAGAAACAATGGTTTTGACTCAGGAATTCATATGAAAGCCACCTGGGAAGTTAATTGTCTGAGTAGTTAGGCAACTACATAAATTCCGAAGTTCTTGATGCTGAACCTGCACCCCTGGGTTGCAGTTTGCGGTATCAACTTCCATCCTGCTCACTCCTTGCCAAGCCTGTTCAGATTCGTTTGATCATGTACCTAGTAGTACCTAGGTAGGTGTATAGAGGTAGGTTTAATTCTAGGGGAAAGAGACCATCTATCTAAACTCTTCGGGAATTTTTCGATGATTTCCGAGGTTGTCATTTCCAAGTTGTCATGTACAACCTGCAAGTAAAGGCTAAACTGCATCATACATATATCTCCATTTGTTGCTTTACAGGCCGATTACTTCTACCTCTTAATGCCGATGACTCGTTGAACAGCCTCGTCACTGGTCAAGGCAGAGTCAATGACACCAGCAACCTTCAGTACGTCCACCACGTCTCTGATGATCTTGTCATCGACGCCACGGGTACGGTTGGTGAACTTGACATCCTTCAGCCACTCCTTTGCATCTTCCTCGATATAATTGCAGCCCAATTCCCCGGTTCCCAAAAGCTTGACGATCTGAGCGGTGTCAGCCTCGAAGTCTTTGATACCCTGGTCAAAGACTTGGAACAGGCTCTTCAGTCGCTGATCATTTTCAGGATCAGGGAACAGTCTGGTGGACGCAACGACCATCCAAGAGGGCCAAGGAGTGAAGATCTCTCCGATCTTTTTGAGTGGTGGGCTTGGCTTCTCGGCGGTAGGGTGAAAGTATGGCTTTGTAGTGAATTCCTCCCACATGAAGAACTCTGCTGTTGGGTTCGCCTTTTCGTTGGCATTCGATTCACTCAGGCCAGAGACTCCCTCTCGGAGGGGACCGAAAGGACCGAGAGGAACAGCACTTAATGAATCAGCCTTCCAGCCTTGCTGCTGAGCAAGAACAAAAGACATAATATGGGAACCACTTGAGAATGTTAATGAGGGTCTCCCATTTTGTTTCACTCGACTTACCTTCCCGGCCGGCTGATTGCGACTCTCGAGTCCTTCAAGTCGGACACTCCATTCACCTCATCGCGATTGCGGCCGGTGACAATAGCCCAGCGCAATGGGTTGTCCACCCAGTGACCAACAACTTTGTACCCGCCGTCTCCAGAGCTCTGGCTGGATTGCTGCTTACCCGCGAGGCCGGCGACCCAGCCTTCAGTCAGGCCGATGGCAATGTCGATTTCATTTCCGCGAAGCGAGGTGATCATGTGCCCAGTCCCGGATGGAAATGGGGTCAGAGCGATCTTGAAAGGGAGGGAGGCGATCGCCGGAGAGCGCAGTGCGAGGTGGAGAGGCGCCAGGTAGTGTTCTAACAACGGTGGGAAGCTAGAGGTTAGCTTTCGAGCTCATCTGTGCTAGAAGCGGTACGGCAAGCAGATTCGAAGCTCGACAGCAGCTTTGCTTCGCGCCGGTGTACCTGAGGATGGACGTACCAGGCACGTAGCCAATGCGGATAGTTTCGGCCATTGTGTAAGGGTTGATATGAATAGAAGGAGAGTCGGGATACCGCGGGGATGGTATTCCTCCGCGGGGCAAGCCCCTCAACGGACACAACCGGAGATAGCGCAACTCCAACTTTTTTTTTTTTGTTTTTCTGTTTTGCTGTTCTTTTGGACAAAACAGGTATTATGATAGCATCATCTCATTCAAATTACATGTCTATGTAGTTCACCCTCTATGTACATGTCTATCTTGACCTCAGTTCATGCGAATGTCCTTCGGCTCGTGACCCCAGCGACTGTTTTGTTCAGAACTGCCCGCAGTATGCGATGTATGACGGGAGTGAGTAGACACATGTCGCGAGTGGGATGTGGATGTTTTCCGGGAAAACATATAGAACTGGAACCCAAGGTAGAAGTCGCACACGCACTGGAACATACCGCAGAGCTTGAACGCCCACGGAATGGTCTCAGAGCTGTTAAAGAAGTAGCTCATCTTCATGGTATCACCAAGAATCCAAGCCGCGATGACTGACACTCGGAAGCCCTTGCATGAGCCGGATCGGTGGTTCGCGACGATTTGAGGGAGGGGCAGAGTGGCTTCCACGGCAAGTCCAACGTAGCCGAGGAAGCTGATGTAGTAGTCGATTTGACCGATCGGGGTCAAGTGAATCACACCGAGGACACCGACGAAGTAGGCGAGGAACATCCAGTATCTGTGAGGCACCACTGATTAACACGAGCTCGCATGCGGATTTAGGGGTTGCTGGAACTTACGGCCTGTCGTTCTTCCACTGCCAGAACTCATAAGGCCTCGTGGGCGCTTCAGAGCCTGCATCGCTGAAAGGCGCATGCTCAATTCCATGTCTTCCACCAGAGGAGGGGCGATTGTCCAGCGCAACCTTGAGGAGGATCGATTGAACCACTATCATAACAATTGCTTGCGTGAGCAGAGTATACGAGTAGTATTCTCCAAACCAGTAGTAAATCCTAATTATGTCAACGTCGGACCCAGGCGGGTGGTTCGGGTATGCCAAGCATGAGCTTACTTCAAAACCGAGGAAATCAGCATGATCAGGGGAATGTCCAGTGAGAAGCCAGCCGAGCTTCTTGTGCGATGGATGCTCAGGATCTGGTCCGCATAGGACGTCACTGGCGACGTGACGAGGCTGTGGAGCTTAGCAGGTGCAATTCGGAGGCGCATAAGGGAACTTACAACACTGGTGCAGCATAATCGAAGATGACCTGGAAGAGCGACATGGCGAGGTTCCCGCGGGAGGCAATTGAATGTCCCGACGCAAGAAAATGAAGAAGCAGCCAAGGCGACAATCGGCTCGAGGGTGAGAAAAAGGTACCGGACACGCATGCGGCTTTTTTCCCGACCTGGAGTGTTATGTCAGCTGCCGATCTGTTGATCTAATTCCCAAAACGGCAAATTGGCCAGGGTCAACGGGGTTCAGGGTCTTTTATTTAGTTTGATACATCAGGTGTCACGAATAAATATTGGACTTTTTTGAATGTCTACATATTGCATTTGCTACAGATAATTGGCTCGAGTATTTTCAAATTTGGTAGCGGACACATATGCGGAAAGATGGCAATCATATACTTCAATACCAGTTTGGGGTGAGCCATAATAGAATCGGAACTCCAGGGCTGTGATCTGCAGATGATACCATTTGAGAATTTGCTCTGCTCAGGTGAAGAGTATGATAAAGTAGCAATCACAAAAGTGAACAGGCTTCAAACTAAAAATTAAAAGAGTCACAATTCATGAACATATCCATATTCCCCAGTCCAGACGAGACCATCGACGTAAATTGCCCCCACCCCGAATAATCAGAGCAGAGACCAGGAATAGTACTGTTGAAATCCATAATCTGATCCGCCAGGCCCGTACTGGTGTCAACAGTGACGGGGCTGTCGTTCATTTGCATGAACATCGGTTCGGCCCCATTCCCATGTGGGTCGAAGGATTCTCCCAGCCCTGTTTTGCAAGGGTGCATGCGTTTCGTTTGCCGGAGTGCTTCCACGCGTAATTCCTCAAGTACGAGACTGTACCGTTCTGACAATGATCCCTTTTCGGCGATCGCGGAAATGTGGGCTTGACATCGGGATGCGGCAGTCAGGTAGGGGGTGTATACTTCTGGCGGGGACGCACACTCTTGGATCACGTATATGTAAAGCATGATGGTTGCCCCGAAGGCAAAATATGCAGTGTTCTACTCCGTATGACGGGTTAGCATGCAGTAAGTGGTGAAGGGGCCTTGAAGTGGCCGGGATGGACCCACCCAGAACGCGCGGAACAGCTGTCGGCTTTCGGTGATCTCGCTGATTGTGTTTGCTGTCATCATTGCTGCATCGAGGCATTTATGCAGGCTCTCCCCATGGAGAACATCCTGTATATCCAAGTTTTGTCGCTTCGAAAGACGGGCGAAGCTGCTTAATACACATGGCCGATGAGTGAGAATGATCGCATGCCAGTAAGTCATGTTCAGAACGTTCCGTTGTCGCTGAAATATGGGAAGAAAAAGTGATGTACTGGCGCTGTCAACATCTAGGAATCCCGATAGCTCTGCTCGCCAATCGCTTAGCTCCTGGGAGATTTCTCGAACAGCGGCAGCCTGGCGGGTAGCTGGGACAGGTTTGATGGCGTACAGATTGCTCAGTATTTTGCTAGTAATTTGGGCAAGCCTATGCTGTCAGTTCATCACCGAGGGGCTCGATTAACAGAAAAAAATGTGGACATTAGGGATCTTACTTCATATGTGCAATTGCGGCTAGCATGGTCGACGGTCTCCTAGTTCTGTCCGGGGTTGCGAGAATCTTCAACTGGCCGATGACCAAGTCTTCATCCTCGACACATGCTGGTAGCTCCGCATCAATGTCATCATCATGAAAAGTCCGAGGCCTTCCCAAGGCAGCACTTAAGTATGCATCCAAGGTATATGCGCACCAGAATGTTCGACGACGGCACTCAGCTTCCACAAGACTCGGGCCGTTTGCAAATTCCGGAGGGTCGTTTCTGTTCAGACCAATTGCCAGAGCCAGATGAGATACAGTCCCGAACAAGCTCCAACAGTGGTTGATGCGAGATTGTGTGAGGAGGTAGTAACACTGGAGCAGGCGAGCCTGTACACTAGTTAATTGTATTGAGCCTTTCTCTTTCGTGAGCTGGTGCTCGGCTGCCGTGAAGTAGCGATTGCTGATATGGCGAAATCGATCAGCTTATTGGCCTGGTACGTAGCGGCAAACACAAACCTCAAATCTGACGGCCCTGGCCGATCACCTTCAGGCATATATACCCTTGCATGTGCAAAGACCATAAAGAGCAGAGCACTCCTGGCTGACGCGTTCTGCTTATCATGCATTGCCCCAAGAGTGTCATAGAACTCATCAAACCATCTCTGAAGGGTATGTCGGTGGAGAAATCGATATGTAGGCATAGCGAAATCAAAATATCGATCAACTAAACGCTGCGCATCTACCTTGGGAAGCATCATGCAGAATGAAGGATCGAACTCTGGTCTCTGTATCGGTGCGTCACCAAAAGCAAAGATGCTATTAGCCTGAGATGTTGAAATGGCTTTATGGAGACGTTTCTGGATTCTCAGTAGGAACGACACTCCCGATGCAGGCCCGATATAGTTTCCTGGAAGATCAGTCTGACTCGGACTGGGAGATGTTTGGGATTCATCATAGTCAAAAGTGGATGCTGCATCCTGTGGTGAGAGTGAGACATGCGCGCTATGCAGCTCTGGTACCCCAGACGAGGACGAGGTCACTCTTTTGGGTAATATCGTAGAGTATTGCTGGTACTCCAATTGTTGTCCCGACACAGTATCTTCATCGACCGCAAGTGAGCTTCTGTTGTCCCCGGAGGCTGGGATGGCAGGGATCCGCCCCCTTGCATATGCCTGAGCAAATGTGCAGTTTGCTTTTGCCCGGAGACAGAAGCCACATGGCTGCGTACCATTGCACTTGATCTTTCTTCTAGGTGCATGTTAGCAAGAAGCCCACAAAGTGGCGCTGAGGGACCTCTCACTTCCTGCATCTGTCGCAAGCCCTAGTGACCCGTACCCTTTCCCTTCGACTCCGCTTCTTCAACTCCGACCTACTCGCGGATTCCAGGATCTGATCCGATACCATCATGTCACACGGAAAAGCAAAGAGCAAACGGATCGAAGAGACGGCTGTTAAGCCGAAATGCGGAGAAGCGGAGCCAAGCTCTTTTCCGTGTGGGGGCGGAGGTACTCCGTATACAATGTTGGAGACTTATGGCATTCAATTTATTCGAGGTTTTCCCATGTTGAACTTGTCTACTTCATTTGATCCTCCCTCACACAATGCCTACAGTAATGTCACAGCGCCTTGACGGCAAAACAGTCCTGATCACCGGTGCTTCATCCGGTATTGGGCGCTCTACTGCATTCGAATTCGCTCGCACATCACCACAGAATCTGAAACTCATCTTGACTGCCCGACGAATTGATATCCTAAATCAGATCGCCAGTGAGATTGTTCAAGAGGTTGGCGCAGGTGTCAAAGTCCTCCCCGTCCAGCTCGATGTGAGTAATGCGGACGCGGTACGGGACTTTGTGAGCCAATTGCCAAGCGAGTTCAAAGAGGTCGATGTTCTTGTTAACAATGCGTGGGTTTTGCTCCTATATACTAGCTTGAGACTGCTTAATAACTCTTTTTTGAATAGTGGACTCGTCAAAGGTGTCGCGAAAGCACCCGAGATCGCGGAAGATGATGTCGAAATCATGTTCAAGACGAATGTCACAGGATTGATCAACATGACCCAGGCAATTCTGCCTTCGATGCTTGCGCGCAACAACGGCGAGGGCTCTGGGGATATTATCAATATCGGATCTATTGCCGGTCGTGAGCCATACCCCGGCGGTAGTATCTACTGCGCGACCAAGGCTGCCGTTCGATCTTTCACAGAGAGCCTGCGCAAAGAGTTGATCGCTAAGCGGGTTCGCATAATCGGTATTGATCCTGGTCAGGTCGAGACCGAATTCTCGGTTGTTCGATTCAATGGCGACAAGAGCAAGGCGGATGCTGTCTATGCGTAAGTATTTTTCAAGGTCCTGGATGTTCAAGTGGCTGACTTTATCTCAGTGGCTGCGAGCCATTGACACCGGATGATATTGCCGAGACCATTGTCTTTGCAGCAGGACGGAGGGAGAATGTCGTTGTAGCAGATACCCTCCTTTTCCCTAATCACCAGGCGAGTGCTACCATCATGCACCGGAAGCTATAGAGCGGGAAGGGGAGCTTAGAAGATATCTGTGTCAATGATTTCCAGAGTTTTGAATGCAAATTAGAATGTCTTGAATATGAATCTACCTATTGTGTTCCAAACCGATCTTGTCAGGAAGTATAGCCGGCTCGTGAGTCGTGACTTGCATACATGTACTTTGAAAGCCTTGCGCTAAGAGAACTTTAGAATCGTATAACTTGGTTATTATTGAGTCTAATTCATCCAATATTCAGTCAATCATCACCCTGGAAGCCGCCAGATCATGCAATAATGCGTGGCGCTCACTTATCCGGTCACGCATATCCGTCAACGGAAAACGGCCAAGGACGGGACACGGAGAGAATGCCGGAGTCAGCTCTTTCTTGTCATTCGCTGAATAGTTTACCCCAAATATGTGCCATGCAAGCTAGCTTCATCCTTGAGCTTTCCCAAGAGAGAAAAGAAAGGGCTCACAGGGCTGCGGGGCTGGATCGCGACATGCTCCTGGTCTTGGGTGCGGATAACGACCCCAATTGCCCAGAGCTTTAAGTATCCTGGACCCCCATTACTGCAAATCCAAGTATTCTACCTCATATCATCCATCATGACAGCTTCTCAAGTACCACCCAGCGGCGTCTGGGCTCCTACCATCACATTCTTCAACCCCGACGACACCCTTGACACGGAATCCCAAGCAAAGTATTACGCATATCTATCCAAGACAGGCCTCGCCGGACTGGTAGTACTAGGCACAAATGCCGAGACCTTCCTCTTGACGCGCGAAGAGCGCAAGACTCTCCTGGAGGTAGCGCGCAATGCAGTTGGACCCTCATACCCGATCATGGCAGGCGTCGGTGGCCATTCGACGAAACAAGTGTTGGAATTCATTGCCGACGCAGCAGATGCCGGCGCCAACTCGGTCCTCCTTCTTCCTCCGGCATATTTTGGGAAACAGACTACCCCAGCTGTCATTGACAATTTCTTCGACGATGTCGCAACAGCCAGTCCCCTCCCTATCGTCATCTATAACTTCCCCACCGTTTGTAACGGAATCGACCTAGACTCCGCTACCATTGCGCGTCTTGCGAAGAAGCATAGCAATATTGTCGGTGTCAAGCTGACTTGCGGTGCTGTGGCAAAGATTACACGACTTTCGGCGGAATTCGAGCCTGAGAGGTTCGTGGTCTATGGTGGACAGTCGGATTTCTTGATTGGCGGCTTGGCCGCTGGCTCTGGAGGAACAGTTGCTGGGTTTGCCAATGTTTTCCCGAAGACCATTGTGCAGATCTACAACTTGTACAGAGAGGGCCGCTTCAAAGAGGCCATGGATCTGCATAAGAAGGCTGCCCTTGCCGAACAACCTTGCAAGGCTGGGATTGCTGCTGTGAAATATGCTGCTGCATTGAACACGGCCAAGGCTGTTGGTATTGAAGGAGCTTTGGAAAAGCTGAAGCCAAGGAGGCCATACACTGAACCCTCAGATTCGGAAAAGAAGGCAATTGAGTCGCAGATAGAAACCTTGGTGGCAATCGAGGCGTCTTTGTGATTAGACATGATGCACATATAGCGAGAAATCTCAATAAATACTTCTTTCCACTTCCAACGTTGTCTGGTCTTATGGAGCTGAATGTAACTCGATCGATACGCTCGATTATAGATCATGGTGCTCGCGATGTGCCATTTGTAGGCTTTTCTGGCTAGCATTATTCCGAGGTCCTGGTGTCTTCATACTGGTATGTATTGTCCTCAACCTTGACGGGGTCGATTCCGATTATTGAGACGGTCCTGGGGTGAGTCGCTTCTTACTTTACTGGTGCAAGATTGTTCACCTCGTTAATGATTCATAAATGTTGCTATAATAGCAGCTGTGATTTGAAGACAAAAAGTCAACCCGCGCTAATCCAATATTCTCAAAGTGCCTGCCTTCCAACGAAACGATTTAAAGAACGTATTTGAACAGTGGAGACCTATCTCCCAAGTCAAACAATTCGTCCTCAGTGTACTTAACTCTCGCCTCATCTGCCACTTTGTCCTTCTTTGCATTGCCAGTCTTGTAGCTCCACTCAAGGAACAAAGCAACGAAGAATCCAAACCCACCCAAGGCCATGCTAAGACCAAAGCCGGTCTCGTACCGTGGGCTCTCCCTCTCCAGATACATGAAACTGCCAAGGATACCACCGACGTTGCCGACACAATTCATCAGCGCGATACCGATAGCACGTCGTGATGAGGGGGCAATGTTGTTTGCGTTCCATGAAGCGGCTGCGGCTTGAATGGGGTAGATACCAATAACAGCTAGCACGACAGCGAAGTATGCCACTCCTTTCTTTGCTTCGAGGGCACCATCCAGCGAGAAAATGATAGCGTAGGCAGTCACGACAATCAGCATGGGAATTGCCACAAATGGCATTCGCCAGTAGAAGTGGTCGGAAACTCGGGCAAAGCAGATTGCTGATATCGCGGCCGCAACATATGGAGGGGCGGAAGTAAGTTGGGCATTTGTGGAGCTGAAGCCCATGGACTTCGTGATTGTTGGGAGTGTGAACTTGGTACCGTATGACAGGGCCGACTGGCAGAGCAGGAAGTAGGCTTGTACATAGACCCGCCAGTTTGTTAGAACCATCGTCAAGTCTCTCCACTTGAAGCCTTCGTTTTCATTGCTGCTGGTGCCACCCTGCTTGATGAACATTGAGAGTTCCAGATAACGGATTTCCTCCTCCGTCAGCCAGCGCTTGGATAAGGCAGGTGTGTCGATCAGCAGGAAAAAGCAGGCAACTCCTAGCACAACACTAGCAAGGCCTTCCAGGATGAAGATCCACCGCCAGCCCTCAAGGCCGCCAGTTCCGTCCATCTTGGCAATTCCAGCGGCTAGAAGACCGGAAAAGGCACCAGACAAGGCACTTGCACAGTAGAAGTATGAGATGCGAAGCGCAAGTTCCTTTGGCATGTACCAGTATGAGCAAAGGTAGATGGCACCTGGGAAGAAGCCAGCCCTGTATGAGCTATTAGTACGAGTACAAATGGGGTAGTGGAAATCGCTTACTCGAAAATTCCAAGTAGAACTCTCGTAACCATAAGGCCTGCGAAGTTCTGGACTAGACCTGTGCAGGTCATGACAATACCCCAACTCAGGACGAGAAGACCTAGATACACCGAGGGGCGCTTGAACTTCTTCAGGAGAATGTTGCTGGGAACTTCAAGCAGAACGTATGGAATGAAGACTGGACAGTAGATTAGCCTAGTTCGCACATGATTTTCCACGATCATGAGGGGAGAATCCTTTCACCAATCACTTACAGATAGAGAGAACGGTGTTATACTGAATCCCGCTCATCTTCAGATCTTCAACCATTCCTTCGATCTTGGCATTTCCAATATTGGCTCGATCAATGTGACTGATCAAGTACAAGACTGCCAACATTGGAACCAAACGTATATCCACCTAAGACGCAACGCATTAGCATCCGAGTTCATAGCACTGGAAAGCTCCCGAAGTCTTACCTTGTGGAAGACCTTCTTCCGCTTCTCCGGTGGATAGTTGATATAGAAGTCCGCATCTTCAGGCGTCAAGCCGACAACACGGAAAGTATCGATCTCGGTAACATGGGACGGTTTGGGGAGACTCTCGATGTGAGAAGGCTGGTCGACAATCTCAACGTCGTCCTTTCCAATAGACCCGGAATTCATGGCTGCGAGAGTTGACTACCACGATGATCAGGGTAAAACAGACACGAAAGTCCCAAGATCACGGCTGGCAACCGGGGCTATATACACATGTCGGATATGCTTAAAACAAATGGTCTAAGCTCCCGCTTCCCCAGTACCCCGGCCTTGGCAACCGTGTTAACAGGTGGATTCGGTCAGAGCTAAGAATGCGGGGGACTCTTGGCTGTCCAGGTGTCAAAGGAAACCTTTCCATCTTGGTATAGTCTTCCTCTTTTCCGATAATCCGTCTAACCTTAGCGGGTGGTCTGAGGCTACGGATAAGCACCCAGTCAGCAACTGTTCCTTTGCGGATAAGTCGCCAGTCCCGTCCAGGCGGGGGACTCCTATTGCCAAGGCTGGGGACCCTGGACCTTTCTCCGAGGGCGGTTCTCCGGCGTCGGAAATGTGGGAAAAGCAGTCGGCGTGGGGGGTGAGGATGATGGTGACATGGTATATATCGATTGGTTATTTCCTATCGCTTAGCATCGCTTACCGGCTCAAGTCGACTCGTCAGCCATGTCTCGGATAATAAAGAATATCGTTATCACACCAGTGGCATTCCATGATATGCCACTGTTGAACAGTGTGGGTGTACATGAGCCATTCGCCCTGCGCAGCATTATCGAAATCATTACCGATTCCACATATGGTCTTGGGGAGTCATATGGTGACTCGGCTCACCTGGCTCGCTTGGAAAAAGCGGCCGAGAAGATTAAGGGTCTTTCTGTGTACGATACAAATGCAATTTATCAAGTTTGCACCGACTCCCTAGTCGGCGACACTACCACAGGTGGCGATGGAATGGCCGGTATGGTCACCACGGCGTCTGTTGTCGACAAAGTTTTCTCTCCCTTCGAAGTTGCTTGCCTGGATATTCAAGGAAAAATTGCCGGCCTCCCAGTGAGCGATTTGCTCGGTGGTCGGGTGAGAGACTCCGTTCAGTATTCTGCATACCTCTTTTACAAGTGGGCCGGACACCCAGGTCAGCCAGATGACGAATACGGAGAAGCTTTAGACCCAGCTGGTGTTGTGAAGCAAGCAAAGAAGATCATCGACGAATATGGGTTCAAGGCCATCAAGTTGAAGGGTGGTGTCTACCCGCCTGCGGAGGAGGTCGAGGCGATCAAAGCGTTGCATGCTGCATTTCCGGGTGTGCCTCTGCGACTTGACCCGAACGCAGCATGGACCGTGGAGACCTCGAAATGGGTAGCCCAAGAGCTGGACGGCATTGTTGAGTATCTGGAGGATCCCGCTCCAGAGATTGATGGCATGGCAGCGGTTGCCAAAGAAGCATCGATGCCTTTGGCGACGAACATGGCTGTCGTTGCATTCTCTCATCTTCCACCTTCTGTTGCTCAAAACGCAGTACAGGTTATTCTGTCGGATCATCACTTCTGGGGAGGCCTGCGCAAGTCACAAACGTTAGCGTCTATCTGTGCAATTTGGAACATGCGATTGTCCATGCATTCCAATAGCCACTTGGGTATCTCTCTCGCCGCTATGACTCACTTGGCATCTGCCACTCCAAACTTGGACTATGCCTGCGACACTCACTGGCCGTGGAAGCTTCGCGAGGAAGATGTGATTGTCGACGGTGCACTCAAGTGGGCCGATGGCGGTGTTATTGTGCCAACTGCTCCAGGCCTCGGAATTGAACTGGACAGGAAGAAGTTGGCACTTCTCCATCAGCAATATCTTGACTGTGGAATGACGAAGAGAGACGATACCACGTACATGAAAAAATTCCGACCCGAGTTTTCGCCGCACATTCCGAGATGGTGAGGTGAAGACCGCGCAGTTGGGGTGAGTCGGTCTTTTATGAGCCCTGGAGCCAGATATCCGACCTCAGGTTTCAACAAAGACCAGAAGATTAGCTGTAAGATCCGTATAAATGAGATGAGCTTCATTCCAAGTTTCTTTGTAACATAGTTCAAGCATTTCTTAAATACACCCATAAATATGGCAATATACAATTTGGCTAAAATTCGATGCGCCAGGTCTTGCCAATGCCAACATTGGGTTTCTTCACCACCGCATAGGGGGCCTTGCCAGCCTCCTGCTCATAGAACTCCAAAGAGGCGGTGGAGGCAGACTTAGCTCCGTCTTCAATCACAGTGACAGTCTGCTTGTCTTTCCATTCTGTGGGCGGATCAACGACCACGACCCGCTCGACAGTAACGCCAGACATAGCTTTGAGGTATTCGGCTGTCTTGGCTCCCTTGGTGCCAATGTCCTCCGAGGACAAGGCAGATTCGCGGTAGTTGAAACGGCGGTGAATGTATGCTCCACGCTCATAATCGAAGGTCTCGCCATCATCGACGTAGAGCGTTCCTTCAGCTTCGCCGTTCTTGTCGAGGGTAAGGATCAATGTGTAAGGGTCCCAGCGCATGAGTCCGGTGCTGCGACGAGGGCGGTCCTTGCGGGGAATGACGTGACCACCCTGAATCAAAACGGGGACCTTCTGTTCAGGTGCAGGGACGGTGTGCTTCTTACCCGCGCCCTGGTAGACTGTGAAATCGAAGTAGTCGTAGTACTTCTCGTCGTCGGAAATGTATACATCAGCGCTATTAGTGTTTTCCTTCACAACCGGCTTCACGAGAAGACCAGTGGAAGCGAGGTACAGTTGATCATCGATAGCAAAGCCTCGCTCATCCTCGGGGAAGACGTAGTACTGTGGTCGCACGATTGGGGTACCGTTAACCGAAGCTTCGTGGAAAGCTGTGTACCAAGCGGGCATGAGCTGGTATCTGAGGCGAATGGACTGGGCGATGTATGATCGGTGTGGTTCACTGATCAAATAAGGCTCACGTCGACGAGTATCGATGTGAGCGTGTGCACGGAAGAAGGGGTACCAAATACCGGTTTGGTACCAACGGCTCAAAAGCTGCTTGTCGGGATTGTGGAAGAAACCACCAACATCTGCACCAGCGAATGGGAAACCAGCAATACCATTGGTCAAGACCATGGGGATGGTGGCTCCTAGGTGTTCCCAGGTAGCTTGGTTGTCTCCAGTCCACATAGCAGACACACGCTGAGCGCCGGAGTAGTAAGAGCGCGTCAGAATGAATGGCCTGCGGACCTCGCCCTTCTTGCGCTCCAGCATTGCCTCATAGGTGGCATTCAAAAGGGTCAGGCCATTGACATTGTGGATGTCACGGTGCTCCCAGTTACCGTAGTGAAGGTTGTCCTTAGGCATGGTCATATCAGGTCCATTGAAGACTGAGGGCTCGTTCATATCATTCCAGATGAAAAGATTTTGAAGAGATCCCTTGAACTTGTCAAACTTGTGAAGAGTAGCCCACCAAGCACGCGCTGCAGGGCTAAAGCAATCCACCCAGTTCGACGAACCTGGCCAGCACCATCCGTCGTAAATGTCGCCATCCTTGTTCAGCACAGCGAGATTTTTGCTCCTGAGCTCCTCGGAAACAAAATACTTATCCGCGTTCTTGATGTGGGGGTCAATCAAGACCACAAGCTTGCGCTCGCTTTCATCAAGCTTTTGCTGCATACCCTTAGGATCGGGGAAGGTGAGAGAATCCCAAGTGAAGTATTTGCGGTCATCGGTATATTCGAGATCAAGCCAGATCACGTCGTAGGGAATCTGGTACTTGTCAAACTTGGCATTGACTTCCTTCACATCCTCGTCCGTGACGTAGTTCCAGCGGCACTGGTGATACCCAATCGCAAATTGTTGGGGTAGCTGCGTGTATCCAGTGAGTTCACCGTAGGTTTTGCTGATGTCATTAGGCGAGGGCCCAAGGAACACAAACAGGTCGATGCGACCAGACTCTGAGAACCAATGAGTGTGGGTGTTCTTCTTTGCGTTGTGGCCCAAAGCGAGGGGGTTGGAGGAGATAGTGGACTTCACAATATCAATCCAGGTCTCGGCGGCATTGAGCCAGAAGACACCAACGGTCGAGTTCTTGCGGTGGGCTTGCATGAGGGGAATGGCTCCATACAAAGTCATCGGGCTTTCGAGTTCATACTCGAACACATCCGAGTTGTAAAGACGGTATGGATCATCGTGGTTGCCGGGTCCACCACCTCGGGTCTCCTTCAGGGAGAGCGAATCTGCGTGCTCTGGAATACCGAAGACGTGGCTGTAACCTGGGAAAGTGACATCAAGAGCGATACTTTCAGGGCCCCTTGGCTTCGAGTCGGTGTTTCCTCCGAATGTCTCCTCCCACCAGGTGCTTTCGTCCTCCGCGGCGGACTCGCCTTCTGGGACGTCCACCTTTGGTCGCCAGTGCTCCAAATTCAACAGGCCCTGGTGGTTCAATTGAACGTGTGTCTCTCCGTCTCGTTGGAAGTCGATCCCAAATGGCGCATGGCGGACAATGGCTTGGAATGCGTCACCCGGTCCATAGAGAACGTTGGTAAAGCCGGTCTCACTCTGGGCGTTCAAGGTGGCCGACTTGCTGACTTCCAGGCCGCCCACGATAGCCCATTGCTCAGCCTCATCATATCGCTTCTTGTTTGCCTGGCTGCCATGGCGCATCTCAATGTCACCCTGTAGTCGTTTCTCTTCGTCCACCAGGATGCGGGCAGCTCCCGATTCCAGGAAGGACACCGTGAGGGGTAACCGGACCTTCTCATTGCTTGTGGTTGTTTTGATGATGATGCCTGTCAGCAGGCCATCCTTGAAATGCACGGTTGCAGGGTCGAGCTCGTAAGGGGAGCTCCATGATGTTCCCAGGGCAGAGGCGTTGTCGGCATAGGCTCGGTTTCGTTTGCAGAACCCGGACTGCTCGCATGTTTTGAAATCTTTGCGCTTTACGGCATCTTTCAGTAACACCAGTGTTAGATATCCGGCGGGAGAGACTCGCTTCTCGGACAAAGGCGAAACTTACAACCGGGGACGACCATGCATCCGATAAGAATGACCAGAGAGAGCAACAGAGCCCATCGGGCTGGCGGGCTCCTGGCCATATTGTGAATAGGTTAATCGATCAGAGAGCCTCGATCTCCGACAGAATGAAGTGGAATCTCAGTGGAAGACCTGCATTTAGAGGTGGAGATCACTGTCAACAACCGGAAGCTACCCGCAAGCTGGCCTCGAGCTGGGGTAGTTTATCTGCCTGAGGCATACAGTAAGGCAGCAAGGCATCAATCTATGTGAGCTAGCCAAATCCGGAATAGACGAAGTCTACCGCGGGCCCGCCTCACCTTCTTCCTTCTTCCTAAGAGACAATTTTCCTGCTCGTGCAGTTTCTTTGGAGTCATTGACAGATTTACGAACCATCAGTCATCTCGTATGAGGTTACAGCCGCAAAGAAGAGGCAGGAAATATAAGCCTCTCTCTACTAACAATTCATTCAACAAACGTCACAAGCGGAATAACAAAGTTGACCGTTGCGGACCTAGGCAAGAGCTATGCAATACCGGGATAATCTATTATTGCAATCAAGGAGTTGGCCAAGCCAGGCTGCGCTACAAGCTTGATCCAAGGTCTTTGATTCGATCATCCCTGGTTGAGAGCATATTCTTTAGGCTATTCAACAGGGGTAGTAAACGGGAAGGGTCTTCCGGAGTATTGTCGACGGCTCTTTGGGCAACCTGAATTGCCTGCTCTAGATCGGTTTCAGCTCCCGTTAGTTGAGACCTAGCAAAAAGCATCTTTGCTAAGGCATTCAACCGGGGTGGTAAACGAGGATTGTCTTCCCGGGTAGCGTCGACGGCTTTTTGGGCAACCTGAATTCCCTCTTCTAGAGTACCTATATCTCCCACTCGTTCATATCTAGCGAAGAGTATGTTTGCCAGATCATTTAAACGACGTGGAAGGTCAGGATGGTCTTCAGGGGTAGTGTCGACGGCTCTTTGGGCAGACTGAATTGCCTCCTCTGAGGTGTGGGAGCTATCAGTCCGTTCAAGCTGAGCTGAGGGGTTGAGGGTCAGATCTTCCAACCGAGTTGGTACATAGGGCAGCTGGACAGCCTTTGTATGCCCGTTCACAGAAGCAACCTGCGAAGCATTTCCGTGATTCCCATCCTGCGCATTGGCATCGGCACCATGCTCAAGGAGAATCTGGGCGATTTCTGTATGCCCTTTCACAGAAGCAGCATGTAAAGCATTTCCGTACTCCCCGCCCTGCGCATTTGCATCGGCACCATGCTCAAGAAGAATCTGGGCGATTTCTGTATGCCCTTTCACAGAAGCAGCATGTAAAGCATTTCCGTACTCCCCAACCTGCGCATTGACATTGGCTCCGTGATCAATGAGAATCTGGGCGAGTTCTGCATATCCGTTCTCAGAAGCAACCTGTAAAGCATTTCCATAACCCCCACCCTGCGCATTGACATTGGCTCCATAGTCAATGAGAATCTGGGCGATTTCTGTATGCCCATTCACAGAAGCAGCCTGTAAAGGATTTCCGTACTGCCCACTCTGGGTATTGACGTCGGCTCCATGGTCAATGAGAATCCGAACGATTTCTGTATGTCCCCTCACGCAAGCAGCCTGTAAAGCATTTCCGTAACCCCCGCCCTGTGCATTGACATTGGCTCCATGATCAAGGAGAATCTGGACGATTTCTCTATGCCCATTTAGAGAAGCAGCCTGTAAAGCATCTCTGAAAAGCAGATTCTGCGTATCGACATCGGCTCCATATTCAAGGAGAATCTGTACAATTTCTATATGCCCATTCAGAGAAGCAGCCTGTAAAGCAGTTCCATAAAGCCCACCCTTCGTATTGGTATCGGCTCCATGGTCAAGGAGAATCTGGACGAGTTCTGTATGCCCATGCACAGAAGCAGCCTGCAAAGCATTTCCGTAGTCCCCACCCTGAGCATTGACATCGGCTCCATGTTCAAGAAGATGCCGGACGAGCGCTTTTTCCCCCCCAAGGGAAGCAGTCAAAAAGCGAGACAGGGTTTCGTGATCATCAGCGACCTCGAGATTTGATATGTGGTCTTGTCCTTGGGGATTTTCCTCCAAATCCGACATCCTTTCCATGTCACCCATCTCGCGTTGGTCATCATGGACACTGCCGATAAGCAGGCTGCCTGAACTGTCAGAGTCAACTTGGGCCCCTTGCGAAACTTTATCTGCTGAGCCAAGACTTCCATCATGCGCAGGTGATCTTGGAAGAGCAAAACATGCTATTCTTCGAAGATGACCAGCAATGTGAGATACAGATACATTATGACATTGGCAGAATGGACAATCGCGGGTTTGAAACGGCGCCGGTGACATATTAGACTGTGACTCTGGTTGATGATTCGAAACTTCATGCCCGATCCAGTCGTGGAGGCTGTCATACTGTTGATCGGGATCTCGACAGTCCTCGTAGGTGCAGATATAAGGCCTTAAATCACGAAATACGTGTGTTCGAAAAGCCAAGTCAGTAGGAAAAATTGTCAGTTATCAGGTAGATACTCACTGCCATGCTTTTTGTTTCAGTGTTTTTCGTGGGCAGATGATGCAGCAAAGAGGACATTCAAACTCCTTGACTGAAGCATTTACCATTGGTGGAGGGGGAATCGCTGCCTTATCACCATCTCGTTCGGTGGACATTGAAAAAACTGTACTTGATGAGGTTATCACGGATACATCATCGTCCAAATTGACCTTTCTGTCATCCAACCATGTTGCAGTTGAGGCCTTCAAGGACTCAGAAGTAGGTTGCAATACAGTTCGCTCTGATTGTGACTGGAGAGGCCTTTCCAAGCTGGGTTTTGGATTCTTTGTTTGGTGAGGGCGTTCTGCCACTGCATAATTTGCCCTGCGCTTGTTCCAGTATCGAAATTGCTGCCTCCGTCGGGTATTAGCCCGTGCAAGACGTTTGATCAAGTATTGACTTGGACTTAGATCTGGATGACCAAAGGAGCGAAAAATCTCCTCAACATGGCGAAGATCTCGTTGCTCGAACTCCTTGATGAGGTCCATTTTAGTCTCTGGGTCTATCTCAGAGTAGGTCGTTGCCTTGGAGAGTCCAATTCTCATGGCAGGATTTCGAATCTTGAACGCCAGATTATATAGTCTATCGATAGTCGACTGCATGTTGACCAGAAAAGCTTCCGAGAGAGATTCCATTTGATACGAGGAAAAGTCCTCGCTGTCTGAATCGTCGCTTACTGGAGGACTTTCCCGATCAGGGAGAGTGCCATGTTCCGGGTCATCGATTTCTTCATGAAGCTGAGGAAGAGAACTCTGAACTATAAAAGCATAACAAGTGTTAGAATTGCCAAAGGCATTACACTGGGTTCCTTACATTGCTGAAGCTCCCTGTCCAGATCGTGAAGCAGACAAAGAGCATAACTGAAAATACGTGGTGCATCACGACACCGATAATCGAAGGAACTGTGCCCGCGGTGATATAGTCCGAGATTGATTGCCCACACCTCGAAACGTTGCAGTTCATTCAATACGGCGAGGTTTTGATCATTTTCGTCTTCTACCAGTTGCTTGACATTGACGCATTGATCTTTGATTCTCCAGCCAATTTCGTATAGGGTTTCCGGGGTTGAATCTGCCATCTTCTTTGTGGTAAGATGTGTTTCCATCTGAAGCCCTAGGGAATTCCTAAAGCGGGGTAAGTCTTACCAAACATGTGGAAAATTGTTGCTTCTGATTGGTTACCTTCCTACTCCGTCTTCATATCAGCATCGCTATTGGTTGTTCTGCCTTATGTAACCCCCTTTCTGCCAATGTTCTTCTAAAAATGCTGGCAAATCCCCATCTTCATCTTTTTCGATCAGCTAACTTCATATACCTATTCAATAGTATCATATATACGTTCTCTCCAATTTTCTAGACTGTCACCCTACTATAGCTTAGCAAAATCTTAAATACAGCTTCTTCCAAGGTTATGCACTAACAAAAATCATATATTCTTATTGGTCATCTTCCCGCTCCGCCTTTACATCAGTCTTACTATTGGTTCCAAGGTTACTTCCAAGGTTGCTTTCCAAGCCCTAGAGGTTACCTACCTAGGTATGCATGTAAACCCCCATTCGGCCTATGCTCAGTTCTGCGGTTTATTGCTTCGCTCTATGTATCTATGGACATAACCCCTCAAACGCCTTACGCTCTTAAACCTGGAAATCCTTATAGCTTAAATAAAAAAACTGTATATATCCATATGCTAAATCGTACTGGACTTTGAGCCGCGCGAAGCGCGGCTGACAGACTTGTGAGTCTGACACATTAGAGTACGTGCTGCAGCGAGATACTTGTTATTCCACCGCCTTCCAGGGTCTCTTTCTTGGAAATCGCGTGTCTTTTCACAATCAACTGGTGTACTGGTGGGCTCCCGAGTTCATAAACTGTTAAGATTGTACCCGGCGCTCTTCAGACCTGGTACTTTTTTTCCATATTTGTTTTAACATAGACGTCTATCATCGGCCCCTCTTGGGTTTTGGAGTCTTGATTTCCTGGCATTTCTCACCGTTATTCTCAGAAAGGATGAGCGGGCTTGAAGTTGCCGGCGTCGTTCTGGGGGCTCTCCCGTTGATTATCACGGCCGTTGACAAATACCAAGTGACCGCCAAAATAATCAAAAATTTCAGACACAAGGAGCCCTACATTCAACGACTTGTGCAGGCTCTCAACGCGCAGTGGTTTTGTGTTGAAAGTGAGCTGGACATCATCTGGAAAGAGACCTTCAGCAGAGAGGACTTCATACCCCCACCGCCGAGCCCTGACGATTTCAAAAGCCCGATGGTCGCGCAGGCCATTCAGGAAACCCTCGGTGTTGGATATGAGCATTATATTGCTGCGCTCTCAGAATGCGAGCAGGCCTTGGTTGAAATTGCGACACACCTTCGCGGTTTGTCATCAGATACTACACAGGTATAGCCTTTCAAAGTTTGTCGACACCGTTCCTAACTATCAACATAGGACCTTGCTGTACTTGTTCAAGCCAATCCACCAAAGTCAAATGGCTCTTACGAGTTCACCAAGAAGATCAAGTTCGCTTTAAAGAAAGATGACTTAATGAGACACATCAAAGATCTAAACGATGCAACCAATGGGCTGTCCCGAATCAGAGAATACAGTCGTTTACGATGCCCTGTCACTCTTCAATCCACGTCCTCGGCAACAACTAGAATAGTGTCTTCCTTTGATTCCATTCGAAGGCATGCATGTCGACTGTACTCTACAATCTCGACTGTGTACGGAAAAAGCTGTCACCCGGAGCATGAGGCACACTTGTTCCTCCAAAGCAGAGCCGACATACTGCTCACAAAATACCGAACACCGAAAAAGACACCCGTCACTTTCACAGTATCATTTGGTCCGGCAAGCCACACCGATGTGTGCATCCCATCCCTTGCCACGGAAGTGAAAGTGTCAGAGGAAGACGCGTTGATACCTCAGTCTAGGTGAGTATGCTTTATTCAACATGGACTTATAGCGGCTTTGCTAACCAGAGAGTCAGCAATCTTACACTATCTAGTCGTGGTTCCCTTCATTCCTCGCAATATTCCTCGACCAGTACTCGTCGCGTGTCCTATCAACTTGACGCCCAATTTGAGACACACTGCAAATCAAACACTTTCAATTACCCCCTCGGCTCTAGTCGACTGGCCCCGATGCCACAAATCATACAAGATCTATGTCTGCATCTTTCGAAGAGTGCGGAGCTACAGGGTTTACATTTATCCCAGGATGACCATCTTTGTTACTATAACCATGAGCCAAAAATTCGACCTCAGCCGAGTGGACCAGCCAGTCATGTCCATTCCCTGGAAGAAATCCTTCAGCCCACATCATCCATCAAGCTATCACCCGTTTCGAGAATTGCTCTATCATTCAGCATAGCCTCCTCAGTGATGCAGTTAAATGACACGAAATGGTACCGCTTCCCAATAACAAGCAGCATGATCTGCCTTGTATGTGAAAACTCAGGAAGGCCAGACTCGGAACCTCGGCCATTCATCAGCCGCAAGTTTACTTCCTCGTTGGAGGACTCCCACGCGCTCAATGTTAAGCGAGTAATGCTCGAGCTCGGTATCGTTTTGCTCGAGCTATGGCAGGTCCGAACACTTGCCTCCTACGCTGATGAATGCCAAAAGCCCTATGGCACCCTAGGAGCTCGGTATGACCTCGCGCGCCACTGGTTGGACGTTTGTATAGGCAATATTCTCCCAGCCTTCTCTGAGGTGATTACCAGATGCATCGAGTGCACCTTTGTGACTAGGACGGCAGATCTGAAATGGATCGATACAGAATTCCGGAAATCTGTTTACGACTATGTTGTCAAGCCACTTGGGAAGCTTGTTCACCCTCATATCGAAGAATAGAGACTGAGCATATGCACATATAGATACTAGGTATAAATATTATTGGATATATTGGAATCATAGAAAAAGGATCTTCCCTCCAGGGCTGCTTTCGAAGGGGGGCCTAGTCCGGAACTCGTACTAGTAGTGCACTGGGTTATTGACTAGAATGCGGATATCTTTGGGTGAGGTGGGTTTACGGAGTATAAAATGTGCAACGATCAAAAAAATAATAAATCGCCCGACCGGGGGGTCGAACCCCGAACCTTGTGATATCACTTAGACTAGTAAAAGTCACACGCTCTAGCCATTGAGCTAGCCGGGCTGACTAATATATTTTTGCCCCCGAAACCAACATCAAGTCTTTGAAATGCGAAGAAAAATAAAAGACAAAAATGCAACGCCCGACCGGGGGGTCGAACCCCGAACCTTGTGATATCACTTGGAACAGTAAAAGTCACACGCTCTAGCCATTGAGCTAGCCGGGCATTCATGTGGATGACGCATCAGTATTGGAATTATCCTAGTGAACTCGACTTTCCACCAGGAATGTGGCAACTACCACTGGCATCCATGGGTGTTGCCCATGAAAGTACCAGCCCTGGAGAAGGGTTTGGGTTATGTGTGCTCCTCATGATAACGGAGGTAAACCAACTCTGGCATAATCTTGGAGCACTCGATCTTGGGTGAAGGAAAGAAAGAAAGAAGAAGGGAAAGAGAGAGAAAACGGCGAGCAGCCGGTGAACTAGAAAAGGAGTGTACAGGCCTGCAAACATCTCTAATTATTTGTTTTCGGCATTTTAAAACAGTTACTAGGTATATATTCAGGTGAAGGGCTTACTATCAGAAGGTCAAGTCCGGAAGGGACAAGTCAAAGCGTTTACGGGTCCACGGGTGTAAATTAGCTGTAGATCATGTAGGTTATGTTGTTCAAATGCTGCGTGGATATTAATACCCGTGGCACGTACCTAGGTAAAGAATAGGGCTATCCACAGCTGTTGTCAATTCATTTGGAGAGCCATCTGCCAAGGTGCTACTAGTACGGAGGATAGAGGACTATAGGGTTGTGATGGGTCTTGTAACATGGTTCTTATGTTTCTGTTACTTTTTTGAAGGTGTGTTTTCATTCTAAGATTTGGTCATCTAGTTTGTGAAGCATTCCATGTCGTCTGAGGATGGAGATACCTACCTAGGTAGTATGCCAGTGTCCACCTTTGCAGCCCCGGAGTGGCCCGGGGGCACTGGATATCATTCATGTTGACTTCTCTTCCTTAAAATCCTTTCAAGAGTCCGAATTTCTAACAAATTTATTTTCTCTTCTGAACGAAGAAGACTGCTCGTTTTGCAATGGTCATTCTTCGCTCTATCCCGAGGTCACTTCGTACTCGACACTCCAGCCCCAAGTAGACAACGAATTTCAAAGGAAGGGATACCTAGGTACAGTGCTCTTGATATCTTCGACCTTTGTGATTTCGAACACTAAACATTAGGTTTATCCATGATAAACATTCGGTCCTAGACTCATATTTGGTGCCTAGGCGTAGAAACCTCAGTTTTGGACAACCTTCCTTCATCTTGTAGTGAGGTCTAGCTAGGGCTTGACATTAGTTCCAACCTTGGAAGGTTCCAAGGTTAACCATATCCACATTCCATGCAAATTACTAGTACCATATTTTCAGCCACAAAAACCACATTGCAGCCACCTGGGATTCAGATGTTTACAAGAAGTGAACATATGTCTCCCTGTTTCTCGAAACTAGCGCACTGAGACATCCCACATGCTCGGACCAACGGGCAATTGCCATTCTGTAATATATTTATGGAATTGGTCGCACATGAAGATACAGTGGCTTTGAGATTTCCATAGCCACCGTTATGAAATGCATATAGAATTCAGGATGGAAGTAATAGATGTCTCACCAAGGGCATCTGGGCAGTGGACTGATAAAAATTGGCCTGGATATTCAGGCGAAAAGAAACCCCTCCTTGTGGCCACCAATCAACGGGCGACGGTGGCAGCGGGAAAAAAAAGGCTCTATTTAATCTTCCACTCCTCCCGCCCTCTTTTTCTGCTTCATACCACTCTATAAGGAATCATCAAAATGTCTGCCAACGAGGAACAAACGTATGTACCAATCCTTCCTTGGATCATCATTCGGTCTCAAGCTCACCAATCCCTCCAGTTTCATCGCCATCAAGCCCGATGGTGTCCAGGTATGGCTCAAACCTGAGCTCGACAACTCAATTGAGAGAGCTTCACTCACAATTCATTAGCGTGGCCTGATCGGCCCCATCATCTCTCGCTTCGAGAACCGTGGCTTCAAGCTCGTCGCTATGAAGCTCACCTCCCCCAGCCAGCAGCACCTCGAGACTCACTACGCTGACCTCTCCACCAAGCCCTTCTTCAAGGGTCTTGTCTCCTGTCGGTTGCCCCGCCCCCTTGCACAACTGGCATTCCACTAATGCAGCTTCAGACATGCTGAGCGGCCCCATCTGCGCTATGGTCTGGGAGGGTAAGGACGCCGTCAAGACCGGCCGTGTCCTCCTCGGTGCCACCAACCCCCTGGCTTCCGCCCCCGGTACCATCCGTGGTGACTTCGCCATCGTGAGTTCCCCTCCACATTTTAGTGCGACAATTCATACTTACACCTTTTCTAGGATGTCGGCCGCAACGTCTGCCACGGTTCCGACTCCGTCGAGAACGCCAAGAAGGAGATCGCCCTCTGGTTCTCTCCCTCCGAGGTCCTCAAGTGGAAGTCCACCCAGTCCGCTTGGGTTTACGAGTAAATTACTCGTTTCCACGTGGAACTGTTTGAAGGACACTCCTCGACTCTTTGCAGCATAGAATAAAGCAACAAATTTGAGGAAATGTCTTGATGACTTGGACAATAAACACCTATACGTCTTTTGTATGACATAGGAACATGCTCTGGTATCGTGGTATCTTTGACTACCTCAACCCCTTTTAAACAGCCTCCTAGCAAGGTTTGCTGTCGGGGTGAACACTGTCCTGGCAAACCACGGCGTGGCCCAAACGCTAGCCGCCAACCGAGCTGGCATTAAAGCTTTCGTAATGGCATAGGCTGTCGCAAACTCCAGTACGAGTCGCACACCGGCGCGTTCTACCCTGGTCTCCCCGGCCCCATGCTCCGCAACTGTATCTACATCCGCCTCGTCGACCCATCCCTTCTTCTTCAGCCAACGACCAAATCGGGCAGCCCCCTCATCAAAGGCATTAGACTCGCCGGTTTCAGAGCTGAGGTCTGGCATCCAAGCACCATAATGAAAGGCGCCAACTAGTCCAAACAGAGGAAGTATAGCAGTGATCTCATGAAGTATCAAGAACGATGTGACATGAGTGACTGGTGCGCCGAAGAGAGGTGTGGTATATGCACGAAGGAAGCGAGGGAGGCGGTCATTGAAGCGGCGGAGACGAGATAGAGAATCATTTGGTTTCAATTGCGAGGTCTTTGGTGGATTCGGAGTGGAAAATGCGCGTGTTGTCCGGGGTTGACCTCGCACCAGGCGGAGGTAGCGGAGAACGCTGGGCCCGCGGGATGGCATGCCGAGGAGCTGGCTCAACTGTGGGGGCATTGAGCGCAATTAGGGATATGTTTATGCAAATGTCCCCCGGCTGAGTCCGAGTTGAGGTCGACTTTGAATGTTAAGCTTGAAGATCGCCCGGGCGATTATCTGCTGACTCATCTTCTGCTCGGCCAAACTTTTTTTTTGAGCTTTTCGCCGATTTGAGTAAAGCTGTCCCTTGCTTGAGGGACAATTTAGCCGTAAGTGCATATATGTAGTAATTCTGTAGGTGGTCTTTCCACGCGAGATGGCCACTCGGCAGCTGAAGACATCATCGTTCCCGATGCGATCGGAGGTGACATGGTCCACTTTTGCCCGAACCCTCTTCTCTTCTCCTTCATCCAACGCCTCCTCGAGACCTCTTCTCAGATACAATGGAGAAGAAGATCACAGAGAAGATCGCGGCTTTGCCGCCTGATGCCAATTACTTCTCTTTGGAGTTCTTCCCTCCAAAGACTCGGATGGTGGGGTTACCCCGCTGAACGCATCAATATCTGCTCACAGGTTCTATAGGGCTTCGCCAACCTGTCCGCCCGTCTGGAGCGCATGGCCCAGGCTCTCCGTCCGCTATTCGTCACCGTAACTTGGGGTGCTGGTGGTAGCACCGCCGCGCGCTCCCTCGAGCTGGCAGAAGTATGCCAGCGCCAGCTGCAGTTGACCACCGTGCTCCACCTGACATGTACGAACATGAGCCGCAAACTTGTGGATATGGCACTAGATGAGGCTAAGGTGCTGGGGATTCGCAATATCCTCGCGCTCCGTGGTGACCCTCCTCGCAGTGAAGAATACAACATGCACGGAGAGGACGACAGCAACAAGGACTTCACTTTTGCCGTCGATCTGGTGCGCTACATTCGTGCTACGCACGGTGACTACTTCTGTGTCGGTGTTGCTGCATACCCCGAGGGCCACCCCGCCGACTCGTTCCAAGACACCCAGGACCCAGCCAGAGATATTCCCTACCTGGTTGAGAAGACGCAGGCCGGGGCGGATTTCATCATGACGCAGTTAACTTACGACATCGATGCCTACCAGAAGTTCGAAGACATGCTCCGCAACCATGAATCCGGTGCTTTCAAGACCATCCCCATCATCCCGGGTCTCATGCCCATTCACAGCTACAAGATTCTTACCCGTGTGACAAAGCTCAGCCATGTCACCATCCCTCCGCCTATCGCAAACCGTATGGAAGAGCTGAAGCATGATGATGACGCTGTCAAGCGTGCCGGTGTCGATATTGTCAGCGAGATCGTTGATGGTATCAAGGATATCCGTTGCCCTGGACCGAGGGGATTCCACTTCTACACCCTCAACCTGGAGAAGACCGTTTCCTTCATTCTCGAACAATGCAAGCTGATCCCTGAATACCAGGGAGACTCTGCTATCGAGGATGGCCCATCTATCCCTCTTGATTTCCCTGGACGTGCCCTCGGAAGACGCCGTGCTTCTTCCATCAACTCTCAACCCCACAACCGTGTCATTGTTGACAGACTGTCTGGAAAGGAGTCATCAGAGAATTCCGTGCATGAAGCACGCTCAGACCGCGCCGGTATGCCGGCAATGCCACCTAACCGTAGCACTACCCTTCTTATTTCCGAGGGTCAGGGCTCACTCGGCAGAGAGGCTACTTGGGATGATTTCCCCAACGGACGATGGGGTGATGCTCGTTCCCCCGCTTTCGGTGAGATTGATGGATACGGACCCTCGCTTCACGTCACTTCCAACGCTGCACGCCGCTTGTGGGGTCACCCCGTCGACTCGTCCGACATGAGCACGCTCTTCCGTCGCCATGTTTCCGGAGAGCTACACATGGTCCCATGGTCAGAGGGTGGAGCCGAGGAAGACGGCAGTGGCCTGAATGCAGAGACTGACCTCATTCGGCCGGAACTCCTCAAGCTCATTGATGGACGTGGTTGGTGGACACTTGCATCCCAGCCCGCTGTGAATGGCGTACACAGTGACCATCCCATCTTCGGCTGGGGTCCCCAGCGCGAAGGATTTGTATTCCAAAAGCCCTTCGTTGAGTTCTTTTGCTCCAACAATGACTACACCAACATCCTCAAGCCCATGTTCAAGAAGCACGGCCATGACAAGATGACCTGGTTCGCTACAAATATCAAGGGTGACTTTGAATCCTCTCTTCCCACCCAACCGGCTGATGTCGAGCTTGACGATCTCGGTGACAACCCCGAGAGTGTTAATGCCGTCACCTGGGGTGTCTTCCGTGGTAAGGAAATTGTCACCCCGACCATTATTGAAGAGGTCAGTTTCCGCGCCTGGGGCGAAGAGGCTTTCCGCATCTGGGACGAGTGGCGCCGCATCTACCCCCGCGGCTCGCCAACCGAGACTTACCTCGACACCACTAAGAATGATGCCTGGTTGGTCTGTGTCGTCGGTCAACAATTCGGTGCCGGTACCAAGCAGGGCTCCAAGGAGGAGGAAGACGAGGTCAAGTGGATGTGGCGTGTGTTGGCTGGCGAGGAGGTATGAGGGTATGGTCTGAATGACCAACCGGTACCACTCTCGATCTAATGCGCTCTGGCCCTTACTGGACATATGAGATGAATGGCACAAAATATGGAATTTTGTATATTATTCTTGATCTCGTCCCATTGAAATGAATATTACGATTATGCGGACAATTCTGTAGTACTCGCGAGATAATGCTTTCTGAATAATAAGTCTATCATTGAAACATGCATGAAGACTAAATATCATCGCTGATGCAAGTGCTGCTGAGATCTAACATTTATCAACCTCCATTAAACTCATACCTTCTTGGCAAACCCATGCTCCTCCAGGCCACTCGCATCGGTATCTGGAGTCGCAATTTGAGACTCGGTGTACTTCTGCTTGGCATGGTCGAGCTGGCCATAGGCCTTAGGCATGCGGAGGGGTTGGTTAGATCCATTGGCCGGGAGTTGGTATCCACGCAATCTGGTACAACAATTAGCAATGTGCACATCTTCAAAACCGAACCCCAAGATCCTCGCGGCTCGGGGTTGTCGAGTGGGTAGCAACATACCTAGGACCCTGTCCGGTGCTTTTTGGCATGGAAGACGAATAAGCGCGATTGAAGACGTAGACATCATCCTCATAGGTGCCACGCTGTATGCTCTCTCGAATGCCAGCAAAGAAGAGATCCATAACGTGGAAGTTATGCATTTGGATGAGTGCCCATGCAGTCATCTCTTTCGCCATCAGAAGATGGTGTACATAAGCGCGGTGGTAATTCTTGCAGGAATAGCACTGACATCCTTCAGTTAGCGGTGATGTGTCTGTGGCGTGCTCAGGAGACCACATATCAACACCAAGGGGTCGAGGCTTGGTGCTACTCTCTTTCGGGGCTGGAGCTGGGAAAGTAAACTCCAGCACAATACCGGCGTCAGAAGATTCGCCGACAAAAGGTGTAGTCAACAGGTCTGCACCCAGCGAAATTTCCCGCAAAACAGTATGCGGGGTCTCGGGCTCGCTGAAGAGCAGCCGGGGAAGACCTGATAATGACTCTGGGACGAATTCCAATGAAGCAGAGTGATAAAGAGCCAGGCCGGAAATATCCCACCGGAACTCGCTCTCGAGATCCTCAAGGTACAGCGACTGCTGTGCATTATCGAGTGGCAAGATTGGCGCAAAGAATGAGGCCTTTGGCTTCGCTTCCTCTGGCACAGAGTCCCCGTACATTTTGTCCAGCGCTTCAGTCGTCCATGCATGCGTTCGGTCGACCATTTTCGCCCGCCTCTTGTTCCCTGGCTCCTTGTTGGCCAAGTCTGCCATTCCGACAATGATATCCGGTCTCAGCTTTCGCACTGCCTCTATATACTCAGACGAGGGAAGTTGCCTAAACCCGACGGATGTCAGCAGTGCGATTGAGTTCGAAGTATTTGCAGGTGGGCATGGTATCGCTGGGAATCGCCGTGGTCCAAGGATCAAGGGCATGTCCTCGGCGACGCAGGTGAATTTCTTCAATGGCGACTCGTGTGCCGCGGCAGGTGTTTTATATACAGCGGGACTCTTTTTTTCGATGACTGGAGGGATTTACTGTCAGCGTGATCGGGTTCAGACACAGAAATGCATTCGATAATTGCTTACAGTCTTCCAAACCAACATAGAGACTGTTGATCGCTGTGTGATCGCGTATCACATCGTGCGCAATATGAGGCACAGTGCCCCGCGACGTGAGTGGGACGTGATGCGGCGTTACGATTGCTTTGCGGCCTGGAAGAGCTAGTTTTCCTACCCTCGGTGCAAGAATTGGAGCAGCAGATCCCAGGAGACTGAAACTCATCGCTGGTGGTGTCGCTTCCATGGCGCTTGTAGTGACTGAGAAGCGATGTTGCAGATCTCGATCTTATCGGCAGAAAAGGGCCCCGTGTTGTCCGATAAACATCTCCGTCGCCTGTCACGTACATCCACTGCATCACTCTGACAATTCCATTCTACGAGATCTACATTGGCTCAATTCTCATATTTCGGCATAAACTTTCAATTCCACCATGGCTACACAAGCACAGCCAACCCGACGTGGTGCTCTCATTGTCGTAGAGGGTCTCGACCGCGCCGGTAAATCAAGCCAGTGTGAGAAACTACGAGACTATCTGTCGCAACAAGGGAGTCCGGTCAAATACATTCGATTCCCAGGTATCTGAGCTTCTTCTCATGGTCATTCATTTTGGTCTAACAACCTCAAGACAGGACCACGCCCATCGGCAAATTAATTGATAGCTATCTACGCGGCTCATCCCACCAAGACGATCACTCCATCCACCTCCTATTTTCTGCAAACCGCTGGGAAGTTGCAAAGAGCATCGAAGAAGAAATCGCAAGCGGGACCACGGTCATTGTAGACCGCTACTCATATTCCGGCGCCGTCTACTCCGCGGCAAAGGCAAACCCCACTCTGTCATTGGAATGGGCCTGGCAGCCAGAGATCGGCCTTCCTCGTCCCGATCTTTGCCTTTTCCTCAGTATCTCCCCCGAGGAGGCAGCAAAGCGAGGTGGGTTTGGTGCGGAGAGATATGAGAACGAGACCATGCAGACCCGCGTGCGAGAGCTCTTCCGAACCATATTTGAGAAGCAGAATGGCGTTTCGATCATCGATGCTGGAAAGTCTATCGATGAAGTCGCATCGGAAATCCAAGGTGCTGTGGCTGGTTGCATCGCGCGTATGGATGCGACTGCGCCTCTGGGGAAGTTGGGCCCTCTTGTCTAAAATATATCCATATATTCTGCATCATTCCACCAGCTCTGCATCATCCCAATCGCTGTCTTCGATCACGATCTCGAGGTTTGACGGAGGGCGGGTTGAGTGATTTTTCTGTCGACCTTCAAAGTCAGAGTCAGATTCCAGGTCAAGCTCCTCGAACCAATTTGAACTAAGCTCATCTTGAGCTGGTTCTTCCAACTGTGTCCTTGGCTCGATCGAAGTCGCCCGAGGCACCGATCTTGTTTCCGATGTGGACTCCTTGCGCAGACGCTTCTCTCTCTTGCGCAGGATTGCACGGGCTTCCTTTTCGGCTCTGTTGCGAAAGCTCAACTCCCGCATCATCGTTGACCACTGCACAGTGTTTTTGCATAGTGGGCAACTTCCCTGGGCTGGTACCAGGAGATCTGGCTCCCCAGTAGCATCTAGTAAATGGCTAGATAGACACAAGAGATGACTGGTGCCGCGGCATTCCAAATGTGGGCATACTACTATTTGCTCTGTAGTTGGAGCGACCGGCTTTTTACAGACCGTGCACAGTAGATCTTCAGGGTCCTCCAGCATAAACATCGACTTGTCAAGGTAATCTTCCAACCTAGTATAATCGACTGACAAGTTGTTTATGCATCCGGTAGGTTCGAGCTCAGTTGTTTGCTTGGCGTTGGGCACCGTTGCCAGGTTATCACCATCTAGGATAATCTTGATATTGGGAGGCAACCTGGAATCTACACGGTCGTTCCAAGCGCGCCATACGCGATATACATCGGCACGGAAGAACCGGACCCGCAATGGCCCCGAAGAGAAGCACGTCGACCGAAGTAGAGAATGCAAATCCTCCAAATGGGCCGTCAGGGACCTCCTAGCCCGCGAACGTGGCTTGGCTTTGGGCTTGCCCGTCTTCGGGTCGATATTGACCTTGGCTTGGGACTGCTCGTCCGGTTCAAGGTGCCGTGATTTTTCCGGATGCTGCCAGGCCCATCTGAAAGTGTGAATGTGGGATGCATGAAAAAATAAACAAAACGACACTTACTCGAATTGAAGGGCGCCCACTCTGCTCATGAATCCCTCGACTACCAGGGACATTTCCCAGGGGCGTAATTTATCTCTGGCGGTGCGCTTAGCCCCACCTTTGGCGACGCCGTTGTGCTGAGAGAGTCGTCTGATCGGGTTAGGCGTCGAGCCGATGTACAGTGAGGCGTGGCGGACAGTCGACCGGAGGAGATAACAGCAGTAATAAGCCGGTATTGGCTTGGGTTCTGGCCCATCCATGATTTCCGGTTGTCCCAGGCCTGAAAGCACTTGATATTCGTCGAATTGGCCCTTGAAATTAGCTCCGCCTATCGAGTCACTGCGGGTCTCAACGGCGATAAACATCGGATCACATGACATCCATGGATGTCTGGGACGCGAAATATCTACCTAGGTACAGTAGGTAGATACAATACTTCAACTTATTCCTACCTAGATCCTGAGTCAATTTCTCAAGGTGTCAAAATTAGTCAAATGTCCTCCCAATTTATCAATATTCCAAGGTTGTGACTATTATCGGGGTTGTACTAGTACCTCCAGATGTCCGAGGACGGACCCTCGGTTTATATATCATACACTAAACCCCAACTGAAAATTCAGTACTCCGTACTCCGTACGAAGTCCATAAGGTCACATAAGAAAGATTGATGTGTCACAGGAAACAGCTGTATCGTACATATATACAATAGACCGTATGATGTCCGTTTGCAGAGCATTGCAGTACGATTACCAAAGTTTCGGGTGAAACTCGGGTTCTACACCGTACCTGAGCTCCGATTAGCTCATTATTACTGTATCTCACATACCGTACTGATCGGTACCACCACTAGTACACGGAGTCTCCGCCCGGTCACTGAGTGGTTCTTTTACTACTGGCTGCCCACACAAAAGGAACCTGGCAGTACTTCTGGAGTACCACCCCGGTAGATCTGTACTGCACATAATCTCGTTTCCACTCTAAGGTTCGTCTCTACCCTTCTTTCCTGCGACTTGGGCATCTCTCCCTCTGTTTTCATCGCGACTTTCAATCTTTTTCTGTCGTCCTTTCTTTTCCCTGACGGTCTACCATTTTTACCATTTGGTTTGTCTCCGACCCTCTTTTACATCGCAGTACGCCGGCAGCCGCCTTGCTTGATATCTACCTCCACGCCCTGCGTTTGTCGCATAACAGCCATTGACGATCAAAGTTCCCAGTTCAGACGCGCAAAACCTCGATCTTTTCCCCCCATAGCCTTCCTCCTTCCCTACAATGGGAGCTCCGGCCTCTGCCGGGGCGACCTCGACGGCTGCGGCAGGGCAGCCGACTCGATCCTCGAGCACCCACCCTTCTCACTCCCACAATGTTCCTCTGAGCGCTCGGAGGTCCGCGCCCCTCGACCTCTCAACGGTAGAGCGACGAGGACAACCCAACAACCCCAGGGAACCATCCAAGCGCATTCGTCCCCATGGAATCCCCGAAGCTCCGACCTTCCGGCCGACGGAGGAAGAATTCAAAGATCCCGTGGCCTACATACAGAAGATCGCACCGGAAGGCAAGAAGTATGGAATCTGTCGGGTGGTCCCCCCAGAGGGCTGGCAACCGACTTTCGCAATCGATACCGAGGTAGGAGCCCTCTTTGCAAGAATGCAGTTTGCATTCGACCTTCGCGCGTGTCCACGGCTGACAGTCGAATTAAGCGATTTCATTTCAAAACCCGTCGACAGGAGCTCAATTCAGTTGAAGGAGGTAAGAAGCCGCGTTCAGCAGATCATTCCGTCACGCCAAGTCGGCGTGTATTCCAGCGCGGATCTGACCCGTCGATACAGGAAATCGCGCGAATATGAACTACGTCGACGGACTCGCCATGTTTCACAAACAGCACGGAACGAACTACAGCCGACTCCCAAGTGTTGACAAGCGACCACTGGATCTCTACAAGCTTAAGAAGGCCGTGGAAAGTCGCGGCGGCTTCGAGTCGGTGTGCAAGTTAAAGAAATGGGCGGAAATTGGACGTGATCTTGGATACAGCGGCAAGATTATGTCTTCATTGTCGACTTCTCTCAAAAATTCCTACCAGCGATATCTTCAGCCCTACGAAGAATACTTGGCCCGCGCCAAACCCGGGGTCCAACAACAGCTGGAATTGGAACATGGCGGACCATACACCCCTTCACCCCTTCCATCTCCTATGGGCATGGCCCAAAGACCCGCGATGGACGACAATGGCACGCCATCTAAAGTCCGGGATGAGACCCCCAACCTCCCTCGGGCGATCCCTTCACACACTCCAATGGCACACACCCCACTAGGACACACCCCAATGGGCCACACTCCGGTGGCACAATCTCCGATGGAAAAGTCTCCTGAAAAACCTACACCTCCCGTCGAGCCTACACCTCCTCGTCCAGCTGCTACAGGCTTTACCTCCGTCAACGCCAGCCTCGGTGGCTTCACCGCAGTCAACCGCTCACCATTCACCCCGTCCAATAATGGCCCAACTATCAAGCGGGAGGGGGAGAATGGCACGTCAACCCCGCACGTTGAACGCGATGTTTCTGTGTCCGTGAATGGCCAAAACGATGAACCTATGAAGCGTTCGATCAGCCATGACGAAGGCTCCCAAGCAGAGAATGGCGATGAGGATGGTGAAAATGGGCGTCGTAGCAAGCGATTGAAAAGAGACTCGCTCCCTACTGTTGCCGGCTCTCACATGTCTCTTCTCCGCCCGCCTCTGCCAAGACCCCGCAAGGATGGGTCTCAACCATTAGGCGAGAAATGCGAAACCTGCGGAAAGTCAGACAATCAGGAATCGATACTTGTGTGCGATGGTTGTGAGCTTGGATATCACACAACATGCTTGGACCCGTCAACCACGACGCCATCGGAACATGACTGGCACTGCCCCAAGTGCTTGGTTGGCACAGGAGAGTTCGGCTTCGAAGATGGAGGTGTCTACTCGCTTAAGCAATTCCAGGAAAGGGCCAATGAGTTCAAGAAAAAGTACTTCGCCTCAAAAATGCCCTTCGATCCAGTACTCAACACACATCGCCGTGAGACGGAAGATGATGTCGAAGCCGAGTTTTGGAAACTTGTTGTTGATCTACATGAGACAGTCGAGGTTGAATACGGCGCAGATATCCACTCGACTACACATGGAAGTGGTTTCCCCACTGTGGAACGGAATCCGCTGGACCCATTTTCGTCTGATCCTTGGAATCTCAACGTACTTCCATTCTACGGAGATTCTCTCTTCCGTTACATCAAGTCTGATATCTCTGGAATGACTGTCCCTTGGGTTTACGTCGGCATGTGTTTCTCAACTTTCTGCTGGCACAACGAGGACCATTATGCCTACTCAGCGAACTATCAGCACTTTGGCGCGACGAAAACCTGGTATGGAATACCAGGTGCAGACGCTGAGGCATTTGAGGCCGCCATGCGCGACGCAGTCCCCGAGCTCTTTGAGGGACAACCCGACCTGCTATTCCAACTTGTTACTTTGATGCCGCCCGACAAGCTTCGCAAGGCTGGCGTTAACGTTTATGCCGTGGATCAGCGGGCTGGTCAATTCGTGCTCACCTTCCCTCAGGCGTACCATGCGGGCTTCAACCACGGCTTCAACTTCAACGAGGCCGTGAACTTCGCTCCAGCAGACTGGGAGCCCTATGGCGCAGCGGGTGTTGACCGGCTTCAAAACTTCCGCAGACACCCTTGTTTCTCCCACGATGAACTTCTTCTCACGGCTGCTGCTCGCGACACTTCAATTGCCACAGCCAAATGGCTGGCACCTGCACTAGCAAGAACTTGTGCCCGAGAGATTGGTGAAAGAGCCGCTTTCCTTTACCGACAGAAGGAAATGGCTGTTCGCACCCCTGGTTCTGGTATTGAGTCTGCTTCAGAAACTTTCCAACCCAAGTTCGTAGTTGAAGACGAAGATCTCCCGGAGGATGACTACCAGTGCCAGCACTGCAAGGCTTATGCTTACCTCACGCAGTTCCGTTGTCACAAGTCAGGCAAAACTGTCTGTCTGTCTCATGTGGACAGCTACGACTGCTGTGGTGAGACTCTTGCTCAGAAACTTTGTGGTTCGGAACACACCCTGCGTTACCGTATGAGTGACGATGCACTGCAGGAGCTTGTGCAGAAAATCCAAGAACGGGCCAGGATTCCAGAAGCATGGTCCGAGAAGCTCGACAAAACTCTGGAGGATGAACCAAAGCCCCAGCTGAAGGCCCTTCATAACTTGCTCAATGAAGGTGAGAAAATCCCATACCATTTGTCTGGCCTCCAAGATCTTGCGGCATTCGTCCAGCGTTGCGATAAATGGGTTGAAGAAGCCAATAACTACATTACCCGGAAGCAGCAAAACCGGAGAAAAAACGAGAAGGCTTGGCGCAGGGCTAGTACCAAGACAGCGCAGCTGGACGATCGCGATCGTGAAGTCCGCAGAGTTGAACATATCTACGCCCTACTGGCAGAGGCTGATAAACTTTCGTTCGACTGTCCACAGATGGCGGCGTTGGAAGAGAAAACCCGCGAAATCGAGAAATTCCGCCAGGATATTAATGGTGCCCTGATGAATCCAAAGTCCCGACCAATCCAAGAGGTCGAAGAGCTGATCGAGGCTGGCAAAAACTTCAACGTGGAAATCCCGGAACTTGAACGCCTGGAGCTGGTCTCCCGCCAAATCAAATGGTCGGAAGAAGCTGCACGGAAACGCGATCAGTACTTGAACCTCCAGGCTTGTCATGAGCTAGTTGCTGGCGCTGAGCAGCTGGGCCTGCCCGAAAACGACGAACACTTGATGCATTTCAAAGAACTCGCTCGCCATGGCGATGCATGGGAACTTAAAGCTAAAGAACTGATGTCGGTTGAGGCGGTGCATTATCAACAACTAGAAGCCCTTTCTGCACAGGCAGCTCGTTTCCCAGTGTCGCCTGAGACCCTGGCGGCTGTGGAGGCGATATTGACCAAGCAACGCGAGGCGCAGAGGCGGATTCAGACTTTGTATGAAAAGAGCAAGGACCCTGAAATGAAGAATCGCCCCAAGTACAAGGATATTCGCGACCTCATGGAAACCCTCGAACACCTGACCTCCCGACCCATTGGAGCAATCGACTTGGAGCGAGAACAAAAACGACATGAAGATTGGATGAGGAAGGGCAAAAAGCTTTTCGGCAAAGCCAATGCCCCACTGCACATCCTCAAATCTCACATGGAGTACGTTGAAAAGCGGAACTCGTACTGCTTCGACCTCGAAGACAGCTACAGACCGCCCGTGGAACCTTCATCCCGGGACAATTCACCAGATGGCCTGCTTGAAAATTCGGGAAATCCTAATCCTTGGGGTCCAAAGTCACGCAAAAGAGACGTGTTCTGCATTTGTCGTCACTCCGAGGCGGGAATGATGATTGAGTGTGAGGTATGCCATGAATGGTGAGTTGAACATATGCCTAGCTTTCCGTTGAATTAATCATATTAACATTGCGCAGGTATCATGGAAAGTGCTTGAAAATCGCCCGGGGCAAAGTGAAAGAGTTTGACAAGTATACTTGCCCAATCTGTGATTGGCGACAGAAGATTCCTCGTGATGCTGCTCGACCGAAACTCGAGGATCTCCAGGATTGGCACGCGGAAATTGCAACCCTTCCATTCCAACCGGAGGAGGAGGAAGTTCTTGAGAGCATCATCAACCAAGCAACGGCTTTCCGTGATTTCTTGCATGGCTTCACCAATGCTGCCTGCACAACAACCGAGGAAGTGCCCACTTTGATCTTCTATCTTCGCAAAATAGAGGGTGCCGAGGTCCTTCTTACTTCTGAGACCAACTTTTTCCGGCAAGAGATCCACAAGTGGGCACCTGTCGCCCCGGAGCCTCCCCCAATCTTGGATCAGTCCCTGTCCACTCGGAAGCCCCGCCCTACCAAGCAACAGAAAATAATGGCTCAGCTCGGCGTGAGCCGCCCCGAAGATCTCCCCGAACACCTCCGTCCTAAGCATCTCGGTGTTACAAAACGCAAATCGGTCGATGTTTCTCAGCAGCCCCCTCAACATCCACCATCTTCTCTTCAGCCGGCGCCAACAACCTCCAGCAGTGCGCCTCCCATTACAGGTCCAACGCTGGCTCAAATGCCAGATCCAAATGTCGCGCCATACCCCTTTTCCGCCAATTACTCTTTGCCAGCTAGCGATTCCACGCCTGCCTTTGCCCCCCTTTCATCATCAGCTTTCCTTCCACACGCCGTTGCTTCTCAGTCTCCCTCATTCCTGTCTCGATCCCCTCCCCCACAACAAGACATTGAGACGTCTTTGTTCAGCCCTCCGCGATTCGGACATGATCCTCAGTTTGCGAGCAGTAGTCCTCGTCAGAATCTGGATGACGTGTTCGCGGACCTGACGAATCAGGAAATTGACCCTGAGGCAGAGCCACAGCCCATGGAGAACACCCATGCCAACGAGGCCCTGGAGGCTCTTGTCGTGAGCAACGGGAGTAGCCGTGCTGGGTCTCTGCCTCAAGAGCCAGCCGCAATGGGTGAACCTCAAGATGCTCCCAAGCTCGAGGGTACCAATGCGCAGCTTGATGACGATGAACTTTGATGATGCCCCTTTGCTTGATCCGATCAATTCTCTGTCTTTTGTGAAACCCCGGTCGCTTGAATTGAAATCCTTGACCCTTTAAATGTTTTTATTTTCTCGTTTTTGCTTTTCTCTCACGTACGCTCTGTGTCTTTCTCGGGTCGAAATTCTAAAAAGGTGTATTACAAGAGATGGAGCTGGCGAGTCGGGGGAGTTTTCCAGCGTTTCGTGTTTCTCTTATTCTGTTCTTCATACCACCAGGCTATGTCACTGACGACTGCTTTTCTTTGCTGTTGCACACTGTAATACTAGTTGAACTCAGCCATCTTTATTCATTCCTCTCATATCTACTTGTAGTTATTTCAATCGACATCTACGTAAGCCCCGAGGGCAGCCTGACCCCCCGTATGGATGAACAGCACATTGGTCCCATCCAAGCCCGGCTCGGCAACCTCTCCTTTCTTCACCCAATGCATCATACCTCTGGCAACCTTGGATGTATATACTGGATCCAAAATCATGCCCTCGGTTTGTGCCATGACTTTCAAAGCCTCGTTACTTTGATCATCAAGAACACCGTAGGCGCTTCCAACAAACCGGTCATCTAGTGTCACGTCTTGAGCCCCTATATCTTCTTCATGAAGTCCAATCAGACTTCCAGCCTTCCTTGCAAATCTGAGTACCCTCTCTTCGTGATACGCACGTGGTTGAGTTGGCGAGTTCAGAATACCAATGACTTTCCTCGAAGCTTCACCCAACTTCTCCAGAAGCTTGAATCCGGCTACCAGGCCACCGACTGTGCTCCCACTTCCACATGCCACGAAAACATAGTCAAAACGACCTGAGCCACCAAGCCCTATCTGCTTTTCTTGAGCAGCAATCTCGAATGCTGCCCTCGCGTACCCCAATCCGCCAAGCGGGTGCAGGCTTGCCCCACCAGGAATCCAGTACGGGGTTTCACCACTCGCCCTCAGCTGATCAAGCAGGGGAGTTGCATCATGTGCTAGTGGATCACCCGGTTCACAGGTGCGTACTTCCGCCCCGAGAAGATGATTGATCTGGACGTTTCCGCTGCGCTGGAATGCCTCTTTATTGCTTGCTGCGCGAAGACCACCACCTGTACCCCGATGTAGGAGAATCAAAGCTTTCAATCCAAGCTTGCGGGCTAGTGCAGCCACTTGCACAGTGTGGTTGCTTTGGATTGCGCCTTCTGTTACCAGAGTTGTTGCAGGGCCGTTGAGCGGGCCTGGTGGGCTTGCATTGTTCTCATGGTAGTGGTATACTGGTGCTTGGGAGAGAATATCAGGTACAATGTACTCTAGCTTCCGGTATTTATTGCCTGAGCAAGCCAGCGGCGAGGAATGGTCCTCTCGTTTGGCGTAGACGGAGATGAGGGGTTGATGCGGGGAGACTCTTGCCGGAGCAATTGAGGGTAATGGGTGAATGGGGGATGGACTGGGGTATAAGATCTTGTAGCGTGAGACCTGGGCAAAGGTCTCTGGGAGCTGAAGAGGAAGAGACATAGTTTATTGCACAACAGAGTCCGAATCCATCGAGGTCAGTATAGTTTGGCCTCAATCCCCAGGCACCAACCTCACGTCAGCAACAAAATGACGTATCGAACATCGCGCGCGAGGAAAACAGCAAAATGTCTCTCCTTCAGTTCCTGCGACAGGCTCGTCAAGTGCACCACCAGTTCGTCTCGGGTGCCTTATCCGATTCCCCTATCTATGTGATCGGCAATTCATCTGCCGACCTTGACTCCATCATATCAGCAATCATCTACTCCTACTGCGCGAACAACCGCCTCCCAATTCAGTCTCCAAGACCCCATATTCCATTGTTGAACCTGCCCAATGTACCTGCAGGTCCAGAACTTGCCCGCCTTCGACCGGAGTTTGTCACTGCATTATGGTCATCTACAAACTTCCCCGCTCTGAGGAAGGAGGAGAAATTCGAGAACACCCAGCACTCAGCGGGGAGCTTCCTACATGAGCATATCGTGACTGTTGCCGACTTTGCACAGTCCCTCCAAGATCAGAAAGTTCTGAAACAGATAATTACCGAGGCGACATTGGTGGACTGGAATGCATTGCCATGCCCTTCGAAAAATGATAAGGGATTTGGATCCCTCACCGGTTTGTCGGGTGTCTCTTTTCGGGCATTGGGGTGCATCGACCATCATATCGATGAGGGCTATATGCCCAGTGCAGATTCTCTTCCCAAGAACCAACCTCTGATCATTCAGCCCGGACCTGGCTCGTGTGCATCTCTTATCGTTAGAGAACTCCAGCAACGAGACCTTTGGGCGGAAGACGCAGCAGAAATGACACAGCTTGCGAAACTCGCCCTTTCCGCAATCTTGATTGATACATCGAATCTGACTGCTGAGGGGAAGGTGACTGATGTAGATCGTGAGGCTGTTCATTCCCTGCAGAGCCAGGTTGAGAGACAACATGCGGTCTCAGCCACTGAGCTCAAATGGGAGGTGGACGAATTCTACGAGGCTGTGTTCAACGCTAAGAAAGATAGCCTTGACCTACTTACAGTAGAGGAAGTGTTAGACCGTGACTACAAAGACTGGACTGAGACATCACAGTCCTCCGGAAAGAGTGTCAAAATCGGTTTCTGTTCGTCAGTCAAACCCATCAGGTGGATTGTGCAGAAAGCGGGCAAACCGGACCAATTCCTACACGCGGCACGCTCGTTCGCGGCCTCTGCTGAGAAAGATTTGGACATACTTGTCGTTATGACGGCGTTCACTGCGAAAGACGGCCAGTTCTGCCGAGAGCTGTTCATCGGCGTAGCGCGTGAGAACGAGGCAGCTTTAGAAGGTGCAAAGGCATTTTTCGAGCAAGCGTCTTCTCAGCTTGGATTGATTGATTGGTCCCCGCTAGATGCCGAGGACATCCCTGACTCCACGGGAGATTGCTCCTCTGCGTTGAATGCAGATTCACCCCTCTGGAGGAGATTGTGGGTGCAGACCAATGCCGCTGGAAGTAGAAAACAAGTTGCGCCTTTGCTGCGGACAGCTGTGGCTAAATTGTAAATGTGTCTTCCAAGGTTACCCTTATGATCTGAATAAAAGAGCATACTACCATTTGAAGGCATTGAATCGATATGTCCTATAGTGCTAGGTACCTTAACCAGCATCCAGCGATTCCAGCCCGTTATTTTCAGCCCCCTGCTCTTCCTCTCGTCAACCTTGAACTGGTCATTCTCGTGCTTTTCAAGTTGATTCATGGGGAAAGGGTCTTCGGAGACGAACATTATGCTATACATATATTGACTTGATATTCTCGATCCATATTCTCAAATACTGTTCAACGTCCAGTTGTCACTGAACTCAAACTCGAATAGAATACAACATATGCAATGCTCCAAGCCAACCTGATGCAAATGCTATTATGCAAGAAGATGACACAAAAACGCAGATATGCACCTGAAAAAGCGACAGATAACCACCAAACAGAAAAACATAGCCAAGAACAACAGGAAAAAAAGAACTCCCAAGCAATGTTAGAAAAATCAAACGCATTCCCATTCGCAAAATACACACCACCGGGCAGCTCGATCGGCCAGCACCAAGCCACGCCACATGCCGCGCTCACCGATCTTGATGACGGTTTCCCATACACTGCCCTCGGCAGCGGCATCGGTCATCGTTTCAGCACCTGTGTCACCGCCGATCATATGATCAGCCTTGCGGGTGAGACGAAGAATCTTGCCAGACGGAGACTGAATCGCCAGCTTCGCTGCTTTATCACGTCCCGATGTGGATTTGCCTGATGAGATAGCCGAGGTAGACGCGGAGAACTCATTGGACGCCCCAGAGACCGTCGATCCTCCTGCATTGCTGGATACCATACTCAAAGCACTGGAAGGACGGTTGAAAACAGAGGTTGGTGATCCTCGACCATTTGAGGCTTTGTCGTCTTGCGCGGAGCCAGGGGCAGAGGGGTGCTGTCTGACTGCGAACACGAAGGTATTGTTTACCGCTAGGCGTGAGCATTGAGGCTGCATGATGTATAGGTCGTGTCTCTGCGCGTGAGGGGTAGGGTGACGAAGCACAAAGTCATAAGAGGGATTCTCGCCCGTATGGAGCATGGGCAAGGCCAGTGCCAGAGGATGTGGGATATCTCGGCTGGTGTGCATCAGTCCCTTCTTGCCGGCGTAGATCTTCAGCACACCCTGACCTTCGTCGCCGGGGAGAACAGCCTTGATGGTGATGCGCTTTTGGCCTCGGAACCAGTCAGGCTGGACCAATGCACGTTTCCGCACGATGTCTCCGCTCTCGAAGAAGTCGCCGTCTGCATCACGGGCAAAGGCGGGCGCTTCAACCTCTGCGGCGCATTCAACATCCGGCGGCAAAACCATGCGGATTTGCATCACTTCTAACCCTTCAATGCGGAGAAGACTGGTATCGTAGTCTGGTACTTGTACGTTAAGCTTGAAGAATGGTGGACACACTGCGGGTAAGGCGAGCAGAACATCCGGTGAAATTGGCGGGCAGATGTGCTGCTCTTCTGGGTATTGCGGGACGTGCGTGTAGCAAAGCTCAAGGGGACGTGCGAGGAAGTACCAGCTCTCTGCGACGGAAGAATTGTTGGTGATGAAGTTGCTTCTTGTTGGGTTTGTAGGATTGGCAAGGGCACAGTCCATGAAGCGCCATTCGCCATCGACGAGGACCGAGTTCCACCAATGATTCGGGCGGGAAAGGCTGTCCAGATCGAGAACATCTCCGGGAGTCTTCAAAAATCCTCGAATGATTTCGGTGTGGAGACCAACAGCCGCGCACATTTCATGGACCAGCAGCGCAATCTCTTCCGGAGTTCCGCGTTTAGCCTGCAGCAGTCTTTTCATGTCGACCTCGAGACCATCAACTGGCTCTTCCCAAGCGATCTTCTCGCTGACCCATGTGAAGATGGCCCGCAGGCGTTGGACGTCGCTCTTGTATGGCCGGCAGATGTAGGACTGGGCAAGGCTCACGGGGTTTGTCAATGGCGGCAGACTGCTGATGAAGCGCGCGCTCTTGTCAACGAGGGTCAAATTGGCTGCATTGAAATTCGTGGGCTCGGTAATCGGCTGCCCATCAATGCTTTCCTCGCCATCCGCAGTATCATACAATTCTTCAACGGAATAAATCACAGGGTGATCGTGCATTTGACAACGCTCTGCCCTTTCCACTCTTTCATTTCGGCTAGGCGAAGAGGCACGATTGACGTCGCGACGAACCTGTACCCAATCAAGCGTGCTAGTGCCGGGCATATCCCGAGCACTGTCGCGGTTTGACTGGGATGTGAGAAGAGGCGACACCACATCTATGCCTCTTTGACTCTTGCTCGGTGATCCAGATCGGTCTCCATGAGCTGAGATACTGCTCCTCGCGCTAGCCGCACCGGTCTTAGCCGTTTCAAATATCTTCTTGAAGAAACCTTGTTTCTTGGTCTTCGGGGTAGAGAGACCACCGAAGATTGCACTGTGGTCCGTCTGATCCACTGTTGATGACCATGGAATGGCCGAAGACGCGCCTTGACGAGAAGAGTTGTGACTGGAGTGGTAGGAAACTCCGGTGAAAGGCGTTTCTGGGCGTGCGTCACTGAAGCCTCGAGACCGCACCGTGTCCATCGCTGTGTTCGGCCTCTCATGACCTCCTCGTCGAGCAAAGCTGCCCGCGCTCGTTGCGCTGAATCCTCCTGCGGAGAATCCACTCATGACGCTCTGGCCGGTCTTATCTGTGCTGTTAGTCATCGATGTGCCATTGCTTTGAACACCAGCAGATGAGTTAGTTGCACTGGACTTGTTGGTGAAGGACCGGTTGAGAATATCTCCTCGAAGATTGTGGCCGGAACGTCGATTATGCAAATGCTGATAGTTCCCTCCTGGCAGTGAGTTGTTTCGTGGATGGTAAGTTGCATGCTTAGGAGGAGGCGGAGGAGGCCCATCGTCGTCCTCCGGGAGAGGCTTTGAGTCCTCAGAAGACCGGTTCTGATCTTCTAATTGCCGTAGACGGCTCTCCATTCTTTGCACGTAATTGTTCAGTTGAGGCGGACCGTCCGCATATTGTTCATACACGCTGTTTCTGTGGCCAAGTGCGCTCTGGGGCTGTGCTTTGTATCCATCGAAGCCCATAGATGTTAACGGCCGGCGTTTACTAGCCTGAGGAGTTCGTTCTTGTGATGTATCGAATTCCTCTGGCGCCCAAGGGTCATGGAACTGAGGTGTGGGAGAAGGAGGTTGAGCACCGCGCGGAAGTCCCATATCCTCTAATGAAGTCATCACATCTTCCATCGCATCCCGAAGAGGCGACGGGGTGTTTCCATGCATTTCGGACTGCCCCGAAGTCGCTGAAAGCGCAGAGCGTGTCGAGGCTGCGCTTGGGGATGGAGTTCGATCAAATATCACATAGCGGTCATTCATGGGCAGAGGGGCAGGTGATCGTGACTGCCGCGAGCGGGTAGGCGGCTGAGGGGAGGGAGTACGCCGGTGGTGGTCGTGCATGGGCGGCTGTGGCGAATGACTCCGTGATTGATGCATTGGAGGTTGGGGAGAAACATCCCGATGATGAGAAGAGTGCATAGGTGGATGTGGCGAACGATTGCGTGAATGATACATTTGAGGTTGTGGTGAGGGACTGCGTGCGTGGGAATGCATTGGGGGCGCTGGCGAATGGGAGTCACCGCGACTTATAGCTACTCTGTGTGGGGGCGGCGGTGGAGGAGGTGGAGAATCCTCACGCTCTTCCTCCATCTGTAATGGAGATGGCTCACGAGACGACGGGCGGTAGGGTGAGTAGCCTCCATGTTGCATGGGGGCAGGGGTTCGGTCTGGCATAGGCAGCGGAGACGGCGCTCGCGAAGGACCACGATGTCCTGAGATACTGCCATGGGTCATAGGCGCCGGCGCATACTCTTGTCTCATTAAAGGCGATGGTTCTCGGGATGGAAGTTGATATGATTGTGTACCACCGTAGGAAACATTTGCGGGAGCATACTCCTGCATGTGCAATGGAGATGGTTCACGCGAAGAACCACGATAAGAAACACTTCCTTGCGGCGTAGTGGAAGGCGGGTACTCCTGCATTTGCAATGGCGATGGTTCACGAGACGAAGCTCGGTAAGACGACACACTACCCTGCGGGACAATGGCAGATGAATGATCTTGCGCGGGCACCATAGGGGACGGTTCGCGCGATAGAGTCCGATAAGACGACACACTGCCCCTGGGTATCATGGTGAGCGGACGCTCCTGCGACTGATATGGAGAGGGCTCGGTGGACGAATGACGCGAAGACGACACACTCCCTCTGGGTAACATCGAGGAAGGCGACCTTTCAGGCTCAACGGATGCACGTGGAGAGGCCCCACGCGACGAGGGCCGGGAGGACACTGACGAGGGCCGCGAACCTGACCCTTGATTCTTCACTGCTGAAGCATGTGTGCGTAATGGTTTCGTGCTTCTCGGAACCGCCCCATCTCGAGGTGGTGTTTGTGGGATCGCGGGGGCAGATGGGCTGGATTCAGTTGCCCGGCGGGCCACTGCAGCCGGCGACGAGGCTTCCTTGTGCGCCTGGAATGGTTTTCGCCACACGGTCTTTTGCTTTTTCGGGGCGAAGGTGGGGTTGTTGATCGGCGAAGAGCCCGCCAGCACCATCGGACTGGTATCGCGACTCACGGGCACAAAATCCTCACTCAGAAGCTCGACGAAGTTGGAGGGAAACAGTCCCACCGCGCGCCTATCTCGGCGCAATCGACCCATCCACCATTGTCCGTCGCCCGCGTTCAAGCATTCGATCAAATCGCCTTCAACAAATCCCAAATCTTTTGTTGATTCCCCACCCCAAGAATATATCGCTCGGCACCAGCATGGGAACCGCGTGGGCAGTTGTGCCATGGTGGTCTTTAATGCTAGAGCAATCCGAGCGCAAAGGCTGAGCTCGATTCAACTTCCTGTATTGATCTCTGGCGCGACTTCAGAATATAACTCGAGGCGAGCTGGTAATTCGTGTGTCTCAATGGGCGACGTGGTGTGGATGGTTCGGATTGGAGGCAGTTAGGATAACAGGGTACGGGCGCAGGGATAAGGGAAATCAATGAATCGGCATTGTTAAGAAGAAAGTAGATATGCAAATATGCAAATATGCAAAGAGAATTGGCCAAGCAATTTGAAATCCAATGCGACCGACAGACCAACTGCGGAGACGTCGAGAGAGTGGGAGAGCAGAGAGACCGCGGTGAGGCCTGAGGACTGGGGCCGCTCGGGTTGCAATGTTGCCCCCGGTGTTTACAGTGTTTACAGCTGGCCAAATCGGGACTAGCGAGGGATGATCCCTTATCGATAACCTTGGAAGCTTAATGGAGGATTAGGTAATATTTTCTGGCCTCCAGGGCTTGCAATGTTGGAATTTGATGCTCATCAGTTGAAAAGGATCAGAAAAGCCTGCGTTTATTGCGAAGTACCCCAGATTCGTGAGTATCTAGGTGTGGCGATTAGAACACTCCCACCCATGGATGGAGACATGCTTGTTTCGAGAGCCGCACCTGATCCATGGTTCCAAAGGTGGACGTTTCACGTCCTAATTTAATTCTTTGGTTCTCAGACATAGGGAGCCTGCTGATATGGAGAAGGAAGCGCATATGACCAGAAACCTGATGCACCACAATGGCGGGCGTGTCATAATCACATCATTATATCTTGAGCGGGGTGAGGGAGAATATGTATTCGTATCAGAAAGCAAACGCCACATGTTGCAACATTGGTCGAGATCACCGCAATTATTTCTGTTGGAGACTAGGTATCATATATGTCCTTGATCTGGAATGATCACCAGGGGCCACTCTGGACGGCGGCGGATCCGCGGTGTTGCTCGGTTCAAGTTCTGAGCGCCCCTGCAGCCCGACTCATCCCTTTCTGGGGAGAAAAGCCTGTCTTTTCCAGCCTCAACATTCTTCAGAGATAAGAAAGTTTGTTGCTTCCTAACAAACTATGGGGGCTTGACTCGAATTAGGCTTTCCTGTTTTGTCAAGAATGCAGCCATGCTGACGAATCTCACACAGCCTGGGCAGAAGAAGCCAGTACTTCAAGCCAATCCGACCTTGGCAGGTATGTCCGCATGATGGGAACTCAAATTATTCTCATGGTTGATAGCCAATAGGCCTCAAGCCACACTATTACCTAGGTAGCAAAATGATGAGACTGAAGTAAACTTTTAGTATACCGAGGAAAGGTATTTCTGAAACTGTCATACCCATAGATATCATTGCCTAGTTCCTGGTCGCATTATACATGCCCTGTATAGTAGTCTGCAACTCATCAATGAAGCTCGAACTGGCCATATGGAGTCGACAAGTACCCCGAGGCTGGATTCATAGAGTCCAGAAATTCAAGAATTGCAGATCGTTGGTAGAGATATGGCCAGAATTAAATCCACATGCTGGTTCCGCATGTGCGTGTGATTGGAAATTTCAACCTTCAACATATCGGCAGAGTTCCTACTTTGTATGGAGTACAGTGTATGAATTAAGCTGCGCTACTGCCACTAATGTAGATGGATATTTTGGAGGCTACATTATATCCTGTTAGAGCCTCATAGACTGTGCACGGCCATTTGCACAAAGCTTTTCCTTTGGGCTGAGGCCCTTGGTTTTACTGAAATAGCACTAAAGGAGCTTATGTGTACTAGTATATTCCTCGGTTGCTCTGCGTGAAATTTACTTGTGACCAAAGGCTCTACTGGATTAGCATAAATGATCCATGGATGCTACCTAGTAACATGATGAAACCCCCAAGGTCAATAGGTCGGAGGGAACGATGAGTTTGAATTGGCACTATTGCTATATATGGACAATGATGCTGAGATGAAAAAAAGTTGGGAAGGGGGAGGATGAGAAAATCGAGAGACCACGGTTCCGCCCCGGGATCTAAGGCAACAACATGTCCTAGGTAGGCCGCTACAACCTTGAACACTATAAACGTGCATAGTACCTAGGTATGACTGAGACAGTATTAATTGGCTTGGAGTCTCAGATACTGCGCGACTCGGGAGGATACACCTGCGCACATACTCCATGGAGGACCCCGGAGGCGAAATACGTAGGTATATATTGGCGCAATCAAAATCGCCGCTACTAGGTAGGTAGTACTATGAAAATGAGCAAGTCTACCTACCTGATTATGACTTCACATCGAAAGCATTTCACAACGTGCAACACCACCTACGTGCTTTCCCCCATGTGGGAATTCAACCAAGCTCGATAGCCGATCTGTTGGTAAGCAGACCTCAGGACGCATTCATTACGGAAAAAAGATCCGTTCCAAGGTTACGGCTGATGACCCACATGGTCAAAATCTTCAGGTTAGATCTTGGTTGATGCCGGCAGATCGGCCAATAAAACATTCATCGATGCATATACTCGAAAGTTACCCTCGGGAGATGAACAAGGTATTATGAATCTTCACTTGTCTTTTGGCTACATAGCGGAATCCAAAGGTTCTTTGTGATGCAAATCCCGGTGTCTCAAACCTGGTTTTATTAGCCTGCCAGTATCATAGATTAGGAAATCCAATGCTACTTTCGAAACAGGTTTCGGTGTCTCTTTGGTTGCAATTTTGTTTTATGGTGAAATGTACAAAATGTGATATCAAGCCCAAGTCATGACGTGTGGGAACAAGTATGATGATGTATTTGAAAGATCTACAATTTGTTACTAAATTAAACCCTGATCTACATGCAATATACTAAGTTTGCACACTGTGACATTCCGATCTGGCATGCCTAACCATTAGGATTTGCGACTGACTTTAGGTGTACAATATATGTTTGTGTTTAACCAATGGGCCTAGGTACTAAAGCTAAAGAGAAATTCAGGCATTCAAGCTTCAGTTTGATCTTCTTCCTGTCACTTTGAAAGAGAAGAGGTTCCTGAATGTGCCTTAGACAAAGAAGCCAACATAGTTCTTAGGGCAGGGCCATCACGTGACCATAGAGAGGCCCCGGGGCTGCAACGTTACCTTCTGAAAGCGTCAACACTACTGCCTGAAATGCAACTTATTGGTCACTTCCTTCTGCGTAAGGCCCATTTCCGGTCAAAAGAATGCCTTTTTTCATATATATGTCATCAAAGACCCATCAAAGATAGACCAAACCTTGATTTTGGGAGTCTACATGAGTCTTGTCCGCAAACGGCACTCGGGCAACTGCAGATTTTCATCGGTTTGCCGTAGCCTTAGGAGCTAAACTAGCTATCGCAAGGATCCAATCGGCTCATTCTGGGCCCCGGCGTATGGATCTGACCCACCTTGCTAACATTGATTCCTCACAAGCATGCTACGGCTCTGCATACACAGAAAAACCACTGCAGTAACGGTACCATTGGTTGGAGCGGAACATTTATCTGACCCCTAGGGCCAAATACTACTATGAAAATATAACATTGCATACAATACCAAGGTTCTAATGGTAATTTTACAGGAGTAAAACGAGCTTTTTCTTGCTTTGCCGGACACGGGAGTATGGTTGTGTATAGCATAAAAAAACAGGGAATACAATTCTGTTTCCATTTCGTTTCCGTTCATCTCCATCCAGAAATCATTTTTCGTAGTTGCTCGTCTATCGTCATTTGATTTGACCCACTATGTAGGGACTGTAGCCATGTGCCCATGTATAAAGTAAAATGCCCATCGTTCCGCGACGGAACCGATTTCCTTTTTCTCTGTCAACTTGTCAATCAGTCATTGGGCACCAGGGATGTCTATGGAAGGTTCCAGTCGTGTTTATCTCTTTGGAGATCAGACTGCGGATTTCGACACCGGCCTTCGTCGCCTGTTGCACGCCAAAAATGACTCGTTGTTGGTAGCGTTCTTTCAAAAGTCTTACTATGCACTGCGCAAAGAGATAACCTCGCTTCCTCCATCCGAAAGAGAAGGTTTCCCACGATTCACTAGCATTGTCGACCTTCTCGCAAGATATCGCGAATCGGGGCCCAACCCGGCGCTGGAGAGTGCCTTGACGACAATCTACCAACTCGGAAGTTTCATCCAGTAAGACCCATTCAGCCGATAACAAGTCTCACAACAGGCAGAGTTTCTAATTCTCATCATAGTCACTACGGTGATTTGGGCCATGCCTACCCGCATGGCGATGAAAACCTCATCGTTGGTCTTTGCACTGGCCAACTTGCAGCTGCTGCAGTTAGCGCTTCCAGAACTGTCGGAGAGCTCATTCCCGTCGGTGTTGAGACTGTGGTTCTTGCCTTGAGACTTGGAACATGTGTCCTGAAAGTGCAGGAGCTTGTGGAACCAAGCAAAACTGCCTCCAGCTGGTCTGTGTTGGTTTCTGGTATGCGCGAGAGCGAAGCACAAGAATCAATTCAAGATTTCGCAAAGAAGAACGTAAGTATTATCTCGCATAAATCAAAACCTTGAAATCTTCAAGAAGCTAATACCTGCCAGCTTTTGCCTCGTGTTTCGCAGCCTTACGTTAGCGCTGTCAGCCCTAACGGACTGACTATCAGTGGCCCTCCAATCTTCCTGGGCCGTTTCCTTGAAGCCTCCCTTTCAAAGGAAAACAAGCCTATCAGAGCACCCATCCATGGCCCATATCATGCCTCACATCTCTATGATGATAAAGATGTCAGCCGGATTATGGAGTCCTGGCCCAGTGAGCAATTTGAAAGCTACGTGCCACAAATCCCCGTGCTCTCAAGTGAGACCGGCAAAACCATCGAAGCAGCGAGCCTTGAGGAGTTGTTGAAGGTTGTACTCAGAGAAATCCTTCAGCGTCAGCTCTGCTGGGACAAGGTCATTGAATCATGCCACTCAACTCTGGAAGACACCGCCAAATGTATCATCTCGCCGATCTCGAGCACAGCAACCCAGAGCCTTTTCAGTGCACTGAAGAAAGCCAACACCTTCAGCCTTGAGGTGGACAGCTCAATCGGAGATGTGCAGCTGGAGCCCGAAGCCAACAACCGCACCGGTCGCTCTGAGCAGTCCAAGATTGCCATTATTGGTCTCTCAGGAAGATTCCCCGAGGCCCCCGATACCGAAGCCTTCTGGGATCTCCTGAAGAAGGGTCTTGATGTCCACCGTGAAGTTCCTCCCGAGCGTTGGGACGTGAAGGCTCACGTTGATATGGACGGAAAGACAAGAAACACCAGCCAAGTCCAGTATGGATGTTGGTACAACGACGCTGGAATGTTTGACCCTCGGTTCTTCAATATGTCGCCCCGTGAAGCGCTCCAGGCCGACCCGGCTCAGCGTCTGGCTCTGCTCACCGCATACGAGGCCTTGGAGATGTCAGGTTTCATTCCCAACAGCACTCCATCTACACAGAAGAACCGTGTGGGTGTTTTCTATGGCATGACCAGTGATGATTATCGTGAGATCAACAGTGGTCAGGACATTGATACTTATTTCATTCCTGGCGGTAACCGTGCATTCACACCCGGTCGCATCAACTACTACTTCAAATTCAGTGGCCCTAGTGTGAGTGTGGACACCGCTTGTTCTTCCAGTCTTGCAGCAATTCATGTTGCTTGCAACTCACTGTGGAAGAACGACTGCGACTCAGCTGTGGCTGGTGGTGTCAACATCTTGACCAACCCTGATAACCACGCTGGTCTCGACCGTGGTCATTTCCTTTCCCGGACTGGAAACTGCACCACCTTCGATGATGGCGCGGATGGATACTGCAGAGCAGACGGAATTGGATCTGTTGTGTTGAAAAGACTCGAGGATGCTCAGGCCGACAATGACCCCATCTACGGTATCGTTGGCGGCGCCTATACCAACCACTCAGCTGAGGCTGTTTCGATCACTCGGCCCCATGTTGGAGCTCAGTCCTTCATTTTCGACAAGCTCCTCAACGAGTCCAACACCGACCCCAAAGAGATCAGCTACATTGAAATGCACGGTACTGGCACCCAAGCGGGCGATGCAGTGGAGATGCAATCTGTTCTCGATGTTTTCGCTCCGGACTATCGTCGTGGACCAGCCCAATCCCTCCACCTTGGCTCAGCCAAGGCAAATGTTGGCCATGGAGAGTCTGCATCTGGTGTCACAGCGTTGATCAAAGTTTTGATGATGATGCGGAAGAACATGATTCCTCCTCACTGCGGCATCAAGACTAAGATCAACCAAGGTTTCCCGACTGACTTCCCTCAGCGCAACGTGCATATCGCTATGCAGCCTACCCCATGGAACAGACCCGCCGGTGGCAAAAGAAAGACTTTCGTTAACAACTTCTCAGCCGCTGGTGGTAACACTGCTCTGCTGGTCGAGGATGGACTCCTTGAGGAGAAGACCGTGCAAGACTCTCGGTCTGTTCACCCCGTACTCGTCTCTGCCAGATCACAGTCGGCCTTGAAGAACAATATTTCTGCTCTTGTTCAGTACATTGACACGAACAAGAACCTGTTCAACGTCCGGGAATCCAGTCTGCTGGCAGATTTATCATACACCACCACGGCCAGACGTATCCACCACCCCTTCAGAGTTGCTGTCACTGGTTCAACTTTGGATGAGGTCCGGAGTGCACTAGCACCCATCGTCAACCGTGACAGTATTTCCCCATCCCCCGCTATTGCCCCCGGTATTGGATTCGTCTTCACCGGACAGGGTGCTCAGTATGCAGGAATGGGCCACCAATTGTTCGAGAGCTGCTCCCAGTTCCGCACTCACATTGAGCACTTGGACCGCATCGGACAGAGCCAGGGCTTTCCATCCATCATTTCTTTGATTGATGGAAGTGTCCCAATCGAGGAACACAGCCCAGTCGTGACTCAGCTTGGAACTACCTGTGTTCAGATGGCATTGACCAAGTACTGGATTTCTCTTGGCGTTGCTCCCAGCTTTGTTCTTGGCCACAGCCTTGGTGAGTATGCTGCAATGAACGCTGCCGGCATTCTTACGACCAGTGACACGATCTACTTGACTGGACGTCGTGCTCAGCTCCTCACTGAGCAGTGCAAGGTTGGAACACATGCTATGCTTGCAGTCAAGTCTTCCGTGGCTCAGGTCAAGCAATTCCTTGATGATGCTTCCGAAGTTGCTTGCATCAATGCCCCCAGCGAGACTGTCATTAGCGGTGCTAGTGAGAAGATTGACCAGCTTGCTCAAACTCTTGCGAACGAAGGGTTCAAGGCCACGAAATTGAAGGTCCCCTTCGCTTTCCACTCTGCTCAGGTTGAGCCTATCCTTGAGAGCCTTGCTGAGATTGCCAAGGGACTCACCTTCAACGAGCCCTCCATTCCCTTCGTGTCGGCTCTTCTCGGCGACGTCATCAAGAACACCAACAGCGACGTGCTTGGCCCTGAATACCTGACTCGACACTGCCGCGAGACTGTCAACTTCTTGGGGGCCCTCGAGGCTACTCGCCACTCCAACTTGATGAATGACAAGACTCTGTGGGTTGAAGTTGGCTCGCACACCGTCTGCTCGGGAATGATCAAGGCCACTTTCGGTCCTCAGGCAACCACACTGGCATCCCTACGCCGCCAGGAAGACACTTGGAAAGTTCTATCGAGCAGTCTTTCATCCCTTTACCTGTCTGGTATTGACCTTTGCTGGAGGGAGTATCACCAGGACTTCGCAGCTGCTCACAGTGTTCTCCCATTGCCTTCTTACAAGTGGGATCTCAAGAACTATTGGATTCCTTACACCAACAACTTCTGTCTTCTCAAGGGCGCCCCAGCTGCACCTGCCAAGGAAGACGCTCCTGTTTCGACCTTCCTGTCTACGGCAGCTCAAAGAGTTCTGGAGACCACCGGTGACAGCTCATCGGCAATGGTCGTCATTGAGAACGACATTGCTGACCCTGAATTGAACCGCGTCATCGCCGGCCACAAGGTCAATGGAGCCTGTCTCACCCCATCGGTACGTATCCTCTCAAGAATCTTTTGATATCGCCTTATACTAACCATGACTTAGTCCTTGTATGCCGACATTGCCCAGACACTGGGTGAATACCTCGTCCAAAACTACAAGCCCGAGTGGAAGGATCGCGGGTTTGATGTTTGCAATGTCGTTGTCCCCAAGCCTTTGATCGCGAAGGGCGGCAAGCAACTGTTCCGAGTTTCAGCCACCGCAAACTGGGCGGATGAAAATGCCAAGGTCCAGGTCTGGTCAGTGACGCCGGAGGGGAAGAAGATTCTTGACCATGCGACCTGCACAATCAAGTTCTTCGAGCCCGGCAACTACGAGCTCGAGTGGAAGCGCAGCTCATACCTCATCAAGAGAAGCATCGAGCATCTGCAAGAGAGCACGATCTCTGGTCAAGCTCACCGCATGAAGCGGGGAATGGTCTACAAACTCTTTGCTTCCCTGGTTGATTACGATGAGAACTACAAGTCCATTCGCGAAGTCATTCTTGACAGCGAGCAGCACGAAGCTACTGCTCTCGTCAAGTTTGAGGCTCCTCGTGGAAACTTCCACCGCAATCCGTTCTGGATCGACAGTATCGGTCACTTATCTGGCTTCATTATGAACGCCAGTGATAACACCGACTCTAAGAACCAAGTCTTCGTCAACCACGGATGGGACTCGATGCGCTGTCTCAAGAAGTTCGACCCCTCTGTTACTTACCGGACTTACGTGAGAATGCAGCCCTGGAAAGACTCCATCTGGGCAGGTGATGTCTACATGTTCGATGGTGACGATATTGTCGCTGTGTATGGTGGTGTCAAGGTACGTCAATGAATTTCCCTCGGATTGGAAGCGAATTTACTAACACAATACAATGCAGTTCCAAGCACTGGCCCGCAAGATCCTTGATATGGCTCTTCCTCCCGCTGGAGCTGCTGCTGCTTCAAAGCCAGCGGCTAAGCGTGCTGCTCCTGCTCCTATCAACGTTCAGAAGGCGCAAAAGGATGTTGGAAAGAAGGGTTCCACACCCAAGTCATCAGCACCGAGTCTCGCCTCGCGCGCTCTTGCAATCCTTGCCGAGGAGGTTGGGCTTTCAGCATCTGAGATGACAGATGATCTGAACTTCGCTGATTACGGAGTGGACTCCCTTCTCTCGCTGACTGTCACTGGCCGATACCGCGAGGAAATGGAGCTTGACCTTGACTCTTCCGTCTTTGTCGACCAGCCAACTGTTTCAGACTTCAAGCGTCTTCTCGCCCAGATGAGCCCCACCGAGAGCACTGACGGATCGAGCAGCGAGGGTGACATGTCCTCTGCTGCATCCTCTACAGATATCTCCTCTCCTAACTCCAGTGGTATCCCGACTCCCACACACGAGAAGACAATGACCCACGCAGGACAGGAACAAAATGACACCATGAAACACATCACCTCGATCCTGGCCGAGGAGATTGGTGTCGCGCCTGAGGAGCTAGTTGGAGATGCCAATCTTGGTGAGATGGGTCTGGACTCGCTCATGTCCCTCACGGTCCTTGGTAAAATCCGCGAGGAGTTGGACATGGACCTCTCTGGGGAGTTCTTCATCGAGAACCAAACACTCGATGAAATCGAAACTACCCTTGATCTGAAGCCCAAGGCCAAGTCTGTCCCTGCTGAGCCGATCAATTTCCCCGAGCAGATTACCGTTCAAGCTCCCAAGGCCCCTTCGAGCACTTCCGTTCAGCACCCACCAGCGACCTCCATCCTCCTGCAAGGAAACCCCAAGACAGCAACCCAGAAGTTGTTCTTGTTCCCAGATGGATCCGGCTCGGCTACTTCCTACGCCACCATCCCTGGTGTTTCCCCCGACGTGTGTGTCTACGGACTTAACTGCCCGTACATGCGTACCCCGGAGAACCTCAAGTTCAGCCTCGACGAGTTGACCGCTCCATACGTTGCTGAGATTCGCCGTCGCCAGCCAACAGGCCCTTACAACTTCGGCGGCTGGTCTGCCGGTGGTATCTGCGCTTACGACGCCGCGCGCCAGCTGATCTTCGAAGAGGGCGAGCGAGTCGAGCGCCTGCTCCTCCTGGACTCACCGTTCCCTATTGGACTGGAGAAGCTTCCTCCTCGTCTTTACAGCTTCTTCGACACGATCGGTCTGTTCGGTGAAGGCAAAGCGCCCCCACCCAAGTGGCTGCTGCCTCACTTCTTGGCTTTCATTGACTCCTTGGACGCTTACAAGGCTGTGCCATTCCCTTACTCGGATCCCAAGCTGGCTGAAAAGCTCCCCAAGACATTCCTCGTCTGGGCTAAGGATGGTGTCTGCTCTAAGCCTGGTGATGCCCGCCCCGCGCCTGCTTCTGATGGCAGCGCGGACCCCCGAGAGATGCTATGGCTGTTGAACAACCGTACTGATCTCGGACCAAATGGTTGGGATACCCTTGTGGGCCCCAAGCACGTCGGTGGCATCACTGTCATGGAGGGTGCCAACCACTTTACCATGACGCGAGGCGAGAAGGCTAAAGAGCTGGCTGCATTCATTGCCAAGTCTATGGCCTCTGTGTAAACGCACTGCATTTGGCTATGAGTCCACGGGAGGTTTTTTTTTTAAGGAGTTTTGGGCACTCTTCATTCATCGGTCTGCTATTTTTCTCATTTCTTCTCATTTCTTCTCACTTTTGCGGAGTTCAAAAAACTACTGTCCTTCTACGCCTGTGTATAAAAACGGTTCTATGGCGTCCATCGGTATACTCTACATTAATCAACTAATACAAGACTGAAATTTGTTCACAACATTTACGATTGATCATCGAAAAGGCCAAGGGGCCGAGGGGCTCTGTGGATTCGCCAGATACGAATAATTCAGAAGATTTCCGTATACGACATTGGGCTTGTAAAATAATTTGCATCGAAGCTGTATTGAAAAAGTAACTACACCAGCATGTTCAAGACCAGTCATTGGAAATGAACATGAAAAAAAAAGATTGAAGCAACGCTATGTTGCATTGAAACCCCAACTTACTTTGCGAATCGAAAATCGCTCACGGTGAATGTAATGATGAATGAAACGCCAGAAATATGCGACGTCGTAACGAACGGATGAACGGAGCAAACGTTCGGCTTGAGCGGGCGAGTAAAGTGTTGCAGATGGAAGGGCAATGTTTTGTGTCTTAACGTCATAGACCCGTTGGGAGACGAAGACTGAGTGAATGAATCGGTCAATGGGGGACGGTCACCGGAGATGAAACTCGATCGCTAGAGTCGCATTTCGGAGCTGTATCGAAGAGCACTGCCTCGACCAGAAACGCCACCATTCCCATTCCCATTGCCGTTGTGGCCAACGCCAGGACTGGTGGGGCGGCTGTTGGCCCATTTGGGGCTTCGTGGTTGAGTGCTTGTTGAGCGAGTGGATGGCCTGTTCTTGCGAATCTCGCGGAGTTCGTCCTCTTTTTTGCGCAGGAATTCATCGCGCGCAGCGAGCGTCATCTCAAGCTCTTCAATTCGAGCGGTATGGCGAGCCGATGAACTCTGGGTACTGATCTCGTGGAGTCTGACCATATTTCCATCCACCCTGCGCTTCAGTGCCTCGTTCTCGGCGGTCAAGAGACGGTTTTCGGTGCCGGACTGTGCAGCCGCTGTAGATGCAGTCTGGTACTGCTCTCTGGTGTATTCCGATTGACGTTTCTCAAAGTCGGCCTTGTGCACAAGATTTTCGTTCTCGCTCTTCAAGCGACGAATTTCTTCTCGTAGTGTTTCCATCTCGGCAGCAGTGCCACCGCCATCTTTAAGGGCTTTCCTGGCTTCTGCAAGCTGATTGTTCAGTTCCAGTCGCTCCTCTTTCAGCTTGGAGATAATGTTCATCTGCTTCTCAACGCGCTCTTCGCTCGTTGACTTGCTTTTAGTCAGGTGATCGCGCTCTTGGCGAGTCTTGTGGAATTCATTCGTCCGGGTCTCGTAGCGATGCTGGAGGGACCCCAGTGTCTTCTCTAATTCGCGCCAACGAAGTTTGACCTGATTGAGCTCAGCCTGTAATTCTTGCTTTTCGGTGGCATGTAGGCTCTTCATCTGAACGAGACTCTTCTCCAATGACTGCAAATCGCGATCGAGCGTTTGAGTCGGAGGCTTGGTTGATTCAGTCAATTGACTATCTTCTTGGACACCAACGCGAGGGCGTTTTGATGAGTAGACTTCAGAGTCCTCATCAAATGCCCTTTTCTGCGGTGGTGGTGGTGCCTCGTCCGAGGAAGAGTCATTAGAAACCTCAAGTTCTTCTAAAGAGACAAGGTTCAGGGGCTCAATGGTAGGCAGCGGCCACCCAGACGCGCTATCCAAGAGATAGTTCAAAATTTCTTCAGCATCTTCTTGAACACCGAGAGCATTGTCCTGCAGATCGCCGACCTCATCATGGAGACGGGCAATGTAATGTACAAGCAGGTGCAGCTGCTCAGTTTTTGGTAATTCGGGCAGACAACGTTCAATATGCTCACTTGTGTTGGCAATAAGGAACCAGATGACGGGGAGCAAATTTCCATTTCGAGCATAGGTGGTTCGAATGTGTTGCATCGAGGGGCTTCTGGAGCTGAAGGATGAGTCCAACGCAAAAATAGCGGATGGTGTCTTGAAAAGCTCCCGCGCATTCTCACTGGAATGGATACCAAAGCTAAGTGGGCCCTTCGCCAGAGAGACTTCGACTGCAGTACCCATTTCATCTCGGGCTCTTGTGTAGGCGAAGCCCTTGCCTTGCAGGTAACGTTCAAGGATTTCCTGTTTCTTCTCGTTCCCGACAGCAATTATCACGTGGAGCTCATGCATACCAGCAAGCTCCATAAAATGACCCAGAAACAGAAATTTGGCACTGGAGTATTCCGCCCAAGATGCCTCCTTTGCAAGGTCAGGTTGTTCCACTCCCTTGAGATGTTCCGATATGTTCAGGTCTGGATGGATTGCGATATTGTTCAGTCTTGAAACGACACCGCGCATGCCTGAAAACAAGTCATCTCTCTGATAAGGAAGGATTTTTGTTAGAAACACCTTCCCGGGTTAGGATTGGGTCTTACTCACTTCGGAAGCAGAGTGCTGGGAATTTGACTGGAAGCTGCTAAAGAATTGACGTATGTTGGTAGCCGCATCTGACAAGACCCGTTCATAGTCGTCTTTGACCCGAGAATCCATTGGAAGAGTAACAGCGTATTCGGAGGGCCCGAGTTGGACCGACCCTGGGGCAACCTCATCCATGCCAGTAACTGTCAATGCACTTGGTTGAATCGTCTGCATCGAAGACTGGCTGATGTTACCCCCATGTGCCATTTCTGAAGCTGTCAGTAGGGGCTCGGAATGGCCATGGTGGACTGCGGTATGTGAATGAGAGAAAGACCCAGTGTCTGCTCTAGTGCTGAGAGGGACTGCGGCTTCGGGAATAGGTACAGACATGGTGGCCTCAATATCCCCTACCGAAGATGGGGTGTCAATGGCAGATCCAGCTTGTGGTGCTCCCGTTTGGCTTTCTGGGCCAAGCTGGGCCCAGTCGTTGCGGGTCTTTTCCTTGGAACTAGATCCGGGCAGATCACCATATCTGTCCGACTGGGTGTTGGGACTAGAAGCTTTGAATGACTTTCCTTTCCTGTCCACGTTGGCAGGTGGGTTTGGCTCCATCAGGCTAGATAGTGGAAGCATTGGTCGAGTGTGAGCTTTCGCGCTGCTACCTTCTGAATTTTGTGATCGGTTGTCAAAGACTGTCTCTGGAATCGAGCTCCAGCTAGATATGTGCGCGCGGACTGACGCTGTAGAAAATGTGAGCATGATAAGGTGATTTGTGGTGCGTGGTCATACCTTCAACAACAGGTCCAGGGGAGGCAAGGGGTTGCGACGGGGTGCTAATCGAAATCCGAGAAGAAATGCTTCGGAGACAAGTAGGCACAAGATGAGAAATATTGGCTTCTAAGATTTGTGGCTGGCTCGGTGTTTCTGAAATCTCATAAACCTCGCAACTGGATTTGATAGCAGGTGTTTTTGCCTGCACGGGCTCTCCTGCGTCAGGGTTGCTTCCGGAACTCTGCCACTGACGGGAGGACCCCGAGGAAACTTGGGAAAGGCCGGTTTGGCTTGGATCGGAAGTGACGTGGTACTGGAAACTACCAGGCCGGAGTGTCTCAAACCTGGCGCTTCTGTGCCGCCGGCCCTGTGACAAATGACTGGATACTATCGATGATTCAGGAACGTATTCCGAAGAGTCAGGCTGCCAGTCAGAGCTGGTGGGCACAGATGCTCTGATTGTTGAATAGTCAGGAGAATCTTGAAAAGGAGAGGAAGTCTCGGCGAGTTGGCTTGAGAGCTCGATATATCGGGATTGAGGACTCTCTGGAATCTCCAAGGAACTGCCTTGTTGCGCAGATGATGACAAGGAGGGTTTCCAGCTGGTCTGGCTCTGATCAAGGTCGTGCTCAAATGGAACAGAAGAGGTGATCTGCGAGTCCCTGGCTGTTTGAGTAGAGTAGGAAGAGACCCCGGGAAGACCAGGAAAATCCGAGCTTTGCGTGCTTGCTACTTGCGAGCTAAGCTTTGATGCGTTCAGAGCCTTGCGCCTGTTCCAAACTTGTACAGCAAGCTCACTTGCGTTCTCTTTGGGCTCCTATAGGCGCGAGAGGCGCAGGTTTATCAGCCAAAGCTCTACATGCAGAGTTTGTGCGCTGCCAGAGCTTCAACATTATCTGCGACTTACCCACGTTGGATCGTAAGGTCCCTCCCAGTCAATAAGATACTCTGTGGCTGTTTCGCGTAGGATATACTTGATAGGCCACTCCTGGAGATTGCTAATATCGCTGTTGTCGCTTTGACTTAGGAAGGTACTCGAAGCTGCAGATCGGTCAGTATGTTGGTATTCCATGTCGGCTTTTAGCATGTCTGGTCTAAGGGCATGATCGGCGAGCAGAGAGAGATGGGGAGTTTGCGTGGCATGGGGGGGTGGCATCAGAGTGAAGTTGCAAACCCTTTGATAAATACGTACGAGCTGCATTGACCATAGGCACTTCGGGTTTCAGAATTGCGAGACAACCAATACTCCCAGGCGGAGGTATATGGGAGAGGGTAAATGAACGGCGCGCGACGGGCGGACGGCGCATCCGTTTCACGTGACGCTTATCAGTCGATCTATCGGCCGCTATAGTTCTATACTTCCGAGGCTCAAGGTCCTTGTTTTTGTTTGGACATTTATGATATACGGATGTGAACACTTCATGGAGAGGCTGCAAGTAGTTGAGTACGCCTATTGAGGGAAATACCCGGTCAAGAAACCTGCATTGCTCAACACCAGTCATATGCAATCTATGTTGTGCATAGTTCAGCATTTGATGGGCTATGTTCTATGGAAACTCAATAAGGGCCGTGTCTATTCATTCAAAACATCAAAGTCTTAGCGTGTTTATAGCTTGTCTCTCCGTTTCGCCTCTTCGAAATCAAATCCCAGCTCGGCCAAAGTCTTGATTTCGCCCCGCTGATGGCCGCGCTGGACAAAGGCGCGCCGAATTTCCGGGAAAATGGCCCGCATCCACCTCTCCGGCTCACCCCACCGGGTACCCAGTTTACCATGCCCGCTGTGAGACAGTCCAGGTCGCGGTGTGGCCTTTTCGGCCCAATCGTAGAGAAAGTTAAGATAATCGGCATCCATGGGGTATGGAAGCAAGTGAAACTTCTTCCCATCTCCCTTGGCTTCAATTTCAGCACTCTCCCATGCCTTCATGTCTTGTTTTGGTGGAAGTGCCAGTCGCCCCGACCAGACGCGAGAGAAGAGAGCGGCCTGGTTCTCTGCCATTGGGAATGGAATCACCCGTTGGGAGAGCACGGGAAATACAAGCGTGGGGTTCTCGATATAGAACAATTGTTGGTAAACATTCATCGTGCGCCACCCATGTGTTACAACCTGGGGCTTCAGGGATGACAGGAAAGGATACGAGTAGAAGTACCCAGTGCAGAAAACGATAGAGTCGACGTGCTCCTCGATGCGACCATTTGCAAATCGTATACCTCTTTCATGAGTTGTGGGGGGAAGGAACTCAACAATCTCTGGGACAATGACTTTATCATCTGCTGAAGCTGCACCCATCCATGATTCTGTTCTCTGGGAGACCAGGAGGGGACCTTTGCTGAACTCATTGATTTGGGCGCCAATGTCGAGAGCAGAAGCTGAACTTCCTACTACGACCACCTTCTTTCCCGAGAAGCATTCGGGAGAGTCATAGAATTTGGAATGTGAGATTGCTTCTGGATAGGAGGCATCCCAGTGCTGTATTCCCGTGATGTCAGGAACAAAGGGGACTGTGAAATGGCCACTCGCAACTACCACAGCATCATACGTGTTCGTAGTATCGCTTCCAGTGTGAAGATTCCTTGTTGTAATGTTCCAATCATGCGAAGCTGTAGTTTGGAGACTCACATCAATGACCTGAGTCTCGAACTGAATGTGGTTTTTGATATCCGCGGCGTAGTCTTCGAGGTATTGCTTCACTGTTGAGTGCTTGGGGAAGAGCTGCGCGTCTGCCGGCCATTCTTCATCGGAGTAGCGCATCAACTCCCTGGGGATATTGGTCTCCAGTCGATCATAAAGCGGGGACACGAAAGTTGCTTCCCGTGTGCCCTGGGCTGAGCCGATCCAAGCTGGCTTCTCAGGGGGTTCATAGGGATTCACTTGTGGGACAGGGGTTGACAACCCTATTTTCAACGTATTTGGGGTGTAGTTCCAGGCCCCTCCCACGGAGCTTCTTTGCTCAAAGACATCAATCTGGTCGAAATGTTGCTCGGCCAACAGATATCTGAGTCGGTCAGCATGTCACGGTTTGGGAGATTCAGCCCCGCGCTTACTTGACTGCACTTAGACCCGACGGCCCTGCACCTATGACAGCTACTTTTTTCACGGGATGCATGCTCGACTTTCTGAGTTGGACTTCAATGTGGAAGGAAGATCAGGCAGTAGATCTTACAAGTGGCCTTGACGCCAAGCCCTCTCGCCATTGTGGAGCTAGATGTAGGAGATGAATCTGATGCGTCCAATGGTGGGTGCCTTGGAAGCCTTTGGGCCGATGTGAGTCGATTGGTGGACATCGAGGCAACTCGAGACTGCTAAACTTGAGATTTGTCTCTTTGATCTCCGAGTCGTGCACTGAGAGTAGGGAGCACAGAAGCAGAGGAGCTGCGTTATACGAATACCAGTGATACCAGTATGTGCTAGTTTTATTACCGTAATATAACCTCCCTGTTACCGGGCAAAGATGCAGCCTGCGACTTCTTTGTCGCACTAAATATCTTCGAAGTCCCCTCGGCCCCCGACGACCTCCCTTTAGTCTCGTTTGTCGCTTTGTTATTTCGTCTCGACTATTCGTCCTGTCTGATATGTGGTCAATCTGAGACCCAATCTGGGCGTGGCTCGAACCCCCGCGCAATGACTGCGAGCGAACAATCTCCCGCGCCGAATGCGCTGGGCTCTTTGGCCAGAGTCTCCATCGCTGAGCTATCTCCCGACCTTGACCAACCGGAGAACAAATCGATCCTCGCAGCGGTGACCCTGGTGTGGCCCTACTCGTCTTCACACAGGTCTCTGAGTCTTCTGCTAGCAGAGCCGGATTTCCGCCTTCGACGCTCCCAAGGGCAAGTCAAGGTCACATTCCATGGACACGTTGCAGAAAAGGTCGCAGAATCACATGTGGGAATCGGCGACAGCATTCGCCTAGGTTTGGATGGCTCCAATCTGGTTTCCAACGAAGCCAATCACTCCGCACAGCAGACACCAGGCAAATCAATCGGGTGGGATGTCCACTTTGAAACCGGCGTGTGCCTTGAGGTATCTTCCTTGAATTTAATAACGGTCACTCGGTTCTTTGGCAACTAACCCTAAACCACACAGGTCCTCCGACCATCCCAATCCTCGCTGATCGTAAATGTCGAGCACGCGACATACGCGACAGCGCCGCAGAAAGCCGAACTTGCGCCGCCCGCAACACCGACTAAGGTCGATATCGGCTCTGCACATGATTTCGCTTCCAACACAGGATCGTGGGGGTCGCCTGCATTTCTGAAGCCATCTCGGCCTTCCTTCGGAGGCACCAACCGACTCGCATTCGACCCTTTCGCTGAAGACGATGGATTTGTGCCCGGGAAGGGAAGGAAAAAACCCAGATACAGTCTACAAAGAGAAGATTGGCGGATTGTAGATGAACCGGATAGCTCGCCTGAGCAAGAAAAGGCCTTGGATTGGGAACAAGCTCTGGAACAGGAGCTCGATCAGGCAGAGTTGGACTTCAACTCTGCCGGTGATGAGTTACAAAATAATCCTCCGGATGTCTCAAATCCCGAGAGTAAATCAGAACCACAGGTGCCATCGCCAGTGTTTGCAAAACCTTCACTTGAGCTCACTGGGAGTATCCTGGAAAGGCGCGCCGAGGAGTCAAACAATGCCATGATCCAAGAAATCCGGGATGCACAGGTTCACCTTCCGACGGATACGCCAAAAATCCGGCCTATTCCTTCCCCTGGATTGCCGGTTCCTTCGCCGCTCGTATCCGATCACGTCGGTCTAACTGATTATTTCCCATCGTGGACATCATCAGAAACTCAAGAGATCAGATCCGTCGCGACTGAGGTTGCAACACCCTCTGTCTCGTTTGTTGAGACAAGTGAAATCGAAACCGACCCCATTGCGTCCCAGCAAACAGAACTGGCCGAAGAAGATATTGATACAGTAAACACAAATGTCTTTGGCGATGTCTTTTCATCGCGAATCGAGACAGAATCTTACTCAGACCCTCACTATCTACCAGAGGGACAGGATGAGAGACCGGCCGACACTTTCTCCACATTGATTACTGAACAAGGCTTCGCCAGTAATAACGATCAGTTTGATAATTCAAGCAACAGTATCCAAAGGGCTGGCGAAGCGCTACAGGAAGAAGAAGAGGAAGCTCTTGAGGCCATGGAACATCTTGTACCCACGCAGACTGGTTTCGAACCTGAATCCGTTGGTGCAGCCACAGGTGAAGCCGAATCCGAAGATCCCCAATCGCTGGGAGAGGATATCGTTGATATTTGTGAACAAGATATCGGGAGTGATACAGTACATGTTGGCCCCGACGTCGAAGCCGACATTGAGGAAGATTCCGAGTCGGACCTACAATCGGCAGAGGACACACACCTTGCAACAGAAGTTGATATGGACGCGCTTCATGCTCTTCAAAGCATGAGAGATCTACGAGAAAGAGAGTACTTAGAGAGGGGAGGCCCTTCACAAAAGGAAATCGAAGGTGGACATGATGTTTATGATCCCTCTGTGGTCACAGGAGGGCCTAGTCGCTCACGCGATGAAACCCCTTCTGCAAAAGATGATGAAATGGTCGATGAAGAAGATAGACACATCACCCAACCAGGGGACTATTATGACTCTGAAGACGAATATGACGAGGAGGCTTCTCAATACGGACAAGGCGAATACGGTTCCGACGAATCTGACATTGATGATTCCGAGCAGGAAGACCCCACCTCTTCCCAGCCTCAGCCCGCCCAATCTCAGGAAGTCATCGTGTTAGACAGCGACAGTGACGACGACGCCGCCTCTGAACCCCCAAGAAGGCCTACCGTGCACCCTTCAGAGCAAGATGATCGATCATCATCTCGTTCCGGGTCACCTGAATCCGCTGTTGCCTCGGATAATACCGACTCTGCCATGGATGCCGAGCTAGCACGGCCACGGGATTTAAATTCAGAGAATGGCGATTATTCAGTCAGCGAGGATGAGTCTCACGGGGACGAAAGCGAAGAAGATGATGGCCGTGGCCCATCGTACGATGGGTCGGACGATCGAGTCCACGACAGTGACAAGGATGATGAATCCGCGGCGGACATGTCTGATGAGGGTCAGAATGAGCTAGATATTCGCGCCAACGACAGTGACAAGGATGATGAATCGACAGCAGCGATTTCTGATCAAGGTCAGAATGAGCTAGATACCCGAGTCCACGACAGTGACAAGGATGATGAATCCGCGGCGGACATGTCTGATGAGGGTCAGAATGAGCTAGATATTCGCGCCAACGACAGTGACAAGGATGATGAATCGGCTGCAGCGATTTCCGAGCAGAACGAGGATGAGCGAGATTCTCCATACAACGATGCGGACGCGAGCGAAAATGCAGAATTGGCGCCATCGATTTCTCAGCAGGATGAGAATGAGCACATGAGGGACACAGATTTCATGCAAAGCGTCAATGATGAACGAGATCAGCCCGTCACCAAACTCGAGTCGCCAAATCAAGACCAAAGCTCCAACGAAACCAATGATACCCCGATGGATTACGACCAAGACCTGGCAGATAATACAGTTTACCCGGATAATCGCACTGAGCAAGACACACAGCCTGACGCCACGAAGTTTGTCCCGAAATTCTACAGTTTGGATGGAGCGGCCGAATCTCACATAGCTCCTGCTTCTGCTGCTGAAGATGACCAAGCGGATCCCGTCGACAAACCCCCGCGTGAAATGGCCCCAGAATCAACTCAAGAGACTACCACTCTTGGGCGGGCTTCTGGTTCGGAGTTTGAGACCACATCCGCGATTGATCAAGACGAAGTTCCTGTCGAACCGAGCATCCCACTGCAGCCATCGCCCTCTTCTACGTCCCCAATGCTGGGCGAGGATGGTGCAGCTGACCCAGTGGGCCACGCAGCAGGCAGTGAAGGCGATGACAACAACGCTAGTGATGCCAGGTCTGCCGTGGAACTAGTGCAGACCATAGAAACTCCAGAGCGTCCGCTTACTGTCCCCCGGGTTGTGATTAGCGCTGATTCCACGAGAGATCCATCGGCGATCGTGCAGCCCCCGACTCCTGGTCGTGATGCATCAGGTCTGCACAGTAAGCTCTCATACTTTGCTCCCCTCGCTACCCTGGTTGATCACCAGGATGATTTGGTCAATACCATCTCAGTTGTCCAAGCAGTCTCGCAGGCCACTCGACCCAAACCAGGCTCCAAAGATTGGTTCGTGAGCGTCGACCTCACTGACCCGTCTATGGCTGGAATGACTCTGAATGCCCAGATATTCCGCCGCAACAAGGCAACTATCCCAAATTTAAGCGAGGGCTCCGCAGTGCTGCTTCGTGACTTTCAAGTTCATAGCCTCGAACATAAAATCACGCTTCTCAGTGTCGAAGCCAGTGCCTGGGCGGTTTTCGACGGCTCGGGCCCAGACGCTGAAGTGAACGAAAGCGATGTCGAATACGGCTCGGAGGAACGTGCCTATGCATCGGGTCTGCGTCGATGGTATAATGAAGTGGGCTCCGCTAGCGTTGCGGACTACATGCTCCAGGCGTCGATTGAGAGGGATAGCATCGATCGTGAGCTCTCGCCACCCAACAGTGAAGTGCCGAGTGAGCTTGGAAGCCCAAGTTCCAAACGTGGGTCACGGCGCAGGCGACAAAGCAACCGCCAAGTCGCAATTCATGAGCTACGGGATGGTACTCGTTATACCGAGGCTGGATCCCCCAACAGTCGGAATAGCAGTGTCCACGAACTAAGGGACGGTACTCTGTATGCGAACATTTGAGATTATCTCTGTGGCAATGTGTTGCATTTCTTATATTCGATACACAGTTTTATAAATCAAATAAACAAATCAGCTTCAAGGTTGCTGGTACACTGTGTCCCCCCGTTCTATTCTCTATCAACATAGTAAACAACATCAATAACCTCGGAGTAAATCATCACGGCATATATTTACATCTTCGACTGCTTCTCAGTTGCGAAGTACTCCGCGCTGATGGCAGCTCTGATCAACTGGTTAGCAATGGCTGTAGGCGGAGGCAATCGCAGGCCACCCTTGTACTCCGAGCCTGCCTCAGCGCCCAAATTGCTGGCGCCAATGCGCAGCGCCTCTTCGACCTCCTCGACCTCAACCCAGCGCGCATCCTCCAACTCAGGATCATGTTGAAGAGAAATCGTCTCGTGTGCCGGGTCGCTGACCTGGGCAAGAGCACCAATCATCAGATTGGCAGGGTAAGGCCACGGCTGAGATGAGTGGATAACAACGCGGGACAAAGTAACGCCCGATTCCTCCCACACTTCTCTGCGCACAGCATCTTCCACCGACTCGGCTGGCTCAATGAAGCCAGCAAGCGTCGAGTAGAAGTTCGGCGGGAATCGCTTAGACCGTCCCAGTAGCACGCGCTTGCCGTCTGCTGATACAACCGCAACGATGATCGTTGGGTCGGTGCGTGGGAATGAAAGGTTTGAAAGGGTGGTGCGGGTGTTACATTCCGGTCTCTGGGCGTCGCTGCCCTCGGCGATTCTGGCAGCGTCTGTGGGGGGACAGGCTCGCTTCGTTCCTGCATTGATGGCCAGGGTGCGGTGTCCGCATGTTCCGCAGAATGTGTTGCGGGTGTTCCAGTCCATGAGGGCGCGGGCTTGCGCATAGATTGCGGCTATACCGATATCAATATTGGTTTCCACAGGTTTGTTCGGGATATTCCATACCTTCGTCTGCGGAGAATGTCATGTGAACCCGGGTTTGGAAAAATGACAGTCCCTTTGCCTCTGCGGTGCTGATCACATCCTTGGCTGCGGCCTGTTGATCTTCAGATCCCTTGGGCGTGACATCGAGGGCGAAAAAGGGAGTTCCCTGATAGATCTTGAACGCCAATCCTCCTTCCTTGCGACCTTCATCCAGTCCAAGGAAGATCAAAGTTGCTTGTGTCTTGCGTGAATCATAGTTCTTCAGCATGTCCTCCTCGGATGTGTCGTACGTATCCTGAGGCACCAGGCGCTGCACCTCTTCATATTTGGCGAAATGCAGCTGCGCCGACGTCGAGGTCAGAGGCGCAAGGTTGTTCAAGAGCACAAATCGAGCGGAGGGATGCTTTAGGGCTGTGGACAGGAACGGGTGATCTGAGCGCAGAAATGACAGACGGTTGATTGGAGAGCCTGCATCGTGTTAGTGCTACTTTCTATTCTGCACCAAGCGCAATAAAAGCCTCACTTGAGAAGTAATTCACGGTCTCTTTGCCGAAGTGTCTGGACAACATGGAATCGACCAGAGTATGCGCCGGTTTGGGAATCTGCGGGATGGGAGTCATTTTGTAAGAATTGACCCAGAAATGAATATGAACAAGAAATCAAGATCAACGAGGCAAACAGTCTATGTTCAGTCGAATCAGATACTTAACAACATCGAAACCGGCCGAAGCGGTTTGGCCGTCGCATTAATCAGCGGTTACGGCCGACCTCGGGATCTTCAGACGCTCCTGATACACAATACCATGCGGAGTTTCGCCGAGAATAGCCCTGGAGTGGCAGTATCGCGGTATTTTACGGTAATGCAGATACCAGAGAAGCGGGGGAATGCAGGTCCCCACACACGTGACTGGTCTTTCTCTTGACTTCTAAGATCTTATCGCGAATGGGAACTCTTTTGCGTGGAAGCAATAGACACTGACATCATGGGCCACCTGGTGACTCTAGCAACATGGTAAGGAAGCTGCCTGGGTATACGAAAGAGTATTCTAACAGTCTCTTTTCTAGCTCGCTGAATCAATGGGCTCTCGACTTTGAGGGCAACGCAGAGCGCATCATTGAGAGTATCCGACAGGCTAAAGCGGCTGGTGCTACCCTGCGTGTTGGCCCAGAGCTCGAGATCACCGGTTATGGCGTTCTGGATGGCTTCCTTGAGGGCGACACCTTCTTGCACTCTTGGGAGATGCTTGCCCGCATCATCGATCACCCCGATTGCCAGGACATTGTGGTCGACGTGGGACTACCGGTCCGCCACCGCAATGTGCGCTACAACTGTCGGGTGATTTTCTACAACCGGAAGATCATCTTGATTAGACCTAAGATGTGGCTGGCCAATGATGGCAACTACCGCGAGCACCGACACTTTACACCTTGGCAGCGTCCGCAAGAGGTGGAGGACTATTATTTGGAGTCAATTGTTGGAAAGATCACTGGTCAATACAAAGTTCCTTTTGGTGATGCGGTCATCAGCACCAGAGACACCTGTCTCGGTCTTGAGACATGTGAAGAACTCTTTACTCCCAATGGTCCTCACGTGCCATACGGTTTAGCCGGAGTCGAAATCATTTCCAACTCCTCTGGCAGTCACCACGAGCTGAGGAAGCTCGACACCCGTGTGAACCTGATCACTCAGGCCACGAAGCTGAGCGGTGGTATCTACCTATATGCCAACCAGCAAGGCTGTGATGGCGATCGTCTCTACTACGATGGCTGTGCAATGATTGTCGTCAACGGCGACATTGTTGCCCAAGGCTCTCAATTCTCCTTGAATGACGTAGAGGTCGTCACTGCCACTGTCGATATCGAGGAAGTTCGAACCTACCGCTGCAGCGCAAGCCGTGGCATGCAAGCGAGCAAACAATCACCCTATGTTCGCCTGGATGTCGACATCAGGCTTTCCCGCCGGGATGAGGATGCTGAGCCTAGTCTAGCTACATCCCAGCCAATCAAGCCCCGCTTCCACGCGCCTGAAGAGGAAATCGCCCTGGGTCCTGCTTGTTGGTTGTGGGACTACCTTCGGCGATGTGGTGCGGCCGGTTTCTTCCTCCCCTTGAGCGGAGGCATCGACAGCTGTGCTACTGCGATCATCGTACACTCCATGTGTCGCGAAGTGCTCAAGGCGGTCCGACAAGGTAACCAGCAAGTCATTAAAGATGTTCGGCGTCTGTGTGCGAAGCCAGAGGATTCCGACTGGCTCCCTACCACTACCCAGGAGATTTGCAAGTAAGTCTTCGAAGAAGCTCATCCGGTGTTTGATTGAATCGATATTGACAACCATTCCTAGGTGTATCTTCCACACCAGCTACATGGGCACTCAAAACTCCGGTCACGAAACCCGAGACAGAGCAACTCGACTCGCCGGAGACATTGGGTCATACCATATTGACTTCAACTTCGACACTGTCATCACCTCCATCATGAACCTTTTCACCGTGATCACCACCTTCCAGCCCCGATTCAAAATGCACGGCGGTTCCCCCGCCGAGAATGCCGCACTCCAAAACGTCCAAGCCCGTCTGCGCATGGTCCTATCCTACCTATTTGCTTCATTGTTACCGACAGTTCGTCAGCGCCCTGGAGGCGGTGGTCTGTTGGTTCTTGCCTCCTCCAACGTCGATGAATGTCTGCGAGGATACCTCACCAAGTACGATGCCAGCTCTGCGGATCTCAATCCCATCGGGTCTATCAGCAAGGTTGATCTCAAGAAGTTCATCTCGTGGTCTGGAGAGAGCTTCCAACTCCCTATTCTCGAGGAATTTATCAACGCCACGCCTACCGCTGAGCTGGAACCTATTACTCATGACTATGTCCAGTCAGACGAAGCCGATATGGGCGTCACATATGCACAATTGGGTGTCTTCGGATATTTGAGGAAGGTGTCAAAGCTGGGCCCATACTCTATGTATGAGAAGCTGCTTCACCTGTGGGGCAACGAGTACAGCCCGCGTGAAATTTACGAGAAGACGAGACACTTCTTCTACTACTATTCCATCAACCGGCACAAGATGACTGTTATCACGCCCAGTTACCATGCTGAACAGTACTCTCCCGAAGACAACAGACACGATCTGAGACAATTTTTGTGTAAGTTTTATGCCCCGAACAGACCACGGACCGGGTGTGGCTAACAGGATTCAGATCCCCCTTTCACCTGGGCTTATAAGAAGATGGAGGATAATGTCAAGTACTGGGAGTCCAAGGGATGGACTACTGCCAAGGGCCAGAAGAAGAGTGTCAAGGCTGATTAGATATGATTTTTTATGCTGTAGAGTGAGAATAATGTTCATGGCTTTGGGGTTAGGTCGATAAATCACGATCAATTTGGTGCCTTTGGAGCAAAAGCTAAGCTAATAGAATCAAGCCCCCTTCCAAATCCCCCAACCTTGATGAATGCCACCAGATAAACCAAATAACGCCAAATGAACTCTTCCAAGAATCCATGCAAGTTTGACTTTTGAATTGAAAGAAATGAAGAATGCGCTGAGCCGAACGCCGAATCGCAAATTGAAGACCAGAGGGCCAAACAAGAATGAAGACAAATGAAATGAACAAGAAAGCGTAATGGGAGTGAAAATGGCTAGTCCTTCCAGAACCAGCCATTCTGAGACTTCTCGGAAGCGGAAGCGCCTTGCTGAGAGTGGGACAGCTCAACAGAGGAATCTTGTTCCTCTCGTCCGTCTGCAAACCGCTTGGTCTTGACAATGGTACTTTTAACAGAACCGTCCGGAAGTTGGACGCGCTCTGTTCGTGTCATGGTGGAGACCACTCGAGACGAAGCCCCGGATGCAGATTCTGGTTTGGTCTCGGTCATATCATGCGGTGTCTCAGTAACGGACTGTTTGTTTTCGCTGGACACAACACCGATCACGTCTTCGTTAACGTCGCGGCGCTCATTGGTAATGTGTCCATCCCGCTTGTGCTCTTCCAGTTTCTCTTGTTGTTTTGAGTGCTCTGCTAGCAGAAGACGAAGAAGGGGGCTTTCCGGCACAGTGCGGAGGGATTCGCGTTCTCGACTTTCAATATCAGACAAGAAACGCTCATACAATTCCAGCTCGGTTTCGGCAATCTTCCTCTCATTCTTGGTCTCTTGGTCAGGGAGAAGTTGCGAATCTTTATCCTCTTGATCATGGCTTTGTTCCTGGTCTTGCGCATGCTCAGAGTGGCCAGAGAATGTGATACCGGACCAAGGCCGACCTTCTCTGCGAGGCACAAACTTCCATTGATCACCCAAGCTACCCCGTTTCACAAGGCCTTGGAGCCAATCTTTTCCGGACTCGGGCTGAGCAGTGCTGTCGCGGTTGAGCATCGGCTTGCCATTTTCAAGTCGGAGCAGATCCTCAAAGGCTTCTCGCCACTGCGGCTCGGATGGGTCACGGTCGGTGTCAAGATACAATGATGCCATAATATATGCGAAGACGCCATTTTCGCGATGCGCGCGGTATTTTGCCTGGCGCTCCAGGTGGAGGGGAGAGTAGGGACTGAGCATTATGTAGGCGATCGGCCAGGTTGGCGATTCGGTGTCTTCGAACATGCCCGGCAGAGAGATGTGAGAGTTGATCAAATGAGTCGCAAGCGGAACCAGGAAGGAGTCGAATCCGAAGAAGTCATATGGCCCGTTGAACCATCGCTTGGAGCGATCTTCGTGGTTGCGATCGTTTCCACCTCGCGCTTCGTTCTGACGGTCTCTGTCCGAGGTATCGCCGGTTCTCTGGAGGACCCCTCGATTTTCAAATCCATGGTCTTCGGTGAAAATCTCCCATCGATCGTGGTGAGGTGGCGTCACTGTTGAGGGTAGACCTGTGATAGATTGAAGCAGAGTGGATACCTGTTCGTCGGCATAGCGTCGGAAGGCCACGAACGGGTTAGCCTCGTCGAACCAATCATTGCGGTTGTTATCTCTGTCGTCTGCCATGACTTCGAGTGCTCAGCCTTGAGTTGATACGCGGAGTGAAGAAGTGATGGAGAAAATGCGAAAGTCGATACTCCGTTCATGTTGGGGATGGGCCCCACTCCGGGCCCCACGTGATCCCCAATGAGTATCAAATTTGCGCCCTGCTGTTTGCACTCCCTCCACACTTGATGTTCTTTAAGATGTCGATGTGTTTGTATATAGAGTACTACATACTGCATCCCTCGCTGTCGCTGCCAGTATCCCCCATCGCGAAAAACAGAGGCAAATGCATTTCAGCCACTGTCGTCATTGAAGATCCACTCTTGCGGCTATAGTTCAGTCTCCGATCTATACGATGCTAAGGACTACAGTACATGGCCTGGGCTGCAGGATTATACTTGAACTATGTAAAGTAATTAAAGCAATCCTCTTTCTACCATTATACCAGTAGATCCAAATAATCCGTGATTCGAGATCATACCTACATACAACAAAGCAATGGAGCTGCCAGCAACCTGGCCATCAAAACCAGACTACAGTGGGATAACTATATAGTGTTTTGAGATAACACGAGGTGTGTCTCATATACGGGGAAGCCTAAATAAGCTAAGTGCCAAAGAAGTTGTGGTGAAACTCGATATCACCGTCACCACATCCACCCGTAGACGGATGTCAATAGAATAGTTTTGATTGCTGATTTCAACCGTAATGCAGATTGACACTATACCTGTTCAATTATTGCAAGCAGAACAAAAGACACACTCATATAGCATACTAGCGCGAAATTCTGGTTGAGATCAAAGACGCGATCCTTCGGGCTCCCACGCTTCATCGAATCCAGTAGAGCGGACCCACATTGGCTTTCCCTCCTCAACGGTGGAGTCCACGGCTAAAAGCGCCAGTTAGCAACATATTCCACGATCCTGGGAGTGACTCTTACCGATATTTCCAATCCGCAGCCACACATCCCCCCGGATCGGCATCTCAGGGTTGCTGCTTTCGTACGGTTCACAGACCTTCTGGCCATGAGCCAGTGCGCGCGTCAGCTTCGCTAGATGACCATCATCGCCGGGGTGCGCAACGCTGCATGCGAAGATCTGTGACCAGTTCTCTTTGGCAGGATATCTAGCAACTTCTTCCAGGAGGAGGTCTGGGGTACCACGCGAGGTGTACATCAAGAGATCCATTCGTCCTTTCCACTCCAGTAGACGAAGCTTGGATCGCTGATCGAGGATCGGAAGTTTCATGATCTTGGAGAAGAAAATGGACGAGTTGAGACAGTGAATGAAGAAGAAATCTAGCTTCATTGCCCGCGACGGCCTTTGTGCGGTGCTAGTATAGTAGACTAACGTTCGTCCAGTCAGCGCCTTTCAGATCAGAGCTTGAGATACCACACGCATGACTTACCGACTGTATTGATCATATCTGCCAGTCGCTCGTCAACCTGATCCTCGGAAACAGTGTATTGAGCAGCGTATGTTAACATCGCCCCGGGCGCTCTAGTCAAGACGCCATCTCTGATCTTGTTTTCGTCTTTCCACTGGACAGACTCAACGAGGGCTTTATCGGCGCGGATCTCATTCAAAAGTTGTAGAAGCGTTTTCTGTCCCTGTTTTCCAATTCCGCCAGCCTGCTTTTCCGCAGGTAAAAAGAACTCACGACCAATCCAGTCGGCGTGTACAGCTGCCTGGGCAAGACCTTGGGCTACAATGGCAGGCTGGTTGAACTCAAGCCCAAAGCTCAGATGGATAAGTGGATGGATCAAGCCTAGATATTCCGAGGTAAGCATCGGGGCATACAGCGTAGGAGAGGTAAGGCAACACGCACCACCAAATAGTCGACACAACATGCTCTCGGCCCGCTCATCGCCAGCAAATAAATATTCCTTTAGGGTTTCACCAACGCCTTTCGAATCAATCTCCTGCTGGAAGAAAGCCAGGTAATTGGGATAATGCTTTTCCCTCCCGAGATATTTCTGGAATTCGACACTATCGCGCATAGACAGAATCACATCTTGATCTGCCGGCCGCGCGGGTCTCTGATACCCTTCATTACGCTGGTACCCAGCCTTGATCTGCTCGGGTGTTGCTCCGAGGGCATATATACTGAGGAGCTGATGGGGGATGTGATCTGTCTCGCGTGAGATATGGTGCACATGGGGAATGGCATGACATACTATGGAAGCCTTGGTCATTGAAAAAGACATGATGCTTTGCCATGTCTTCCTGTAAGAGCTCACTTGCAGTGCGAGCCGAATCTTCGCGGACATTCGAGCTGTATATGCCCGAGTCGGTCGTCGGCGACAGTTGGATATGTGTGGCCGTCGCCATGGCAGACAGTTTGCGGAACCTTGTACCGGTCTCGAAGGTATACTGAGTTGGTAGTCGGGAACGTGATACCACGGAAGGCCGAATGTTTGACCTCAATGATGAGAGTAGGTAGTAGTGTTTGTTCATCAAGAAACAGGGTCCTCTAGGGACAGGCGGCTGCGGGGAAGCTCTTATATGGTTGGAGGCGGATATGGAGCTGTGATACCCACCAGTTCCAGCCTGTTCTGCAAGTCAAACAGCCTATCAGAGTAGTGTGATTATCCAAGCTGACGGGGATCATGGAGTTCTCGACTTCCAAAGCGGAGCCCTCGGTCGTTCGGACGCTCCGACGGGGCCGAACGTCATATCCAGACCGGTCTGCTGACTGATACTTGATAATCAATGGTTGTGTCTGTTATGTGCCGTTGATATAATACATTTCTTTTGGTATCTGCTGTGCCATCTAAAGGGGTATGGTTCATTCTATATGTCTTAATCTGCATTCTCCTTCTCCTTCTCCTTCTTGCGACGCTGGCGCTCGCGCTCCATTTTCTTGAACAGAGGATGATGTCCCTTATCCTTGAGCTGCTTGTTTTTGCTCTTGTTGTACTCAATATACGCCATATCATCACCACCAGCCAGGCCACTGAGTGTGGCCGCACTGCGCTTGGCATTCGGCTTCTTGCCTGCGACCTTCTTGCCAGAACGCATGGAGAACAGGTCGTCATTCACCTGTTCAACGTCTGCAGACGACTCATTCTGCAACATCACCTCTTGGAGAAGTTCGCGGCGTTCGGCTGGGGTCGCGTATGAAAGTCCCTCGTAGTTGTCAATACCTTGGAGGTGGGTAATGACCTTGAAGGCATAACCTTGGTCAATGAGGAAAGCCTGCCGTTTGGCCGAGTAAACCATCTCGTTAGTGTCCTTAGATACAAGGGAGTAGAAGAAGGCATTGAAGCCTTCGTCGTTTCTGCGCTTGGCTCGCAGGATTCGTCCCAGTCGCTGTGCTTCTTGACGACGGGAGCCGTAGTGTGATGAAATTTGGATCAGGCAGGTAGCCTCGGGAAGGTCAAGCGAGGTGTCACCAATTTTGGACAAGAAAACAGTGTTGACCTGCTCGTTATGTTGGAAGTTCTCCAAAATACGCATGCGCTCGTTCTGCGGAGTGCCACCGTAAATGTACGCCTTGTTCAGCTTCAGCGCATACTTTTCCAGGGCGTAGACATTATCCGAGAAGACAATGATCTTATCGCCTCGCTTCTCGTGGAAGTCGATTAGGAACTGGCAGGCTTGGAACTTGCGAGGGTTCATAATGTACAGCAGAGCCTGTTTCCTGGAGCTTTCACGCAGGTATTCGGAGTAAAACTCGGTCGTCATCGGGCACCACACTTCGGCGCATTGAACCTTGGCAATGTGACCTTGAGCTGCAAGTTCCATCCAGTTTGCCTCGTATAGCTTGGGTCCGATCAAGAAGTTCAAATCTTTGATTTTGTCATCTTCACGAAGGAGAGTTGCCGTAAGACCAAGTTTGCTCTGCGCGGCGATCGCAGACGTGACCTTACGGAACATTGAGGCCGGCACAACGTGCACCTCGTCAAGAATCATCATACCCCATTCTCTCGACTGGAGCCAATCCATCATCTTCTGGGCATCATAAGATCGGGCCCGCGTTTGTGACACCATCGAGTATGTGGAGACAATGATACCTGTCGACCGTTTGAATTTCTCTTTGTGGTCAGAAGTGAAGATAGCAATATCTCCAGGGTCAATGGTCGTCCACCGCAAAAACTCGTTTCGCCATTGCACCACGGACATTGAACTAGTGCACAGAACGATGGTTCCCTTCTTGATTGTTGCCGCGGCTGTGATTCCCACGAGAGTCTTACCCGCACCGCAAGGAAGCACAATAATACCACTCTTGGCTCGTCCGTTACCGAACATCTTACTCAAACTCTTCTCCTGGTAAGATCGAATTCTTGCCGCGGGCTTCAAATCCATGTCCAGGTTCGGATTGACGGTGTCTCCTTGGAAATCATACTCTTCCAAGGCGGGACACCCGATCGACTGGCAGCGGGCCTTCACGACTTCAACTCCGGCGGCCGGGATTTCGAAACTATAGGTGGTTGCTTCTTCATTCTCATCCTCGCCAACATCGTCGATTCCGTAATCCACGACTCCGCCTTCTTCGGGATCCTTCTCGTTTCTGGCGGCAGCGGCCTCCTGCTGTGTGGTCTCTCGTACACCCGCTGCGTCCTTTGTTCCCGGGATAACCAGGCCACCCATTTTCGGGGCAGCTCGCTCGATGATTCCTTCGGTGTTGTCCATTCTTTGTGGTCCGATGACTTCATCTTTCAGCAATCGCTGCAGCATCTCCGGGTCCGTTGTTTCCACAAAATACCGATTATGCCTCAACACCATCTTGATTTTGCCGTAAGATTTCGTAAACTCAATAATGAATGTCCGAATACTTTCAGGGAGTGGGGTTTTCGATAAACGGTCCAAGAACTCCACGATATCCTGCGGTTTGAGGCCGACTGATACCGCCGCATACAGACTGTGTCCGGTCAATCGATATTCGTGGAGGTGGGTCGGGCGCGAGAGCGGTTCTGCGATGGTTGTCAAGAAATCCTGCGCCTGGGGTGCCAACGGCGAAAAGCTCTCGAGAGTGATTGTCCCCTTCAAAGGCTCGATCCATAGCGGTCTGTTGTAGTGATCACGCTTCAACGGGAGCGAGGAAAGGTCCTTATATCCAAATCTCGGATCCGTCTTGTCGACTTGGTTTCTCTTCGAGAATGACTCAAGAGAGAACTTGTTGACGACCTCTTTACACCAGACTTAGTATCCGAGTCACCCAATGTGAGCAGATTGCCACACTGTACCTTTCAAGTTGGACTCCTCCGGCAACTCTTCCTGGTCTGAGTATTCATCGCTGCTTGATATCTCCGTGACGTCCGGAACGGGTGTGGCTCGCTTCGAAGCGCTGTTGGATCGACCAGCTAACATGGTGAGCCTTGTGTTTCCGGGGGAGTATGGCTCGAACTTACTATCGGCCGCCTTGCGTTTGGGAGGCATAATCAGAATCTTTCGGGTTTCTTGAGTGAATATCACCTGGGCCCGACCGTAGTCGCAGCGGTATGCAGTCTATAAATCGGAGCGACACTCCGTAAAGAGACCTCAGACGAGCATGAAATCAAAGCGGTTGACCGCATGCACATGCGGCAGCCAGCGATCTGCGACGGGGGCTCTGCTTCGGTCGGGGTAGAGTCAAAGAAAATGATGGGATGGATGCTCCGGTAGAGCGAGGCCGAAGATACCCTTGAGAAGAGAAGGATCTCAGAGGGAAGATGTCAGTGATCAATGGTTGATAAGCCTGGCGGCCTGAGGCAGAAACAGCTATGATTGGCCGCTTTTTGGCCGCCGTTCTGACGTAGAGCTTCTTCCGCTCGCATTGCACTTACGGAGTACTTTCACCACAATCATCATGAACACGGTAAAGACCCAAATATGATAGTATGGAATGCTCTCAATGCTAACATGACTTGATATCCAGATCAGATCTACTTGGTGAGCCGAGATCACCCAATTTTGAGGGATCCAACAAATCGTATGATCCAAATGCTGATGTGGCTTTCACTCTGACAGGATGGGCTGGGGCGCCCTCTGCGTTGGTGAGTGAGCTCTTAGTCACACGCCAATTCAATAGCAAGGTCTTGGTCGGATTTAGCAGGACATCTTATAGCTAACTGCCCCCAGCCGGCGGCGGAGCCTACTACTTCGCGAAGCAATCCATCAACGCCGACCGCCAATCCCGATTTGAAGCCGAGGTCAAGCGCAAGGCTCAAATGAAAATGATGGAGGAAGAGCACAAGCGTCAAGCCTTGGCTGTGCCGGCACACACCAACAGCGACCCGAGTTCGAATCTCGCGAAGATGGCCAAATTCCAAAATGGTGCCGACGACGTTGCCTCGCCGAGCGTTGAGGCTTCGCACGACCCAGCACCTACCCGGCATGAACCTCTGACCGAAACCGACCGTTTGTTGGAGAAGGGGAAATATGAGGCGGCACAGCCGTACCGCCCTCCCTCTGGAAACCGATTCAGCTAAGCGGCTCGCCATGTACAATCTGAAACTGCCCTACAGCAGTGTTACACCCCCGTTCTAAACCTGTCTTTGGGATTCATACCATGTGGCCTATTTTTGGGTTGCTCAGCGTGAGCTTGTACATTATCGGACTGCAACGTTTCAATAAATAGATTCGGACGAAATGGACTGTTACAATCTGTCGCGATCTATACAGATCGTTCATATAATCAGGTCCCAAAATTAACCGGGTAGTCATAAAAGCAAATTTCCAACGCCAACCCTCAATTCCCAGTCATGATGCATAAACAATGGGTGTATCAGCGCCTGCGCCAACACCCGGATCTAACGCTTAGCGTGCGTGGAAGCAAAGTGGGGGATTCCTGGGCGGTTAGTCTTCCCCACACTGCAATGGTTGCCTATCACTCACTTTGCGCTAGTGGACATGCCCAGGCTGCGTTGGCGGGAACTCTCCATGGCTGGAGGCACAAATGGAAGAACCACTCCGGAGACGAGGAAGCCCATGGTGATTGCGCGAGCAGCGCGAGAGTCCGGCCGAGGGCGATGGGCCGAGAAGTGACGGATAGAGGGGCGGGTCACGGAGGAGAGAATAGCAGCCATAGTGTGGGATTGTCTGAGAGGATATTGCAGTTGAGTTAATCTTTTCTAACGCTAATGGGGGCAAGGATCATATTTAAGAGCCGAGTCATAGTCAGGCCATGCAAAGACGCGAGTGATCCGTGTGGGGGGCATATAGCGGGGCATATGGCCTGATCTCTATGACCTTAACTGCGCATTGAGCTCACGCCATCGGGAGTTCTCACTGTGGGGCGTGGTTTTAGGCATCACCGCGTTAACTGCGGGAATTAAGGACGGGAATGGAGTTCCGGCGGAGCTCCTGAGAGGAGCCCTGGGATGAGCACGGCTGGACGATTCCCGACGCCCTAGCCGCAGGATCTAATTAGCGAGTGGCGATGCCAATTTTGGGTATTTTCTAAGTACTGGACACTAGTTATTTAGTTAGTTATGAACTCCGTACTCTGTATGCTAGTATAGCACAGCGTATGGGATCAACACTACAGTAGATCTGCACCTATCGACTCTGGGTGTACAGAGTATTCCGTGTTTCAGATATCCTCACTTGTGCTGCAGCCTCAGAGCCACACATTCAGTAAGCTGTAGTAAAGTCCTTGGTACGGGGTCATCAAGGGCTTCGATGTTGTTTCGTTTGACGCCTGGTTGGCGGTCAGAACACTTGGATAGATACTGCCATCACGTGCGATAGCTACGATCAAACCGTCCCTGCCTGACCTCACTCCTCTCCGTGTTCAGAGCAGTCAGAATGAGCCATCAAGTTGCGATCGCAAAGGCGTCATTCTCTGCGGCGCTGCTGCGGCCTGACCCCTCGTCTGTGCCTCGAGATGAGATCACCGCCGGTCACAGTTCCCTCGAGAGCGCCCTATCGCATTGCTCCCACGCAAACATCCAGGTCTGAGTCTTTACGTTCTACCACCTCTTACCTCCCTACTAAACACATTGCCATTTAGAAATGCAAAAGATGGCTCCTTCAATATGTGGCTTCGTCCGCTAATAGGATAGGGGGTCTGGCCAAATATCTGGTTGCTCTAGCTGCCTCTGAACCATCGCAGCCCACTGGAAACCCCTCCCCAAAGCGCCGACGTCTCCACATACTTTACCTGCTCAATGATTTGTTGCACCATACCAAATATCATCCAGGCGCCAGCACCACTTTTTCCACAGTGAGCGGGTCCCTGCAGCTACACATCGTGGCATTGGTTGGCCATGCGGCAGCCTGTGATCGCCAAAAGAATCCACAGCACCATCGGCGGCTAGATGATCTGCTGAGTATATGGTCCGAGCATGGATACTTTAATTCCGAGTTCGTTGGCAGGCTCCGGGAAGTGGTGGTCACCTCGGCCTCCACAGGGGCCGCCCCACTATCCGAGGATGTCGCCAGCGCAGATGCCAAGAAGCCCGGGAAGGACGCACCTTTTGTCGTGCCATCGACTCATGGAGACTCATCGGCCCCTTACTACGATATCCCGGCGGGAAATTTGGTCCCCCACATTATGCCTAGGTTGACGATGTCCCTCCCACCCAATTCCGTCAAACCAATTCAGCTCATGGGAGGTCCCGCGGATGGTAAACTGGTACACCTCCTCAAAGACTTCTTCGGCCAAGTGGACAAGATTGGTACCCTATCCGAGACCAAGGACGCGGATCCAGACACCGACGGACTGGGCCACTCGATTGGTCGGGACGAGATCACCAAGGATATCCTCGACGGTGACACCTACTATGGCTGGACCCGCCTTTTCTGCCAGCAGATGAAGAAACTCCCAGAGCGCTCTCGCAGTCCAAGCCGCAGTCGTAGTCAAAGCCCAGCTAACCTCAAGCGCCGCCATAGCGACAGCTACAGTCCCGAGCCAAGGTCCCCGGATCGGTCACGATCGCGCACGCGCGATGTGCGTCGTCGCTATGACTCGCGGTCCAGGAGCCGCTCCCCTGTTCGCTCCCACGAAAGCTCATACCCCCGTGCACCACGTGGACCACAGTCTTCTCATTTCCCTCCTCCCCATCATCAAGCTCCTCAATATCCCCCCGCACACAAACCGTTCCCTCCTCCACATAACCCGAATGGCCAGGGACAATATGGCCGGCCTATGCCTCAGCCCGGGTATGTTCCCCCACCTCAGAACTATGGTTCTTGGCCTCCCCCACCCCCGCAAATGCAGGGTGCTTCTTTCTCCCAACCTGGACCCGTTCATCAATCTGCGTTCCCCCCTCAATATCAAGCTCCGTCAATGCCAGCGCCTCAGGATCAAGGCCACTCTATGCCCCCTGGTCAGCACCACTTCCCTCCCCCTTACTCTGGGGGCCAGAGTGGTTGGGGTCCCCCGAGTGGATCGGGTGGGCGGCCATGGCGATAAGTGAGAAATCAAGTATGTAAGATTAGGAATGAACTGCGAGCTCATTTACAAAGCTGTAAATCTTGAAACAAATCTCCTGATAGTACACCCCTTCAAACCATTCTCTCAATCTCGGGCTTACCGAGGTATGCAACATGCACAATTGATCAAGCATCATGGAAACTGGATAGCATTTGTTCATTTACTTGAGTATCCCGAGGTCATTTGGATTGAAAATGAATGGTGAGAGGAATTTCCTCCACCGCATTTCAGATCACTGAGCACTACGAAGTATGTCCTCACAACTCAGTGCGGTTCAAAATTCAGAAACAGCATATGATATAAATTTCCACATTGAGAAGTATCAAAAGTCATCGAAGAGAAAAGATCGAATTCTCACTGATATTAAGTCGAGAAAGAAGCAAACACACCAATATCCTACCAATGCCCATCACCGATTAACCTGGACAGAACCGGCGGTTGAGCCCCAAATGAAAAATTAGGTGACAATGTCCATTATCATATCAGCCTGGCTCTCCTGAGCCTGACCATGCTGGGTATAGAAGTTCTTCTTGGTCTGCTCGAAGCCCTTGCAGGAGCTGAATCCGCTCTGAATGGAGTTAGCTTGTGTCGTTTGTTTGAATAGGCCGGTACTCACGGGGTTGATATCATTGCAGCACATGGGGGCGTATCCTTTCTCGTCGCAGGATGATGGTGGCTCCTTGTCTCCCATTTTCTTGCCTGTATGGTCGTTAGTTAAGAAGGGTCGAGTCCATATCAAGCAATGACTTACACTGGAAGGTAATGGCCGAGCTTATCTGGAGGCCGCCAACGATGGGGACCAGGTTACCGAGTGGCGAGATGATGTCTTTGCTGGCTTGTTGCAGTCCCGTACAACAGCCTTTTTGCTTCTTTGGGGGGCATGTATACGCCTCGAAGGGGTTTATCGAAGGAGTGGGCGACGCCGAGGCGGAGGCGGAGGAAGATGGGGATAGAAGCACCTTGGACATGGAAGGAGTGGGTGTGGGATTCTCGTGTGCAACTGGAATTGCTGAAGTGACAGAGAAGAGGGCTGTCAGACCCATGAAAAGAGTAGTTGGATGCATCGCTGTTGCTTGCGGTATATGATGTAGAGAATGACTTTCGGGTCTAGAGACCTGGCACGCTGCGTTTAGCTGTGGTGTTGAATTGAAAATCGAATTCAAATATATGAGTAAATGAGTGTACTGGTCTCCTGGACCTTTAGAAATGAGTGTGTTGTGCTGGTTGTGGTTGTCGTTGCCGGATGGTTGTCCGGCGATGAAGGAGGAAGAGGGATAATATTGACTCTCTTTTGGTGTATGATTTCCAGCTTCTTGGCAAGACAACAACATCAAATTTCCGCGCACTCCCCCTTCCTTGGGCCCTTGTGGTTGGCTAATTGGGTTTCTGGGATGCCAGGGGTTTCATCCCTCGTGTGGAAAGGTACGCGCTGGGCTTGATTCGCTGTTGCTCTGAATTACGTCGACTCTTCGGAATGTGAACGGTCGTAACTTGATTCTCACTGGCTCCTTCACATAAACAACTGCCGGTATGTGGGATTCGGGTCTGGGTTGTTATGCAGTCAAACCTAGTGTGCAGTCTTAATTCTGGTTACTCCGTGCAGTCTACAAAGACCTCAATGCCCACCTGGACAGTACCTATGTGCACAGCTCCCAGCCTCTGCCCAGGTGACAATTGAACACCTGGAAAATGACGCCCCGACGGAGTGACTCGCTTTTTCCAACGTTACGTACTTGGTGGGTAGTGACTTCAAGTGTACTAGCATTCGTCAATATATCGCTTCTTCCCTCACTTCCCGATGTGCTTCACAATCAAACTTCTTCAAACTCATGTAAGGGGTCTCCATCACCAATAAGCACAAAATAAGCACAGTAGATGATATCTCAAGGCATAAATTGGTATGGATTCTGTAGCCTTGTATCCATGATGTAGCAGGAGCATGTCAATCCGCCATGAAGTTGTATCCCTTTCAAAGCCTGAAGGTTGGAAGTTGTCATGCCCAAGGACCAAATAGCTATTGAATTCGTGATTCAAAAGGGATTTGGAATTGCCTAATCTACTCTATATTTATTTGAAATTTTTATGTAGATTATTAAGATATATTTCTGTTAGGTAGTACCTAGTTAGATACTGCCCATGTATGTAGGTCGGACATTTTTTCCAAGTCCCACGACTAGATCTTGGGATAACGTTGGAAGATTCCCAACATTGGAACTACTAGGTAAGTATATATCATACAGTTTATCTACCTATGTAGTCCAACTTGGAAGGTTCAAGGTTAGATTGGGGGCAAACTATATTCCAATGTTTCAATATCCAAAGTATAGGTCTATGTTTTCTGAAGTGAATCAAAAGTTAAACCGAGCAATCCATGGATCCATGGATGTTTAACCACCGAGATGAGTGATATAGTCGGCGTTGGTTTTGCTGCGAATTATATCTCGCATGAAAGCCTGCATATGTTCAGCTGAATCGACTTGAGACAACCAACACTGCTTAATGATCTGTCCGTATGGAATACCAGAAACATCAGGAAACTCCTTTCTCTTGAAGCGTTCTTCCACTTGATCGCTAGGAATCTCCTCGTAAGGACTGGTTCCTTGGAAAACCTCGTAAAGAGTCGATCCGAGCGCAAACAGATCTGTAGTCACGGTAGGTGGATCTCTCCAATGTCGTGGAAGATAGAACCGAGTCCCCTCACCAGAAGCCGGTTTAGACCCGTCCAGCGAAGAGCCGGAGAAGTCAATGATTTTGATATTGAGAGTTGCGTCCAGGAGAAAATTTCGCGGTTTGATATCGCAGTGGATTATGCCGTTACTATGTAGGAGAGAGACGGCTTGCGCAATTTGGTATGCCCACTTCAGCTTCAAGCTCATCGGAATTGAATTTTGGGCTCGAATATAGGTTTTGAGGTCGCCGTTCTTCATGTACTCAAGGATAAGGCCATCTCGGGAGTGACCCAGCATCTGTACCAGCCTTTCATGCGGGCCCACGCGATGGTAGATACTGGCTTTTTTGGCAATGTCCAGGATGTGGTTCTCCATTTCAGCGTCCGGAAATGGCGATTTGAGGACGGTACCGTCACCCAGGAGTTCCACAATCCCAGTTAACCCACCAGAGATGAATTGTCCTTGAGCATCTCTGCTGATGGTCTCGACCCTTCCGTGTTTGGTTTCATTTGCTTCGTGGTCATATCGAGATACCAATGTCAGTTGGCCAGGACGCTTTTGCGATAGAAAGGGACGGACTATACCGCTTCCATATCGTGAGTGGGCCAGTGGAGCAGGTGGGACAATGGAGATCAGCGCAATCTCGATCTAGTCCTTAAGATCGTAAAATACCGATAGAGATCGTCGTGGTGTCCGCGACAAACGTACAAAAGCCAAGTGAAACGCGGCTGCAGGTGATGCTGCATTGGCAGAGACCGCGTCGCGCAGGACAGTAAATTGTCACGTGATTGGATGTCAGGTCTACCTAGGTACCTAGTACTTCCACTGAGGATAAAGGCAAGATGTACTTGCTATGTTTGATGTTCTTAAGTTTACTTACATATGTACCTATGTAGGTATAGGGTCTCGATCCGTTGGCCCCACCCACAATACACACATCGACAGGCATGGAAATGAACTAGAACTTCGGAAAGATATCAGTCTGTCCCGAGGCCATGAGATCCGTGACCACAATTATACACACGCTCGTCTATTTGGGCATCTTTGCACGCTCGTCGGGTATCAAGGTGTCCACGGGTCTAACCTCCTACGGATCTAACCTCCTACGGGTCTACAATCTGAATGACCAAAGAGAGCGGGCGAGCATAATCAGACAGATGAAGAGAAAACAGGTGCTCATTTTTGTAACGCTCAATTGGACACACAATCATTGGCCAAAATTTTGACCCAATGTACATAGACATCTTATCATAAGTCTTTCTCCCGAGGAACAGCCAGTATTCTCGACTCGGGGTAGATGAGCCCTCAAGGCAAGATCAGCACAAAAAAAAAAAAAAAAGAAACAAGAAAAAATAATCCAAAGTAATAACAACATCGCTCGCTCGCTCGCTGGTCAAAATAAAAATACAGATAGTGTACAAGAACTCCTTCACAGAAGGGATTCAGCTGAGATAGAGGGGTTTCGGGATGTATGGGGCCCAGTTGGTGAGTGAAAAATGGTTTGTTAGCTGATCTCGATCCAGTTGAACGACGAAACAGTGACAAACAAGTCATAAGAATGACACGAAGGAAATATTGGGGCAGGGAGTGAAGGCGAAATGCCCTGCTCTATTTGGGAAATTTCAGCTGGGGACGTGGGAAGGGGAAATGGAACCGATGATTCACGACCAAGAGTCCTGAGATGGCGCAATACACGCAATGGTGCGTGATCCGGCTCCGAGATCCAACATAGTTGAATGTCAGAGAAAGGACGCTGAGGATCAATCGATATCCTGAAAATGCAAATGCGAATGGGGGAAAGGGAAGGACCATTTCACAATGATCTTGACGTGAATCAAGACCAAAGAAAATCAAACTCGCTGTATAGCTTTAAAGCAGGCACGCTCTCCCGCGCCAATGTGAACGCCGCAGAAACCTCTGCATTGGGCATTGACGGAAACATAGCCGGCTATGGATGGTCCCGGAGGACCACCCTCGCCAATGCCACATCATGAAACATCAAAGGACATACCATGGGCCAAGGCGTGGCTGAGAGTTGCTGGACATATGTTAGTAGATGATGTGATATTGTCGATGGACCTGCTTACCATGTGGGCAGATCTCAGTAAGTGGCAGACTCGTTCCCCGCCATGTCACGACCGCTGACCTTGGAGCCAGCTAGGTGAGCAGCGGTGTTTACGGACGGGGCAGGACCGTTGGCGTTGCGCGCGATGCCGGAGCCAACGGCATCATTGCTGCGACCACTTTGGCCACTGCTCTGACTGCTGCGGCTGCTGGTACCACTCCCGCCGTGAGAGTCATCCGTGTCAACGAAGGTAGACATCTGACGCTGAGTGTACTGCAGCATGGAGCGATTGTAATCTTCCAGCGAGGCACGGGCAGGATCAAGGGACCTGTAGGCGTCCACGTGAGTCTCACTCGCCGGGTTGTTCACACCACCGGAATCCGTGGGGAACATAGAGTTGACATTCTCTGTGGGATATTGCATCTGGCTGGCTTGAGTCATGGTGAAAAGAGCCTGGCGGTGTTGGAGTTAGCTTTTAGTCACATATCGCCGGTGGAAAAATGGATGATGGGTCATCGATAGACGGTCCGTCCGACGGTGGGCTAGGTTGATGACATTTCGGTTCGTAACGGAGGTGGTGGGTTCCTATCGCGAAATGTGCGTGCACCGAAGGGGGCGGCAGCCGGCTCAAATAAAGGGCTTACCTTTGGTATATCAACTCAATATGACTCTTAGTCGACTTGAGAGAAATGATAGATTCACAGGTGATGGATCGTGATTCTGGCACACACACAAAATGGGTAGGGGTTGAACTAAGCGCGAAGGACCAACGATACAGGCCAAGGATACTGGGGGCTGGTAGGGTAAAGTGCTATGGGTGGATCCGTGTAGGTTAGGGCAATTATAGAGCGATTGGATCCGTCCTGAGGAGCAAGGGTATATATAAGACAGCGGTGGTTCCACAAGGGAGGATGAAATCACTTCGGAGGGTGATCGAAGAAGGCAAAAGGACCCGTATTCACCTTCTCTGATAGGTCGATGCAGGGCCTGATTTCTCCTGAGAGCGCCATGGGAATCTTTGGAGAGACTTTGCGATACTCCACCGATTACACTAAGCGGAGTCCGGTGACATCACTGGCTGAACTGCGAGGGGTGGGGATGATATAATGTCCACGGGCATGTCGGCGACATCATAAGTATCAGCCTCCCCAGGTGTAATGGAAGAAAGCATTGTCCTAGAGCGGTGGGGGGTCAGCATCATCGGGAAGACGTTGTGAAATTCGTATACTCCACCGGTTGATGGAGACTGGTTCGCTTTGGGAGCGACATCATCAGTCGATCCACCGGGTGGATTGGCTAGAGTCATCCGATGAGGTCACTGGGGAATGCGGATGGATCACGACTGGGCCACTCAAGGGCGCGGACAAGCCACTGGCCGCGCTGAGATCGGCGCCACCATAGTCCGGTCCCCTGCAGATCTTCGCCTGACACTGACGGGACGAATCATAACCAGCTTGGTCATGGTCCATTTGAACGGCGAGGCCCATCGTGCATTCTGCGTCGGGATGGGATAGGTCGTCCTGAGGTCAGGCGGAAGCCATTGTGGACATCCCCGGTGGAGTTCTTCCACGGAGATGGGACAACGTACTCCGTACTATATACATGCTAGCACAGTCCGTCGCTGTCTCGCTGTCTCGAGCATGCGAGCTCTCGGGGCCCATACTGTCGACGTTCTCGATCTAATAACCCATGGAAAGGTTTTCTGTGACAGAGCCCCCTGGAAGAAAGAAGCAAAGGTGGGAAAAAGAGCCAAAAAAAGAAGGGAAAAAAAGAAAAACACACTGAGGCTCGGGCTCGACGTCATCCCTCGAGACATCGGGGCGATCCGAGCATCGATGTGGTTTGTGCCTCCAGCATCGGCGGTATCCCCACCTGCAGGAACCACAGAACTCGAGATAGGATGCTTTCGGTTTTTGTAGAGAAGCCTAAGTCTCATTTGTCGCTTTTGTTTCGGAAATACACTCCCTGGTGGATACCTGAGGCAGCAACGGCACCTGACGTCAGGGAGCCCTTATTGGGAAATACTATATAGTATACTACTATCTCCTACAGTCGAGATCACACTTGTATAGCTGGTACTGAATCGATATGTTGAGTCTGAGCACGTGTGTCCGTGATGTAGATTAATCTACTCATCTACTAGTATAAGTTCTTAGTGTTTCGCGTGCATAATATCCCACCGACGACACTCCATTCATGGCGACCCACAAATTGATTTGGCGAGAAGATAACTAGATTGAGCCAGTGACAGGGGTGCTCGCATGGTATCCACTATCTGTACTCCGTACATTGTAGATCGGCTTGATTTTTTGGGTCGTCTATGAACCCTGGGTGTTGCCAGCGGGGGAGGCAAATTGTTAAGATGATCGACAAGAGTCGGCATGGCCATATTTGCTTCTGACTTCAGCCCGCGCGACCGCAGAGTATGTACTAGTACAGCACTGTGCTCTGATGACATGGCCCGCAAAAAGGAATGTTTCAAATCTAGGGAACACAGCGTGAGAGCTGTTAATCGAATCCGCGGTGTGTTGTGCCGAGATTCCAGCGCTATTTGCGGACTCTACATTCACTGTACATTATAGTACAGTATGTACTCACACTTCAATCGATCGGCCATCCAAATTTCAGATATACCTTATTCGGAGACAAATGAAAAATCAAAAATTCAGATAGGGCGACTAGTCTATATTACAAGTGTCTGGACCGGTGACAATCTGCATGTTGCCGTCATATCCCAACGGGCTGGTATGTCGGCAAGACGGTAGCAATACATAATTCTGCAGCTATGATGCTCAGGTGGTATCAGAGCCAGCGGAACTGCTGCACAATGTCGTAGAATGAATTGGTTGTGTGGAGCATCTCTCCCTACAATGGGGCCTCGAACCATACTGTACCTTCATCTACCCCAAGGGTCTGATCGCCTCGATATGACAGCATACGATAATGTCACTGCCGAAGTACCGTATAGCGTTCGCGCGATAGACACTAGGTCGAGTGCATGCGGGGCCACAGGTGGACAGGATCCGTAACAACCATCCACTTTCCATTCTGCGATTGTCAGATCGACCGAGTGAGCGCATAAGGTTGCGACAAGCATTCATCCCCAACCGTGAGAAGAATCTTGCATGCCACTGTAAGGGAAACACAGACAGATACCCGAGATTAGGAGCACCGAGCAAATGATATCATTCCCAGCCTGCTATCGACCCACCGGCCGAAGGCCTCCAGGGCTGGGAGACATATGAGGTCACCGTCAGCCTCAGCGTAGGAGATCTGTACTGTCTTTTTCCATGGGGGCAAACTAGGTCTAGTATGAAAGCTTCAATTCTATCTCGTGTCAGATGTTTTATCTTTCTGTCACACCAGTACCCCGTACTTACCAGTTTATCCATAGACTAGCATGCGTCAGGTACATTAGAGAACATAGCACCCGTATAGAACACATCTCCGCATGGTGACTAGCAATGTCTCGGTGTTTCACCGTGCACCAGCGTATATTGTCGGCACATGCGATCCGAATAGCCAAAAAAACCGGTTTTTGTCCATATGGCAGCGTGAATAGACTCTGATTGCCCCATAGCTCGACAGCAACACGCGCTAGTTTCCACCGATCCATCAAAACTAGCGTGTATTCTTTATTCTGTCATCATAAACAGAGGCGACAGTCTTGCACTGACGGCCAACCTCCATCAAACATCAATATGAATTCATCAACATGAGTTTGCGCCTTCATCCTGGTCTGGACCGAGGGATAAGCACCATCCATCTCCCCATCGGGCATTCTTCGCAAAAACATCAGCACGGAAACCTGATCTGACCCAAACGTCAGTTCCAACGACCATGCTTGACCTTTGTGAGAACGACAATATGTGTTAGCGTGCTCCCTGTGGCGACTTCAGAAAGATGTTCCCACCTTTCTCACATCATTGCTCGAGGCGAAACGTCAGATTGAGGCACAACTTCATCTGAGCCTTCACCGACCAAGTTCTTCGCCTCTGCTTCCTGGTTCCGTTCCAAGGATATTCACTTCTCGTCCCCTGAGTGGCATCTCAATCGAACCAAAACCGGTTTTTGCTGTCAGCAACGAGGCGTATGATTTGCAGAACAGTACAACGTACTTCGTACTTCTCCCGGGGAAGATTGCAGTAACCCGCGTCTTGCTCAAACGGTCTGGACCTCATACCAGAACACGTCTGATCCCCATGGAGGATGACTTCGCATAAACCGGGTCTATCCCTGGAAATGGAAGGGACAGGCTTCCACTTCCCCGGCTTCAATGCCAGTACCTCCAATCCAGTTATGATTTTCAGCTGATCCTGCACTCTGACAGTGACTTCAAACAAAGTCATCTTGAGGAATCGAAGCATAGCTACCCCGAGAGACCATAACCCGCGTGAACCGTGCAGAACCCTTCTACACTATCTCGCGTCGTACAAACTCGCTTCCATGCCTGTCTCGGTTGCGGCCTCCTACCAATGACCACATACAAATCAGGACACCGGCGGTCGGGCAGATGTGTACGTTGATGTCATATCGATTATGTTTCCTGATTTTGAATAAACAACGGAATGCTAATTGATTTTGTAAAGACCCTTGTAAACTGGGCCACCAAATCAGGCCAAAAACGTGGTAAAATGCATCATATTATTTCTCATCCTCATGCTCATATGTAGTCATATCACACGTAACCTGTATCAACATTAGTACATGCCCGGAGTGGCAAACAACACATTGCACATACCTTTACGGGCACCCTGGAAGAAGAACCGCACAACAAATACTTGCAGCGCAGCCATCGAGACCATCATCAGGGACTCAATCACACTGAAATTGAAGATACGACGCTCAGTGCTTCGCACCGTGCTGAAGTTACGGTTCTCACGAGTGCGGAAGTATTTCTGGTTGCGGGAGACGGTCGAAAGTTGGGCAGAAAGCTTGTAGATGGACTCTTCCAGGCTGGAGGTTTGTTCGGGGCTGGCGCCCTGGCGGGAGGGCAATTGGGCGCGTGACTCGTTCTCGACCTGTGCGAAGTCAGTGGCTGATTATCTGGGATCTGAGGTGGGCCACATACCGCAATCTCGAAGTCGACCATCTTCTCGGCAAACGTGGACATCTCATTGTTGAAGCAGAATGTATATTCGCCGACGCTCTGCGCGGTGAAGACGAAATCTCCCTGGCGTTCTTTTGTTCCGTCGAGGACGATCTTGCCGCCCGGTGCGGTCACGGCGTAGTCGACATCGAAAGATCCGCCGGATTGGACCTGCAGCGCACACGGTCAGTAAGGTCCATTACAGAGCTCCAAATATTCCCAGTCATTTTTCAACAACTCCGAACAGGTGTGGCCCAAGTGGATACCCAATTGCACTTACCGCAAAGTAGAAGGCCAACTTGGCGTTGGTCTGGTCAACGTTTGTGTAGAAGCATGCTTTCTCGTTGGCCTCGAGTCTGTAGGTCAGGGCAGTTGCTGTGACTGATGAGACCAGAGAGGCCAAGCCGGCGAATAGTGCAAACCGCATTGTGAGGATATACCGGAAGTGATTGAGGTCTTGAGGTCGATACTCGCGTCAGGAGGTGGTTCTGGCCAGCTTTGCCTTCCGCCGTTTGCAGTGTTTGCATCCAAACAAACTACTCCATACGCTGATACTCCACATCTACACACTTGATTCAAATTGTCCTTTCATCATATAGACTTGATTGCCTTCTACTTGGGCGGACTGGAAATAACAATTGGAAAAAATGAAAAGAAAGGCATGATCATCACATCAGGCCGTCGCTGCTCATGTACCGCATCACAGCATACAGCCCTCCTTCAACTCGTAACCCCACAGCGCCATAATTGTAACACTTGTTTACCGAATGGAAAATCCATCGCTCTTACCCCAGAAGCTTCGGTTCTTGTTGGGATGATCAAGACCCAGGAAGTCATCAGGGCCACCTGCTACATCAGACAAAATGTCACCTGGGAGGGGTCAGTGATGTGTCGATAGAAAAGGGAACGGGACTAGGCACTCACCATCTTCAAGATATTTGGGGTTGGAGAATGATGCGCGGGGAACGACGGCAAACTTGATCTTTTCGAAGTTCTTGCCCTTGATCTGTGTGCGTGCTGAGAGTCGCTTCTTGGTCTCAGAGAAGAGCTCACCACCCTTCACAACGAACTTGAAGGGGATGCCGTGAGTGCGGTTGGGCTCGCGATCAAAGCTGAAGGTGCTGATCACACGATCCTCTGCTTCCAGGTTCAGCTCCTCGGCAGGGATCTTCTCAGCATAGAGTGTGGCGTATTCGTTGATGGCCAGCACGTTCTGGTCCTCCCGAAGCTCCTTGTAAACCTTCCCGCTGTGGGTTTCGGCAACCCGGATCGGCTCATCACCGAGATCCAACTTTTGTCGAAGCGCAGAAAGCAGGTCCACGACTGTGCCGCTGCGAGACACCAGAACCTCAACATTCTCCTATTGTATGTGAGTAAGCGAGTCAGGGGAAATTGGAACCGGCCGAACTAACCTCCTTGCTGACTCCATCTGGTAGCCATGTCACTTTGAAGCACTTCTTGCTCTCATAGTCACTCAAACTCATATCTAAGATCTCGTAGTATAAAGCATCTTGTCGATGCATGGTGTACCCATAGGCGCCGTACTGGCCAGTCAGGATTTGAGAAAGATTCTGACCAACGGTCCGCTTGAGGAAGGGCTTAGCCTTGCCAGTGCTGGCCATGACGGGTGCGAATCGAAGATGAGTGGCGTTCACTTGAAGATGCTCGCCAACCTTCTGGGCAAACTGATCATAGGTCATCTTGCGGCTGAGAGCCAAAGTGAACTCATCACCCTCGTTAGTCTTGATGGGGGCGAAGGTGACTTCCATGCGATTCAGCAGATAATCATAGAATTGACGCGCATCGGTGTAAAGTGCCGAAGCAGGTACTTCGGAGTCTTTGAGTGAGCGTTGGAAGGTGATAATGTCGCCATCCTGGATCTCAGATTGCTGGAAGGTCTGCTTGGGTTTCATGGCGTCGATCATGTTGTGTTTGATTTCTTCGAAGAGCAGGAAATCTGTTCCGGCAGGCCATCCCATCCGAGAAAGGATTGTTGGAGCCAGCTCGCTCACCTTTTGACTCTTGCGGACATAGACAGAGCCGACACCAGCCAGGTTCTGAGATACAACATCAAAGTTCTTCAAGAAAATCAGGATTGAGTCGTTGTCAGGCCACGAAGCAGGCTGGCCATCCGGGCCTGCAGGTGCCACTTCCACCCAGACGCGGAAAACATGACCCTTAGTACCGAATTTGCTGTATGCTTCATCAAGAGTCATGTCTTGATCACGAATGACTTGGTCAGGTCTGGTTGTCTTGTTTTGGCGGTTGACCATGACCCAAAATCGAACGGCATCAGCCTTGAGACCCTGTTCCTGGGCAATTTCCTGTGCAAACTCGCTAACCTTCTTGGAACGAAGGACCTTGTATTGCTTGGGGAGTGCTGGGTCCTCCGCGGGAAGATCGGCGCTAGTCAGATCAAATCCGTGGTGGTTTTTGAAATTCTCATCGCCCAGGACGCCAACGTTCATGTAAAGATGAGCCTCTTCTCTCTCCTTTTTCTTACGCAACATCTCAGCCCGGTCCTCGGAAAGGCGCTTCTCAATATGAGACGGCACGTCATCCTTTGTGACCGGGAACAAGACGTCGTCTTGCCTTGTCTTTCGAACGTATACCAACATGTAAGCGTTGTTTGTGCGAATAGCGGAACGGCCTCCAGATCCGTTTGTGCGTTGCTGGGCGTCTCCATAATTATCATCCAAAACTTCCTTATCGGTTGCGCGGTTGACTCGGTCGTCGTCGAAGCGGTACCAGTGACCATCCTTTGTGGGTTTCAGGAAAGCATAGTAATGTCCGGCATCAAGGTTACCACTGTGGACAAGAACACCGTGCAGCTGGTAGATCCAAGACTCTGACCTATCTGCACCTTCTGACAGGTAAGGGGCAGCGTCAAACTCCATTGGGAATGTGTGCATATCATTGACCTTCGCCATCATGTCGAGGTTGAGGTCATATTCGAATCTTTTGAGGTGAAGATGTAGGACCGGTGGGAAACTCTCAAAGATAACACCCTTCTTGGCATCTTGGAGACCGTAAGGCGCCCCGGCTTCGTACTTGTTCTCCCCCTCCAAAGTTTCTACCTGGATATAGTCTTTGAAGCTGTCGTCCAGAGTCTTGTTGCCTCGGACGTTCAGTTGAATATCCCAGAAGTCCTCCACGCGGGAAGACTCGTAGTCGACATTAATGCACGAAATGTATGTTTTGGTCTTTCCGACAAACAGATCTGGCAAAACCTTCTCGGCAACAGTGCCCTTCATTTTGTGCTCCAATCGCTCCATGAGCTTTCGTGAAAGCTCCTGTACATCTTGCTGTTCAAAAATTTGGCTAGATTGCCAGCCGAAGGATGCGGTAAGCTCGGTCGTTGAGACGGCGGTTTCGTTCGTCTGCAGGTTGTAAAAGAGTCTTTGGAGGGCCCAGGCACTGTTCTCTCGCGATGCTTCTTGGTCAGTGGGTATTTGGTATACGGCCTTGCGGAAGGCATTTGTGAAATAAAGCGACTGCAAGAGCGAGTTGAGGTAGCAAGTGGCGCCCTGGTTTCTCAATCCGACCATACCAGTCTCCTTCTTCGAATCGTAGTTTTGGAAGCTGTGCCATAGAACTCCCGTCGGGTCTTTCACCACGCGCACGTAGGCTGTGACGATCGCCTCGTCATTCTGCACCAGTGGGACATTCTTGCCCTCCCAGGGATCTGTGAAAAGACCCTTCAGGTCGTAAAATCGGGTGAAGCCCCAATCACCCTCCTCGGCGGTGAAGCGGTGGGTTGCGACTAGCTCGAGGTTAGCGCTCCAATTACCCCATCTCCCCGCAGCTCGGACTTCTTACCATGCGGCACGTATATCGAAGGATCATTGACATTTGACAACACCAGAGCGAACTGCACGCAGGCATACCAGTTCGCTGGAGGCTCGCCTTCCCACGCATGCTCTAGATAGAAGGAGGCATGTTCGGCGTGATTACCGTAAGGGAAAAAGAGGATTCGCCTGTTCCCACGTCAGATCATCTCCAGAGACCTTGCATTTCTTCTACTGACCAAGGGAAACCACCACACTGGAAAATCGGACCGTGTGACTTGCGCTCCATTTTCCGCCAGTCGGACAAGCGCCATGTACTGACCACCTCGTCTGCGATTTCGAGGTCCGGGTTCTTGGGGAGGATCTTGGCCATCATTGCGGCGTCTGTATCCCCGTCACCATTAGCAGGTCCTTACGAGAGCCCAGCGGCGCAGTATCAAGGGGGTATGCTTGCGGTCCGGTCCGGGTCCCGGTCCGCAAGAGCGCTCTTTGTGCAGACAATAACAGGTCATAACGTACGGTCATCTGCGGTTGCCGATTCGGGCTCGGAGCCCGAGGGAGACACGACGACGACGTCGGTCTTTTCGGTCGGATAATCATAGTCGTCGACAAGCATGTCGTTCTCCGCGAGCTGTTGGCAGGGTTAGGCCAATGACGACACAGAGGGGCACGGTCGGGGGTCTCACGTTTTCCATCGCGGAAAGCGCCTTCCCGTCCAGCCGGAAGGCGACAGTGTAATTTTGGGGGAGGTGTTGGTGAGTTTAAAAAGAGTGAAGAATGCAAGGGAGGTTAGCCGGGGGAGTGGGTGGAGGATTCTTTCTGAGCCCGCAGAATTATAAGGGCCCGGAGCTAGCGGTGGCGGAGCCTCTGGGTCAATTAGATCTGCCCGTTGAAGAATCAGGTTTAGTACTTCTGCTCTTCTTCTTTTCATGTTTCTACTAGGAAGTCCAGCTTAAATACTCCCATCTACGGAGTACTCTGCTCGTTCTTAAAGCTGCTAGTATATCTTACAAGACGAAGCCCTGTTGATGAGGAAAAACGGCTGCATTCCGGGTCCAGACATCTACTACACGAGCCTTGGAATGTTTGAACTAGCTGTGTAGCTCTAGAGCTCGGGAGATCCATCAGATATGGCAAGTAATCACCAAGATCAATGAGGTTGAGTGTCTCTTGTATCAGCCCCTCATATGATCTCTCCACGAGGTGATCGGCCCAGAGTCCGTGCAGATACTTCTGCACCGTCAGACGAGTATATATAGAGCCCTGTAGCCCACTAACGTCGAATATGAATGTGCAAAGATTGACACACCTCAATCCTGCCTCGAAATTGCATCGGACAGGTTATCGACAGGTTATCGCCACCAAGAACGAGCGAAGTATAGAGGAAACAGGGCATCACATGCTTGGCTCACCGCCCGGGCGACCCCAAACTCTGGAGATACGGCATCCTGCACCACGACATTCTCATTTGAGGCACAATGAGGTCGAAGTATTCACCTCGGAGCTGGAAATCCTTCCAGGTACTCCCTAGTCGTCATTATTCCAGATCACATAGTCCGCCCTGGCGGCCAGTGTCTGCGGTCGATGAGTATGACTCAATCTCGAGCTATGAAATTCTCGTACTGACCTCGGCACTGTACCAGATGGGTGGAAAGAGCTATACGACCTATCAGTCTTCGGCAGCTGACCTTCTTCGGCCGTACCTTGACCGAACCGCGCCTGATCAGCTCCGCAAACTACGTGCGAACCGAGCTCCCAACCCGGTAGGTGCCCAAGGCCGCGACAGAGACGAATATGTCTGACGGGAAGAGGGACTAGGCTGGCGCATCGATTACGCGACATTCAGCAGCTGCCATATGTAGTGGTAGCCAACCCACACCTCACCCTCGTATACGAGTTGTACTACAAGGCGTTCGAAAAGGCTCGCGTGGTGCCCGAGATCAGGAGCCTCGAGGACAATGATCGATTCTGCGATATCTTGAAGGAAATGCTGAGGGAGCACCTAGTGGCCATTCCCAATCTAGCGATGGGAGTGTTGGAATGCCGCAACCTCGCCCCGGCAGATGAGATGGATCGATTGATGAACACCCTGTTGCGAGCGGTAGGTGAATCGGATCTAGTGAGATGATTCCTGGCTGACTGGTGTCTTCATTTGCAGAGGATTTCGCGCCGAGTCATTGCAGAGCAGCATCTTGCTCTGACCGAAACCTTCAACTCGCCGTGGCATTTCCCCGATTCCCACGACCGAACCGACATGAATGCAGACTTTGTAGGGGAGGTTTTCCTTAAATGCAAAGCAAAGGAGGTGGTCGAGAGATGTGGCAAGGTCGCACAAGATCTGATGCGGAAGTCCTCGGAGTCGACTAAGATTCCTGCCATCACCGTTCAGGGCCACACCGACGCCACCTTTCCATACATACTGAGTCACTTGGAGTACATCATTGGGGAGCTCCTTCGCAACTCGGTGCAGGCCGTCATGGAGAAATATGAAGGCTCTACCGAGTCCCCACCCCCGATTGAGGTACTCGTGTGCGAAACCCCACAGCACGTGATAATGCGCATCTCCGATCAGGGTGGAGGAATCCCACGAGAGATTCTTCCTTATCTCTGGTCGTTCAGCAAGGGCCCTCGCACGCAGACCCGTTTGGAAAATCTTGGACGGGTCCCCGCCATGGCAGCTACCATGCAAGAGCTGCAAGTGTCACACGAGCGCAAGTATGCCAGCCAGAACTCATCATTCTTATCATACCACGAGGGATCCTTGGACACTTTGACCTCACGACCACCAGATCTGCGCCTGGGAATGGGCCTGCCCATGAGTCGGGTATATGCTGAATACTGGGCCGGCAGTCTCGAGCTACACAGTCTGGAAGGGTACGGCGTGGACGCATTTCTGCAGATCTCGAAGCTTGGCAACAAGAACGAGCAAGTCACCACTCGAGCGGCGATCGATGCGGTGTAAAGACGAGAAAACTTGGAAATGACCTTGGACACTCTGTCTTTACATCCTTGTTGTCCACGTATGGACAAAAGTACCACAAGTGCACCGCCACAGATGTGGCGCGTGGCGTGGCCCCACTGATGCTCATGATGTCACCCGTCGCAGCGACCAATCAGCATCGTGGCTGCCTCAGCCCTACCGGTTCCTCTTCTGACGTCGTGGGCCTTGAAACACTCCCGTATGATAACGGGCCTATTTATACCCTCCTCCTCCTCCTTCATCTTCCCCAGCTTTCTTGCTACCACTTCAAACCTTGGAATTTTGAAACACTCCAAACTTGACTAAACTCAATCCGCAATCATGGCAGGCACTTGCTCAATGCTGTGCATGATCATCATCACCATCTTCAGTAGGTCTTCTGGTTATGCCCCTTCTGCCCTCCATTCCCTAACGAAAACCAGTTCCTCCTCTTGGTGTCTTCCTCATCTCAGGTTGCGGAGTCGACTTCTGGATCAATGTCCTCCTCACCGTTCTCGGGTAAGTTTTCCACACGCGCAACCCTCACATCAGCTAACAGGCGACTCCAGCTACTTCCCCGGTCACATCCATGCCTTCTACCTGGAATACGTCTACTATGATCGTCGAAACCGCGATCCCCTAACTCGAGCTTCTCAGCGGCCCGCACCCGGTGTCTATTCTGAGCGCATCCAAAACGGTGGTCACCACCACACACATGCAGACCGAAACTATGGTACTGTGTGATCATTTTCGCTCTCAGTGCTCTTAATGACTTTGCGACGACCTTGGCTGGGTCGAAGTTCATTGAACTCTGGCCTAAGCACTCATTGCTGTTCTAATATCCATACCCTTCCTTGATCGAGAATCCGTTGGTGTTTTTTCAATTACCAACGGGAGTAACAAATGAAATAATAAGTTTCTTCCAAATTGCTGAGCCATCTGATTTAGATCGTTTATTTCCGACCGCCTAGTTCCTGGAGTATGCGAATGCAGTAAGCCCATCTTAAATTGAAGGGATTATTCCCATTTATATTGCTTTTCACATATGACATGGACATGGGATGTACCTGCAAAAAGATAGTCTGGCAAGGGTCTCAACCCATGTGCCCAGAGTACCCTATGCATGCGCCTCCGGCTTCTTCGACTCCGTCTTCGCCTTCTCTTCAGCAGCGGCCTTCTTGTTACCCTTCAATTCAGGGAAATCAAAGGGCTCACTGCTGACAATGGTCCCAGCAGTCCTGGGGATAGCGCCAGTCCTAGGAGCCCAGAACAGAGCGCCCACCCAGGGCTGAACATTCCACCCAACGTGGAGAGTCACGTTCTGGCGCTCCGCAAGACGTCCCGTGATGTCGCTGATCTGGTACTTGCCCTTTTGGCCACGCAAGCGCAGCACACCAGGAGTCACAGCCTCCTTCTTCTTGGCGGCCTTGCTTGGCTTCGCATTGCGCTTCTTGTTCCGTCGCGCGGCGGATGCAGATGATGATGAAAGCGATTCGGGGAGAAGGGCGGTTACTTGGTCCTTGAGGACTTCAAAGGAATATGGGGATGGTGTCGCGGGGATGATGATATCCCAGATGATCGCTTCAGAATCGCGGACTTGCGAATCAGGCTTGTCGGAGGAAGAGTAGGTGGCGTATACGTAGACAAAGAGCTGTTTGGTGTTCCAGTTGAACAGCGGGCTGAGGTCGGCGTCGAGGTCGAAGCGGAACTGCGCATATTCCTCGCGCTTGGTCGAGTGATAATGCGGCCGTCCTTTGACGCTTTAATTCGGGTCGAATCAGCACTTGGGCACGCTTATGGGTATGCCTAACTGGAGGTTGCGATCCACTTACACCTGGACGTTCTTCAGCTGTACAGAGGCATTGGTGTCCTCTGCTGGGAAGAGGAGGACTGAAACCGCGGCAAATGCACTAACAAACAATGCGACCGTAGTAAAGAAGCCAAATACTGACTGGATGCGGGTTAGTGAGGAATGCATCGTGGATGAGTGCTAGGTGAGGAAGAGATGAAGCCAGCTGGGCCTGTTGTCCACCCGGTGTTTGGCCCTTATCGATAAGCGGGAACTATAAGCCGCTATCTTCGAAGTCCAACCTTCGAAGTTGGCTCACTTCTTCACATCTGCTTTATTACATAAAGCCTGATATCTGCAATTATCCCAAGGGCCCCTAATCTCAACTCCATACTCCGTTCCCAATTCACATCCAAGACTTTTCGTGGATAGTGAGCACTACCAGGCTTCGCCAACATCCACTGCGGCTCTTGGACCCCACGCCAGACACGATGGGTGATCATGTTCTCTTCTTCTATGGTAAGTTTCTCCTTCAAGAAGTCGAAGCCGAGCTAACTCCCCTCAGGAACACTCATGGCACCCCAGGTGCTTCACAATGTCATTCACGGCAGCGCCAACCCTGAACCCTGGCAAAAAGCTATGATCAGCATTCAGCCGGCTATCTTGCACGAGTATCGGCGCCACCGAGTACGGGATGCTGATTACCCCGCCATTGTTCCAGTGGAGAAGACAGATGAGAATGAAACTGCCTCAGAGAGTGCGTCCGGTTCCAGAACCTCGGTTCTTGGAACCCTCGTCTCGGGGTTGACTGACGGGGATATCTTTCGGCTTGACTTGTTCGAGGGCTCGGAGTACGTGAAGACGAATGTGACTGTGAGGAAACTACAGATGCCTGATGGCCAATCAAGCGATTTATGCAAAGACCCACTAACTATGCTCGATGCGGTTCGTGCTGGTGCTTCTGATGAAGGAGAAAAGGTATCGGCGGTGACTTACGTGTGGGTATGTGATCGAGACAGACTTGAAGAAGAAGAGTGGGACTTTGAGACCTTCATGAAGGAGAAAATAGCATGGTGGGCTTCGTTACCGGAGAGTGAATGGTGAAATTCACACCTAGGCAGTCTTGACAACGATGCCTTGAAGGGTCTTTTACTGGTATAGACGTCGATTACAGTCAAGCCAAGTCCGAAGAAAATGAATTTGCATCACAATGCTCACAATGGTATCTTATGCTAACATGCTACTCTAACACTTCACTATTCACCCCACCAGTTCCCAAACAACCCAGGCTGTACTCCGTAGGTATGCCAAAAATGATGATGTCTCAGGAAACGCCACATGAAACGCTAAAACAACAAGATAAACAAAACAAAAGATAAACAAAACAGTCCCAAAAGGGATGAGGCTGGTACAAGTAGGCACGGTACGTGCAAAGATAAGTCGATGTGAAGGCAACAATTCAAGTTGCCCGGATGAAGGGGTTCGTCATGTTTCAATAATCCCGCTGCCGTTGCTTTCGCCGAGCTTCTGCTGGCAAGTGTCTTTGGAGGAGATCGGGTTTCTCTTGGCTGCTGGGGACTTGGACTATTGGCTGCTTCTTCGTGGGAGTATGGCCGTTTCGAGGCCTGCCAGCTGCGGTGTTCTTTGATCCGGTATGCTTTGATCCGGTATTCTGTGATTCGGTATTCTTTGATTTGGAAGCTCGAGGAGTTCCCATGGACACCGTGTGCGCCTGATCGTCAACTGTGTCCGGGTCGCGATCTTCGGTGGTTTTCTGTGCCACACGTTCCATGGGTGTAGATTTCTTGCCTGGGGTAGATGGCGCATCGGGCTCCCGCTGGTGCTCTTGGCAGGACTGTGGTCCCGTTTCATCCGTCGTGACGTTCTTCTGTCGCGACAGAGACGGGCCAAGTAAAAAGGTGATTGGTGATCGATCGGCCATGGTCGGTTGATTAGATTTCCGACTCGTGAGATTTTGCTCCTTATAGAGATCGTCAAGGAAAGTGCGCAAGCGGTACCGAAGAAGACCAGATCCCAGAGGAGGCCAATCATTGTTGGAATCCATGCCTCGCTGGAGGACCTTGGCAATGAACCAATCGGGACTTTGTGTGAACTTTTCCAGATATGTCAATAGGTAAAGACCGCAGTCGGAAAAGTTCGGTTGCAGGGGAATCTCCCGGCATCGCATTCCCTTGATATCGTTGGAGTTGATTTGTAATCCGCGCTTGCTTTGCGCCTCTGCCGAGATGTATTCGCGAAGGACTTTGATAGTCGGCGAACGGGAGACATCGAGGGAATCGAAGGTGATGATGGTTGGTTGGTTGGGACTGAGCTTGGGTCCAGACCTTTTCTTCTTCCCGTCAGGTTTCGTTGGCTGAGAAGCTGCAGTCTCGTCTTGAGCAAGCTGTTGAGCTGCTACCTTAGACAAGTTTGGAGCGGAAGTTAACTTGTCATCGGCATCCGAGTCTGCGCAGGAGGAGAAAGATTGGGCATCTCGTTCCGAGATTTTTGGATCTTTGGCTGCAGGCGCTTGATCTTCCGTGGAGGATGAAGAGGGGCGTCTCTGGGATTTGTTCTCCTTTGATAGCTCAAGAGATCTCTCGGCATGATTGCTCTGAGCAAGTTTAGTAGAGCTCTCTGCCTTTCGTTCTGACTCGGGCTCCGGGGTTTCGTCGATTCTGTGCACATCCGCTGGGTGTGGTGTCTCTGCTTCCTCGGTTGGGGACGGTGTCTGAGCAGGCTCTGCAGGCTCTGCAGACTCCGTGCTTTCCAGTGACAAACAAGGCAGGTTACAGATAATAGCAACATACCAATGCTGATTTTCGTTGATGGGAACTAGAATGTAATCATAGGCGAAGAGGTCCACGCTTCGAGTCCACTTTTCCACTCCTTTGTAATTGAGCACGGAAGTGCCCTGGGGCCGGAGGGTGGCAAAGAAATATGAGTTGAAGAAATAAACCCGTTTTGCTGCATCGGGGTTTGTCCGCTCGAGGTTATCTTGAAGGAAACGCATGTAAAAGGCAATGAGGTTGTCGTTGAGATATGTGTCCTCGCGTAGCCGGTCACGATCTTCAAGATTGACTTCGGCTTTCTTTTTGCCATTTGGCGGGTAAACCAAAGGTTCTTTCCAATTGTCCCGGAAACCGTCGTTTTCAAGAAGAGCAGAAGTTTGATCTTTTTTGAAAAGTTCACACCCATTCATTGCGCGATGATATGCTCTGGGCACTTCACGAAGTGTCCGAGACCGAGGCCCCCTGCCGAGGGATTCCAATGGCTCCACGGATATCTCAACTCCAGTTGCGGCGTGATTTCTAGGTGGTCGATGGTTTCCTCTAGTCTGATCCGGGGACGCGCTTTGAGTCTTGCTGGGGGTTTTTTCGGGAGCTCCCACTCGCTCATTCCTGGGGCCTTTGGCATTGGAAAGTTCCCCGTCTCCCAATCTGAGTCGGTCCTTGACACGTTCCCTCGGTTTCGCAGCAGTGTTTCCAGAAGTGTCCATAGTTTCGAAGGGGACGTTGTGTGGCCCCAGTGCACGTAGGATCAAAGTCATGTTTTGACCCGCTTCTTTGTTGGGAAACTCAAGATTGAATATTTGTTCACTGCCATCGTCGGGGCCGGATACCACCATCCTCACTTTCTTCTGCGTTATTCCAGGGCTGTGGAACAGGGTTTTGATTTTATTAAATGAAATCTTGAGCGATGGATTGCGGCCAAGAGATTTTGCACGGATTTCAAACGCATTCTGTGCGACAAATATTGGGACAAAATCTCCGTCGCTGCATTGCCTGGTCCATTCTCCCAATCGGCAATACGATGCTTTCATGGGTTTCTTGATGAACTCTTGACCGGAACACTTGGCCTTCTTGTTGCCCTGTGACGGCGAGGAAAATTCCGTTGGTTCAATATCAGATGAAGAACGCTTTCGGGTAATGGGCTGAGGCTGCTTATCGCTCTTGGAAAGATGTGATGTTTTGGTGTTGTCGGTCGACGATTTACCGGGGTGAGTCGTGGTATCGCCTTGTATTGCGTCCGGACTTTCCCTGTCCTTGTCTTGATGACGAGTTGGGTTCCGGTGAGAGTTCTTTTCTGGGATCTCAACCCTGTCCATGCTTGGACGATTGATCCCTTTATGTCTGCCATTCGTCTTAGACCCCTGCAGATCTGAATGTCTGAGCATTTCTCGTCGTTGTTGCGCAGCACTTTCAGTAAACTGGTCATCGGAAGAATCGACAAGCATAGGTTGTTTAGTATGGGTCCGACGACGGCTCAGATAGGTCGAAATATCATTCTCCACTTCTTCATATGCATTGACAGATTGGGAAACGCTAGACTTTGGCTTTTGTCTCGTGTTGGGATTTTGAGAAGAATTGCCCATGTTCCTTTGGTGGGAACGATCCGCCTTGTCATCTCCCGTGGCGGTTAAACGAATTCCAGAGCCGTCGCCCTTGCGCTGCTTCTTGCTAGGCCGGCTTGTTTCCTCGAATAGATCTTCAGGGCGTGTTGGACTTCGCCGCTTGTCTGAAGCTTGATCTCTTGGTCTTGCTTGAGCACGAACTGGTCCAGGTGTGCGGGATGTACTCGTGATTCTGTCTGTTGGCGAGAAAGCATGACCTGCCTGCAACCAGAAGTTAGGGAGTGAGAAAAGGTTCTGCAAGATATATGAGGCTGATGCTCACCCCTGGCTTTGTTCTGGGTTGCATTGTTGCGCCGGGCATTATCTTGACGGCTTTGGGGTCCTTGCTTAACAACGGAAAGCCTGTCAGCGGTTTTGTTCCATTTCATCTGGTTAGTCAGAGAACATACGTGTGGCCTCCTAATAGACGAGCCTCATCTTGTCGCATCCGGGACTGATTCTTCACCATCTGGGTCGGCTGGGAGGTAGTTCTGCGCGCGGTTGATTTCGTCAGCTGCATGGCGGCGGCTTGGCGAGAAGTATTCATGTCTGACCGATCGCCTGGGATTACGACAGGTTGTGCAAATTGGGAAGGCGCGCGCTGGCTTGTAATCGGAGGTCCAGGTGGTGAGGAAAGATTATCGACATAACTATGAGCAGCCTGGGAGTCACTATCAGCCTGGTCTTGGTAAAGTTGTAGACCGCGAATAGGCACAAGCTCTGGAGATCAGGTGGGACTGATAACTTCACCAAACCCAACCTTGGAAGACCGCGGAGGTTTGTAGAGGAAGGTGGGCAAAAAAAAAAAGAGGAAGAAACTGAGTAGGGCAAACGCGCATATTGTACACACCTCCAGGTGACCAGTCCCACCAGCACTTTCAGCTGAAGTAGCTTCAGGTAAATAGTCGTCTTTTGGAGCGAAATTATTGTGACCAAGTTGATAACGAGGAGGGGTCTGAGGTTGAACGGTGGACCGATGACCTTGGCCCCGTTGGCTTCGCGGTGAGAGGTTGGCAAAGAACTTTGCGAAACTTTCAAAAACAGGCATGAGAGTAGCCACTCCAGGGCATTATGCAGCTTCCATGTATCTTGAACAAGCTCACTCTCAGGTCCGAAGCACGCCGCATTCCATCGTAGGCGGTCAAAATTGGACGCCTTGGAATTCAGGTGTCTTTTATGCCTCGGCTGAGCATTCAGACTTGATACTCTCTCTTTCTCTGCCATACATTGTTTAATTGATTGTATTTACTTGGAATACCATAGTATTGGTAGTCGATACTTGAATAGGAGGCAGATACAATACTTTAAAAAAAAGCATTAGCAGACTGATGCTGCATTCATGTTGCATACAGAAGGAGAACATCACGCATGAGCTCAGATAACAAAAGACACATATCACAGATGAGTTCACTCAAGCCATAAACCAAACCAAACCGCTGAGTTCGCCTCAATGCCCCGCCGCCCCATAAGACCCAAACGCGTCCCAATGATTCGTGAATGAAGGTTTCTTTTTTTTTTTTCCTTTTCGGGTATACTGTACAGGGCCCATGGCCGGGTTGCCAACGTCCCATTCATAGAGCCACGGCTGCTTTACCCTTTTCCAGGTCATCTTGGCCTGGGCGACGCCGTTCTTGATGACCTGTACCGGTGACGGCCTTCTCATGGCGAGCCTGGTCAATAGCAGACCGCTGTGCAATGCTGTCATCATGGCTCTTCCAGATGATATTGGTGTCTGTGGGGAATGCTAACAGGCGCTTGATCGTTTCTCTGGAGGCAGGTTAGATATCAGAGGCAGGGGGAGATCGGGTGATGCTAACCTGATCTTAATGTTGCGCCCCCCATCAATTCGGGTCCAGACACTCAGTACATCTTCGCCACCGCGGACGCTCAGAACGGCACCGCAGACTTCATCCCCGGCTTCCGCAAATTGGTCTCCGACCATGGCCAAGAGGAGATCCTCCCAGTAACGATCGGACACACCCTTCTTGAAGCGCACAATCCACTTGCCTCCTCGCTTGTTCGCCTCGTCTTCCCAAACAGGGCGGATACCTTTCTTAAAAATATGGTAGTCGGAAACAGTCGGAAGAAGGGAAGGGCGCTTGAGGTGCGAGTAGACAGCCCAGAAGCTCTCTACCGAGTTTATCGAAGCCAACGGCACGGTGGACTTTTCATAGTCGGAATATTTAGGTGTGGGAGGGCGGTACCAGACAATCCATGTCGACTTGAGACCATGCTCGCCAGGAGCAGACAGGACGTGGTCAAAGGCGGGTTGGGCCTCGTCGTGTTCCATCAGGGCTTCCCGCCGTTCGCCGGGTGTTTTCAACTCGGAGCCACCGGGAGTCTTGGGCGCACCAAAGGAGGCGAATGCACCGGATCCCAGACCAAAAGCGGAGGAAGCATTAGTAGAGGGTGAAGAGACACCACCGGATAATGGGGACATTGCATTAAAAGGATTTGAGCGGCCGTGGGAGCTGTCGGGGCCGAACCGCTTGGATGGGCGGGGCAGTTCGACCCGAGCGCCATCTTTGGCGTCCGCCCCAGGTGTTGATAAAGACAACTTGGAGGAGCTATTCCAAGAAAAGGAAAGGGGGGGTCGAGGTCAGTCTTCGGCGCGGTGTCACTGGGGTGAGGGGCACACGACTTACTTTGTCCGGCGGGTCCACAGGTTTGCATTATCCATCGCGGGTGAGAAGGCTGCCCGAGACACAAACGGTCATCCGGGGGAAAGAGAGGAAAGCGAAATGAGTGTTACACAGAGAAATCAGACGCCCGCGCTTTTATTCTCCGTGACGTAGTAGGTGCGAACAGAGTGGAAGTGCAGCTTTGCGGAGGGCCGGAGGGAGGTGGGAGGAACAGAATCCGAGGGATTGGTAGTCGAGGGTAGAGTCGTTAAAGGTCTAGAGAAGAAGGTGTACGGGAAAAATAAAATAATCGTTGAAACAGAGACTTGACGCAAAAGATTGGAGATTGAAGGAAAAGAGAGGATCGGAGACTTGAGTAGAGAGCAGCTCCAACCAATCAGCGGGCCGTTCGCCTGCAGCCCGCACCGTCTTTTTTCCCGTTTTCCCTTTTTCTTTCGTCGACGGCCGCTGCTCTTCTTCTTCTTTTCTTCTTCTCTCAAGACCACCAACTCAAATCAACGTCGACGACTCTTTTCCTTTTACAGTCTTGGCGTTTCCGATGAGTGTGTCGAGATTGATTGAATCGCATCTAAAACCATCATCACGAGGGCTTTATAGCAACCCATGATGCGGTGATGACCTGAATGCACGGCACATCCCTAGAATCTTGCTTTTGTTTATCTTATGTACGTGAAATTGAACCTGCATACAAGTGCAATGAAGAAACTCTTTCGAGCTCTCTGGTAATCCGAGGACTTAACCGCCGTACTACTTTAGCCCTCGGGCTCGCGAGCTGGTTGAGCATGCGGTCAACAGGCAAAGTCTGAGCCATTTGTATATGCAGGTGTTGCTTGATGTTCTCGGCATTGGCTAACCATTCGCCTACCTAGTAGGTACCTAGGTATTTCCTGCAGAACCCCGAACACCAGGGCACAACATACTTACCCATGTCTGGCTATCCTTGGAAGCTACCTGGCTACATCTGTCTCCCGAATTCCCTTTCCTCAGTCCTCGCCTCTATCTAGTACCCTGCATTCTATGTCTAATTTCCCCTCAGGAATCAATGCGAAGCTGCCGTTGTATTTATAGCGATCGCCATTTTCCTCTCCCAACCCCTTATCTAGCCCTATATTCACCAATCTAAATTTTTGTAGTAGACCAATGGATTCCTTCGCAACCTTCCAGGTCGAACATTCCCTCTTGATACCTGAACAATATCTGAAGACTGCCCGGTGGCTCTAGGGCACTTGACTTTCTCTGAAGATGGGTTGGTTTGGGTATTGTGCTCCAGGGCTGATATATATTTCAGATGCACCGGCATGAGGCCACGATGGAACATCCATACCTCCCGGCTCAAAATCCGGAGGAAACGCCAATGCCACGAGAATACTCAATCCAGGCCTTGGAGGGTTGATCATGAACTCCCCCAAAAAAAGAGGACGTCCATACCTAGGCGGGTGCCCTGGTGTCGAGGTGTCGACCTTGGAAGGTGCCCAGATCAAATCTCAGGTTGTGATCTCCTTCTCATCTCTTTCTTCCTCACATATTCCTCATTTCAAACTTGAAATGATTCCTCATCCCATGCGAAGCTTTCTCGTCAACCGGCATTATGGGTGACCCAAAGCAATCAGAGGTTCATCCCTCACCGAAGAGCATCACCCGGAAAGGAAGCATCGCTGTCACTCCGTCAATCGACCCAGTGGTTTCTAGAAAGGTCACTGAGCGAGAGCATTTCCGCCGTGTCTCCGATACGCTTGAAGCCCTGCAATCAAACATTGATTCCCACATACGAGACATGCAAGTCCAGCGCATCGATGCCAACGACCTTGATCGACCCGCTTCAGTCCCACTGTCTTCGGATTCTTCTTCTCCATCTTTAGTATCTGTCAACGAAGATCAGCTAGTACCCTTTGCACTGTACCGGAGCCCACGCTCCATGCAACGTGCGCCACCGAATGACGATGAAGAAACGAACCGAACTGCTTCCTCATCACCGGACCCCTTCCAACTACCTATTATGCAGTTTGAGCCCCGCTCTATCACTCCGACAAACCCGGCTGATGAAGGCATGTCCGAATCATCAGAGCCAAGATCATTCGAGGCTCCCATAATGCTTGATACGGCCTCTCTCGAAGCGAGCCCAGTCCCTAAAGCCGCGGACATGACTCCAACACTATCCAGCCCAGAAAAAGTCGGCCTCGGTACAGCTGTTTCTCTATCTCCCTCGACGCCTACGAAAGCCACACTACAGGACTTTGAGAATATCTTTTCGAGATACCGTGACCCTACAGTTCCTCACCGTATTGCTCATGGGCCCTTACCTGTAGCCCCTGGTGGTTCTCTATCTCCCTCGACGCCTACAAAAGCGACACCCCAAAACGTTGAGAATGTCTCTTCGAGATACCGTGACCCTACAGCTCCTCACCGTATTGCTCATGGGCCCTCACGTGTAGCTCCTGGCATGACCACGAAGACCCGGCCTTGGGATCCTTTTTCGAACCCCGATACTCACCACTCGCTCTCAGCCTCTGTCTCATCGGGTAAATTGATACAGGCATGGCCTCTTCGACAAAAGATCCTTGTCGGCATCCCCATCGATCAGCTCCGACCCATCAAGAGTTCCACTAGTCCACAAAACCATCGAGTTCCTCCATGGCTAGCCCTCACCGAACAAGGTGTCTTGGTCAGAAACCAACCACCTATACAGATTGACGGCACCATGACGCCGATCTCACAGGCCCAGTGGCACCCGTCACAAGGACCACAATCATCCACCTCGGCTGCCTCCCCCCACACGGCTAATTGCGCATCTTGCTCCATGAAGATCAACCCTTCTTCGTCCACTTCGAATTCATCATCCACTGACGGGTCTAAAAACCAGTCAACTCCCAACCTCGTGACTGTTCCCTCGACTAACTCGGGCCCCCCGGTGGAAACAATAAGTGTCGAATATCAGTTGGCATTCATTGCACCGGAAGATTTCCCAGGCTCAACTACACCATCTACCTTATCTTCGAACTCTGAGTTTGGTCAGCCTTCGCGACCGTCCCGCCATACTCCCGCTGTGAATCGCCGTTCAGACATGCGCCCACGAGGGAATGCTATGCCACCTAGTTCTTCAAGTCCAGTTGCTCCATCCAGCTCTCCTGCCAAGCCAACCCCCGGTGCTATCACTTCACTGAACCTGTCTGGTCCATCTGACCCATGATTTATGCTGAGTTCGCCTCCTGCTCTGGACCTATCAGTATGAATTACTATCGGAGCTTGAAGTGGTGGCATTCCGCTAGGAATAGGACAAGTAAAATGAGAAAAAAAACATCGCAAATGACCCCAGCTTTTCAGTGCCACTTAAAGGTGGGTAACATCATGATATTCAAGGATAATTCTGTAGCTGGAACCTGCAGGGATGGACCAGTATAGCCTCACAAGCTTTAAGGAGTGAACCTCTCATTAATTACCGCATAATTGGCCTTCTGAAACCACAGGGTTGACACTGGACAGGTTCCTCGCAGGGCCTTTGTGTATACTTCGTAAGCAACACGTGATCACATGTGACCCCTCGCCCGGGTCCAAGAACTTCGACTTATCCATGACATCAACCCACCTTGTTCTCCTAGTTCTTCCACTTGATGCAGCTTGCGTCCCTGCCGATCATCCATGATAACTCACTCCCGCAGGATCATAACACTAATTTAAATTTCTTTATGAGATGCTGCCCCTTTTTGGGGGAGCGGTCGGGCGCTGGTGTTCCAACCTTCACTCTCGGGTCGAGTTTCCAGGCTCCGGCGTTGCTTTCTTTGCGATCACACTCGCATCATGAGGCGTTGCTTGCTTTAAGTTAACAGTGGTGGACTTCCTGTCGGCCACCGGAATTGTTACCAGCGATTTAATATGAGAAGCGGGAGGTTGAGCGCAGAGAGCTTAGTCTCTCTTCCACTTCACACCCGGGACGGAGTTTTGGAAGCCCTCTTTTTCTGCGGGCGCTGCGAGGGAAACGGCAATTTGGATACAGTTTTCTTTCTATGCGGCTTTGAGAGCCTCGTATATTGACCCCTCACCTTCAGTACATCCGCCATCGTTCTCAGCTACCCGCTCCAACCAATTCTGGAAGCTGACCAGATACAATCAACATGCAGGCCTGGCCAGATGAGCAGCGGCGTCAGAAATCCCGGCTTGAAAAAAAAAAGGCTGACCTTGAGTCGAAGTCGATATTGGAGGTTCCAAGTTCCTTCGTGGTGGTATTACCCCCGGATAATTGCTCCCCAATTATCTGTTGTAAACCCAGACACTACTACAGCAACCCCCTGTTGAGGGCAAGAGTTTCTGGGATTTTTGTCAACCGATCATTCCACATGCGCGTCGGAGCTTTCGACACATTGTTATTTTACACTGGGACCTCAACATCGTGTCAGCAAATCACTCATCGGATTTCCTCGAGTGGTCCAGCAACCTTGTGCTACATGGGAGCAACTGATAAAGATACGTTCAGTGATTCGTGTGAGCCAGTGACCCCGAGCTGGGGTCCTGCTCACCACGGTGCTTTGTGGATGATGGCCCATCTGGTCTTGTGCAATACGTAGATAGTTCTTTCTCTGGACGTGACCAATGCGGTCTCTTGCGGTCTTCGTCCAGCCTTGTTACAAGCAGGCTGCTGTACAAAGTGCAGAATGAGCACAAAAAGAGCTCGCGGCTTCCTCGATGATTGTGACAACTCGAACTTTTAACTCTCGGGCTACCACATCAACTGATTGGATCAACATCAGACCAGACAAGCCCCAACACTTTCAAAACAGGGGAACAGCAGAGCACCCATGGACCAGTTGCACTTGTCTTCGACAGCTGCACGCCAATTTTTCAGCGTCGAATCAAGTAGAACCCCGGAACCAGTCAGCAACCCCGAGGTCATCCGCCTGACCTCCACTCATCAGTAGTTCTCTTTTTCTTCTATCAGAAAGAGGTATATTCGATAAGCTTGAATAGGTGCGTTATAGCCCCAATTCAACCTCCCCTTGCTCACGATTTACGTTGTTCACAGCGATAGTTCGGGAAGCGGAACAACCCTCCACCCGACCCCCGAAAGACTTCCGCCTGGGATCGGAGACACGCTTGGAAACGACCATCGCGCACTACGCCTTTTCATCGTTACATTTCGGCCTAGGCTTCTCACGAGGGCTTCTCCCTTCGCGGCATACACCAGATCTCATTTGAACCAGATGCTGTTGGCGACGTGAACATGGCTGGGTCCCGTAGGAGTCCGGTGATGAGAGACCAGTGGAACGCCGACCATGAGCGTGATCCCCGCGATGGCGAGAGACGCAGGGGTCGAGGGTCAGGCCGCGATCGAGGCAGAGGCAGAGGACGTGATCGAGGCCGTCCGCATCGGCCTAACAACCGCAATTTCGATAGGCCTGGGCGGTCGCCACCGCGCGCGTCCCGCTTTGGCCCTGACTCTTCTCATGACCTAGGCGATTTTGCTCCCGAGGGATCCCATCACCAAGGCTCCCCTGTACCTCCAAATTTCCAACAAAATCGTCGCACAGATTCGACCCGACCTGTATCATCCGCCGGTGATTGGAACGCCCATCCTTCTGGGCCTTTCGATAGAGAGCCTCCCGCGTTTCGAAGAGCCGAATCACCAAACGGCCCTCCATTCAAACGACAAAGGACTCGAAGTCCCTCGCCAGGTGGGCGACGTGGCCCCATGCCACCGCAGCGACCATACCCCCAGCACGGGGAAGCGAGAGACCGAAGCCCATCGTACAGAAAGCGAGGTGGCCGGAATCAGGGTCGCGGTGCTCCTAGACGGAGGTCGCCTCGGCGAGGTCGCGATCGCCGCGGAAAGGATCGCCGTCGACCAGAATTTCCACGACCGGGAAGATCTAGATCGCCTATCCATGACCGGGGATTCCATCATTCGCCTGAAGGAAGATCTCGAACCCCTGGTGGTGACAACTATAATGACAACTACAGCGACCGTGGATCTCACTATCGATCAAGCTCGCGACATTCCGTTCAGTCGAATTCAAGATTTTCTGCAACATCCCACAATTCAAGGCGCAATTCCACAATGAACTCGTTCCGGCCAAATCAGTCTGTTGTGGATGATAATGACCGCTCTCCCTCTCCTCCCCGGCCCATTCCGAGTCATGATCCTGAAATTTTTGGGCCCTCAGGGGACCAATATACTAATCCGCGCGATACAATCCCCATGCATGGATCCCGCCAGGATGTGAAAAGCCAGTCACGCCGACATTCCTCCCGACCCCCTCTTGATACCCGACCCTATGCGGCATCCACTCAACACGGTACAGGGTCATTCCATGGCTCTCCGCAGCCGCCCTCGCCTTATTCTGCTGGGAGAGGCGACTGGAATGGCTCTTCGTATCCCGGACCTGGGTGAGTTTCTTTCGATTTCATCATGAGTCACTTTTATATGAATTTTAGTTCTAACTTTATGGTCAGCCCTGTCTCACCATACCAACAAGATGATTACCCGTCGCAGAATGGTCACTCGGGCAATTATTATCACAATCCAGGCCAATACAACGGCCCTGGAAGTCATCCTCAATCCCCTTACGGTGGGCCACCTCACCGTGGCGGTCACCCTGGTAGCGGTCACCGCGGGAATTTCTCCAACCAAGGTGCTGGTCGTCGATTCTCGGGCTCTGGTTCCCACCCATATCACAATGGGCCACCACAACGCGGAGGGAGAGGCCATTTCAACAATTTGCAATGGACAGCACCAGGGTCTCGAGGCCGCGGCGGTCATAGTCCCCGCCCTGATCCTAGAAATGGATCACAGACTCCCAATAGACCTCACTCTCACAACGATCCAGAGTCTCCTCGGGCAGGCGACAATGATGCCCATTCTCGACATATGAACAGAGACCCCCGCGAAGGCAGAGGGTTCCATGGGAATGAAGACAGCACTCAGCCCCCTCCTGATAGCGGAAGCGCCCCCACCATGCCACCGCATACTGGAGATGCCAATGAATCAACCCCTGGGCCCAAAGGTGGAAAGTTTAGCTTTGCTTTCAAGCCAAAAGCCGTGCCCTCTCCTGCTCCAAAGCCAGTACCCGATCTTGCCCAACGCATGCAGGTTCGCGAGCCGCCTCCACGTGCACCACCTCCACAGGAGCAGACATCACCTCGCAACCGGCTTACCAATGGACCGTTGCCCAAATTTAAACCAGATACAAGAAATGACCGTCGGGATCGTGCACGGGATCGGGGAGATCGAGACCGCAGGGATTTCCGAGAGTCCCGAGATTTCCGAGACCCAAGAGACCGCAGAGATGATCGTCGGTTCGAACAAAACCAGCGACGTGATCGACGCAAAGGTGACCGCCCTCCAACTCGACCAATGGACCGACAAGATCGTTGGCGCGAGCCTTTCCCGGAGCCAAATCACCAGGCGCCCCCCAAGGAGAAGGTTATTCTCACTCGCCCAAAACCCCGGCCCACGCTCCCAGAAGAGTTCGCAAACGCAGAATCGGTTTACTATCGCAAGCCTGGCAACGAATCTGTGATTGGTGCAGGAACCTATGGCAAAGTCTTCAAGGGAATCCATGTTTACACGCAACGAAAGGTCGCACTCAAGAAAATTCGAATGGAGGGCGAAAAGGACGGCTTCCCTATAACGGCCGTTCGCGAGATCAAGTTGCTCCAGCATCTCCGAAATCATAATGTTGTGAGCCTCTTGGAGGTCATGGTTGAGAAGAACGAGTGCTTCATGGTCTTCGAATATCTTTCTCACGATTTGACTGGACTGATCAACCACCCTACTTTTTCACTTTCCCTTGCACACAAGAAAGACTTGTCCAAGCAGATGTTTGAAGGTCTGAACTACCTTCATCATCGCGGTGTGCTCCACAGAGATATCAAGGCCGCGAACATTTTGATCAGCAACCGAGGATTACTGAAATATGCCGACTTCGGCCTGGCCCGCTTCTTCTCAAAAAGCCGCCAGCTCGACTATACCAACCGCGTCATTACCATCTGGTACCGGCCCCCGGAGCTTCTCTTAGGTGAAACCCGGTACGGTCCCGCCGTCGACGTTTGGAGTGCTGCATGCGTTTGCATGGAAATGTTCACCAAAAAGGCGGTCTTCCCGGGAGAAGGTGGTGAACTCAGCCAGATGGAAAAGCTCTATAACGCCCTGGGTACCCCTACCAAGACCGAATGGCCGGATCTTGTAGAAATGCCCTGGTTCCATTTAATGCGTCCCAAGGAACGCAGGCCGCGTGTGTTTGAAGATCAATACCGTGATGTCCTGTCATCTGGTGCAATGGATCTTATCTCGTCAATATTCCGCTACGATCCTTCACAGCGACCAAGCGCCGAAGACGTCCTCAAACACCCCTATTTCACATCGGAAGAACCGTCCCCTCACCCACCGATTGAGTATGTATCCCACTTCTCTATTCTATAACCATTACTAACCCCATTCCAGATTGGAGCACGTTGAAGGTGACTGGCATGAGTTTGAATCCAAGGCTCTTCGCAAAGAAGCTCGGCGCGTCGAGTACCAAAACCAGAAAGATCGTGATAAGCGCAAAGCAGACAATCCAGTCCCGACGACAAGTCGGGACACAAAGCGCCCCAAGCAAGAAGCAAGTGACCAGGATTTGCATTGATGATAGCTTTTTAATTGTTTTAATTATTTTGCTGTTCTATTTTCAGTCTGTTTCATGGGCTATGGCCGGGGTATGCGTTTGCATTTACAATTCTCAGGATTCACCCTGCTACCTAGAATATCATGACTATCCCGGGCTGATCCTTGTCACATATTGCCCATTGATCTAACGAATTCGAGATCAGAATTGTTACCATTGTATAGCCCTCTGTCTTGCTCGTAAAAGGTTCAATTCGTAGATCTGCCATCCTCCAATGCTCGGTAGTGACCCCCTGAGGCCAGGAAGCCCTAGAGAACCCTCAGAATAGCACAACCCAATTCAGGGGCAATTGTGAGAAATCCCAATCAGAAAGGAGGCATACGACCTCAGGGCTCTGCCCAAGTGGGTTTGGGGGCTTAACAGAGCCCTCCAAAGGTAGGTATTAAATACAAAAATATAGTTTTGGTCTAATTCGGTCATGCATTCAACTGAGTACTAACAATGTATGTTTGACCTTGATGTAACTGCCCGTCGGGCGAACACAAACCCTCATCTTCGTATACACGGCGAAAGCCCCAAGAGTCACTCATACCGCCGATTATTCTGCAGTTGCTTGAGGCCCACCGCGGCCGCGGCCGCCGCGGCCACCTCGACCTCCGTTTCCGCGACCGCGCCCCCGACCGCGCCCCCGGTCCAGTCCCTGTGGAGGCGGGACCTGCGTGTAGTTCTGGGGGCGGAAGTTCGGGTTGTTTTGAATGACGCCCTCGCTCGGGTCTCCTTGCTCCACAGAAACGTAGCCACCACGAGCGCCACCACGGCCATTTCCACGCGCGCGGGGGCCGCGCGGAGGCCCACCGTTGGAGTGGGGACGGAAGGGGAGAGTGGTTTGCTGGCCGTTGTTATAACCACCGCGGCCGCCACGACCGGCACCAGAACCTTGGCCAGAGACTGCGCCTCTGAAAGAGCCCGTCAGGGGAGCGGGGGCATCGGCATTTCTGAGTTGGCCCTGGCTACCGGGGCCCAGGGGTGCACCGTACCCGGCAACTGTCAGGGGAAGAGGGGCCTGCTGGGCCTGTTGATCATTCGCGGCACGAGAGCTGGCGATAAGCTGACGGTGGGAGATGTTGAGAACGGAGATGGCGGGAACAGTCTGGCCGCGGAATGGCGAGCATCGGCCACCGAGCGTAGTACCACTCATGAATGATGAATCGAAGACAACATCCAGGAGCATGGTTCGAGGGGTTCTGGTGAGGCCGACCACAGTACCACGGGTAGCGATTGGCACTTTACCGGAATCTTGCGCGTACACGACCCGGTCGCCGAGCTTGAAGGTTTGGCTTCCAAGGCGGTGCTCAACGTCCGCAGGTCGAAGCAGAGCACCTCGGGGCACGCCCCGTACCTTCTTTGGTTGCATTTGTGGCTGAGATAGGTTGAATCGATCAGCATCCTGCTCGATCAGCATCACAATATCCGAGTCAAGCTGCTCGGCGTCGAGGGGAACTCTTTCGAAGTTCTTGGCTTCAATGGACTTGAGCCAATCCTTGATCTCCTTCATCTTCAAAGAGGCGATCTCCTCCGGGTAGAAATCAGTTGGGGAGTAACGATCACTTTGAGGGTTGCGCTGGATACCAGCGATGAACTCAGGGAAGTTGATCATGTACTGTTGAATCAGTTCAACTGCCTTTTGGCTGAACTCCCAACCAGACTCTCCTCGGCGAGAGTAACCGAGAACCTTCTGTTGCTTGGCTTGGAACTTTAGGTTGAGGCCGAGGTTTGCGCGTGTGCCCTCAATATCAACGGTGAAAGAAGAGGTGATTTTAGCCAATACCAGGGCATTGAGGCGGAGGCTGCGTGCAACGGCGTAAGAAGGCATGTAAGGGCAAAGTTGCTCTGCCGCCTTCACGCGATCCCGGCCGAACTCGGGCTCTCGTCCTTTGACAGCCGCGATCAATCCATTGACCTTTCCATCCTCATGTCCACCAACATGGACAGGTCTTCCATAGTTGAAGTCACCCAGGAAGAAAGCACGAGAGCCCTCGGGGAAATCTTCTTCAATGGGAACAGCAGCTCGTTCGATGAAACGTTGATCGGGATTTTTCACCTCATCAACGATAACCTGGAGAGCGTAATCTGTCTCCTGGCCTGGAATATCGGCAAAGTCCTTGATTGTGGCACCGTCGTCGGTCTTGATCATACCCTTGAGGGGTTGGATGTGTACTAATGCCTCAACCTCGCCGATGATCGTTGCTAGACGCTTGCTGTAGGTGTTTTCAATCTTGACTGCCTTCTTTTTCCACTGCTCAATTTGTTGAGGGGTATGAGGGATTGAAACGGGATGTGTTTCTCCTGGGGGGAGAATGTAGTCGAATAGTTCGTCGGAGACGCGAATGACAAGAGCTTCCTGCAAGAATGGGAAGCCAACATGGACACGTTGTCCAAGCTTTTTCTTGGCCATTTCGACGCTCGAGCGGCTTCCCGGGTCCAGTAGTGTAACAACCTGGCTTTCATTGCGGCTGTCCTGTTGGAAGACACAAACACCATGGAAGCCGAGTTGGCCGTGACTGGGCAGTGTCTTGATGCTAGGGAAGCCAGCCAATGCCGCATCGCCCAGGTGCACACCTTCCATCAAACCGGCATAGGGCACCAATCCATCCATCGCGGGGAGTTCAAAGATGTTTTCAATGCAGTGGCAATTTGGAAGGTCGGGGAACACGCCAGGCATCGAAGAGGGGTAAACGTAGTTGACGTCTGATGAGTATGTAAATTTCAAGCAAGCGCCAAAGTCATTTCTTGCTTTCTCGTCCGGCGAAAGCAAGTGTTCCTTGGTCTTCAAAGCGGACAAAAGCCGCTTCTCGTCAATGAAGGGAATCTTGACCACGGCTTCCCACTCCATCTTCTTGCCGTTCATGTCAAGGTCGAAGTCCCGGGGGTAGAAGTCATAGATGGGAGAATCGGGCGACGTCATCAGGTCCCAGTAGGCGGTAGGAACAATCTTCTTACTGCGGTCAGGCAAAACACCCATCAGCTGGTCATAAGGTCGGAATGGCTGTCCCAACTTGAAATCCATATCTGCGCCGAGTCCGGCGTTTACATCTGGACAACGGTCAGCAATGAGATCAATAGCAGGTGGGTGTGGCTACTGACCAGAAATCATAGGGGCGTAGTGGTATTGGAAGAACCAGGGCCACGATGCGATGCCACGATAGTAATAGAACAAGACCCACTGCAGTCCCTGCACATAGTTCTGGGCAAGCTTTTTCATCTCCTCCTTGTTCTCGAGACCCCATCCAAACTTAGTCTGATAATATTTATTCTTCCAAGCCAAGAATTCAGCGTCGTATTTCTCCTGCGCCGCTTTCTGCGATTCTTCTGCGGTCATTTCCTGGACAGTGGCCTTCTCGTACTTTCGAATGATACGCTGAACTGCCATTGAGGCTTCCTCGTCCTCTTCGTCGTCTTCGTCGTCATCATTATCATCCTTGTGTGGCTGAGGCAGCTGGAGTCGCATGAAGCGATCTCCATCGTCATTATCGACCGAAGACCAAGGAAGTCGGAGCTCATCCGCGAGCTGCTCAACAAAACTTCGGTCGCGAGCTGGAAGTGTGGGGGGTAGATCCAGTGGCGAGGAGACACTTTCGGTCCGGTTGAGAACGTACTTCTTGATTGTCTTCAGAATGTCCTTTTGAGACGGTGTGATTGTGAGCTTTTGGGGCTTTTGTCGGGGGTCCACGGCGTCAACATCCCCGTTTTTCTTCGACTTGAGCCATTGGGCATCGGAGTTCTCCGCTTCAAAGAATCTATATTCGACGGAGCTTAGTGCGCTCACAAGCATTCCTAGGCGTTGCACATTGATCACTCCCTGATCGTTGATGTAGCCGCCCATCTTTGGGAGAACCTCCTTATAAAGCTTGAACATGAGGGCAAGAGCACCCTCGTTAATGTGCAAATTTGGCAGATTCGGTAAGAAATCATTTCCGACGAAGAATGCCATGAGAATGAAGTCGTCAATAACACGCTCCATGTCGAATGGGAAGTCAAGGGCGCCATCTTGTTCCAATTCTTGGAACTCGAGTTCCAGGTACTCCCGGACTATGCTCAGATGCAAAAGATAGAAGTTCTGGTGTTCAAGTTCCTTGGGCTTCTTGGAAACCTGGCGACCAAAGGTCACTTCCTCTCGAAGAAGACAGAAGTGAGGGTCATGACTGAGCAGACCCAGCATGATCAGGTCTGCATCCAAGCCGTAGAGACAATGGCGAACGTTGGATTCATAACCGGGTTGCGCTTTCGAGCATCGGATGTATTCCATGATCTTATGTTCGCCTTCACCGGGGACTTCATGACCAGACAGCACGATTTCCACACCTTGCCAGTCTGTATCCTCTGAAATCTTCTTGTTGATGAAGTATTTGAGTTGTTGAGTCAACTTCTGCATGAATGCGGTACCCGGGGTGATGCAGTTGCTGTCAAATGCATCCTCCTTTGGCATCTCCATGCCTTGCTCAATTGCCTTTTCCTTTGCTTTCTCCGCATCTAGGGCAGTGCGGAAGCGACGGGCACGCTGTTGATTCATCTTGGCGCGGGGTGCGACACCGTCCACTGCCATATAGAACAATTTCTTGGGCTTGATCTTGCCAAATAAATGCTCAATGTAATTGAATATAGCGATGAACATCTGGTCTTCCGTCATGCGAAACGTCGGAGAATCGCTGTCGCTGTGTGTACAGTTGTGGATGATACCATTCATGTCGAGGTACAGGCTGTCGAACTCGGGTATCCGGCTCTCTGCAATCAGCGTCGAGATAGCAGGATACCTCTCGCTGAGCCAGCGAAAGAATTTAGGGACACCCATGGTGAATGTGTCGTAAAGATATGGGTGGGTGGTGTTATCGTGAGATTGAAGTGAGAGACTTGCGACGCAAGATATTTCATCCAACAAGGAAGGATGAAATACTGATATACGCAAGAAGAGAAGCGTCCAAAGGAGAGACAGGCAAAAAATAAAAACAGAACGCCAACGTGGTTCGGAGTCTATGATGCAAGTTGAGATCTCCCCACGAAGTGAAGAGTCAAGCTCAAGGCCACCGCCCTCCCAATTGGGCCTAGTCTCTCTTGGGGACCGCCCCGACTCATTAACGCGGTGCGCGTAGCTCTTCCGTCTGCCCTATATTCACTACTTTTTCAGATTCTCGACGTGTCCGACGCTGAAGCTGTGCGCTTATACTGCCGCTTGCATCCACTCACTTCACTCTCAAAATGGACTACGAAGAGGCTGGTGAGTGCCCTGCGTTTGCGCATCTGAAATCTCAATCTAATCAACGCTTCCAGGCGCTGGAGACGAGCATGAGAAGGATCAGGACCAGGAACAGGACCAGGACCACACCGATGAGAAGGCCATCAACGAAGGTAATACCCTAATAAAATCGGGCTCTTCCGTCGGTTGCGATCGCTAATCATCTACATCGGATGCAGAATACAAGACATGGAAGAAGAATGCGCCATTCCTCTATGATATGATCCTGAGCACCGCGTTAGAATGGCCCACTCTTACGACGCAGTGGCTGCCGGATAAGCAAGAGTGCGTACATACGCGAGTCTTTTCTCCATTCGCAGTCGTTCTAACCGAATTGCATCAGGGTCCCAGACAAGCCTTATTCTACCCACCGTCTTCTGATTGGCACGCATACTACCGGGGAAGCGCAGAATTACCTTCAAATCGCCCATGTGCAACTCCCAAACCCCAATGTTCCAAACCCTGAGGATTACGACGAAGACAGGGGAGAGATCGGTGGGTATGGCGGGGGCTCGAAGAAGCCCCAGATGGAGATCAAGTTCAACATCGTTCAAAAAATTGATCACAAGGGGGAGGTCAACAAGGCCCGCTACCAACCGCAGAACCCTAATATCATTGCAACGATGTGCACGGATGGTCGTGTTATGATCTGGGATCGCTCCAAACACCCCAGCTTGCCCACCGGCACTGTCAACCCCCAGATGGAGCTCCTCGGACATGAGTCCGAAGGCTTTGCGATTAGCTGGAATCCCCATGTGGCTGGCCACCTTGCCACCGGTAGCGAGGATAAGACTGTCCGACTCTGGTGAGTAGACACAATCCTGAATCGGGTTTGATGCCATGACACGCCCCTAACCATCAACAACAGGGACATCACTACATACACCAAGGGCAACAAGGCCGTCCGACCCAGCCGTACCTTCACTCACCACTCCGCGATTGTCAATGACGTTCAATATCACCCTCTTCACTCCTCTCTCATCGGAACTGTTTCCGATGATATCACGCTCCAGATTCTCGATACCCGCCAAGATGACTCCACTCGCTCGGCCTCCTCCGCTGAGGGCCAGCACCGCGATGCCATCAATTCTCTTTCCTTCAACCCTGCCTCGGAGACCATTCTGGCTACTGGTTCCGCAGACAAGACCATCGCCATCTGGGATCTGCGTAACCTGAAGCAGAAACTCCACTCGCTCGAGGGCCACACGGACTCGGTTCAGTCTATCTCGTGGCATCCGTTCGAGGAGTCAGTCCTGGCGAGTTCCGGCTACGATCGTAAAATTATGTTCTGGGACCTCAGTCGAGCAGGCGAGGAGCAAACCCCGGAGGATGCCCAAGATGGGCCACCAGAGCTGTAAGTGATTTCTCTCCCGGACTTAACCTTGGTGTTTGTATGCTCCAGTTGCTGACTTTCCTCCCAAGGCTGTTCATGCACGGTGGACACACAAACCGTATTTCGGACTTCAGCTGGAACCTCAGCGATCCTTGGGTTCTGTGCTCGGCGGCTGAGGATAATTTGCTGCAGGTATGGAAGGTGGCAGATGCCATTGTGGGCAAGGACCTCGACGATGTCCCCACAGAAGAGATTGAAGCGTAGGAGCACTATGTTCCAGGTTTGTCCTGCGCAGGTTAGAAACATAATGAACGGTAGTTCAAAATACGAGTCCATCTGATATTATATATCTTCCCAGTGGTACTACCTAGGTAGATACGCAAGGTTGAATTCCAGTCTTGACTACCTAGGTACTACTAGATTGCCCAGTGACAAATCTGGCCGACCTCGGAATACCTATCTAGGTAGGATATAGGTACCTAGTACTGGGCAGCTTCCCATACCCCAAAGCGTCTTCGACGAGACTGGGTATCAAATCATGAACCACCAAGGCCAGGTTCATGACTGATCTATGCCATTGCGAAACCTACTGAGAGCCCCTCCACACCAAGCGAGGATTTCCGGGAGAACATAACCATCTGGAGTATCAATTGATGCAGAAAGGGTTCCAGCAATTGTTGCCCTAGTTGAGTCATATCACCCCATCGGGATCTGAGTCTTACTCTATAGAGCTAGCGTAGAGAAGTGGCAAATCCTCGAACTCAGTGTTCACTCAGTGAATCCGGGATCTGTCAACAGTTCGAGCGTACAGTACTGTGTAGTTCCGATGTGTAGTGGTGTGTACTGTAGTAAGTAAGGAGTAAGGAGTAGGAGTGAACAGTAAGAAGATCTCCCCCACGGAGCGTTATCATGTCATCACCGGGACGGACGATGATTGGCGGAGAGCAATGAGGGGGAAAAAGAACTGTTAGCGTCGCGATGGAAAAAAAAGTGTCTTTTCTTTGGACTTGACTCTCTTGACTCTTCATTCACGCAAACATCATGGGCTCTGGTTCACCACCTTCCAAGCCATCGGCCATTCCCTCCCACATGCTGAACGGGAGCTCCCCTCTTCAACGCTCCACGGGCACTCGTGATGCCCGTGAGCGGGAGAGTCTCAATTCCTCCATTCGCACCTCGTTTGAACCCCGGATTCCCTTCCAGTTTGATTCTGAGACCGAATCCACCGGGACTGGAGCCGACCCCGCCCAGTCCACTTCCACTGCCTCCGTGCCCATTCGCAGCGTCGCGCCAGTGCGGTATGAACATGAAATGTGTCGCAACGGGGTTGAATTTGACTTCTGACTGACACTGCATTATCAGCCCGTCCCTGAACGACCCTGCCCGCGACCCCCGGGATGAAGCCGGCCCATTGACCCCTCCCGCCACCGTCAGCCGCCCCGCCAGCCCCTACACATTGAACCCCCCCATCGACTTCGATGGCCTGAGCTGGCCCTGTGAGTGATTTCTGTCGCGCGGTGAGACTTTCATTACGGGAATTAATTGTCTGACCATCGCTCTCCTAGGCCCCGGAACCAGACAGCGGAAAGAGTCCACCCCGGAGGAGACCGAAGAACGTCTCGACAAGCTTTCTGGAGCAATCCGGACAATCCTCGAGTGCATCGGAGAAGATCCGGAGCGTGAGGGTCTCCGGGAAACTCCCATGAGATATGCCAAGGCCATGCTTTACTTCACCAAGGGCTACGAGGAGAACGTGCGGGACTTGATGAACGGTGCGGTCTTCCACGAAGATCACGATGAGCTGGTGATCGTCAAGGATATCGATGTTTTCTCGCTTTGCGAGCACCACATGGTCCCCTTCACCGGAAAGGTAGGCATACCCACCCATATGACCCCGGATCCACATTGACCCCTTATAGATGCATATTGGATACATCCCCGATCGCCGCGTGCTGGGACTTTCCAAGCTCGCCCGTCTGGCGGAGATGTTCTCTCGCCGACTGCAGGTCCAAGAGCGCCTGACCAAGCAAGTCGCGCTTGCCATCTCCGAAGTCCTGAAGCCCCGCGGTGTGGGTGTTGTCATGGAGTCTTCCCACCTGTGCATGGTGATGCGCGGTGTGCAGAAGGTCAGCAGCACTACGACCACTAGCTGTATGCTTGGATGCATGCGATCCAGCGCCAAGACCCGTGAGGAGTTCTTGACCCTGCTGAACCGCAGATAATCAAATGATGACCTATTTTGCCTCGCCCATTTCATGAGGCCCTGATTTACGGATTTTGTTTCGGAGTTTTGGCGGTGACCTTTCAACAGGTTTTGGGTGGCCTTGCTTTTTGTTCTTTATGAAGCGTGGATTGGTGTTTTCTGTCCGGTCTTATTTCGACTCTTTTGCATTTACTTCGGTTGTTCGCATCTTGATGTTTTGATTGGCGTCGCCATGAATTCTCAAAATGGCTCAATCGAAGGTGACCATTTCTCAGATCCCAGTAGATCTGGGGAAGGGATAAAATTTCTTTCATCCTGCTCGACTAACACAACCCCTCAAGAGGCCTTTGCTCTGCAGTCCATCGCGAGTTTCTCGATGGCACTGCATTTCCACGGTCGTTTCAACACTTGATCCCATACACTCATTTTCTCTCGTGAGAAATGCTGGGAATTCCACTTTGTATACAATCCATGTATCAGAATCAATGTACATTTTCATCTTGACTGTTTTCATCATTTACACAGAATAGTACCACTTGATCAAGAAATGATCCGCATGGCACATCGTGCAATGACCTGTAGAGACTAAATCTCTTGATGAATGGACTGGCCATTTCAAGACTTTGCGCGTCAACTTCATGGATCGAGTAAGGTTCTACACTAATTACTTCAAGAGCATTGAATTTAACTTCATTTCATTTCTCAATACTACTTCTGCGAGCTAGCCCTAAATTGCCAACAGCTCAAGTCCATTTCCTTTCCAGTGGAGACCGCGTCCATTCCTCATGTCCTCAAAAACCATGAGTCTTCTTCCGGAAAAGAAGATCAGCATGGAGGTTAGGGAGAATGTGTTCTCCAATGTACACGTTAGGTGGCCGTTCTCCGCTCTTCTTCCCAGCAAGCTTGAAGTCATAGTCCAGAATGAGGCGACTCATGATGATCTTGGCAGTGTTTGCCGCAAAGAATCGACCAGGGCAAGTCTGACGTCCAAAACCGAATCCCATGTTTGTAGTAGTGACGGAAACCCAAGAGGCTGGAGCGTTGCCCGCATCTTCATCGTTCTCGGACTTGGTTTCCACGGAGTTGGCCAATTCGGGACACAGGAGATACCGATCCTTAGGGTCTTTGCACCATCTGAACCCGTCGAAAGTCGAGGGGTTGGCGACGAAACCGGGGTCTCGGCTGATTGCGCCTGCAGGGAAACAGACGTGAATTCCCTTTGGCAGGACGATACCATCGTGAAGGGTCAGAGGTTGCATGACAATGCGGTGGAAAGACACTATACAGCACCGGTGATTAGATCATGACAAATAATAGGAACTAACAGAGCTTCCTTGCTTAATCGAAGCCGTGTCGGTACTTACAGTCGCCGGGTGGTGCAAAACGCTGAGACTCCCGCATGAAGCTGTCCAATCGAACCTGGTCTCCAAATGCCGCCTGAGTGCCCTTGTGCCATCCATCAGGCAGAGTCCGCTGGATTTCCTCCCGTAAAGGCTCCAGATACTCCGGCTTGGTGATCAAATCGAAAATGCCGTGGCACAAAGCCATAGTGCTTGTGTGTGTAACCGCCAGGCCCACCAAGAGTAACATATGGGTCGAGATCTCAGAGGCAGGAAGATTCTCACCCAGTTCTTCGCCTAGATCCAGCATCCACTGCAAAAAGTCATCTGGCCTGGTGTATCCTGGGTTTTCCTTCGCTGCCTGCCGTCGCTCTTCAATGATCGGGACAAACAGACGTCTCGCCAGGCGCACGCTCCTGCTCATACGCCAAATCGGAGGAAGAAAGGGTGCCACCAAGGGACGGAGATATTTGGGAACGGGCCGCAAAAGGACCAGAGTAATTCCCAGGCTGTGGGCGTAGGTGATAGCTGCATTGAGCCATTCTTCGTTTTGGCGGAGAATATCACCAACCATGAGACGTGATGCTGAGATCGCAATGAGCCGGTTGAACAGAGTGTTGGAGTTGATTTTGACCCATTCTGTAGGAGAGTAACCATCAGTGAGTATAGATCACACGGATGATGCTGATATATAGGAAATCGGGCTAGAGTTTACCTCCGTCTCCTGGTAGGACATCGTTGAAGACACCGACCATCTCATCGATCATGCGGGGAACAACTCGACCTGTATATCATTCTGAGTGAGCTCGCATTCAATAAATTGAAGGCCATGCGAAAGCCGGTTATCGTACATAGAGCAGGTGTCAATCGCTTGCGAATCGTCAGAGACACCAACTCGGTATTCAGAATAATGTGTGTGTAGTCTCCCAGTGCATTCTAGCCTCTCGATCAGCACCTGTCTGGAGAATGCAACATGACACTTCACTTGCTTCGTATTGAGCATCTAGAGAGCTGACTCTGGATCGAGGCAAATGCCGCAGGTCCTTTTGATACTTCATTGGCAAGATGTAGACCTCGCCATCACCGGTGAGCATGCGAAAAATCCGATCTTGATACTAGTGACATGTCAGCAAGAGCCAAACAGGGCAGTTTCAAACCAACCTTGTAATATCCTTCATTGATCATCGATACGGCGTTGGGGTAGTAGAAGATCCGGTTCAGAAAGTCCGGCAGCAGACGATGGTACTTGACAGTAGGAACCCCCTTCAGAGCAGGAGTAGAAGACCATCGCATCAGAAACAACAAGCACAGCCCAAGGACTGACCAGAAGAATGGGGTTTCCATGGTCAAAATCATTGTGACATGGGTGAGAGGAAGAGAAAAGGAGTGAGGGTGAAGAGAAGCAGAGAAACTAGGGCTAAGCGGGGGAGATAAAGAAGAGGGCACGGGCAGGAAAGAAAGAAGCGAGAAGTGAGAAAGGAGGGGACAGACACATAAAGTAGATACAAATACTTTCCGGGTTCCTGGAGTCGGTGCAATCTCGTGCAGAGCAGAGAAGCAGTCAAGAAGAAGAAGTGTGGCACCCGTCGGATAGTATCAGTGAGCCTTCGTTTGCTACATCCATCTAGGTCCGTTTGAAGGTTTCAGCATGGGATATTATTCAAGGCCGTCCATTTCCCTTTTTGGTTTTGCTATGTACAGAACGCCTGGCTCAGATGCAAGTAGACATAAATCATTCAAGGCCAATCCATTCACCCTCACCCTCACCCTCATCCCCATCGACCATCTCATCATCTACTTCGGCATCCTCGGTTTCCATGGCCAAAAGAGCACTGCTCTGCTTCTTGTTGGCAAGCACAGGCTTTGACAGGAGGTAGTTGAGGTTGTAGAGATTCTTCTCAGTCAAACGTTTCAGGTTCTCCCGGATCTCGTCGACGGCACGCTGCACAGCACGGAGTTCAGGTGCGAATTGACCAGTGTTCTCCTTGAAGTAACGGCCATGACTGCTGAACAGAGACTCAATCCACATGAGGTTGAACTCCAGATGGGGTGTCTCCTCAGCGGCATGTGCAACGAATCGGAGCAGACGAGGAAGATAAACTGATGGCACGGACCGAACCACATGGGGAATATCTGACGGAGGGATCGCTTCGTATACAACACGAAGAAGCTTTTGTTCGTTCAATCGGAAGGCCATGATGAGAGCTTTGAGGAAGGTGTTGTCCTCATCCGCGGCGCCGGACACAGCGGCGTCCTTGGCAGCATCTAGTGTCGCAATGATGCTCGAGGGGGTGATGGTGATGTCCAGATCAATGGGATCGAAGATGAAGTCAGTATCTAAGCTGTAGATAAGCAATCCTTCGGTTGAGGCGGCACAGAATGCTCGTCCAGTCGGCGCGAAGTCAACGGAGGTGACGCGGACCTCCGGGCGGGTGGTGCGCGCACCAGCATCGCCGCGCTTGGCACCGGGAAGGGTGCTGTCAACACGGTCCTCGTGGTCAGAGGCCTCACCGGTCTCATCGATCAGAGCGCGGGGACCGGCTTCAGTCAGGTCACGACTGTTGAGAATTTCCTGAGTACCATCAATTGAGGTGTTGACGGACACAGTGAATTTCTTGATCAATGATCCTGTGGTAACATCATACAAACAAATGTACTTGCTGTTACCACCAGCCAGAATACAGCTACCGTCGGCGCTGTAGGTGATTCGGTTGAAAGACTTGGTGCCTGCCGCATTGGCGGCAGTGCGGCGGTCAGCCACTCGGCGTCCTCCAGAGACGTCACGGCGACCATCGACAGCTCCCTGCTGCACAGCATCCTCGACTGACCAGAAGGAGAGCTGACCGTCCAGCGTAGATGCTGCGACTTGCTGTCCATCTGGGCGGAAAGCCACACTGAGAATGTCTGACATAAGTTGAAGGGGCTCGCTGGTTTGCGAACGACCGAAGATGCTCCAAATGCGAACTGTGTGATCCCAACTTCCACTGACAAGGTGGTTACCATCGGCAGCGAAACTGAGACTGGAAACTGGTCCCTCGTGACCAGAAAGCTGGTCAAGCAACTGACCAGTTTGCACAGACCAGACGTGAATATCGAAGGAGTCTGGAGAGCCGGCGCAGACGACTTCTCCGCTGGGGTCCACGGCCAAAGAGCCAAAGGACAGTCGGGAAGGTGCGGTGAAAGTTCGGAAGTTGCGATAGCGGATGAGATCCCATGCGCGAACGGAACCATCCAAAGACGCCGTGAACAAAACGCTTCCCTTCTTCGCAAATTGACACGCGGTCACTCCGCTGGTATGTTCCGTGAATGTGACGATGCAGAAGCCTGACTTGACATCCCAAACCTTGATTTTACCATCGTCGGCAGCTGTAATGATTTTGGTGCCGTCCGGCGAGTATGCGAGGGCATTCATGGAATCAAGGTGGCCCTGTTGCTTTAGGATGTAGGACTCAGACTGCCACTCCCAAACCAAAAGCTGGCCATGCTTGGAGGATCCGAATGCAAGCCATTCTCCAGATTTGTTGATTGTGACAACATCAATGTTGCTCTGAGATACACTAGACGGGTTGTCAGAAACAGCAAACTAAATGGAGGGGGCCGAAGTACCTGAGAAGGTGGATCATGTTGAACTCGGGCAGATCGTACAGCCCAAACAGTCCATTGGAGAATCCCACGACCAAAAGATTCGATGGCGCATGGAATGCAGCGCAATTCACCTTGGCGTCGTTTTGCATGAAGAAGTCTTTCTTGACAATTCTCCAGCGGGCGTCGGAGATATCTTCCATCGTTTCCTCGTCTTTTTTTGTGACATATTCCCAGCGGAAGAGCGCACCATCCTGACTGACAGTGTAAATCTGTAAAAGCAGTCAATATATGTTTCTCTATGAATTCCCCGTCATACGTACCGCTTCTTGAGATGCATTGAAATAAGCCGCCACCACGCCCTGACGATGTCCCGCCAGGGTAGTAGGCTCAAATCCTTCTTCCGGATCCATACTCCATACTCGTGCCGTCAAGTCCTTTGCGGCCGTGAGCAAAAAGCGGGAGTCACTAGACCACTCGACATTCTGGATAGTGTCGAAGTGAGCGGCCAGATCGCGGTGTAGAACAAACGGCGCGAACTCAATCTCGCCATTGGTCTCGGTGCCGGGGGTAGAAGGCGTTTGCCAGATCTGCAGACGGCGGCCCACACCAACGGCAAAGTGCCGGCCGGAGGGGGAGAATTTGAGTGCCGAGACTCGTCCTTTGAACGAGAAGTGGTGAATAGCGATGCGCCGGTGGAAGTTGGTCAAAATTGCGCGACCATTTTCGTCAACAGTCAACAAGAGATTTCCCTTGGGCGACAGATCGAGACGGTCGATGTTCGTCCGATGCGAAAAAGGCAGGGTATAGGAAGTATTTCTGCACGGGCATTGTCAGCTCAATTGTTCCGCTTTGCGCAAATATTCTCAGAGGCACCCACTGGACCAGATCAAAAACCGAGACTTGATTGCCTACTGGCGAAAGCAAGCATGTTCCATCGGGAGTAAAGAGAAGATTTCCCTTGCGATAGACGGTCCCCAAAAGGTTGGAGAACTAAGACGATGTTAGTGCCCTGAACTATAGCCTGCGTCTCCCACCATTCCACTCACCTTGAAGTCTGTCTTCATTTTGACGGCGATCTCAACTGATCAAAAAAGTCTCGAGATAATTCAAAAGCTATGATAAGCGGATCATCTGTGCCTCCGTTCCGGGCCCAACTGGGACTAGCGACACACGCTAGACCCAGATAGGAAAGGCGAGGTATACTCCAGAAAACGAAAGGAGATTCAGGGGGAAGCAGCGACGGGCAATTCGAGCAGTCCGATTTCACGACTCCTCTTCCCTATTTCTTTCTTTCCCCCCAGACTTGCTGTCCTTCGTCTGGTTTCATTCTCCAGGGGTCTCGCCTTCTTTCTTGTGTTCATTCTGAATTGTTTTTAATTCCCCCCCCCCTTAGCCCACCATGTCGACTACGGAAACCGCCACGCCCATTGGCATTGCCAATGTGAGTTTGAGAACGCCTTTGTGAATCCGGTGCAACTCCAAACTAACATGCGATGTTCTTTACAGCTTCCCAACCAGCGGTGTGTACCTACCGATGAGAGGGTAAAGGAACGACTCTAATCAAGCCATATAGTCACAAGATCGTCGCGAAGCGGGGAGCGGCCTTTACTATTATGGTGCGTTAGGCCGATGAGCTCAAGGTTGCTGTTCCGCTGCTAATTGTGTTCCAGGTTGCTGGAGAGTCAGGATTGGGAAAGACGACCTTCATCAACACTCTTTTCTCCACCACCATTAAGAACTACGCCGACCACAAGCGCCGCCACCAGAAGCAGGTTGACCGGACCGTGGAGATCGAGATCACCAAGGCTGAGCTCGAGGAGAAGTTCTTCAAGGGTAGGAGCCAGATTCCCTCACCCTCAAAGCAGTTGGAAGGTTTCGGGAGCTGATCACGGTCATTACTCTAGTTCGCCTGACCGTTATTGATACCCCTGGATTCGGAGACTACGTGAACAACCGTGATTCATGGCAACCAATTATCGAATTCTTGGACGACCAGCACGAGTCCTACATGCTTCAGGAGCAGCAGCCCCGCCGAACCGACAAGATTGACATGCGTGTTCACGCATGCTTGTACTTCATCCGCCCCACCGGACACACCCTGAAGCCTCTCGACATCGAGGTGATGAAGCGCCTGAGCTCTCGCGTCAACCTGATCCCCGTGGTGGCCAAGGCTGACACACTGAGCCACGCCGATCTGATTCGCTACAAGGAGAGAGTAAGTGGGATGAATTCGGGAGATGGGAGGACTAGACTAACGAGTGCGTAGATTCGCGCTGTTATTGAGGCCCAGGGCATCAAGATTTACTCCCCACCCGTCGAGGAGGACGATGAGCACGCCGCTTCCCACGCCCGCAGCCTGATGGCCGCCATGCCTTTCGCCGTCATTGGTTCCGAGAAGGATGTTCAGTCTAACGATGGTCGTGTTGTCAAGGGTCGTCAGTACGCTTGGGGTGTGGCCGAGGTGGAGAACGAGGATCACTGCGACTTCAAGAAGCTGCGCTCAATCCTGATCCGCACTCACATGCTCGACCTCATTCACACCACGGAAGAATCGCACTACGAGGCCTACCGTGCCCAGCAGATGGAGACCCGCAAGTTCGGCGAGGCTCGTCCCCGCAAGCTCGACAACCCCAAGTTCAAGGAGGAAGAGGAGACTCTGCGCAAGCGTTTCACCGAACAGGTCAAGGTCGAGGAGCAGCGTTTCCGCCAGTGGGAGCAGAAGCTCATCTCCGAGCGCGACCGTCTCAACAAGGATCTCGAGGCTACTCATGCTGCGTATGTTCTGGACCCCTTGGGGCAATCTTCATGTACTAACCGCGCGCAGGATCAAATCCCTCGAGCAGGAGATCGAGGGCCTGCAGGGCTCCAGCACCCGCAGCCACGGACGTCGTTAAGATGTTACGTTTCTGCCGGGCGTCTGCTCGATTTCTTCAAAAGGGGAGCAGTCAAACCATGGTCATGTTTTTGTCTTCTGTTTGGCTACCCTACGTCTTGCCGTTCGCGCTTGGGAGCACCTTCGTCTTGGAGGGCTGGTTCGTTTTTCTGTTATATCCATTTACCGCTGGTAGCTAGCGATGGTGTGTCTACAACTTTGATAATACCTTCTTCTGTATTCCGTAGCGTGAAATACAGTATTAATTTCTTTTGGGCAATATTGGTGCAAATAGTATTGAGTAGCGAAAAGGATCTACGTAAGGCGGACTCGGTCGAAGCTCCGAGCTCCCAAGCTTCTTCCCCTCTACACCTCCGCCATGCGGACAGTATTTCCCACACGGCATATCCACACCCTGAAAACACATAATGGTAAGCGCCAGGCCCGGCCATTGAGGTGATCCGCTAACAGTCCAGGCCCCGTCAATGCGGTAACTTATTCAAACGCCGGTGGCACCTACGTCCTCACGGGCTCCTCGGACAAAGCCGTGCACCTGTCGCGCGCAATTCCCAATGACTCCAATGGCCCCAGCCCAGCGGAGACCACATCTCCGATCCAAAAATACGATGCGCACGGCTACTCAGTGCTCGACGTGGCTGTCGCAACAGACAATGCCCGCTTTGCCAGCGTAGGAGGCGACCGCCAAATGTTTCTCTGGGATGTAGAACAGGGAGTCACGACCCGTCGCTGGTCCGGCCACAACAGTCGCATAGAAGCCGTCCAGTTCGCGGGCGAAGGCGACTCCGTCGTTGTCACGGGTGCGTAGCCTGTCCGATTCTGCGCACTTGCGCCCAGCTAACGGTTTACAGGCAGCGCTGACACCACCATCAATCTTTGGGATACGCGCGCTTCATCCTTTAAGCCCATACAGACTCTTTCCGATGCTGCCGATACTGTTTCTTCCCTACACGTGCATGGTCCTACTTATTCGATTGCAAGTGGTAGTTATGATGGTCATGCGCGCATCTATGATGTTCGTACCGGAAAGATGACCGTCGATGTCCTTGCGCACCCCGTTACGAGCGTTCGTTGCTCTGACGATGGAAATGGCCTGTTGGTTTCTACGCTAGATGGTTATATCCGAATGCTAGATCGGATGGATGGGAAGCTTTTAAAAGCCTTTGGCGGCCCAGCGCGGCCCGGAATGATGATCTCGAAGCTTCAATATCGCAACAAGGAGTTGAGGGTTCGCTCCGTCTTCGCACAGGGTGGCGCTGTTGTATTGAGTGGGGGCGAGGCCGGTGAGGCAGGGGCAGGGGCTTTTGCTTGGGATGTTATTAAAGGGGAGGTTGTTGCGGCCGTTCCTGTTGGGGAAAAGGTCAAGGCCGTGAGTTGTGTGGCATGGAATGAGAAGGGGGGAAATTGGGCTGCTGGTTGCTCTGATGGTACGTGTTCGATATCCGTGGGAATATCTCATACGCTAACTGTTTCTAGGTACGGTCAGAGTCTATGGCTGATTCAAGCCAATTGCTTGAAAAAATCTTTCTGCAAAGAGCAAAATCTCGACTCCTTTTTGGCCCTCGATCGGCCGTTGCCCATTACGGACCTTCACCGCTACATGATGCCGTTGCTTTCACAACGGTTCGTGGGCCCATTGAGTTTTGTGGCAAACATGCTATTGATCATGCGCCTGGTGGCCCAAAATCATTATTCTACTCATCCAATTGGAGCATCATAGTTCCCCCAGCAAGCATTAGTGCGATGCCGCTATCTCCCCGGAACTGACGCGGAAGATACCTGTCACATTTGGTCGCTGTCTCCATCTTCCCGCATATCTGTATCAATACGGAGTACGGAGTATGTACAATGAGGCGCTATATAGTTTGGATGGAACCTTGAAATTCTTGTAGCTTCATGCTGATACCTGCAGTACATAGGGATATACCTACCTATGTAGGTATGTACCCCAGCTGGCATCATCTAATGCGGATCTTACAAACTCAATACAAGGAATATGTCGAATTTATCCTGCAATTCCAATCACTTAGTTATGTGCTCCGTATAGCGCGCTAGAAACAAGCTTACCGCTTTGGGCTTTATGTCAAAGTGTACTCTGACCTCAGCGAATTCCCCCAACGCTAGGCCGCTCTGGAATGTTCCAAACAGGACCAATATACACTCAGGGAGCTCATCCAAGTGACATTGGTTACGGGTGATCCAAGTCACTTTCGAACTACATAAACCCGGGCTCAGGGCCCATATTCTACCTAGTAACTTTGGAAGGTTGTACCACCAAGCTCTGATCGAACATCCATGGATCTCGGAGTAACTACCTATGGTGCATGGAGTAAAGTAGGAAATATTACCTAGTGTTGCCCTGTTGGCTCATAGATATGAGAACCATATATATCCAGGAATGGAGTCTTCCAAGGTTGGAATCAACTTATAAACTAGGTGCCTCAGTATTCGAGGTCCGTACAGAAGAGCCCATACCTACCTAGGTAGGTAGGTACCACTGTCATTAGAACACCTCGATACGATATACTACGGTGCAATTTTCTCTCAAAAATAAACATGGTTTGATTGATTGATGTTGTCCCATTCCATCCAAGAAAGGGATGAACTGAGCTGACTCTGCACAACAAATCTATAAAATCTGGAGATAAGAACGATATCAAGCTACCTAGGTACATATTGCAGTGAGTAGGTGTAGGTAGCAATCTCCCCGAGGTCATCATACCCAAGTCAACCGCAGACTCGAATCCCCATCGAAATCACCAATGCAGCCCTGGAGTACCTAGGTATCAACCTTGAAAAGCCCAGGAACCATCCCCAGTCGCCTGAACCAGCGGTTCTTCCTCAATAACCGTCGTTCTATCAATAACCGTCGTTCTAAAACCCCCCATGCACTGACGACAATCGCACTCGCGGTCATAGATATACAGCTTGCCCCAATACCTACGGATAATGACATCTTTCTCAGACTCAGTCTCCCGGGCCTTATCTTCAAAAAAGAGCTGTAGCCTTTCTGTACGTCGGGCATCTTCATCTACCTCTGGTTCTTCATCACGCCAGCCTCGAAGTGTCAGCCGACCAACATGGATTGCGATCATGTAGACCATCTTCTTGAGATAGAGGGGGACTGCACCAGGCATCAGCCGCTGAGTTACCTGTACAATTTGGGATACGAGGTTCTCGCACTTCCCAGGGAAGCATTTATGTTCGGCGTTGGAATCGTCTGCGAGATCGACCCATCCGAGTACAATATTAGCTAGATTCTTGAGGTGTGCTGCTAGTTGAGTATGGTTGAGACCTGCTGTGTTGCCACGGGATAGCTCTTTGAGTTCCCGGACGATGTACTTACGGTCTTCTGGGAACTGTCGAATCAGGGCTTTTCTGACTTCGGCGTCGACGATTTCTTCCATGGTTAGTAGAAAGTCTCAGATACTGTTGTTCTGGTTGTTCTGGTGAGTACGAGTGGGATGATGAGTAGGAATGGAAGGTCGGCGCATTTGTTGATCCTGCTGAAGTTGATGCTTGAGTTGGTATAGTACTTTCTGCTGGGCCCTGGGGATTATTTATGTTGATGGACTCGATGTAAAGGTCTCTCAGGTTGTGACTCGATAATCAAATGCATTGTTTGTCCATAAAGAAACTTAGTCACGGTACCCAACAAACGAGACTTGGAAGTATAAAGGCATAGCCTAACAAAGCAACAATCATGCCTTTCCCCGGGTGTTGTCACCTTCACAATCTATTTTCCCCCGTCAAAGCGTTTGATTGGACAAAGAGGAACAATAGCCATTGACAAGAAATGTAGAGCCTCTGCACTCGCGCTGAGTCGATGTTCCCCAGGGAATACAACGGTAACGCCCGTCATATTTTGTAAGTCTGTCGAGTGGGGAATCAACGAAAAATACTTTTCAAAACAATTGGTAACAGGAACCAAAGCCCATAGATCTCCACATATTCGTAATCGATCGTTCATGCATTATTCAATTCAGCAACCGCCCTCGCCAACTCATCTTCCCCAACGATAATCGTCCCCGCCCGCGCCGTACTCAGGAAACTAATCTCCACCGCCCCCTCAACATCGGAGGGCAGCTGGCTCAACGGCGCCAGATTGTGTGCCGGGGTGGAGTCTAGCCGCGTCCCGAACGTATCGAACAGTCTGGGCACGGACCCTGTCACACTGCTGGCGCTACTCAGTGCACTAGGGCTCGATGAGAGGGGCCGAGCGGTTCCCGCTAACCGGCCTGCGACACCGCAGACGATCCCGGATGCCTCGAGGGGGAGATCACGAAGGTCCAGGGTGATGGGGATCAGATGGTCTTCTTTCGAGCCTAGTAAAAGACCCGAGCCATCTTCGTACTCGCCGTGGCGGGTGAAGCGAGGTAATAGTCGCTTTTCTAGGAGGAGGGATGCAGCGGGGTCCAGCGATGCTAGGGTTAGGGAGAGGAAGCGTGGGCGGTCCACGACCAGCACGGTCGTGAGGGCATCCCGGAGGATAGCCATGGAGCTCTCGGAGCTGTGGTACTCATGGTGAGCGGCACATTGTACTAGGCGGAGAGTTGAGTCGACGGAAGGGGTGATCTGGCGGTTCTGGAGAGTTTCAAAGGTGCGGGTTTGCAGCTCCGCGATGTTGGACGGAGGTGGCGTTCTGGGCGGGATGAGATCGCTCAGGCGTTTTTCAGTAGTTGGACTCAGTGGACTGACGAAGGCGGCGGTTGCGTCGTCAAATTGGAATCCCCTCGATTCGAGGGCTGTCATCACGCTGGTTTTGCTTTGCATGGGTACCATGATGTAGTCGGAGAAATAGGTTGAGATGAAGAAGATGGATCTTAGCTGGTCAGTATAGGATCTTGCCAGTGGTCTAGATGATGGATTTCACATACATCCCTGCGAGTGCGAGTGGACTGGTTAATTCCAAGACCCGTTTGCCGGCTTCGAGACCTTCCCCCAGGACCTGCATGACAATGTAGTCCTTTTCGCTCACGACCAGCCGGGATTGCAGGGCCGTATCGAGCTGGCCCAGCTCGTCTATGACGGGGACGAAATATTTCTCGATCAGTCGTCTGGGACATATGACCGAGACCTCCACGGGGGTGATGGAGATATTCATGAACGCCGGCGCTTTGTAGGCGTCATCCTCGGAGTGACCTAGCGGGGGCGTCTCGTCAAAGAGCAGGTTCAAGACGGATTTCATAAAGTACGGATACAGCTCCAAGGGGATGTGCACCAGCACCACTGGTTCATCCTGGGGTCTCATTAGGGTTGGTCTTGTGGCGGTGGAGGGGACTCACCAGGAAATGCACCTGGGCATCTACCATGTCCATTGTGAAGAGTCTCTCATGGCGTCAGTGGCAGATCAGAGCACGAAACAAAGGGAGCTCATAAGTACTCCAGATCCAGGTGTCGAGTGCTCTGAGTAATCGTCTTATCGATGACCAATTTCCACTTTCTTATCATTTTGCGTTTCTCCTCTTCTTCTCTTCTCCTCTCTCTCTCCTCTCTCCTTATTCTTTTGCCTCTTCTCTCCCCTCTTCTCTTATCAGTTTCAGCTCCCCCGCTCGTGCACTTCATTTTGCCGCGCTAGCCATTAAATACTACGCTCAATATATATATGAAGGACTTTAATTTGTGTCAATCCTAACATCGACAACACCCCGTATCGACGATAGTGGAACATGGCGCTGCGAAGACCGGTTTAGACATCCGGCGCAGGATGTGACCGGCGCATCACCCGGACACTCATCATGGATGTCTCGGAGGCCGCAAAGTAGCGAACTCAAACATCCTTGGAAATTACGAAGTACTTTCTTCCAACCTTAACATCCCGCATGAGTACAGGGTTTCCAATTTTTCCAGGTTATCACTGGACTTCCGCCTTGATTCACAGAGTTAGTGCAGATGGCAGAACGCTGGTGGAGCATCTCGGGTATGCTCCCTTGCATGGGACCCCGACGGAGGAAATATCTACATTCCACCCCTCCCCGGTCCGGGCCTGAAGGACATTCCTCTCTAACAGTCCAACTCGGTGCCCAGGGACGTCAAGGGCTGCATTCGGGGCAATGAAGGCCCTGAGTCTAGGGACCAATGACAGACCGGCAATCGAGGTCAAGGTCGCCGGATCGAGGAACATACCCAGGCCCCTGGTGCAGATCGACACGAACATGTTTGTTGACATGCGCAGTGGTTAAGAACACGCGCGATTCCCTGATGGATCGTCACTAACCCCGTCAGCAGTGTTGTGTTTAGACCTTTTGGTCGTGGTGTTTTCTGTTCTCATTCATTCTCGGATCTGGATTCAGCTTGATCCATCGGCAGCACACTCGTTTCGAGGATTTGATTATCCTCTCGAGCCGATTGATCGTCATTCGCTCAGTTGAACCATGACCAAATTCAGCCTGTGGGCGTTGGCCACGGCGGCCGGCCTGGCGGCCGCCAAAGACGTGTACTTGGATTGGAACGTAACCTGGGTCAGCGCCGCCCCCGACGGCTTTCAGCGCCCTGTGATCGGTATCAATGGCGAGTGGCCCTGTCCTCAGATTGACGTCGATGTGGGTGATACATTGATTGTCGATGTTTACAACGGGTTGGGCAACCAGTCCACCGGTATCCACTGGCACGGCATGCATCAGTATGCCACAGCCGTGATGGACGGAGCCAGCGGAGTAACTGAGTGCGCACTCCCTCCCGGCTCCCAGATGCAGTACCGCTTTGATGTCAACCAGACCGGTTCCTACTGGTACCACTCGCACGATATGGGCCAGTATCCCGACGGATTCCGCGGTCCGATGATTGTCCACGACCCCAACGCTCCTTTCCACTATGATGAGGAGTTCACCCTCACTCTTTCCGACTGGTATCACCAGGAGATGCCCGTCCTTCTCAACGCCTATGAGTCCGAGCAGAATCAAGCAGCCTTCCATGGCAGAGAGCCTACACCTGACTCTGCCCTTATCAACGATGCCGTCGATACCAAGATCAAGGTGCTGCCCAACAAGACCTACCTGGTACACATCGTCTGCATTGGAAACTTCCCCGGACACACATGGGTGATTGACGGACACGAGATGACCGTTGTCGAAGTTGACGGTGTCTACACTGAGCCTTACCCTGCTGGAGACAAGTTCTTGCGAGTTGCAACCGGGCAGCGTATGAGTGTCCTGATCCACACCAAGTCTGATACCAGCAAGAACTTTGCCATCTTCGACACCATGGATGTCAACATGATGTTCTTCTATGAGCACAGTACCCCTCCTCCCGGCTACAACCCCAACGCGACGGCGTGGTTGGTCTATGATGAGACCAAGCCATTGCCTGACCCTCCCTCCTTCGCTTCGTTCGACAACTTCGTCGACGACGTGGCTCTCGTGCCTGCTGACCACGAGCCTATTCTCGAGCCTGTGAACCGCCAGATTATAATTGATGCTGCCTCCAAAGAAATCAACGGCATCACTCGCTTCACTGTGAACAACGAGACCTACCTTCCCCCTAAGGTACCTACCTTGTACACTGCCACGACCGTCGGAACCGAGCTATCCTCCAACCCAGAGGTGTATGGCCAAGTGAACCCCTTCGTGGTGAAGTATGGCGAGGTTGTTGAAATCGTGATCAACAACCGCCACCCCAACCTGCACCCGTGGCATTTGCACGGCCATCAGTTCCAGGTTCTGCAGCGAACAGGGATTAACGGTGGCTACTACAACGGGCTCTTCAGCAATGTTTCTCAGACTCCGATCAAGCGCGACACCATCATGGTCCAGAACAACGGCCACACTGTGATTCGTTTCCGTGCCGATAACCCCGGTGTCTGGATGCTCCACTGCCATATCGAGTGGCACGTTGAGGCTGGTCTCATGGCAACTTTGATTGAAGCACCTGAGACTTTTGCCCAGACCTTGCAGTCACCCCCTGACAGCCACTACAAAGCTTGCCATTCTTACCCTAGCCTCACCTCCGGCAACGCTGCCGGTAATGAGGGACTTGACATGACTGGTCTCGCCACTGAGCCTCAACCGGGCAGTGAGGGTGCTTTGTACGATGCCGCGAAGCAGAGCAGTGCTGTTCATATCTCCTCTGCCGCTCCTCAGTCTACTAGCCAAGCCCAAGCACCTGCTCCCAAGCCTACCAGTCAAGCCCAAGCACCTGCTCCCAAGCCTTCCAGCCAAGCTCAAGCACCTGCTCCTCAGTCTACTAGCCAAGCTCAAGCACCTGCTCCCAAGCCTACGAGCCAAGCTCAGGGCCCTGCCCCAAGGCCCACTACCCGAACCCCGGTGTACAAGCCCAGCACCCGGACTCCTGCCTCCAAGCCAACCCCCTTCGCCCAAGGCTCCGTTCCCAAGCCGGCCATGCCTAAGCCCGAACAGTCCCCCTCTCCGGCGCCAGCTGCTGCTCCCTCTCAACCCGGGTACTACTCAGGGTACTACTCAGGGTACTACTATGAGCATCCCTATCCTCAGCAAGACGATGAAGACACCGAAACCGGCCCAGCCAACAATGGACAGCCAGATCAGCCAATCCAACCCATTCAAAACTTCTGGCCTCTGCCGGTTGGACAGGGGTCTAACAACGATGAACAAGAGTGAGTCGACCCGAAAATGAGCTCAAAATTGCGCAGCTAACAGTTCCAGTTTCGACGACGTGAGCGATGTACTCGCAGGTGCTGGTTTGAAGAAGTCCCCTCTTGGACTGTAGATCTATTTTCTTTTGGCGCTATATAACACAAAAGCCCAACGTTCGCTTGAATTATATTTTTTAATCAATTCGATTCACTTTGGTTGTAATTCGTGAGAGCTCGTCTTCATGACGTGTCTATCTTAGTCCCTTGGACCGTCGAGTCAATAACAAATCCTGACGATTTCCCAACTCAGCTTCAGGCATCTCACTTAGACAGCTACTATCAAATCTTTGTCTCTCGCAGAATCGCACAATGTCGACTGAGTTCTTCTGTTGCTCGGATCTTCGCCCTCACATTGCCCACGGGGCCCGCGAAAGGCACAACTTCGACGATTTCGTGAAATGGGCAAAGATTACCCTCCCAGGCCCATATGAGACTAAATTCTTTGACGCGCAGTTCATTATCCAACTTATTCGCCAAAGTGCGTTCCGTTCAAACCAGTCGTTTCGCTACTTTCTTCCAATAAGACATGGCAAGTACGAAGAGATCCCCGGAGAAATAGCAGAGAGGAGCTTCGAGTTATCAGAATTGTAAGCTCTCATCTCAATATTACTTTGTTTGTGTCCTAATAACCTGTAGTCTAGGAAGCTTGGAATGCGTTCGTCACAATCAATTCTTCTACATCAGTCGATTTGAACGCAGTCACGTCAGTACTCACTCTCACTCGAGAAGTTCGACTGCAGGTGCTGCTCGGAGTGGCGCATTATCTGCCTTCACGCAGCTCAGCCATGTATTCGGTCACCTCCATTCTGGCTCTGGCTCATCTACGGCTACTCGATCTGGGTCCTCGTCGTCCGGTCTTCCGTCTTTTGGATCTTCATCCTTTAGATCGTCCTCTTTTGGGTCTTCGTCTTTTGGAATGTTATCCCCCGGGCCGTCGGAGACCATCATTCAGTACGATGATGCTGACAGTTACAGTAATGCTGTTAGTAGTGACGCTGGGAATGATACCGATCCACGGGACCCTGACCCTGTCGACCCCCAGGATGCTGATTCAGATTGTCTGAATGACTTGGATGACCAAATGGCATCAGGTCAGGGTGAGTCCCTTACGCAGGTCTCTTACCCAGACCGGGATGGCTCTGATGATGTCGTCTATTGCGGGGACGAGACGGAGGATAATGGATTTGATCAAGACAATTTGGATACTGAGGATTCCGTGTTTGGTTCCTCAGAGGGCTATGATGTTGACTCCGCTGGCTATGACTGCGGAGATCTTAGCAGCAATGATTATGGGGATGACGATTGGTAGTGATCTACGATATCTTGCTTTGGAATCACTCAGACAATGAAACGAACGGCTTCAATTCAGGAGTTATCCATCTTATAATCTCTTCAATTAGAAGATACTCAGGAAATCATAAAGACTGAACATCTCTAAGAGCTGTTGTGATGATCCCGTTTCTGTACTCTCAGGTCTGTCTCAGTAGCTAGTCTTCTTCCTTCCCCTTAGAATAGTGATTTCAGTCTCCTCTCTCTCCTCTGATGGGTAGCAGTAATCTCTCTCTTTGTTCGGATAGGGATGGGCGTGAAGGCTGCCAAATCCATCAACCCAGGCATGTATTCAAGAATATTGAGCATGGAGAAGAAGGAAGAGAAGCTAACCCGACAGCTATAGATCGTCCCGTGCTCTTCATCTGACCATCGCATCTCTGCTACTTCACTCCTTCATCTCAACGCTGTATTCTCACATGTCTGCTCCTCTGCTTCTCGCAACCATCTCTGAACCTGTCATCACACTCATGGCATGACAATGGGGTGGCACAGACGATATGTGGAACATCAGCCTGCCCCTGACAGATTCACGGAACAAAGCTTCGAGGTAGACATCATTGCTTCTAGGACTGCCCCCCAGCCCCCGGGTGGCACCAGACCCCGAAAGGAATATCTCGTGAGATGGACCAGACGCGGTCCAATATACGATGAATTGTTGCCGGGGAACCTAGGTGCAAGGATCTTCTCGAATTCCAAGCCTGTACACAAGCTGAGCACGACTTCGAACAATGGACCTAAGCCACAACCTTTCTCTCGCCTGTTACCGCTGGAACTGTACACAACGCATGTTTTCTCACTTTACCCACACCCTCACTCGTCGGGATACGATTCCATAATCATCTCACTTCACCTACCGACCGAGACCCCTGCGAGAGTCTCCGAAAAACATCATGTCCTCACACGGTACCCTTGTGCTTTCAGATCAAAGCGACATGCTACCACTTTACAAGCGGAGTCTATGCTGGAGCGGAAATGGAAGGAAAATTTTGATTCTCTGGCGAACGTGGCCGCCAACAGTTCAATGCAAAATGATTGGGAAATAATCAAAGGAGAGCCATTTATCAAGAGACTATACAAATTCTAGCAGAATGATGCTTGATCCCACGATCGATTCCAAGAAATCTAATCAAGACCCTTGAAAACCTCCTCGAATTGCAGCTCATTCCAGCGCACATTAGGCTTCAGTCCAGCAAATTTCCAGACTCCATTGACCTTGCGGTAATAGTGCTCATTCGTGGCATGGGAGTGCCCGCGCAGTTTCACAGTTTCCAAATCAACAGTCTCGTAGACTTGGTGAGCAGCGCGAAGCTGGTGATGGCCGATGACCTCTGTGTCGGAGATTTTCTCCCACCATGTTTGGCCCAACAGATGCTGAGTCTTGATGGTCTTGTCGCCCAGGAACCCGGGGTGTGTCACCATGGCCATGTATTCATCGGCGGCCATGTTGTCCCACCTCTTCAGGCCGATCTTGGTATAGTCGACCGTCAAGGTAGGGGCAATGATACTACGAAGACGGTCCCAGTCCTGTGATTTTGTTAATTGGGACACGATGAAGCTTGGGGATTGGAGGCCTTACTTTGGCATCATAGCTATCAGCCCAGTCAAAGACGAGCTTGGAAAGCACGAGGTAGTCTATTTCCGTTAGTCTATTGGACGATGCATCTTGCAATGGGAGAACTAACCCTGGAAGCTGACGTCCAGATTGGGCTCAGCGGTGTTGTTCTTCACAGCAGGAGACATGACGTTGGATAGCAGGCGAATTGTGTATGTCGCAAAGATGAAGTGCGAATATGGCTTCTATTACAGAACCCATGAGACTCATATTCTCCTCCGGATCTAGCTGAGTGCCCCGGATTCCTCCCCTGCATAGGAGCCGAGGAATGTAACCGGGAGTTTACAATGTGACAGATGGGATACCCACGATCCATCACCGGAAGCGGCAACTAAAACAGCTAGAATGTTAAGGATTTACGATTGCGAACATCTAGCGCCCTCGATATCCCGCTATGAATGGCCATTGACAGATTTGAAACATTGGAGGTCAAACATCGTGATATGTGGCAGCCATTTGCGGAAAGCCAAGCGTACGCAGTGAATGCTCACGATGGAACCAAACCAGCCAGCTGAATTCGGCCAGGTAGCAGCTGATTACCTTGTGCTCTTAGCCAGTAGATCCAATATTAGTCTTCGTTGCCCATTGCCGACGCGATAACTTCTTCCTACACTCGTTCATTCCACTCCAACAACCGTTAAGCATCAAGATGGTCGTCCCCAACCCCAACACTCAGCACGAGCTTGCTGGCAAAGTTGCCCTCGTCACCGGTGGCGGCCGTGGCATCGGATCTGGTATTGCCCTCGAGCTGGCAAAGAAGGGTGCCTCCGTGGCAATCAACTACGCCAGCAGCTCCAAGACCGCCGATGCCGTCGTGCAGGAGATCAAGGCGCAGGGCGTCCAGGGTGCCGCCTTCCAGGCTGATTTGACCAAAGTCGAGTCTATCAAGGACCTGTTCCGTCAGGTCATGGAACACTTCGGCCAACTCGACATCGTGGTCTCCAACGCCGGAACCGAGAAGTTCGTTTCCCTGGCTGACACCACCTTGACCGACTTCAACGATGTGTTTGATCTCAACACACGGGCCCAGTTCTTCGTTGCGAAGAACGCCTACGATAACATCAGCCCCGGTGGTCGGGTTGTGCTGATGTCCTCCATCGCTGCCGGTGTCGGTGTCCCCGGACACTCCTTGTACGCGGGAAGCAAGAGTGCTGTCGAAGGATTCACCCGTTGCTTTGCTGCGGACTTCGGCAAGAAGAGGTGCACGGTCAACGCGATTGCCCCTGCCGGAGTCAAGAGCGACATGTGGCTGAGCAACTCGTGGCGCTATGCCCCTGGCTGCAACAAGGACTCTTCCATTGAAGAGATTGAGGAGGCCCTGGCCAACGGTAGCCCTCTGAAGCGCTGCGGTGTGCCTGCGGATATTGGCCGCATTGTGGCATTCTTGGCTAGCCCTGCTGGAGAATGGATCAACGGTAAGCCCTGGAATGCTGCAGTTGTCCCTTTGAACATTACTAAATCTGCTTTAGGTCAAATTCTGCCCTGCAATGGTGGAGCTAACATCTAAGCGAGTGCGAGATGCGGGAGTTCAGTTAGATTCGTCCAATTTGTTCGGCTATTCCCCTGGCCAGGGGGTCATTTTTTTTTCCCTGTTCTCATTTCAAATTTGTTCAGACATATTTTGTTCTAAAAGAAAGCTATGATTATTGAAATTGATTGCATTAATTGTACGAAGAGCGAAATGTGCCTCGTAGCTGAAACTCCGTAGCCAAACGGCTTGCCCAGGTGACATTAGGGCTCAGCAACTGCAAAAGAACATTAACACCATATACTTACATAGAATCTGAAGGTCGACCATAATCGAGAAACTAGGACTCATCCGATCTACTAGGTTGCTCTCCACAGAATCGTTCTATCCCCTTCGCTCACAGCCCTAGGCTGTCACGTCCGCATCCGGAAATTCCTGGAACGATTCCTACTTGGCAACTTCTCCACGATCTGTACTATACAGGCCCACAATGACTGTCCGTTTTCATATAGATCGACATTGGCTGTCTTGATTCTGCTCTAGTCTTTACTGCTAACAGAAAGTCCAGCTGCCGTCACCCTAGTCAAAAGAGGCTGCCTCGCACATGTAGTCAATAAAACCCCATCCTAACAAAACCGAACACATTCCGTCATAATCGAATATTCGTCAAAATGGTGAACTGGATTCTCGGAGACAAGTTCGACACCGTCTACCCTCACCAAGGGTCGATCAAGGCTTTGTGGGAAAAGAAGTGGAAATTCCCTGTATGAATTGATGAAACGCCGCACCAGCATATCAACTAATTCCCTTGCAGTGCACCAAGTCCATCTACCCATTCCATGATGGTTCAGTGGAAGATTTCGAGCCTATCTTCGAAAAGCTGATTGCCGTAAGCATGGCCCAAGTACTTCCTATGATCAAATCTGACTCTGAAGCAGGACAGCGTCAATGATGCCAGCACAGATGCATACACGGAGGCTTTCCTGCCTACCGCAGCAGCGCTAGAGAAGCAGGGCGATGAAGCCCTGAAGAGCGGCAACTCCGGCCTCGCGTCAGACCTCTACCGTCGTGCAGCAGTGGTTCTGCGCATCTCGCGTTTCCCATACGTGAGCCCGGCCACACGCCCAGAGACCTCCATCAAGCGGGCTGCCTTCAACCAGCAGAAGAAGGTGTACCTGAAAGCCACTGCTCTGTGGAAGCCTATCATGACCGAGGTGATCATTCCGCATGCCCATCGTGCCGGTAAAGACGGCGCTGAGATCCCGATGCTCGTCCGCTTGCCTGAGGAGGCCAGCGCCGAAAACCGTGTGCCGGTCGTGCTTCTCATGACTGGTCTGGATGGCTACCGTCCTGACAATAGCCAGCGCAGTCATGAGATCATTAGCCGTGGGTGGGCGACTGTCATCGTCGAAATCCCCGGTACTGCGGACTCGCCTGCGGACCCTGCGGACCCGGAGTCGCCTGATAGACTCTGGACGAGTGTTCTGGACTGGATGGCCCGGCAGCCCCAGTTTGACATGTCTCGGGTTGCGGCCTGGGGTCTCAGTGCTGGTGGCTTCTATGCTATTCGTGCGTCTTGTGTTCATCGCAATCGTCTCCTTGGAGCTGTGGCTCATGGCCCTGGATCGCATTATGTCTTCAGCCCTGAGTGGTTGGCCAAGGCCAATGACCATGAGTATCCGTTTGAGTGAGTCTTCAGTCGATGTCTACGTGTTGAACGTGAGGATTAACCATATGACAGGCTCACCACTGCCATGGCCGAGAAGTACGGTTACGACAACGTCGAAGACTTCGTGCAGAATGCCCAGAAGAAGTTCTCGCTTATTGAGACTGGCATTGTCCAACAGGATAACTGCCGTTTGCTTTTGCTGAACGTAGGTTTTTGATTCAATTGGAGACCGTCAGAGGCTAACTAGTTGCAGGGCGTTGATGATGGTGTTGTTCCGATTGAAGACTCGATGGTCCTGCTTAACCATGGAGGCCCCAAGGAGGGACGATTCTTCGAGAACAGGGTGCACATGGGTTACCCCGATACTCTGCCAGTGGCTTACAAGTGGCTGGAGAGTGTCCTGTCGCCCAACATGCCACAAGTCAAGAACTGAGAGGCTGCCGAGGCTGTCCATAGCTGGTCGGACTTTTGATAGTATTGTTTTGTATGAAAGGTTACCTCATTGCTGATACACACCAACATAATTAGCCCGAATTTTGTATGTGCGATGCCTGGGCAAGACTTTGTAAAGGTGATTCCATTCACATAGATCCATGACCGAGGTCGGGACGCTTCCATATCGGTCTCATTTTTTGTGAACATAGAAAAGTGGTCGTCACTGCCAAGAACGCCTGAAATGCTGAAAGGATATTTGGTCGATGTCCGGAGAAGATCAGAAGGGATATTATAACACAGCAGATTGAAGGACTACGTTTAGTCTTCGTCGACTCTCGCGCGCTTCGATCCTCGGTCGTCATTTTCGGCTTCCTGGATACCATAGCGTTTCTTGCCAGCGGTGACATCGGCAATCATGTTGTCGATACCGAATGGATCAGCAGTATCCTTCTCGAACTGAACGGGACCTTGGCGTTCCTGTAGAATAGAAGGTTAGAGATGATAATATCGGTATTTATAGAATTGAAACCAACCTCAGCATCAGCAGCACCCTTGAATCCTTCCTTGGCGCGTCCCAGAACCTCAAATCGGTTGGTCTTCTCAAGCTTGCTCATTTCGCCCTCACCTGCATCCTCGTCATCGGCATCGAGCTGAGCACGGGGGCGATAGATACTGTTGATGGCGTCCTGCGCGGCAAACAGCGGCTTGTCGTAAGGGTTGTCTTCGTTGAAACCAGATTGCATGCCGCTGGTTTGGTTGAACAGACGAGAGTCCCACATGGTTTCGGAGCTTTGTGTGGGCTTGGCCAAACCGAGAGCCACCTTCTCTGAGATATCACGGTTTTGTTCGCGAGCCATGGTCTGGATACGTCGTTCTGTGCCCATACGAGACTGGCGCAGCTGTCGCTCATCCTCGCGTCGTCGCTCCCGACGTTGCTCGGCACGATCCCGAGCGGCCTCGTCATCCTCGCTGGGGGATGCGGACCTGGAAGAGTACGGCGAGGCACTGCCGCTGGCACTGCGGGATCGAGCCCGCGAGTCGCGTTGACTGGGGCCAGCACGGTCCTCCCGAGCCTTTTGTGCCAGCTGTCGAAGGTGCTCCTCTTTCTGTGCTTTCTCCTTCTCGGCCAGCTTCTGTTGCATTGAAGCTCGCAGCTGCACTTCCTCGCGTGCATGGCGATCCGCTGTGAATAGAGCCTCGGCGAACTGGGCAAACTTGTCGTTGATCGAAACATCCTGGAGTCCGCGTCCGTCCGCAGCCAAACGCTTGTCCAGGGGCACGGTGTAACCCTTGGGGTTCTTCCAGTTGGACACAGGTGGGGGGATCTTCCAGGCTTCTTGGTCCTCCGCAGTAAGCTTACGAGGCGGCGAGTGCATGACTGGAGGTGGTGGGGATGGTGGACCACGCGGGATTTTCTTGTGCTTGAACTTGGGAGGCTCCATGGGATCTTGCTGCCTCTCGACGATCTTCATGATGCGGTCATTCTGCTGACCGTTGTTGCCCATTTGATTCGCTGGAGTGTACCGAACAAAGGTTGGCTCGGCTCTCTTCCCTCCCTTGACGTTCTTCGGCTTCTGTGCAGTCGCAGCTCCTTCGACCAGGGTTGCCAGTGCAGCCTTTGTCTTTTCCATCTGCATTTGGATCTCCTCCTCGGATGGCTTCTCCAGAGAGATTTCTCCCATATCCACCCGCTGGCGAAGTGGGATCAAATCCTTAAATGATGCATGGACGGTTCGGTTGTCTGCGTGGCCACGGCGCGCGATCGCATCGTACTTGACCTTGCCTTCAGCGTCCACCTGGACCGCAAGCGCATTCGAAGTTGAAGCCGTTCCTTTCCGTCCCATGTCAAGGGGATACTGTGCAACCAAGATCTCGGGGAACGCGCCACCATCGCCAAAATCTTCGGCGGCTCGAGGTCGCCATCCGGCGCGGTTTCCGTAGGGTGGGGGGCCGGTTCTCTGAAGCAGACAAAATTAGTTCTGAGGCCAATTCACTAAAGAAACCAGAGAAACTTACCCGCAGCACAACTTGGGTTTCGTCAAGCTGGTCGGCGCCTACCACGCGCGGACCACGGGGTTGCGCATGTTGGGGCAACTCCTCTCCCTCAGTAGAATGTTTTGGCTTGGGGAGGGACTTGAAAAGTCCTTGTGCAATAGATGTGGACATTGTGAGAATAATCAACCCAAGAGCTGTGCACTTGCAGTTGACGTGAAGAGAGGACTGAGTGAGGCTCGGTCTGGCTTTTGGGCCAAAGTGCATTGTTGGTTTTCTTCGTCGACCGTATACATTATGCCAAGAACTCAGTGGCTCTATAGCGCATGAATAGCCCTGCAGGTCAAGACATAGGGTTTAACAGCCGTCATAAATAATGGAATATATGTCAAGGAGATTGGGTTCAAGAGTACAATGCACCGCTTGTGACTAGAGTCAAGCAGATGATGAGAATGGAGTTTGAAGTGCATTTGCTAATGAATGACCTAGATGCTATAATTACAAGAACGACCTCCGAATTTCCCTCTGGGCCGTTGGGTTTGATCTCTCCCGAGGTCATCAAATGGAGACGAGGTGTGCGCGTAAAGGACACGAGATCTTCTCTTTATCACCCACCTCTACGTAGTGATCACGACCCTGGAATCTATACCAGATCTTCAATCGCTTGGGCAGCAACGGCGCAGGGTCATGGAATCCCAGAATTTGGAACTGAAGGAAGTCAGCAAATTGATTCACGGTGCTTTATGCTCGGGGCGTATTTGCACTCTGACTTACCTTGACGGACTTCTTCGAGATCACCAATTGACCTCGATTGACTAAAGCAGCCACGGGAATAGTGACATCGATCACCCGAGGCTCTGTAAACCCATCCTTGGGTTTCTTGTCTGTGGGAGGTATATAACCGTACTCGGCCTTCAAAATAATAAGACCATCTTGTGCTTCTTCACGTCCTTGTCGTCTTTGCACTTGCTCTGTCATAAGCTCGATGGCTTGGAGACTTTCCTCGCGCTTCTGAGGGAGAAGCTTCTTCAACTCACGGTGGCGCCGAGCCGCTTCCTGGCGACGCTTCTTTCTATTCCGAGGGCGTATGTAGCCAAACTCAATGGCGCAATAAGCGAGCCAGGGGAATACAGCTGTCAGCGCCGTGGCGCTGCTAGTTGCCTCATTAGCCGGACAGATAACAATCGGGATATCGATGTTTTGTCCGAGACGACGCCATGTAACAGTGAGCATCATTCCTTTGTCTGCGATGCCAACACCAAGTCCTAGTCGCGTATACTCGCCAACTCGACGAATACCTTTGATGGTCCAGCTCAGGGACATGTCCAAGCCTGCAATAGTTGCAACCTCGAGCCGGACTGCACGAGCCTCATCCATTGTCGGCATTGGGAAGTATCCCTCCGAGCTCCATTCGGTCTTGACTGGGTCATCAGCGGGTTTGCCGGAAAAGAGGTTCCGTGAATATTTCAAGACAAGGGCTCCGCCCCCGGGTGAGACCTGCAGATGGCTTTCCCACGCCTCTGCCGATTGATCAGTTTGACGTTTTCTAGACACATCGTGGTGGTCATCATCGAACTCTCCACTGGTCTCAGCTTCGTCCTCGTCGGCCTCCATTGCTACCTGGGGTGATGCGGCGGGTGCAATCAGGCCAATCTGCAGGTGGCCGACCTCGCTGGCAGATGCGAAGGCACTCTGAATCCCCATTCCAAGCGACGGGAACCAGCCGTGCAGGAATTCGGGCCAATGAATAACACCGCTTGACCACGAGATCACACCAATCTTTTTCTTAAATAGCTCTCTCGAGACCTGGACCTCTAGAGATGGCGGCGTTTCCTCCAGGGATCGCGAGTGTATGCTGGTCACGCTCACATTGAATGGCGCAACGCCACTGACAGGCACAAAGCTCCGAGTGATGGTTGTTCTCAAAGAGGGCGCAGGCAGAAGGAGACCCTCAAATGTGACTGCGGAATCCCTAAGCAGTGCAAAGGGATGCTTAGCCCAGATTCCCTTTGTGCCCACCAAACTTCGAACATTTGGGCTCAGAGAGGCGCCCAGTCGGAAGTTTCGAGCTGCCAGAATGGGCGGCATTTTGACCTGGAAGAACGTCAGTGGGCCTCCAACCCCAGATGTTTCTCGTGAAACATACAGTTTCCTCTCCCTCCGTTCCATCCTCGTATTCGACCGTGGCTTTCTGGACTGGCTGGGCTAGTCCACCACTTATACCTGTGCTGATTGTCATACGGACGGCCTGCGATCCATCCTCTTGTCCATCGTCGCCATATTCCGACGCTGCGTCCTGCGAATCCGAGTCTTTCTCAGTTGTGCCCCAGAGCTGGGGCAATGCCACCGGTGTATCGAAATTATACGTAACCCCATATGTTGTGACCTTCGGCGAGGGAATATGAAACTGCACATCCTCATCCTCATCCACTGAGACCATTGACGCCGCGTTGACTCCCAAGGTAATACCGCCCTACAAAGTCATTGCTAGGTCAGTCAGAGTTCATCGACAATCCCCATGGCCGTAAATCCCATGAGCGAAGCTCCATACCCTAGTGGAAACCAAGCTTTCGATCGCCTGTCGCTCCCGTTTCTTCATTGTTTTGAGGAACCAGCGTCGGAACTCATCCGGCGACATCGTCTTTACGCCGACGTCTTGCTTCTGAGCTTCTCCTCCAATCCCCATAGCCCCAAGTTGACCCCATTCTTGCCGTACGCCTTCCGCGCCCGATATGTCGTACACAACACGCTTCTTGGGATCGATGAGGGTGTCGTAAGCGTCTTGGATGTGTCGGAATTGACTCTCGGCGGCATGGCGCAGATGCGACGGTTGTTTATCTGGGTGAAAGCTCAAGGACAGACTTCGGTAGGCTGATCGGATTTCCGCGTCGGTCGGGGGTGGGTTGCGCGATAGACCTAAGAGGAGATAGTAGTCGACTTCGGGATAGTCGACTAAGCTGTAGTCTTCCAATCCATCTTCCACGGTGGCGCTGAACTCTTGCGCCCCGTGCTGGCCGAAGGAGGACATGGATTGTTTCTTCGCCTGATTTATCTATAGCATCAGTCGGCCTGAGGACGATGGGTCGGATCAAAGGGCCGGAGAAACTTTCCGCGCGAATCCCGGAATGTTCAATTGTCCGAACGCGTTGAGTTGGGTGTAGGCCATTGATCTTGACATAAATCCTGACTATTCACCTGGGCAGTATTCTACGTCTTTTTGGTTTTCAATTGGGTGGAGAGTTGTTGACCAAATGTACTGGTTATTGCGTCCGATATCCTATATATGCCCTTGGAAGGCCTCCTATGAAAGCAAGCAGCCCGCAACCGCTTGGTCTACACCTCGATGGCTTGTGTATTGTTGACGGGGGTCTTTCCACTAGTCAATCAGCTCTGTCTTTGCAAAATAGAAAATCTTTGATCTTTGTGAAACACCCTGGGTCACCAATGTGAATGACAGGTTTAGGCAAAGCGTGTGCTTCTGACAGCCCTAAATTGCCCCGTTAATGTCTACTGTCCATGCCGCAAATTCAACTTCTCGGCGCAAGACCTGTACTCTAGATCCAGCATCATTCAGTTAACGCCGCACGACCACATCACCGCGAATGGCATGGCAGTTCCCTCGCGAGGCTGGGAGGATCATCGTGTATTCCAAAAATGGATAATAAGGTTAAACAACATGTAAGGAGACATGCACTTCTCTTGCCAATGGAAAAAGGATGAGATGTTGAAAGATGTATCCTACATCCCCAAGCTTTGCTGTTTCCGATCATAGAACGTCAAGTTAATCTGGCTTGATAGGTATAAATACAAGCAAGTCACCAAGTACTCGCAGGAAGTAATGTACAAGAAACATATGGTACATGGTACAGGCCGAGGCAAAAGAAATACGATCAACACAAGCTCGGAAGAACCTTGGAAGGCATGCAGCTTGAGCACCAATGAGAGCGGCAATACATTCACAAGTAACTGTGGTCATTATAGGAATTGAAATCCATCACGTCGTGACTGAGAGGCAATAAGCAGGCTAAAATTCAAAAGAATAATCGATCTGGGTGGAGTGCCTTGCCGTCGTGGGGACTTTTAAGGCGATGCAAATCATCAATCGCAGATACATGCAGAACATTCTGTAGCAATCATATTACCATGCAATTTTGGGGTACTGGCATCAAATGGGTATGAACAACGGAAAGTCAAAAATCATTGTCTCATGGATCTCTGATCCAGGCAATGTTGCTTGCTGAGATGAGGGTCTCATCAACTCGCAAGGCGTTCAAAAGAACTTCTTTGGGCATTGAGCCCGAGAATAGATCCTCGCTTGGGCTGGTGGGTGGCTGTGATAGTAAACCCCCCGTGTGAGCTTTGGATTCCAGGGATGGCCCTTCCAACGCGAAGCCCTGCTTCTCTTCAATGACGCTGCGCTCGTTGAGGCAGTCAATCATTACCACGAGACGCCTTTGGATAACAGTCACCAGTTGCAAAGAGCTGTCCCAGTAGCGACTGAGTTCCTGGATTGTCTCCAGTGCGCTTCGGGTATACGAGATGCACTCGTGTAGCTGGGAGGCTAGGCCGGCTGCGCCTAGGACATCCACGGCGGAGAGAATCAAGTAGCCCAGGAATGGGTTCAGCAGGGATATTTGAGGTGCAGATGGTTCTGTGGCAAGCCGGGAAGACTTGATCTCCTTGGAATATTGGTCAAAGGCCAGTGCTATGCGAATAATCTCAATCGCGTGGAATCGTGCTCGATGAATGTATTGGACCAGCATTTCGGGTCGCAGTGCCTGATACCGGGTGTGTCTGTACAGTTTCATCAAACTGGCGTGATAGAATAAGTGGATCGAAATGAAAGTGTCTGCTTTCCTTTGTCGAATGTTCCGCTCCATATTCATAGACGAGAAAGTCAAGTAGTCGGGAAGTCGGTTGATCCAATGGGTTGCTTTTTGAACGGTGGTGACATGGAAATCCTCAGAAAATCGATTGTACGCTTCGGGGGGAATGTGAGGTAAACGAGTAACGTGTAAAGAGACGTCCCCCCAAACAGCCATGATCTCGATCATGAAGGCCATCGCGCTGAGAGTGGAGCGGTCACTCTCGGGAGAGGTTGGAGAGTAGTTGAGAAAGGATTGGAAATAGGGCACGGTGGCGTATTGCTGGGATTCGTAGATTTCTTCCCGGCAGGGAAGTCTTAACAAGGCCGCATCCGACGATATGCTAGTTAGCGAAGCGGAATAGAGACTCGAGAAGCGCTGTGGAATTGTCAGTCACTGAGCACAGACGGGCTTCCACACAGGCCATAGATTGCTTACATCGAGCACGAAGGCGATCCAAAATGTGCGCCGGCGGCACTCAATTAATGCTTGCGGGTGCAACCCGTAGTCATTTGTCTGACTTTGGCTGACAACGCCTCCAGATTCCACATTGTAGCGAAGTCCAAAGACTGCTCGTCCCGCTGCGCCTATCGAATCCCAAGACCCAGCCAAGGAGCCTGTCGCGTAGTACCAAAGACTCATGATTATGTGACTCTGCGCAAGCTGCAAGGACAGTTTATGCTGACTTTTGTTGATAGCAAAGCGGGCTATGCGAGCATATTGTTTCATAGCTCCAAGTTTGTCCGGTCTGTTTGAAAACACGGAACCAAGGGTCATCATGGTATAGAGAAGCATCTTGTCTTCGGCAGTCTTGGTAGGGCACGTCTTCAACCACAGAGGGAATCGACCATGTGGGAAAAGGTGATACAGACCGTTGTTCACGTGCGAAAAGTAGCACTCGGTATAATGAAGAGTCGATTCTGGGTCAACCTCGTACGGATCGATATACCAGGAGGTCATCAGTGGGTCATCAAGGTTGCTGTCTTTGAGTTCCCCCAGAATCTCAGAGTATTCGGGTGAACGCGTGGTCTCGATATGTGCCGAGGCTCGTCCGAGGGTGTCATCTGTGGAGAAATGGGGTGGGAGACGGTAGGACCGGGACCTTAAAGCTCTGTCTGCATCGGCCATGGTTTCATATGTGGCATCTTGACCCGATGGTGTGAGGTTTGAACCCTCTGAAGCCGGCGAATGTCCATTGGCCCCGGAGAGAGAGGTCACACTAGACGAGTCTCGAGTGACGTTGTAAAGTGACGGAGAACCATCCGAGGCGAAAGGAGGGGCGCAGGGGTCAGGTCTGCCAGAAGGCCCGGTTGACCCTCTCGCTGAGGCACGGTTGCCGCGCGGGCTGGGGGATGTTAGCGACACTTCAAACCGACAGAGCTGGGGATCCTCGGTTTTCACTGGGATCATGGCCATACTTACGCACTTTCAAACCGGCATTCTCGTCCCGATTTCCGACATTGGTCACAAATAGCCTCAGTGGCAGGATTGCACTTGATCTTCTTCTCCCGGCACGTCAAACATGCGAGTGCCAGTCGCTTCCTCGGCCTACCAGCCTTGGTCACGCCCCAGTTAGCATTCACCGGTGTCCCATCGATGGTCTGTGGGCAATATGACCCATCCGCGTAGATGAAACATAGCCCTTCTCCCTCTATGACTCGCTCATCTATCACAGCAGGTCGGACAGGTGTCTTTACTGGCCGGCCCGAACCGTCAGACGATGAAAGCTCTCCGGGTCCTTGGTCGTGGGGCAGTGTGTTGGTATATGCCAATGGGGGAGGAAACGGTGCTGTGGATGGATCGCTCCTCGTGGGCGTGTGATGAGACAGATCTCTATGACTCTGTGATGTCACCTGGGATAACGATGGCAGGGCGGTATTTTGGGATTGAAGTGACTCGGAGCGTCCTTTAGCTCTATCATGCATGGCAGACTGGGCATGCTGTGCAGACAACCTCGGGTCATGATGGGGGAAAGTGTATGCAGATTCACGGCGTTCGGCTCCTGGGGTCAGAGGAGCGTATACTTTAGAGTGTGAACTGGAAGGCGCCTCAGTGGTGAAGATTTGGCTCAAGGATGGGAGTTGTTCGGGCTTCTGGGGTCCATTGTCTTTGCCGTCGGAGTGGTCTGTCCTGAGAGACAAGTCTGTCCCGAATTGTAAACCGGCCGGTACACGCGGGGGCGGAAGTTGGTATGGGGGGTCCTCAGAATCTGGCAAATTAGCTGGAAGCTCGGGTTGCTGCTCCGAGTATGGACCATCTGCGGTGGGTAACATACGGCCGAAGGGTCCAATGTAATAGCTTGAGCCTGGGCCGGGGCCTGACATGGCGGTTTCACGATGGGTTGTCGACAACAAGATGATTCGATCTGTCTACATAACAGATCCACGACAGCTGGGGCAGCCTTTCGGTCTAGCGGTCCTCGGGTCCTTCTGGTATACGAAATAGAGGGGGTCCGGACTGAGTTGGCGAAGGTGTCCTGGGGTAGTTCTTCCACGGGTTGTCGAGATGGGAGCTGGCTTGAGAAGAACTCAGGCAATGGGAGTGTGCCTATCGAAGGGAACCGGACGACTTAGCAATGGGCTCTTCTCCGATCTGCCGAGAAGAGACGCTTTGCACATACCAATTCCACTCTAGAGGCGGTTTAGTGGGGTCTAAGACACCGAGGCGTAAGGGAATCCGAATCAGGCGTCTGAGCAGAGACCCTGGGTACGTTTAACACTCGGGAATCGAAGAACGGGCAATCACGAGGCGAACGAAAGTTGTACAACGGTTGCCAGCGACTTGCGAACGGGGATCTCGGCGCTCAAAATACTAAACTCGCTAATTTGCATAGACCGTCGGTAGTTCGAAAAAGGGACCGAAGATGGCCTAATAGCTCATCATGTCGCGATGGTGGGCAATCACCGTCTTGGGTGCATAGTCCTAGTACCAGGGTATGTGCCAGATCCCAGGTCTGAAGCTCCAGCACTGGTCTGCAATACAAGCTGCGTGCACCAGCCAAGGTCGTCACGGAGAACCGGGCCGGTGTATAGCACCGTTAGGAAGCCCCACGAGGCACACAAGATCAGTGCTGACACTATGGGAAGATCAGATGGGAGGCAGATCTCCGATCCTACCACAATGGAGAGGGAGATATTGGGACAACCACACTGCTCTCGGGACCGGTGTGAGAGAGAAAAGCACCAACAATACAATACTGATGATAATCGGTGACGATCGAGGTTGGATCCGATGGTGGCACACAGCTTGATTATGGACAAAATAGCCTCGAAGGAAGCGCCGCCTATCACTGGTCAGAGACACCCTAGCCCTGGAGGGTTTAAAAAACGACTAAGAGTACCTAGATTTCCGATTTCCGATTTCCAGGCTGCCGATTTGCAAAAAAAAAAAAAAAAAGGCCAAAGACGGGAGAATCCGGGGGTTCTAATGTGAGACGTGTGAGGCTCGAGAAACGGAGTGCAATAGGGAGTCTAATAAGAAAGGAGGGGGACTGGAAGGGCCAAAGCCAAGTATCGGTATTCGACGTACATCCAAAATTACCGTTGATCATGTTTTTATTATATTATTTCGGCCCTTTGGATATTGGATTTATTTTCGCGAACTCGGATTAACCGATCGACAGGCCTCTGTTTTCTCCCGGATTCACCGTACTTGGCGAGCTACTCACAGTATACTATGGTTTATCTTTTCCCTTTTACTTCTTTTACTTCTTTTGTCTTCTTTTTACTTCTTTTGTCTTCTCTTTTTGCTTTTTTGACCCTTACGCCGGAAGAGAGGGACCGGCGTCCTAGGAAATAGACTTCTTAAGGGCCCGGAGTAGACGCCCCATTCCAAGTGGATATAGAATGATATCGACGGGAGACTTGGCACGATGTTTCGAATGGCGTAATACCTATCCAATCTGTACCTTTGAGCCGGAAGTATAACGGCAATTGAATCTGGACCGTTGATCTGAGTGGAGATGTGAAATTTTATAGACCATCGGTATGATTGGGAAAGGTTCTACCGAGGATCATCCTGGTTCATCCGCCCTCCAATCTGCTGCATTCTTATATTAAGGGCGGATCCTAAATGAACACATTGCTCTCGTACTTAGTAGGTGGCCTCTTGGGCGCCAATTACCCACCCTGCAGTACTTTCTGCAGCATGACCAATCTCATGCCCAGACATGGATGTTTTTCATGGCACCAATTAAGGCCTATCGGGGTTTGCAGTGACGAACATGTACATGGGCGACGGCATGCGTCAACGGTGGACGAACCGGTGTGCCGAATGAAGTACCAAGTTCACGGCGTAGTACTGTATAGTACTGTAGGCAAGGTCACAACTATGTAGTTGACCTGAGCTTGTTTCGGAGGGCTGGCCGCGAATACCCAGTGGGTCCCCAGAGCCTTCGGCCGGCCAGTGGCGCGGGCGATGAGATGCCTAGACGGGCAAATTCTCCTTTCAGTGTTCGGGCGCACCCAGGGCTTATCTCACTTGGATAGCCTGGTGAAGATCGACCGTGCGGTCCATAAGTGGAGCTCAATCCTTTCTGGTCCTCGCATTGAGGCACTCGGGTCTCCATACTGGCGTCCCATTACCGAATAACTTTACTCTATGGAGCACAAAAGCCGAGAGGTTATGTCTGAATAATTGGCTCATTTTTTTCTTTTTTGGCTTTGTGCTGCTACATACATAATGTTGGTCGTATGGAGTACGGAGTGTCCAGACCCTGGAGACGTTCTTCTTGTCTAGCGCCTTGGAATCTTTTTTCTTCTTTTTTCTTATTTTTCTTATTTTTCCCTTCTGAATCATGCCGAGTTGATCAATCAGATTATATTTCCCAATCTGGTAATTTGATAGTCAGGCAGGTTCCAAGGGGAAATAAAACGGGTTTGCCATGCAGCTACTCTTTATGTACAGTATGTCGAGAATGCAATGCAGGAAAACCCCCTTCGCCAACGTCTATAGTACAGTACTCCGTAACGTCCATGGACTCCCACCTGACCTCCTACTCCAACGGAGTCAACCACGTATTTTTTTGGGGGCCTCGAGTCCTGGCGATCCGATCTGCAAGCCGTCACCCGGGATCGTCATTCCAATTGGGCTCAGCCCCTTGTGAGATTTCTGCTTTAGGAACACCTGAGACGCAATGACGCGAGAAGCTTCGTATTTTCCTGTAATGTCGTCCACTCGTACCCGGTCTTCGGGAGTTGACCGTCAAGACTCCAATTCGGCATTTTGGAGCCGCCACGTCCCATCTGGATTTTTCACCCGAGGGCCCCCAAAAGAATACGGGATTTGATTTTCCCCGAATAAATACCGAGTGCAGAGGAGAATTTTCTGTGGGAAGGACGGAAAAAACCCACGGAGAATTCTGCACTGAGGGTTGAGACAGAATCCACCGGAGTACGTGTATATTTAGGTAATATACGGCCATTGGAGTATGGTATGATATAGAGCTCACATCCCACCGGATCCTTCATCTGGTTTAATGTCTGAGCTAATGTGTTGCAACTCTGCTACTGCATACATGTTTTGCAGTCTTCTAGCGCCGGTCTGACTCCCGATAGCGCAAGGCGCTCTGTTCCGCGCCCCTGAGCCGATTCGCGTTAGGTGAGACATGCCTATACATAGTATCCGCTTTGTGATCTGCGAATAGAGCGCTGGAGTCCCGGTGTGCTAGTATTTGCTGGTTCATGTACGGAGTACACTCAAGGTTCTGTGCATCTCTCCTTACTCGTGCAGTCCAGTGTCACTCGGTTGTCCCTACCGAGACCGCTCTTTGCACGTTTTCCCTGTCTTTTTGTTTCGCTTTTTCCTTTCTTTTTCTTCCTTACATCGTACATTGGATACTCTATCATTCTTGCTCACTTTCGCTTTCGCTCCAATTCGGCCTTCTCGTTGGTTCGGATAAATACCCCCCTCCAACTGAGTACTGTACGTCCTGGGTCTCGGCTATGGGACGTTCTTAATTGACGTCGCATTACAATTTAGCTTGGAACTAGCGGGCCTCATAATTCAGCTGTATGTAACGTACGTTAATGTTAGTAGTATTAACCTCCATGCTCTGAACCTAGTTCACTCCACCGGCTTTAGGTAATGTTGGCACTCCCAGCACTGGTAAATATTGGCCCAGAGTCAAGCCAAACGTCATACAGGGTTTGGCCAAATGCATAGTGCAGTACCATATCAAGGAATTGGCCTACTAGTACACCCCCCCACCTCGCAGGTGCCCGCGACTACTGTACACCTGTAGGTAGACCCTGGCGGTGGTCTGCCAAGGTTGACATCCCTGCGGAGTACCTAGTATGAGTACTAGTATACAGTAGGGAGTATAGGATTTTGGAATCCCAAACGCGGAAGTTCCAAAACGGTACGTCGCTTAGACTTAGACCGTCGGCTCTGGCGGAGATCCGATGTAGCTACAGTTCATGAATACAATACCATAGACATGAACCTAAATGCCCCGGGTGCACCTGGGCAAACTCTACTGACCATATGCAGCATGCAGGATCCCGGTGCAAACAGTAGTAACGTGCCCAGGAACCAACGGGGCCCTCGGAAAAGTCAATTAAATTGAACGTTGTCATGTCAAAAGCTAATATGCTCATATGAGCCTCGAAATCCTGCTCGTTCTCTCTCAACTGGGGAGTGCATATTTTGCCCCCTACGAATTTCATGTGCAGCGTATTCATGCCTAGGCACGCAAGGGGGGTCCCATAGCATGTGACAGCATCAATTGGTTTGACACTGGACCTCTGTTCGTAGAAACCGGAATCTCTGAGATAGGAATCCCTGAGGTTATATGACTGCCTAACTGTTGGATCATCCAGTGCGTCTCTTGGCACAACCTTGGAATAGCGAGCCCTTTGTAACACGGAGGCTTGGGCCTCTAGGGCTCATCCCGATATCACGTGGAATAGACCATACTCCGCGGACCTGGCTGGGCACCTGGGCAAAGGCTTGAGAGGACCCCAGAATGTTTCTTCACGAGAATTTACCTAGTAGACTCAAGGGTCCTGGTCCAAGGCCCATGTCAGGCTATGAACTCCCTGGTGCAGTCAACGCTCATGAGCACCCACGCGATGCCCCAGTAGGTCTAATCGTAGAACACTGTAAAGCTCAGAGTCCAATGGTTGTTCAAACCCACCCCGCCATAGATGCTGTAGATGCAAGCATGATAGCCAGAATGAAGCCGAAAGATAATGGACAGAACGCAAAGACACCTCGATCCATGCTACATCTACAACTTACCAGAACAATACAAAGAATTCGAGGGTCACTTATAAGAACAGAGAACCGATCACATTACTACTCCAAAAAGACCCATGGGTATTGCAAAAAAGGCATTGATTCATTTTTGCTGACTACCATTTTGTCAACCAACAGCTAACAAAGAAAATAGCAGGGGGCAAAGAAACCCGCTTAGTTCTCGTAGAGAGTGTTGATGAAAGACTCGGCGGGAGCAGTGGGCTTGCCACCCTCGACGGACTGCTGGCCAAGCTTCTGCTTGGAGTAGGCAGCGGCGTAGGGGTTGAGGCGGAGCATGACCTGCTTGTTGCGCAGAGGGTTCTTCTTCTGGACGTTGACACGCTTGGTGCGGGCCTCGCCCTTGGGGGCGCGGAGAACGGACTGGATTTCGGAAGAGTTGATGAGACGGGTGAGGTCGGCGTTGGCCACCATGTTGGAGGGCAGGAGGTAGTCCCGCTTGAGAGCCGAGGGGCTGGTGGTGGTGCCGTAGACCTGGTCAAGGGCCTGGAAGGCGGAGGAGGTCCAGACGATGAAGCGGCCGAGGTGACCACCGGGGGCGAGCTGGAGGAGGTTGAGGGAGAAGACGGGGGAGGTCTCAACACCGGGGATGTTGCGGAAGGCCTTGACGAGGTCCTTGCCGTCGGTCTCGGGGTTGTAGACAACGAGGGGACCGCGGCGCTGGCGGAAGCGGCGGTTACGGAGCTTACCCTTACCAGCGCGGATCTTGCGGGACTTCTGGACCTTGACGAGATCGGGACCAGCACCGACAGCCTGGAGGAGGGCGATGGCGGCCTTGGTCTTGGTCAGGGCAGCACCCTCGAAGACCTTGGAGTCAACGACGAGGGGAACCTCGGGGACGTTGGCGACACGGTGACCGCGGGCGAAGAGCAGAGCGGGGGAGGAAGAAGCAGCCAGAGCGGAGGCGGTAGCGAAACGACGCTGGCCAACGTTGACCTTCTGGTGCCACTTGCGCCAGACCTTGGTAGGGGCGAACATACGACCGGAACGGCACTGGTTACCGAAGGCAGCCTGACCGGCACGGTGAGTACCACCACCGGAGACACGGGGGATACGGGCGACAGCACGACCTGTAGGACATTTCGTTAGAGGTGGATTCTCCTTGTCAAAATGAGATAGAAGAAATCGGCCGATGTTGCAAATTTTTGCGCCATCTCGAACCGAATCTTCAAATCTCGAAAAAGCGTTCCAATTTACGTACCGGTACCCCAGGACTCAGCAGAGGTCTGCTCACCAGCCTTCTCGCTCACGGCGTAAGGCTGGCGCTTGTTCTTGGCCATACCAACGTGAACCTGCCTGTAAAACCATCAGCATCTCCCCTCCATTTGTCATTCCTTCGATTTCGAGCCATACTGGACAATATCCGGACGGATAGGAGCAGAGAACACGGTGGGCAGGGGGTGGGAGGCCCCGGAGGGCTTGCCCTCAGCCGTGGCGATCGAGACAGTAGGGCGGGAGGCCATTGTTGCTGGTCGGTGTCGTGGTGAGGTTGAAGATCCAATCTCGTCGGGTTGGGGGGCTTCAGGCTGGGTGTGGATTTTTTTCGCTTACAAGCCCTGCCACACCGCCTTGAGGCGTTCTGCCAGAGTTAGGGCTGCCTGACTAAGCCCCTCATTCCCGATCGGGCTAGGTTGATCCAATACACGTGATTAGACGGTGGGTCTCGGCGCCCGGGTCTCTTCTTGCAGCTCCACTTGAGCATGTTGACATTCAGCCACACAATACATTCTCATGCACAGACGACAGTACAAGTATCTCAGGTCATACTTGCGGCTTGCGTGGTGCAATTCCACCAGCAAGTCTCTCGGGCTCCTGACATCTGCATCACCAGCTCGAAGCTCTCCACTCAACGTCGAACAGCACATCATGTACCAGTCTACAGCCTGCCAGCAACCAATACAAGAGTGACTCCTTGTTTCACGCAAGCGCTACACGTCCGCTTTGGAGCATCTTCATATAGCCCGAGCTACTGACTTTCTACGAGCGATGAATGGCGCCGGTGCTTCATTTACTCTACAGACTTAATTTGCAAGCCAAAAGTGTTTATGTTGGGGAATGAGATGTCCGATGTTTCTAGACTAACCTCATCAATGTACAGAAAAGTGACATATTGTGCACCGAAAAGAAGGTCCGACCCAATTTCAAATGTGGGAGCGGAAAAGAATGTATCAGAAAGCACTGAAGGATGGAAAGAAAACAGCAGGTGGAGTGAAGTGAAGGTCCCTATAGGACATGCAATGCAAGGAAACCATGTCAACGTCCGAGGCCAGCGGATCCATTGTTGATTTAAACATGGTGAGCACCAACGTGGCGCTTGCGGAAGCGCATGCTGGAGATGTGGCGCGCCTTCCGGGTGGCTGTCACGGTGAGCTCGCTGCTCTGACCAGCGCCACATTCAGTGCCGGCTGCCATCTGCTGAGAAGCGGACCAGTTACCGTTGGCACAGCGCTGGAAAGAGGAACCGCTGACGCAGTTCCACTCGCCCTCGGTGTTGCAGGCACCCGACAAAGTGCCTGAGCCGGAGCTGGAATCAGAACTGGCACCGGAGCTGGACTCGGAGCCAGACTCGTAGCTCGATCCCGAACTGGACGAAGATGAAGGGGCTGGAGCAGGCGCAGAGGGCGAGGAAGCAACCTGTCCGGCAACTTCGGGCTGGCTCGAGACGCTTGCGACTGCCGCCAAAGTTGATGAGGGAGCGACGGGAGCGACGGAGGAAGCGGCAGAATCAGACGAGCCGGAGCTGGAGCCGGAGCTGGAGCCAGAGGAGCCAGAGCCAGAGCTCGATCCAGAGTCAGAACCGGAGCTGGAGCTGGAACCAGAGCTGGAGCTGGAACCAGAGCTGGAGCCAGAGGAGGTGTCGCCAGAGCCGCCGAAGCTGGCAGTGCCGGTGCAAGCCTCAGAACCTTCGGCGGCGAGGTTGCTGGCTTCGCCATCATACTCGACATCGTCACCAGGCTGAGGGAAGCGAATATCCACACCCTCCTTGGTGGTGCAACCGTTGACGTTGGCGACAAACATGGGCGGGAAGCTGGCGGCACGCTTCTCGAGCTCCTCGGCAGAGCGCTTGGATGAGCCTCCGCTGACGGTGATAGGTGCGCAGTTCATATACATTTCACGGTTACCGATGCGGTTGAACCAGGTCCAGGCCAGAGTGTACTTGCCAGCAGAGATGCCGTCGGGGATGGTGAAGTTGAATTGGGTCTGATCGACGGCACCAGCTGCCAGGTTGCCTTCGACATTGGCAGGGCAGCCGCCCTCGAAGGACTTGATGACCTTCCACGTCGAGGACTTGGATGGCTTGAGGTCCTCGGTCAAACTGATCTGGCAGGAACCACCACCGTGGGTGGCGGAGCCCTCGAAAGCGAGTGCGTGGGATTCACCGATTCCGATGATGGTCTCGGTGGAGGGAGCATCGTAGACACCGTCACGTTGCTTGCAGGGGAAGTCACTACCATCTGCCTCCAGAGGCGAGTTGTTGAGACTGTCCTGGCCGTAGGGAGTCGGGGTGCTCATGATCATGTGGGCGTTGACCATGGAGGCTCCCAAGAGGGCAGCCAAAAGGTTCGACTTGAACATCATGTTGGATTGGACTTTTGGTTTTTGATTTCTCTTGAAATTTGGTTCGACAGGAAGATGCGAGTGGATTCGATTCGTGCCAGACGAATGGAATCAAACAAAAGGATTGGACCTTGGTGGGATCGTAGAGCAAGAACTTTGGGGATGGTTAGCATAAGACATGTTTTAGGAGGCCGTACACAGTAGATATACTGCATCACTCAAAGGTCTGATCTATATTGAGGACGGGCCTATTGAACCCAGCCCCAACAATAGAACTACCTAGGTAGACAATGGCTAAAGATTTTGCAGCAACAATGAAACCCAAGGGATACAATACCTTTATAGCAGAGTCAATGACACAAGATGTCTTAGAGAGTTTATTTCCAACCTCTTTATTCAGACAATAGACTCTTTGTTCACAGAAAGGAATGTATGGGATTGACACAGACAATCACCACCAAGAATAAAAAAAGAAAGAAGAGAAAGGAATGCAGGACTGGCCTGTCAAACTGTCAAAGTCAAGAGAGAAGAAAGATGCTTGAAGAAGGAAAAAAAGCATGCAGCATTGGCGTCAAGGGTTTTATATCTGAACATGGGTACGGATACACTCGGGCCTTCTAAGCGACATCATGTTGATCCCTGAATGGAGCCATGCTACGTCCATGGGGCAATCAACTAGACAAGCCTGAAAGTCCAGAGAGGCGAAACAAGTGTGCGATCTGTAGAAAGGGGTGGAGACCCAAGCTGGGATGTTTCATGAGCGTTGACAGAAGAGAGTAATAGTAGACAGACAGCCAATGAGAGGGCCGTGGAGGGAGTTGAGAGGGACGAAACACTTTGCAGTGTTTAAGTGACAGGCCAGTAGGAAGATCGAAGTCTTTTCCCAGACGATCTTCTGCTGGGCTGGGCGGCTGGGCCGACGACCAACCACAGTGGGCGCAAGGGTCCGCCGTCCCTCTTGTCCGTTCGGCAACCCCCTGGATTGTCGCACCATCAACCGCTGTGCTTTAAACTGTGCACATTGGCTGTGCCTGTAGCCGCCTAAAATCTGGTCAGCGGGTCTACTGCCAATCAGTCGGTCTGCCCAGGTTACATGATGTGTCCTATTTCCGACCTCCCTTGCGACCTATAGAAAACTCAACTGACATCAGATCGGCCTTTGCTACAAGTACATTACTATGTACGGGACAGGATACTCCGTACGAAGGACAGAATCAGCCACTGACCTCGTCATCACATCACGGCACTTCCAATGTGGGGTGCAGCAGTTCCATCTTCTGAAACACACATCGCGCCAAGGGCTCTAAATGAATGGGGCGAATCTCGGCAATGGACTGCAACCTCATATCTTCCGTCCTCCGTGCGGAGTACAGTATAAGGAAAGTGTTAGGCGAACTCAAGTTTCAGCAAAATCTGCCGGCGGTGCAGCCGAGCTGTATGTCCATAACTCGATCATTTCCCACGCAGTGGTTCAGGATCGTCGGAAGAGACCATGATAGCTCCACCGCTTCATGCCCACAGTTTGACACTGCGGATCTTGACTCAAGGGAGTAAAAGCCGCAGTCCCGGCACATGGTTCACACATCGAAATCTCCAAGCTCTTCTAGATCGGTTTCAGATTGAGAGTATATTCTCGAGCCCTTCGCTAACAAGGAACAGATCACACTCGGTTGGCCTCTGGAGCGAGAGAATGGGGAAATGCAATGTCGGAAGCCCGCTGTGTCTGCCGGTAGCCACTGTGACTCGTTCGTTGCATGGAGATGCGGTCTAGTTCGCATGGAGCGCCGCGCCTCCCCGTTGTTGAGCAGTAGGAAGTATCTGGCACCATCTCCGATCGCAATCAAAGAGCTCGTTCTGCCTTGAATTCTTCGCTTGTACACGGCCGATTCGTTCTAGGTATCTATCGTGGCAGACTCAGAGACTGCAACCATCGGTGCTGGGTGCATGGGAGTCTGGGAATGGCATACTCTGCATAACCTAGTGGCAGTTCGCATGCACGCTGCAACCCGGTTTCATCATTTTCTACTTCGGTCCGTGGCTACCCAGACCTCCGAGTGGATAGTCGGACTAAGGTATATACTCCGTGCCGGCTAGCAGATTGTTTGAGTCCACACTTGGTGTTGAAATCCAATTCCTTGTGGGGTGCCGATCGGGTCGAACATTTCCCAGGTATCAGTGTTTTCTCGTGGCGCCTGTAAGACTCTGTTTGGAGTATTTCTATACGTCCACGTTGACGGAGTTTCCCCTGGGGCGAGACGCTCAAGTGAACCAGCATCGAGAGAAGTCCCAGGTACTTTTTGCGCGCTCAGAGTTCCAATCAGTCGACTGGTTCCACTGACAGGTGTGACTGGTGGAGATCTCCATGGCATGAGACCCTGGCAATTCCCCAATTCCTCGTAGGTAATTCACTTGTTTGAGGATATGCCAGATCATGCAATCAATATCCAAAGTCGTGACTCTGCTGAAAGGAAGGTCGTATCCGCGATCCTGGTGTCATGGATACCTGAAGGTTCAACAAGCACCCTGGTCCTGCAGCCACGATTGTTTCATCCATCACTTCAGGGGGAATTCCCATGTGAAAGGCAGCAGAAGGCATCTCAAGCAGAGAGACGTGTAGAGTCCCTCATTTCTTTCCTTTCTTCTTTTTCTCTGCGGTCGATGTCTCCTCCTTCTTAGTGAATCCACCCTTGACTAGAGCATCGCGGCCTGCATCGTTGATGAGTCGGAACCGAGCTGGCCCCAGATGGATGCCTCCAAACCACCTCGTCACGACGACAACGACATTCCACACATCCATCAATTGCATCACGTGGAGTAGTCGACCCCCAGCAGCAGTTTCCCCGTCATCATCATAATCTTGCACGACGGTCTCACCTGCATCGCTAGCGCCCTCCTTCTTCTGCCGAATGCGCCATGCGCTGATATTGTGCGTCGCAGCGGCAACCTTCCGATCCGTAGCGGTGAGATGATCCAAAAACGCCTGCGCCTGCGCTAGGCTGTCGACTCGTGCAACCCGACCCACAAACACAGACTTCTTCTCTGTCATCACATCAGATAGGATCCAGTCCGGTGGTGAGTCAAGGCCAAACGCGTCGCGTAGAGATAGGGTTGTAAAGCTCTCTGTTGCTGTTGCGACGGGCTCGCTTTCTGCGGGCGGTCCCTCGTCTGGAGTTCCCCCGATGTTCAATTCTGGGAACACCTCGACAGCTTCACTGATCACGTCGAAGAGGCATACCGCGCCAGCTTGCCATGTCCGTTGTATGATGTCTTCCAAGACATCAACTGCGATCTTGCCTTCCCCGCGCGCACCGGTGGATGCCGTGCCTAGCACTGCGGGCCGCGTGTCCGGGTATGAGGCCTCAAAGCCAATTCTGAATGATAAATTCTGCTGCTCAGGGATCTGCAGCGTGATCACTGTGGTATGTGGGGTGGAGTGGGAGCTTCCTAGATCGAGGGTGTTGGTCGCGTGTGCGGGGGATGTGGTGATGGTCACCGTGTCGGGGTCGTAGATCGCATTGACTGCCTCAATCTCTTCAGCGAGGTCTTGGTTTTCTGTAAGGGTCATGATGTCCAGGTTTTTGCGGTAAAAAAACCGTGTGAGGTTGAGGCTCAGGTTCCGAGACTGAAGGCGGTGCAATCGCGAGACTAGTCCTTTTTCCAAGTACGGCGCTTTCGATTGCTCACGTCCACTTCTAATGTTGGTATTACTTCCCAGGTAAGTATTTTAATGTAAATTGGGGGTTGCAAGATGGTTCGAAATTTGATCGTTAAAGTGAAGTTGTGCTTGTGAAGTGAAAGTTGTAGGATATATATTGTGGTAGATTTCATCCAGCGATGTTTGTAGTGGAATTTATACAACATTCCAAGCTCAAGGTTCCATTGGAGAAAACTCCCAAACTACATATGTGGAACAGTGGACTCTGATAGCCCATGCTAACCTTGGAAGCCTGGGAATCAACTGCTCATGTGGGCATCCAACCTTGAACGGTTGGGCCTTGAAGCCCTGCAGATAGTGTATTTCGATCCAGATGTCGGCTGAGGGATAGTCAAACCAGTGTGATGGCCATATGATCTATGAAGATATATAGAGATAGCTTGGTATAACTTTTACCTGGGCAGCCGGTAGTCTCACCACCCACGCTGTCACCAGCCAGAACAATCTTTCCTGTTTTCAGCTGCTGATCACCATCCTGGACTATGTACTCCAGCACAGAAAACGACTCGAATTGGAACGGATACTACTTCTCTGGTGCGGGGGTATAGTACTGGAAGACCACGGCTGCCCCGCTCTGTCGTGCTAGGTCTTCTACCAGGGAGCCATGGCCGCTTGGATTAAGGGTGATTTTAGGGCATGATCACGACAACGGGCAGGGTGAAAGATGACTACGAAGTATCCAGCCACCTCCATGGGTATGGAGGATTGTTGATAGCTCGCTTGCATTCGTTGGTCGAAAGATGACAGTATTGACTACCTAGGCATGCCGGACTCGAAAGGAACCTCAATGTGGTTCTGGATAATGTCGAGAGTGGGAGAATGCTTTTGAAATGTCCCCAGAATCTCCCGTGCCTCAGTTGGGGGGTCTTTCATTCAACGGTGGACATTTGGCGAGCTCATCAACGAAGCTCTGATTCACCAAGTCCAAAGTAGGAGCCATGTGTTAAGTTTAAGTACTTGCTGTTGCTGAACACGAAGAGGATATGAGATCGAACCGGTCTTGGGAGTGCAAGATTTCGAGATGATGTTGCAATGCTCGTGAGGGAGGCTGTTATTGACATCTTCAACATCGCAATTTATTGAATTCGCAGCCTTGAAAGAAGACTGAGATCTCACCTCAGCAAGTTCATCGCCAAGCAGATACTGTCAAACCAAGCAGTGGAGAGTCGGAGAATCCGGGGGATCCGGTTAGCATCCATGGATGACCATTGAGACGTTTGTATAGATGTCTATGATTAGTTCCAACCAAAGCTGGTGGGAATTGAACTAGGGACAATCCCCAACGAAGCCAATTCTGCCGGCGAATGCGCCTGGACCCAAGCCATAGCATCCAGGTAGTGATTGCCAGCCTCGAACGGATCGTAGTCAGTGAGGGGAATCATCTATTCCCGTCATATTAGCACGCTATCAGCCATAACCCGCCAATGGCCTAAGGTTATAGATGAGGCCTTCAGATAAGAGGTTGTCGCCACTCGGGGCCGGGAAGGATGGAGTTAACGGTGGAGACTCCGAGGTCCGGCGAACAAAGCTGATTATCAAGCACCGGTCTCTTCGAACCTTGGAACCGTTTCCACGCGAATTCAGGGCACAGGGGATTTCATTTTTGCTTTTTGGGATCTTGAAGTCTCAAGGTTGAAGACGTTTGACCTGCATCTGCAAGACCGTTGAGATCGGCAATCATGGCAGCTCCACTTCCGCTCGACCTGTCACACCACTTGTCCTATGCGACGAGGAACAAGAAACCCAGCAGCGTGAAGAGTTTCTATAAATATTTCCAGATCCCTGGAATTGCTAATTTTGCCGGAGGTAAGTCAGATAAATAATTCTCTGTGGACGGTCACTCACTGGACTAGGGTTGCCACATGCATCCTATTTCCCCTACGATACCCTCGAAGCCAAAGTCGCCTTACCGGAGCGACTGGAAAGCAAGGAGGCGTCCTCAAAACGGGTCTCCGTTCCAAAAGAGAGCAAGACGAAAGACGTCCAACGGAAGATCGACTTGACGACAGCGCTCCAATATGGCACCGCCGAAGGATACCCGCCCCTAAACGCGTTCCTGCGCTCGTTTGCACGAGACCACCTTCACCCCAACGTGCCTTATGCCGGTGGCCCGGAAGTCATCTTGACGTGTGGATCCACGGATGGCTTCTCAAAGGCAGTGGAAGCCTTTACGAATATCTGGAATCCCGACCGGGACTGGATCCAACAGCGGGAGGGCGTGCTGTGTGAGGAATTTACATACATGAATGCCATCCAAACAGTGCAGCCTCGCGGGTTAAACGTGGCTACCGTGGCGATGGACGGACAGGGTATGCTGGCCAGCGGCGAAGGGGGGCTGCAGCATGTGCTGGAGAATTGGGACTTCCGACGGGGGCGACGGCCTCATTTGATGTATACTGTTCCGTGAGTACAGCTTGACCCCCCGACCAGAAAAGACAGCACAGTAAAGAGACCCATGTAAGTGAAGACTGACATGGCTGAAGCACCGGCCAAAACCCCACCGGTGGAACGCTTTCGCTCGAGCGCCGAAAGGAGATATACGCTCTCTGCCAGAAGTATGATGTGATCATCATTGAAGACGAGCCGTACTGGAATCTGCAGTTTCCGTCTGCTTATTCAAGTACGGTGCATCACCGTGGCTCATGCGAGGCCAATCTTTACAACCGGAATTATAATGCGGAGGGCAAGTCATCAGGCTATGCCTACTTGGACTCACTCGTCCCCTCATATCTATCGATCGATGTTGAGGGCCGAGTCGTGCGACTAGATACCTTCTCTAAGACCATCGCACCTGGGAGTCGTCTCGGCTGGGTAACCGCCCAGCCAGCGATCATCGAGCGCTTGACTCGCATCACGGAGGTGACGAGCCAACAGCCATCTGGTTTTGTTCAGTCTTTAGTTGCCGAGATGATTTTCGGCCCGGATGACGATCAGGCTAAATCGTCCAAACAGATTGCTTCGGGCTGGCACATGGACGGGTGGGTGCGGTGGCTGGAGGGTCTCCGCGCTCGCTATGAAGGGCGCATGCAGGACATGTGCACGATTCTGGAAGAGAACAAATATCTTTATCATGAAGCCAGTGAGGCTGATGTCGATGCCTGGGAGGTGGTGGACCGAGTGCAGATGTATGACTTTGTCTGGCCGATGGGTGGTATGTTCACGTGGATAGATGTCCATTTCGATACACACCCCTTGCGTTCACAGTACTCCCCCGAGCGCCTTTCCCAGGCCTTTTGGATCCATCTGACCCAGAAGCCCCATTTGTGTCTGGTGGGCCCTGGGAGTATGTTCGCCCCGACACCGATGTCTGCCAAGAAAGCTCACAGGTACATCCGGGTGGCATTTGCCCCCATGGAATCTGACGAGGTGGCGCCTTTTACCCGGCGATTGACTGAAGGGTTCCGCTCGTTCTGGCAGCGGAAGAACTTGGATGGGCTGAGTGGCGAAGGAGCACAGGGATATGATTTGCAACCAGGTGTCAACCTTCTAGGGAACGGCTGCTGATAGATGCGATGTTTCTGTTTCGTTTCAGGGTCAAGCCATACTTCGTACTGTACTTCGTTCTCCGTTCGTAGTGTACTTGTGTACTTGCAGAAGTGAAGGTGAGAAGCGCCGATCAGTCAGATCGCCAGGTGATTGGGTGCCTGGCTGCCTGGGGTTCCCCAGATCTGACCTTCTCTTACCTTTTGACATATATTTCCGTCTCTTCCAATTTTCTTCTCTCCCTTGTATTTGCTTATATTTAGTTAGGATCCATACTCGTTCTGGTTCCTGAACATCCCTGTGTTCTTCGGGAGATCCCCACTGCCCATCGCCGCTAGCACATCCGACCGCCGACCGACATCATACCCGTTCGAGTCCCTGCCGAACGCTTGCGCTCCAGCTGAACGCCTCGCCATGCCTGGAGAGGGCCCAGGAGAGCCCACAGGGCCATATGTTCCTCCATTACTCGAAGACGATGGCCGTCTCGTCAATCCCGAAGCTTCCGAAGATCTACCACCGCCCGATGTCGAAGCAGGAACAGACGACACAGGTCCACTCCCAGTCTGGCTGCAGGAGTCGTCCAAGTCGTTTCGCTGGGGATGGGTGCCGCTGCCGATCAGAAAGGTCGGTCGCGCCACCGCCAATTGGGTGAAAGGTCCCGATCCGCCGCATATGCTGCTTTTGACGCCGTTGTTTCCCCGCGTTCAGGAACTGCCGGTCCAATATCTAGACCGTTGGTTGCCCAAGCGCAAGCACAAGACGGCTCTTCTTTTGGTGCTCTACGCATCATGGTTTCTTCCTTGGTTCTTGATTCTGCTGCATTCGCGCTCTTCTGGCTATATTGAAGGGTACGGTCGGCCTCAGACCTTATCGTGCTCTACGAACTTTTGGTATGTGACAGGCAATCCCAATTCCCCACCAGGCCCACTGACGTATTTGCGACTTGCCAGGGAGTTCGACAATGGGTGCGGGATGAATGGAAATGACTGTCGGCCATTTTCGTCTTCAAGTATTCCATTCCGGTGTCCCGCGAATTGCCGCGATACCATACTATTGGAGCCTCACATAGTGGGGAATCATTCATACAACTACCAAAGCCTAGTGATCGGAGGCCCTCAACCTGAATCCTCCGAACTGGCGCTCTATCGTGCTGATAGCTTTGTCTGCCAGGCAGCGATCCATGCCGGTACCATCTCAAATGATGGCGGCTGCGGCGTTGTCAAGCTCGAGGGCGCGGCGCACTCGTTCCCCTCGGTCAAGCAACATGGGATTCAATCCGCAGGATTCCCATCCACTTTCCCCAAGGCTTTCAGCTTCCTTCAGCTATCATCGCCACAGGCAAGCTGTCCTTCGGACCCGCGCTGGACGCTCCTTGGAATCACTGCCGCTGCTGTTGGCGTCCTATGGCTCTTCTGCACTTCTCCGCCTGTCCTCTTCTTCAGTTCATTCTTCATGGTTTTCTGTCACACGGGACTCGTGGGTGATCCTCCTTCCGACCCTTTCCTCGCCGAACTTGTTTCTAGCCTCCTGTCTCGGCTTCTACCAGCATCATTCGTTGTCTACGTTCTCTACAAGTTCTGCGCCGCGCCACTGCTCCGGCCAATCAGTTCACCGATCTATCAACTTTCGAAGATGTTTCTGTTCTTGCCTCCACTTTTCATCGGAGCCCTGAACAACTACACATTTGCTCGTTTGATTCCCTTGAAGCGTCTCACCCCCATGGATATCCAAAAGCAGCCCGGGGCAAAGCTAGCTCTGGCGTTTGTCATCCCTATTGTGCTCTCAATCATCTTGACCCAGGCATGGCAGATTCGCCAGGGAGGATTGCTTCCTCGCTATCTGAAGATCTACGGCACCATGGGACTGATCATCCTCATCTTGCTTCCTCTGCCCGGACTTCGACTGCGCATTCACCATTACATCCTTGCGATTTTGCTCATGCCGGGCACCGCTTTCCCAACTCGCCCTTCGCTTGTATACCAGGGTCTGCTACTCGGTCTATTCATCAACGGTGTTGCCCGATGGGGATTTGCCTCAATCATTGAGACCCCTGCAGCCCTCGGAGAGCAAGTGCCCAACGGAGATGGAATAAGCGGATGGTGGGGCGCAACTTACCCCAACGTCACAAGCTCCTCTGTCAAGATTTCTTTGCCAGAGTCAGAGGACACTTACCGTGGCAATGGCAACATCACCTTCGCTTTGTGGGAACATGAGCGCATGTCAAAGCTTGCGGTAGATGGAATCTCGGTCCTTTTGAATGACGTCGAGCGCTGGCGTGGTTACCTTGATGAAGACACGGCAGGCGAATTCACCTGGCACCGCCATGGGCATGATGGCCTAGAGTTACAGACCAACCATCGTCTAGTTACTCGTGATCTGGACACCGTCGAGGAATCTCAATCACGACTGCTGGGCGACGACAGCTCCGATGCCAAACCTGATGATCTATTCTTCCGCTTCGCATTCTTGAGAGGTGCCGAAGCTGGGACATATGGACCAACGGGCGTCTGGCTCAGTGATGGCACTTGGTATTCGCCCAAACCTCCCAAGGCATAGATAGATTTGCTGTTTTGGATGTTTTCTTACGTGTATTTCAATGCTTGGCGAAATAGACTACACACCTGTACATGTGCGCTGGACGCGCAGTATTAGATGTCTCTCGCCCGCGGGCTCACGATTCTCAATGAATATATTGATTTTGCTTGGATGAGATCGAGGCCACAAAGTATGGGCGATTTGCACAGCACGTGATCACATAGGCACCCGAGATTCACTTCAATTTGTACGGAAAACTAGAATATAACATCGCCTCCATGGAGCCCGAGGGATCTGACCATGAACGTGAGACAGGGGCGGTCCGACGTGCGGTATGTGCCTCTGTCGTGATACTTGAGAGGACCTAATAAGAAATCCAGTGTGACCAATGCCGGGCTCGCAAGGTATTCACTCCACCCCTTACTCCCCATCTTCCAGTCTCACCCCATTGCAGATCCGATGCGACAAGCGCACGCCATGCTCAAACTGTCGGAGCTCTAGCATCGCATGTCGATCTACCGACAGCCAAAAGCCCGCAGAGCCTCGGCGGCGAGTTCTCATTTCCAACCAATAGTAAGCGTAGCAGGGCACTGGCCATTGACATCATTAACTCGGTCGCAGTGAGAAAAAGATTGATTCAATTGAAGAGCGTTTGACCAGCATTGAGACAACTCTACAGGAGCTGGCAAGGAACACATCTGCTTCAAAACCAGTATCGCAGTTCACTCCACAGTTTGTTCCTTCGCCTCAAAATTCGACCCAATCTCAGGCTTCATCAAAGCAGAGCACAGCAAAGCCAAAGGGACCGGTTTATAAGACGAATCCAGCCATTGAACAGCATGATTCGAGCTCTGGGTTCGAGGGAAGCTCGTCCCTCAGCGCCCATGGAGCCTACGCAAGTGCATTTCTGGAATCAGCCGTCTCCAAAAGTTCGCCTCAAGTGCTGTCCAGCCCGAAGATCAATGCGGCTCTATCCTCGCTCAAGCAAATTGTTGGGATGCAGAATCAACGGCGAGAAGCTGACCTGCCGGGATCTCGAATGCCTAGCAAGACAACACGAATAGGAACCAAGTGTGACATCCGTCATCTTGAAATGCCGCCTTTGGAAATGGTTTTGAGAGTCCTCAGACATGTCAAAGGTTTGATATACAGACTGACATCGTGCTGTTTCCGCTCTAACTTTCATAGAGTACCCATCTTCCTGCTTTGGCGGCTACATGCCGTTTCTCAAGGTGGAACACTTCATCGAGAATTGCCGTGAAGTGTACTTCTGCGCGGAGGAATATTCCGATGCGGCATTCATTGTCACCAACTTTTGCCTTTACAGCGTATTTTTTGAACTTGGGATAACAAAAACAGCCGGTTCCCTCGGCGAGGAATGCCAGGAGTACATCGACACCTGCCGCAATAACCTCGAAGCTGCGCTCGCCAACCTCAATATCTTGATGCCTGCAACCCAGGAATCAATCATGGCATTGGCTGTGGGGGTCAGTTTCTTTTCACTTTACTCTGTTTTCCGACGTGAAACTCACCAAAGTATAGGCCATGCATGCGCTCGAGATCTCCAAGCCATCAGTGGCTTGGAGCCTAGCTTCCACGGGCATGCATCTGTGTCAGACGTTGGGGTACCATCGCCTGAGCTCCATGGAGCATGATTCGGTACCAGTTCAGCGCCAAAAGCAACTTGTCTTTTGGACGGTCTACACCATCCTGAACATGATGTCGCTCCGTTTGGGCCGTGCCTGTCCCATCCAAAACTACGATATCAGCCTACCGATGCCAGTTGCGGAAAACCTTGATGTGCTTGAGCCATGGGCCCCTGTTTGCGTACTTTGGACGAGATCGGCTATCATCCAGAGCAAAATCTACCAGTACTTGTATAGCCCGGAAGCATTGCAACAGCCAGAGAGCCACCGAGTTACGCACGCGCAAAAACTGGCAGCTGAGATGAAATCGAGCATCATGGAACCATTTGAGGTATACAGACCCGCAGACGGGAAATTGATCGAGTGTGCTAACACCGGACATACAGGCCTACATGGCATCAACTCCAAATCTCCCGGAGCTAGACATTGTGTACCTTACCACAGACAAGGTCAGCAGGCTCTCAATTCTCACCTTGATATACCGAGCCATTCCTGCTTCGCCGGCATCTGGCTCTACCGCCACTTTCATACCCGAGTGTATTGAAACAGCCCGTGAAGCCTTGGAAGCCCATCGACAATGCGGCGCTTTCCTGAATGAAACAGATGACTTCATGAAAGCCTCCTACATGCACTGGTGAGCACTAGAGCTCGCAAACGCATATTGTGTTATGCCGACCGCTAACGATCGCCAGGGCCGTCCTTCTCTCCCCCTTCGTCCCCTTCATCGTGATCTTCTGCAATGTAATCACCACTTCCAACCAAGAAGATCTCGCCCGACTCGATGAATTTGTTACCTCCCTCGTGCCCCTTCGCTCATTCTCTCAATCTATTGATCGCCTCCACACCCTCTGCTCTGTGCTCGCCACCGTCGCGCGTCTGTACTTCGAGGCCAATACCCGGCCCCAGACTGACGCCGCTGATAATTTCATCCAGGTCGGCCAGGAGTTTGATACTTACCTAGGTGCGCTGGGATTACCGAACAACTTCACGGGTAATACTCAAATGGGGTCAGGGTACCTCCAGCCGGATGCCCCTGTGCATGTTAGCTCGGAGCCAGCGTCTATGCTGGGATTCCCGGCCGAGTCGCAGGATCCGGGAGCTGCGCAGTTAGGGAATTGGTTTTGGGGAAATCAGTATATGATGGGTCTGCTGGAGGAGGATATCTCCCAATTCAACGCTGGTTGGCCGTAGAACGGATTTACCTATTTGTACTCCGTACATGTAATATTAACCCTTATTCAAACAAGAATCAAAATTGGAATGCTTCTAAGCGTACCTAGGTAGTTGTACAATGTTATCTGAAGTACAGTAATCTATCTGATCTACTGTACTGTACTCTGTACTCTCCACTACAAATTGTCCTAATGTTAAGCTTTCCATTGCCCCTGAGGCATTTTGCTGTCAACCTTCCTATAACACAAATGATCAGCAAACACCGAAATCCAACCTTTACAGTAACTAGATAAATATCCACCTGGGCATACTCTTTTTAGAAGGTAACCTTGAACGAGCCGTCACGAATGCCTTGGATGTTCTGTCCCGGCTGAACCCTAACTGCGCCATGTCGATCGACGGCGTCCATACGTTTCAATCTGGTTTCGGGACAATGTGAAATGTGCGCTGATCTCGGTGAACAAATAAAAAAAGCCCCCAATGTCACTAGAGAGGAAGTGCAGCGGGTGTTATCCCCGTTCCAGAAGGCTCCACTTGAAGATTTTTAACTGCACACACAGTACAGTACTCTATGTACAGTACTAAGGGAACGTCATGGGCAATAGAACCTCATGCGACACAATTCTTTCCAGTGATGTCAATTGAATAATAGCAGTGGAGATGTGCGGTATTTATCGAGCCCACCGTGCTCCATACAACGAATCTTAGCTCGGGTTGCTTCCGACAGTGGGCACCGGAAGAATACTGTACAGCACTAACACTGGAGCCTACAGAGAATCCGCTTAAAGAGTAACGGTTCAATGATGTTGTCGGTGGAGTCGTTCGTAACAAGGCAAAGGAAATGAGGGAAATGAGGGACATCGCAGCCTGCGTTAAATAGGGCATCTCCCATATTTGCCGGTTGACCGGAACTCACGCTTTCGAGTCTTGAACGGTTTTGATATTGCAGAAAAAAAGATTCTTTCACAGATTCGCTTCTGTAGTCTTGCACTGTACGGTATACGACCACGATCATCCCAAGCGACATCGACACCTACTGCCCTAGCAACTGGTGCATTGCCAGCGTCAAATCCATCAGCACCAATTCCGATTCGCCTTACGATATCCCTATGCAACAAGCCTGAGCATCTTCTAGATCTTGACTTCTCCAGTGCACCAATATTCTCCCTTGCAACAAGACCCCGACCCTCGACGTAATGGGTGAACTCGACCTCGAAAAGACCGCCAGCGTCAAACCGGCCTCGAGCAATGGCTCGCGCTCCGAGTCCGACTCGGACGCCGCTCGTCTCGCGGAGATGGGCTACGCCCAGGATCTGAATCGGAATTTCAACATCCTGTCACTGGTCGGCATTGCGTTCTGCATGTCGAATTCCTGGTTCGGTATCTCTGCTTCCATGATCACCGGCATTAACTCTGGTGGTACGGTGCTGATCATCTATGGCCTGTTGTGGATCACCTTCATCTCACTGGGTGTCGGTGCTTCGCTGTCCGAGTTGGCCAGTGCCATGCCCAATGCCGGTGGACAGTACTTCTGGGCCTTTGAATTGGCCCCGCGCAAATATGCCCACTTTGCCTCCTACCTCAGTGGGTGGTTTGGTTATGCCGGTGCCATCTTCGCCTGCTCCAGTGTGGTCCTGGGTCTTGGCCAGGCTGCCGTTGGCATGTGGCAGTTGGGCCATCCTGACTTGTATGCAGAGAGATCCTGACCCTCTTGTTCTTAGTGTGCTAACTCTCCCCAGTGTTGTGAAGGCATGGCATGTCGTTCTTGCCTACCAGTTGATCAACTTCTTCTGTTTCTTGTTCAACTGCGTGGGTAAGGTGTTGCCTCTGGTGGCCAAGTGCACTCTGTACATCTCCCTCATTTCCTTCCTGGTCATCCTGGTCACTGTGCCAGCCTGCGCCCGCCCTCACGCCAGTGCGAGCTACGTGTTCGGTCACTTTGTCAACTCCACCGGCTGGAAGTCAGACGGCATGGCCTTCATCGTCGGATTGATCAACCCGAATTGGATTTTCGCCTGCTTGGACTCTGCCACGCATTTGGCCGAAGAGGTTCCTCACCCGGAGAGAAACATCCCCATTGCCATCATGGCCACTGTCGCCATTGGCTTCGTCACGTCCTGGACCTACTGTATCTCCATGTTCTTCGGCATCAAGGACCTGGACGAGCTGATCAACACCTCTACTGGTGTCCCCATCTTACAGCTGTACTACCAAGCCCTGGACAACAAGGCTGGTGCCATCGTTCTCGAGACACTTCTCCTGGTCACCGGTATGGGATGCCAGATCGCATGCCACACCTGGCAATCCCGTCTGGCCTGGGCCTTTGCCCGTGATCGTGGAATGCCCGGCCACCAGTGGCTGTCTCAGGTGAACCATACCCTGGATGTGCCCCTGTACGCGCACTCAGTCAGCTGCTTCATTGTCGGCCTCCTCGGTCTGTTGTATCTTGGATCCACGACAGCATTCAACAGCATGATGACTGCTTGTATCTCTCTGCTGTATGTTTCGTATTCGATTCCCATCCTTTGCCTTTGGTACCGTGGCCGCAACAACATCCACCACGGTCCTTTCTGGCTCGGCAAATTTGGTATGGCGGCCAACATCATCACCATCTCCTGGACGATCTTCTGTATCGTGATGTACTCGTTCCCCTCGACCATGCCTGTTCACACCGGAAGTAAGTGTTGAGCTCTCCTTTCCCTCTCCCCGATCTAACCTGTAGTAGATATGAACTATGTCTCGGCTGTGTATGGCGTGGTGGTCTTCATCATGCTTTTTGATTGGTTTGCTCGTGGAAAGTATTCCTTCAAGCGCGATGAAGGGGAGAAGAGTGAGGGCTCACAGTAGATCTTGCATTTTTACTTTTGTTTTGTATTTTGTTTTTCGCAAGGCGTCTCGCATTTGACGGAGTTGGCATATAGAATCATAGATGATAGAGTATACCCCAATACACCCCTCATAATTTCAGCATCGTAACAGACTCAGAAAAGAAGTAAAACAGTAAAATATAAAATATAAAATAGCAAATGTAAATAGCAAATCCTGTCGCCGAGATCGCCTCAAAAGGTGTGCCATTGACCAATGACCGCCCGCGTACGTAATGCGATCGGAGGCCAAATTGGAGTCTCCCACACCTCTCGGTCAAACGATGCAATCACCGTCGCTCTACTCGTTTTTTCTTTCTTTTTTGCAAATGACTTTTTAGTACGGAGTATTTCTTTTCTTTTTCTCCATACACCCCGCAATCCGCTTTATTATCGTGGAATTGATGCCTTGAGTATCAGATCTACACCCGGGCACGACTACAACGGTATATCCAGTGAATACCAGTAGCAGAACAAAGTTCACATCATGCTGTCCGCTACTCTCAACCCCCCAGCAAACAAGATGATCCCCACCATCCCCGAGTCTGGGGATGGCAGCCCAGAAGAGGTCATTCTGGAATCGCGCGTCCTGATCATCATGACAGGCGGCACAATCTGTATGCAGCCCTCGCCGTCAGGCTTCATTCCAGCCCGTGGCTTCCAGGACAAGTGCATGGCGCGGGTCCCCACCTTCAATGATGCCTCTACGCCTACGCCTATGGGGGTGGTGGTGAATGCTGCCGGGGATCAGACGGAACATCCGAGTCTGCGCACGCCCATGACTGCTTATGGCCGCCGGGTGCGGTACACCGTTTATGAGTTTGAGGAGCTGCTGGACAGCAGCTCCATCGATGCAAAGGGTTGGGCGCAGATTGCTGAGACTGTGGAGCGCAACTATACCCTCTTTGACGGGTTCGTTATTCTTCACGGCACGGACAGTCTGGCGTATACGTGCTCTGCGCTCAGTTTCATGCTGCAGAATCTGGGTAAGCCGGTTGTGTTGACTGGTTCTCAAGCACCAATGCTGGAATTGCAGAATGACGCCACTGACAACTTGCTCGGGTCATTGGTGGTTGCGGGACACTTTATGATTCCTGAGGTGTGTCTGTATTTCAATAATCGACTTTTCAGAGGAAACCGCACTACCAAGGTTGCGGCGAGCGATTTCGCTGCGTTTGATGCACCGAACTGCCCCCCTCTGGCAGTGACCACTTCCATGCGCACCAATGTGAACTGGGATATGGTGCATCGTCCCACCAGTCTGGAACATTTCAGCATTCAGACGAATCTGGACACCACACACGTTGCTTGTTTGCGTATCTTCCCCGGTATCAAACCGGAGATGGTGGATGCCGTATTGAAGCTAGACGGTCTGCGCGGTTTGATTCTCGAGACCTTTGGTGCAGGCAATGCCCCCTCTGGCCAGGATAACGCCATGATCAACGTTCTAGCCAGCGCTATTAAACGCGGCATTGTGATCATTAACATCACTCAGTGTAAGTCTACCTGATCAACGGTTCCCATTCAACAACCGCTGACCCTTTCCCAGGCCTCACAGGCAGCGTGAGCCCAGTCTACGCCACGGGCATGAGTCTATCCCGAGCAGGTGTAGTAGCTGGTCTCGATATGACAACCGAAGGAGCCCTGACCAAACTGGCCTACCTACTCGCCTTGCCCGATTCCACCCCCGAGACCATCGCCAAGCGCATGTCTGTCTCTATCCGCGGTGAGCTCACCGAATCTTCACTACCTATCTTCCGCCACCCGGACGGTGCTCTCCCCGAGCGCATCCAAACCCTCACCTCGATGGGCTATGCCATTGCCCACGGCGACCTCGAGAAGGTCCAAGCCATCACCAAAACCGAACACCATTGGCTTCTGAACGACGCCGATTACTCCGGCAATACCCCCATGGTTAGTGACCCGTTCTTATCTGGTACATCCATCTAACCCTCGCAGCATCTGGCTGCTACTGCCCCCTCTATTCAGATTCTTCACTTCCTCCTCTCCCAGGGCGGCTCCGTGCACCTGCGCAACCGTGCCGGCCGCACCCCGCTCTTCCTTGCGGCCAACGCAGGCCTGTCGGAGCACACGCTTCTCCTCCGGAAGTCCGGTGCTCACCTGCACTCGGACGAGCGCCCGGCGGCGGAGCTGCTGGCGCGTCACAGACCTTTCGTCTGGGGTATGGCGGGGGTTGGGCCGAAAGAGATTAGCCAGCGTGAGATGGACGAGGAATGGGAATGGGATGCTCGGCAGAACCGGATGACGGCCGGCTCTGCGCCCTCGTGAGTGATTACTGCTTAGGCTGGAATACTATTCCCTTCCATATAGGTCTATATGTGCATAGAGTGATCACGGGTCCATTCTTGCGCCATGTACGGTATGCCGGATACCGGTGACCGTGCTGTACGCCCTGACATCCGCGGAGATTGGCGAGATCCAAGCCCCCCGGTCCCCGGCCCCTCAGTGGATGAAGATAAGGCCATTGGGTCTGAGTTTTCCTGGGGTTAGCCTTGCCCCTAGTGTATTTTTGGTATCGGTATTTCAATTACGTCTGCCAAGCTCAGCCGTAGTTGGAGTCACCTTGGGGACAATCCACTTTTGGTCTTTATCTTAATACTGTATACTATACTACAGTATACTACAGTATACTACTATTTAGTATACTATATAGTAGTACTCACTCCGTACAGTATCCAATCCTTAGCTACAGTATCCTGTACTGATCTCTGCAGGGAGTGACATTGCGGGGTTAAGGTCTCGACATTGGAAGCGGAAGAGACTAGCCCTCCACTTTGGACTCCGGCTGGTGTCTGAATCGCGCAACGCGACTGGGCCGCCTATAGCCCACCGGGACCACGTGAGACTACCCCTGGCACATAAAAGTGCGCGATTTGGTGTAATTCACGCTACTTTACTCCGTGCTCCGTACTATATCTTATGACCTCGGAATAGCTTCCGGAGCTTGGCGAGATAGGAAAGAGATTCCTGGAGCATCTACAGTATACTAGTTAGTATGCTAATTAGCTGGTAGTATACGGTAGTAAAATGCTGAGTGTATAGAGTAGAGTATGTAGAGTAAGTAAGTAGTCAAGCCAAGACATGAAGGATCTTCCCGTCCACTTAAGTCGTGGGAGCCGAACGGATGCCGATTTACGTAAAAATGGGTGGACGAGACCGCGGGCTTTTTTCTTTTTTTTTCTTCTTTTTCTTTTTATTTTCTTTTCGATGGTGTCATTGTATCTTTGCGAATTCTCTACTATACTACTAGTATAGACATCACATCATATAACTTGGAACCTTGGTGACCGTGGACTATATAACCCTTATCTTATCCTCTCCGCGTTTGCCATTCTCCCCTCTCTCTACTCTCTACCCTCCAAGGTTACCTACCTTGCCCTACTGTATGGCCGAAACTCTTATCCACCGCTGATCCACAGAGTGACTGTTTCAATCGCATAACAGTTCTTGTTACATACCACTTTGCCCATACCCCACCAACCTCGCCAAGGCTTACTCCGGATTTTCTTCTTTTTATCTCCCTCCCTCATCTGATAACCTGGGACCTCTACACCTCTCTGCCCCTCGACACTCACCCGGATGACACAACCGCACAAGACCATTGCCGTGGTCAACGGCACCGGCCGACAAGCGGCCTCGCTCATCCGCGTCGCGTCCGCCGTCGGATACTCGGTCCGCGCGCAGATTCACACCCTCAAAGGCATCATTGCCCCCGAGTTGCAGCAGCTCCCCAATGTCACTCTCCTGCAGGGTCCGCTCCTCGGCAATATCCCGCTGATGGATGAGCTCTTCAAGGGTGCTCAGCTCGCCTTCATCAACACCACCTCACAGTCCGGCGACGAGGTCGCCATCGGCCGCGATCTCGCCGATGCGGCCATGCGCGCCGGCACTATCACCCACTATATCTACAGCAGTATGCCCGATCACTCTGTTCATGGCAACTGGCCCGCACCCCCGCAGTGGGCACCGAAATTCACCGTCGAGAATTACATCCGCCAGCTCAATATGCCCTCCACGTTTGTCTACGCCGGCATCTACAGTAATAACTTCACCAGTTTGCCCTACCCGCTCTTCCAGATGGAGCTCCTCGCCGACGGGAGCTTCGAATGGCGTGCGCCCTTCGACCCAGACATCCCTTTGCCCTGGTTAGATGTCGAGCACGACGTGGGTCCGACCCTGCTTCAGATCTTCAAGGACGGCCCTAAGCGGTGGCATGGCCATCGGTAAGTCGATCACTCCGATCCCAGATCACGGAAAAAGCTTCCGGACCCCTCTCAATCAATCATATCTAACCGATCGATCTTCTAGTATCGCCCTCACCTTCGAGACCCTGTCCCCGATCCAGGTGTGCGCGGCCTTCTCGCGCGCCCTGGACCGTCCCTGCCAGTACATCCGGGTCCCCAAGATCGAAATCAAGGTCAACATCCCGCCTGGATACAGAGAACAGCTCGAGGCGCTGGAAGAGCTGTTCGGTCGATGCGACGCGCCCTACTTCCCGCAGCCGGAGTTCTCACAGCCCGCTGCCGGGTCTCCAAAGGGTCTGGGGCCCTTTGGTGGAAAGGGTGCTGGCGCAGGCATGATGCAAGGTCCCGGTGGTGTGATCTCGTTGCGGGTCACTGATGAGGCCCGGTATCTCTGGCAGGGCTGGCGTGATATGGAGGAGTATGCTCGGGAGGTGTTCCCTGTGGAAGAAGAGGCCAATGGTCTGGATTGGATGCTCTGAGTGACTCTGGTCTTGGCCACCGCTTTTTCTGCTTTTTCTCACGACCCGGCGAAGACGTGCATGGTGATGTGTTCTGTGCATGTGGTAGCCCTTGCCGTTTGGCCCTTGATGCTTTTTTTTTTCTTTTCTTTTCTTTTGCTTTAATCATTGCATTCTTGGCGAACGGGCATGGGATATATGAACTTTCATGAATTGACGGTTCTTAATCGGAAGATGCTTGGACATTGATGCTTCACATTGTATGTGATCCAGTGTCTGATCGGAGTCCCTCTCAAAAGTTGTTTTGCTTTGCTCCTTTTTTTTTTTTTTTTTCTTTTTTTTTATCTTCGGTGAACTCAAGTCCTTTGAATGAGAATCGATGGATTGTGATACCCCGAGATCTCTACTCACCTTTGCATTGAAATGTACTATATAGTACGGAGACGTCTAGCTTATCTCGTAGGGAGGGGCGTATTCAGCGCGCAGACCGCTTCTTTCTACCGTGTGAACGAGGGGTGTACTCCGTAAGGAGCTCGAATTGGGTCTGTGGTACCTTTGCCATGAAGTCAGTGTGCATGACCTTGATCCCTGCTACAGGTACTTTCATAGGTGCAGCCTGCATACGGAGTAGACCTGGATTCCTTTTCAAGACGTGTGTACAGGTTAGACTATCAAAGTCTACTGTACATAGTATCGGATACGATGGAGTATAACCTTGGAATTGGAAATGATTCCAGGTCTCATAGTGTCCTATGTAGTATATAGGAGTAAATCCAAGTACTGTATAGGAATCAATTCTATAGCTATTAAATTCTATTAAATTCTAATGTTTACACATTCTATAGCCCCTACAATAAGATCCGAGATCAGCGTCAGAGTTTTCTGATCTTCTCATCGCCTTAGGCCGTCACCCCCACTATTTCCAGACTTTTGTACTCCCGGGTACACAGAGGTACTTGGGTCGACCCCTCCGTACCATGGAACAAGAGGTACCCTCAGGTATCCCCAGGTAGCTCCCAAAGCTCCAACTATGAGCGCATAGTTTACTTTTTTAGCTCCTTTTTTTTTTTTTTTTTTCCCGCGTCCATTTAACTCACTTCCCTCCCTTTGATTCACAACTTGACTCTTGATATCTTTATTTAATTCTTACGATTCACCATGTCTAACGATCAATCCCTTATGGACCGCATTGAGTTCCCCGAGATTCCTGAGGCGGCCATGAAGAAGATTGCCATCCTCGAGGAGCAGTTCGCTCGCGCCGAGGTTGAGCAGCGTACGTAGATATCAGAATCAGGGTATCCATGGATGATATTGGCTAATGTATTTGACAGTCCGCCACACCCACAAGCTCATGGCTCCTCTTATCGCTAAGCGTAGCGAGATCATCAACATGCCCGATGTTCAGCCCGAGTTCTGGATGCGCGTTTTGGCCACCGCTCCCCCCGAGATCGAAGAGTACATCCTCCCCAGCGATGCTGCCGCCCTGGGTGAGAACCTCAAGAACCTGACCGTCGAGCGCTTCGAGCTCGATGCCCAGGGCAACGGCGAGCCCCGCAGCTTGCGTTTCACCTTCGACTTCAAGAACCCCGAGGAGAACGCCTTCTTCTCCAACGAGAAGCTCGTCAAGGAGTTCTACTGGCGCCAGGAGGTCTCCAAGAGCAAGTCTGGTCGCACTCGCACCTGGGAGGGTCTCGTCTCCGAGCCCGTCCGCATCAACTGGAAGAAGGATGCCGATCTGACCAAGGGCCTGCTGGATGCTGCCTGCGATCTCGCCGAGGCCGAGAAGAAGAACGGTGGTGACCGCCAGAAGCTCCCTGAGTACGCCGCTCTGGCCAAGAAGGTCCAGGAGCACGAGGAGGAGGCCGCCAACGCTGAGGACCAGGATGAGGACGAGGAAGACATGCCCAGCCCCGTCGGTGTGAGCTTCTTCGCTTTCTTCGGTTACCGTGGCCGTGACGTCTCTGCCGCCAAGTCCCAGGAGTCCGCCAAGGAGATCGAAGCCCGCTGGGCCAAGGTCCAGAACGGCGAGGACATTGACGAGGCTGGTGACTCTGACGACGAGGATGACGTCGAGGAGGACGGTCTTGAGGAGGTGGAGATCTTCACCGACGGTGACGACCTTGCCGTTGCCATCGCCGAGGACCTCTGGACTGATGCACTCAACTACTACGGTAAGGCGAGTGCACCATGTGGGTGTGCCCACTGCTAATGATGATACCCTCCCGCAGTGCAATCTTTCCAGGCCGGCGCTGAACTCGAAGGCATGGATCTCGAGATGGATGAGCTGGACGGTGACTCGGATGAAGAAAGTGAGTCGCGCCCGCGCAAGAAGGCTCGCAACTAAACCATTTGCACCCGAAACGCCATGACCCCCTTTTGATGTTTTTGCTTTTCCTAACCCCTGTTTTTATGTATTATCACAGTGCAATGAGGAGGATTAATAATAAGACGAGGACGAAAATGAGTGTTGCGATGCAAAACGAGGACCATGTATCTATGTTGGCAGAAAAGTTAGTTTGAACTTATGATTCCCACAGCACATTCCGGTAGAGAGACTCGGGAGTAAAGGAAGTTTCTTACCCTCGTTCTTGCGCACGATGTGCTTGATCCGCGACATGCCATTCGCCAATTTGCCCCCGACTCGGTCTGCCAATGTGTCCACCTCGTCGATCATGACAGCCTGGTCTTCCAGTTCCCTCCCCATGTCATCGGCCTGCTGTCGCAAGTTGCCAACGGTGCGGAACACCCCATCGAGCTGCTCATCCTGTTCATGCATGAGTTCGGACTGTCGCTGCTGTTCCATGGAGGCGTAGTAGTCATCGCCGCCCCGACCACGCCCGCGCTCCTCCTCCTCCAAAGCGGCATCAAACTCGGTCGGGTTGGGGAGCGTCTCGGGGGCGGCATTGGAGACGGCCTGTTGGAGCTCCTGGTGCATTTTCTCGACCTCATCGCCCACTTCGTCAACCAGTTTGCGGCGCCGCTGCACCTCTTCCAGTTCTAGGCCATAGCGATAGGGGTCTTGTTCGATTGCGCGCACGCTCTCGACCAGGTCGTTGAGATCAGCGGTGAGTTCTGTTAAGGTGCTTTCTAGCTCAGCGCGCGCTTGCTTCAGTTCGGGGTTTGACGGGCTTTTGGCGAGGGACCGAATGCGGAGGTATGAGGAGAAGAGTGGACGACTGGTTTGTAGGGTTGAAACCACGTCGCTAGGAGGTATTAGCAGAGGTTGCACCGGTGATAAGAGGCCAACTTACGCTTGCACTTGAAGAAAAGGATCTGCGTTGTCCATGGCTGCGGTTGTTGACAAGTCTAGATGTTCCCGGGGTCCAGGGCAGGTTCCAGGTCGGGTCCACTGGATCACATGATACTCCGCATACCTCCAGGGCTTCCAACCTTGGAAGGTTGACCACTCTCACACTCGACATTGTCTCGATTATCCCTCCGACCTTGGAAGTCTTAATTGGACTTCTCATGCGCGGTACATACATAGCACACGAGGGCTTCAATGCACATTCCCTGAATATACCTGCTTGATACCACCGCTCAAAGCCTCGAACTATAACATCGAAAACCATCAATATAACACTGACGATGTGAACTGTGCTGGCCACTGGAAATTGATCGGTCTGCCCCTCTGCAACAATTGAAAAAAATCAGTGTTTCTCATCTTGCATATTGGACGTAATATCCACCCTCTCAGATCCTTCGCTCCCAACCCTGCACTGTGGACTGAGCCGTGAACAAGTCATCATCTAGTATAAGCCAACCAAATGTTCTTCCCGAGCCAATCTTATCACGCTCGACATGAGAACCTGGACAACCTTGAAACTCCTCTTCTACAAAGAGTAATCGAATCCGCAGCGGGTACTTCTGCCGACTCGGAGCTCCTACCGAGGATCGTATATCAGGACAACCACCCCCACCTTAGACATTGACTCCGCAAACACAAGAGCCAGCATCATGGTTGAGGTGAGACAGTATCAGCTTATGCCAACGAATTTCATTCCAAATTCGCCAAGACCCTTACTACACTACAAGGATGTCCTAGCCACCCGCCACTCTCAGTGCGATCCAGCCGAGGTCTGGGATATGTTTACCAAGAATGAATGGGATGTTCAATGGATCTTCCGATACGGCCCAACCCAGCTATCACACTACCACTCCAGAGCACATGAATGCATGGCTGTCCTTTCGGGCACTGCCCGAATCCGATTCGGCGTCGCTGATACCTCTGACGATCTGATGGAGAATACACATGGGTCATCGTGGGAGGATGGAGGCGTGGAGTTGGAAGCCGAAGCGGGTGACGTTTTCATCATCCCCGCTGGCGTGGCGCACAAAACGTACAATACCAAACCGGATGCTGAATTCCAGCTCTTGACGCCTGGCTCAGGACATGGCATCGAGGCCGACGACCCGAAAAAAGCACTGGCTGAGGTCCAGTTGTCTGGATATACCATGATGGGGGCTTATAGTGGGGGCAAGTGGGATTTTGTAAAAGCTGGAGGGAATTACGAGAGAGTGTGGTCTGTTCCTAAGCCGCGATATGATCCTGTCTTTGGGGATTCGGAGCGTGGTCTCTGTAAGACATGGCGTGGGAGTGGCAATATCCAGTCTGTTCTCTGAAGGTTATGTTCTGAAGTGAGACTGGATGTGGACACATCGTGATTCTCCAACTGGCAATATCCTGGCCCTTTGAAGTTATTTTTCTCTTTCTATAGTGAGAATCATAGCATGGATCCCATCCATGGATGGAATCAAGTACTATATCAGCCAGGTCAGACTATGCCTGACTATCGCTGCTTAGTGTATACCTAGTGATAATCTTCATACAGATGACCATGACCACTTTCAACGCCATCCAGGTTCATCTCGAGTGTAGTCAACCGGTATACTTCCCCAGGTCCCGATTGGGCTTAGCGGGCGATAAAGAAAAAACCGCGATAAGAAAGATCCCCCACAATCAGCCCTCTTTTTCACCTTGATTGTTCCAGGTGATCGTTGTTGTTTCATTCATGGCTCCTTCAAAACCATTGCCACTCTCTGACGAGTGGACCGATCCGGACGAATATGTCTCGGCCCTCCTCTCCTTCACAACCGAGTCTGTGATGTTCATGAACCTGTGCGGTGGCGTGCATATCCTCGATTTCTTGACGCGCGATCCCGACCTGTACACATCTCTACTGCCAGAAGATTGGTGTACGTTCTTCGAGCACCATGATATCCACAGCATCTTGCAATTGCTCCTGCGCGAGGACATTGGTCCGCTATGTGAGCAAGCGGAAACAGACAGTACCGACAGGACCTGGAATGGAAGCGCGTTCCCGCCTGCGACTCTCCTGGAATACATTCGCAACATTCGCCGATTGAGCCTCCGTCGCGAGTTTACGCCCGACAAGTCTGAGAGTCTCCCGAGACATATCGTTGTGGGCATGAATAAGAAGAAGGCACATGAGGTTGAACAGTTCTCCCGATATGTCGCATCCTTGTCTGAGACAATCAATGAAAGTCGCGGGGAGCCATTGACTCATATCGCTGATTTCGGGTCTGGTCAAAACTACCTGGGCCGTACATTGGCCAGCGCACCTTACCATAAGCATATCATCGCTATTGAGCGCAAACACCAATATATCAGTGGGGCCAATCGGATGGATATTCATGCCCGATTGGCGAAGGATGAAAAGAAGAAGTTCATGCACAATGCGAAGCTTGCCAAACTGCAGAAGAAAAAGGCAAAAATCCAATGCGACGACTGTACTGATACCCCCGAGCTCGCACCGGAAACTCCCGATGTTTCAGAGGCCAAGGTGCAGGCGCAATCAGAACCAACTGAGACACCGTCAGGAGAAGCGATTGCACAAGTGGAAGATGATCTCTTCTCCGACACTCTAGGTGGCATGAGCCTCGAAGCCAATGATATCCTTACCTCGGTCGAGCATAAGCCGCCCGTCCTCAAGCCACCTCCCGAAGTGGACTCCCGAGGCACCGTGAGCTATATTGAACATGAGATCAAGGACGGCTACCTAGAGCCCATCATCGAACACGTCGTGGACCCCCAAGCCTCGGTAGAAGCTAGGACAGCTACAGATGAAGTCGTCACCAAGTCCGAGAACAAACCCAGTGACCCCCGGGTGATGGTTGTATCGCTGCATTCATGCGGTAACCTCGTCCATCATGGAGTGCGGTCATTGGTGCTCAATCCTTCCGTCGTCGCCATTGCCATGATCGGCTGCTGTTACAATCTCCTCACCGAGAGACTCGGCCCAGCCACGTACAAAATCCCTATCCTTCGATCCTCCCACCCCAGACTCAAACAGACCGGCTCTTCCTGGGACCCGCACGGATTCCCCATGTCCAAGTTGTATGCGGAATATGAAGCCGAAACGACCAAAGGCGTTAAGCTGAACATCACCGCCCGCGCCATGGCCGTCCAAGCACCTTACAACTGGGGCCGCGCAGACAGCGAAGGCTTCTTCACTCGCCACTTCTACCGTGCACTTCTACAGCGTGTTCTCTTGGACCATGGTATTATTCCCAAGGCAGATATCCCAAAGGATCTCTATAAAGATGACCCTGAGAACCCCGAGTCAGGCATCGCATTGATTGTGGGATCTCTGCGCAAGTCTGCCTTTGTCTCTTTCACGGCGTACGTTCGTGCTGCAACTGTCAAGTTGAGCCAGGATCCGCTGCGCGGCGAGAAGGTCAAGGAACGAGTTTGTACCATGACCGACGAGGAGCTGCAAGGTTACGAAACTGAGTACCTCCCTACACGGAAGAATCTTAGTATCGTGTGGGCTCTGATGGCCTTTAGCTCTCAGGTTGTTGAGGCTGCGATTGTCGTTGATCGCTGGCAGTTCCTGCGTGAACATGATTCTGTGAAGGAGTGTTGGGTTGAGCCGGTGTTCGAGTATGGCCAAAGCCCTCGCAACCTGGCTGTCATTGGCATCAAAAAGTGAACTCAATAAGAACCGACACCATGCATTACCAAGACTCATACCCGGATATAGAGAAGCACATACTTGCCCAGGTGGCTTTGAGGCTGACATGTAACACTCGGTACGGAGTACATAGACGATATCGACATGGATAGAACATGGCTCATAGGCCATTTCATTAGACAATACATTTCTCTGCCCAGTTTGTGCCTTGAACTATAATGATCTCACCGGGAGACTTCTCGAGTGCATAAATAGTGATGCTTGAGTGTAGCCTTCACCGTTCTCGGTCTATTGGCATCAATGCATCCGTTCCCCGCGCCGCAAAAGCGACCGCAGCTTTCCATTTCAAAAAGCCACCCAGTCAGGGCCACACGCTTCAGCAACCTCACACGCAGGCCTGCCAATCATCCCCTTCCAAAACTCCGAAGTGCCCGGTGGTACCAGCTCTTCAATCTCCAAGGAGATGAGGGCATCGAAAATCCAGTCCTGACACCTTCCTATCGCATTTCTCGGAGCAGGCTCCTTCTCGATGATGGTGATGGCCTCGCGTCGTTGCTCAGACGTTAGGCTTGCAATCTTGCACATTCCCACCGCGGCTTTGTCGATGATCTTGGTTGCATATCGCGGGGCGAATCCGTACCATAGCTTGTTGGCGTCGATGACCTCGACTTGTAGGAGATCGCCAAATGCTAGGTTCCCAGGCTTGTTGATCATGAATCCCCAGTGGGATCGAAAGTTGGGATTTGTGCCGGGTCCAAAGACCTCTATTGAAAGATCGTAGTTCATTTGGCCTGAGGTTGACCGGGGAGTGGCATCGGAGACGGGGTTTCTTATATCGAATCTGGCCTTGGCTCTCTGCGTTGGCCAGATGATTTCACAACTGGCGCAAGTTCCCGAGCCAAGGCAATACCTATGCGCCTTGGAGATGAAAATGGAATTATTCACCTATGGAATTTATGGATTTTTATTCGATCTCGCCCTCACCCGATTTCAACACTCCCTTCAGGAACACCTTGTCTACTCCGCAATCTACGTGCGAAGAATTGCATGACAGGCATCATCTCGTCCCTGTTAGACGGCATCCCATCACCCTTCCTCGCATACCGGCTCACCTCCACAAACTCAAAGACCTGTTTGGTCCGACGGACAGCCTCATCAGAGACCGCGACTGAGTCTCGTCCGGCAACCAGCAGCATAGGTGATCGGTTCTTCTCCCCGACTCGAGACCCAGACAGGGAATATGGGGCCCCGATGGAAATGACTCCGGAGAGAGGACCAGCTTCATGACCTTCGGATTTCTGTCCCAGCTCTCGGGCCACCGCTAGCCCGGCCATGCCTCCTTGGCCGAAGCCTAGGATCATGATCTCCCGTAGCGCGTATCCGCACTTGCGGATTAGAGTGTCCCGTATCACATCTGTTACCAATGTTTTGGTGGCACGGGCGAGACCGGCATCCATGTCTATTGCGCCGGTCGCGGAATCGAAGGAGATATCATCGCCCCAGTGGAAGCCCCCCAGGTCAAAGGGGAGTGGGGCTGTGCCTTGGACCGTGACGACGGTGGTCTCTGGTAGATTTATCGCTTGGCCGAATTTTGCAAAGGCCGCAGCCGAATCGCCGAGGCCATGTAGGAGGAGGAGGATATTTGGGGTGGGCGAGGCTGCGGGCGAGACGGTCACCGTGAGTTGGGACGGGAAGTCGCCCGGGACGGGGGTTTTGGTGGGCATGGTGAGAGCTCTGGTCTTCGAGAAGCTGAGAGCTGAAGCTTTGGAATGTGGCTGAGTGTGGCTGTGTCTCAGTCTCACCACGTCATAGCCATTGTATGTACTACTAGCAGAAGCATTTAGAAAACACACCGAGAAAGGTGGAGATGTGTACTCCGTACAGTATCATAGTGAGAACCTTAGAGGCTACAGGGTTGTCCCGATATCACTTTCCTAGAGTAGAAGTGGAAGCACTCTTACGCCCGTAAGCCCTGGAAATAGCACTTGAGTGCAAATCCATATCCCTGACTATATGCAGGTAAATGGTAGCTTGCCTCGATACTGGCTACTTCCTAAGGCCGCTTGGATATACTACTAGTACCAAGTACTAGTAGCACCCGTGCCTGGACAATACGTAGCCCACAGAATAATCTCTCAGCCTGTCCCGTATGTTGCAGCACAGGTGCTTGGGGGTGTCTGTATAGCACATAGTACTCCGACCTGTACGGAGTACGTTGAGATCATCTAATGGGAAATTGGACCCTGCTGCAAGGACCTCGGGACACTTAGGCAGACACATACAGACGTCCGTACATCCACTGATGGGGCGTTGATCGGTTGCTATTTAAATCTCCGCCACATGAGGCGCAGTACGTAATGTGCTACTCCGTACGGAGTACACAGTACGGAGTAGTACTCCACGGTATGAAGTAGAGTAGCATGGCGTAAGGATTCACCGCCACTTCGCCGAGACTCGATTCTCATAAGGCGTGGACAAGCCTTCGGACCAAGTCTTGGCTCGGCTGCACCGGCTACAAGGGCTTGGCATTGGGAGGTTAGTCTCTGTGTCCTCTCCTTATTAGTGTAGGGCGGCGGAGTAGGGCTGACCCGACCCATAATTCATCCGATCGGCGCTTTATTGAGTGGACATGGCCTCGTAAGGTTCTTGATCTCGTACATACGTGGATACCATACTCCGTAGACATTGTGCTTTCTCCTGGCATAGGAGTGCAGGGAGTACTACATACTATACATAGTAGGGAGTATACGGAGTAATTGATAGATCTCAAAGTGACAAGCTGAACTCACATCTACTATACGAGTCCCCTGAACCAAAGATCGGGCCCTAAGTACTCCGATGTAGCCCCCCATGTACTCCGTACTGATACGCTGTCCATACATCGGAGATCATGATCCATATTGCTCCGTAACTGGAGTGCGTTTCATCTGATCGCCCAATCGTAGCGGAAACCACCAGCCTCGACAGCCCCGATGATTTCATCCTAAGATTGGGCCCCTCATCGCCCCGGATACCCAACAATAACAACCCATACAGTGAGTGGCTCGGCAAGTGCTTTCTCGTAAACAGCCTCACATGTGCCATTCGATGGTGGGGCGTACGAGCTGAGACAAGAGAATCATATGTACCGGATAATACCTGGCGCTTGAGACTTTTCCCTTTCCATTTTAGTGCTCACCTCTTGCCGCTTTTTGCT